CCACCCAAAAAAAAAAAAAAAACCGGCTTTCCTCGCCCATTTCCGATCATGTTCTGGTTTCTCTCTCACCGCCGCCAGCAACGACATCAGCAGCAGGCCTTACTCCCGTTGTTCTCTCTTCTCTCCTCGGCTTCTTCCTCTTCATCTTCGAGCTCCAGCCTTCAAATACGTAGAGTTTTAAAGGCTCCGGGCCGGCCGATTGCCATTCGCGCCGATCAAATCGCCGAGACTAAGACCACATTAGTTGTGCGCCCGCAAGGCGATGCTCAATCTGCAGTGGCATACAAGATTGAAGACATCGATGGCGTTACCCTTTATACCGCCACCGGTCGCAAATTCTCGCACCGGCCTTGTCGCGAGTTCCGCGACGCCTCGGGACTCCCCCTATTCGAATTGCACCGACGCCTCTCCTTCCGCAACAACTGGTCCGTGACGCTCCCAGGCTCCTCCCTCAAGGATAAAACCTATTCCCCGCTGGCCACGGGCTCGCGGCGTCGGGCGAGTCGCCGATCGGCTGCTTCCTTTGGCTCGACTACCCGCGGAGGGAATTTTACCATCACCTTTGATAATGTCGCTGCTGTCGACGGCAAAGAGCCTGAGGAACGGGTACTGACTTTGGAGGTGCAGCGGCACGGGAATGTCCTCGCGCTGTTCGACATCGTGGATGGAGATCGTAAGATCGCGGAGGTGAGGGAGAGTATTCGCCACAATGAGAAGTTGGCTTTGATGCCCGCCTCGCGCGTGGGCTACAGACCTGTATTGGATGTCATTGTGACACCCGGGGTAGATCTGGCTTTGGTACGTTATGTCGCTCCGAACCTGTTCATCACGCAGAGCCCAGACTAAGGCATAAGTTTTCACAGGTTGCTACCATTGCTGTCATCGCGTCAGACACCGTGTTTGCGTCGAATTATTGATATCTAGCGAATGAGTATGGAGGGGATACCTGATTTTACATGCCGACGATGACCATGAATTTCACGACCGACTTGTTCTGTTTGCAGTTATGTATATTCTTTTTCATGGACAGGCGTTGCTATTGACTGCACATTGAGCAATGACATATTTCTTTTCCGTCTGGCGCTGGTATTCTCTGTCACTGGAGTGTCAGGTTTGTCTCGTTGATATGATTGTTGGTGGCATTTCGTCTCCTATTGTGTCGATCTGAGTTGGGAATGACAAGGCCTGTACCATGTTCGTGCAGAAGAAGTTGCACCATTTCACGACTTCACGACAGATGTAAGATGCTCAATATGTCGTGTCGGTGGAAGAACGAGCGATTCCATTTACCAAAAACGTCTAGCCTCTCGTCAGCAAAGCTGCACATCTCGACAATGTCGGCACGAATGTAGGCAACCTACACATGGGAACACTTAAAGCGCATATTCCCATTTGAATACTGCCGATTGCTAAGAATGCTGGCCGGATTCCGTTGGTCAGGAGCCAGTTATAGGCGAAGAATGTCAATGTAAAACTGAATAGATTCTTAAATACCAGCATGCAGGTGAACGATTCAATGGCGATTTCCCCTATCAGTCATATGTAAGACATCGATTTCGACCGCAGCATAGGTCAACTCACGGTGTGCATCCACGATATACAGTGCGCTGGACACCCCGCCCATCACCATTCCAACGATGACCGACGCGAAAAATATGTCAGCTACTAGCCAGCCGTAGCTTACAATATCATTCGCGACAAGGCCGAAGCCATACAGTCCCGCCCCGCTGGATATCAGTTGGAAGATGACCAGGAGGATCCGGAATTCGGGCTCGTGTCGTCCTCGGTTGAATTTGATCATCGTCCGATTCATCCAATCGGACAGTAAAGCCGAGATTATCAACCCTAGAATGGACCCAATGAACGCACCAGTATAGAGGTACCCTGTTTGCACTTCATCAAACCATAGCGGAGGGCCGAGGAAGATGGCTGCAAGGACCACGCCTATAAAAACAGTCCACCCAATAAGGACGCCTTGTATCAAACATGACTAAGGATGTTCAACGTCAGAAAGTCGCTGCGGTCATGCTGATTTGCAATCAAAGACTTACCCAGAAAATGGCCGGGTGGAAAAGGAGGGGAAACGGACGCAGAAGCTTAGAAAGCTTTCGTCGGATTTCCGGCCATTGAAGGGTTTGAGAGTCTGCTGGTAGGAAGCCTTGAGGGCTGGCTCGGTCTCAGCTGGGGCATCTCCTGGGATTTCTTTAGGCGGAATACTTTCTGTAGGTCTCTCTGTGGCAGTAAGTGTATGTTGCACTGCTTCGCTCAGTTCCCAGCGATCTTGGAAAGCGTCATCGTGTTGGAGTTGCGAGCTGACCCCATGGGCTACTTCTGTGCTCATTCCGTTCGGGCGTTGAAATGCAGTCTCAGGAACACAAAAAAAAGTCAGGGGAAGCGCTGCCGCTATGAAAATCGACACCAGGTACAAAGTCCATTTCCAACCCAGACTGTGGGTGATTTTACCAGCTAGGACAGGTGTGAGGAAGGCAGCACCAAACAAGGCGACATTTGACAGTGCCATCCTCTTACCCCGTTCCTATATGTTCAACCCATGAGTACGTCATTCTTTACATGTTAGTCTGGCAACAATCGGTCCCAACTTACATGAACGTAAAATAGGTCACCAACACACGCATTCACCAAAGCTTCGAAGGGCGCCAGCGCAACACCTTGGAATATTCGCCCAAAGAAGGCTTTGATAATAATGCTTGCTAGCCGCTGCCCAGATGCAGCTCGCGATCATTAGGATATTTCCCAACAGAAACAGGTGACGCTTGCCCCAGATCCTTGCGGTGGGCACGATGAGGAGGCCTTCCACTCTCACGCCACAGAGATGATAACCCGTGAGAAGTGCGACCGATGTAAAGTTTTTGCCATCGTAGAGGGCAATGGTGACTGTATTGGCAGCCATCAATGAGCTTGTGGTTGCGCAAAGCAGTGAGACAACGCAGAGAGCGAAGAGGATGCCATCGCGCCTCCATAGTGGCCAGTTCTATCGCTGCACTATCAGTGGATGCCACCCCAGGTACGACTATTCTCTTGTATCTACGCACCAGGGGATCATTTGCATCAATGCTGGGTTGCGGAACAAGTAGTATCGGCATCGACCCTGTACGGTCATATTTCAATCTTGGATCAAGAGATTCATCAGCGTAGGGGAACTGCGTCGGGAGAATGTCCGATGTTCCTGTTCACAATCCTCAGTGTCACTTGACTGTTAATGCATTGGGCAAAGGTTCTTACCTGGCACATACGCATCTTTTGTGTCTAACACTCCTTAGGCCCATTGTAACTTGGTCAATTCAAGGCTTCTCAGATTGGGTGACCTCTTGAAATGAACTCAGGGTAATGTAGCGGCCTGGGTTATAGTTCTTATTGTCCCGTGTCGCTTCAAAAGATCAGGCATGAGGCCGTAGTACGGCAAGCTACACGTGCCAATTTACAATAACTCATGCCAGGGCGTTTCCGCTGGTTGCCAGGTCAGCAGATCCAGCAGAGTCAATGGTTTGTGAAACCATGGGAAGTTAGTGTTTGGCCCGAACTTCAGATCAGAGACTTGAAGGCCAGCGGTTGGGGGATTGTTTATACTCAAGGATGCCAGTGCGGGAATAAAACACAGGTATTTTCCCCTCAGGCTGCACCTATGGATCGGTGTGAATGATGCAGTGGGAGTTTGATGTGGACCCATCTATGAGATGGCAGTAGCAAAGTACATACATACATGCTGCATACACAGTAAGACCTGCATGGCTTTCCAATTTGATGTCTCCTTCCCCTCCAGAGAATAACTATTGTGTAATATCAATGGTTGTGCACCACTAACTACTGCGTACGGAGTAGTGAGTAACTTACAGACACGGGACTACGGAGGTGTGGGGGGAAATTGAAGATTGGAGCTTCTAGACTTTAGCGCATGGCAGGTGGAACCAGCCATTACACTTGTCCAACCCCGGACTACTCATCAAGGTCTATTTGCATGTGCCTCACTGCATAAGTAAACATACATCCACTCATTGGGAAAGCCCCCGGGGAGGGGACTAGAGCGAGATCCAGATTGAAAGAGAGATGAGGGAACAGGTGGCCAGTCATGTATACGTGAACTTCCATGAACACAATGATTCTATTCATTGCCCCCCTCTCTTTTCCCCCTCCTTCCTCCGGCCCTTTGCCTTGACTTCTGCTCTTGTTGGTTATATTCACATCATATGTGATGTGATGAGCATTCAGCACGGAAACTCCGTCCGGTCTGTCGAAATTTGTATGCATTGTTGAACTCAGTCCTACTCGTATGAAATCATACCATAAATTGATAGAGATGCTCAGGCTAACTCTCGCATTTGCAAATCGTATTTTGCGAAAGTGGGTAAGTGGTCAAGCCATGCCCTCCTCTGCTGATATTGGTATTCAGAAGGTGTCACAAAATCTTGTGCAGGTCGTATGATGGATGAAAAAGGTAGGTTAGTTAGAAAACAGGAACGACTCAACCATTGCCCTGAAACTTGTGGTAGTGATTCACTAGCAATGTCGCAGATAGGTAAGGAAGGAGCATCAACGCCGGCGCGCCCTGGGTCATTCTCCTTTCTTCAGTTGAATTGGTCGTCCTACTTGTTCTTTTGGCGTGCTACTGGAGATCTAGGCCTCTCCGTCCCTCAATTCTCATTTCCTCCCTCTTTTCTCTCCTGCAGCTCCCCGCCCTTCTTGTACTAAATTCTAAAGACATATTAGAAACTGCGGACTCACGACCATCTATCAGGCCCAAGTGATAGTGACCACAGAATGAAGCTTCACTACGCTTCCATTTGCCCTCCTTGCCGGCGTAACCTCAGTCGTGGCTCAAGGCATGGACAGTCTCCCAGCATGTGCTGTAAGTGTAGCATCCATCATAACCATCGTGGTATCCGTCGTTGGCTCAAGGGCTGTCTGACCCTTCGGTGATACTATGCAACTATTATAGAGAGACTGTGCTACTGGTTCTATTCCCAAGACCTGTCAGCCTATCGATGTTGGATGTATCTGCCATACCAAATCTTTCATCAGCGACATGTCCTGCTGCATCGCCAAATCTTGCTCATCGCAGGATCAACAAGGTATATTGCGCATTGTCCATTGAGTCTCTGGTCTTGCCACGTTCCCATGATATCATTTCGGGTGTGAAGAACGATCCGCTAACGGCAACGTTAATCCGCCCAGCTGCCCTTAGCTTCGCAATACAGCTCTGCAGAGGTGCTGGCGTTACCGACCTGCCTAGCAGTGCTAGCAGTGCTAACTCAGCCACCACGAACAATGATGTCACCAGCACCCCAACAACCTCCTCTGCGGACAGTACCTTGGGAGAAAGCACTGCCTCTGTCACTACCACCTTCACAGGTACCAACACTCGTTCTGCATCTGGAATACCCAGTCAGTGATCGTAAGAAAAACCAGTGCTGGAAGTATTTCTACTGCCACGAGTGCTGGGGTTCCGCTCTTGCCGGGTGCTGGTGCTAGCATGTTTGCGGTCATCGGCATGGCTCTCTTTGTGTTTATCGCTTAGGTGAGGCCTACGTGCAATGATGACCTGGGTCCGAATGCAAGCTTGATGGGATGGGCTTGTCGAATCTTTGTGCCCTTTATCTTAATAATGTGATTTTCTAAGGTTCACGAATACAAGTCTCAACATTGTTGTCTTGAGGTTTGGTGGGGAATGGATGCATCTTGTGCGGCCCGATAAAAGGATAATGCCTGTGATATGCGGTGCAGGCTAACTCGAGCATGGCTTCTGTGGAATTCCACTTACGTTTCGAGAACTTCCTTGTACATGTTACGGAGACAGAGCTATTGGCCGCGCTCCAAAAACCTCGAACTCACTGCTTGTTTCTCTTCCCGAATGGTGACGGAGATCTGGCATAAATGATCAGTCTGATACTCAAAGCTCAGATGAAAGTGTTTTCCAAATATTTTCCGCCGAGAGTGTGCCGAAGCAGAGGAAATAGAGGTAAGGGATAAAAAACCTACCCAGAGCCAGAACATCATTTCCATGAACCCAAAGGTGAATGTGACTGGACTCTTGAGTTGGGCCACTGTAGACACGTTACCGACACTTTCTATGCCAGCCCACACGGACGGTTGGCACTGAAAGATGTAGAAGGAGACGGCAAAGAAGACGCAAAAGCGAGCGGCGGAAAGGAGTGTCCAGATTTCAGAGTAGAGCGAGCCAAGCCGAGCCATGAAGGGATTCGCGCGCATGGCCCCGGCCACGGAGCCCGGGGCATGAGACCGTGCAGCCTCCGCCATTGCGAAGACTTCATTGATTTGAGGGATTGTGTAGACAAGGACGAGGTCGATAAGGGCGTCGATGATAAGAAGAATTCCGCACAGGGCGTAATGGGGTTGAGAAAGGGAGAACGATGATGGCGCATCCTAGCCAGAACGAGAAAGAGGTTGTATTAGCAACCGAGTCCTTTCCCCGAGGATATGAGAAAATTATGAGAAGACGATGATACCAGTTGCAGAAGCTCTCCAAGCATGAGTACAACGTCGGATTCCGTGATGACTTCGGGTGATCTCATCAAATGAACGGCCAGAACAGTTAGTAAGAAGGCATGAGCTTGAATGAGGATTTTGGACGATATGAATCCCATGATAGATTGTATGATTGTGAGTACAGGTGATTGAGTGAAATAGGTGCAAACTACCTCCTAGCTTACTGGCTGAACATCATTGATTATTGTACTGCATGTTTTTCGAGGTTGAGAGAGCACAGCCGTCCGCCTGGTGTGGGGCTGCCTCCAACTCAAGTTCCGCTCGCCGACGGATCAGTAGAGCAAGAAAGCAGTCTCTTAGTTATGGGGGCGGCCGTGCGTTCGCGAAATCCTCTAGTTGAAGGAAGACGACAAAGCAGCTGTTCATGAATGTCGTCTGTTTTCCCACCTTTATTCATATTCTTGCCGCTGCAAAGTTCGATCGTCCACCTACAAAGCTTCCTTGGAAAGACCCCCTTCCCCCGCACCTGAGCCCAGGCAGTATCGCGAACCAACAAGGCTGACATCATGACCGAAATTACTTTCAACAGGGAACGGCACATCAAATACTTTCTCCGATGTCTCAAAACATACCTTCCAGAACCATATACTTCCAATGACTCCAATCGCATGCTTCTCGCCTACTTCACTGTTGCCGGTCTCGACCTCCTGGGAGTACTCCATGACAAAACCAGCCTTCAAGAGCGACAAGGGTATATTGACTGGATTTACCACTGTCAAGTACCTACAGGGGGCTTTCGGGGCTTCACAGGGGCAGACTTTGGGGTGGATTTCCGATCGCCAGCGAATGAAGCTTGGGATCCAGCCAATGTGCCGGCCACATTCTTCGCGCTTGTCAGTTTGATTATCCTTGGCGATGATCTGTCACGGGTGAAGCGCATAGAGTGCCTAGAGTGGCTTCCTCGGCTGCAGCGTGAGAACGGCAGTTTTGGCGAAGTTCTTGGGCCAGGAGGCAAGATTGAAGGGGGTGGTGACTTGCGATTTTGCTGCTGTGCGGCAGGAACCAGGTATATCCTGAGAGGGACAGGTGGCGCAGATTTACAAGGGCTGTGTGATATCAATGTATCCAAGTTAGCGGCCTTCGTTCAGGCTTGTCAGGTTGGGACTCCGATGTTCGATTGTGATTCCGCACTCGCACAACTTCTACGTGCATTACCGCTGCTAATACGCATGCTAATAAAATCATATGTTCAGGCTTACGACGGCGGGATGGGTGAAGCACCCTTTTGCGAAGCACACTGTACGTTCGATTTCTTCAAACCTTACTTTGATATCAAATATTCCACTTACCACGGTTGCAGCTGGACATACGTATTGCGCCATGGGTGCTCTTTCGTTTCTAAGTCGAATGGAAAAGGATCAGCCCCTACCACCAATCCTCTCACCTGCTGCCATAGAGTTCGAGTCCTTGATTCGTTGGTTAGTCGCCCGTCAGACGGCGGAGCTTGGCGAAACGGAGGACTCATCGGACGAAGAGGACGAACGTATCAAGCACAGCGAGAACCATTCATCACCACTGACAGTGGCAGTCAAAGGAGTTGACTCTGATACGGAGGTAGATGAGCTTCCAGTTCTTCCGCCGCTAAGAGAAGAGTCATTACACTGGGCCGGCTTCAATGGCCGATGCAACAAAAATGCCGATACATGCTATTCTTTCTGGAATCTGGCAACTCTGGTAGTGGGTACACCGAAATTGACTACCTAAAAAGCGTTGTCTGATCTCGTTCTCGCACACAGATGATGAACCGAATAGCTCTGGTTGACGCGTATCGTAACCGCCAGTACCTCTTGGGCAAGACGCAGCACATCATCGGAGGTTTTGGTAAGGGCGTTGGAGAACCGCCTGGTAAGTTTGAAATGAACCGACCCGTGATATCGCTTTCTTGCTCACTCGTGACTGTCTGCAGATCTTCTACACTCCTACTTCGGCCTCGTAGCCCTCGCATTCCAGGGCGAACAGGGCCTGGACGGTGTTGATCCAGCGTTGTGTATCAGCCAACGGGCAGTGAACCACTTGCACTCCCTTCCTTGGTGGCAAGAGAATGTTTGAGCCAGTAAATCCTAAACTATCGAACGACATATATTCGGGGCTTTGGAAGTTATACCCTTATTTCAGCCACATCCACCGCACACGGTTGGTAGAATATATGTGATGAATCAATGGGCGGACCACCGTGCCCGGGTTCCAGCATGTTCAATTGATCCCGAAACTTCTGATACTATTAGCTCGTGGCCCTGACAATATGAAAATGCAACCGTCATACGATCAGTGCCCCAAAACACATTAGTGGGGCATAGAAACCACCGGTGGAATAATATGTGTAGTGATTTAAGTAACTATGAGCATGAAGCGATCTCATGGTGGATTATACTGTTTCAATGGTTATCGAGCAGAACCTCCAACCTCAGGGGAAATGGAACGGAATTGGAGAAAGGAGGGTGCTTCGCAATGACGGATGTGAGTGGCCGAAGTCATTTTAGCGAGTTTTAGTCTTAGAGAGGGAAATTAGACTCACATGAAAAGATTGCCGGGCTGCCATTGCGGATGATGAAATGATGATTGAAAGCGGTTTGGCTTCAGGGGTTTGGCTGAGAGATATGGGTCTGACTCGCCGGGCGACTACTGTGTAGTGGTGTATGTACTGGATAGTGTTCCACCTAGATCGCTTTTCCCCCTTTTGTCTAAGCTTTGGCTTACAGTGTTGGGTAGTTACGAAGTACAGAGCGACACGCACGTTGGAAGTAATTGAATTATGACGCTGAACAAACGGCGATGACACCAGCGGTCCACGTTCCCACCCGGCTAGTAAATTGTGGCGGGCGATTAAGAATAAACTCTCGTTGAGTACAGCATTAATGTTTAAGACTACTGATGATAATGACTACGGATACTCTGTAGAATGAATAAATAAATCAGGAGAATGGCAGGAGAACCCTAGCCAAGATATAGTATTCATGTACAGAGAATTGTGTATAGCATGACTATCCGTACTCCGTAATTCATTGCTCCCCGTAACTATAGTGACGTTGGTCGAGTAATTTATGTAGTTACTCAATGCTTAAGTTACTGTGTACAGTACAGAATCTTCGGTCATGCACATGGCCATCCGCCCCCTGCCTGCTGCCGTCAGTGCCTCGCTGCTCTCTCTTGTCCTGTCTCTCAGTCAGTCACTTAATCATTTACTCTCACACTCACTCACTCACACACACTCTCTCTATCTCTCCTTCTCTCCCTCTCACGCTCTCTCTTTCCCTCATTACTGCAAAGCCCAGCTTAAAGAAACCCTGCCCCAACCCACTAATCTCCCCAGTTCATTTAAGTGATGTCCCTCCTTTTCTACAAACCCTCGATATTGACCTGAATTCTACTCCCATTTTGGGACTCGTTGCCCTTCAAGCTAGCTTCCTATATTTGTCTTGCTCTCTCCCTCCTTGTGCCCTTGAACCCGGAGGGCACCCACCGCCGCCCCCCCTTCCCCTTCCCCTTCCCCCCACGTCCACAAATTGTGTACTACTACTGGGGGTTATCTCAATTGGTATGTGTTCGTCTTACTCACTGAATCGATCCTCTTTCCTCCGTTCTCCATTCGAGATTCTTCCGAGTCATAGATTGACTTATGTTTTTGTCTACCCATCCTAGGTCGTTTCGTCATTCCTCTTGTCCTCCGGGCCCCATCAGCTTTCGGCTCCTACGGATATCGATACAACTACTTCCTTCTTCCCTTTTCTCCCACCCCTTCTCTGCGCCTCGATCTCTTTGGTAACAACACCGACTGGACTAAGCTCCAATTTCCGTCATATACTCCGCTTGAACTTGAAGAACATCCGTCTCCCGCCAAATATACAATTGCGCTGAACGTTGGCCCCCTTGACTCTCTATACCACTATAAATTTACACTTTCCCGCAACGGCCGCGAATTCCGATTTTCCTTGCCTGCCGCTCAAACGCCGTTCCCTGTCAGACGTCTCTTCGACTCTTTCACATCGAGACATCGTCTGCTGGATGGATGGAGGTCCCAGCGGTCTAGTATCTAATCGCTGATCGACATAATATCGCGAGGATTCTCAGCTCTCCGGATTATTCCCGGCTAGGCGGAGGTAAACGCTTGAAACACATGCCACCTCCTAGGACAAGAGCGGAGGTCCAGGCCCAGAAACAAAAGGAAAAGGTATGTGAAATGATTGCTTGCTGTGTCTTTTCAAGCGTCACCTATGATGGCAATGAACCCGCGTAAGGAGAGCTGTTATGCACGCTTTCTGTTAACGGCACTTCCACTTTCCGCCGCCTCCCCCGCGCCCCCGCCCCCCCCCCTTCCCCTTTCTTCTCTCTCTCTTTTGTTCTCTTTGAGACACAATTTCGGAGCTTGATACTAACGGGAACCCTATGCGACATGATAGCTTGCTCAATCATACCATGAGTTATTAGAGTGGGTACCTACTCTGTTCATAGATTAAGTCGGTAATATCGCTAACAAGATCTCATGTTCGTAGGGAATTCTCCTCAAAGGACCTTCGGACGGTGGGCAACTATACACTTGGGCGGTTGATAGGAAAGGGCTCTTTTGGCAAGGTCTATCTTGCCTCGCATAAGCTGACCAATGGTTCCAAGGTAAGGCTTACTCCAATTTGTCGGCGATGTTTAGGTTGAACTAAGACATATTTTGTAGGTTGTACTCAAGTCCTCAGATAAGGAGGATAGGAACCTAGCGCGCGAGATTCACCACCACCGTCAGTTTCTCCACCCCCATATTGCTCGCCTGTACGAAGTCATTGTGACGGAGAATCTGGTATGGCTAGTGCTGGAATATTGTGCAGGTAAGCGCTGCTCGATTACTCGCGATCCGCACCTTTGACAATGTCAGGCGATGAATTATACAACCATCTTCTTCAACATGGCCCTCTTCCAGTCGAAAAGGTCAAGAAGATTTTTACACAATTGGTTGGGGCTGTGGCATACGTTCACAGCAAATCGTGTGTGCACCGCGATCTCAAACTAGAGAACATCCTGCTTGATAAGCACGAGAATGTCAAGCTTTGTGACTTCGGATTCACAAGAGAATATGAGGGCAAGGCAAGCTATCTGCAGACATTTTGTGGCACGATATGTTACAGTGCTCCTGAAATGCTGAAGGGCGAAAAATATGCCGGCGAGAAAGTGGATGTCTGGAGCTTAGGAATCATTCTGTACGCATTGCTTGCAGGCGAGCTCCCGTTCGACGATGACGACGATAAAATCACCAAAGCCCGCATCCTCAATGACGAGCCGCTGTATAATGAGAAATTCCCCAATGATGCGAAAGCCCTCATCAATTCGCTTTTGTCAAAGCGGCCTCTCATCCGGCCAAGCTTGGATGAGATCCTTGCGCATCCGTTTCTCGCTGAGCATGCGTCGGAACAGCTCGCAATATTGAAGATTCCACGTCCGGCACCATTTTCGACCCCGCTTGAGAAGACAACTTTACAACGCATGAAGAGTGCGGGCTTGAACATTGATGATGTTGTGGAAAGTGTTCTCTCTCAACGCTGCGACCCACTCGCTGGTTGGTGGGCATTGCTGATAGAGAAAGAGCAACGCAAGGAACGCAAGAGGGAGCGTAAGCGTCGAGAACGTGAGGCTGAGGCCAAAAATATTCGCCGTCTCAGCGCAGCGAGCAGTCGGTTGGAAAAGATCTCTGCAGCTTTGGTTGAAGTAGACGAGGAGGGACACGCATCTTCGGACGGCCCTTTGCAAGAGCGTGGGCGTAGGAACAGGCGGAGCTTACCATCTCAACTCGCCGTGCCAGAATTGGCCATGCTTCCTGAGCCAATTCCCGTGCAGTCTCCAGACTCTAGCGCGCCTCCTCCACCTATTGACAAAGACTCCGTCCGCTCCGCAAGCTCCACTCGACCACGTCCAATTCCGCCTCCCAAAGATCACGCACGGCGGCCGAGTACTTTGCACGCCAGCGCCTCGCAACCGGAACTGGCACAACACAACGGCCTCTTCAGAAGGCGTACTAGTCGTCGTCAGTATCCAATCATAAGCCAGTTAGCATCACTGAAACACTGGTTCGTGGAGTCGGCAAAGAGGGCCAAATCACCACACGCAAAGGTGTCGGGCGCACAAGGTGGGCATCGCAAATTCCTATCGGAGAGGCTAAGCCCAGGAAAGGGACAAGAACCTGGCAAAAAGCCGACATCCTCGTCCACGGCTGCTGGATACCAAGGTGACTTGTTGACACCGACTCAGGTGAAACGCTCATCGAATGCTAGCAGCTTGGCTCCAAGCAGCGCTTCATACCCAAACCACCGTCACTCTTTCCCCCGGCAACCTCGACCCCTGAGTACAGGGCAAACCCATAGAAATTCTCTATCGCCTTCCCCGATCACTCCAAGGGGCTCTTACCGGCGGTCATCCGCGGGTTTGCGTGGACGCAAGTCGACATCTTCTTCTGTCTCCTCGATCCGCAGCATACATCATACTCATACTCATTCCAAAGCCTCATCGGTATCCTCAAACAGCATCGGATCGGCTTCGACACCGACCGCTCGTATCACCAAATCACCTCATTCTTCTGTCAAAGTCCTGCCTACCACTCCGAGCGCCTCTGCTCGCTTCCCAAGCAATATTCGCCTGGTCCGAGGCACGCAAGCTGGAATCCGTGACATGGACGACCACAACGGAAGACTTCACTCGGTGTTCAACGAAGCAGCCCCGACGCCGCTGCTCTATTCCCCTTCCTCGAGTCTTGTGTTTGCCCGTCGCAAACGATCCGCATTCAAGGGTCCTATGATTCATACTGCAAACTTGATGGTATCTGGTGGTGTGGCTGCTTCGCAGTATCCTCAAGTAGATTATGGCGCTGAAGATCCTGTCGTCGCGAGTGCCCCCCGGCCCGCAGCACGGAAGAGTCAAATCATTGAGGAAGAGGAAGACTTGGAAGAAGAGATTGAAGAGGTTGATACTTTCAGCGGCGTGGAGGATGAGCCAGGCTCGCCGGCTGATTTAGTCAAGTCGAGCGATTGCCATGGCCATGAGCAATTGGACGGGTCTCTTCGTGAGCCGACTCGCAAACCCGCTCTAGCGCCTGCTCCAGATCTCGACGCCAGCCCTCGCCCGCCCCGCTCGTCCTCGTTGACAACGCCGCCGTTCTCAACAGTTACCGAATAGACCCTACTCCTTGTGATGCAGATCTCTTGAGATAATCGCCTGTGCGATGCAATGTTGAGACTTTTCGGGCAATTGCAGCCGAGCATACTGGAGTTCATCTTCGCATGATTCGATACGTTTTACACATTTCAACATACTTATACCCCCTTCTGCGTCTTTGTGGTGCTAGTTTTTCTTTTTGGACAGAATTCGATTCCCGATAGGTCGCTTTAAGATGGCAATGTTATGAGGAAAAGGCTTAAGAAGGATTCAAAGGCTATCCTTGCCCACTAGATACCTCCTTTCCTGACCCTTGTCTCCAGACTCTCTTTGACCTTCGGAAGGCTAGCCTTGCATTCTTATGGCATATACCACGTCATACTTATTACACACCTCGCGCAGATTTCATTTGTACTCTAATATGATATCTTACCTACCTTTCTACCTTGTTAGATCTGACCATGTTCTTCTTGGCGCGGTTAGAATTATCTTATGATATCCAGTCTCGTCGTAGATGTTCGTTGGGTCTTTAAATATCTCCTGTTCGAACTATGATTTCCAGTCGGTAGAAATTAGTCCCCAAATGAACCATGAGTTTCATACATCTGGTGTTGCACGCATTGCCTCGGTTATAATATAGATCGCTTGGTGCTCTGCGTTTCCGAAACTTCTAAGGAATAATTTGTGGACGAATCGAGTTGGAAGTTTTCACAATTTCTCAATCCATAATACTCGCACTGAAATCGAGATGTAGTCTCGATGTTTCTAAGTTGGAAGTCCACATCGTAAAAACCATGTGTGCCGAACTAAGCACAAAAAGTCTCCCAAATACATCAATAAAATAATTGTTGGGGCATGACTATGGCTGGACTAGACCCAAGGAGATAAGTAGGTCTTGCATACACCGATGATTCCGCTACCATTGTGTGATGACATTGCATTGCCTAGATAGCAACAATTCCTCAGTCCCTGTCATCACCCGATCTTGGCTATAGTTCTTTCCTCGAGATCTTTTGTCATAACATTCTCCTCCCGAAGCCCCACTACACTGTTGTAGACCTTATCCACGGTCTCGCAATACGCAGGCACAATATTCACTGCCCAAGCATAGGTCAATGCGACGACGAAAAACATAGTCGGGACAATCATCGCAAAACCAGTACTGTTCCGCATGTCCGCCACTCGGCCGAGAATAGGGGGCACGACTGCTCCACCGCAGACAGCACCCACGATGAATCCCGAGGCCCGCTTGTAGTTCCTACCCAGGCCACATATACCGAGCGCGACGATCGTTGGGAAGCAGACCGATTCGAAAAAGAGAGTGCAAAAGAGCATTGCTAGTAACCGGCTAATCAGTATGTTTAAAGGGGGGAAAGATTGTTGGGGTTGGGCGGGAAAAGCAAGCAAAACGCAAGGAACTTGCAGCGGCCACAGAGAGTGAAAGTGAACGCGGGGATGACGGGGCACATACCGACGCCTGTCTGGTCGTGCTGTGTTGTCGATGCCGCGATGAAGGCAACAGCGCAGGACAGATACACTAAGAACACCCAACGAGCTTTTGCAAACCTCATAATGATGGCACCAATGAAGCGACCAATCGCAAATACACCCTGGGCACCCGCGAGATACTTGGAGGCTGTGGCACTGGAAGTGCCTGGCCAGGTCTCCGTCACGTAATTAATGAAGTAACTGGCGATGGCGACTGAGAATTTCCAGGATTGTCAGTTCACAAGATAAGGCAAGGGTGTACATAGAGAATGTTGAACTGTACCTTGTGCACCAGTATAGGTAAATTGCGCCAATGTAGCATGGAAGAGCTTATATTGCTTCCAGAGTGGCTTCTCCTGTTCGTCCGCATGTGTCTCGGCAATCTGAAAAGCCATGTCCTCGTCCGTCACTTCGGGGATGGCAGAGATGAAAAACACACCTGCAAGGATGAAGACGAAGATGCCAATTGCAAGGTAAACCCACTGTACGCGCTTGAGGGCATTCACGTCGTCGCCGATGGAAGTAAAGAAGACATATGAAGCGAGTACTGGGGCCACGCAGGTTCCGATACCATTGAAAGCCTGGGCAAGGTTGATTCGCATCTCAGCGTATCTGGGTGGGCCGCAAACTGGAAGCTCGTTTCAGTCAATGCTTCTCGCTTCTTCCATTAAGATCGTGGGAGGACGGCGTTTGAGGGTCGACGCCTATTGTACTCACCAGTAATGTACGGATTAGCAGCTGTCTCCAGCGAACCCAAACCAGAGCCAATAACAAAGGTGGCTGCGCAGAAGCCCCCGAATGAACGATGCAGGCCTGCAGGCCACATACAGAGAGCGCCGATGCCATATAGTGTCAGCCCAAAAATGAAAACAATCTTGTAGCCGTAGTGACGGAGCATGTAATTCGCATAACCCAGGGATGCCAGAGGATAAGCTCTTGTAGTTGTTAATCAGGCAGTCCTCTTCTTGACAGAAGTAAACCAGTGAAAGAATATGCTAACCCAAAATAAGCTGCCTGGAGCCCGGAAGAGCGTGTACGAGTTATGTGCATGGTATTCTGAAAATGTTTGTTGAGTGTGTCTAACAGACCATAGGCAAATCCCTACAGGGTGGGGATATATCAGAGGTGGCTATGCAGGAATTCATTATTGTGTTCTGAAAGCCTCACCCATAGAAAGAAAAGTGTTGTGACGAGAGTCAAGGGCCAGATACTCTGGCGCAAAGTAAGAGTGGCAGCAGATGTGGTTTTGCTGTTATCGACCCGGAGCCCAGTCCGGGTCTTCAAGAGTTGAACAATGCTCATTTGTTGAACGGTTGATGGGACTGCGTGTTTGAAGGAGGCACAACGACAAAAATGGCCAGAATAGAAAGACAAGAAAGGATTTTTGTGGATGGTTTCTTGGAAAATTGTAGAGAAAGACTGATAGAAGCCTTCAGGAGGGCAAGAAGGAGGGGTAATATTGTATGTTGGCTCTTCCACGAGCAATTGTAACATCTCTTGGTCCAAGTATCGGCGGGATTGGCGGGAGAAACAAGTCCAGATCATCCGGAGGAATGATTGTCTGGATCCAGTGTCTACCAGTAGCATTCCTCCAGATGTCCCAGCTGGTCAGCGTTGAAGGGGACGAGGCTGGAGGATGCATTCAAACAATCTGCCAGCTTCCCCGCACTCTGGAATTTAGGCTGAAATTGTAACCCCATCGGTAACCGCCTCTCGAAATGAGAATTCATCATGGCTTTTCGCTCAACGTAGCTAGCGGTGGTCACAATGGCCGGGGTGAGAATGGCTGGTGTGAAAGGATCTGATGTGTTGTTGGATGGTGTCAAACCAGGGAGGCGGACCGCGTGCATGTCACGGGATCAAATATCCATCTATGAATACCCAGGGTAGAAGAGATCTCTCAGCATGAAGGAAAAAAAACAGCAAGTCAATTGCAAAGTGATCAGACAGGAAAAGTCTAAGTACAGTGTCCGCATCATTTATGAAATGAAACTCCGTTGCGCTCGTGGCTGTAGATATCTGCTTGTTTCCCTCTTCTTTATACGTCCCAAACCATCCAAAGTTTCACGTAAAATGCTACCCACTGTTTATGGCAGAATCACAACCACGAAGGAATTGGAAGGACATGAAATCTATATATCGTCAATGGCGACCACTGGCATCTCGATCATCATTTCATCGCCCATCCAATCACGCCCTTTTGGGCTTGCCATTTTGTTCTGCAGGTGCGGCTGCAGGGATGTTGTTGTATAGGCGGCGCTCCATCACCTTGAGAACCTCGTCGATGAAACTAAACTCGGTCAGATGAAATCACATGCCGAGGGAACGGAGATATCACTTACACAACAGGAGCACTGATAGCCAAGACCGCCCGCCACTCAATCCAATCTAAGGGCAGGATAAAGAACAGACCCTGCAGGAAGGGGACATAAAGAATGGCAAAGTGTAACGACATGGAGAGGATGATCGCATAGACCAGCATCGGGTTGTTCGACAGGCCGAAGGTGAAGAGTGATTCGCTTGAGGAGAGGGCGTTCATGGCGTTCAGCATTTCAATCACGACGAGGATCGAAAGCGACACAGTCGATGCGGAGCGCGACATATCATTGGTAAACATCTCACAACCGACTTCGGGGAACTGGGATGAGCACTTGTGGAAATGAGACTGTGACAGTAGGTTAAATGACCAGTCAATGGGAGATAAAGAGGAGCCGAGGGCGGGCTTCTTACCAACTGCCAGAACGAGATCTGAGGTCCTTCAGGGTTGTAGACAAACCACCAGACGTAGCCAAACACAGTAGCGGCACCCACATAGGTGCCAATGACCATATACCTGAAAAGAAGCCAGCCGCCAACCAAGGGTTCATCACGCTTTCGAGGGGCGCGTCTCATAACATCATGATCAGGAGGGTTGAAGGATAAAGCCGTAGCTGGCAGCCCATCGGTAACCAAGTTCACCCACAGAAGCTGCACGGGAATGAGAGCCTCCGGCATGCCCAGGGCTGCAGTCAGAAAGATAGACACGACTTCACCGATGTTTGATGAGATAAGATACCGGATAAATTGCTGCGTGTTGCTGTATATCGAACGACCTTCTTCAACAGCTACGGTGATAGTCGCGAAGTTGTCGTCAGCGAGCACCATATCAGCAGCAAGCTTAGCAACGTCCGTGCCCGTACCCATGGCGACGCCAATGTCCGATTTCTTCAAAGCAGGAGCGTCGTTGACGCCGTCTCCAGTCATCGCAACAACGTGACCCAGAGATTGCAACAGATCGACAAGCTTGGACTTGTGGCTAGGCTCCGTACGTGAAAAGAGAGACGCATTCTTGACAGCTTCAAGTTTTTCGTTGTAAGAAAGGCTGTCAAATTCTCTTCCGGTGAAGCTTTTACCCTTCAAATCTTCATCCTCCTTAAAGACACCGATTTGGCGGCACACAGACTCAGCAGTATGGCGATTGTCACCAGTAATGACGATCACACGAATGCCAGCCTGCTTGCACTTCCGAATCGAGGCAGCAACCTCCACTCGTGGAGGGTCCAGCATCGCGACGAAGCCGATGAGAGTCATGTTCTGTTCCAATTGCGCATAGTCTTCAGTAGTTTTGGCACTGTGCAAGAGAGGATTGGTGCCAATAATGTTTAGGCTAGCCAACGCGATCACACGCAGGCCACGATTGCCGTATCCAACTAGTTCTTCAGATAAGTGGTCCAGGTAATCCTTTGTCAGTAGAACGCGTCGCCCATCAGCACCGACAACGACATGAGAGCAGCGCTCCAAAATGGACTCCGGTGCGCCCTTAACAAGGAGCTTCTCCTCTTTCCCAGTGTCAACGAGAACCGACATACTCTTCCGATCACGAGAGAATTCATACGTCGCCTTGAGGGACAAGCGAGTTTCGTAATGAGCACTAACGGCATGAAGCCTTTGGGAAGCAGGAAGACGAAGCAACTTAGCGTTGGTAGCAGAATCCTCAGTGCCGATTTTCTCGACCAGAACGCGTAGAGCACCTTCAGTGGGCTCACCAATGCAGGAAAATGCGCCAGTTTTAGCATCATAAGCGAGTGTTGCGCTATTGCAGCGAGCCATGATCTCTGCCATCTGCCGGATGGTAGACGAAGAAACAGCAGAGTCTTGCAATACCTTGCCCTGATGAGAAATTTTACCTTCAGGAGCGAAAGTCGTACCTTCGACATTGATTTCCTCGACGCCGTGGCCTGTCTCATTCAGAAAGATGATTTTCTCTGCGCTCATTTGGTTGGTAGTCAGAGTGCCAGTCTTGTCGGAGCAGATCACACTGCAGCTACCGAGTGTTTCGACCGACGGAAGTGAGCGAACGACCGCATTCTTCTGAGCCATCTTGCGCGTACCAAGAGCCAAACATGTGGTAATAACGACTGCCAGACCTTCTGGAATAGCTGCCACACCCAGAGACACCGCAATCTTCAAGTAGTAGATGGCTCCCTTGGTCCAGCCACCGTGGGAAGGTTCGTTGAAGTGCTCAATGTTGATGACCCAGACCAGGACACAAATGACAGTAATCACCTTGGCAAGCATGTCACCAAAATCATCTAGCTTTTGCTTTAAAGGAGTCGGTTCCGAGATTTGAGAGGTGATGCTCTCATGAATATCACCAATAGCCGTCGATCCACCCGTCAAAACGACAATAGCTGTAGCATGTCCGTTGACAACAGTCGTACCCGAGAAAAGCATGTTGACTTGATCTTGCTTAACCGCTTGCTTGTCCTGAATGGTGCGAGCATCTTTGGCAACGCTTTCGCTTTCGCCGGTGAGGATAGCCTGGTCCACACGAAAGCTGTTGCTATGAATAGCCAGCAGTCTGCAGTCTGCGGGTACACGGTCTCCAACGGCGACGTGGACAATATCTCCGGGAACTAAATCTTCCGCTTTGACGCGCTGGGTTTTGCCGTCACGCACGACTGTGGCTTCATTGGCAGAATATTCCTGGAGAGCAGCAATGGCTTTTTCCGCGTTGCTTTCTTGGGTAACACCAACCACGGCGTTGAGAATCAGAATGGTCAAGATCTAATGTACAAGACTCAGTGTTAGTGAGACGAACGGAATTGCAGCATCGAGGTAAATTCTTAGCAACTTCTAGCAACATACCACGACAGGGTCGACGAAGGCAGACCAGTCGTCGCCTTCTTCAAAAAGAGCCAAGATGAAAGATAGGGTAGCCGAGCCCAGAAGGATAAGAACCAACTGGTCTTTGAATTGTTCGGCAACAAGCTGCCAAAGGGGCGTTGGTGGTTCTTCCGCAAGAGCTGAATAACAAGATTAGGGTCAGTATGCTTTGAAAAGTGCCGTCTTTCCTTGTGGTGATTATCGACCGTGGACATGGTGGTAACCTACCGTTGGGGCCATGTTTCTGTCTAGCTTCCAAAACCTGATCCTGCGACAGACCAGAGCTCTCTGTGACACTAAAATGATCCAGCACGTCCGCTGGGGAGTAAAGGTACGATTGCTCCATGTCGGGCAAGCCCCCCAATTATTTGCGAGGGTGACCAGGAGTGGGAGCAAGGAGGGGAAGGGGAGGGGGGAAGAAGGGAGGATGGAGGAGAAAAGAGGAAGAAAAGAGGTGAAGGGACTTGGGGATGAGGAAAGAGATCGGGGATATAACCCAGATCAAGACATGAACGCCAAGTGGCCAGAAACCCCGGGGCTTGGTGAGAGATAAGTTAGTAAGTTTAGTAGGTTAGTTAGTTAAACAAGTTCCTTAGTGAGTTAGCGTGGAAGGACCTAAGCAAAAGAAGGATGGAAAGTCCGTGGGCCGAGTGCAATTTATATGCAAGACAGCCGCAGGGTATTATAGGAGCCAATTATGGTCGGACTTCAACAAGCACGAGGGCTCTTTGTGGGTTCCGACTTGAAAATTAAAACTTGGAGAGTACCTATTAATAACACTTCAACAATTGATATTGGTAACTCGGAAATGATGGATGATTGATGATAACTGCAGGCTGGAGGGGGGGAAGCGGTGGTTTCCTAGAAAGCGGCCAGTTTCTTTGGTCCCCTCAGGCACTTTTCAACGTGTTCTCCTTGGCGGGCGTCTGTGTCTGGCTGGGTCCCCTCTAGTCGGTCCCCGGGCGGGCGCGGGCGTCAAAATTGCCGATACGAAATCGGCAGGGCTGAACCATACCATACCATCCTGGTGCTTTCGACCAGGGATTCATTACTATAAAAAATCAGAGTAACAGATCAAGTAACATGCCTTGACGGTACCGGTACCATACCCCGCTGGAAGGTTTTGCCTCCACTTTACTTGGCCGAAGCACTGAGTCAAACCAATACGTGACTACGACTCGACCACTGGACACTCCACCCACCCCTACGGAAGTAGAATAAATGATGATGCCTTGCACCCCGCCGAGCTCATTATTCTAACTCCTGGGATTTGGCTTGTAAGAGGCTGCAAACCTCGTACTGTACTCCATACTCTGTAGACGATCTCTCTGATTACAGAATCTCATTAGTGTGCTCAACCAGTCTTCCGCTTTTCGTAACTGGGCACTGGACTTACACAGTGGAAAGCCAGACCTTGAGCCCCCCGGTGACCGGAGCCTCAAGTTGCCTCGTAGGGGAGAAGATACACCACCAAGGGTCCTTCGCCCGACGAGGCATACTTCCCGGTGGCTGAATGCAGTTTGAGCACTGGTTCGTTTCACCGGCGAGTAAGTACCTGAGCTTGATGCACTGTTGGGTAGAAATCAGTCCCATCAAAAGTCGCCCTGCCATCGTTTGACAACAATTCTTAGCTTGCTTCTATGCTCTTTATGCTGGGGGCTCTCGATTCAACAGCAATACTAATTTGCTTCGTGCAGATGAATGATCATAGTCTTGTCACTAGGTCAATCATATGTCAAGTAAAGATATGTGATTATCCCTCTATTAACTGACATACGCAGGTAGGCATTGTTTCAAAAGGCGTAGTGATATGGAGACAAAGTAATTGATTGACCGACAAGTCTAGGATGAGGTAATGTATTCCCGTGACCAGGAGAAACAAGCAGAAACATGTGACTGAAGAGCGCGTGACTGGAGATGCAGTCTGCTGCCTCAGGCAGTTAGAGACAAACAAACATAGCAAACTGGCGAGGCGCCCGCTTCTCGCTAAAGCTGGCTGGTCGTCACCTTCACCGTCCATTGCTCGTTGCTGTGAAGATCACATCTGCCAGACTACTCGTGATTTCATCCTCATCCCATCCCATAACCCGTCTGTCCGTACTGTACTCGGACAGTTCAACTTTCACTTCATTGCCTTGTCGACTACTTTTGAGCCACCGAACCCCGTTTGCATTACCAGTGTCAGATCGCCAAGTATGACTTCTGAGGTATGTTGTCCCTCCATGCTCGTCCACCCCTCCCCCTCTCAAAGCCTGACCCCTTCCCTATGCTCTTCATTGTAAGCATCGAGGCTGGCGGAAAGAGTTCTATCTCTCCTTATATGTACTCGGTGTTTACTTATCTGGTTTACCAATATTTAAATCTTTTGCATGCGACTGGGATGTTGCTAACCTGTTCTTCCCCCTTTACCACAGCGTGAGAGGTAGGGACCTAAAGCCATTTCAAACAACCGCAACAAGCCTTCATCATCATGCTCACATGCAATTCTGTTCTTAGCAAGACGTTTCTCGCCCGCCTCTGCGAGCAGGCTGAGCGCTACGATGGTAAGATCATCTCATCTCCTTGCCATACGCTGTCGACGTGACGTGCTGATTCTCACTCTCTAAAGAGATGGTCACGTACATGAAGGTGAGTAACAGTCATCCTGTATATGAGTCTTGGAAAGTCATATCATGACTAACTATGTGTCAGGAAGTCGCCAACGTATGCTTCTCCTACCTTCGATCGACGAGAATTTCCTCCCTTGTGACCTTTCCCCCCTTTTGTCTGTCTAGCTGACACATACTAGATCGGAGGCGAGCTCTCCGTTGATGAGCGTAACCTTCTTTCCGTTGCCTACAAGAATGTGGTTGGTACCCGGCGTGCCTCCTGGCGCATAATCTCCTCGATTGAGCAGAAGGAGGAGACCAAGGGCTCTGAGAAGCACGTTTCCATCATCCGTGATTACCGTCAGAAGATCGAGACCGAACTCGAGAAGGTCTGCCAGGACGTCCTTGATGTCTTGGATCAGTCCCTCATCCCCAAGGCCGAGACTGGCGAGTCCAAGGTGTTCTACTACAAGATGTAAGCGTCCTCATTGAAGTGGTGAATTAGGTTCTACAATGGCGCCGGAGTTAATATATCTGCAATCCGCAGGAAGGGTGACTACCACCGCTATCTTGCCGAGTTCGCCTCTGGCAACAAGCGCAAGGTTGCCGCTACCGCTGCCCACGAGGCCTACAAGGCAAGCTTGCTTATAGTTCAGTTGCTGTCCTCGGAATCCCATATACTGACAGTTTTGTACTAGAACGCTACCGATGTTGCCCAGACCGATCTCACTCCCACCCACCCCATTCGTCTGGGTCTTGCCCTGAACTTCTCCGTCTTCTACTATGAAATCTTGAACTCCCCCGATCGTGCCTGCCACCTTGCCAAGCAGGCTTTTGATGACGCCATTGCCGAGCTTGACTCCCTTTCTGAGGAAAGTTACCGTGACAGCACCCTGATCATGCAGCTCCTACGTGACAACCTGACTCTGTGGACCTCTTCTGACGGCAATGAGGCTGAGGGTGCCACTGCTCCTAGAGAGGATAAGCCTGAGGAGGAGGCCGCTGCTGCCCCTGAGGATAAGGTTGAGGAGAGTCAGCCTGCTGCCCCTGAATCTTGAGCGGCGGATGCTCTCGATGTTGTAGCGAAAAAGCCCCCGTGCTGTGTCATCGGCGTGCCGGCTTGGATCGTGCGACTAGTGCCTTCAGTGCTTATGGCGGTCTGCCTTTGAATGCGTGACTGTTTGAGACCGGCACATGCCTTCGACTGTTTCGGGATCGTGTGGGTCTGTCGGCGGAGTTTGATATTTGGAGCGCGACGAAAAGGGGCTGAGTGGAATTTATCTCTCTTTTATTCTCCCTTTATTCCCACTCCAGCAAGATACAATGTCTTATTTCCAGTTCCTGATTCACTGCTGCCCCTTTTCCCCCTGTTGTTTCGTTCGCACAATGCCAAGAGCCTTGAGCTTCCCGAATGATCTTGACCTGCGTAATCCGCTCCGTGGAGACTTCCCTTGCAAACTCCTATCTAGTAACTCTACACGGGTCTTTCTGATGTCAAAATACACAGCATTGGCCATCTTCGATCGTCATCTACTCATCGACTACAACGTCTTCTGCGCTTCCCTATCAGCAGAATGTACACGGCAAGTTACTCTATTTTCAAAGCGTAAACAGTCCACTGATATGACGACCCTATCATTCCCCTAGCTCATGGCAACGGTCGTGGACTCGGAATATAGGTAGCTGTGCAAACGATAGTACGCTATCAGGGTAAAGCAAAAGGCCAAGAAAGGGCAACAGGGAGATGGATTTATACGAACTATACAGAAATGAGGGCACATCAAAAGGATGTCAGGATCGGTCTAATTGGAAATCTGGAGGGAATGAACCTGAGACTGAAACAATAAAGGAAATGTTTCTAGGGAAGGATGACAAAGGGAAACGGGTCACGCCTAGTTGAGATATTTACATGAAGTCATCGTCATCAAGACCATCATCATCATAAGAGTTGGAATCAATGTGGTTGTCTCTGGCAGCCACGAGAGAAACCTTGGTCTTGGCGGCCTTCGTCTTCTTGTTACCCTTGTCAGCGGCACGCTCCTCTTTCATCTTCTCGTTACTGAGCGTGGTCAAGCCGGAGGCCATCTTCTTCACGTCGCCACTGGGCAGCTCTTTGGCCAGCTGCTTGACAAATTCCTGCGCCCAGAGAGCATACTGGGGCTTCTTGGAGTGTGCCGTCAACAGGGGGATCAGGGCCGCGGTGAGTTGCGCGAACTGGTCCTTAGTGGTGGGTTTGAACAGCGGCATGGCTGAAAGGTCAATCGCCTGGGTAGGGTCAGCCGAGTTGCCGATGACGATAGCCTTGGGAGCACCGCGGTTGCGCATCCGGTTGAGGTCGATGTCGCCAAACAGGTCCTCGGCGTGCTTAAGGTCGGCATCCTTCTCCGTCTTGCGGAGGCGGGCGCGCCGCTCGGCTTCGTCCTCCTCGCTTTCTTCATCGTCGTCGGCTTCGGCCTGCGCCTTCCGCGTCGCCTTGTGCTCTTGTATCCGCTGCGCCTTGCTCTTCTTGTTGGCGGCCGCTTCGGCTTCGGCCTTGGCCTTGGCCTCAGCAGCCTTGGCAGCCTTCTCTCTCTCTACTTCGGAGTCTTCGGCAGCGTCCCACGAGTCGAGAACCTGAGAGATTGTAGTTTACCATCAGCCCCGGATCTTCACTCTAATGTCCGATTATTTTTCCGTTGCAAAGGCGAACCATATAGAGAACGACGAAAAAGCGACTTGCTCCACGGAACAATAACGTATCTCTCGTACAGTGACGATATCACCTGGTCGAATGACAAGGAAAGACGAGAAACAAGAGAGCCATTGTTCAAAATCGAAGATGATATATGGTACAAAAAACAAGGAAAAAGGAAAGACTTACATCGTCCTCTTCCTCATCGTCAAACTTGCGGCGGGCAGCAACGGGAGGGGGGGAGACGCTCTCCTCCTCATCATCTGATATATATCCAAGTCAGTAATGTGCTGTAATAAGACAAGCGTGGTGTCACTATGAATCCCACGGATAGGGGAGGGGGCAGTTGTAGTATGGGACACAAAAATCCTAGTTGTAGAACTTACCCCACTTTGAAGGAGCCATGACGGACAAAAATGGTTCGAGATAAGAACAGGAGGGTTGAGGTCGGAAAAGCAACCCCGCGTAGCCAGTCAAGGATCCAGTGACTGAGCGCCTGTCGTCAATGAGACTGGGAGTTGATGACTTGTAGCGATGCGCGTAGAAAAGAGAGGAGTAGGAAGCGTGACTGATTGAGTGCTTGATTGTCTCCGTGGGGCAATGCCGAAAGATCACGTGATGGGATCGGAAGGCCCGACACAGACATGACACCACATGCTGTGAAAGAGGAGGACAAGAGTGAACTACGTACTAGGAGCTAGGTCTCTTCCACTTTACATTTCTTCTACTATGCCAATCCTGATTTTGGGTACCCTGAAGAACAAGAAAAAAGTATTTTCTCCATTATATGCCACTAATCATTATATGGCCTTATATTCGTCATCATGAACATCGATCAAGGTCTTCCCTGACCGAATAGCAACTCGACCACCAAAAACTGTACGCAGTGAGGCGAGACCCATTAAAGGGATATCAGGAATTTCATAGGGGTTTGGCTGGAGGTGCGTCGAAATCATCGCTGCATTTACAACTGAACAGCAGTGCGGAACTTGTTGCCAGCGTAGATAGCGTTCTCACCAAGCTCCTCCTCGATGCGGAGAATCTGGTTGAGCTTGGCAAGACGCTCAGAGCGGGCAGGAGCACCAGTCTTGATCTGGCCAGAGCGGAGACCAACGGCGATGTCGGCGATGGTCACATCCTCAGTCTCACCGGAACGGTGAGAGACCATGACACCCCATCCATCGGCATACGAGTCCTTAGCAGCCTGGATAGACTCGGTGAGGGTACCGATCTGGTTGACCTTGAGAAGGAGAGCGTTGCAGGACTTGAGCTCAATAGCCTTCTTGATACGCTTGGGGTTGGTGACGGTCAGATCATCACTGTGATCGTATCAGCAACCGAGCAATGTGTCTTGATTCAGTAAACATACCCGACGATCTGGAAGTCAGAAGTCTTGTAGAAGTAGCTCCAGGCCTCCCAATCGTCCTCAGCGAAGGGATCCTCGATGCTAACAATGGGGTACTTGCTGGCGAGGGACTTGTACAGATCAGCCAGCTGCTCGTAGGTGAGCCACTTGGAGGGGTCGGACTCCGGGTTCTTGAAGTCAAGGTCGTACTTCTTCTCCTCGACCTTGTAGAACTCGCTGGAGGCGACGTCCATGGCGATGGAGATTTGGCCAGCGTATCCGGCCTGCTCAATAGCCTCGGTAATCAGGTCAAGAGCCTCCTCAGCGGTCTGAATATCAGGAGCAACACCACCCTCGTCACCAACATTGCCAGCGGACTGGCCGTACTTCTTCTTGGCGAGAGCCTTGAGCTTCTGGTAGACCTCGGCACCCTGGCGGAGACCCTCAGAGAAGGAAGAGGCGTTCCTGGAGAAACAGAGTTAGTCTGAGTGGTCCGTGCCAGCGCTCGACGACGGTAACTTACTCAGGGACGATCATGAACTCCTGGAAAGCAAGACGGCCACCAGCGTGGGAACCACCGTTGAGGACGTTCTGGAAGGGAACAGGGAGAACGTAGGGCTTCTTGGTACCAGCCAGATCGGAAATGTGGGCGTAGAGAGGGATGCCCTTCTCAGCGGCACCGGCCTTGGCGATGGCCAGACTGACACCGAGGATGGCGTTGGCGCCGAGGTTGGATTTGTTGGCAGTGCCATCGAGCTTGTTAAGGAATTCATCGACCTTGGACTGGTCCTTGACATCAAGGTTCTCCTTGATGACGGCGGGACCAATGGTCTCGTTGACGTTCTTGACGGCCTTCAAGACACCTGATCATGCTCGCAGATGATGTGAGCCAATGGCGCTAGGTTTGTGATGATGATTTAGAGATAATCAAACTTACCCTTGCCACCCCACTTGGTCTTGTCACCGTCGCGGAGTTCGTGAGCCTCGTGCTGGCCTAATCTCAAATGTCAGTTTCCCTAACCACTCGGACAGGAAGCAGGAAAGCTACTAACCAGTAGAGGCACCGGAGGGAACAATGGCGCGGTGAAGACCGGTCTCAGTGACGACGTCAACCTCGACGGTAGGGTTACCGCGAGAGTCGTAGACGGACCGGGCGTGAATCTTAGAGATAGGCATATTGATGGGCTAGAAAAGGCGGGGGATAGGGTTGATGAATCAGTTTTGACTGAAGAGAGAACGAGCAAATGGCGGCCAGGCTCTATTTATAAAAGAGAGACAGAAGAAGGGGGGATGGGAGCAGGAAAAAAACAATTGCTTTAGAATGGTTGTCTGGGTGTGGATGAGGGACTAGGAAGCGGGGGGTTTTCAAGTGGTTTGTTGTTCACCGAGCACCCAAAATGACTGACGGAGAGGAAGTGGAGAGGTCCGATGCAATCAACACGGCAGCCCGTTGATAATCATGGGTCATGATAATCACATAACATGATCGAACATAAGGGGACCCCAGGAGTGGAGCATAACTCCGTCAATCCCCAGTATTCAATGATGGGTTGGTAATGGAAGGTGGCAACCAGCAGTATTCTGTGTACGGTGAACTGTATGTATAGTTGATGGTTGATGGCGGGGCGGGGTTGAGCTGCCTTCTCTCGGAGAGGGAGAGAGAGAGAGAGAGAGAGAGAGAGAAAGATGGAGGGGTATTGAGGGGCATAGAGGGGCATAGAGGGGGAAGAGGGATGGGAAATGGAAGGGAAACTGGCCAAGTGAACCAAGCTGCATGAATGAAAATCGAACTTACCTAGAACAACTTGGGAATCAGTCAATTGACTAGGGAAAGAGAAAGGAGAGAAGAGAAGAAGAAAGAGGATGAGGAGGAAGGGGAAGAAGAAGCAAATCACAAGGAGGACAAGAGAGGATTCTTGTAGTATTCCAGGTTCCGATCATGTCAAGCTCTGGACAGGTGAATTGCCCCGGGAAAGCTCAGCCTCTGATCTCCTCATCCTCCGAATCTTTCCCATGGGATGGTGGGGCAATATTGTCTTACTCCTCTCTGCACTTGTCCTTCTCCAGCGAGATCTTCCGCGTACCCTCGGGGCAAGGCGGGAATGAAGACTGGACTATAGAGTACTGGTTAAGCACCAGGCATGCACAGTGCAGGGTATGAGAGGATGTGTGTCTCAGAGCACAGTGATTACTACTGACTTATTTCCTGTGCCTCTCTATACAATACAATAGATCCGGGGTAAATTTGAATAAGTTAATCGTAAGTTAGTAGGCCTATCGACCTTGGAACCCATACATAGATGCAATCAGCGACATCCAATGCAAGGTGGTACAAGTCTCTTCATTAAGAAGATAGCTGCATGCTGAGCAGTACTTCATACCACACCCATCGTGACTCTGGGTGACTTTCTGAGGTCTGGAAACTTCCATTGCGTAATAGACGAAAAGGTTACCTACACAGTAGTACCTAACTTACCCACTCCGCAGTACCCAGTTGTTACCGGGTATGACACCTTGATGCCTGAGTACAGCAGCCAAGTTTACGGAGTGCGTACGTGTGCGGATGTTTTATACTGCGGGCCGAATTGAGCCGCTCCGCCAGCCTCAACTCACAAAGTCCAGCCATCGATGACAGTCACGTGAGAGCTATTGCCACTTAACGCTCACAGTCACACGTGACTTCGAATGTGCCTCCGGGCGCCGAAGCAGCTCCTCGACAGCTCCCCCGAGCTTGGTTGGCGTGTTATCCCGCAGACTATCAAACATCCACTTCGCTCAACCCCTTCATCTACTATTGTCAATCCTCTGCTATTGTCCTTCTGCATTCCGGAACGCTTGGACACTCCCTGCGAAATCCGTGTTGTGTCCGGTACACCATCTCGCTTGACATCACCATCATCATCATGAACAGCGGCAGTGACCCCGAGAGAGACCAGGCCCTCGAAGACTACAAGAGGAGTCTATTGGAGCTACGGGAATGGGAAGCTAAACTCAGGTCTCTGCGGATGGGGATCAAAGACCTGCAGAGAGAGTTTGACATCTCTGAAGAGAACATCAAGGCCCTGCAGAGCGTTGGTCAAATCATTGGAGAGGTCTTGAAGCAGCTTGACGAGGAGAGATGTAGGTCTACTTGGAATCTTTTCATTTTTTTCAAAAGCGAAAGCTCTTAGACACGCCGAAAATGCTATCGCCGGCCGGAACATTTGCCAGCGTTGGCTGTACAAATACATATGCTGACCTTTCCAGTTATCGTCAAGGCTTCTTCCGGACCCCGATATGTCGTCGGTTGCCGCTCCAAGGTCGATAAGGCGAAGTTGAAGCAGGGTACCCGTGTCGCCCTTGATATGACTACATTGACGATTATGCGCATGCTGCCCCGGGAGGTTGATCCCTTGGTATACAATATGTCACTGGAGGATCCGGGTCAGATCAACTTTGCAGGCATTGGTGGTTTGAATGACCAGATCCGTGAGCTACGAGAAGTGATAGAGTTACCATTGAAAAACCCCGAACTGTTTCAACGAGTGGGTATCAAGCCACCCAAAGGTGTCCTGCTTTATGGCCCCCCGGGTACGGGTAAGACGCTTCTAGCACGAGCTGTCGCAAGTTCAATGGAGACCAACTTTTTGAAAGGTACGCATAGATGACACATATTACTGGGCGCAACTGCTAATCCTCTTTTTGTTTCTAGTGGTGTCATCTGCGATTGTGGACAAGTACATAGGTGAGTCTGCACGGTTGATACGGGAGATGTTCGGATACGCCAAGGAGCACGAGCCTTGCATCATCTTCATGGACGAAATCGACGCCATCGGTGGAAGACGTTTCTCCGAGGGTACCTCCGCGGATCGAGAAATTCAACGAACATTGATGGAACTGCTCAACCAGCTGGATGGTTTTGATTATCTGGGAAAGACTAAGATTATCATGGCCACGAACCGCCCGGATACTCTTGACCCGGCCCTGTTGCGTGCTGGTCGTCTCGATCGTAAAATTGAGATTCCGTTGCCTAATGAGGTCGGTCGCCTGGAGATTCTCAAAATCCACTCTAGCACTGTCAAGATGGATGGAGAGATCGATTTTGAAAGCGTGGTGAAGATGAGTGACGGTCTTAACGGTGCCGATCTTCGCAATGTTGTCACCGAAGCGTAAGTTTCCTCGGCTCGATTTTCCGTGGGGATCACGACTGACTCTTCTTCAGTGGTTTATTTGCAATCAAGGACTACCGCGACGCTATCAACCAGGATGACTTCAACCGGGCTGTGCGTAAGGTGGCCGAAGCGAAGAAGTTGGAGGGCAAGCTTGAATACCAGAAGTTGTAAATGCATCTTGATGAATGACTACCTCAGACTTAGCACTGTTTTTAAATTCTCTCTTGGCATTATCTGCCGATGTTGACGCTATTGATGTAACCTTAGAACGAAGTCCGTAGAGTTGCAAGAACCCGACACTATATATTTATCTCGCGTGCGAATTCAAAGTGCTAGCCTCAGGGACTACACGTAGACGGTAGTACTAGTAGTGGTAGTAGTAGTAGTAGTAGTAGTAGTAGTAGTAGTAGTAGTAGTAGTAGTATTAGTAGTAGTAGTAGTAGTAGTAGTAGTATTTTTTTGGACTTTGAGGCCGGGTGGGTAAGAATAGTGTGGCTCCACAGTCCACATAGTGCCGGGACACAGACCCTGGAATAGAGACCCTGCCCGGGGAAAAGATGCCCTCCAAAAGGTTCAGGTACATAATGTCTGGGCGGACATATCTCTCCAGGATGATGCATTAGTTAGTAACCTCTCAGAATGAAAGCAGCAAGCACTTGAAGCACTGAGGCAATGCATGAAAGATGCCAAGGCGGACCGAGGCCCCGAAAGACTTAATTACTTCCTTGGCCGGGGATCTGCATCCTTGACCCGGGAGTCGGAAGCATTACACGCGTCCAGCCCATCCTCACTGATTCTAGTCTAATCAGGTCAATCATGGCTGTTTCAGCCTACACGACACGTCTCTGGACACCTGTTCTTCATCTTACTGCTTCATGAGACAGGCAGGGTTGAACTACCTACCAGTATCTCTTCATTTGTCTGCCGATCTCTCTATATTACTGTCCGAATCGAGCAGTACTTGGGTCGCGATTTGTTGGTCGGTTTGTGAAGTCTTTCATTCTTGCTTGTTCATGATGTTCCTGCAATCTGTCCTTGACCTACACCCTACTGTCTCGTGCTCCTAGCATCTGGCTGACTGGTGCACTCGTTACATGTGCTTTACTCTTTAGAGGTTTCCACGTACCGTTCGACTTTCTTGCCTACCCACCTTTTCTCCATCCATTACCATCTCTTCATTGACGTTGAGCAAAACGAGCCCAAACAACCTGTAATCAGCTGTTCCGTTTTCGAGCCATCACTGGGAACAACAATATCTGTTCGTGGGGGCTTTTCATAACTTCCACATTTCAGGCCCGGGTAGAGGACAGATATAGTATTTTAGTAACAGAGGCCTTGGCGGCTCGGTAGTGGTCATGGCTTTCCAGGCCCCGCGGAGCAGTCCCTCTTTTCCCTCCCATCAACCATTTGAAAACAATCACTGGCGTGCGAGTCGAAGTCCCGGGTCTAACGGGTTGCCTGGGTATGGGTTTTCGCCGTCTGCGACCACCACGATCAACCTGAACGCTCCGATTGCCGGCGATCGCACACTCCCGATGTATAAAGACAAGCCGTATTTCGCCCCGCGACGCACAGGGTCCCGAAGTCGGCGAAGGAGGACAATCTACGGTGGATTATGCTTGGTTGCCCTACTCCTCTGGTGGTACTACTCGAGGCCGACCCGGTCGCAGTCGGAGACTCACGAGACTCCCGACTCAGCCAAAGGCGAGGAGCTCTGGAGTTGGCTGCAGAACTTTGACAGCGCGGAACCCACATATGACGGGAGCAGCGCCTTCTCGAAGATCATTGATTGGGATGCGAGGCGGGAGAAGGTTCGCGACGCGTTTATTGTCAGCTGGGATGGGTATGAGCGCAATGCCTGGGGTAAGTTGTTCAACTGCCGACAGAGCCCGGCTTTCTTTTTCCCTATTGCAAGTCGTCATCGCTAACATGGCATATTGGGGGTTCTCTGCTGAGCAGGCTACGACGAGTACCATCCCCTTGCAAAGGACGGCCGGTATATGGTTGCTGGGGGTATGGGGTGGATAATCGTTGATGCGCTGGACACGTTAATGATAATGAACTTGACCTCGCGGGTGCGGCACGCCCGCAGCTGGATCCAGAACTCATTACAGTATAATCAGAATCACGATGTCAACACTTTTGAGACTACCATTCGCATGCTTGGTGGTCTTCTTTCCGCTCATTATCTGTCTACCACATACCCGGATTTGGCCCCCATCAACGACGACGATACGGGTGCACCGGGAGAGGATCTGTATATTGAGAAAGCGACCGATCTGGCTGATCGACTCCTGGGTGCTTTCGAATCCACCACGGGCATTCCTTACTCCAGCGTGAATTTAAACACCTCCATGGGCATTCCCTCCTATATCGATGACGGCGCCGCTTCTACCGCAGAAGCGACTACTGTTCAGCTAGAGTTTAAATACCTAGCTAAATTGACAGGCGAGGCGGAGTATTGGCGGTCCGTTGAAAAGGTCATAGAAGTTATCGATGCGCAGAAAAGGAAGGATGGTCTGCTTCCAATCTACGTTTTCCCGGAAACTGGTCAGTTCAAAGGTGACAACATTCGTCTGGGTAGCCGAGGCGATTCCTACTACGGTATGTCCCTTGATAAAACGCGCTTGCTTGTTGTGTTTACGCTAATTTGCCACCTAGAATATCTTATCAAGCAATACCTGCAGACTTCGGAACAGGAGCCAATCTACAAGGAGATGTGGGATGAGGCTCTAGTTGGCATGCGCAAGCACTTGCTTACTTACTCGCAAAACGCTCGCTTGACAGTGCTTGGTGAACGGCCTCATGGGCTCGATGGCGTTTTGTCACCCAAGATGGACCACTTAGTCTGTTTTCTTCCCGGAACAATCGCTCTCGGAGCAACCGGAGGACGACCGCTTTCCGAGGCGCGCAAGTCTCCCAGCTGGGGCTTACGACAGGAGGAAGAAATTCGTCTGGCGCGAGAATTGACCAAAACCTGCTGGGCTATGTATCTAGTCACTGAAACTGGCCTTGCCCCGGAAATCACCTATTTCAAAGTCGACGACCCGCGAGTCATGGAAGCAGACATGTACCCGGATTCAACGGCTGTCACTGGCAATAACGACCAGCCTCTTTCATCCCAAGGCGACCTTCCTCTTCTTTCCAAACCCTTATATCCCGTTACTGGGACATCCGACCCAAATGACCCATCTACCAAGTCATGGCGTGATGACCTCGAAATCCAGCGGATGGACCGGCATAACCTCCAACGGCCCGAGACAGTGGAGTCTCTCTTTTACATGTACCGTATCACTGGAGATGATACTTACCGTCATTGGGGCTGGGAGATGTTTAAGTCCTTCATCAAGCACACCGCTGTCGTGGAGACCGGCACATTCGATGGCGAGACGGAACCGACATCCTCAAATACTGGGAGGTCAGGATCAACCCGCATCACGGGGTTCACCTCCCTGTCGAATGCAAAAACGCTTCCTACTAGCATCCGGGACAACATGGAGAGTTTCTGGATGGCGGAAACCCTAAAGTACTTTTACCTGCTGTTCTCAGATCGGGAGTTCATCTCATTAGAGGAGAATGTGTTCAACACCGAGGCACATCCCCTGCCTCGGTTCAAACCCACCGGGGAGTTGAAGACGGGGTGGACAAGGCAGAGTCGCACGGCGGAGAGCCAGACCATGGAGCATCTGGCTCAAATGTAATTTTTCTATCTGTTGTGGTAATGTGCTTCGCAACTCTATATACTCAGGATATTCAAAAGAAATCTTCACCTTCGGGCGGCTTGTATCATTGTCTTCTGGCCTCGACTCACAAGCCTTACGTACGTCCATGTACCTAAGATAGCTAATCAACCTTCGTAACACCCTTTTAACTTGCTACTCACTCCAACTTGCTCCGCCGGACAGCAGCATCAATCAACCGCTTATAACCCCGCACGGCTTCTTCAAGTTGCCCGACGGTAATTGCCTCATCATCACCGTGCGCAACATGGATACTTCCCGGACCATAGAGGTACCGCTTCACCTTCTCCGAGACCTTCAGATTCGGCACATCCGTGCCGTAATTGACCGTCATGATCTCGAATCCAGGGACATCGGTATCCAGGTCCTGAGGCGGATACCCTCCGCTGTAGACTTCGAAGTCGCAGTACACATTTTGATTCCCATTTGTGGCGTCTTTGACCGCTTGCGCGACAATCCCTCTGGCTTCATCCGGCGTCCCCTCGGCTAGTCGGATGGCCACGTCTGCGCGCGCCCCAGCTGGGACGACATTGGCAGCCACGCCCGCATCTACGCGACCAATGTTTACCGTCGTCCGGCCGTACTTGGGGCTAGCCGGCAGGCCACCGTCTTCTGCGGGGATATCCCCCAGCAGATCCAAGCGAGAGAGGGCGGGCAGGAGGGCGGACACGGCACTGCGGCCGAGCCATGGGTAGCCGGAGTGGGCGGCCTGACCCGTCGCCGCGAGCGAGAACTCGAGCATGCCCTTGTGGCCCGAGACGAGGGCAAGTTCGGTGGGTTCGCCGAAGATGACGGTGTGGAAGGGCGAGGGGCTCGAATTGAGCGGCGAATCCGAGAAGACGCGCATGCCCAGCCCGCCAACTTCTTCGTCGACGACAAAGAGCAGACCAAGACTGGTCTCCGGATGCTCGCTGAGGGTGTCGAGGACGGCGAAGACCTGGGCTGCCACGCTGGCTTTAGCGTCGACGGTCCCGCGGCCGGCCAGGAGCAAGGAGGAACGATCGCCCCCGCTGCGGTCGTGAACGGTGTAGGGAATATAGGGGGGCACGGTATCGATGTGGCTGGTGAGGAGAATCTCTGGCCGATCCTGCGAGGGCGAGGCAGACGGGTACGCGAAGATGTTAAAGCGGTTCGTGTCGAGGGTCGGATCCGTGGCCTGATTGCCGGTGGGAACAGGCTGCCTGATTACTGTGAAATTGTGCGATTTGAGAAACTCGACCAGGAAATTCCCAACAGCGGTTTCGTTGCCTGAGACGGAGGGGATTTGAACAAGGTTGCGGTGGAAGGAGAGGAACGGCGAGGCATTGATGATGTCCAAGGAGTCAGAGGTGAGCAACAACGGTGATTGCTGAGGAGCTGCTGCCGTAAGGCCAGCAGCTAGCAGAAGGGAGAAGGGAGTTCTCATGTCTACAACTGATGGAGAAAGGTGGGATGATGGAATGCTATCATCGCCGGGGGATGAGGGCGAGAATGATGTGTGAGCAAAGTAATTTAGGGGGTGGGTGAAGAATTCAGAATAAGAGGAGATGGGGAAACATGAATTAATCCAAACTTTCGATACTACTGAATAGTGAGTACACTAAGTACTAACTAGTACTATCTTAGTATGTATGTAGAATACCTACTCCGGAGTATAAGTTGAAGGGACGGGGTGAGGAGAAGTTGGAGATAAGGAAGGACTTATGCCTGTATCGGCAGGCATGAACTCAAGTCACGTGCCTGACCCATCACGAGCCTGCGTGGCGTCATATCACGATTGTGAGTCAGCACTCCCACTCAGCAATAGTGAACTGACAGCCGAAATCGGCTTCAGGGCTCAGGGCCTGGGTGGGTGCCCTTGACGTATATGGCTGCCATTCATCTCAATTCCAGCTCAGAGATACACAGTAGATTAGGATTGATTACTCTGTACTCTGTACTTCCCCCGCCCCTCACCTTCCAGTATCTTAATACAGGACATCAACTACTACCGAAAGTAAAGCACGAAGTAGCAGCAGCAGCAGCAGCAATAAAGGCCGGTTTCATGTTACCTGATCATCTGGACCGTGGACAATGGGCACGGCACACATGGCGCCACCTAGTTAAAAGATACTTGGTCCCTTGCTCCCGGAAACGCGCCGCTCTTCCAAACCCGTTCGTCTGGCATTCTCTAACCGGTAAGGCCTACTTCAATCAAGGTCCATGGACCATGGAGGGAGCAAGAATCCGCTTGGTTCCATGTGGGTCTGACGTCGGCACCAGATGAGAAGATGAAAGGAATTTCGAGGGAGTAGTCATGGAATTTTCGACCAAAGCAATTTGCCTTGCCGTCCTTGCCTATTGATTGCTGAACAAGCAAGCTTGAAGCTAACTAGTCTCATAGTATATCTCTTATTTGGCCAACTTAGCAGCTTCCAACCCCAAATCGAAGTCAGATCGGAGCATAGACCATGATCTGGTATCTAGATGGAGATTTTAGAAGCCAATGTGGAGGACAGTGTACACACACACACACATCCTCACAAACGGGAGTCCCTCTGTTAGTTCACCGCAGATCCACTGGGCCTGGTCTAAATGCCAACCACATCCTTGTCCACTAGCTGACTGACTGTTTCTGTTAAAACTGGTCAGAGGTCAACGGGTTGTATGATAGGTCATGGTACTTTCGGCATACTTCCCCTTCCCTCTTGACCCTCCATGACTGGAGAAGCATGACGATGGGGCAGAATGGAAAATCAAAGGAGGGGAACATAGCTGCACAAGAAGAAAAGCATTCGATTTGATAGGGTCGCTGGGTTGGACCAGTCGAGTCGGTTAGAGTCTAGACACAATGGAATCAATCTTGCTCCTCTCCCCTCAGCGTCGTCGATCTCCCTTTGACAACAATGCGCCGCCGCCGTTGAAAGATGCCTGCGGGAGTCTCAGACAGCTGAAGCATAAGACAGATCATTGTTGGATCGATCTGTCGGTCTCTCGACACAGGTGCTCGGTACTCTCTCTGTACTCACGCTAGATCAAATGTGTACCTGGAATCTTAACTCAAGGATTCCTCAGGAACAAAGAGAAGGCAGTAACCTTCTTTTTCTTCCCGCGGAGTATTATTCGATTGTGCCTCTTCTCCGGCCCCAGGATGATGGAAGAAGTCCAGAAGACAAGGACGGAGCCGTGGCAAGAATGAAGAGGACGAACCATGGCTCGCTTACAACGGAGCAAGACGGAGCACGCTGGCTGCGTAGCAGTGACTGCATAGTAAGTACTGCATAATAGGTTTTGTACGAGTACTGTGCTGGGAATTCTTCTTCTTCTTGTTCTTTTTCTTCTTCTAGACCCGCTCAGATCAAATTTCCCTCTATCTATCTCTTTCTCTGAATACGTCGCAAGGATATTTTTTCTTATAAAATTGAATATAAAAAAATAAGAGAGAAAAAGAATAATGAGTCTGGGTCATGTAGTGCCGATAACCCTAGATTGGCCTGTTAATTTGTTGGATCAACCATGCAAGAAAAAAAAAATCTTCTATGGAGACATCAGAGAGCTTGGCCACCCAAGACACCCAGTGACCATGTGGATTCTCTCCTAACCCATGGTTCGCGCTGAAGCCGAGGGCAAGAATGTCGGAAAGAACCCTGAAAAGGTAGTTCAAAAGATCAAAAGATCAAAAAGATCAAAAAGATCAAAAAGATCAAAAAAAAAGAGAAAATGAGAAAAGGAAGAGCAAAGTAACAAGCAGCTTCAGTATGATTCGGTGGTCTGAGTATCCAGAAACCCTTCTGGATTAATTCAGTGGGTTAGCACTAGCTGATTATAATTACTATCATTATTATTATCATTATTATTTCCATTTGAGTTGACAGTACCCGTAACTGTACAGAGGTTAATTGAATCGAGTTGAATTCTGATGCATAACTATCATTATTCTTGTCAGAAGAACTTTTTTGGTGTTGTGTATGGAATCTTCTCTTACTCCAAATCTTCTTCCCCCCACCTCAACATTGTTGTTTCCCTCCTCTCCTCCCTCTACCTCCTTCATTCCTCTTTGGAGTACTTACTCGCCTCTTCTTTCTTCTCCATCATCATCATCTTCTTCTTCCTCCTCCTCCTCCTCCTCCTCCTCCTCCTCCTCCTCTTCCTCCTCTCTTCCACTCTTCTTCTGCGGGTTTCACTTTCTCTCTCATCTTTAATGTAATAGATCGGAAGGATTCTGTTCCTGGTTCTGACACCTCTCTCTCTCTCACCGCACCCTTCCAACGCCCGCCGATTGCCGGCAGCCTACTGAGCTGTTCCCGCCGTGCTTGTTGGGCTTCACCCAACCACCCTCTCTTATCTCGGCCGGCTACTAAGTTAGTTTGCCATCTGCGTGCCCTGCCAGGTTTCACGTCGGTCTTTGCTTGTCGTTCTCGACGTCCTTCACATCAATCACTGCACTTCTCTCCCCCATTCCCTCTCAATCCCCCTCCTCCCACTCCCCTCCTCTCCCCGCGCCCGGCTATCCGCCTCTAGTGGCCAGGCCCTCTCATTCAACATTGGTCGCATTTTGACGAGCAAGACAAGAGACAGTCGGTTAGTCAGTCAAACAGGCTGCCCGACCTCATCTCGACCTACTTTAAACCACTTGCTGGTTTGTGACTTCTACTGGGTCTTGGTTTCCAAAAACTTTTCGACTCACCTCAATTTATTTCAACGCCACGCCACGTCTGCAACCAGTAGCCATCCTAGTGCATCAGTCAGAGCTCGTCATAAACTCTCGCCGTGCCTGGAACTTCAGTCGTTCTGCTCTGAACTCACACTTGTACATCTATCTCCTTACCCGGTCCGCATATTGCGCGCACTTGAACAAACAGATTGGTTTGGGCACATTTCAGTTTCTCGGATGATGTTGTGTCTGATCTCGAATTAACTCCACTCCCTCCCCTGCGTTCCGCGTCCTCACTCCTCACGTCCGTGTTGCCCTACACTGGCACGTGAAGTGGAAGCCTCATCATCGCCTTTCTCGTGCTCGCGCTCTACGCATCAGTCACCGCTTGTTTTCAACAACGTTGTGAATACTGTCCTTCAATCATGTTTAAATCCGCTCAGTTGCTCGACACCCGGCGGTGCGACAGCTCTGAAACCATGGCAGAATCTTGTTCTATGTTCCGCCCACCCCAGTCGCCATTGACCACCACATCTTCCACACCCGTCTCTCCCGCGGTCTCTATGTTCTCGGCCAGAGGCCACACGCGGTTCTCTAGCTCCGTTTCGTCGCTAGTCTCGTCCCCAGGCCACGGAACCTCCATGGAGAGCAATTCGCGCAACCCACTAACCGGAGTGAAGGAAGAGCCCTGTGTGGGGCAACCCCGAGATCTCGAGGAGGAATATTTCCGTATGTTGATACCCTTGCTCCGGCCCCGTACCCGCCCTGCTTTTCTCGCGTTGTGTCTCAAAACTATTGATGGGACTAAATCAACCCGTTTTCATCTTTCTACAGAACACTTTGATCAGGGATTGTCTGTAGCCGAGGACACTTGTTTCGAACCTTTCGGTTCAGTTGGCAGCTACGACTTGACAGATGCTGGCATGGATTTCAGCGAATCGTCCAGAATTGCATGCTCTGATAGCAATCCAGCCAAGGGTCTTTCCCGTATCAGCTCCCGCATATCTACTATTTCCACGAGATGGAAGTCCAAACGGGCCTCAGATGGGATTGACGGAGCGGATGTATTCGCAACGCACCTGCGTTCCCGAACCAACTCAGCATCGTCGGCCATCATCAGCCCCGTGACAGGCTCGTTTAGCCGCGTCAGCTCCATCCAAGTGCCACCATCCCCAGCTCGGACAATCTTTGAGGAGGAAATCAGCGAGTGTGGCACGCAGCCAATCAACATTGTCCATTCGAATAGATACAGTCAAGACGAATCGGCTGCGCAGGCGACGACTCCATTGCTTCCACCTTTCATGGGGGACGAACCATCCTACCCTGCCGCCTCTCGTGTTCATTCCCCATTGCAATCACCTTCTGTGGCGGATATGACCGACGATGGCATGAACAGCTCCACCTTGTTGGATAGGCGGTTGGCAGGCTTGCCCTCACCGCCTCTATCCTCAAAGCCATCAGTCGCCTCTTTCAGTCGTCCTCGGGCGAGCACGGTACGGACAGTGTCGGGTGATGCGCCCCCATTCACCCTCTCCGATCCTAACGATGAATGGGCAAATAAATTGGGACACGCGAATTTTACCATCCAACCCGCGCCCTATACGCCTGAAGTCAGCGACATTGATTCCCTCCAACGGTTTCGCACCAATTGGGATCTTGCACAATGCAATTTCGCTCGTCATCTCGTACGCACAGGGGAACACTACGGTATAACCTCAACAATCTATAGGCTCACCGAGGAAAAATGGGAGGCGATCAATCGCAAGTGGAGGAGTCATCATGAGGCGATGCTATCTCACCTAAGAGTCACAGAGGGAGTGCGGTTAGACCTAGTCCCCTCTCACTGCGACCCTTGCGATCCGATCAAATTACCGCGCTTGCATGACGATAAGTTTCCCGAATTAGGCGACGGCGAGATCGTCGGACCGATGAAGATCGCACCCGCCGCCACTGGAACGGGTCTGTGCCGGAGTCGCTCGATCAAACGCAATTTTGTCAAATTTTTTCAGGATCTCGTGATTCGGTCCTGATCTTCTTCCTTAACGACCACAAACCCTACTGGAGGCTTCTGATGTATAACACCCTTACGATTTCTACGCCTCTTGAACGATCTAGTTGATTCAGCGCGTGATGACTAATGCATGATTTCTTTTTTCTGTCTATGAGCCCCTGATTCAATAATGATGATTGATGACCTATATGTACTTGTGACTACTGACTCGCAGCGTGCTGTCCGTTCCCTAATTTTTGATTGGTTGAGAAATCCGGTTGCTTCTGTTTTTCCGTGCCCTTCCGGCTATTTCCTAACATCAATATGTAACGGTTGCGCTGTACTTTGTCTGCATAAGCAATTATCCTCATGTGTGCGTATGCATGTTCTTCCTGATCTACATCCTTTCCAGCGATGCGCGCTTCAGATTGACTTCCTTGGCCTACAAGGGAAATCCACATAAAGTGGGTTAATGCAACTAAGAGACATGGCAAGAGCGGTAGCACATCCGACTTTTCGAGCCGTCCGTACAGGAGGACAAGATAAGCCGGCGTGAGGGACCATCTCCAAGGATGCAGAACTGAAGTATATTGTCTAAAATTGACCAGAGCAGTGGTAAATGAAATCCAGACTAGTCGGTTAGGATACTAAAGGGCAGGACCCTGTGTTTTGTCAATTGCGTCTTATACCCTTGAGACATACTTTTACACGATTCTTTGCTCCGGAAACACAAAGTTCACATGCTTGCATTCTTAAACATACATAGATAGAAATCCGCCTGATGCAATATATTCTGGCATTCGGCGAGTACTCTTGTGCAAAGGAACCCATGTACATAGAATCTTTGTATTCCATTGCATCGAGAGTAGTTACCAGATTACATGCTATTCCGGCTCTGGTGTATTCGGTTGCGGTCGGCGATAGTCTTCTCAGCCATCCGATTACCCTGGTGAAAGATCATTGTTGCTTGAACAAGCTGGCAGAAGTGAAAGCTCTTGAGCCTAGGGTCACCAGTCGATGGCGCGGTGGCACCAGACTAAAATGCAAATGACTCAGCCAAGCCGAGTCCACACATTGAAAGATTGATTGATCCTGCAATGCATCATAACAGGCTGTGATTACTGATCACACCCAGTACTGGCCCCAAAGCCGCTTTGCTTCGTCATCACCATGGAACTGAAACTCCACCCGAATGATATCCTTGAAACCCTCGTCCATGGAAGGCTCCTTGAAGCGGCGAAGAAAGTCCCCGAAGGCGATACCGGGGAGAAGGGTGCGCGATTCCGGATTCTGCAGTCGCCGTAATGCATAGGGCACATGCGGCCGCGGTGATCATTAATAAGGCTTCGATTTTTTCTCGGGTTGGGGGTTGCGGGGAGAAGGGAAGGAGGAGGTTTCGGTGCGGGGGAGATGTCAAAATGAGGGGTGACGCGGGGCACACCACAGCAGGGCTGAATGAATAGCATGAATAATAACCAATAGAAAGATGCTCATGATTTCATGAGACACTGGAAGGGGGATGATGGCGGGCAATGTAGGGATTCATGGACAGGTCAAAAGCTGCTAAGCATGAACAGATACGCATGGTGTGAAGCTATCTATCCAGCTTCGTGGTAGACATGATTATGGCCCGGAGCAAGAGCTTCCTAGGGTGAGATACAAGTGCGAGGTACTGAGCATCTTGTACCCTGTACAGTCAAGAGAGAGCGGGGGAAGGACGAAAGAACAACCCTCAAAAGTCAAACCACAGATATGCGACGTACCAGGTATTGATTAGCAGCACGGACCGCATTGTTATGCCGGCAAAGGGTCGGGGACGCAGTGAAATATACGCAGCGAATCGGAATCTTGAATTCCCTAGCCACTTCAACCCAGTGGGCTCTCGTCTCCGCATCGGCATTGGTGTTATCTATAGAGATGTGGCATGCCGCCAGAGGTCAACTAGTTATCACCTTGAAGCTTTCCACGGCTGGCTGGGTCTTGTGTAATAATTTCAAGTTTGACGAGTCGGAGAGAGGGGTCGTAGTGAGAACGACAATATAGGCTGGATGAATGCTAAATGCTGGCGTAACATGCAAGGGTTGAGCAATCCAAAAGCTGATCAGGCTGTACGTACCAACAACCACGGACTTGCCAGCTGCAAGGTGTTCCTTTGCCACTTTGATGCACTTCGGACGCTATCGCAAACAATCAGTAGATTAGCTTCCTCGTTTAACATGGTTATGGCCTATTTGGATACATATGGCACTGCAGGAAGGGGCTTGGTTGCTTCTTTTGTGGTGCCTTGATCCATCTTGCTCGGTCCCTATTGGAGTATGCATACTGACAGATACAGGTGGGTCGGAGTGAGATCGCCTGGGAAAAGTTAAGAGAAAGTATACGTACGGTCTTCAGAAGGTCTTGATTGACTCGTTCGTATTTCAAGGGTTCTAAATAGTCCCAGTAGAACGTTGACTTGCCCGCTCCAGGGCTGCCGCAGAAGATCACCAGTTCAAGTGAGCTCTCTTCAGAGAAGGGAGGCGACACTGCACCGTCGGTTACTGAATATCCAAGGTAGACCCGGGACAGGTTCGCAATTCCAATACGCGAACTGACATACCATCGTCACTAGGTGCTTTTTGCAGATATATGAACGGGTCGAACGGCTCCACGAGTGGTTCTGGGTCGAGATCTAGGAAGAACTCCTCGGGGGTCTTGAAAGACACCCCAATATTCATGGCGAATCCGCTTCAGCCGCCATTAGCGAAAGAAGCCCAGTAAGTTTGCTGCCTTACCGATCTACTTGCGAGTGATCTCTCGGCCGTCCAGCGGCATCGCCAACAAAAACAGAATGAGCCAGGTCAAGACCAGAAACGTCAAAGTCATAATCATCTATGAATTCGGTCCAAAGTCCTGTCCTAGGTTTCCGATAGCTATCATCCTTTGTGGCAGCATAGACACTCATTGGGATGTCTATTTGCTTCATAATAGCAGTAGCTCTTTCTTTGAAATTAGTAAGACTTTTTGATTCGCTGTTACCCGCCTTGATCTCTTTCTTCAGGCTGATCTTTTTTTGATTTGTGATGACAATCACATGGAACCTGTGGAGTTAGCAATCGAGGACTATTGTGACAACTCGACCGGGATTCCACCACCCTGATACCTACCCATTTTCATTGAGCTCTTTCAACTTGGCAGGAACCTTGCTATGCCACCACTTCCAGTCTGATCCGTTCTTAGGAAATACGTTTCCTGAGGCTGTAGAGACCAAGGTCGAGTCCTGGGATGGTAGCTCGGTTAGAAGAGGGAAGGTTCTCTTCACCTTAATTCAGTCCAGCTTGTCAAGACTCACCAGGTCAAACGCAGCGACTTTGAGTTTTTCGGCCGTCTGTTTGCGCTCGGCTCCCGTGACATACTTGCCTATCACCGCGCTGTTGTTCACCACCCGCCAAGTGATTTGCTGGGGCTTTTTCTGTGAAACAGGAGTAAAAAATGACGACACAGCTTTTTCTATAATCTTGTTTAATAGAAGTGTGATAGGTATGCCGGGGCAAGTGGCTGGGTGTAATATGCACACTTGCACAGGGCGCTTGACTCACTCGTAACGGTAGATTCCACTTTTCTCTTGATCGGAGGCGGAGAGATAGCGCGACTCGGGGACGCTGCGCGTTTGATGGCCCCAGCACCGGCCATGCTGAGAGACTGCAACTTGGCGATAATTTCGACGGAGATCGTGGTGATTTCGCTGGAGGCTGGGTGGATTGGGGGAAGAATAGTGGAAGGCGGAAAATGGAGACGCGCCGGTACGCGAAAATAGCCATCACGAAGTCACATGCTCGCATATGCTTCAATTAACCTTACTGCTAACCACCTAATTTTTTATCTGCAATCTTTTGAGTTCCATCATATTAGATTTCTGCGTGAAGCATCGAGAATACAGTACATTAGAGTCCAGAGCTAAGATCAATGAATCACATGAACAGAGAGCCAATCTAGCTCTGAGGGTATAGAACACCGGAAAAGAGCAAGCGCCAGATAAGCATTGATTACTTCGCCCGGGTATCCAGAGACAATCTATCCGCTTGTTCAAGACGAACAGCTGACTTGAGTTGCTCTCGGAGCCCGAAAAGATGCTGAGAAGCTGTCTTCATCAGTTCCTGGTTGCCTCCATCCTGGACAGTAATGGCAGCTTGCAGAACGTAACTGCCTGTTCGCTCAAGCGGGGCGAGCTCGTGATAAGGAGGTAATTGTCGTCGAGGGCCATGTGATTCCTGCGACCCTGCCGAGGGATATAGTAAGACGCGATGGAGGAAAATCACGATATCATTATGGACAAAAACATCCCCTTCTACCATATACTCGGCGACAAAACTGACTCAAATCGTCAGTTTACCCAGACTTCTAGGTGCATGTGGGGAATCAACGGCAGCGGCATCTACAGGGAAAAGACCGACCTATAGCCCCAAGCATTCATGGGAATTGCAATATCACCTTTAGGCAAGCTCGCACTTGCCATCAAGCGAGTGGTCACAGCGGATCGCGTACCAGCCTCAGGGATGTCTCTAAACTCCAGCTTCCAGGGCTGATTCTCGTAGCAGTAAGAAGACTCTCCGGATCCAGACATCGACACATCTGCATCGCTGGATGCTGGCATTCTCGACGACGCGGCCGTGCCGAAATCCGTCTTGGTCACAGGGCCAACGACCTGCGTGTAGTACATACCCCCATTCAACATCTTATTCAGACGCTGGAAGTCTGCACCCTGTAAGTCCTGACTGGCTCCCACACGAGTGGTGACCAGACCTGGCTTGCGATAGGCCTTGAAGACCAGCCGTCTCTCCAAGCGGTGACGCGGTTGCATAGCTGTCAAGCCAGCCAACTGTTGAAGGAGCTCATGGTGTTGGTGAGCGGGAACTGAGGCGAAGAGTAAAAGCTCATGCATGATCACAAGGTTAATGGAAACACGAGACGACTAGGAATACAAACTGGGGTGCAGAGGAGTGGGATGAGGCGGGGGAGGGACGGGGGATAAGGTGTGGCTAATTCTGGTTTAGCAAGTTTGGCGCCGCAGTAGTTTTAGGTGGTGCTTTAGGAGCTTGAAGAAAGCCCGCGGAGGGGATGCACTAATTTGTTGGCCTTGTGGCCTTAGAGCCTTGAAGCTCAGGATAGGCAAAGTCCAGACAAAGAATGATCCAATACGGGTGAACCCGGAATGAATTTTGGGTTCAAATGAGGGAAGTTATCCGCTTGGCACTTCTTTCGAGTCCCAGCCTGGAGTAGATGAATGGTACTACTAACTACTCCTACTACTATTACTACTATAGTATCCTACGATGGTAAGCAGACACTTGAATACCTAGAAGAGTATGGATACTATGGTGAGTGACTATGTACCGTCGTGACTCGTCAGGATTGACTCCGTATTCCGTAGTCAAGTTAGTAGTACGCAGTATGATTAATTGATCTGTGATGCGGGGATCACCCCAGGCTATCATGCATACGTACTCCGTACATACTCAAAGTACCTAATATGATGATCACGCCAGAACCAGATGGAGAGAAACAGATGATAGGTGCAAGAGATAAGACTGGTTACACCATAATGATCCATGTCACCACTGACTGGCAGGCAGATCACAGCCCTTGACAGGCTCACAGTCCTTAGTCAGGCACAATTCCTGCACCGGGATTGCGGGTTTAGGCAAAGCTCGGGGCAGCCCGACGCCCTTCGGAGCGGTTGATTTGGGGAAACAATAATGAGGGGAAAACACATCCCTACATATCGGAAGTAGTGGCTTGATGATGTATTGAATGTCAGATCATGCCACGGAAAGAGGAATATTTTCCGCCACATCAACTCATTGGAGGAGAGGGCAGATTTTTGGATTTTGGCGGATTGGGGGATGAAGCCCGGCGGCCGGCGGGTGGAACAAGTCAAGTTTGTTTCTTGTTAATAATTGTTAATAATTACTAACATCAAGAATTCCTCCACGGACTTTAACCAGGAGCAGGAGCTTATCGCGAAAACCCACACCCTCGCTTCCGCTCTCCGAAGACTCGACCGAACCACCGCCTTTTTTCCTCTCCTCCCCTCCAGGCTACACACTCGACACTGACACAGTAGTATTCCGTAACTACTCCGTATTACTAGTTAGTTACTGTCTTGTCCCTCTCCCCTCCTCTTCCTCCTCTTAATTAACCACTCCTCCCCTCTACTTTCTCCCACACACATTCCACTTCTTCCTCAATCTCCCACCCCTCAATCGCTCCTCCGCCGTCTATATTACTCTATATAAAAAATCACCTGTCCTTCCTGTCCCTCCAGCTCATCCATTTTACATATTTGTGATCATCACCTATCCGCTCCTCTTCAATTCACCACCCACTAAGACCGCTTCGGACAATTCCGGGAAGCACACGAGTGTTCAACTGGAATACACCTATTTTCCTTCCCACGAAACCTCTGCTTTAACCGACACAACGTCACTCAATATCTTACTCTTTCACAATGCACGCTACCATGAGTCTCCGTAACGCTGCTCGCACTCCTCTCATCCGGTTCCTGGGCAAACGCTCTGTGCCTAGTTTGTCTCCCCACCTCCCTTGTCAGGTCAGGAATTTCAATGAATGTATTGATTGTCTAACGCGCAGCCTAATAGAGTCCATTGACCACACCCCTCGTCCTCACCCTGCCTCTCCTACTGGGGTCCTTCCCGATTCCTTTGCCGCATATCGCTCTAAGGCCCAGCAGCACGGTCCCCTTGGTCGCGCCTCTTTCTCTCAGGGCATAGGTCGTGCCCCCGGCGCTTCCCTGGGACCCATCCAGCCCAAGCAGGGTGAATTTTTCGACCGTGCTGAACTGCCCACCCGTTTCCACCGTCTGCCCTGGACCGAGGCTGAGATCGAGGCCATCGAAACTGGCGGTGCCAGCCTTTTTGCTTAGATGCTGAAAATAGTCCAATGAGGAGATGATGCGACGATAAAGGTCATTTAACATTGACCAGATGCACGACAATTGACGTCCTGTAGCGATCATAAAACGTGAGGTCCGCACCACAGCACCTGCGCACCTACTTCAGGAAGGACGAACAAGGACCCGTGAGGGTTTCCTGTCTTCCATGCTTCACCTCAACTTGCACGTCACTCTATTCAAAACCGGAAGCACCGTCGTATGCTCTTGATGGGTAGTCCTTTTGGCTCGTCCAATCTAATGCTTATCCGGTCCTTCTTCTCTTCTTCCACCCTTCCCTTTTTTCACATTTCTCGATTCCAATATGGCGCTGGTGGTTGCTAGTTTTCATGCTTAGCGGTTCAAGATTCATTTTTCGTTCTTTACGGGGCGTGCTACATGTGGAATAATCTTTTCCTTTCAGGCTAGGGCATGTTGAGATCCTTTCTGATCTATTCAGACTCTGATGATGTATATCTGATTTGTTGCACCGGATCTGATGAAAAGTCTGCTGAATTTGAGGTTGTTCATAGAGATACTTAGTCTCTAATCAGTCTTGGGGACATTTGACCATTTGAGTTTACAAATACCAATCCGAATTTCTGCGGACTTGATCGAAGTTGTAGTTTCTCTCCGCCGTAAACAGGTTCTTTAGATGATGCCAGGATCAGTGAGGAACATTCTACTCCGCACGTGCTGCTAGGGGGCTTAGCGTTGATGGTCTCGGCCACGCAACCGACGTGCTTGACTTCAATCTTCTTTTCCCCCCAACCCCTTCCTCCAAACACTGACAATGGCCTCCAACAGGGGCTTGGATTCGATCACTTTCAACGAAGTGGACGAAGCCGATCATCCTACGGCCACCTACATTTACACTCAATCAACAAGCCACCTCCCACTAGAGGGCGATGGCAAGGGTCATGTACGCAGCGGACGTATAGATCTCCTGGTCGGTAGAGACATCCTGGTCCTTTCTCTTCTAATTCAGGCGCAAGTCAATGATAGCTGAGATCATTCAAGCTAATTCTCATGGTCTTTCCAGCGCGATGCTTCCAGCACAACAAAGTCGTGGTCCTTCAAGGCATTCCTCGACACGCTCGCTGACGTCTTCCTTCCCACCGGGTATCCGCACAGTGTTACTGAAGACTACACTCCGTGAGCCTCATGTCATTCTCAACACTGAGCCAGGCTAATAAGAATTGCAGCTATCAGATCTTTGTATGTTTGTCTTGCCGTGCCCACCGCCGGACATTCATTTGCGAAACAGGCCTCGATGCACCTCTCATGCAGATCGAGAAACTGACCGTGTTCCTCCCAAGGACTCTCTTCAAGCCTTCAGTAGCTCTATCGCGGGCCTCCTGTCATCTAGAGCAGTTTTGCAAGGTTGGTCATACGGGCTTTGCAATCGCCCTGCTGCAGCCACGGAATGAACACTGATAAACGATTTACAGGTGTGGGTGTCGGCAACGCCGATGCATCGCCCACTTCAGCTCTACTCCTTCATATTCTCCAGGACTCATCCGGCCGTCTGGCCACTATCCTTTTTGCACATCGGGTTGGTACCGCGCTCGAGCCAGAGTGCAAGATGTATCGACTTGCTGCAGACGTTTTCAATGATTCAGCTATGGTTCTCGACTGTGTCTCGCCTATGGTACCAGCTGGCGCCCTTCGAGTGATTGTCCTCAGTACAGCAGGAATTCTTCGTGCCCTATGCGGCGTCGCAGGCGGAAGTTCCAAGGCAAGCCTGAGCGCGCACTTTTCTCGGTGGGGTAATCTGGCACAGGTTAATGCTGTAAGTGCTGCCCTCAGCCCCTTCAACTAGTGACACAGCTCTATACACTGAGGCAAGACAGCTAATATCTTTTCTCTTACCATCAGAAAGACTCTTCTCAGGAGACTGTTATCTCTCTCCTTGGCATGCTGGTAGGCTATCCCTCCTCTTCCCTACCTGATCCCTACCTGACCCTGCAAGCTACATGCATGCACGCATGCATAACAGACCTAGCTGACAGATCAAAACTAAACTATCTCTTTAAAAAAAAAATAGGTTGGCTCCCTCGTCATCTCGCGTGTGACAGGTTTCTATTCAACGTGGATCACCCTCTTGATGCTTCTGGCTTTGCATTTGAGTCTAAATTACGCAGCCGTCCGCTCTGTCCAAATGACGAGTCTGAACAGGCAGCGGGCAAACATTGTCTTCTCCACCATCCTTAACTCTGATGAGGGATTCATGCAGCTGTTGAGTCACGGCGCCGGTGCTAGTACAAGCACACACAGCAACCCATCTGCTTCCAAGGCAGCCATCTCACTACCTGACGCAAGCACAGGCTCCTGCCGACTGCAGGTCCTCACGCCATCCCAGGTTTCCAAACAAGAGAGGATCTTCGAAACAGACGGCATTCTCAGATGGTCTTCTCCTGCTCCGGGCAGCACCGCGGTGGGACGCCCCTTTCACCCTGGGGTTGACATTGGCACCTGTCGTATCGGCATCTCCCTCCACCAATTCCTCCTTGGCCCATCGTCCTCTTACCCCTCTTCTTTCTTCTTCTCCTGCCTCGCCCTCAGACCTAGTCATTTCCCGCAGTCCATGAAAACCAGCATCCCTCTTCCCCAACTCTCTACTCTCTTCAAAAGCGAACAGTACATTCTTTATCTTGGTCCCGCAGGGAACAAATGGCACGCACGGATTCTTCTCAAATCTACCTGTACCCCACAGGATCAGCTGAAAGCCTGGGTGCATGCCTTGCTCACTGCAAGAGTTCTTTCCTTCCAACTCTTTGCCCTCGGAGCATCCTCATCTGCGCAAAGAAGCAAACCGCAGATGGAACAGGGCATCGACTCTATTCTCAACTCCATCCACCAAACGCTTACCTTCCTGAATCAGAATGACCGGTACGAGCGGTACATGGGTGCCCTGGAAGATGCAGGATGGGATCTCACCGTCCGCGCGTTGGAGACGAGGCCGGGAAGGAGAGTTGGTTCGTCAACATAGCACAGAATTAACAGCTCTAACTCGATTTGAGGTCCCAGGTGAACCCGATCTCGCTCTCTCTCTCTCTGCCTCCCTCCCCCCCAACAACAACATTTTGGCATGCATATAAACAGATATGGCTTGTCTCAGCAGTGTCACTGTTGAAAATAGAGGAAGATCTGTGATAATGCAGCGCAAAAACCCAGGTCCGAAGGGGTCTCGTCGATATGGTTTACTCGGAACTCTAGGGGTCCGGATGGGAGTCGGGAGGGAGGGCCCGCGGGGAGGGGGTTGGTGGATTTACAGTATTGGCAGAAACCGATCGCTCGACAAGAACTTCCCAAACACCATAATATATCTAATCTTGGACATTCTGGGCATCTGATAGGAATCTACTTAGACCTTACGTCCAGCCCTGAAAAGGTCGAGATCAGCGACCCGGCTTCGCGCATGGAGAAGCAAGCCTACATCTAATTCTGAATTGAAACGAGCTGAGGGGCAGTAGTGATGTGCGTTGGACGGCTTTCAAAGTGTAGATGGCTCCATGTATCAACTTGCCATGTGTACGTAGACCCCTTGAGGTTGTATCCAAACATGTCGACGTGATACCTCGTCCATTGGACAGCTTGTCTAGATTGGATTGGAATCAAGGAGGCTACCTACCGCATTTTTATTAACAAATATGAACTTTCAAGGAGCGAAAATGGAAGAAAACGACTCTGACGAGGCACCAAACCATGGGTATCTATTAAACGACCACCAAGTGCAGCAATGCTAATGCTAAGTGCTAATGCTGATGCTAATGCTAATGCTAATACCGTGCTATGCAGAATATGCAGGAGCCATATGAAAACAAAGAGACGTATGCATCGGGCACAGAGAGACCGGTAACGGTGAGAAGAACCGGCATATGGCCTTGCCGGCATGCCTCACTGTTCCAGGAACCAAGAAGACATAGAGATCACATCACGCCCGAAAGAGTCACGCAGCAACACAAGAACGCCGAGAAAAAGGAAATAACCTCCGAATGTTTCTCCGTTGAGGACCCTGTCTATATGAATTTTGTTGGGACACATGAGAGAATATCAAGAATGCTCGCTTGATCGCTTGCTGATATAAGCGACAAAAAGAGAAAAGAAAACGCCTCCGTGAAAATGCTTGCCCAGCTTGAGAGATAATTGCAATCCAGAAAATGCACAAGCATTACATCATCAACATCGTCACCCATCCATGGTCAAATCGCGAAGAGGGCACTGGATAAATCGAAATACCAGTCATAGACATAATGCAAGCGTGTAAGGGATGACTTCGTAAACGTTCGAGTAGGAAGAGAAAGGGAGAATGTCGCAGCCTTTTCGTATGACTCCCCAAGGCGGCTGATCAAGGGCGAAGTGAAGGTGTCCCGCAAAGGGGACAGCAGCAGAGCTTCACACTCTGCCAGAAACTACCCGGCTTTCGTGGTAGAGCAGGCGCTGTCTTTGGAGCTCGGACGGCCAGTCATTCATCCATGCCAGATACTTTGAAATGATGGCTGCCGGAACCACTGTTCCCAGAGCGCTTCTTGAACCCCAACTTCATTCCCATTTTCTTCCACGGATTGTCGGACCGCCTCGGGCTGTGGCCGAGTTGCATGCAGTGGGGATCACTCGAGGGTGGCGTCGTCGGCGGTGTCATAGGCTCGCCTGCACTGGCGTTCGATTGTACACTTCCCGAATCGTCCGTGAGTGCGCCGCCCGACGCGGACTCTCCGCTAGTACTAGTAATATGACTCGACGTGCGATGGCCCGCCTTGGTCAGAGACGATGTCATTGCACTCAACGAAAAGTTCGACCGAGTGGAGTGGCCGGTCGGGGAGCCGACGGAGACCGGGGAGCCTAATTCTTTAGAGGAACGGGGTGACAAGCGGCGGCCTTTCGAACGAACCCGCTTCACCGTGTGATCGTCGAGACTCGCGTTGGCAACAACCGTGATGTCCTCCTCGTGAGGAAATAATGGCTCGGATAGCGGGAAAACGTGAGCGGCAGCGGCATGGGCGTTCAGGAATGGGATGAAGATTGACTCTTCCATCAAGTCATGAACGAGCTTGACTGCGACGTCCAGGATTTCCGGGGGCGGCGGTGGGATTTGATTCGCATATCGAAGGATGTCTTCGCGGACTTCACTGGAGACATTGATCTCCCGAGGGGCACCCGGGATGATGTAGGCTGTTAACAGTCGCTGCCAAAGCATACGCAAATGTTGACTTTCGGAACAGTCAGTGGCAATCGGGAATTGATTCAATCGGTGACTCAGAGCATTGTAGGTGTCTCGGTACCGCTTCGCCTCCAGGGTGAACTCGAGGGTTTCCAAACAATGATTCTGAGAGAGATAAGCCATAAAGGCACTGAGGGTGTAGGGTGCAGGAGCGGTGTTCGCAAGCACCTCATCTAAGGAGGGACGCATAGGACAGAATGCGTCAGGCGGGACGTTCAAACTCAGCGGACGCGGACGGGGGGAGTCCATGTCCTCGTCCGACTCGCTGTCCGATGAGGAAGTCGTCGGAGAGAGTTCAGGTGTTGTGGTGGGAGTGTGATGCCGAAAGAGGATGGGAGGATGCAAAGTCCTCTTCTTGAGCATCGCGTCCAGGGTGCAACGATACTCGTGGAGTAGAATGAACGAGCGTATCGACAGCCCTGGAATCCTCCCCGCACTGTGAAGCGGCAGTGACAGGGAAGAATGGTTTGGTAAGCTTGGGAGGGGTGATTAGTGTAGAATGCTCGTCAATGGCTCGAGGTCGGGCTTGTTCGAAGATTTCCCAGGGTCTGTTCGTATTTACACACGACACCAGCCACTTGCGGATGGAGAAGCGAGCTCGGTGATGAATGCCAGTACCGGCGGGTGAGAGCGGGAAGCACAGTGAATGGAATGAAAGACAGGCAGTGCCGAGAGGCGGAAGCGTTAAAAGAGAGGGAGCGGGGGGGAAAGATAATCGGTAAGTAAGATCTCAAATAGAGTACTGGTAGTATTCAATGGAGAAGAAGGAATGAGAGATCTATTTGGCAAACAAAGAATCGATTAGTGGTGAGGGGAAGAATCTTTTGCATTGACAGCGGTTGGTTGGTGGTTGTGGTTGTGGAAGAAGGGGAAGGGAGAAGAGGGGGGGGGGGGGAGGGAGGCGGTGGGAGAGGATGATTGAGAAGGAAGTTGTAGTTAGAATTCCAGAAGGATTGAGGAAGGAAGGCAAGGCAGGCAAACAAGCAGTTTTGTCAGACAAGTTGTAAATGCTGCGATAAAAAAGAGTTTGGGGAACAGGAAAATAATAATATGATGCAGATTAAAGCCTGCACATCAACCCGGTCGGTAGGGGCTGATGGAAAATTTGGGAATGAAAAATGGACCACAAGAGGGAAAAAAAAGGAAAGAAAGAGAAGAAAATGAACGAAAGAGGAATTGGAGGTGGAGATGGAAGAAGAGAATGACGCCACAGATAGAGAAGACTGGATGCACTGAAACAAGGCAGAGGGAGATGGATGGCCCGGTGGAGTCACGTCCCCGATTTCGCTGGTCGATGCCAATCCATCACCCAAAGTATCATGATTCTTCCCTCTCTCCCTCTCTTCCCCTCTCTCTCGTTCTCTGTCCTTCCCCTTTCACCCCCACTTCCAAAAGCATTGAATAGCAATCAGAACATGATGATAATCAGGTACATGCCAGCCCCAAGGTGATCATCATCATCATCATCATCATTATCATCCATCAACATTCTTTCTACTTGGCTCCAGCGTTCTTCCGAAACAAACTTATAACAAGACTTTTTTCCTTCTTTCCCTCCAACACCTCGAGTCAGTCATGAACCACTACGCGCCCTTAGGCAAATAATGGCAAACCTCTGCAATGACGGGATTTTGAGATTCACGTCATGCCTCAGATAATTGAAAGCAATTGTCCGGAGAAGGATTAACGACCCCGAACACAGGATCTGGAAGCCTCCAAAATAAAAATAAAATAAAACAAAATAAAAAGCAAAACCAAAAAAAGGTGGGGAATGGATCTTCGTCATGCAAAAGTCAATGGATCGGAATGAATGGTGGAACAGGCCGTGGGACCACCCATGACAACCAGCAATTTCAGAGTGATCACTCTGCCGGTGCCAAAGAAGACGGATGCTTCGTCTCGGAGATGGAGGGCCCAGCGCCTGTTTCGGCATCCGTTCTCTGGGAGTTCTCGCCCTTGATAATGACTCGAGTCTCGGTCCGTCCCCGCCGCCCTTCCCAGTTTCAATTTCAAAAGTGATGATGATGATGATGATGATGACTCCACCGATTAATGCCCGTCCATAAATCACCTTCATGCTCACCGATGATGAATGCTGAAGGTAATCATTGTAGATATCAAAGACGGCGGGAGGGGTAGACAGGAGAAAGGCATGTATGTGGGGGGGTTGAAACAATGCGCGCACGTAATAAGAACAAGCATTCAAAAGAAGGGCGACCCAGGACAGAAAGAAGCTGGAAGTAACCCATGATATTCTAGAAAATTGCCAGAACCAGAAAAGAGAAGAAGAGAAAAGACCGACATGCACTCACCATGTGAAAAGCAAGGGGTATGTATGGTAAGAGCACCACAACGCGCGTTCTGAGGTCAAATTGACCAACGGTGCAGATGCAACGAGGAGGAAAATCGCTCAGCCCTGGCCGACTGGATTTTGATAGATCGCGGAGCTGGTCGATTGTCTCGGTTTCCTACTCCGTACAGCGTGTACACTGTAGAGGGATCAATAGTGTTTCCAAGAGAAGGGCGGGGTTTGGGACAGGTTCTATCGCATGATGCCAATCGGCGGGAACTAAAGTGAAAAATCAGATGTGATATCAAACCCTTAGCATCGCTCATCAGATAGACTAGGGCAACGAGCGGCTTTTTGTATGGGCGGCAGCAAAGAAGCTCATCCACTAATTCTTGACCGGATTTGCCAAATTCTGAGAACAGAGATATCCTCTCTCTAGATGGCTCGCGATCAGACGCACAGGGGTGAGGATTCATCCCGGTCATGTTGTGTGTTCCTTGTCCTCCAGCTAAACACATGGCTTTACTTACTTACTCCAGAAGCATTCCGCGATTATTCCATTGCATCGGAGACCTACCGTAGGGTAAGTACCGGACCGTACATACATCCACTATACTATAGTTAGTATGAGTCTTGTCTGTCTTTCTCCGGCTGGTCGACCCCCCTCCCAATCGCCTAAGAGTCCAGAATGACTCCTCGTTAGGCGCACGACGGCCTGACGGTAGTCGTGCAGACTGGGTCTGTCCCCGCATGGATTGGGTAAAATGGCGCAAGATCTGCAGACTGCCAAGCATACTGTGCAGCCACAGGTAAGGGATGGGGATAAGAAGAGGTAGTGAGGAGATCAAGAGGAGAGACTGGGTGTGGGGAAGGGGGGAGGAGGATGAAAGCGCAAGAACAAGGAAACTAACTCCCTCACTCAATTGTACCAACTACCAGGTGATCACAGATTTTACCTGAAAGAGAATCGTCACCTAGGAGCCTGGATAAGCAGTTCGATGTTCGTTGACATTGACCCTTCCCCCCCCACCACCAGGAACGCCTGGACTAACTACTACTTACTCATCAAAGGTGCACTAAACTGTATTAGAAGAGCAGCTGGGTGGATCTACTACCCGAGCGAGACAAAGAGGTGCGAGGCAGCCAGTGAGTAGTTACTGTAGTGTGGTCCCGGTCCCTCATGTAACTTAGTTACCTCTTAGTTTAGTTACTAACTAATTAACTTACGGAGTAGTACTGTTTAGCTCTCCCCAGGCCAGTGTTGCCTTCCCTACTGCAAGGGCCTGCAGGCTTGCAGGATCGTGTCTGTGTCAGTCAGACTGTGTGAACACTAAATAGTTGTCCATTTGGTAATCAATCAAGGTGCCCAAAGTGGATATGTGACCCGGCCGATGGGTCGCTACGTAGCATCTCGTGACAGGGTAACATAGGTGAGATGGGTTTCCACTGTTCCAGAACACAGGCAGAAGACGTAAAAGAAATTTCGAGGAATGCTGCTGGAGCTGGGCCTTAGGGGAGCGGGTTATTTAGCAGCCCAGTGCAGTGTGATGTGGGCGCTTCTCGGTCCGTCCGTACATAACAAGCCAATCAATGGTTGAGTGGCAATACCTGAGTCCACAGGGTCCTTTTGGTAGGCCGTGGTTAATCTGAGGATTTGAGGCACATCCTCTCCCCCCACCTTGCAATGTCTTTGGCGCGTCTGGCGACAACGTGTTGCCTGTTTAAGCTTGGCGGCTATAGATAGATTAGAGTACTCTACGTAGGAGTATGTTGTAAGTTGATTCTCTCTGTTTGCACTTTACAATCGGAGCCAGAGGACGTTCGGTTGTGCGACTTGAATCAACGGGCAATTCGGTCAGAAAAATACGTCAGGACGACAGAGAAGCCATACAGAACATTCTATCGGGTGACAGCGCGCAGGCGAAGACTCGGAAGTGTAGCACAAGATCTGCAGCTGGCTTCCAGAGGACAATTGATTTCACGTCATCTGGCCGATCAGTTAATTGATTTTGGGGGAAAAAAAAAAAAAAAAAAAAAAAAAAAAAAAAAAAAAAAGTCGGAGTGGCCACCATAGCAAAGCACAGTTAGAGAGTCTGAGACAGGAGGAAAATCTTTCCTTGCATTCTAGAACAGACATGGAAGCCTTTTCTCGACGGGCCATATTTTGCCACTCAGCAACACCGGTTGCAGCCTAAGCATACTCCGTTAGGTATTTAGAGGGATGTTAAAAGAAGCACACACATACACACACAGGAGTACTCCGTGAGCACTTGTTATCTTCCCAAGGGATTCCGAAATTCTCCGTTGTTGATATGAACTATTTTTTCCCCAGAAGGTGGCAAAGTGCTTATCAGTAGGAGGAATACGGAGGTAGGAGTAGTGAGCTTACTCCAGGAGACCACCGCTCAACCGCAAACGGAACTGTCCATATCAGAGTTCAGCGCATACCCCCACTAAGTTACTATAATGTAAGTTACTTACGATATTTCTCAATCAGTCATACTGCGAGTATGTAGTGTCAATGTAAGAGGAATTCGTAGTGGTCAGCCCACCCCAGCCACACACATTCATGAACGACTTGTGTCGGCTTTATCCGCCCACCAAATGCCTCAAAACGGTGCTTGGCGGCCAAGGGTGAGGCTGCTGGCAGTTGTCCAGAACCTTAAGGCACACCGATTGCCAGGTGAATCTCCTCCTCCTCCTCCTCCTCCTCCTCCACACTTGCCCTCCTGGACTAATCTCGACCTATTTGCCTTTGTCAAACTCGCTCTATATCCAGTCCCAGCCCCTAAGGAGCATTATTCTGAGTACGTAGCAGAAGGCGAATAGAGAAGAAAAAGACGAAAGAGAAAAGACCCGCCCACGACCACGTGTATGTCTCTAGAGAACTCAATGGCAAACCGCTTCCTACTGTGGGCGGAGAACTACTACACGATTCGCGAGTAAAAAGACCACGTTGTTAGGGGCCAGCTGTCAGCTCCAACTCGAAACTATCGCCATGATGGACCCACATGCACGTTGTCGGGTGGTTAGTAGTTAGCCCTTCTTCGTTGTGCTTTCAAGACCCGATCTAAACCTCCATCCGGGGCCGAAATATATCCAGAGCACCATCGTCTCAACGTAACACAGTTCTTCGATCGATTGCTGGACATGGAAGACGGAGAAACTACAGACTACCATCATCACCAAGTGGTTTCATCGTTATATATCCATCCATTCGCCGGCACTTGTCTCGACTCTCATGACGTGAAATCAGCACGATCCACATGTTCTCCGCCGGCAATGAGTACACCCGCCCTCACCTCCTACCGAACTAAAGGATGATCATGACATAGAAGGGATCAGTTTGTACTGCGTAATTGGCGAGTAGCCCAGCAGGATCATCAGACACTTCACGTCCCGAGGGGGGGGGGGGTTTGGGGTGGCCTGATGCCTGCCTGTCATACTCGTCCACTGGTCTGAATTCGGATGTGTTTCATCATGGATGAGGTGGTGGGGAGGCCATATCCATCCATCCATCCATCCCTACCGAAGTATAGGAAACTATATTAATTACATGCCACAAGGGTCCAATGATCAGCTGTCTCATTCCCAGCTGTGAAAGGAAACCCATCCACCACCAGCACCCCCGAATGATCCATCACCACGCTACTTCAAACCCCAGGACCCCTGGCTGAATTGCACCCTGCCTCGGACCTTTACCCAAAAGAAGCGACTAGGAGCAGCTAGCAGCTAGCAAACATTGTTGCCGGACTGCCTACGGGGTCATCCCAGCTGGGATATATAGATGTAGACTATCTAGAATGCGCTTGGCTCAGAAACTACCCAGTGCAGGTAGGTCGAGTGCGAAAACACGGGGAGAATAGTAGAGGCTGCGAGATGGAGCCCAACAAATACTCCAACTGGATGATGCTGACAGTTCCCGAGCACCGTTCTTTGTTTACTGCGATTGCGTGTAAATCCAACTTAGATTCCTGTCAGTACAATAGGCTGGGGCCTCGAGGTAGCCAACCAATCTGACGGATCGACTGATGTGAACCGAGATGTATACCCGATCGTAAAAGGTAGAGATGAAGAGAGAAAGGGAGAAAACTAGATAAGTATAGGTAGATAGATACTCAGTGCCAGCAGTAACAATGACGCCCGTTTCCAGGGTTGGAAAATGCAATGCAAGACAAATACGCTCTGACACGATTGAAGAGGAATCGACTCGGCTGGATTTTAGACTGAAGGACGGCATAGCAACAATGACTGAAGAAATAAGCACAGGTGAAGAAGACGGAGACAGAATCGAGGTACAAAATAGCAAACAAGAAGAAAGATAAGACAAAAGCACGAAGCGGCACACAAACCCACAGCTTTAGTTGAAATGAAGTTCAAGTTTGAAGACTGATCCTCGCACGTCCCTGCACATCGACCAACAACAACCAGAGAGGAAAGAAAAGAGAAACCAACAGCCACAGGCTGCCAAAGTTGATCGCAAAAGCTCCTTTGACCAGTGATGGGAGGGGGACTTCTTCCATTCGTCCTGCACAACATATCCCTCGACAAAGAGGGTGCGCGCCGAGTCGAACACATGGGCAAATGCTAAAAGGCGATGTATCAAGCAGGATACTCCTCATCTCAACGATTGACGAGGACATATGCACACACATGACTTCCCTGCGGAATGAATCTCACTCTCCACCTGCTGCATTGATTCTGTAGCGCCCCTTCCCTATCATTAAAGATTACCACAAATGACTGGCGCCAGGTGAGCTCACGCGATGGCAGAGACGCGGGCGTGATTTGTCATGTAAGAGGTGAATGTGCGCCTGCATGTGGTCGGGTGAGAATGGGAGCGGGAGATAGACAACAGTGCAATCTTGTGCTCTGATACAAGACAAGACAGAACTCTAGTATTAAAATGGTTCGTGACCGAAGATGCGAGACGAAAGACACAAGAAAGATAGAAAATCACTAATATAGTTCGCCGTTCCGAGCCGTAGCACCATGAAAGAGTGTTGAAAATAATGATGGGTAGGAGGACGAGGGCGTACAGAGGTCGTTCTATCGGATGGGGGAGAGGATAGCTCTTCCCTCGTTAAGGCGAGAAGACAGAGAACCTTGGCACATGAGAAGAAGCGTGAAGGGTGTAAACGGCGTGTTCAACCACACCATGAGAACCCACGGATTGCAGACATAAGAAAAGAAACACATATAGCCTTCTCTCCAGACCCAGTGTCGTTTTTCCCCTGCCAGCAGCAGCAGCGTCGGCATAGCCGAGCATGTACGATGAAATGGAATGGGAAGGAGGCGCATGGGCTATAACACATGATGTCGCATGCTGCCTGTCAAGCCTGCCGGGGACGTGGAAGACGGTGAAAAACGAAAGAAAGTCGAGATGCCAATATGACCAGGATATTTCGTAGAAGTACAAAATAGCTCGGGTTCCGCTTTTTCACTCAACCTGAAAAGGAGACCGGGAATAAGCCAAGGAACCGCGTTGAACGGAGAGACGAATGTCGTCACCTACCGCAGCAAAGCGCCTTCATCATTTTCTGCACAAAAGTAGGCTGCGGCTCACTATTCGCCGGACCACCGGGGCCTTGCTGACTGGTCTTCGCCGGATTTGCGGGACTGCCCATGTGCCCGGATATGTTGGCATTCGAGTTCTGAAACTGTGCTTGAGTCGAAGCCGCTGGTGTGGCATCAAGACCACCGCTCTGACGCTTCGGGGCCATTCCTCCGGACACGCTTGGCCGATCACGGGTCTTCCCAGCCCCAGGTTTAGCGGGAGAGGGAGGGGGAGGCTGCGCCGCATTTAGACGATCAGCAGTCACACCCGGTCGGCTACCCCGGAGCTGTTGGGCGTGGATTTCCCGCGCAGAGGAGTTGGGAATGGCATTGTTGTGAAGATGTTGTTGGGATGAATATGACTTGTACTCCCAACCTCTTCCATTGTTGAGTTTCATCCAGTCATACTCTCCATCCTCGACATCGCCGGTGTTCTTAAGAGCTTGTGTCATTAGATCACGGAGGTAGTCGTAGTCGGGGGTGTCTTCGAAGCCAAGATTGCGGACATAGGTCAGGTATTTTGTGAACTCTTCTGTTAAATCAGATTAATATTGATCGGAGGAATGAAGCTCGTGACAAGAGTCCTACCCGGAAAGCCATCACACAAATCCTTGATCGCAGTAGTCTGCTTCTTCTCACCAATCTTCTCATACTTCTGCTTGTTGGTAGCAGCTTTGAGACCCTGCCAGGGAAGTCCGCCTCTGAGGAAGTACAGGAAAACATGACCAAGCGCCTCTAGATCGTCACGGCGCGATTGTTCCCGTCCCAGATGGGTGTTGATACTCATGTAGCGGGCTGTACCAGACAGCGATTTCCGCTCACGGTAAGGGATGTGCTGCTTTGTCTTGGGATCTCTGTATTGCTTGGCCATTCCGAAATCAACCACGTGAATTACATTAGCGGCCTTGGTATTAGGGCGACCGATGAGGAAGTTGTCAGGTTTGATATCGCGGTAGATCAAATTCTTCTCGTGAATGGTTTGAACTCGAGACAGCTGTCGAAGATATTAGTTATGGATCAGACCGTCGAAAGGAATAACCTGGATCTCACCATCTGTTTGGCGACCATGACGACTGTCTTGATAGAGAACCGCCGGTTGCAGTGATCGAACAAATCCTCCAAGCTGGGGCCAAGCAAGTCAATGACTAGGATGTTGTGAAGACCCTCTTGACCAAAGTAGTAGACATTGGGGATGCCAGCTGTGTCGGATTAGGTACGATTCTGAGCGATCAGAGATAGGAAGCACTTACGACACCCGACGAGGATCTTATAAGTCCGGTATTCATCACGGAGCTGCGGGGCGTCACTCTTGCGAGGCTCCTGTTGACCATTAGTATCGTGGATAACAAGACCACGCCATCCCGTGCGCAATGTCACGTACAAATTTTATCGCCACCTGTTGGTTGTTCAATAGATTTGTGCCCTCGAAGATCACACCAAATGAACCTTCGCCGATCTTCTTGCCTACACGATAGTGAACGCCGACGACATTGGATGATGATGAAGCCATTGCTGCGAGAGTCGAATGAAGAAGACGAGAAACCGCAGACAGGACAGAGACCAGAGGGGGTGATCAGGGGACTTGGAGAACGACTTCACACGTGAGGTTAGCCAGGCCATTACATCTAAATGTCAATGCAGGAGACAATGGACTCAGAGGCAGTGATACCAAATAAGTGCTTGTCAGGGGGTGGTAGGGGGAGAGGGGAGGCGAAAGCGATGGTTCCCCCGGGGGGAGGGGGGGATGTCTCACAGCAAGTCCGATGTTTACCAAGCTCGACCCTGCATATGAAAATGGGACCCAGCAAGCAGCGGTGATGATTACGGAGAGAGATACCGACTGCGGGAGTTGACAAGACGACGGGCAGGGACAGCTGCTCGAACGATTGCGAGGACGAAGAATCGGAGGGGTGGCCAAATGGGATGCAGAAGTACCCTCGGAGGGGAGGGCGAAGAGGGAGGCGGCGAAGCGGCGTAGCGGCGGTCGAAAGAAGTTGGTTTGGTAGTGACGGGAGGGAAGAACCAGGGATTCCGGGGGGGTTGTGGTGAAATCGACAGGACAGATTCGGGCTGCAGGCTGTCTGACAGTTTCCAAGATGCTTCAGTACGCGAAAAGGGAGGAATAGATCCAGTAATCGAGATATCCGAATGAAAAGAGAGGTTTCAAAGCCCAATTCCCCTATAGTTCCTCAAGCGCGTGGCAGTCGCAGCAGGGCCTGAATGGGGAATGGGAGCTGGGGATGGGGAGATGGCAGTTGGAGGGCCGAAGCCGAAGGGAAGGAAAGGAACTGGGGATATGGTGATTCAAGAGGGAGGAATTGAGGACGGAGGTGAAGCAGTGAACACACCAAAGATTGGTATGAACCAAATTACTGCTACGGCCTGCCTACAAGGAAAGAAGAAGAAAAAAGGGAGGAGGAGAGGAGGAGGAAGAGGAAGAGGAAGAGGAGAGAAAACAGAGAGGAAAGAGGAGAAAATCGAGGCGGAGTGAGAGAGACTGAGAGAGACAGAGAGGATAGCTGTTGCTGCTGCTGTTGTTGCTGCTGCTGTTGCTAGTTACAACTGCTCTTGCTAGTCAGTACTGCTGGTGTACTCCGTACTGTAAGTACAGTATAGAGCCAGAGCCAGAGCCAGTAGTTACAATGCCAGTGCTCCCTCAGGCACTCAAATCAATCACTGAATTTGGCTAGGTACAGTACACTCAGCGGAGTCCTCTGGTCGGGTCCTGGTCTGGGTCTTTTTTGGCTCCTTTTTCCTACGGCCCAGTACGGGCCTCTCTCTCTCTCTCTCTCTTTCTGTGATCTTCCTCATCACCATTTCTTCTGCTCTTTTCTTATAAGAGTTTATCTTCTCATGAGTTGATATGATTTGATTCAAGGCGGCCTGATTGGGGCAGGTCTGTACTCAGAATAGACTGACCGAATTCATCATACTAAGTACAGTAACAAGTACAATCACAATATCAAGCTTGGGCAGTCAGTCAGTCCTTTTCCCACCCTCTATCTGCCCGGTTTTCTTTTCTTTTCTCCCCCTGGTCGGTATGGTAACACCTGGTATGGAATACCAACTACTAGGAGTGGGAACTAGCCGGGTGGTGATGGGCGGTGATGACCGGAAAGGCCCCCAAGCGATAGGGGAAGAAGGGCGGTAATCGGTCGGTTTCGGGGGTAGGTATTGTATACCTACCTAGTTACCCACTAGTAGTACCTAGGTGGCACCTCTTTAAGTCCTCCCTTCCACCTACCAACCTCTACTCCGTACTCCCTCTTTCGTCCTCTCTTTAGGACTGGTGAAAGTGATTGATTACTTTGAGACAGTGGGAATAAGCCATGCATGCATAGGTGCATGCTTTGAAAAACAAAAAAAAAAAAAAAAAAAAAAAAAAAAAACCACATCCCGTCGGTAAGGTACCAGAGTCAAATGTGGATTAAGTCCAATTATTCTAGAATTTCCCGTCTGGATTTGTTCTTGTTCTTGAATCAAATAATTCCTTGTATTCAGTTGATCAGCAACGACAACGACAACACCCATCATCGTCATCATCTACAACCGCTATAACAAGATTCAGAAATTGGAACGGGGCACACGGCAGACTTCCAGTCTCGCGCGTCTCCTGTTCTTCGCTCCTGCGCCCCTCCGGCCCCTCCCATCAAAAACTAACTAAATTGACCACCTAGTCTACTCCGTACTCTTCAGAACTAAGTGCTTCTTGGGTAAGTTCAAAGGCTCTATTAAATTCAGAAATGAGTCTCAATCACCCACACCCTCCAGTGGACTTCGGAAGCTTCGCTCCGGGCACCAGGGACGGAGTCACTAGCGGCGCCTCTAGGTAAATTAGCTCTATAAATGGAGATTTGGCTCGGCGCGATAATAACCCCGTTTGACGCGCCGTCCTCTTTCTTCTTCCTCCGGAGAGAGAGGTTCTGGCCAGTAGCCACTACAGAATAAAACGTAGCCAGAACCAATTCTTCAGCAACCATCGTCGACGCATGATGCTACTAGGAATGTGAGGTGAGAGGACCTGGCAAGGAAACAATGTACACAACAGCGCAGTCTTCCCCAAGTCGCATTAAACCTTACTCACATACAGTTTACGCATAGTTACTACGGTGACTGAATTCTACTTTCTTGCGGGCTTGACGGCCGTAATTTCCATCCGACAGGACAGGTACGGCTGTGGAATGAAGATGGATACGTACCCGTATCAACAGCTGGATGAAGATTTGGGTTAGTGCCAGTTGAGAGTGGGTTTCTCCTGTACCTAGGTTAGTGTCAGGTACCCCTCGATCGGTTATCCGATCAGGAAAGTCTCGGAAGAATCCATCGTGATGGTGATTATTATGTGAAACTAATATTGCAATAGAGAATAAGATTACCCCTGCTATTGATGGGGATATCTCAGTACTGGGCATTCACTCCAGGCAGCCTAAACGTTGCAGAGAGTAGCCGGCAAGAAGAGAAAAGACTAAGAAGGTGAAGAGTACTTCGTACTAGTACCTAATTACGAAGTAAGTAGGTACCTATGTACACGCCCGCGGCAGTGGTTCAAGTTACTATCATGGATCACGTACTTCTGTGTCGTTTTTAGGCTCAAGACTCCATTCGTCCTTTTTTGCCCCATGGGTACAGAGTTCCTCGTCATCCAATGATGACCCGTGAATGTTTTAGCTGTCAACCAGCGCTGAGTCGCTGACAGATTATATACTGATCGCTAAATAGGTGCAGTAGGGAACCAACTAACTTAACTGAGTTAACTGAATTTAAGTTACCTTGGCTGCTCTGTACAGTTCTGTATTCGCCAAGCATGTATGCATGTACACACTACGGAGTACAGAACACAGTAGAGACAATCCCTGAGGCTGTGATCTAGGTAGTCATCCATGATCCATCTAGGGAGAAGACCCCCAGAAAAAAAATGGCTTGATGCTCACAGCATGGAGTGCTGGCACGGCGCCCCTGATCAGTCGTGGCTGCGCCCTGGGGGCCACCATGCTTTAGGGGCCTCAAGCTACGACAGTCTTGGTTAGTCAAGAGGGGAAACTGCTGGAAGTCAGTGCAGTGGAGTTGTAAGACGAAAACGGAGTCTCTTGGTTGTGTCCAGTGTTTGTTCGGTACGCTACTGGTACCGTATGAAAATACACACTGGTCTACGAAGTACGGAGTAGTCCTTCCCGTGTTTAGAGCTATCTGAGACTACCGTCATACTATGTAGTGAGCATCTTCGAGGCTCAATAATGGCTCCTCTTTAAGTGGGATCCGGCCATGATATATCAAAACCATTCTCACTTCCTCATCCTATGAGGCTACCAAGTACTTACTCCGGAGTAGTATCAACTTACAGAGCCAGGTGAGCAGTACTTGGTATCATCCGTCCTCACCCCACCCAAAACGACTACCCACCACACTAAGTTCGTGTGGGATACGAACTTGTCCACCAGTTCCCGAGGTTGAGATCTGGAGACCACGGTCGTTGCGACGGAAAATCCGTCCAGCCTAGGAGCAGGTGCAGCTGAAAAAGTGACCCTTATGTTGTCTGCTGCATTCTGTATCGCTGGCACATCTCAGTTGATATTGGCGCGATGCATCTGACACGTCCAGGATCCACAAGTCATTGGATGACACTGACAGACCCCATTGTCTGAAACGTCTCTTATGCAGTCTTGAAACGGCTTGGCCAATGTCAAATGCCATGTGACGTGGGCAAGACTCGCTCTCGAGAATCGAGACTCGCGTCCAGTAAGATATTCTATGCTAGATAAGCGAAGGCGTGAAGCGCGGAAGGCAATCGACCAAGCCCTCGCCGCGTTGACCTGACTGTGATGACGATGTATTCATACAGAATTTGACAGGCGAGCTCTTATAACATATCATCGGCCGGTAGATCCTCGGCCTCGCTACCGAGCTCTTCCGCCACCAGGTCTCGACCATCTACCTCGTCTTCCTCTATATCATCTTCCTCCTCATCGTCATTCTGGCCATCGTCGTCGTCTTCATCTTCGCTGCTGCTGCCGCTTCCATCGCTGCTGCTGCTGCTGCCAGGGTCATAATCTTCCTCGTCCTCCTCTTCTTGATCTTCAAATTCACGTTGTGCCTTTTGCAATTCAGTCTCTTCTTCCTCAGCAGCCCCTTCGTTACCAGCGGCCGCGTCCTCCACGGTCTTGGTACCGTTAATATTGTAGCGCTTTGCACGACGAGCTTCTGCAAGACTGGCATCTTGTAGACCGTGCTTCTTTATATAGGCGTCGATCGCGGAGAAGTTGGCCTGGTCAATCATGGAGAACTCGAACTCCTGTGTTTCGTCACTGGCAGTTGGACGGGCCAGAATGTTGAGATTGAATGTTCGCTGCAGGACTGATGTATAAGAAATCGAGTCAATGTTCTCAAAAGCAAAGAAGATCAAAGGCTTTTTAAAACCAAACAAAATCCCAGTGGAGAGAAGGAACAGATACCCTAGGACGAAAGCCGTTAGTCAAAGCCAATGGAAGCTATACAGCTGGTTTGGGGTGATCCTAACCATCTTTACTCCCGCGATGGGCCTTCACATGAAAGGCCTTCTCGCCCTTTCGATGGGCCTCCGGTATCGCACTGACGAATTGCCGCTCATCGGGGCGGATCACCTTCTGCGCCAGGTTCTCGTTCAAAAACTGCTGAACCACCTTCTCCGCGGTCTCGCCCTCGGCTGTCCCCAGTTGCTGGCCAGCTCCTGAGAATGCTGCTTTGGGTGGCGCATCGGCCACCGTCCACACAATACATTCAGGAGCAGCGACACCTTCGGGCGGGACATTTATACCGTCGCTATAACGCGGGATAACGCAGAAATTGAACTGTCGTTGATTCTTTTCAGGAACCGGAAGACACAAAACGTGCTCTAGTAAGCACCCAATCAACATTAGCTGCAGGCTTCACACTCTTTGCAGGTAACTGTATCAGAAGGCAACGCACGGATCTTGTCTAATTGAACTCCAAACTCCACCTCTTTCGTCGCCTGGTTTCTCGCACGGAGGAAACCACCACCAGCGGTAATTTCCAACGTCAGCTTCTTCCGCTGCGGCACAGCAAAGGAAACATCCTGCATGTAGAATAGTAGCGGTGCGTCGGCTTTCAATTCTCCTGGAGATTGCTGTGCAGCGCCAGCTGTGTGATTTCCATTACCATTCAGGATTTTCCGCTTCTTTGCAGCTGGGCCATCGCCACTATCGGCCTCGATGGGCAAGACTCGAGCGTTGGTGGCAGTCCTGGCCAGCAGGCTGGAGGTATATCTGGCGATGTCCTCGAAAAGCGGCGCAGACTGTGGGGTTTGTCCTATTCAAGAAGAAGAAAGAGAAATTAGGATCAACGAGCCATGAATCGGTGTCCTCGGCGAAAACAACTGAACCCTTTGCGAGCGACATTGTGGGGGCGGAGGCGGAGGGCACGGAAGGGAATGAATGGCCCTTTTGTGACCAAAAGTCTTCACGTACTTATGGCATCATAGACGCGTTTCTTGAGTGTAGGTTCGGCGGCGAAGGCGTTGTCAATTATAGGGTTACTTGGCATGGGTGCTGAGAAAGAGGAATTGATTGTGGCAAATGCCATGATGAGGAGGGAGAGGTGGAGGAAGATCGATCAATTGATAGGTGGGTAATTATGTAAAGGACTAGATGTGAATAGCTCAATGAGGGTAGATATATAAATCCGATAAATGGAAAAGAGAATGTTGCATGAGCCGTACGAGGAGGGTATTTAGGTAAAAATGAGCAAGTCGAGGATTGTGCGGTAGAGAGGTTGAGGGAAGTAATGTGAGTGAAGTAGATGGAAGAAAGAGAAAGGATCGCACTCCTGCCTCTGTCTACTCATAATTTGCCTGGCGGCTTGGTAAACCGGGAGCACGCGCGCCAAAAGGGCAATGGGGAAACTAGCCCCTCCTCCGACGATAAATCAGATTGCTTCATAATTATGGATCTTTGCTTGCCAATTTCAAGATTGCTGCATTGGTTGTCTCCGAGAAATAGTAGGTCATTACCACCGAAACTGCTATTAACATCCCGTCCACGAGACTTCAATACAAGTCAAATTCTATGCTACAAGCGGTACTATTGTATACACACCCCATTGTGAATAATAGAGAAAAGTCGCAGAAAGGGGAGGAAAAAAACGGATCACCATAAACAGCCACCATGCTCTCGTCAATGACCAACAATCGATTATTTCGAACAGGCGATTAGGCCTTCTTCGCGGCCTTCGAGTTTTTGCTCATAAAATTTTCAATGAATCCACGCGTCTCGGAGCTCAGTTTGTAGTTCCCATCAGCATCCAGGCGCTTCTGCCGATTCCGCTCAGCGCTCTGTAAAATCCGCTGCCGTACTTCAGCCCCAGGAGTCCATAGAGACTGCTTCTCGAGGTATTCGCGCTTGTAGTCTTCCATCTTCTTTTTCTCGACCCACTCAGGATCGTGCCTGGTTCGGTATTTCGAGTATGGGTTTCGAAGCTCGTTGATGACTGAGGCGGGGAATGGCGCGTACTGAAGCGACGGCAACCAAGTAGGCGTCTCGACTTCCATGCGGAGGGTATCCCAGTCTTCATCTTTCGGCGCTGGAGGCTCAGCCTTTGGCCAGGGAATCTCAATGTTTTCACCAGCGATATATCTAGTGTGTTTAGGGGTCTCGACTCCATATCCGCGTTCGAGAATGGGCCCTCCACCGTAGACATGCTCCACCAAGACATCTCGCGTTTGGCCGGTAGTCGGGTCATCGAGGGCGACAACGAGGCAAACATCGTCCAACGAGATGGGAATGTTGACAGTCTGGAAGGGCGATTTTTCTCCATACTGTTCGGTCAACCACTCCGGGAAATAGATATCGGCCTGTTTGAGGTTTGGCAGCGGTCAGTCGAGTGCACTATACTTGCCGAGAGGAGCAGGAGAAACTGTACCATATTCAAGTCCTTAACTATGACCGTCTCATTGTTAGGGTCTACCTTGATGACCTCGTTGATCTTGCCCTTGTCCCTGCCCTTCATCATACACACCCGATCACCCGGCGCGATGTTGATGTATTTTCTCCGCAGATGCTTGGGAATGGTCGGAGGGTTCAATGCCTGCGGAGTCAGGGCTCCAAATTTACTTCCTGAAAGAGCAGCATCACGCTGAGGGGCCAACGGTCCACGCATCCAGTCTTCACGGCGACGGAGTCTCTCCTCGCGGAGATTGTCGAGCTCCAGGCGCTTGTAGGCGAACCGCTGGCGGAGCGTGTCTTTGTATTCTTCGCGTTCTGTGATCTTGGCCGCACGAATAGCCTTGCGCGTGGCCTGGTTTCGGGCCTGCGCCGTTCTCTGAATGACTTTCTGCATGGTGATCTGTCGTGGTGCCAGCAATGGCCGTCTTGTCCCACTGAATTGCGGCCTCGTTCAATCTCGGGGATGGGAAAATTGCGGCCCTGTCCCAGTCACGTGGATTCATCCCTCCAACCAATCAGATCTCATTTCTCCCCGCATTCACTCGATCGTTCTGTATACCTATTGTATACGGAGTAGAGCTATGTACAACCTTACAAAGTTATTACCGAGTGACTGTATTCGTCGCCCATTACAGGGCTGCAGGTACTGTCTGAATAGTGTCCACGAGCAATGGAGTTTATTGCACTATAAGTACGATAGTTATGCCAAGCATGGAGCTGACTGAATCAACCGCAAAATGGGAAATTTAGATGTCCGTAGTTGAGTCTAAGGACCCATAGCAATGATGTGAAATTCGATATTGACTCGCTGCTATATATGTCCAGTTATTAGTCAAATCGGGATTGTAATGCAGTAGTAAGACCTGTTCGATACACTGCATAAGCGACTATTTGAGGGCTTGTCTTAGCCGAGCAAGAGGTCATGTCGCCGAAGCCAGCATCGAAGAAAATGGGGTCATTTCCTAGTGATTCATCTAGGGGCCAAGTGAGACACTATATAGAAATAGCGTCCCTGTCAGCCGTTCAAGGCGAAGATGCACCGATTTGCGAGGTTCCTTAGATAAAGAGAGCCTCCATTTGCCGCTTGGCAGGTGATAAGTGCAAGCTCGCGTGATTCATTATGGCTCGCTCAGCCGCCAGGCTTGTCTTCCAGACCGCGTCGATAGTGGCCACCGGAGGAAGGGGGTTGGCAACGCATTGAATCTCCACAACTTGCGAGGGATTTGCTGATCATAGGATGTCGTCAGAATGAAATGCCGGCCGTCATGGACGGCGGCAACCTAGCCTCTTCTCTTCCCAGCTGCAGTTGTGATCGATGTATGGTATTCGCAAAGGACCCCCCAACCAACGTCAAGCCTGGGCAGCTTCACCAACTAATATTAGTCGGTAAGTGTGGGCGACCCAATCAGCGGGACAATCGTCTCAGAACTGGGACAGAATTAGTGCGGCAGCCCTGCGATTCTGATTGGAGATGAAGCACTCTATGATGATCTGAAAGAACAAATACGATCGATGGATGTGCATAACTTTGCTGCACTTGGAACGGCAAGGCTGCTGGCAGGTTATCTATGGCGGAGAGTATAGCAAGGCTAGACTCGGAAACGTGTCTCAGCCATTTTGCGCTACAGAAGTACTAGTACAGTGGTAAGTTGTCTGGGTGGGTATTTTTACCTCGTAATCGCAAAGGATGACATGCGGCTGGCTTGTAACTTGAAAGGGTGATAATGCGAAGGGAGTCGACCGCCATGGTTATGGGAAAGGGGCCCTGCATCGTAGTATAATTCGAAAAGCAGAATGGGCCACACTTGATAGGGAGGTCTACTGATCTTGACTGATGACGTAACCAGGATAGAGAGTACGTACTCCGGAGTACTGGTACTTAATCGCAGCATGATCAGGGGCATCGACGATCACATACCCTTAGTAGTTGCACCGCCACGTATCATTCGTCTTGGGAATCGGTACGGAGTAGATGCGGGCGCAAAGCACATCTATAAGAGAAATCATCTTTCACTGTCACTGTGTGGTTCTAGTACACCTTTGAAATTCCTTCAAGTGAGAAAACTGTAGTTGTTCACATTGGGTGATTCACAAGTTTCCAGTAGTCGCTACTGAAGGCTGTCATGTTTCTTTTAAAAAACTATAGCGGTCATTTTGTTGCTGCGACGCAGTCCAACTGCAAGGGTGTACTGGAGGCTACGAAGACTAGACTGCATAACCCGTAGTCGCGCGCGATCGTTGATGCCATCTTTCCTGTGTGTAGTCAGTCATCCTCGCGTAGGGTAATTTTTGCACCGCAGAGCCAACGGCCGTAGTGAATTGAATTGCAGGGAGTCGTATGTTGTGTCATACATGACTTGAAGGGAGTTACCTTTTCTTTTTGAATTACCGTAGGCGAACAGCACAGCTACTGTACAGTACTTTGTATAGTTTATAGTTGAAGTGATTCGCAAGTCACGAATCTCAGCACAGTGCCTTATTGGCAGCGAAGATCATCTGGATAAGGCAACCAAGCCAGGACCCGGCCGCCCGTAGACACAAGCACAGAGCAAAGACTTCCCGATCTCCTGTTATTATTCCCCATCAGTGTGCCACAAGCCTCTGTGAAGAAGTCCAGAATAGTGCCTTCAAATTTCGTGCGTACAAAACTATCAGCTGTGGGTTTCGGCCGAGCCGCTGCTGATAAGTTCTTCTATCTGGGCTCCTCCTATTCCTGACTTTCGAGCATCCATGTACGATGCCTTCCAAACAGGCGATGAAGAGCTAAGGTGACGACATGCAATTCAAAGCCGACGCGGAACGGGGAATGAATTCCTTAGATTTGAACCAAAAAAGAAACCTGGGACCAGCTCCATGGAAGCCTGGAAAATTCTGATTGGCCTGGCCTGTCCTTTAATGATATGTTACATAGTTGTACTGCCAGCCGAGTTACTGGGGTACCTGTAGTTAACTTGGTGAAAAAATGAGTATACTTCAGTACCGTACCATACCATACTCAGAGCGGTCAGTGGTATTTTGCTCCTGTCTTCAGCCACGGTGGCTTTAATTGGAATGAAGGCAGCAGATTAGGCAGCTAAGTAAGCAAAAATGACCGGACAGGTCAAGTAGGTACCTACTAGTAGTCAAACAGGGTTAGCAGCCGCAAGAAAATGCGACAAGATAAAGGAGGTTCGGGTCATACCTCGGGGAAGAAAGGAGTTCAAGGCAATTCGACCACAGCCTACACAATGACTAGTAGCATAAAGTTGTCATTGGCAAGCCGATGAGGTTGAAAAAGACGAAAAAGAAAAAACTCAAGGTTCAGCTGACAAAGCGGAGAAAGCAAAGGAGCTAATAATAATAATAATAATAATAATGGCAAGTCAGGACAATAATAGAATAACTGAAGAAGGATGATGGTCAATAATAATGAGGGAAAGACAACGACAGAACAGTGAAGGAAACAGTCAGTTGTCACAGCCACATTCATGACATCTTAACGAGGAGGGTGGGGGAAAGGAAGAACCTTGAAAATGATTTGTTTTAGGGTATTTTAGTAAAAGGATAATTAGAGAGGCTGACAGTTATGAAAGTTACTGGTCTACCGGTAACTACTCCTTCATAACCAGCACAGGCAGCACAGTAAGCTAAGGAGGAGGAGGAGGAGCAGTACCGGTAGTAGGTAGTTATTAGTAGGAGGAAATAGTTCAGTAGTAGTAGTTAGTAGTAGTTAGCAGAAGCAGCAGTAGCAGTAACAGCCGCAACAGCAACAGCAACAGCAGTAACAGCAGCAGTAATAGTGGTAGCATTCATTACTTACACTCACCACCACCATTCATTCTCTCTCTCTTCCTCTCTATCAACCCCATCCATTCTTCTTCCGCTTCCCTCCTACTCTCTCTCTCTCTCTTTCTTTCTTCCTTTCCATCATCCCTCTCACTGCATAATCTCCTCCCTTTTCTTGGGAGATTCTTCTACTGCTGTCCCCTGCCCTTCTAAACTCATCTTTTGGGTTTCTTCTTTCAAAATCTAGACTCTTTCATTCTCTCTCCGGCCCTTCCTCACCCCCCACCCCCTACTCTCCCTCCCATATTTTAATCCGCGCCCGTTGCGCCTACTCCCGTGCACCGTACGTGATAACCCTTTTCCTCGGGCGCCTGACTGGTCCCTTTCTCACTCACTTGCTCACCCATTCTCTCTCTCTCTCTCTCTCTCCCTTCGACCTCCATCTCGCTCCACTGCAACACTCTTCCCCCTCACCTTCCTTCCTTCTGCCAGATTCAATTTCCATCTACAAACCTACCACTCTTTTTCTTTCCTGCTCTCCACTACACATCCTTTCCCGCTCCTTGTCGCATATTGCTCATCTTTGTGCTGATTCCCATCTCACCATCAAGATGGCTGAGATTCGTCGCAAGCTTGTTATCGTCGGAGATGGTGCCTGTGGTAAGACCTGTCTGTTGATGTAAGTTCTCCATCCTTGAAAACACCTTTCGTTGTAAGAGCCAAATGGCGAGTACTGACTGCATCCTCACCCCCCCTTTAGTGTCTTCTCCAAGGGCACTTTCCCTGAGGTTAGCCTCCGTCTCCTATCCTTTCGTGGATCTCCACGCTGCTATCCCCCGGTTCCATTCAAGCTCGACGATGAACGGTCGTGGAGCTGTTCATCGAACCTCTTGATCCAGTTGGACTAATTAAGGATAATGCCTTAGGTCTATGTCCCTACTGTCTTCGAGAACTACGTCGCCGATGTTGAGGTCGATGGCAAGCATGTTGAGCTCGCCCTTTGGGATACTGCTGGTCAGGAAGATTACGATCGTCTTCGCCCTCTCTCATACCCCGACTCCCACGTTATCTTGATTTGCTTCGCTGTCGACTCCCCCGATTCCTTGGATAACGTCCAGGAGAAGGTGAGCTATGTCTCCATCCTCAACCTGGAGGATGAATCCTACGCATTTCATCGCCGTTCTCCCAAGTCATCATGCTAATGACCCTTTAGTGGATCTCCGAGGTTCTGCACTTCTGTCAAGGTCTCCCTATCATTCTTGTTGGCTGCAAGATGGATCTCCGCCATGACCCCAAGACTATTGAAGAACTCCACAAGACCTCTCAGAAGCCGGTTACCCCTGAGCAGGTGAGTCCATCGAGTGCAATAACAAGTTGAATTTGAAGCAGTTTCTGACGTTTCTGAAGGGTGAGGAGGTCCGGAAGAAGATCGGTGCCTACAAGTACCTCGAGTGCTCTGCCCGTACCAACGAGGGCGTTCGTGAGGTTTTCGAGGCGGCCACCCGGGCTGCGCTCCTGACCAAGGCCCACAAGAGCAAGAAGAAGTGCACCATCCTGTAAACTAGTCGTTTCCTTCGCAAAAGGTCTGTTTCGTGCGGAGATTATATGAACGGATAAGCGTCTCGAATATTTGGTTTCTATTATTTCACTCCGAAAGGGTCCTCCGTTGAAGTGTTCCAAACTGTGCCTGGATGCGAGCGTGGATAATGTTCAATCACGGGCACATGAGCTTCATGGGTTTACCTGGCTATGCAGTTGGTCGAATTTCTTGTTTTGCAGACTTTGTTTTCTAGGGAGGCGTTGTTCTGTCTTCATAACCTTGTGGGGTTTCTTATCTTTTATTTTCCGGCTCTCCATAGGCGCCTACGGGGCGGCTCGTGATCTTCTACTATGGCAATTTGGCGCCGCGTTGCTGCCTGAGAAGAGAGAGGCCTTTGGTGCAACGGGTTATGGAGATAGGAAGTGGCGCAAGTTGACGCGCACGCAACCCTTCTCTATCCACATGGTTTCTTCGAGCTCGATCTCCCTGAGAAAAAGTCTGGTGCTCGAGAAAGTCTGCAAGTCTGCACGACTGGCCAGATGGTTCTACATATTTGCCTCGACTCTCGGATTTCCTCACCACAGTCTCATCATGATTAACAGATTTCCCCTACTCTGCCATGCTTTAATTTGTTATCCTTGTTTGTCTTCTTTCGGTTAAAGAGAATGCATGGAATTGTCACTAGGTTTGAACCTTTGCCCTTCTGCCTCCCGTCAATGTTCTCTATTCTGTGCAGGCGATGCGATCTTGATCACTATACATTTGTCTTTTACGGTGGATGTTGAGCTATGAAGAAAGAGAGAATAATGAAGCGAATCTCGTACCTGTCTCATCATCTAATGACCGGCGCAACACTCTCCTCTGACATGCGTGGGATGTATATCCCTTGTAATTTGATATCCAAGCTGACTATTCACTCACGAGGCTTGTGAGTTGCGCGTGATAAGAACTCAACGGTAGAGAGAATTCACTTCACTTCACACTTCATGGGTTGACCGGCAAGTACATACAACCGCTTCATTGATAATACAGCAGCTAATTTAGCAGGAATCTGACACAGGCACGGAAGCTATCTCCGATACGTATTTTTACGCTGGCTCTATTCAGTTTGACCAGTGGGCTTCCGTGTCTGTCTCTGGAACGAGTCATTGTCATCTTTCATCGGCGAGGTGGTTGTAGTACATTCGTGTTTGTCATCGGCGAAGTGACCCTGTTCGACGATTGCAACTATGGCTCATGTCTGGCTAAGCCTTGGACTCGGCATCCTGGCCTGCATCTATGTAAGTTCGGCCGCTGGACTGTTGGCTGTTGTGGGTTGTCCGCCCCAGATTTGCTGGTTCTTCAAGGACTAAGGATCGAGAGCAGGTGGATAAGGTTGATGCTTGACCCTGTATTTGATCGTACGGTTCTCATGGGAACAAAAAATGTAAAGGCTTGGGTCCACGTCAAAATAACTGAAGGCGCCCATCGCTAAACCTATTTATTCAAACTCAATAGATTACCAATATACCGTCGGGCATCGAGGCCCAAGCCCTCCACAAGTTTTGCGGGCCCTGTGTCGGCCCTTGCCGCTTGCAGACCCGGCGATGAGGCGCCTCCCAAGTCTCGAAAGAATCTGGAGCCGCTACCGCTGCGGACATGCCCTGATGAGGGGATGTGGTCGCTTGATCGCCGAATGAGGAATGCCTCCTGTTGCGCACCACCTCCACTACTTTCACCTTCTCCAGCACCGCCGCCGCCGCCGATGGTGTCGGCAAGAGTGCTTGTGCTTGTCCCGGCCACAGAAGCCCTTCCTTGTTCTGGCTGAGATGGGAAATCATCAGACATCCGCATCCAAACGATCCACCAGCCGCGACTGGTCTTGCAGGTCCTTTCCACCTCCAAAGGCCGAGAACGCGTTTCTGTATAAGTGCTGAGGAGTCGGTGGTGGATATTGAGACTTTCCACCCTCGTCCATGGTTGAGAAATGGCGGAATCTTGTGTTTCCATTTCGCTAGAAACCCCCAAGTCGGGGATGTTGGGAATCGAGGAGCGGACCGTTAAGTTCGTGGAATCATAGACGAGATTGTAGACTTCTTGGCTCGGGGATGTGAATCGGCTGGTGGCTTCGAGGGCACTATCCGATACAGCGATCCGCTTCGCTGCAGTGGCTGGTGAAGTGGAATTGCAGAGCGATTTATGGAGAATGCTCATTTGGCTGCGGAGTTCGTGGTAAAAAGATGGCTGCGATAGAGCAGGTGCTGAAGGATCGAAGAGGAAAGTGCATATGAATGGTTGATGCTGTGAATCAGTCAGTGAACCGTCCATTAAGCAGCATGTGAGCTTAAAGCACAACTCACTACATAGACAATTGTTCGTAACTTGACTGAGCCTAAGGTGCATGTGTTTAGCCACCAAGTAATTCCGCGTCCACTTGAAATGAAGTATTCACCTGTGGGAGTTTCGTCCAGAGGAACAGCCTCTTCAAAAGGGACTGTCAATTGAACATGCAGTGTTCTTTGATCTATAGTATGTCCAAGTTCCGCGGTGGCCGTGTTCTTTACTTCGTCGCCCACCTGAGAAAGCGCCAAGGTGCTGGTGCTTGAAGCATCGTGGAATCCAATAAGGAATCTGCCACAGTTCTTGACCTTGTCCCTGGCCTCGAAGTCGGCAGAGTCCCCTTTAATCGCACCCTCAGCATCTGTAGGTGATCTCTTATGCTGATTCGAAGTCGACGATTCGTCCTCTCGCCTCAAGGCTTCGACACGAGGATGTGGGCTAGCTGTTCTAGGTGATGGTCCCCAAGATGAACCATACCCCAATGTGAGATACTTCATGAACGTTTCGGTTCCGGGCACCATCCAATCGATCCCGCGGTCGCTTCGGACTGAAGAGCTGTCACTGCTAGTGATAGAGTTGGTTTTCACACCGGCCCCTGCTAGCGATTGTGAAGCGTCCGAGGTTCCTAGCACAAGCGGACGAGGTATGCCGGGTGAAAACGAGCGATTTAGAGCTGCATCGTCCAAAGGATAGACGGTAGATCCATCTTTATGGCTGGCCGCTTTCGCAACTGGAAGCCTGTCTCGATGCTTCTTCCGATTTCTCCGCCGGCGGGGGCAAGCCAGATAGTCGCTCACTGCATAGGCGTCCAGGCCGCATCTATAAATCCATTCCATCCACTGAGAAACTCTCACGATTGAGGTTCTTGAAAGAGCACCAACCCCAGAGAAGATGACTCCATCTGAAGGCTTGGGAGAGATATCCGCACCGAGCCAGGGTTTTCCGTCATTATTCTTGCCCCAGGAGTCTGCCCCTCTTTTGCTTCGAGAAGCAGATCCCTCTAGAGAAGGACAAGGTTCTCCGAATCGCGAGACAATCAAGTCCAAGAGCCCATCAGTCCTAGATACAAGGTCCTCCAAGACCTCTCTCTCTCCGCTGCCCCATTCTTCCTCGCCGACACCAATCCCAAGCTCACCTCCGGCGGAGAGCTTGATGCCATCATACATATCGACAATGGGATTCCCGCTGAGAAGCATTTCCCAGCTCCAGGCGAATCGCCACCAGAAGTTTTCGAGAAGAGTACAAAAGGTGGACCTGCCAACCTGATCGTAGAGAGCGTCGAGTGTGAACTGATTGTGTAGCAGGAAGATAGAGTGTGCCCGGCGCATTTGTTGTATCAAGAGCTGCGGAGGGCACATCTCCCTTGAAGAATATGTGAAGCTAGGAGTGACTGAAGCATCGCGTTGGGACAGGGTGGCCGGATCGATTGGCAGTCGAGTCAGGTCAACGGACTACAGAGATCTCAGCAGCTATTGATGACATATGGCGACATGGGCCACCCACTGCTAGGATCCACCAATCCTGCTCGAGCTCATGCAAAATGATCTGCGACTTCTCAGTTTCCACATAATCTACAGCTTTGCCCTCTGAGAAGTTCCTGATATCCCAGATCAGCCAATGGACTCTCCCAATCCTCGACAGGGAATTCTCCTCACCTAGCGAAGCCCACTATCCCCTGGGCCAGCCCTATCTGACGCAACTTATCATTCCAACTGTCATTAGACTCCTTGACGCCATCTTCAGGATGTAAGCTATCCCTTCGCGGTGAACGATCTGATCTCGACGTATAGAAGACGATCTGATCCTGTATTGTTTCGTCTGTCGGGCCGAGGCGGGGGTTGTAAATGGCGAGAAAAGACAGTTGCGCAGGAATCACCGATGCAGAGGCATTATCAGGCATTTCGCCATTGATCTGCGTACCTCAAATCACTGACCACCGAGCAGCAGCGTTGTTGGACACAACAGGCGAGTTGGGTTGATTATCGCTGATCGAGCTCTTTGACGGGGATGTTATCAGAAGGCGGTGACATCACGTGGCGGCATGTTGGCGATTCTCCCGAAGCTACAGCAACGGGAGGTTGTAAATAAATTTGAGATCAATCAGGCACCGTTGCACCATAAGAGCTTCAGATGCATGCCATGCTGCTCTTTCGGGGGCCGGGGATCTTATGTGGTGTTCGGCCGCTTCGCTATTCGTCAGTGTTCGCGCATCGCTACCTAGCGACTAAGGCCTACGACCCTCTCCGCATCCTCTTCTGCGGGTCCGATGAGTTTAGCATTGCTTCCTTGAAAGCGCTCCATGCGGAACATGTCTCTCGGCCGGACCGCATCGCCTCCATTGATGTCGTTTGTAGGCCTGGTAAAAGGGTCGGGCGAGGGTTAAAGAAGATACAGGAAGGTATATCATCGCGCATGAAAAGACCAATACGAATATACACAGCTGACTTGCCCCGTGGATCCAGTCCCCATCAAAGCAGTCGCACAAGACTTATCGCTTCCCGTCCACGAGATTGATACTTTCCGAGGCTGGACGGTGAGTTATGGCTGTTGATCGCCTACAAAGCATGTCTTGTTAACGCTCATAGCCCCCTGTTCTGCCAGCAGGTCCCATCAATCTGATCGTCGCCGTCTCCTTTGGACTATTCGTGCCACCTCGAATCATCAACGGCGCCAAATACGGAGGGCTCAATGTGCATCCCTCTCTACTTCCCGAGTACACATCTACCATGACTGTAGACGGTAAAATCAGCCATGCTAACGAGAACGCTCAGCTTTCGTGGTCCCGCTCCGCTACACCACACACTCTTGAACGGTAGAACCAGGACTGGCATCACACTGCAAACTTTACATCTGAAGCACTTCGACCACGGTACCATCCTGGCGCAGACTCCAGCCCCTGGATTTGACATACCGACCCCAGCTTCGTGTACAGTCCCGGATTTGTTGAATGTTGTTGCTCCGAAGGGCGCGGAAATCCTGGTGGCGGGCATTAGGGAGGGACTTTTCGTCCCACCCGTGAAGGATGCGGGTTGGCGCTCTACAGTGAACGACAGCCCCCTCATTCATGCTACAAAAATTGTTCCAGAAGACAGGCATATCGACTGGACAAATTGGACGCTGCATGAAATCCAGAGAAGACACCAGGTGCTGGGTCCGCTTTGGAGCAAGTCCCTTGTCGCCCACGGCACATCTGACGGAAAGCCCGTTTTCCAACACCGGCGCGTCATATTCTCTGGATTTGAAGAAGTGGAATTGTTGAAGGGCTGCGACCAGTTTTCGGTTGTTCCGGGCCTGCCGTTCGTAGACGGCGCCCATCCAATCGAATTAGATAAAGGAAACGGCGTGTACGTGTTCACGCGGGACCGCAAGTTGGTCAAGATTCATTACATGAAGGTTGAAGGTGAATTGAATGCCGATGCTCTTCGAGCCGCTCGTAAGGCTCGTATGATAGGCGAACGGACGTTCTATTCAGGTGACACCGGTTATACACCGTTTTACAACCCCCTGCATTGATCACGGTAAGTTGAGATTGAGAAATTCCACTCATGACTTCGAGACGCCTTTATTCACTATCTCGGTGGCAATCAAACAGGTCTCCACACGCCCAGCATCGCAGACTATCGTACTCCACGATTCTATTTTCTACATGATCGCGAAACCGGCATCTGTAGGATTAGTCCTGAAGGAACTGGTATCGGCTGGAACACATACCGATTTGAATTGCTTGTCCGATCATAGACGTATTCTGTGCCAGCATGACATACGCATTGGCGGTGTCGTCCAGGTCAGCCTAGCAGCGGCTCTATTAGCAGTAGCATTGCATGGTAAAGGTAAAGTCGCACCGTTTTCTTCAGAACGACCCTGTTCTTATACGCTTCAATCGCCTCGGGAGGGAAGCGCATGCCCTAAGGCAAAGTTAGCCTTCTCTTTCCCATTATCCACTTGAGATTCTTGACTTCCTTACCCACTCAGTAAGCAGGATACCGGGCAACATCGCATTAACGCGGGCTTTGCTTCCTTGGTTCTGTGCAAGACATTTCATGAGATGCAGTCCTAGTTCCAGGCTTAGCAATCTGGATACGGCTGAGGAGTCGATGCAAGTTACCTGCTGCCTTCGTGACAGCATATGGTAGACTGCTTCCAAACACTGCCACGCCTTACCAAGTCACATCAGTGTTACGGTTTTCACCATCGAGATTGTCTCATCGATGACTTACCGCAGTAGATGATGTTATAATGAAAGCACCACCCTCAGGTTTAGCGTTGAAAGTGGGAAGGGCCGCCTTGAACAGGTACAAGCTGCTTTTGACATTCGTTGTCCAGCACTGTGCGGCTCAATTAGCTTACACGCCCGGTTCTGAACATTGTTTTCAGGTATATATACCCTGTCCCAATCGTCATCATCCATAGCATCCAAGTCACTAAAGACGGTGACCTTGATCCAGCCCTTCATCATGTGTCACTGATGGATCAACTGCTTCGAAGAGAGATAGGAAGGCGCCGCTCACAGCGTCGGAAACCACGACATCTATGCTCGATGGTAGTTCTCACGGCGCTAATACAATCATCCTTGCGACTGGCATCCTTTACCCTCTCAAGTCGTGTCGTCAGCTCTCTTCTTCTGACGTTGCTCTTCAGACGTACACATGACCTACGCCTTGGATATAGATTGTCTTGACCTTGTATTGCTTCCGAAGCTGTGCCACGAGCTTTTCGGCTGCCTCTCTGTTCGAGAAATAGTTGATGGCGACGTTACAGCCTATCGCGGCATACTTTCGGGCCACAAGAGCGCCCAGAACCCTAGTATCACATTGAGATCAGTTGAACAATCGCGAATTGTCAGGGCATTCATACCTTGAGTCAGCAGTGATGAGGGAATTGCGATTGCACAGGGATTACATAATGCTGTTTTGAGGTTGTAGCAGAGTGGATAAGTAGTACGTACTACTGGGTAAAGGCAGTGTGGGATCTAGCGCTGGAACATGACTGGGACAAGAGAATTGTAAGCTTTATATTGCAGCTTCTCAATATGAATGGGCTGTACAAGGAGGGATTCGTCCAACGAGCCTGTTTACTAGGGAGCATGAACTCAGGTACCTCTGCCTCAAGGGAGCTCTCAGGCCGCACTACTCACCGTCATATCCTCGGGCTCACCGCTACAATACATGGATCATTTCACTCTCTATGAGTAGTACTCAGTAGTCAGCTGTAGGAGAGTCATTCCCAGTGTTCACAAGCTGATCCCGATCGACAGCACTTCCTGCCCAAGCCGTTCATGTCCGATGAGCCACCAAGGCAGATCCTTAGGTCACTTGAATATGATACGCTCTCTTGGGGCAGTGGGTGATCATACGCATAAATTCATAATCTTTTTCTACTATAATATAAGGATAGTTTATGCGCTGGTCTCGCAGACATCCCCAGCATTGAAACACCAGATACACTCGAGGATGAAGAAAGAGATATGATATGGAATGCAAGACCGGGGGTCGGTAATACTTGCTCAGAGATTGTTTTCATAAGCTTCTCAATCTACCAGGGTACCGACATATTCGGCCTGCCTCATGCCTCTCCATGCCTTCCTGCCCGCCAGCTCTGGCCATTGAACGAGGAACCGATCCGCAAAAGGCAGCAGGAGTTTGCCGGAGAGGCTTAGAGTGGTAACCCGTGCCCAGGATTCTACGAAAATTGTGCGAAGCTTGAAATCGCTCGACAAGGTGGTGTCCGATCCAGAGTGAGACCCGAGACCAACCGCAACATGCAAGGCGTGCCATAGTCGAAGTAGCCTGGCGGCCAGGATGACGCAGACTGCGGTGGCCGGCCCGTTAGTCAAGATGATGTCCGGATATCGTGAGTGGCTCGGCTGTGGAGGAATATGTTTCTGATCTGGGTGTAAGCCCCGTAGCACCAGAAGGCAAGACCAGAAGGAACCGAGGGTAGAGAAGGGTGCAGTCAGGTAGGATTGGTGCACGCGACGGGCGCGCGGAACTGTAACAATGGAGAATGATCCTGTTGGCGAGAGCTGTCCTTTAGCTGTCGCCGAGCTTTCATCCTTCTGTGTCAAATATGTTCTTTCAAATTCGACAGCCTTTTTCGCGCTGAAATTATCTCCAGAGCTTACAACATAGGTCCGATGTGTGTATCTGGTCGGGTCGAGTTTCACGCGCCGGAGCATCGAGAACATTTCCGCCGTGTGTCCGCCACTTCCCAGGACCACCAGGAGGTGAACGGAGCTATACCGCGAGCGCCACTTTGGAACCTTGGTAATATGCGACTGGATCAGTGCGTGGAGAAGAAGCTAAGAGTCAATCGTATATTAGTCATTTGGCCATAGCGAGGCAGGTGAGGCGTGGCATAGCAACTGACGAAGGCTGCAAAGATACAGACTGCGCCTGCCAGGACTAGAGCCCAGAGCAGGTTTGGCCAATTCAGAATCGAAGACATGCTTTGAAATTGGCGTCCGTTGATTGGATTTAAAAGACGAGAGAAGATAGATAGGGCTGAGTGGCTTTCTAGTTTGCTGCAGGATGATGGTGGTGCGCGGAGATGCGACTCGGAGTGTATTTGCGAACGAGAAACCCCCTAGATCTTCCGGGGTTATGCTGTGCACACCTCAAGATCGCTTGCATTGCCGGGGTGTAGGTAGGAATCAACGACGATATAATTAAGATGCTGCTGGACCGTCATGGGTTGTTGCCAGCTTGACGATGATTTCGATACTAAATAAGCACGTGGTCCGTGCTGTCCTCGGCGATTATTTTGCTGTTATTGTCTTAACTCCTTCTCCCCCGTTGCCTCCATCTCCTCAAATCCATCTCCTCAACCAACAACACATCCTCCATCTCCTAAAACCTTTCAGTATTCTTCCTCCCCCGCCATCGATGTTCCCCTGCTTGACAGGAGATGGGCCCTTTCTTCGCAAAGCGATTGAAATGTTTTTACTGTGGGTGTCGCTCACCCCAGGCTGACAGAGAGCCCATTCGCAAATGGCGGTGCCAACATTGTGAGGCCATCAATTATTTGGATGAAGTAGGTTACTTCTAGCTTTTTTATTCGACTCACATGCCTTACTAGCTTCTTCGAAGTGACTAATGCACTTTTTAGAATGGCGAAATCACTGATCCCCCTGCTTCGGAAACAAATCCCGCTTCTCAAAACCCAAGCGCCTCGACTTTGCCCTTCGAGCTCAACGACTTCACAAGCTCCAGTCTATTTTGCGACCAATGCCTTCGCAATCAACACCTATTCACCAACAACCTAGCATCCTACTTCCCACCCACAGATGACCCGAGTTTCAGCGCATACGAACGCGAGTATCCCAAGTTCCGCAAAAACCTAGAGGAGCGGTATCCGCAGGTATGCGCCACTTGCGAGCCTCGAGTGAAACAGCGCATTCGTGAGACCGGGTACGAGGCCAAAGCAGACCATTTAAGGCGGATGATGGATCGGAGTAAGGCTGGGAGAATGGCGAGAAATGCACGCCGATGGAACTGGAGAAGCCTTCTCGTGTGGGCCGGCGCCATGGGTTATTGGGCTAGTGTTGCTGGCCAACTCAGCTGGGATATTTGGAGTGCACTGGCCGTCGAGGAAGTCGAACCGCTGCAGGACCCTGATGCGCCATCTGTATTCCCTGACGTGGCTCCTTGCGCACGCGAAATAGTGCAGACTCGTCGGATACCGAGCTATTGCGCGATGGATTTAGCACCTTATGCTGGGCTTGCGCTCATCGTCGGCATTTTGTCCCTGTGGTGGAACCCTAAGTTACGCTTGAAGGTAGAAGGGAGGGGTGGGCGCTTTGCCGGTCTGGGCGAGTACTATCAGGTACAACTCATCGTCATGGTGGTCCGGTGTGCCTTCTGGGCGGTTCTTAGGGATCCATCCTCGAGCGGACTGAACGCAAATATTTCGCCAACTTTACATTTGTTTATGTTCTTTTTCACCATCCTGGTACGTGTTCCTAACGCCGAGTGCTAACCTCGCTAACGCAGGAAACTTGCCTCTAGTCTGTTGCGATATCTAGGCGCATTGTGCGATACGACACCCGTCCGTTGGTCGTCTGGAACGATGACACACCCACCGCCACACCCAGTCGGAAGACCGAAGCTACTTCAGCAATAACCACTGGTAACATGACGGGTACTAGTCGACGACGATTCGCAAGTCCCCAAAGTGATCTCCGGCAGCCTTCTTCTCGTTTTCCTCTAGACAAGCTTGCTTCTCCTCGAGCAAATCCTGAGGGGCCAAGCATTCCCACTCCACCTCCAGTGGCCGATGACATGGACTGGACCCCCTCGGTTGTTCAGCACGAACTTACCCCCACGTTCAGTGTCCGTCAGAGAGACAAGAAATCTGTAGTCAATGGCAAGGTGCCTATGTATGGCTTCGTGCCGGCTGCGCCTGGGTCACCCGCCTGGAATTTGCGCATTCAACCTCAACGCCCGACGTTAAACGAAAACGTTGGTGAGCGAAACCCGTTCCAGCACACCCCTGCACAAACGCAGTCATGGCAACGAGCTACTAGCGATGCCGATACGGCGTTTGCACCTCCAAGATTCTTTCCTTTGAGCGATCATACCGCAACGACTGGACTTGAGAGCCTGTTTGATCGGACTTTCACCATCAGGTCACCTGAAGATACAGATGACAATGACTGGCAAACACACAATCAAACCCCAAATGATCGCTCGCGTCAATCCATGAGTCTGTGGGGCTATTTTGTGTACCAATACCTTAGACTCGGACTCCTTCTCGTATCTCTTGCTGTCTGGACTCTTTCGGGATATGGTATAATCTCGCTTCAAGGCAATTATGTTGAAATTGCATCATTGGGCAGTGCCAGTCTGATTGCTGGGTTTGCTCTTCTAGAGGTGATGAAACATCCTATTATGCAGTGGAATGGCATAGAAATCCTTGTTTGTTTCGCCGAGCTGCTCGCTGCTATTCACCTTGGAGGCCACCTTCCGCAGGTCGCCTATCCGCGGCAATATTTTGACAAGTACGGAAAGCTGTTGCTCGTTTTCATGACGGTCCAGGAGGCATTGAACCTGTTCTCACTCTATCAACTCGCCATGATAAATGGGTCTAGGCACCAGCAACGAGAACAACAATTACAGACCGTTGCATCTCGAGATGGGCGCGCTTCTGAGCACCAGTCTCCGTCTGCACTCAATCACCAGAGCCAGCTTCGGTCCTTTAATTCACAACCACCTGCGCCGGCTCTATCATTTTCATCTACTGTTCCCACCTCGAGCTTCTCGGCGCACTCACCCGCAGCACCTAACCAATCTGCTCCCTCGCCATATGACGGAGAATTCTCCGAGAACCACAGTTTTACTCTGAACAGTCTGAAAGAGAACGAGTCCGATGTGTCCGATGCGTTCGACCGTGACTCTGACACTGAAACCACCATAACCACAGCCACATCAGCCACGAACACTACAATTCGCAATATACGCTATGGTCGGAACAACCACTTTGACGGCGGATCATTATTCTCGCCCCGACGATCAGAGCTAGGTCCAGGGATCGGGAGCCTGAGTTTGGAGGATGAGCCCGGTCGTCGCATTACTCGCAGCCAGTCAAAGCTGAAGGACCGGTTCGCGGCGGCACGAGGTATCCGGTAATAGTCACGATACATCTCTTCGCTGAGGCCGTATGACTTGTTCTTCTATTGTCGTCGATTTCGAGCGCTTGCACATTTGGAGTTTGGCTAGCTATTTCATTCTCTTGCTAGATATGTTTTGTATCATGTTCAACGAGCCCACAAATTGCATAAGGCTACGACCAGGGCTGTTGGTTCTTCTGTAATTGGGTCGGCGTGTTCAGCAAGTTTGTACATAGCAAGCAGAATGAACGACTTACGATTTAATGAGAGGACAGGATTTCCTTTCCCGACCAACCAAAGAAATTCAATCCCAATGTTCCGTACACTCAGCATGATAATAAGACCAAATGAACAAGTAGCTCCACGATCAAATTGTCTAGACTGACGCCTCTCCCATGCAATCGCTAAAATACAACTATGCTTTACCGTATAACTACTGTACATCATTGTACCGAGTACAAGACTATCCATATCTAGACCCACCCTAATTTCTCGGTAACGAAGTCTGAAAGGCCCTGGATAGTGGCCGGTTCCTCTTCTGCACCTAAATGGGTTGAAAGGATATGCACCCATTGATCCGGTTGGATTTCGTGTAGTTTACGGTCCCTCAGCGTCTCCTGCACGCGGCTAGCCTGCTCTGAGGCGACAGCGGCATCCGAGGAAGTTGAGATGTGACTTTCAACGATGGCTCCGTGTTTGAGGCGAAGAAAGACGCGAGTCTAAATGATTGTATGTTAGTCAGACTGTTACTAAGGTGGCTTCATGGTGGAGAGAAAGAGGCACGGGCCGAATTGGGGAACTCACAGACGGCGGCAGAGATGCCGGCAATGGAGGGCGTTCCCGCGGATCCTCGCCTTCTACTGGGTAGGTCGAAAAGATAAAGCGGGGTGTCTGGCAGTATTTCCACTCGAGGGACTTGATGTCTTGTTAGTATGTGATTTCTGAATGGACAAACGAGGGACTCACCTTCATCTCTTCAAGCCCCTTCACGATCTCCGCTTCTCCGTACCCCTGCTCCGCCCCCACAGTCCCGACTACCCAGTCTTCTCCTGCATACAGTTCCGACTCGTCCATAATGTGCGCTCTCTGCGCCCGACGCACAGCATCCGAGCACGTCCCGTACAGCCCAGCAAACTCGTCCATGACTCCGGCGATAGCATCCTGGATTTCGAACGAGACTGGTGCATTCTTCAAGGCGGATGATACATTTGTAACGGGAGACCGCACACTATCCACACCCTTTGAAATCATATACTCCCTCGCCGGCGAGCGCAGGAATGAGCCCAGCCGGTCGATGTTGGGAGAATCCAGAAGACAGGTTCCGTGATGCAGCGCGCGCTCCCGGGTGAGTTTAAAAGCGGATCCAGAGATCTTGCGTGGCTGCAAGTCCAAAAGCCTCTCTCCGGAGTTCTCGAGCCGCATCACGATGTCGTGGCGGTCGTTGACGCTGATTGTGGTCGCACCAATGCGATGCAGGGCCCGCACTAGCATCTCGGCGTGCTTGTTCCGGGTGAACGTCGCGCGTGGGGAGATGACGCTGTAGTTGAGATTCCCTTCGTCGTGGAAGACAGCACCCCCGCCGGAGCGACGGCGGACATAGAGGGGCGCCGTTTCACTCTCATTGTTTGGGGAAGGCCTGGTGGCTCGGTCGTTGTGTAGCAGGCGGAGATTGGTCTCGAGCCAAGGGTTCTGGTTGCGGCCGATCACGACGCAGGGGCGATTTATATACAGAAAGAGAATATTAGAATCGGCAGGCGCATGCTGGAGGAGAAAGTGTTCAATTGAAAGGTTGATGTAGGGATCTGTGGACAGCGATTGGTAGATTTGGTGCTTGGAGGAGGATCGGCTGGCGAGCTGCGCAAACTGGTCGCCTGTGAAGGAGGAATTCCACCGCAATGAGGCGGCTGATGTCTTATATTGCCATTGTTGTGATTGGAAAAGTGTTGATGACGGGAGGTAGCGCCTTGAGTAGCGCATTGAGCGAGTTGCAGGAGGAGAGAACCACATGAGATTGAATTAATTCAATGGAGGATGATGATAATTATTATGATTGGGAATGACAATCATCGGAGATCCATGGGACGGAGAGCAGGGCGGTAAGAGTTTCATACTTACAGATCATAACACGAGGAACCTTGAGGAACGGAATCCGCGGAATAAATCGAGTAAAGAGGCAGCCGATCTCCGGGGGACTATACCTGATTAAGCGAAAGCACGGCAGAAAACAAGGGCGGGAAGCGTACGGTACGGAAATGCCCCTCCAAACCCACCAAACTCCAAGGACGATCTCGCGATCGTTCATGAATCAGTCATTCTTCATTCTTCTTCTTCTTCCTCCACTTTCTCTCTCACTCACTTCCCTCGAATTCTCTTTCTCTCACCATCCTCCCCGCTTATTGTCTCCCTTCGCTTTCTCTCTAAAAGTTGTCAATTGACTCAATTTTTCTATCCCTCTTCTTCCCCTTTACCTTCTCCACTTTTTTTATTTTACCTCCGATACATCCCTCCCCTCCAGCGGAAGAAATCTCGTCGCCGACATCGCATCGCATCACATCAGCCCACCATGTCGACCTGGGGTGAATACTTCCGTGTCACCACGTAGGTGTTTGCTTTGCTATTCGGCTTCGTATGGTAGTCCATGGTCATGCTAATTGTTTCATTTCTTTCCCCGCAGTTATGGTGAATCGCACTGCCGCTCTGTCGGCTGCATCGTCGATGGCTGCCCACCCGGAATGGAGCTCACTGAGGATGACATCCAACCGCAGATGACTCGGAGACGCCCCGGCCAGAGCGCTCTTACGACCCCACGGAACGAGAAGGACCGCGTTGAGATCCAGTCAGGTACAGAATTCGGTGTCACCCTGGGTACTCCGATCGGTATGATGGTGCGCAACGAGGACCAGAGGCCCAAGGATTATGGCGGTAGCACAATGGACCTCTACCCGCGTCCCAGTCACGCCGACTTCACCTACCTGGAGAAGTATGGTGTTAAGGCCAGCAGTGGTGGTGGCCGTAGCAGTGCCCGTGAGACGATCGGTGGGTGACCATGCCTCTGCGACAGGCGAGTGGTGCGAGACATACTAAGACGAGGATCAAATAGGCCGTGTCGCTGCCGGAGCCATTGCCGAAAAGTACCTTCGTCTATCGCATGGTGTCGAGATTGTCGCATTCGTCTCCTCCGTCGGCAACGAACACTTGTTTCCCCCAACCCCCGAACACCCCACCCCCTGCACCCAGCCCGAGTTCCTGAACCTGATCAAGACCATCGACCGCAAGACCGTCGACTCCTTCGTGCCCACCCGCTGTCCTGATGCCGATGCCGCCGCCCGCATGACCAAGGTGATCGAGCATTTCCGGGACAACCATGACAGCATCGGCGGCACCGTCACCTGCGTGATCCGCAACGTGCCTGTCGGTCTTGGCGAGCCTTGTTTCGACAAGCTCGAGGCCAAGATCGCCCACGCGATGCTCAGCATCCCCGCCACTAAGGGTTTTGAGATCGGCTCTGGCTTCGGCGGCTGTGAGGTTCCGGGCTCGATTCACAACGACCCTTTCGTTGTCTCCGACGTGGCTTCTCAGTTGGGCTCCAACACCTCGACCAAACAGCGTCTCACCACCAAGACCAATAATTCCGGCGGTATCCAGGGTGGCATCTCCAACGGCGCCGACATCTACTTCCGCGTTGCCTTCAAGCCCCCGGCCACCATCGGCCAGGCCCAGACCACCGCCACTTATGCCTTCGAGGAAGGTGTTCTCGAGGCCAAGGGCCGCCACGACCCCTGTGTCACCCCACGCGCCGTCCCCATCGTTGAGGCAATGTCCGCCTTGGTCATCATGGACGCCCTCATGGCTCAGTACGCTCGTGAGAGCGCCAAGAGCCTTCTGCCCCCCCTACCCAGCACCATCCCCACCCGTCCTACTCTGAGCGGTGCTAATTAAACAAGGTATCTCCTCCATGCTCTATCAAAATCTAATATCAGACCTTTTTCCTTTGATGATTTCATCTATACTTCCGGTAGGGGACTTTGGGATGAGTTGTTTCTTTACATTGTTCTAAAATGGTGGTTTTAACACTACCCTGTCCCTTATATCTATAAGTTCCTTCGTGCTCGTGTCCAGACGTTGTTTATGAACATTAGACTATAGCGGTATTATGCCATTTCATTCTCGAGAACAATCACGTTCCTTTCCTCTTTCTTTGGGTGGAAGAGCGGCATCTCCGTGATTTCCATATGCAAATGGAGCATATGGCCACGTGCTGCTCAATGTCGTGCCCATCGCTCCTCATTTTGAGCGGCCGGATCAGACCTCCGGCGGCAGCTCACTAACCATCACTTGTATACCTAGTCGAAGCCCAGTGAGACCTGGTTTGTATGCTTGAAATGGTCGCATTCCCGTGGGTTTTTCACTCATGGCTCATGGAATAAAGCTGTACGTGTAACATGCCGAAAAAGCCCCTTATCTCGAAAAGCAATCAATCACATGGCCCTAAAATGCAAAGAACATCCATCACGTCGTATCTTGAAACATAATTATCGTATGTCCAGCTCAGGAACAAAGTACCAAGTGAGACCTGTAAGGAATGTTTTCGCGACCTGAGCTGGGCTAGCAAGTAGCCATTGCCGGTACCGACGGCCTAAGGTTGGCGGGTAACACGCTGTGAGGGAGAGAAGAAGCAAGGTCGCACCGCTTCAATGCTCATACATCCAAGCATTAAATCCCGCTGATCCTCCGATGAATCCCTCCACTGACGGACCTCTCCGATGCTGCATCCAGTTCGCCAGCCGTGGCGTTGACAACTCGCAGCTTCTCCTTCGGTACTGTGAATGTTACCTGCACCCGCCGGCCCTCGGCCGCACCCTCAACATCCCAGTCATCATCCCCATCCTCTTCGCCACTTACATCAACATAGCGCCGATGGCCATCGGAATACAATCCGACAAGCTCGCCGTCGAGACCTGAGTCGTCACGCCAAGCAGGGCGGGCAATCGAGCTTCTATTTCCGGCTCCCCAGTCCCGTGCCCCTTGCTTTCGACGAAACAATTCGGCAGAGGCGCTTACAGAACGACGCGGGATCTGCGCATTTCCGTAGCCGGAAGGACACGGAGATGCCTGGAATGGACGGCTGCTACCGTTGCCGACGACAGTGCTTCTTTGATCGAGGTTAATGTCGATGCCGGAGGCGATTGAGGTGAAAGCGTTCGGGTGTTCGGCGAAATCTGCTGTGGATGGTCGGCGCCGGGTGAGGGAGAGGACCCGGCGGACATTGTTGCCAATCCAGTCGGAGGTCCGGGGCCTGATTACAGTGGGCAAGGCGGTGGGTTTGCCGCCAGGCATAGGGAAGAGCTCGAGGGCTTGAGCAAGAGGGGAAGTGAGCTCGTCCCAGTGAGGTTGAGTTTGGAGAAGATGTTCGCCTTCCGACTGACGTTGAGACACTGAGGTTTGCGCCGTCGAGTAAGAATCGGAGGTATAACATTGCTCGACGAAGGAAAGTGCCATGCTGTTAGGTCGGCTTCGAGGACCATCTCGGGTGCTGATGTTACTGCTGCTGGCGCCACCACTGCTGTGGGCGGAAGCTGCTCCAGCGGACTTCACAAGTATTTGGCGGCCGCTGATCAATTGATTGTTCGAGGTAGTAATCGGGAGACCGAGGACGCGGGCTTGCAAGATGGAATTTGCAGACGCGGACGATGATTCGGATAGATTGGATGAAGTCCGTCCATCCTTATCTGAAGAGGCGCGGCCGTCCTCTTGAACGAGGCCAACGCCTGCGATAAATTCAGGCGGTACCAGAGGAACAGCCGAGTAGCCAACGTTGACGCCCAGGGATGGTAGAAAGGCCGATCCTCTTGGGTGGTCATATGTCTCCTGCATCATGATCGTTCCGGCGTTCTTGGCCTCATCCTCCTCTCGCTCATCGATTGGATGGATCTCACCGGTGGCATCACTCCGGCGAAACTCGCTGTATTGGGTGGGAGGCCGATACAATCTCGCATTGGGACCAGAGGGAATAGGCTTGGTAGGACTTGATGCTTCCCCGAGCAGGCCAGTACTTTCTGCGATTGTCTCTCCTCCCTTATCGCGCCAAATAGATGACTGCACGGATCCACGCTTGCTCTTCCAGTCGGCTATCTCTTCCATATCCCCCGAACACGGCCTACGCATGCTGCTCGCCATGAATTGCTCCTCGCCGCCCCAAAAGTGAGCTCTTTCGGCTCCCAGAGCCAGATTGCGCAACTTTTGATCTCGCGAACGACGCTTGTGACGCCTGCGGGTGTAGGAAAAAAGGAGAATTGCTAGGCCCATTACAGCAGGAATGCCTATACCGAGTCCAATGCCGAGTCCAGTCTTCGTTCGCGATCCTGAGGTGCTAGTGGCACTTGCGCCGATTGCTGGCGAGTACGGGTTCTCATAAGAGGACACCCATTCTCCCGAGGTGATATTATACAAGTAGACTTGCGAAATTTGTTTCGACCGCGTAGAAAAGCTTTTTGAAAAAGGCATGGGGATGTACTGTCCCCCTGCAATCATCATTACTCCTCCAGGAAGCATTGTGGCACCATGGCCATACATCCCTGCCGCTTCTTCGGTTACCTCGGGCACTGTCGTCGACGGTATTCTCCAGGTCCATCCCTCGTAGTCGGTCCCAAGCTCCAGGATAGCTAGCTGTGGTCGAGCTGCGACACTCGTGTTCCCTACCCAGCCTCCGTAAACAATGACTTTGCTACCGTCCGGGGACAGCACTGCCGTGTGGCCTGATCTCGGCTCCACGGGTTCGGCTTCTCGAACGGCAAGTTCAGTCTTGAGAGTGGTAGATGCAGTCATTACATTCACAAAGCTCCAGCTATTTTGCGGAAGTGAGAACACGGCAAGCTGTGACATGTTGATAAAAGCATCTCGAGTTTGGCCTCCAATCAGAAGGAAGTCTTGCTGCTTGCGCGACTCGCCGGTAGAGGAGTATGCATAGGAGGCCTGCAGGGGTGTGATCGTAAACCCCGCCTCCGCAATAGGAGGGGCTCGGTCGCCTGTGGAGGAGGCTTCATAAGAGTTGGCATCCCCGACACTACGAGGGTCAAGAACGATCATCGACTGGGAATAGTTCGCAGCGGCCATCCAGGTCTGATTTGTGGCATTCGTGAACGGGCACATGCCGCCGAATGCATACACAGAACTGTTGGAAGTATTGGTGGACGCATATGCGAAGCCCGCGGAGAGGAAGTTAGGTCCGTAGATAGCAGCATCGGATTCAGCGCTAGAGCTATCTACTTTCAATTGCTCCCACGTACCATTGCCAATGGAGTCGTTCGCTTTGGCGATGAACTGCCACAACGCGCCTTGATCCGGAGTCTTCCGGCAGTCACCCGTGAATACCCTGATATTACCAGAAGAGTCAATGGAAGGTACATAGGCCGAGCCATTTTCATAATCTTGGAAGGGCAATGAGCTTGTTAGGGTTGAATAAGGCGGATTCGCGGCATCGACAACTCCTGATATGTTCAGCGACCGGAATTCAGTGGTGATATTCTGGCTGGAACCCGTCGAATGCAACAGGTAAGCAAAAGAGCTATTATGGTCGAGGCTGTAGAGCAGCTGCGCTGGAGCATATGGGATCAGGGCAGAGGCCGGATCAGCGCCGAGTAAAACGATGCCTAGCAACAACGTCAGCACCGCATGGGCGCTAACAGGTCTGCGCATTCCATGTCCTTGTGGAAAACATTCATCCATGTGTGTGTAATAGAGGACTTGAGACGAGGTCAAGAGCAGGGCTGATCTGAGACCGAGCGCTATGCATCTAACTAGTGCAACGGTTAGCCCGTTAGCACGATCTGGCAAAGGCACGACTGGAGGCCAGACGAGCCGACATGGGCGAGGGATCGTCAAACTGGACGGAACCGAGTGGAATCGCCAGAGGCTGTTTGGTGGGGTGGGGTGGGGGTCGACTTCTAACACCGAGCAAATGCTTTAAAAATGAGGTATATTAGAGAGAGAAAGATTGAGAAGGAGAGGGAGCCGTCGATTATGTGCAGTGTAATGGTGTGCACTCAAGAGAGAGAAGATGACCAGGAGGACGAGGTGGCGGATTTAGATTTGGATTCCATCAGCGAGCACCACCATCGCAATCGCAGCCGATCGGGTCCGACTCGAGATTGGACCATTGCATTGATTAATGCAATCGTCATGTGTACTCCGGGCGCTGTAGTATGAGTTTCTTCTGGACCCATCGGGAAATATTGAGGGGCTGGGGGGAGAGCAATTGCGCCGTCAACACGGGCGGTTGCACTGGCAACCTAGAGGCTGCATCATGGATCCTGGCCATTCATCTGACCATTCTATGGGTTGGGTGAGGCGATGTGGATGGAGGAGGGGCAGAGGGGCAGCATTCGAACCATACAAGTTACGTACCTTGTCCTTTTCAGCTTTTTTCCTTATCCTTGTTTCTCGGTGTGATTGGTTCAGGTGGTAATTGGTCTCGACGTGGACGAGAAGAACTGCTCCGGAGTATACTTACTTTGTACAGTGTACGGTCGTGTGTAGATCTACGATTGACAGGTGTGATTGACGCGAGGGAGGGATTTCCGTCAATCTAGCCATGAGTAGTGCGTTAGCCTCAACTGCAAGTAGGAGAGAAGGAACAGAAAGAATCATTTTGCAGGCTTGGGTGGAGCAGCAAGTGAAACCGGGCGAGAGGGACGGGGGCTCATCTCTGGCGGCCCGAATTGTGGGTACTGTTTGGCCTGACTGAAGAATGTTGTTGATAACTTAACTACTCCGTACTTACGTACTGATGGCAGATGCTGAGCATGGCTTACTAAGCCTCTACCCAGTTAACTAAGTAAGGTAACTAACTTATGTAGCCTAGTACTTACACAGTAGGTACTCCCCCCGTGCCAGCATTCACTGGGCATAATCACAACCAATCAAGCTACACGTTGGCCTGCCAACTGCAGCAAATAGTCCAGACCCTTCTTCGACTTCGAGTTGATGTGTGCATAATCGCATACTCCGTACACTGACTCCGTAGTTAGACTAAATTATGGAGTACAGACAGCAGCACTAGTTTAGCAGATACCGGTAGGTACCACCTACCATAGGGCTGACTGACTCCTTGCTTCCAACTTCAATGAGCAAGGATCGGCCTCGTGCACTTCGTCATCATCATAGCCCGGCGGGGCTCACGGGCAAACAGTACGTACGTTTATCTAAGTACGGCACGTACCTTCAATAAATACCAGCATTATAACGCCCTTGACATTTGCCCGACCAATGTGAGTCAGTGCGCCCCAGTCATGGACGCAGGAAAAAAAAAAGACAAAGAATAAGGAGAGCAAGGAAAGAAGGGCTATTGGTCGCGCCTACTTTTCTCGTGGCCCATCTGTCGCACTAACTCATACCTTCAATGCTAACTATGTGGTTGTGCTGGGAGCATCAACAAGACTGCCTGCCTGATATTCGTACGGGTCTACTCGTATACTGCTTGCTTACCTCAGTGGCAACCGTTCAGCCACTCTTCCGTACTCCGTTCCCTTCTGAATCATGGTCATCTCGGAGTTACCATGTAGGAGTTTATGCTGGACGTTTGTGAATGGCGGTAAAGCGGACGGTGCGTGTTTCGCAGGCCATGCTCCGATGCAGAATTGGTCTGCTTAACCCGCGACAATCTCATCCTCCTCCGAGGTGCAAGTCTTGCCTGGGTTTTTTCCGATGAACAGACACCGATAGGCATTCCTTCTTTTTGGACGGTAGGGCAAACAAACGGAAATTTCCCGGAGACCTGAGAGGTGGCGAACGACCGCGTAGGGTGATGCGGACAGTAATACGTCTTATACCGCTCGGAGACCACGGGAAAGCCACTGTATGAGCGGATGCAAGCATGGAAGCCCTGCAGTCAAATAATAGAGCTTCTTTGCAATGCCAGACCAATGGTGACTGAGTCATTTATCACTTGGATGTCTAAGACCCTTAATGTGCTACCGGAGATGCCCCGGTGATCTTCGGTTTGGGCTGCAAATCGCCATATTTATCATGTCTTTGCGCTTTCATTTGGCATCCTCCGAGTCGGTAACAATGGGTCGGGGGGAGGGGAGAAGGACATGATGAGAGAAGGTCCGCGCCCACGAGATCATGAACTTGGTCCCTGCTTGTATGCTTCTCTCGGCTGCTGAAGCCGGATGCCCGTGGTGGCTCGAGGTATGGTGATGCCACCGGTTGAGAGGAGGTGCCATGCTGCGCAGTGAGAACAATGGTGGGATGCATGAAGTAGCTAGACGGTACAGTACATGCTCAGTCAGGGGCGTTGACAGATTGGTCACCGGCGCCGATGCTCGTAGTAGTGGCTGATATAGAGTTGCATCTGCCTGGGAATCCCAGGCCCGGTGTCCCTCCGAATCGCCAACCGTGTCGTGTGGCAGGAATTCAAAGACCACTCGTGCCTCGCTTCTTTATAATTGGTCATGACACAGAACCCTGGGCTGTGGCAGGACCATTCCGGCAGTATGCAGGGGCAATAATGCTCGGCACGCTATCATCGAGTTGCGCAGGATTGATCTGACATGATGTGACAGTTGACTGCGCTCGGGTCTCCCTCATTCCCTGGCTCATTATGCTGTCGGTATCAATCTTGCCTGCTAGGCCAACTCTTAGCGCACATCGTATCAGACTACCGGAGCATTCTGGTGGACGGGTTCATTTTTCCATGGATGATAGCCCGCAGTCCGCTTGGCTTGCGGAGGTGGTGGCTGGTGTGCGAGTGACGGGTAGGTTCTATAGAGAGGTTGGGAATGTACCGTATGTATTGATAGTGTAATAGACTAGTGGACATGGATCGGTAGGTATTAGGTACGGAGTACTCTCAGTTATGACAGTCACAATGACAGGGAAGTACTCAGTACAATCTGTTGGAGGGGATTGAACTGCGCTGAAAAGCTTGGTAGCAGGAGGGGCAATCAGTGAGGACTGCTCAGGTGCAGTAGTGTTTATGCAGGATCCCGAATTGGGATATAAGACATTGCAGCCTAGAGGTTGGCGCATAGGGGATAGATTGGTTGGTGGATGAATATTGTTGTGTCCTAAGATTACCTGCATCGAGGAAACAGGGCAGGCCAGTGGTGCACAAGATCACAGGCCCAAATGAGAAGAAGCGGGTGATCTGACTTTGGGAACGGTTCACTGAGGGCAGAAATCCGATGTCGGGTTGTCCGCGCGGGTTGTTTAGTGTTCGAACCCCTGTCGACAGCTCGGTTGTATCTAAAATATTGAGAAGTAGAAGAAGGGAAAAAAAGAAAAGAAAAAGAAGTGGCGCTGCCCGGAATCGAACCGGGGCTGGCACGGCCACAACGTGACGTCATACCACTAGACCACAGCACCTGTTGCTGAGGGACCTTTTGTAGTTTTATATATATACATTTAAAAATAAATGATTTGAGTAACTGGGAAATCATCCTGTCATCCATCATCGGCAATAATGTTTCGTACCTAAAAAGTAGCACACATAAGAGTTCTGTTAGACTCTAAGTCAGCTCATGTAGATCATCCTTTCATGGTGATACATTTGATAGCTAACCCTGTAATTCAGGTTCGGGTATCTCTGGTCTCGATTGCTGCATTATATATCAAATATTGGCAGTATGGTATCTTCACAGTGAATATCGGTGAGACACTCCAACAATCATCCGGCCATACACAAGACAAAGCACTACCATGCAATACGGAGACAAGAAAGGCCCCTGCATAGCCGGTGACACTATATCCTGCCGAGCCAAACACACCGACCAAGATACTGAACCCGAAAGCCAGAAACACAGGCGGCATTGGAAACAAATATTTGAATACGTGTATGACAAGACCACATAGAGCCTCGGAAGATGCAGCCATATAACCACAATGCTAAACATTACTTCGTGGGTTGTGCAGATCATTATCGCCCAATCGGCTTATGAGCCCCATACAAGAGACCCGACCTAGCGGCTCGACAAAGAGCGAAGGACGACACAGGAAGTACAAACAAGAGCAACACTGCTAACCCCCCCCCAATGACCCAAAACAGCTCGAACAACCGAGCTACACAATTGGCAAGCCAACAACCACGGGATACAATTACTGACAACCGAGTAACAACAAAATGGTAGGTACATAGCGGATTCCCGGACCTGGATATAACCCAGGTGCAGCTACCCAGCCCCAACAATAGTTCCAGGGATCTGCAACCCTCAAAAATATATAGAGTAGTCACAGGCGTCAGTCTTCTCTACGTGCCCAGGACAGCGGATCCACAATAAACGTATCCAGAGCAAGACCGCCACTCGACAGATTGCCCACATAGGAAGGAAAGCAGCGAGCATTAGGAGAGATGCACACTGTGAGCTCATGCGGACACCGCATCCAATGCCAACCAGAATGATCAGTTGGATACGCGTAAACCACCCTATGAGCACAGCCAGAATGGGTAACTGGCCATTCGAACAATCCAGAGATCAATATGAAGGTCTATGTCCATATCGAGGGCAAGCGGCTGCAAATCTAGATGTGCAGTGCAAAGCTGCCCACACGATATCAATGCACAGGGACTCAACTTTAGATGCCTACTGGACCGTAGTCATAACATTGAAAGAGGCCGTTGTTATCAGGGTTTATGGCATCGCCATTCCGGGCTATGTGATGACGTTGGGAGGGAGGACAGTACATACATGCAGGAAACCTGCACTGTCTGCCGAGAACCAATGGGAAGCACCAGATGATTCAATGCCAGGTAACTCTGAGACAAAACTACCGTAGTCAAAGTTCTGTCACTTGCTAGGAGTCATGCCTACCCGCCTGCACAAAGAGAACCCCAGCCCAGTAACGTGTACATACATGTAGAAACTACTTATATTCCCTGTGACGGTAGGGGGGGGGGGGGGGGGGGGGGGGGGAGTCTTGCGGATCCAAGGAACGATTGTAGTAGGCTGCGGAAAAGCATCGTGCCATCAGCTGGGGAAATCGACCATGCCTGGAGGCAAGGAGAGTTGCTAAACACAACAGGGAATTGTTTTATACGGTCGACAAACGGACTGGGGGCGGATTTCATGCCGCTAAAGCAGCCACCACTCGTGAAGTGAATTAGGCTGCTATGCATGAGCAAATCAGAGCTTTAAGGGCTCGGTCGGTCACTGTAGGCACGGTCTCCGTAGTACCTGGTACAATCATGAAAATTACGAATCAATCGCCTCGAGGTAGAGATGTCATACATGTCCAGATCGAATTGAACCATGATACTCATGCAGTGACGGTGGGCTGGATACTTCCAGACGTGGTATAAACCCCCACCAACAACCCCTAGAATTCTCGTGACCATGATGACTGGAATGGCTGCAGGGAGTTTGGCAATAGCTTGGCTGATCTATGACTGACAGATCCAGAAATGAAAGCTCTCGACTACCGCCGCGGGATGAACGAGAGAGGAAGATATAGGTGCCGTGACTGGCAAGGCTCTGGCTTGCCTATGTATACTCTAAGTCCCTCCCCACACCGATCGTGGCATTCAGTCGATGCTAGGTTAATCCAAGTTGTAACTACTCCGTACCCTAGGATGAATTCAGTTACCTCAATGTAAAGTCGCGTATTGCGTCCAGTGATTCGCGGCGGGTGAACACAGACCTCCCCAACCAAGAGGGTATTCTGGACCCCTATTGGTGGTAAGCACAGGAGCAGCCGAATGCCAGGCATCAAGCCAATACCAGGTGTGACCAGTGAGCGAGAGTCTGCTACGGCCGATCAAGATTCCAATCGCCATCAATGTGAACTTGTCCAGGAACAGTCCCAACAGAGACCACTAGAGTTTGGGGAATGTATTTCTTTCGATTATCGATCCATCCTAGCCCACGAGGAGCCTACTCACATAATACAGGAGGAGCATAAGGACAGCCAACGAAAAATTAAACGAGCGGCGAGAATTATTGACACGATCCACGGTACAATAGAGTGCGTAGGTGTCTAGCAGACTTTTGGCTAAACACTGACAGGTGTCAATGAGATTTAAAGATTTCCATCCCGATCAAGTTCTTGAACACTAACAGATTTGGCGAGTTCAAGCTCTAGTGGTGGGCTTGCTAGGAAAAGCTAGGTAGTCAGCTCCTCTTACAATGTGAATAGTTTTTACTTGTTTGCATTGACCTGGGTTTTCAAGGTTCTCAAGGGGAAAAGACGACTCACCATGTACGGAGAACTCCGTATCTCCGTACGGAGTACTACCCAGTGGACAATAGCACAATGCAGGCAGGACTCAGGAGGAAGGTACGGACTGGAGAGGAGCTACGGGAAGAAGACAGCGCCATTGACTCGTTGACGCTGCTAAAGCGGAGAAAAAGTCCCCTACGTAATGGTCGAGCCCGCGGATGGGGTGGCTTGGTAAAAGCGAGATCGGGGGAGAGAGAGAAGGCGCTGCCGCCACTCAGTTAGTACCTAAGTTAAGTTGACTGCAACTTGCAGCAGCAGCAGCAACACCATCAAGCAAGTTCGCAAGCCTAGGGAATAGACTAAAGGTAGTTATCTATTACAAAGTCACAAACCAACAAAGTTACCTACTCTCTCATCCATTCTTTCACTTAATTTGGTTGATCCCATCCCACCCTTTTACCTTCCTTGTCTCTAGTAAACTTGTTCGTTTTTCTCAGTACTCATCCCCAGGATTTGGGAGTGTATCTAGTACACCCTTTTCCTTTCATGAAGAAGATAGTAGTTAACTCACTAGTACAGTATGTAATCCAGCATTTCAGGCTAATATGTATACTCCGTAACTATTAGCTTCTTTTGATTTTCGCCTCCGGGGCCTAGTGAGTCTCGACGACGGAGTACCTTGGAAAGGATGTCAAAACCAATCACCGATGCCAAGCAAACCCGGATGGTCGGCCGAAATGGCTGGTGTGGCCCGGGGTCTGGTGTGGTCTGGTCGATTGAAATCATTGAATTGAAGGATTGATCCACTGGTCAACCAAAAGAGGAGAAATGAATATTAGTCCCCGCCATTATACTTAAATGCTATCATCTATGGGGACAGAGTCATTGTCCGCAGTCGTCATAGTCATTTCTCTTCTCTGTACCCGGTAGTTATTTTTTTTTGCTCTAGCTCTCAATTCAATCCTTGCCTTTTTAGTGGACATGTATCCCCACTGACCGGATAATACGTTAATAGACATCTACGGAAGGGTCCAGATTCCCTCTATCCGTACTTCAGAGCAATCTCCATGCGGTATACCCATTGGTATTCCAGGGTTCCAATGAAAGTAAGTACTATGTAGTATGTAGACATTGGATGGACTTGAGGGGCGAGATATCCAAGAAAAGGATCTGCTCTGTGGCTGATGGTGGGTGTTGGCAAAGCAGCAGCAGTAGCAGCAGCAGCAGCGGCCGTCATTGCGACTAGGGCCTGACTAAATTGCAGCAACTCAATTTGTCTCTTTAAGTTTGAAGTACGGAGTACTCAAAGACTTTCTTTTCCCAATCTCTCTCTCTCTCTCTTTTTCCTTTCTAACAGTTGCTGCTGCTGCTGCTGCCGCCGCTGCTGCTACTATTACTACATTAGTTACAGTGAGTACAGTAATATAATTACGGAGTATTATGACCCTTATAGTCAAGTTGTAATTGATCCGTATACCCGTACATTACCGCCATAGTCATAGAGTACCATTACTCACCACCACTAGTTACTACGGAGTTCTAAATTACTACTGCTACCACCACCGCCATCATCACCAGCATCTCAGCATCATCACCATCATCATCATCATCATCATCAACCATCAATCCACTCTTTAACTCCCACACCTATCCTCTCTTCGCCCACATCCTCCTCCCCCCCTCTATTGCCCACACATTCTTTCCCCCACCTCCTACAGTACTTCTTCTCTCCCCCCTCCTCCTCCCCAAAATCAAAGCCTGCCTGACCTGAACCTGACTGGATTGACTGACTGACTGACTACTCCGTATTCCATCTCCCCCTCCCCCTCCCTCCAATTCTTCGGCCGCCGGTGTACTTTATCCCGTATGTATCGTACTTACACCCGACCGAGTTGGTAATCCCATTTTCTTAATACCTTACCCGACCTTTCCTTTCCTTGCCCACTCTCTAGTACCCGCCGAACCGCCCGCAACCTCGATTCCCTATTCATTCTTCCCATCTCCGCCCTTCTTCATCATCCTCCCAACTCTCCCACCCAACATCCACAACCTCCTCCTCCTCTTACTTCCTTTCCCTTACCATCCCCCTCCCCCCGCCCGTCTCCTCCTCCTCCCTCCCACCCCATATTCTTCCTCTTCTCTTCCTCCTTTCTTTTTCTATCTCTTCTCTTTACCAACTCTATCTATTTTCGACTTATCTTTCATTTCTTGCCACTCCTCGCCCTCATATCAAACAACCGATCATACTCAAAATTACCCCTCCTTTCCCCCCAAAGAGCCCACTTTTTAATCTAATCCTCTCAACTAGTATAATTTTTTTTCTTTCGATCTGCACGTTCATACCGGAAAATTTTAACGTCTTATTTTATATTCGATTGTTATCGCTACTACTCAGTCGCCATTACGACTGTTATACTCAGGCATTCCTTTCCTCGAACAGCGTTTATACTCGAAGGTTCTCTCCGACTAGCTTGCAGACCTATCGTACTTCTTCTGGGCGCATTCATCGGCTGCATCCTGGTGCTGCAGCAAACTCTTCTCCCAGCGAGTCCTCGGCCCCTGTCCTCGTCGGTGTCAGGTACACGGGTTCCTGGCGCACTTTGTCTCAGCTCGACGTACATGGCTGCCACTGCTCCCCTTCGCGCTTCGTCTCGCAAGTAATGCCGACCCACTCGGGCGCATCATTAGAGCTCTACGCGAGCTCTCCCTGAATTAGAGGTCTTGCGAAAAGATCGAACCGGGAACGAAAGCGAACCCCCCGCTCACGGCGGAGAGTAAGAGTTGAATATACAGCAATCGAAAGGGAGAAGAATGCGCGATTGAATTTCAAAAAGGGTTCTCACAATCGAAACATGAAGATGGACCGGCCCCCTTCGATATCCGGGCCGGAGGAATTGGTGAATCTGGTCGCCCGGAATGGTCAAACATTGGACAACACTCTCCGACGCCTGTCCAACAAATCGAATGAGGGTTTGAGCTCCTCCCCAACATCCACGGATGTAGACGTCCGACAAGCTATCACTAGACCCCCTAGTGCCAAACTTGCACTTTCGGGAGACATCGCAGAAGGACAGCCCTCTCTTCGGCACCCATTCCCTCATCTCTATCATTCGTCAAGTACCTCGAGATCCCCATCCACGCGAACGTCTTCCAGCTCGCTCCAGGCGCTCAATGAGGATATAGTGGTTGATGCTCGGTCGGATCACAGCGCAATTGGGCGAAATCCCATCACACGCAAAATGGTGCAACTGGGCCAGTCGGATATTCCATCCGGAGACTATCCTGTCTACCCCGACCAATCATACGCTGTGCTGCAATCACAAGTCCATCCCACGTATCAACCTCCCTTCTTGCGCACCCGCAGTTCATATCCGTCTCGGATCGAGGCCGCTTCTCGATTTCCACCAGCACGTGCCGCGCGCACCGCGGGCAATACCCCCATCTCTAGCCCTGGGCTATTCTCTGTGCGTAGCCCTCGCTCAACACCTCCAATCGCATCGGATGATGAAGGTCGGATGAGTAGCCCATACCTTCATCCTACCCATCTTCAACCACCAAAAGAGTAAGTCTTGCTATTTTTCTAGCCCATACGAGTTGTCGTTTCCCAAGCATTCGTCTTGTCTTGATGAAGAGTCTGCCATTGACCAATCGAGTAGGACTCATACAGCGGAGGTAGACCGAGATCTGATCACTGGCAACAAGCTGATCAACCAATACGAAATACTTGAGGAGCTTGGACGCGGAGAGCATGGAAAAGTGAAATTAGGTCGCCATGTGACGACTCGACAAAAAGTTGCCATCAAGATTGTTCAACGATACTCCAAGCGTCGTCGATTGGGCAAGCTGGGCAATCCCGAAGACAAGGTAAAAAAGGAAGTCGCCATTCTCAAGAAAGCTCGTCATCCAAACGTGGTCAGTCTGCTGGAAGTTATCGACGACCCCAATCGCCAGAAAGTATACATAGTCCTCGAGTATGTGGAAAATGGTGAAATTATCTGGCGCAAACGGGGTTTGCGGGAAATTGTGCACGTTGATAAGCGCCGATTGGAGCGCGAGAAGGCTGGCATTCCCGAGACCCCCTCTTTCATGGAGGAAAGTCAACAGTATGTCAAAACCGCCCGGCACCTCCGCCGCCAACGCGAGAAGGCACGCGAACGGCTCGAAGCCCAGGCGGCTTTTGCGCAGGAGGCTCCCATACCGGCCTGGAGTTTGGAGCACGGTGCAGAATCCGATGAAGAGCAAGACGCAGAGCCTGGTGTGACTCGCATACCGAGTCGATCTCTGATGAGCCACGACGAACATCAGTCCTCCCCATGTCATTCGTATGCATCAGGCCCCGAAGCAGCCTTGGCCGCAGTGGAAGGCAGTATGTATGGCGCTTATGCAGATTACTCATTCGACAGAAGATTCAGCACCGCATCAAGCAGCTTCGGTTATGCACCATCAGAGCCTGAGTGGTTCAGTGACGATGACGATATGTCCTATGTGCCATGTCTAACATTTGCCGAGGCGCGCAATGCGTTTCGAGATTCGCTCTTGGGGTTGGAATATTTGCACTTTCAAGGTATTATCCACCGAGATATCAAACCAGCAAATTTACTGGTCACCAGCAATTATCGAGTCAAGATTTCCGACTTCGGGGTATCTTACCTTGGTCGACCCATCCGAGACGAGGATGAAGAACATATTGAAGAGACGGATGCGACCGAATTAGACGACGCACGGGAATTATCCAAGACCGTCGGGACACCCGCCTTTTATGCACCGGAATTGTGCTACACAGGCGACGATTTCGTAGACAGTCTTGGCAGTGCTCCCCGGATCACTGGTGCTATCGATGTCTGGTCGCTTGGTGTCACCCTTTATGGCATGATTTTCGGACGCCTACCCTTTGTTTCAGACGACGAGTATAGTATGTTTCAGACTATTGTGAAAAAAGAAGTGTTCATACCCCGGAAGCGCTTGAAGCCGGTCGAGGAAGATCCCGATGCCGCCAGCCAGTGGCCGCGTTTCGACGACGACAGCAAGCGAATGGAGCATGAGTTAGTGTATGAAGACATTGATGATGAGCTCTATGATCTCCTTAAACGGTTGCTGACCAAGGATCCGGTGAAACGGATCACTGTGAAAGAGATCAAGCACCATCCTTGGATTCTCTACGGCCTTCCCAACCCCCGAGCTTGGGTAGAAGAGACTGACCCGGGCTATCAAAGCAAGGGCAAGAAAATCGAAGTATCAAACGAGGAAGTCACGACGGCTGTCAGCAAAGTACCCCTTTTCCAGAGGGTACGCTCCAATGTTGCAAAATGGTCTCATTTCCTCACTGGACGCTCGAAAGAGAAGGATAGTCGCAAGCGTACTCCTAGTAATAACTCTGCTGACTCCTCTTCCGCCAAGTCTCTTTGGGAGGGTCGCCGCCTCAGTCTCAGGGGCGATGAGGATCTTTCGCGTTCAATTCGTTCGTTCAGGGATGGGGAACACCCCCTTTCACAGAGTGTCACTGCAAGTCCCGTTGGTCGGGATGAGCAGACCTCGTACTTCGTTCAGTCCGAGTTCACACCCTCACATGAACGGACCGTGCGCCCTGACCCCCCGGAGCGCGCGGCCTCGACTTTGTCCACGGCCGAGTCTGCAAAGACTGTCAAGCCGGCCGATCGTCGCAATTCACCTATACCTCAACGGACAGGCACGCCCGTCCGTGTAGAACATTCAGGAACCACCAATCTAGGCGGGCTATTTGGCGGCGCAAGCCGTCGGCTAGCACGGGGGCTTCAGCCCCATGACTGGCGCTCCGATCGGTCTGTTTCCGGCGAGACAACAGCATTGGAAAGTGATCGCCACTCCGAGCCAAGTTTGGCTATCAGTGTTACTTCCGCGGTCGGACACATGCAACATCCTGCTCTCCGTTCCAATGAAGATTTACTCTCGATTCCACATGATTATTCATTTTCTACGTCCCCCGGACATCGGCGCAACCGCTCTCATCAGCTTCCCGGTAAACACTCCGAGCCCTTCCAGCTCACTCGAGAAGCCTTGCTACGGAAGAGAAGGAGCGGGATTGAGTCGAACTTCGACATCGATCATGCACACACACGTGGCTCACTTGGATCGGATCACGATACATTGGTCCCGCCCTACGAGATTTACACCCAGGCTACCGGTCCCTCTGTAGAACATTTCATTTCCGGCGAACCCTGCTTAACGACCTCGCCACCTTCGGCTGCTACTATCTCTTCGTCCTCAGTTGACGAATATACCAGCGGAATGTCTCAGAGAACCTCTCATGCAAGCATTCCATCTGTGGTCTCCGGGGCGTCTTCCATCTCAGGAGAGGGTGGTGCCAGGGACAGAGATTGTGAAACCGCAACTAAAATACCCTCAATACTTCGTACTGATGACACCGTGAAAGCCCCACCGCTTAACCTCTCACGCTCCAACGAGGACGATGAGTCCCGGTATTACTGTGACGACGAGGAGGAGTCCGAAGGGGACTCTGAAGACGAAGGTCTCGTGATTGGCAAGAAGAGAACCACGCCCCAGAAACCTATCATTCGGCCCGGACATTCTAAGTCATAGTCGACGTTGATTTCGAACCCTGCCATTTTAGAGGTTTGCGGAGCAGGAATTTCTTTTGTCGAATTGATTATTATTCGATGTCGCCGGCCCGTCCACCGATGGTGAGCATCAGGGTCCGCGCCTCGTTCGACTTCACCAGCTTTTCTGTCGGGGATTGCATATTCTTACATGTATATCATTTCCGTCTTCTTTCCCACCTAGGGTGGAAGCTTTTCTCTGCCCCTCTTCGTCTTCTTGTTTCTTTGCCTCTCCAGGCTCATTGCATCTTTCTCTGGTCCATGGGAATCTCTCTTCATGGATTTCGTATGTTTTCGAGTATGATTACATTGCTTGTACATATAATTGCATGGGCGGCATGATCATCCTGGGTCTGGGTTTCACATTTAGCTTCTGCCAGGGGGCATGGGGCAGAGTCGCTTTGTCGGTTTTCTGTGCCTCTATAGGTATATCTCCGGTTTGCTTACTGCATTGGGTTGGGGTCTGGGATTTTCTGTATGTAATGATTGACTTGGGACGCGGGATCAGGATACACACATTGCACCCGACTTTTTGTTGTGGCATTTCCTTCTACTCTGATTCTTTACCCTTGTTTCTTCAGTGACTATTTCTGCGCGCAAACCGCGACGTGTTGACATGACTTATTGATATGATGCTGCTGCTGCTGATAATGATGATGCGGGATGATCGAGGAGCGAGCCAATCTACCTCCCAATATAAACTGCTGTGCGAGAAGTTTCGGGTTGATGTCTCAAGGGAAAACGGAGGATGAAACGAGCCAAGAGCGGTGGCTTGATCCTGCCGCTCCATGACGGAAAAAGTACCAGTCCAAGCCGAGGCCGAGGCCGAGGACTATTGCTCCGTTGCTCCATTGCTCCACACTGCCTGCGGATCGCGCAACTGGCAGCTGGCAGCTGTCAGTTCTTCATCAGGTGTCACGCGCTTCATCCCCCCTTTTGTTAAGCGAGATTATCATGATCTATTTTGGGTCTTCTTCCATGATAATCCCCGCCCAAGACATGATGAGGCCATCGGCGTGCCACCGGTGTTTCCCACCAGCCACTCATTCTATTCCTCCACCAATGACTCTGCCCGTTCTGAGTCTCCTCGAATCCCATTTGACCCTGGCAGCTCGAGCTACTGTACCCCGGCGTCATGCTTGGGTTAGGATAAATTAAACCGTGGAGAACCTGACAAGCCTGGGGTACGCTAAGATGCGCAGACTTGGTTCTTCACAGGTTTATGCTCCGTGTCCGGGCTGGCCGTCGGCAACGGCCATGATTGCCATCTGCCCATCCTGCCCTTTGGAGCTTTATATAATACTTCGCGTGGGCGGCCTTCTTGCTCATGTTTCTGTCTGAAAGTCTGCCAAACTGAATCTCCCACCCAGCTCTTTCGCCATGTTCGTTCCTCTGCTGCTGGCGGCGCTGCCCCTTCTGTCCCACGCTGCGCTCACTTATCGCGGTGCAGACATCTCTTCCCTTCTGATGCTGGAGGACGAGGGCTATAGCTACAAGAACCTCAACGGCCAAACCCAAGCGCTCGAAACAATTCTCGCCGATGCGGGCATCAATTCCATTCGCCAGCGGGTGTGGGTAAATCCTAGTGACGGCATCTACGATCTGGATTACAACTTGGAGCTGGCCAAGCGAGTCAAGGCGGCTGGCATGAGTATCTATTTGGATCTTCATCTGAGCGATACATGGGCGGATCCTAGCGCTCAGGTGAGTTGAATCCGTTCGAAAGCTGGTGGTCGGGTCAAGGGGAAGTCTAAGCTGACTGTGTCTGGGATAATAATAGACAACACCTTCCGGGTGGTCCACCACCGACCTCGACACTCTAAAGTGGCAACTATACAATTACACTCTTGAGGTATGCAACACCTTTGCGGAGAACGACATTGACATCGAGATCATCTCGATCGGCAACGAAATCCGCGCTGGTCTTCTCTGGCCTCTGGGCGAGACGAGCAGCTACTCAAACATTGGTGCATTGCTGCACTCCGGCGCTTGGGGAGTCAAGGACTCCAGTTTGGCGACAACACCCAAAATCATGATCCACCTGGATGATGGCTGGAGCTGGGATCAGCAAAGTTACTTCTACAAGACCGTCTTGGCTACGGGCGAGCTATTGTCCACGGACTTCGACTACTTTGGTGTTTCCTACTACCCGTTCTACAGCGCATCCGCAACTCTAGCGGCCCTGACGACCAGTCTGGCGAACCTGCAATCGACCTATAGCAAGCCGGTTGTGGTGGTGGAGACGAACTGGCCAGTCTCGTGCCCGAACCCTGAGTACTCATTCCCCTCCGATCTGAGCTCAATTCCCTTCTCGGTCGCAGGTCAGCAGCAATACCTCGAGAAACTGGCAGCTGTGGTAGAGGCCACTACCGATGGGTTGGGAGTGTACTACTGGGAGCCGGCGTGGATCACCAATGCTGGGTTGGGGTCGAGCTGCGATGATAATCTGATGGTGGATACGTCCACGGACGAAGTCTATGCGAGCATTGATACTCTCGGTGAGCTTTGAGAGGCGGGATTGTTGCTTGTGTAGGATAGGAATCTAAACCAGGGTATTGATGCGGATTGGCAGTAAGCTAGTTTCAATGCGAACGACTGAGATTGTACTTACCGCCGGGTAACTTAACTAGGGCTGTGACCAGAAGTATTCATAGTGAATTCGAAGCAAGAAACCTGCATCACTGTGGTATTCTGCTCTGTAAGCTTCTTATTTTTATCCTTTCTCTCTCTCTCTCTCTCTCTCTCTCTACACGTGTGGGAGGCTGTGCAAACGTGACCCAATGCTTGTCCGCAGCGCCGCCAACTTGAGGTTGCGGCAATTCCTTGGGTAAGGGCCTTTGTCTTTGTTCTGGCAACTCGAAGCCTATACCTATTCCTACGGCCAGGAGCTTGACCAGGATAAGGCTAATTAAACAATCATTATTTGTGACTCTGCCGGGAAGTTAGATTCCTGGCGTGACGCTAGCCGGAGCTGTCTTCTTTTTTCTTTTTGAAAAAAGAATCCTGAATGGAGCTGAGGCTGAGTTGCTTGGCCGTGTCTGGTAAGTTTGAATGAAATTGGTCTTGTCACTGATTGGTTTGTCTGTTCGCACAGTAAGGAGAAATACGAGGCCATCGATGATTTGATGAGATGCTTGTTCTTTTTTGGGGTGGGGGGAAAAAGAAGACTCTGGAGGCTTTCTGGGCATGGCGGTTGCAGCCTTAAATGCCCCACGATAGCGCTGAAGAGATAGAATTGTAGGTACGGAGAGTGATAAGGAAGAGACGACTAAATAGGTACCTTAGTTACTACCAGTTAGTTACATAGTCGCCTTGTGATGTACTGTGATTACGGAGTACTTCTGCTGATCCTCGAAATCTGCCTTGCCGGCGTCACGCAGGAATGACTGACACGTGCCTGTCGTCGCCCAGTCAGGCATCCAGGCTGTTTGTTACCAGTACCAAAGTAACGAGTATGGAGTAACGAGCACGGAGTAGTTCCCACTGCATCAAAGTTATCAACTGAAACTCTCCTTCCTTCTCTACCGCCCCCTCCCTTGCGCTGGGTGCATATTCTCCTGTCTACCATCTATCTACTTCTGCTGGCTGGCGTTTCGACAGACTACTCCGTAAGGTAGATCGCTTCTTGCATCTTTCTCGTTCGTCCCCTGCTGCCCGAGAATGTGAAACACACTTCATTCAGTCCGACCGAGCGACCAACGACCGACCGAGCGACCGACCGCTGGCTGATGCTTGCGCCACGAGGCTGAATCTTCTCAATTTCGTGCTCCTTCCTCTCTTTCTTTCCCTACTCTCCCTCCCTCCCTGCCACATTCACTTTCCCCCTCTTCTTCATTCTACTTTTCTAGTATTACTTGATCCACAGTGTCTACATTGTTTCACACGAATGACAGCCCCAATTGCACCCCCTTGTCGTTCCTATTCTCATTAATATTGTGCCTGGACGTAAAGTTTGAACAAACCACTCAACCTCGTCTTGCCGCCTTCCCCTCTCCCCATCATTACTGCCCATCTTCCCCTCCTCCGCCCGCCGTATCTGACCCGTCTGTTTCTTCAATAATCACTACACCCTTTCTCCTTTTTTCCCACACTCTCTCCACCGCCCCCCTCCCCTTCAGCTTTCCTATTAACCTTATCCATTCCTCTTCACTGGGTGAGATTCAATCGGACCTGATTTCTGTCGTTCCGCGACCACACCCTCCATCGAGTGGTTTCTATTTCTGAGTCTCCGGGATACAGAGCATCATGGCTTCTCAAGAGACGCTCCGCGATTCGAGGCAGTCTCCCGCCAATGGACAGAATCAAAGTGCCAGTGCAGCTCACAATCCACAACAGCCTTATAATGACCTTTCATCGGGCTTGACCTTGGATGTGTCCGTCGCGACCTCCACCCAATTTCCTGCCTTCACCAATAATTCGCAATCCGATTCTTACGGCTACAACCCCGCCGCCTATCTCTCCGCGCAAACGCTGGCCCCGGCCTCGCAGAACTTCTCCCAGACCCTGCAATTGCCTCAATCCTTCAATTCCAACCTAGTACATCAATTAGATCAGTCGGCGGGCTTGTCCCTGCAACAGCAGCAGCAGCAGCAATTATCTTCAGACGAGAACTTTTCCACCCTACTTAATTCCAATCAAACCGACTTTGACTTTGCCCTCTATCAAAACCCCAGCCCCAACAGTTCGGCCGCCCCTGAATACGACTCACCGCTGATGCTTGATCCTCACGGACAGTCTCGACAAACTAATCACGGAGTCAATCCTGCCGACCTAATCAGTCAGATGCCCTCTTCCCATCGCTCGTCCTCGCCGCAGCTGTCACCTATTTCGCCGCAAGACTATCACCAACATTCTTCCCCCGGCCCTATGTCACCCCCAAACTCTACGCCCGGAACCTACTATACCCCACAACATTCTCGGCATACCTCCTTGGATCCTGCTACCGCAGCCTACATGTCCGGAAACTCGCATCACGACTGGCAGGCAGTCATGGGTAGTTCCGCATTCCAAGGTCATCGCAGAGCTCCGTCGGAAGTGTCCGAGGTTTCTTCCGCAGCGCCTTCGCCGTATATGTCACAGCATGAATCCTTTGACGGCTTCGACAATAATCCTTCTCCGCTTCTCGCGCCGCAGAACGATCCCGGTTTATATGAGAACGCGCTGGGAATAGAATCTTTTACACTGTCTGAGCATCAGCAGCCGCATTCGCAACCAGCTTTGAGTCCAGCGCACAGCCCGTACATCTCACCGCAGTTGGTACCGCAACAGGGGGCGGATATGATTCCTAATGTTCCGTATATATCTACACCTGCCTTGAATTCTCAATACCCGACTCCTCCAACAGATATGTATGCGGAGAACTTGTCAGTTCAGGGAAACACAAGCCCTGGAGACATGGGACAGGCGTCTCAAATGGCTCCTCCTTCCATTAACGTCGAATTCGCACCTCCTTCCCAAAACTCCAACCCACCTCAGTCAAAGCCAGCTGCGAATCTGGACTCTTTGAGCCCACCCGTTGCTATCCGTAGGTAGTCCCTTTCCTGTTTAATCGCTCAGTGCTGACGTGATTTGCTGTTAGGATCTCGTATGCGCAGTAAATCCGATCCATATGCCCATCCAGCCTCGCGCGCGCGCTCTTCTTCAACCTCAACAAGCCTGGAGCCGTTCAATGTGTCATCTCCGCGGTCCCTATCGCCCTTCGATTCTGTTGGGCGCCAGCTTCAAAGCAACCCCAGCTCTCGAGAGCCCTCGCCGTCCCGCTCGGGCCGTCGCTTATCGACCTCTTCTATCGATAGCCGGAATTATATTTTAGGTCTCGCTGACCCTCAGCGGCCAGGCGCGAATCCCAACGACTCAAAGCGAGTTCAGAAACACCCTGCAACATTCCAGTGCCATTTATGCCCCAAGCGCTTCACAAGAGCGTATAATCTTCGGTCTCACTTGCGAACTCATACAGATGAAAGACCATTTGTCTGCACCGTGTGTGGGAAAGCCTTTGCGCGCCAGCACGACCGCAAGCGACATGAAGGACTACATTCCGGGGAAAAGAAATTTGTTTGTCGTGGCGAACTGTCTCGGGGTGGTCAATGGGGCTGTGGCCGTCGGTTCGCACGTGCCGATGCTCTCGGCCGTCATTTCCGATCGGAGGCTGGCCGAATTTGTATTAAGCCCTTGTTGGACGAGGAGTCTCAAGACCGAGAACGTTCTGCTCTGGATCAGCAGCAGCAGCACCTTCAGCCGATGCCGGCTCCATTAATGGTTCCGGGCATGGACGGCCAACCGACCGGCACGTTCGTTCTCCCCGCAGCTTTGCTGGCCCAGTACCCAGCCCTGCAAACTTTGCAATGGGATCAGATTCCTGCTACGGCGGATGATCCCAGCGACATTGGGGGTCGCAGTAGTTTTGATGCAAGCTCTGGCGGCGAGTTCGGATTTGAAGATGACGAGCCGGGCATGAGTACCGTATCTGGCATCAACGGAGGCTATGGCGGTGGGCCTAGTATCTACGATATGAATAACCAGGCACATATGCTTGGAATCAACCCAGGTGACACAAATTACCAAGAAACGGACTGGAGAACATGAGGTCTCGTTCACCAGCCACGTCTTTCCCGCGCCCATCAAGTCCTTCATATCTATTTTCTTGTTCTCTTCCTGTCTTTCTGTCCTATTTGCTCGGTCGTGACCTGTCCATTATTTCATCCCTACCGGAAGATTTCCAGACCGGGCAATCTCCGTCGCGGTTGTGATTTGCGCTGGAAGAGACTCGGCGTTGACTCGACTAGGCGACCTATTGTGTTGCTTCTACATAGGCAGATTTCTTTTCGGCCCTTTCTTGTCCTTTCCTGGCTTCTTTGCTCTGGTGAACCCCCGCTGATACCAGAGCCGTCTTATTCCCCGTTTCTCTTACCACATGTGACCACGAAGAATTTTGTTGGCTTTTCATACCCATAGGAACTGCACCCGTTGTTTTTGTGTGCGAATTACAAGATAGCCCTGGAATGAGAGGAGGGGGCATGTTTGTGTTATTTTCATTTGTTTTTGGGGATATCCTTTTTCCTTTCTCATGCATTTTTTTTTTCATTTCAAAACCCTAGATTCATGGAGTCTGCTACTTCTAGACCTAAATGAACTTCTCTTGCAACTGATGCGCGGAACCTATTGTAATATGACTCGACTGATTGATAAGGACAGGGCGGTATCACATGACGCAATGGCTTCCACCCGCTTTCTGCTGTGTCTCTCCGCATTGTTCTCACATATTATTGGCTTTCTTTCCCAGTTTCCTCTCGCTTTCTCCTACATCTCCTCCCCTTCCCTCCTGAACGAAAGACCTGGAGAAAGTCTGAAAGAATTGAAACAGCCTACATGGTCGGTCAAATGCGTCGCGCGGCTTTACACGCTCTCCGTACTGCCCGTCGCGCGCCAGCAGAATGGAAGGCTGTTGGTAGGAAACCGTGCGCGGTGTCCTTCTCCAGTAGTCCCAGTTTCAGCATCCGTCCATCATCCTTCTCCGCGGGCAAATATCCCTCTTTCCTTCCCGCCACATTACAATCTTCGATGCACCTCCGAAATTTCTCGCTCGCAGTGATTTCTACTGTCGTTGCCTCAGGGGCATGGTATGCGTATCAAGGGAATAATGGTGCCCATCAGTCGACCGCCCTGAACACAACATCCGCCTCCCAGGTACGCTCGATTTCCACTGCCGGCGCCAACGTCCACGATCCTGCGGAGACCACCCGCCGTGCCCTTTTAGTGGATAACGACCAGTTTTACACCGCTACCCTGTCGGGAGAACAGCCTCTTTCCAAGCACACGGACGACTCCGACCGTCGGGTCCTCGAGATGTTGACTCCGGAGCAGGCGACCCAGAAACTGCGCAAGAACGAGGAGTCATACCTAGTAAACCGCGGTCAGGGAGTGGTACGTTACGACATAGTCCAAGTACCCAGTAACTCCCCCATAGAAGATGATCATGCCGAGAAGGTTGTCGAGGTGCCATCTTCCGTGGCGGCAGCACAGGACGGACAAGCGAACAGTGATTGGATGTTCTGGGGCGTGTTCGATGGACACTCGTGAGTACTCTACTGTCGCTACTCTCAGCGAAATGCTAATAATCTCCTACAGTGGTTGGACTACCTCCGCTAAGCTCCGCAACGTGCTCATTTCATATGTTGCTCGCGAATTGAACTCGACCTACAAAGCCGCAGCTGCGGACCCATCCGTGCTGACACCGTCATCTGAAGCGGTAGATGCCGCCATCAAGCAGGGTTTCGTTCGCCTGGATAACGACATCGTCTACAACAGCGTCGACAAGGTGTTGAAATCGAATTCGCGCCGTGTTGCGGCTGAAATGCTGGCTCCCGCTCTTTCCGGATCCTGTGCTTTGCTCGCTTTCTACGATTCGCAATCCAAGGACCTAAAAGTCGCCGTGGCCGGCGATTCGCGAGCTGTACTGGGTCGTCGGGGTGCAAATGGAAAGTGGTCTGCGACAGTGCTCTCGGAAGACCAAACCGGCGGCACTCCGTCCGAGATGAAGCGTCTCCGCGAGGAGCACCCAGGAGAACCCAATGTTGTCCGCAATGGACGGATCCTCGGTCAATTAGAGCCTAGCCGATCCTTTGGCGATGCCTTCTACAAGTGGACCAAGGAAACCCAGGACAAGATCAAGCGGCAATTCTTCGGCCGCACGCCTCACCCGCTGCTGAAGACCCCTCCCTATGTTACCGCCGAGCCTGTGGTCACGACAACTAAGGTTGAACCTAGCCGAGGTGATTTCCTTGTGCTCGCCACGGACGGGCTCTGGGAGATGCTGAGTAACGAGGAGGTCGTTGGACTGGTTGGGGAGTGGATCGAACAACAGCAGAAGCAGGTCGGTAGCAGCAAGACTTGGTTGCGCAGCTGGTTCGGATTTGAGAACAAGCAGCTCCCTGTCGAGGCGGCTGTCGATGCTGGCACGGAAGGCCAGCGTCGTCCCATACGCCAGCAGCAGTACGATATCTCTGGTGCAGCCAGTCGGTTTACCGTGGAAGATAACAACGCGGCAACCCATCTTGTGCGTAACGCGATGGGCGGAAAAGACAAGGATATGGTCAGCGCCCTGTTGACTCTTCCGAGCCCCTATTCCCGGCGGTACCGGTAAGTTACTCTTGCGTACACATGTGTGGTATGAGTGCTTATACATCCGACTACAGTGACGACGTCACCGTCGAGGTTATCTTTTTCGGCGAGGGTCCTGATTCCAGGACCATCACCGTGAACCAGGAGGCTAGCGCGTCTGAGGAGCTACCCAAGGCGAAATTGTGATTCAATCATTCACCACAGTAGCGGTTCCTTCAGACGTGATCCTCCTTGCGACCAATACAGACAGACAAATAGTCATGTTTCCGTGCAGAAGGACGGGTTAGATATCGACTCTTTCTCCGGTACTTTACATCGGCTCATTCTTCGATCCAGCCCCGAAACGCTGGATATTTGCAAGACTCAATTACTCATGTGCACTGATTCTGCATATCAGGATCCATTTGGTAATAATACATCCCGCGGGTCTGGGATGACAAGGTTTTTGTTTGCAAGCAACCACTTAAAGACTAGCCATTTATAGGTAACGGTATACCATGACTTGTGGCATTCACAGTGCATGTATAACCTGGAGTTTGACGGAAATTCTCTGTAGTTGTCGACATGATCCGAGGGCAATCCAAGGCTTGTAATCACCTGAAGCGTCTTCTGGCAGTGGAGTGGTCTCACAGCTTCTGCTTCCCTGAAAGATAGCAGCACATTGACGCGTCAAATGCATCGTTCGGTGCACACACGCCAAATCCGCGGGATGAAATGAGTTAGACGCTCATGGAGCAGGTTGTTGCGCCTCTGGACGCGTCGTATCGTTCACCCCCTTGCCCCCCCCCCTCCACTTTCTTCTACATGTGGAGCTTCCTCAATCAGGTGAACCGAATTCAGACCAGTCAAGTAGTCAAGGGGTTAGTGACAACCGCCCAGCCCACTCCTCACTGGTAGAGCTATTTCAGCCTCGTATTGAATGAACACCCGACGAGTTTTGCCGATGAAAGCAAAGTTTAATACAGATTCTTTGTTTGCGAGCCATAGATGCGGTGCTTCATCCCAGAACCTCAGTCTGCTTCTTGCCCCCCTTCACCGGCCTCACCGGAGTTTTATACAGCGGAAGTGGACGCATCGACTCCGTCATGGCATTCTTCTTTCCGCCATGTGGCTTCATCATCTTGTCCAGAGTCAAGTTCTGCAGCGTAGCAAAACTGCTACTCGTGAGCCAATACAGCAACAAGGCCACCGGCGCCTCCGTATAATAGGTCGAAAGGCCGACGTTCAGCGTCATGATCTGGACGAAGAGCCGGAGTCCGCGCCACGACAGCTGCTTCGCCAGTTCCAATCGCGGCAGGTCCGCCAATTCTCGCAGTCGGGGCACCGGCCACCCGCAATGGATGTTCAGGAGGATGGACGCGGTGAGGGCTGCCGGCAGCACGCCCGTGGCGTCCCCAGCCAGAAGATCGGGGAACCAGAGCGCGCCTTCGAGCGCGAGCGTTGGTTCGGCAGGGACGCGCTCGGCGGTGGAGCCGGCCCACGAGAGCAGCCACGCGAGGAGTCCGCTCTCCAAGCCGGACATCGCGCGGATGGTCTCCATCACCGAGAGCCAGACGGGAAGCTGAAGTAAGGGTAGCCCTCGCCAAAAGCGCCAGACCCCGAGACGGCGGAGGATCTCCTTGCGCCGGCGCATCAACGCTATGTTTATGTTTGCTTTGTCTGATGCGAGCGTGGGCGGGTTCTGTTCTTGGTGTTGTGGTTGTTGTTGTTGCTGCTGCTGCTGCAAAAGCTGACGTCTTGCATCTAGTGCACGGGCTCTCGACTGGAACAGCTGGCGCCAGCTGGCAACAACGGGCATGGCGGCCTGTTCGCGGCGAGCTTGCAGTCTGGAGAATATCTGTAGAGGCATGCCGATGAAGGTTCGGACGAAGAGAGCGGTTAGCGGAATAGAGTAGACCCAGGAAAGGCCGGTCAAATTGTGGACGCCATGGACGAGCCAGGAAGAGTCCAGAGCTTCGGCGATAAATGGGGCTGATCTCGTAGGGTGGAATTGTCGGGTCTGGAGGGGAAATTTGGATAGTGATCTTGTTGCTCGGAGGGTTGGGCGAGTTAGACGGAGGGATTGATACATGGCTGCGTATATATCATAAAGATTTGGTCATTGAGATCTATGTTGAAGATTTTTGTGTATGTACAAGGTGTGAAGAGTAGACTCGAGCAGAAGGGTGGAAAGACAATTAGGAAGATGGATCTACTGTAACTAATCCACAGAAAGACAAAACACGGAGACACGTGATCCGGATCACATGGAGATAAAGCCAGTGAAGCTATCCGTGCTATCATCTTATCGATCCTGTGACTCGTCAGCCTGGCTTAAGATCCACTTCAATCCACTACGGATTCTCCACGCTGTCACTTAACTAACTTCCAACCTTTACTACCTTTTGATTTACCTCTATCATGTTCCTCACTGAGCCATGATGCTGCTCATACTCAAGTCCTTTCTCACATTCCTCGCACTCCTCGCCACCTGCGTCCTCCTGCCTCAGCTGCCCCTGGCCGCTCTCCGCCTGGTGCTCCGCATTGTGGGTTGGGCCGTGCAGAAGAGAACCAGGTCTCGTCGCGAGTATATCGTGTCGCGTGTCCGCGCCGATGAAGAGGAGTTTGTCAAAAAGAAGTCCACCAAAACAGCTTCAAACCCCGCAGATGATGAGGATTGGGAGCAGGTTGACGCCTCATATAGCGCCAGTTCCGGATCCGCTGGCAAAAATATCAACGACGACTGGAATGGAATTATTGGGTTCTTCCACCCATTTTGGTAGGGCTTACTTCTTCGAAATCCTCTTCAGAAGCTGACCTCGTGCAGCAACGCCGGCGGTGGAGGTGAACGTGTACTTTGGGAAGCTGTGAGAGCGACTCAGAAGCGCTGGCCCAAGGCCATCTGCGCCATTTACACGGGCGATCACGAGGTCAACAAGACAGCCATGCTGCAAAGGGTTGCAGTAAGTCTCGCCCTTGTCCACAAATTTGCATGATACCTGACTTCTCAGTCCCGGTTCAATATCCATCTGCATGCTCCCACCGTTGTTCTTCTCTACCTGACCACCCGCAAATATGTGGTCAGCGGCATGTACCCCTACATGACCTTGCTGGGACAGTCCCTGGGCTCTTTGATTGTTGCCTACGACGCATTCAACCTACTCGTTCCTGACATCTTCGTCGATACCATGGGGTACGCCTTCACTTTGGCTTTCAGCAAGTTGCTCTTTCCCTCCGTCCCGACTGGCGCCTATGTACACTACCCCACCATCTCTACCGACATGCTCGGCTCTCTGGACGACCAGACCGGTACCAAGGGCATCAACGCTGGTGCTGGCAAGGGCCTCAAGGGTCAGGTCAAACGTAGGTATTGGATCTTGTTCGCTAAACTCTACGGCTGGGTTGGCGGCCACGTTGACGTCGTTATGTGCAATTCCTCCTGGACGTCTGCTCATGTCCGCAGCCTCTGGGGCCCTGCCCGGAGGACCAGCACCCATGCGGAACCAACCGTCATTTTCCCGCCTACTGCCGTCTCTGAGCTCGAATCCACCATTCAAGTAGATGCGGGAACGGAGAAAACCCGGGGACCTGTGATTCTCTACATCGCTCAGTTTCGCCCGGAGAAGAACCACCCTTTGCTTCTCCGCTCCTTTGCCCGCTTCCTTCAAAATTATCGCAAGAAAGTCTCTTCACATGTGGAGAAAGAGCCTCAACTCATTCTCATTGGCTCTGTCCGCCACTCCTCTCCCGACGAGACTCACATTTATAATCTCCGCTTACTTGCTCACGAACTGCACATTCGCGACAACACGACGTTTCTCTGCGATGCCAGTTGGCCCACTGTCCTTGAGCACCTCGCATCTGCCTCGGTTGGCGTCAATACCATGTGGAACGAGCACTTTGGCATTTGTGTTGTCGAGTATCAGGCCGCCGGGTTGATCAGCGTTGTCCACGACTCTGGTGGCCCTCGTGAGGATATCGTCGTTGACCTTGGCGACGGTGCGACGGGCTTCCGTGCCAATACCGAGGATGAGTTCGCCGCTGCGTTCGAGGCCGCTTTGGCACTCCCGGAGGAGGAGAAGGTTGCAATGCGGCTGAGAGCACGCAAGTCCGCGCTGAGATTCACAGAGGAGGAATTTTCTTTGAAGTGGGTGAAGGAACTTGAAAAGCTGGTGAAGCTTAAGGAAAATTGAGGGCGAGAGCTAGAAGATTTTCATTGCTGGATGACTCATTCCTGTGGAGAGCTGGCCATAAGTGCTCTGGTACAGGGTAAGAGTCCAAATGGCAGACCATGTAGCATTTTTATGCGCTTAGATCAGATGAGAGTCAATCAGCACTACACTCAAACCTCAAAAGAAATATATATCTCCTCAAGCCCCGAGTAGGTATATTTAGTGGCACCGAAACGCGGCAAGCCACCGGCCCGCCGCCAAGCCCCTCGCAGCTTGTGTCGTCATGCCCCGCGGAATAATCCTAGCATCCTAAGCTTCTTTTTTACCTAAACTGTACACTGTACTGAAGTACTTACTAGTAACTTTCCTGCTTTCTTTCTGCAAACCTTCTTCATTCACCAATTGGCTCTGTCTTTCTTCTATTTGCACATCCTACGGGAAGCCTCTTTATCATCTCCTTAAAAATTCTATTAGCTTCCTTTCTGTGGTCAAGCCTGCCTTTCCTCGAATGTCCTCTCGCGCCATCCGCAAGCTGCAGAAGCAGCGTGAACAACAACTACAAGCTGAGCAGGAAAATGACGGATCGAGCGAAGATGAGTTGGTGGTCTCGCGTTCTATAAAACCAAAGCTAAACGCCTTTGATCTCCTGAATTCCTTTGGCGACGAGGAAGAGGACGACGAACCATCCGAGAAAGAAGATGAGGTGGCCGAGGCGGTTGCTCAGCCCACGCATGGAGTTGAGGAGGAGAGAGAAGAAGAGGAGGAGGAGGAGGAGGAGGAGGAGGAGGAGAAGGAGGATCGGGATGAGGAGCAAACACCTAGAACTGTGAAGTCTACGGGTCAAGGGAAGAAGAATAAAAAGAAGAACAAGAACAAGAGGAGGAAGGCCACCGCCGCCGCCAAACCAGGAAAGCATACCGGGGCAAAGACAGACGAGGATGAGATCGATCGTGCGCTACAGGCACTCACTGTTGACCCGAAACACGCCACAATGGCAGGCCGTAATGCTTCGTTTGCGAAGACGCCGGAACAACTACTTGGTATTGACCCTAGGAACCTCAATGCGACGAACGAAATGCGCAAGTTATTCGGAAACGTGGTGCTGGAGAATTTTGATCAGGATACTGGGTCCGGTGGGCGACGGAGGGACCGCGGGCCGGAGACCCTTGATCTGGGACAGGCCCTGGCGGGAAGATATAGCCCGGCGAGCAGGGGACAAAGCCTGGCTGGTGTGACTCTGCGGCGGAATGTCCTCATGCAAGGCAAGGATGAATGGCCGCGGGCGCCCAGCGGAGGTCTGGGTATGGAGCTGGTGGAGAAACGTGCGGATGGCAATACGGTTTACAAAATTCTTCACAACGCTGCATACACGGATGTGCAAAGGCAATTTGAGATCTGCGTGGAGTCCATGGACCCTCAGCGCATGATCCATCTTCTGCAGTACAACCCTTACCACATTTCGACATTGCTCCAGGTTTCGGAGATCGCTAAGCACCAGGGTGATCATGCTGTCTCCGCTGATCTGCTTGAGCGAGCGCTCTTCAACATTGGGCGCTCGGCTCATTCTTCGTTTGGTAACCTTTTGAAGCAAGGCCAGGCCAAGTTGGATTTCGTGCAAGAGGCGAACCGTGAGCTCTGGCTTGTTGGGTGGCGGTACATTGCCAATCTGGGCATGAAGGGAACCTGGCGGACGGCGTATGAATGGGCGAAGTTGCTTCTGGGACTTAACGAGAGTGATCCATACTGCATACGCCTGTTGATCGACCACTTGGCCCTTCGTGGCCGCGAGTACTCTCACTTTGTCGAGCTATGCACACAAACCCGACTGAGCAAGGATTGGGAGGCTCTGCCCAACATCCAATGCTCGCTCGCACTGGCATACCTACGACTGAACAAACCCAAGGAGTGCCGCGAACAGCTTCACCGAGCCATGTCCCGCTATCCATGGGTTTTCTGCAGGATTTCTCAGGAACTAGATATCCAGCCTATGCCCAAAAGCATTTGGGGCAAGATGCCTCCTACCACTTCTCACGAACTGCTCACGGAACTTTACCTCTCTCGGGCCAAGGACCTCTGGAATACCCCAGAAGCTGTCTCCTTGATTGTGGAAGTGGCTGACACGCTCTCGGATGAGGAGGAGCCGGTTGAACCGCCCGAGATCACACTTGACATTGCCCGCCACGTCGTTCTTTCTGATATCCCCAAGGTCACAACTTTCCTTCCAGGACGTTTCATCGCTGGCAGAATCTCGGCCTCTGACCCTCTTCCTCCGCACGAGTCAGAGGCCCATCGCCAACAGTCCGACCCTACTCCGTCTTACCTGGCCCAGACCCCGGCTGCGGGTCGACCTCAGTGGCTACGGGATCTGTTAGATCAGCTCAATAACGGCGGGGTTCAATTCCCTGGCTTTAACCGTGACGGCGACGATGGCGACGAGGAGGCCCTCGGTGTTGAGGATACATCGAGCCGCGGAGACGATCCAAATGATGCACAGGCACATCCGAGTGCGGATCAGCAACCGCTTTTGCAGCAATGGCTGCTGAGCGATGGCATGCATGCGCTTCAAGCTTTCCTTCAGCAGTACGGGGTGGACCGAGGAAACTGGGGGGAGGTTGTTGACTATTCTCCCTTGACAGAGTATGTAGATGCGCTGGACTCGGTGCAGCCAGAGTCGACACGAGAAATGTTGTTGGCAGGCCCCATTCGTGAAGCTATGGGCGAGCTGGCGGTTGTCATGCTGGAGGATGAATTGCAGCTACTCCAGTATGATGAGGAGGAGGAGGATATTTGATACCCGCGGGCCACTTGGACTATGTCAAAACTAGCATGGCTAGTAATGATGATGAAATATAAAACAAAGACCCCAATTGCCGCCACGCCAGCGGTCATTGATCATCATATATCGGTGCGAACGAGGACCAAGTAGACAGACGTGAGGCGATAAGGTAAACCTATAGTTCCGAGGTATACTGCTTGCAAGTTGAGCAGGGAATGAGCCCTGTCTCCAATTCTCGTTATCAGCAGCCACTTGCATAGGGCGTAGCTCGCCGTAGTGGACAGACGAGTGGGAAGAAAGCCGAAGATAATGACATCCGCACCAAGCTTAGTCAGGCTTCCCTTTGCTTGAAATCCGTCATCGATTGATTCCCGTGAGTCAACCTCAATTAGAACTCGAACTAATTTAGCTGCGTCTTTCGCTTTGTTCTGCATCCTTCTTTCTCACATCCCTCCTGCAGCCTGTTCGTGAAAAATTGAAAAAAAACCCCCACACTGACTTTGTGGTTTCACTTTTCATCCTTGCACCCCATGCGCTCTGACCACCAGGAAACCCTACCATAGTTAGCCGCTGTCAGCGCACGTCTTATCTCTCTCCCTCTCTCTATTCTCCCGCTCACGGTTTGCTTGCCTGCAATTGACCCGAGTCGTCTCCGTTTCCCAAATCATCGTCTCTCGATATGACGACCCCATTGCCAGGCGATAGCATCGTCTCCATGGTCGACTCCGTATCATTAACGTCACGCGAAGCAGCGTCTGGACTGCTTGGGTCGATCTCACTTACCTGCTGGATCTTCCTCCTGGTATGATAAGCACCCGCGGCGCATGCCGTGTACGTGAAATGAGCCATGCTGACGGGGAAGTGTAACAGGTCCCTCAGCTCATCGAAAATTACCGCAACGGCAACGCTGAAGCGATTTCCCTCCTCTTCCTCTTCGTTTGGTTCGTGGGTGACATCACCAACCTCATTGGCGGTGCCTGGGCTGGCCTGGTCCCCGTCATTGTCGCCATTGCCGTTTATTTCTGTATCGCCGACGGCGTCCTCATCGGCCAATGCCTGTACTATAAGTCCCGCAATTCGCGCCAGGCCGCGGCGCGCCATCGCCGGCGGCGCTCATCCGTTGAGACCCCGGATACAATCACGCCTTTGCTGGGCCGGCGGTTCAGCGACGCAGTCGAGCATCATCGTCCAGCTGCGCGCCGGGCGGAGGGCTATGTGCAAGGCGGCAGCCACCACAACGAGTACGGGAATCTCGCGTCCTCAGGGCCGGAAGACACCCTCGCCAAGATTGTCGAGGAAAACGACGTCGGTCGCAAAGCGTGGGTCAAGAATTTCAGTAGTGTGCTGGCTATCTGCGTGATTGGAATGGCGGGCTGGACCATCGCGTGGCAGACGGGCGTGTGGAAACCGGCCCCCAAGGTAGTTGATGGCGGAGTGGACATGGCGCCAGGCGCAATGGTGCTGGGATATATCAGCGCGATTTGCTATCTAGGGTGAGTTCTAGTGCACTCATGTTCTGGCGTTGACAGGCTTCAATTGTGACGGTTGAGGGTGAGAAATGGTTGCTGATCGAAATAAAAAAAACAGTGCGCGTCTGCCGCAGATCTATAAGAACTACAGCGAAAAGTCGTGTGAGGGTATGTGTCATACTGTGTAACCCCGCCGGAGGCTGAATCCGACATTGCTGACTCTGCCCACAGGTCTCTCCCTTCTTTTCTTCATTCTGTCTCTCATGGGCAATCTGACCTATGGCGCCGGGGTAAGTCATGTCGGGAGACTAATTCTGAAACTCTCTCACCTGACCCGTTGATTCTCTACAGATTCTATGCCACTCTACCGAAAGAAATTATATCATCACCAATGTCCCGTGGTTGATTGGCTCCTTGGGCACTATGATCGAGGACGTGACGATATTTATCCAGTTCCGACTCTACGCCGCTCAGGACCCTGAGAATGTGGAATAAATGTATACTTATTGTATGATGCAGTTGTACGTTCTGAGTCTGATTCTGTTGCATATGCGGGTGGTTTAGCGTGTATGGTTTTTCGTCTTCGTTTTATAGCTGGCTGATTGGGGTTATTGTGCTTTACTATATATTGCGCCGGTGTCGCGCTGGGCGGTAGATGCTTACAAAAGAAAAAGTTTGTTATGCTTTCTGATCCTGTATATGTTAATATTATCGACTTCCAAATTCATTACATCTACCTGTCTTTTGACTTTGTGACTATGAGTAGCGGAGTGTATCGGATGGACCGTCACATGCATGAAGGTACCTAGAGCTAAGCACTAGATCTATCTAGTTTATAGACTAAGATGGGTCCTTATTACAATCTACGATAGAAAGATCCAGGGACAAGGTTTTGCTCATGGTCGCATAACAGACATTGCAGGGAGAGCCGGGCACCTAAGCTCGAAACGTAGCAAGCAACAAGCATAACACGACATCAGAAATCAGACGAGTACGAAGTTTGCCCGAGAAGGAAACTCGAATCCCTCGACGCTCCTCCGTACAGACTTCTGACGATTATCCCACAGGCCCGGAATCCTAGCGTCATCCGGGGCCCAGTAACCTCTCTTTGTCACGTCGAAAGCCCATCATGCAAGCCGGAGCGCCCAGTCCCACCGGATAACCATTGTCCGTTTGATTCGTTCTTTTAATTTTCCCATTTTGATCTTCGTGTGGTCGAGTATTGTTAGGTACAAGATATGCGAGGGAGCGAGGAGGAGAGAGATAGGAAACGAAGCAAAAAGGAAATTATGGGGAATCCAGATCCAATTATAGTAAAAGGATTTAGGACGCTTAGTCGAAAAGACCGAAGCCCATGTCCTCGTCGGACTCCTCCTTCTCTGTTGGTGGGGAGAGGTTAGTCCGTCTGCTATCATATCGATCGATTCGAATCGTTGTAGGGAAGAGAACATACCCTCCTCCTTCTTCTCCTCAGCAGCCTCAGCGGGGGCAGCGGCGCCACCGGCAGCAGCGGCGGGGGCAGCAGCAGCGGGACCACCGGAGCCAACGTTGGTCAGGAGATCCTTGATGTCCTTGCCCTCGAGAGCCTGTAGTGGAAGAAACCAGCGGTGAGTGTCTGATGGACCATAATAAAAGACATATCGAAGAGTCGATTCGAGTGTCGAAAGCAAACATTGCGTGTATCGAGATGGGAAGTTTGATAGTGCACGGATCAGTTCAGGTATTTACCTTGGCGAAGATGGAAGTCCAGATGGGCTCAACCTCCTGAACCTTGGCGGCGGAGATGAGGGTCTGGAGCTTGTCGGCCTGTGCAGATGAAAAAAAGTCCTAGTTAGCTCGATTGTTCCATATCCCTTGATAAAAGCCATGCGCAACGCCAAAGATCCAGGTTTCTCCTTGGCCCCCCCCTCTCAAGTCCATAACCAATCCTTGTCGCATTTGTGAAGATCTGCAGATTTTCCATCACTGTGTCTTAAGTCGGCTTTTGAACCCTTCTCTTTACTGGCGACCTTAGGTAGTTTTCGTATGTAGCTTCTCAATTCCCTATGTCGTTTCCATGCGATCAAGGATAGAGGGGGGGAAAGAGTCCTCCGGTTCAAGACAATGCTCAAGAAAAATCACAACCAAGGGCATGGGATACGTACGGTGACCTCGACGCCGTCATCGGCGAGGATGAGGGCCGCGTAGGAGCAAGCGAGCTCAGCAGTAGACATGATGGTCGACGGGAGGTTGGACTGGACTGGAGTCTCGAGAGGGATGGGGATTAGGGAAGAGGAAAAAGGGACGAAGGACTTTTTTGTAACTGGCGCTGGTCGAGAAGGGAGTCGGACTTCGTGAGTTGACTAACGCTTCACCCACTACGGAAGTTGTGTGTTTCCGCCGCGTCAAAGCCCTCGCTTAGGGCTGCTCTGGTTTGGGTTTAGCCTCACCTCCCCTCGCCCGTGACTCTAGCTAGTCTCAATAGGGACAAGAGGCCTCGGCGATGCCATCATCATCTAATCTAATCCGTACTCCGGGATGGTTAGTACTTTGCTGTAGTGACTCCTACTGCTATCACTACTACTGACTATCGTCTGATCTTGCCTCGTCATTCAGATCATAGGCTCGTCGTTGTCGTCGTCACTCTCTCTGTCGCATTTGTCATTTGAATCTCTCCGACATAACTGCTTCTACAACTTCCACCATCCACAAATCTCTCTCTTTTCTTATATTCTCCCTTTCCCCTCCCTCCTCTTCCCCCCTCCCCCCCACCTTACCTTTTATCGACATCCTACTCTCATCATGGACTCCCCCGCCGTCCCCGCTCCGCTCGATCCTAAGGAGCAACCCATTCTCGAGCGTCTCCTGCGCACGCGCGATGCGCTCCTCTTACTCAAACAAGACAAGTCGACCTACATCAAATCCCGCGACGTGCTCCCGATGTACGAGGAAGTGATTGCCGAGGTTGAGAAGCTCAATGCCGTCCGGAAGGAACAAGACCGCCGGCTGACACATAACCGACGTTAGCACTGAGTGGGCCTGTGCATGAAAATTAGATCTGAGATTCCGTCGCTGACTTCTTGCTTTTGGGGTTCAACTTAGTGGATTATGTTCTCGATGATTGTTTCCAGTTGATCTCCCTGCTGTTCTTGACGGTGGGCAGGAATAATGAAGCTCCAGCGCTGTACGTTCCCAATCATTTGCTCAAGGGCCATGCTCGCATCCATCTGACCCTTAGTCGCGTTCCAGGTACTCGCTTGCGACCACTGTTCAGGTATGAGACGTAGTCTTTCGTTGCCCGGCCACCCAGTCTAACCTCCTACCCCTAGCGACTCCTCGACCATCTGGAAGAAGCGGGATTCTACAGTTCGAAAGACCTGAGTTCGATCACGAAGACGCTGGCCAACATGCACGAGACTCTGGAGCGCTGTCGCGATGCTTACTCGCCTGCCCTGATCACGCTATTGGAAAGTCGTCTGGAGAAGTGCCAGTTACAGCTGGAGAAGCTGCAGAGCGGACTCGCCAAGTTGAGCCCGGGCCTAGCCTCAATTCATGAGACTCTGGTGTCGGTGCTGCGGTCAACCTCCGCCGTCAACACACGTTCGAAGGTAGGGCGTCTTGTTGGAGTTGCGAGGCTCGCTAACCAAGGCATCAGTTCTCGGCGGCGGAGGTCAACAATCTGCGCGAACAGCTGAAGAAGATTCAAGCGAGCATGAAGGACGGGCAGTTTGTCGATTTGGATGGCACACCACTTTCTGGGGCGCAGGAAGCGACCAAAATACTATTGGACCGGTGCTGGCGTTGGACGGAGATCGTTCTGGAGCGGTATGTTGCTTATTTGACACTGGGAAACCACAGGCTGACTGTCTCGTAGGGAAGGCAAGATTGATGAGCGCTTCAAGGAGCAGTATGACCGGCTGATCGATATCAAAAACCAGCTCGATCGGCTCTCCGTCACCCAGGCGTGGTCCCTCCGCGAGACGGATCTTTTCGGCTACCAACGGAAACTTGATCGCATCGACGAAGCGCGGGTCAATGGGAATTTTGTCGACAACGAGGGCAACGTGGCAGATGTCCATGCACAAAGGGTAGGTTGGTTCACTTGGCCTGGATCACGGGTGCTGACAGGTAGCTGCAGACTCTGCTTTATCTGATTCGCAGGAGCTATGGATACATTTACTCCCTCTTGATTTCGTCCGAACCGGTTTCGGAGGCTTTGTTGCCGGTGTACAATCAGCTCCAAACGCTGCGCAAGTGCTTGCTGGAGGTGCAAGAATCAGGCGGGGTGTCTAATTCGCGCGAACTATATCCCTACAGCATGAAGGCATGTATTACTCGACGCAGCCGGTATGTCTCAAATTTAACGTGTTGAATAGTTAAATTCGATTGACAACATGCGGGTGGACGGCAAATTTTACGTGGGAACCGATATTCCCGAGGGACAGGGCAGTGTGAATGCACTATTGGCGGAATGCTATGATATCGTGTGGGAACTGCGGGCCGCGGTGACTGACGAGGAGAAAACTGCCTGAGGAGGTTGTGTTATCATTATGAAGTGTACGGAGTAGCTAGTCACTAATACTAAAGACAGGAAAGGGAGGTGGACTGTTGGCCTGTGGTGTTTCGGCGTACTGATGATTGTTTTTGCTCTTGCTTGTTCTCCCTCTTGATCAAGTTGACATTGTCTGATTCAGTGCCTGTGAGTGTACACAGTAGTCACGCAGTACTAAAGAGTACGAACTTAGTAAGTTAATGATTGAGCAAGCGCGATTACATCATTTCGCTCCACCCCGCCGCTCCCCTGAGGTTCGTTGATGTCAGTCCCACTTTCCACATGCTGTTGCTTACCGGTGTTGATACTATATATACTTCGTACTCTGGTCTGATATACACACTATAGATATAGTGTATTTTTCCATTTTACTTACTCCCTTGCTCTTAGAATACCTACAGCCTCCCCTCCTCCAACATGACAGAAACCCTCCGCCCTGCCTTCGCCGACCGTCCGCGGCCGCTGCTCTCGTACGGCATCCCCTTCCCCGCCGCCGCCGCCCACCATCTCGACGACCTTTTCCACGCCTCACGAGTCTACATCATCTGCTCCGGCTCCCTGGAGCGCAACACCGATGCCCTGGACCGCCTCGTTGCTGCGGTTGGCGAGAAGAGAGTGGTTGGCAAGCGGGTTGGCATGCGAAGTCACACGCTGTGGTCCGAGGTCTTGGAGGTCGTTCACGCCGCGCAAGAGGCAGAAGCCGATTGCTTGATGACTCTGGGCGGGGGCAGTTTGACAGATGCAGCCAAAATCGTGGCGCTGGTGAGTATCGCGTCTTGCAATTGCCTCGAAACATACCCCATCTCTCCGGCGATGGGGGGTATACCTGAGGGGATAGTTACTCCATGAGACGCGAACAAGCCATCTAGCCTATAATTACTCCATCTCGTCATATACATACACTTATCGACCTGACCATCCATCACCACCACCACCACCACTACACATTGCACCCACCACTGACCACTATCCAGGCCCTAGCCAACAACGCGAAAACAACCTCCAGCCTCACCACCCTCCTCCCGGGCCCCACCCAATCCCCCGACCTCCACCCTCCATCTATCCCCATCATCTCCATCCCCACCTCCCTCTCAGCAGGTGAATACAGCTCCGTCGCCGGCGCTACGGACGACTCCACGCACCGCAAGCACATCTTCTCGTATCCGACCAGAGGCCCGGCGCTGGTCATCCTCGACCCCGCGCTGACGACGACCACCCCGCGCCGCGTGTGGCTGTCGACCGGCGTGCGGGCCGTGGACCACTGCGTGGAGACTTACTGCGCGACGCGCGGCACGACCACCGAGACGGACCAGCTCACCCTGCATGCGCTGGGCCTGCTGGTGCCCGGGTTGATCCGCACAGCCTGCGACCTGGCCGACCCAAAGGCGCGGCTGGACTGTCAGCTCGGGTCGGTGGACGCCATGGCGGCGGTGACGGCCGAGCAGGCGGGTGTGCAGTTGGGCGCGAGCCATGGGATTGGTCATCAGGTATGTTTCTCTTCCCCAATCCAAATGTACCAGAAAATAGATGGATGGAAAAAAGAGAAAAAGAAAAAAAAAAAAGGGAGAACCTTGGGGATTTCCAGAAGGTGGTCGGTGGGAAGAATCGAGTCAAACCCGGTAACTCTGAGTAACTTGTCCTAGTTGGGTCCCCTCGGCGTCGGACATGGCGAAACCTCCTGTATTCTGCTCCCGGCGGTATGCAAGTACAATGCCGCGCATGGTGCGAATCGCGACCGGCAGGAGAAGCTGAAGCAATTCCTCCTAAAACGGAAGGAAGTTGTCGATGTGTTGCGTCGGCAGGGCAAAGCGGAACATCTCGATAAGGTCGATCTGGGCGATGTCTTGGATGCGATCATCCAGGAGTTGGATCTGCCTCGATCGCTCAAGGATGTTGGAGTCGGCAGGGAGCATCTGGATAGTCTGGCGGAGAGTAGTCTACAGGATCCGTGGTGTCGAACAAACCCTGTGCCCTTGACGGAGAAGAGCCAGGTGCTGGAGATCTTGGAGATGGCCGTGGAGTGAGGCTGAAGGCATTGATCTAACGCACGCGGGAGGACTGAGTACTCTTCAACATGACATAAACAATAGATCTCTAGCTCAGTTATTACTAGTACGTAGCACCTTCCTACCTACGCAAAGCATCAAGCACCTGTATCGCTGTACAAAACCATAACAAAAAAGAAACCCGGTATTTCCCTATCCCTAACATCAACTCATAATGATATTGAAGAAAAACAAATCAATTGAAATAGCTGCGAATCGCCGCCTGATTGTCGGGATTCACACCGGCCAAGATCTGATCCGCGTTCAGACCTGTCGCGGCCACCAACTGCTTCGCCGAGTTGGCCACTCGGCCAGCGGTCTGGCCTTGCAGGGTCTCCGCCTCTAGCGCCTGCACAATGTACCCAAAGACCTTATCGGCGTTGGACAGCACGACCGGGTTTTGTCTGCATCCCATTAGCTTCTACTGAAGGAGATTGTCCGAACATCAAAACTTACTGGTCAATGAGCTGCGCAAGGAAGGAATAAGCATAAGGAGCGGCCTCCTCGTCGAATGTGATCGGCAGAGTGGTCAACCACGTGGCCACAATCTCCTGGGCGTTCTGGACCTTGCTCGAATTGTAGTGAAGGATCTTGGCGATACTGGCCGAAGCATTCTCCGTCGCGAATACATGCTCTTCCGTGCGCGCCTGGTTGATCTGCGTCACCTGCAGCAGGCTGGGGATGCTGGCAGCCACAAAGTCGCTCCAGGCAGCACCGCCCTTCTGAGCGGCGACTCCAACCCCGTACGCCGCAGCCTGTCGGTTAGCTGCGTTGGCATCCTGCAGACCGGCAGCCAGAGGCTGCATAATGTGATCCTTGTACTTCCAAGACTCTGGGCCGCAGAACTCCAGGACATCATCCATAATGCACAAAGCCCATTGACGCTGGGTAGGATCTTGGCTGGTGATGAACGCGTCGTAGAAGGGCATGAGTTGTTCCCAGGCTGGCAAGAATGTCGTGCCCTGGTTCTTGAAGATGGTGTGGAAAGCCTTGTTCATGTCACTAAGCAGGTTCTGATCGTCCTCGATGGCATACTCGTAGTCTAAGTTGTCGTCCTCACCCTCCTCGGCGTCGGCACGATCCTCCAAGCGGGCTTTAACACGAACCTGATAATCCTCTAGCGTCGACTTAGAAGACTCGATGAACGCCTGCATGTGCTGCTGGGTGAGGCAGTTCTGACCAACAACCTCCACCGACTCGTAAAAGCACTGGTACATCTCAGCCAGCGTGTCCACCGTGGGCTCGGCGCTCAGAACCTCGATGATCTTCTCAGCAACCTTGCTCCAGATGCCGGCGAAGCCAGGAGACTGCTCTCCACGAGCCTTCTTGTAAGCGTTCAGAAGCTGGGGAATGAGTTTGGCTGACGACACCCGCACAGGATCATGGAAGAAGAATGCAAGTCCCGGAACGGCAATCTTCTCCATGGTGTCCAACACGTAGGGCTCGAATGCTCCCTCCAAGATCTGAGCGTAGATCGTGATCAGCTCAATGGCAGTGTTCTTGTCCTCCAACGCGCTGGTCTTGATACCAATGATCTTGCCTTTGAGAGGCACCAGCTCCCAGCCCTCATCCTGATCGACTTGATCAATCTGATCCTCATCGTCGAGCAGTTGGATGTCAGCCTTAGCGGCCGCAACAGCCAACAAAGGCGGCATAACACCGGGAAGGTATGGAACAAAGTCCTGGCCTAAGACGCGGCACATGCGGCCCCAGCAGTGAAGCAGGTACTGCGATTGCGGGTCATCGGCATCGACAATGTTCGCCTGGATGTTGCCCAGGAGCTGGACTAGGTTCAGGGCATCCTGACCCATCTTCTCCTTGCCTACCGCCAGAGCAATGAGGGTGGCACACTCCATAGCCTTGGCGCGGAGCAAGCGGTACTCCTTGGATTGCTCTTCCTTAAGGACGTTGAACAGCAATGGCATCAGGGTATCGTAGTACTGATCAAAAGCGTTCTCGGCGGAGTCCGCAATGGTAGCGATGGTAGACAGAGCCTGCTCCTGCACGTAACGCTTGGAGCTGCGCAGCAGCTGAAGTAGGTGACGCAGAAGTTCAGCCAAATAAGGCTCAAGGACCTTTCTTTCCGCCTCTTCGCAGAAGTTCACCAGGGCCGCAGCAGCGTGAGCCTGAACGCGGGGCTCAGCGCTGTCCAGCACGGGGATGATGTTGTTAAGCACCACAGCGTGGTACTTCTCTTGCATAGTGCCGGCGAAATCCGTGCTCATCTGACCCAGAGCATTGCAGCCAGCATATCGCACACGCGGGTGAGGGTCTTGAAGAGCGGGAACGACCAGCTGAAGGACCTGGTCAAGTTCACCAACCATCAGGTCGCGGCAACCTTCCGAGATGGCAGAGATAGCCATAAGAGCCGCGTGGCGATCACGCCAAGCAGAGGAAGACATCATACGGGGAATCCAGGCAAATGTGGCGGGCAAGATAACCTGGCCTCCGAGCTTATTGGCCAATCGGTCCATGCACTGTTCGCCGGCAACATGGTTGAGGTCGCTTTCCTCCAGGTCGAGCTGAGAAGATCAGCCTTTGGTCTACATGGGTGAACAGTGTATAGGTCAACTCACATCTTCAGAAGCGTTCCACTCTTCAGCATCGTCATCGTCGATACCAATGTCGGTCATCAAGCTCAAACACTGAGTGACCATCTGCTGAGCAAATTCAGGGTTCTTCTTGCACATCGACGGAGCATAGTCGGCAAAAGTGGCCATAAGTTCCAAAGCATTCTGACGAACTTGATCGCTGAGATCCTTATCGGCGATCACACTGATACTGAAAGTTACCAGGTTGTTGAACATGGATTTGAACATTTTGGGGCTGATTTCGGCCAATTCAATGAGCGCCAGAAAGGCCGAGGACAGCTCGTCGCTCTCGGACGACTCCTTGAGCGGAGGCAGGATGTTGAGCAAGTCGGGCATGAGCGGGAAGAACTTAGGCTGCGACTTCTTGGAGATTGAGCGGAAGAACGAAGCGAAGGCCTCCATGGCCGCAATGCGCACCTTTACTCTGCGGTCAACGATCCATCCCAAGAGGATTCAGTGGGCAAACCTACAGAAACAACATCATCCTTGAAACCCTTGCTGAAGACACCAACAACGGCATCTTCATGAGACTTCTCAATGATACCGGGCGTAGTCGAGAAGATACGGAAAGCGGCCTCGCGCAGACCAGCCTCAGGGGACTGACTAGCTTGAAAGAGGACTCCCAGCAACTCGGGCCATTGATCGCCTAAACGTCATCATCAGCTCGTAAACAATGCCAACTGCCATCGCTTGTATAGCATACCGTTATCAGTGTATTGTCTGGCAATCTCAGCCACAGCGTCTCCAATCTTCTTGCGAACGTCGGTAACGGATTCGCTCGTTAAGCAGGTGACCAGCTTTTGGCGGATGATCAATCTTTGTTCTCCGGTAAGGGTCGAGAAGAGCTCCTTGGCCTCATTGGAAATGGGGTCTTTGCGGGTCTTGGTTGCCATCCGCCTGAACAAAACAGCGGAGAAGGAACGTGTCTGTGAAAATTGAATCATGAGCACTTGGAATTTATAGACTGCATGACGGGATGTACAGGTTGGCGGAATGAGACAACAATTCATTCACTCCGCCCGCCTGTTCTCTGTCTTAGAAAAGCGCAATACCTACCAAGACATCCTCTGCACCCTGGATTTGCTCTACTAATCCCATCAACAAGACATCGGGACGATTCTGAATCCAATCATTGTTCAACTGTTCCTCCGCTTGGCTTCGGACAGTGTTGTCGGGGGTGGACAGGGCGCGCAACAGCTGAGAGAGGGCCGAGTGGACCTCGGGAGGGAGCAGTGACATCCTGACGGACTGGGTTCAATCTAGACAGTCAACCCGCCGAAACCGCTTAGATTGAAGTATCGAGAAACGCGGGTTCAGCGCTTGAACCCGGAGGAGGGGTTTTGGTGTCGGTGGGGGGTTTGTGTTTGGGGGGAGGAGGAGAGGGGGGATTGGAAGGAAGGAGGCTGTTTTGGTAGGCCCTTTGGGAAATATTGTTTTTTTGGTGGGGAGGGCGGAGGGGGAGCGAAAAAAAGTTCGTGACAGGTCGAAGAGAGGGAAGGCGGTCGGAAAGCCAACTTCAGCCCAAAGATCGTGAAGTAAACACCGATTCTAGGAAGGATTAGAGACGAAGCGGCAACTCAGCATTGCAGCAAACACATGGAGAGAAAGAACAGACAGAGGGGAAAGTTGAACGGGGAAGAAAGAAGATAGCCTGGGAGCAAGTGCAGCTGGAAGTGAAGTACTCTCCCATCAGTTAAAGAAAAAGAGACACAGAAAGAGGGAGGAGGGGGGAAGGTAATGCATACAAGCAGGTATTGATTCTGTATTTCTGTGGTTGATTCATACATTCCATCACTGGTAAAGAATGAAAAGGTAAAACCATACAGAGAAGGTACAAGACAGCATATCATCGGAGGAGCTACTAGTCCTAGTGCGGTGCGAGGCTAGTAGTAGTAACTTACTAACTACTCTGTACGGAGTACGGAGTACTTAGTTCAATTTCCCCAGCCATTGATCTGCCTCAGCCCCAGAGACCAGCACAACAACAAAATGAGGTCAACAAGGAATACTAAGTTAATACTATTTCATCCACACATAACACCGCTCTATCGATCACGGTGCTATCGTACTTAACAAGCACAAACAGAGAGCAGAAGAGAGCAGAAGAGAAAGAGAGCATTAGAATGATCGCCAATAAAGTTACACTGATACGGGATAGGCTAGAACAAACATGAGACGGACGGAAAAGTGAAGAGACATAATTACAAATAGCTTACTATCTTCGTACGCAACAAGATCTTGGGTATTTAACGAGAGGTGGCCCGGCCTAGGATGAACACACCCGCAATAACCGCAGCCAAGGTCACAATCGCTCCAGGCAGCAGCAGCTCATTGGGTACTCCGGCAATGAATTGCTCCTCAGCATGGTGGGCAGGGAACGATTGAGCCCGAGGAGGCTTGGCCACTAGCACTTCCTCCTCTATCCGCTCTTCAGAGATCATGCTCTTCTCCTCAACAGGACGGGTCGGAGCCGGTTGAGGATCTAGCGTAGCGGGGATTGGAGGCTGGCTAGGATCGTGCACAAACAAATCGACCTTGTCCCGACGCGACAAACGCGCGAGACTTACGGCATCAGACAAATCTTGATCCGTGGTGATTGAAACAGTGTCGCCTTCGTTGTCCATATAGCTGAGGGCATAGCCCGTGTTGCTGAGCTTTCCGTCCTCGCTGATCGGAGCGCCGCCTACGGCCTCCACCTCGGGACCCAACTTGCTCGTGACTTGAGCTACCAGCTCAGCAACTCCGGCCGCAGGCAGCACATTGACACGGTGCACACGTCCGCTAGGAGCCTTAAATTTGAATGGGAACGAGATGTGGTCCGCATGGTGAGGCTCAGCGTACTCCGAGTGCTCATCCCCACCGTGGTGAGAAGCAGATTCATTGGGGAGAACACTGTCTCGAGCGTCATAACTAGCCTTGGGAGATTCGGGGCTGATGACTGACCGCTGAGCGGGCTGCTGGCTTCCTGAGACCATGGAGTCCGACTCGTGGTCCATCGACAACCAGAACTTGTTCCATGCGGGACCCTCATCGTCCTGCGACGACATGGTATTGATCTGATTTTCCAGTTAGATTGAACACTGTCAGGTCTCTTTGATTTGGACTGACCTGTTCTAGGGTAGCATATGTCAGCTTGAGCACGTCCACCATACCCACAATCTCTCCCGCATCATTCATCACGGGCAGATTCAAATAGTGTCCGTCTGCAAGTGTCAGTCGTTAGCATGGTTCTTCGGCAGGATTCGAATCAGGAGGACCAACCGTGCATTTTCCGGAGCGCAGCTTGGATGCTCATGTCGCTGGGGGCAAAGTCGGGGTGGGGGGTCATAACGCGAACGACGCTGCAAGTGGCGGGGTCGAGGCCCGGGGCAATGACACGCAGTACAATATCCTTGCTGGTGAAGATACCCGTAATGGAGCCCTGGTCTTGTACAAGAAGGGCAGTGGTGTGGTGCTCCTTCATCAGAGCAGCCGCTTCCTTGACGGTTGTGCGGACGGAAACGGTGGTCGGGGGCATGCCGTCCAGAACAGATTCGAGTGTCGGACCAGACATCTTATGCCGCAAGGCTTCGACATACTGAATGATCTGCTGGGGCTGGCTGGAGCCGAGTTCGGTCTGGACACCTTCCAAGGCATCGTAGAGTTTGCGGGAAGAGCTGTATGCACGCTCCAGTTTCTCCATCGCATCGTAGAAACATTTCGTGATATCAAGTACACCCGAGATGTCCTGATTTTCGTCCATGACGGGGAGATGGCGGAAACCCTTCCGCACCATCAGATCAAGGGCATCGGTGGCGCTTGTGTCGGTCCGGGCGCAAAGAGGGTTCTTGGTCATGATCTCAGCCACCGTGACTTCACGCGCCTTGTGGCCTGCTCCGACCACGCGGAAGGCGAGATCCTTCGCGGTGAAAATACCAGAGATGCGGTCATCGTCATCGGTTACCAGTACACAGTCCTCTCTCTTAGCGGCCATCAATTGGGCGGCTTCGGCAATGGTAGTGTTGGGCTTGATCTGCAGGGCTTGACTGGGTTTCAAGGCAAGAACGGTGCCGGGAGGAGCTTTGCGAGAGCGGTTTGCTCTGGTCGTGTGTTGGCGCTTCTTGTTGAGGTCGGCCTCCAGTTTTCGCCGAATCGCCTAGTGTTGAGGAGTTATTAGGATAAGTTCTGTACCGCGATAGGCCCCTTGAGCAAAATTCCCTCTGCTCTTCCCATTCTGGCAAGTCCAAGGCATAGCTTCACAAGCTCGACCGCCGTCGCTTCTAAGCATCGGAGCAGGGGCAAAAGGCCCCCCCCCCCTAGCAAGAAATCACAATGGAAGAACAAGCATACCTCATCGCGCTTGGACTGATTTTGACGCTGTCTACTGCTGGCGGCACTCATGGTGTTGCTTCCAATGTCGCTGGACGCGGTCTGCGGGGTGTGTACAGTGGAGGAAGTGTCCGGACGAGGACGAGGAATGTGACTGTCAAAGTCGGGCAGCCTGCCTCTGCCGACTGTTTTGTGGTTGACGGTTCCTTTAAAAGTGGGTGTGGATGACATGTCCCCGGTCGGTGACTGGCGGAGCTGACTTAAAGTCGGTCTGTGTTTGGACGAACCGGTTCAAGAAGAGAAGCGGAGACTTGAACAACAAATTGAAGACAACCGGGTCCTTCAAGGGGAGTCAAGACGCTACAAGGACTCGGGGAGAGGATGGATCAATTCATGCAACGATGATGGAGAGGAGGATGAAAAGAAGGAAAAGATGGATTGGGAATGAAGCTGATCCACGAGAAAGTTACGGGCACAAACCAGGGGAGGGGAGGGGGTAGGGCGAAGAAGGAGGTTTCCCAACTTGGTTCTAGTTCGGCCAAACTATTTACTCGTTATTGACAGTTTCAGGGAATGAAAAGGACGATACTCCGTGGGATTAGATAGAGAGAGGTACGTATTAGGACGTGCAGTGGGACCACTTCAATACACACAGATCCGCAGCTTGTCTGGGATAGAGCCTCTCAGCGACGAGACGATCGAGTAAACAAGATACTGTATTAAGTGTACCGTAACGCTGGATCAACCATTGCCACCTTGGCACCTAACCATTTAAGAGCTGCATTGTGAAGAGATCCCGAGGACCCGATCCCAAAGGCGGTCAGGCCACATTTCCCACAGCAGTCACCTGAGAGTCACCTGAGCGTAACCCGCAGAACTGATGCCTGGGGCATAAAACCCGAGTGTCCAGGCACCAAATCTTCCCCCAATTCAGCCACATCTTAGTGCCTCAGGCGAAGGCGGCTGGCTAGCCCTTGGCAGCAAGGCACACATCCCAGTGCTCATCAATCCCGTGACCCGCCTCGCTTAAGGGCATAGGGCTCCCACACAAACCCGACACAACCTCATCCCGAGTGAGCGAGAGACTCCGGTGCCTCTACGACGACAACCAACCCCGACAGCCAAGTACGCGCACAACCCCCCCTTTTTTTGCCTGAATCAACAGTCTCTGACCAGCCGCCATAGAAAAATCCGTCAAGATGGTCAAGAAGAGGGCTAACAAGTAAGAACCAACCGACCACCATTCTGCTTTTGTTGCTCCCACATATCTCCATCCAAAACCTATATCCAACTCGAAATCATGCTCTGGAGAATATCGCGCGCATCCGCACATACACCCGCTGGGACCTGAACAACACTCGAATGACGAATGAAGAATAAGAATACTCGACCCCAAGAACCGACAAATCAACGAGGCCCGGCGGGATATGTTGTACCGGTGACGGCGTGCATTGAACAGACATGAAATTGAATTGGAGATACCTCGAAAATATGCCACAAATCTGTTCAACGATCAGAAACTAATACTTCTCCTATAGCGGTCGCAACAAGAACGGCCGCGGCCACGTCAAGCCTGTGCGCTGCTCCAACTGCGCGCGCTGCACCCCCAAGGACAAGGCCATCAAGAGATTCACTATCCGCAACATGGTTGAGTCCGCTGCCATCCGTACGTTTTCACCGGCTCCTTTCATCGCAATATGACCTGTTGGGGGTCATCCCACACGCCGTCTTTTGTTCATTCTGGAAAGAGCTGGGCATGACTGAGTGCATCGAGATTGGCGATGGGCGAGATTGTGTGATCACTCGGCGGGAATGAGCACCAGGCGGCTGGGCAACGCAACAACAAAATCTTCAGCGACTAACACTTGGCTTTACAGGTGATATCTCCGACGCCTCCGTCTTCACTGACTACGCCGTCCCCAAGATGTACCTGAAGCTGCAGTACTGTGTCTCCTGCGCTATCCACGGCAAGATCGTTCGGTACGAACTCTCAACCTTTGGCAACATGGATATATTTACTCGTTGCTGACAATGTCTTGCAGTGTCCGTTCCCGGGAAGGTCGTCGCAACCGTGCCCCTCCTCCTCGCATCAGGTACAACAAGGACGGCAAGAAGCTGAGCCCCCCTCAGGCCGCCAAGGCCAACTAAGGGAAAGGAAATGGAATGAATCATTAATCACTTTTTTTTCCTCGGAAGAGATCAAAAATGGAATTAGTTTGAAAAGGGCCAATTCCTTCTCGGCGTAACGCTTTTCTCTTGATACGTGTGCTTGATGAAACCATCTTTTCTCTACTCTTCAGTGAATGGGATTCAGTTGCGGGGTTGAACGGATAACAAAAAGTGTACCACATGGGGCTGGCTCTCCCCAAGGGGATGTTGTAGATACATTAGATATCGGCCCGCAGGCAAAGGAGCCACGCTCCCCGAACGAGCTGCATACAATGCTCTCCAAACCACTGAACCTAGAATGTTCTTCCCCGGCATAAAACACTCGGGCTACTTATTCAAACTCTACATCACATGCACTGCCCAGCCCTTGCTCCAGAACTACCTCTTTACTTCACAAGACATGAGCATTCTGCCTTTATTTACGGGTATAAGTAGCCCTTCTCGAAATAGTTCCCATACATATCTACAACCCCACTGCGTCCCTTGGGGGCTGGGTTGCGTATTATCTTAACCTCCCCTTTCCAGTGACCTTCCACGAAGTGGGAAATGGATTGGAAGGACGACAATTGTCCCGTCGAAGAGATGAAGCTCGGGGAAGGAGACGGAGATCGGAACGAGGAGATTGCAGTGCTGGGACTAGGAGAGAGGTGGCTCAGGTGAGAGGAGTTCGTAGTCCCTACAGTATCCCGTCGCTTTCGATCGCGCCATACCCCTTCTTCATACTCCATCTTTTTAGCGCGTCGAAAGGCGGCCAACTCGGCGACAAGATCAATGAGTGGGACTTCCGCCTGAGAAACTTTGGGGACGGGGTCTTGTCTGGTGGTAGTGATATCCGACTGGCCTTGAGAGCGACTCTCCCTGGTGGCAGATGCAGAGCCTACCGAAATAGCCCTCGACCAGGCTTGCAGAGAGAGGTGTTGACTGGTAAGGACAGAATTGGGGAATTGAACAGCACTTGTATCTGGATGCGCCGAGAGCTTGTTAACATCTTCCTCTTCTGGTCTTAAAGAGACCTTCTCATTCAATACAGCCATGGGAAAGTATTTGCCCGAATAACCATCCGGCACACCACACTCTTCCTCGCCGAAGAAGCTAAAGTCATCAGCGGCTGCCGACCAAAGGTTTTCCAGGTCCCGATCTCCAGTGCTTGATTTCAAGCTACCGGCAGGTCTCCAAGGCGTTCGTCTGAGTTGGCCTTGCCTCGGGGACGTTGGCGTAATTTCAAGCACAAGCTGGCGCAAGGCAAATAAGGACCGGGCACGTTCTTGCTCGGCTTGCAGTCGAGCCTGGCCAGGCGGAAGTGAGTAGTCTGATCCTGCCTGGAGTGTGGCTAGTAAGGATTCGTTCGAGCAAGCTGTGATAAAACCGAGCAAAGACGCTAGAATTGGCGAATCTGCAGGTACATGAGATGGTACATCAGTTAAAACAAGTTGTTCTAAATGAGAAATGTGGGAAGGATGCAGGTGTGGGTAAAAATGGCATTCCCTGCTATTCCGGCGAGGGAGACCCTTAGGACGCTTTGAAAGCAGTTCCTGGACTTTTTGAGTACGGGGGTCGTATTTTGCCACTGGCGAGGAACACAGTGTTTGGCTGCCTAATGTGTTGACAACGCTATCTGCGAGGGTGGAAATACTTGAAATCGACAAGTCATGAGGAAGTCGAGACAATGGAGCGACTTCCTCATGACCCACTCCATCTCGAAAAGATCCCTCTACTACTTCAGGAGCAAATACTGAGCCACGCCGCTGTTCAGGTAATGTTTCGTCTTCATAGACGATTGGGCCCGAGTTACGCTCAGCAGCATGCGGAGGCGGGCTCGATGATCGAGACACTGGAGTGCCGGAGAGTTCATAGATGGGAGTTGATCCCGAAGGCAGCTCATGTATCTCCTGGGTACAATCCAACTCTGATCTATGCTGCTCACCGTAATCGCTTTCTGCTGGTAGCTCCGGCAAGAGTGCGCCTGGTGATGTGGCTTCCTTTGTCATTGCTTCGGCTGTGCACAGAGCATGGTGGGCTCTAAGGTAAGTGAGGGTTTTATTCGTAATGGAACCCAGGATAGGGACTAATTTCTCGGCCCCTGGAAGCTCTTGAGGATCCTCATGTGGAAAGGCCCACGGACGTTGTCGTCGTCCGTTCATAGACTCGGCCGTATTGACCGTTCCAACGTCAAGGGCGTGCAGACACGATGAAGCAAGCAGGCTTGCGGCTCCTTCCACCGAGATGGGATTATACGCAATGTACAGATGAGTTATTCCTTCTTGCGACAAGTCCTCTACCCAGGAACATCCCGTCAGTGGCTGGGTCAACGCTGCCATGTATTTTTCATCCAGAAAAGGGCTGCTTAGAAACCTTTGAACTGACGAATGTGACATTGGATGCGACGCATGAGTTAAGCTGCCCCATGTCCCTGACCTTGCCGGGCCAATTTCGTTGGTGAGATTGCTTGCAGGTCGGAAACAGGCTTGTAGCAGAGACCGCACAGCCATGTCAGTAAGCATATTATTGCGCAAGTCAAGGAAGCGAACACGGTAGCCAATAGCATTAGCAAGAAACTCCGCATCGTGATCTCTCAGCCCAATTCCTCGTAGCTTAAGTACTTGAAGGTGTTCTAACTGCGATAATACTGACAGGACTAAGCGATCTCGGGCAGGGGTGGTATAAGACAAATCGAGGTAAGTTAGTTCGGGGAGAACTAACAGCGTCTCAGCAATACCCTGCGAGGTCGTGTTGTATTCATTGTCCGCTAGTAGGAGGCGGATATTATACACGCGTGCTGGTGTTGCTTCAGCTTCAAGACCTCTACTAGTGCCTTTCAAGGCCATCATAGCATTATGATCGAAGAAGGGTAGCTTGGAGACAATCAGAGACTGGAGGCATGGCAGAGAGTCTAGAATTTCCCTCAGCCACTCCGGTCGTGGACCACCATATATTTCTGACAGGGCTGGGGGTAGATGCAGCGTGTGAGTGAGCATGCGCACCTCCAGCCGGGCATATTTGAGAGTCCGTCTGAACCTTGTCAGAGCCACTGCACAACATATCTTCCGTCAGCACTAATAGTTCAATAACCGCCGAAGGGCCAAGTGAGCAAATCACCGTAGACTGCATCATTTTCAGTTCCAAAGTGCGAAGCCGGGTCACCCCAGAGGAATGGCATAAACAATTCATGCCACCTTCGACAAACCAAAGCAACAGCGCACAAGTCGCTTGATGGGATGTACTGCGCTATTATGGACCATGCATCACGGGCTGTGGCAGACTGATAGGATGGTGGCACTGTGTCCATAGTCGCTAAATGTGGGTTGGGGCGGTCTTGATTCTTTTGGTAAGTCTCTTCGGCTGCTCTGAAGTCACGATCTGTATTCAGTAGACAGGGTAGGGGCAAAAACAAGAAGCAGTGAGTTGAAGTTGCGTAGGGATGAGGGTCCCGGTCAATTAGAATCATCTGGTTGATATCAAATCGGGGGCCAGGAAACGCTCGGCCCCAAATCTGCAGTCAGCGCATCGGGCACTGCCACGGGGGCAGTGGGGCGCAGGAAGACCCTCCTGATTTTAAATCCGTGAGGATCGCCTTGTGGTCAATGAGCGAGGCAGACATGCTGTCAGAGGAGAAGAGGAAATGAAGATGAAGCTTCTCGGTATGGATTATTAAGTCCATACAATAAACTGACTCCTTACCGAATCGGGCAACCTGACGAGCAGGAACCCGTCTGACGTCATCCCCCGCTCCGGCCGCAAAAAAACACTCCATCATCCATTGAATTCACCACAAAAAGCCCCCTCGGGGACCGTTGCATAGTAGCTTTGCCTTTCTAGCTTTATTCTTTTCGGCTACCTCCTTTTCCTTCCTCCGAATCACTGGCCAAGAATGGACTCATGGCAGCGAAATACCCGGATGATGCACCATATCGGGGAGTTCTTTGACCTTGACCCAGACAAATCCGACATGGTAGCAGACTTTATTGCCCTCATTGAAGCCCTTCGGGAAGGCCTCACCCTTATCGACGATGGCTTCCACATACCGGACTCACATATCAACCTCTTGTTCCTTACCAAGCTCAAGGAGTGTCCTAGATGGAGTAGCTGGGCGACGACAATGCTGCGAGATAGCCGCGTGAATGCCTCCAACCCTGGGGATCGAATGTCATTCCAAGAGCTGGCAGATCTGGCCAGGAAGCAGGAGAGCCTGCGGCAATTACCAGGGAGAAGAAGACAAAGAGACGCAATCTCAGAGAGGGATTTTGCTTTCCCACAGAGGACTTCGATAGGCCCTGATACTCTTACCCAAGATGACATAAACGCCTTTATTGTCCGACGAATGACCCATGATGAAAAGATGCACAACCGCAACCGGAGTATACGAGGTCATAACAAAAGGCCGAGTCAAGAAGAGATCAATGACTACGTGATCCAGCAAATGCAGCGTGAAGAAGCGGACAAGTCACACGACCGCCAGCAAGCTCAAGCGCCGTCGAGGCAGCCCCGTACTCGGCCGACGCCGTGTTCTTTCTGCGGCGATAAACACCACCAGGTCGCAAATTGCTGGCGGCGATGGAGAGTTGCGGTTGAGGCGCCGCAGGGTCAATTCGTGCCGAAGCGTGTTGATTATAAGTTCCAATTACCGGGCCAACCACCTATGTATCGCTCCGGCTTCACGCTCTTTTAGAGCATATTGAGGTGGAATTCATGACTTTACGATGCCTGATTTTGAGGTCAAAATAACTTGACTGACGCTTGAGTTTTGAGCATAAGCATGGCGTTCTGGGTGTTCTCAAGAAGTGATCTGACACTTTGCATTTCATTCTTAACTATCTGGAGCATTATAGCGTTGATGGAGCTAATATACACTGTCATCCACCAGCAAATTTGGCGGCCAGTTTGGCCTGAAACAATCAAAGTAGACCAGTAGGTCGGTGGGATGCAAGGATTGGAATTGCGAGCTTCAGTGATTCGTATTCCTTTAGGGTTACATCCCCACTGTGGAATTGGCCTTGCTGTACGTGCATGCTTTGTAGTTTCGAATGAATGACAACGCAGGCATTTGCCCACGCGCAGACAGTACCAGCAAGTCCCTCTGCGAGGGAATACGGGCGATCTGGCATGCGGTACATGCAGGACGAGTCTTCGTCGGTATCATTGTATGGAGGCGTATCTCGTGCCTTCAGCAGTAACGCGAGTGCTCTCGCAAGGATATACTCGCCTTGCGGCCCGCTTGGCCCTGGAGCCAAGTCCAGACTTTCCGTGCGAGAGGCGTGCTTTTGCCTGGCCGTTGCCATGATATCTTCCTCAAAACTGTCATCGAGGAGCAATAACGACCATGCATTGCCGGCAATTCCATGACATATGCCACCGCCCTTAGACAGTATTCCTTCCTCCCAGACTCGCTCACTTGCCGCATAAATGGCCTTGTCCCACTCTGGCTGCCAAAAAGCGGTGACCAGGGGTCGATTTCTCCTAGCACAGGCCATGAGATTTAGGAATCCGGGGCTGCCATGACAGACTTGAACTAATGAGCTAGAGCGATGCGAAGAGCCATGCAGAGGGAGACTGGTAGGCAGGTGACCATAGTTAGCAATACATAATTTGCAGAGACCTGTGATCGTTCCAGCGATTAGTGGTAAATGATTGCGCTCTGCACCGTTGTTGAGCTCCTCTGCTTTGCAGGCAAGAATACTAGAGAGTATACCAGCTAACAAAAGAGTATGGTCAATAATTGGACACCAACAACGATTATTGGTAGCTGAGCTTATACGTGCCTATGCCATGAACTCTAGTATTGTGGTCAATTCCGGTGCACTTCTATGAATGATAGTGATACTCACGCTCCAAGACTGTAACGGTCTGTCTTCCAATGCCACATCAACTGCAAGGCATCCTGCTCTCCATGTTTAGTGGTAAAGTCTTTTCTACCGTCAATCCCACCCACAATGATAGCGTCGACTAGCCGTGGTATTTCCCTAAAAATCGGATTCAAGGATCGAGCAGTCTCGTCCTCATAATTACGCATGCGGAGGTTAAGAAGAGCCCACAACAACCCAGCTCGGCCAAATAGCATTTCGTCGGACCCCATCAGCGAGGCACCATGCCGTACCAGGCGGTCATTCTCTAGCGCGACGTGCACCACCCTTCTAATGCATTCTATATCCTCACTGGAAACAGTCGTTTTCGGATCCTTTGAGGCAGAGATGCGCAGTATTGGGCCCGCCAAGGCGCTGGAAGAGCCGAATGGAGATGTTCTGTCATGCAAGATTGGTACGTCCGGACCTTCTGTTGGAATTCGCTCAATGGCAAGCTGATAAAAATTTAGATCGCTGGACCCAAGAAACTTGGCTTGATGGTCTAGACGTAAAAAAGCTAGAATGACTCCTGAGTCAATATCAGCGACTTATGATCCAAAGTTGATAAGTTTGTTCGAAGGCGTCAATTTGTCTAGACATGCAACTAAGCTATACCTGGGATTCCAGCATAGAAACCAGTATTTTGGGATTCCTCCAAAGCTTCTAGCCGGGGACAGCTCTCGTGTAAGAGCAAAGTCGCTTTTCTGACAGCCGTCTGAAGCTGCTTCAAGGTATCTTTGAGAGAACTTTGGCTAATCTCGACAGGGCTCAATTGGTTGGCGTAAAACTGTGGGGCATTTGCAGTCGCCATCACGACGATTCACCAGGCAACATATGTATCTTAGGATATGTCACAACACGATCAGGAAATATGTGAAAGAGGAAGAAAGCCAAGAATGAAGAAGAAACACTCTGTGCATGGAGGAGGAGTAGTCCATGTGGAAGTAGCTCAAGTCTCGGCGTGGAAAACATACGGCCGCGTGACATCACTTCGTTGCCGCGCATTCTTCGACGCATAGGATCTCGACCCTGCAATGAGAACAGAAGTAAAGATTCAAGCAAACCTATCATACAGAGTCTCGACTGAGCAGTGTCTGGTTTTGCGCATAGCGGTGACATGCTTCGCAGAGCGGTTTGCTGATGTGTACAGACAACTGAGCATTTTAAGAACTGTTCCCTTAACGGCTACAGGAGGGAAACCCCTCATGTCCAGGCCCTCTTCATACCATAAATTCTAGTCAATGGATTCTTGCGCTGGTCGAGATGTCTTCGTCTTCGTCTTCGATTCAAATTCAATCAGTCTTGTCGGTCAATTCACGTTCTGGCGTCAGTCTGAACGCAGGCGCCATGCCACGCGGTCTCATGGTAAAGTCTTCCCTTGTCGAAGCCTCTAGACACTTGGGGAGAGCTTTTTGCTCAGCCACGTGCTGATCAAATCATGAGTGATGTTTCTTGCAGACTGCAAACAAAGTACACACTGGCAGCATAGAAAATGCTACCAGGACTGCTACCCGCAAAGTATCGGCTATGCGATAACGAGGTCTCGGATTTGCCTGTTTTTGAAATGGATCTATGTCTCTGGGAAGATCAATCTCTCAGAATGTCTCGTACAACCTGCGCGGTTGATAGATTTTCAAAGCGAGGGTCTGCAGGAGAATTTTGAACAGAATTCCATTCCCCGCAGGATGCACGGTATTATTTCTTACCAGTCTGCTGCTACTAAAGCGGCGAATTATATGTTCATCTTCAGATTGACCTGAGCTAGAACGAAGATGGATATAAGACGTCTCGCCAGATGAGCTTCATTCTACATTGGTTGACTTGATTTAGTTATTGTAGACGTAAGTAACTCCCGCCCAGCTGATGAAAAGGAGGGCTGCGGGGCGCGGCATGATTGGTCACCGCCTTCAACACTGGGAGCTCGGGGAAATTTTGGTCGGCAGAGAGGCATTATTGAGACCCCTCCGAGAAAGCTGCGATTAATCAGGGCCAACGTTTCCCATCACACGCTCAGTCTCTACACTTCCCTCGCTTTGCCCTCGGTTTCCCCTCCACCCTAATCCACCATCATGGCCTTCGCTGGCCAGACTCCCACGATTATCGTGCTCAAAGAGGGTCCGTCACCTCGCCCGCATCGAAATGCTGTTTCTGTGTGTATCATCGCGGGATGTTGCTAACTGACTCCGAACAGGCACGGATACCTCGCAGGGAAAGGGTCAAATCATTTCGAACATTAATGCCTGCGTTGCTGTTCAGTCTACGATCAAGAGCACCCTCGGCCCTTACGGAGGAGACTTGTTGCTGGTGGACGGCAATGGCAAGCAGACCATTACAAACGATGGAGCCACTGTCATGAAGGTGCGTCGGCCCAGCTTACCAGATGACTCTACATGGCTCTTTTCCTCTTCGACATCTTGTCAAACAAGGTTTCTTCTATGTCCACCGTGAAATGCTGATGACATTACCCTTCAACTAGCTCCTCGACATTGTGCACCCCGCCGCTCGCATTCTCACGGACATCGCTCGGTCTCAAGATGCTGAAGTCGGAGATGGAACGACATCGGTCGTTGTCCTGGCAGGTGAAATCTTGAAGGAAGTTCGGGAACTCGTCGAGCAGGGAGTCAGTTCACAAACCATTGTCAAGGGTCTGCGGAGAGCTAGCTCCATGGCTGTGAACAAGATCAAGGAAATCGCTATTGACATGATTGAGGCCGCCGGAAGTGAGGAGAAGAAAGTGGAAACCCTAAGACGTCTGGCTGCCACGGCGATGAACAGCAAGCTTATCAAGCGCAACTCAGACTTCTTTACCAAGAGTAAGCTGGCCTTTTCACTGAATAAGATCTTAACCGGAAACTAAAAGAGTTGTCTCAGTGGTGGTGGATGCCGTGCTGTCGCTCGACCAGGATGACCTCAACGAGAAGTTGATCGGCATCAAAAGAGTTACTGGTGGTGGCTTGCAGGATTCGCTCTTCGTCAATGGTGTTGCGTTCAAGAAGACATTCTCCTACGCCGGTTTCGAGCAACAGCCCAAGTACTTCAAAGATCCCAAGATTGTCTGTCTGAACGTTGAGTTGGAGTTGAAGAGCGAGAAGGACAATGCCGAAGTGCGGGTGGAACAGGTGTCAGAGTACCAGGCTATTGTCGATGCCGAATGGCAGATCATTTACAACAAGCTTGAGGCCATCTACAAGACCGGCGCCAAGGTTGTTCTCAGCAAATTGCCTATCGGTGACCTGGCTACGCAGTATGTTTTACTTTCTACTTCCGTGCCGTGGGTCTGCGTACTAATTATCGCTTCACTGTGCGCAGGTATTTCGCTGATCGTGATATCTTCTGTGCTGGTCGTGTTGCTGCTGATGATATGGACCGGGTCTGCCAGGCTACTGGTGCTGCGACGCAATCAACTTGCAGTGACATTCAAGAACGTCACTTGGGTACCTGTGGTGTCTTCGAAGAACGTCAAATCGGCGGTGAACGCTACAACCTTTTCTCCGAATGCCCTGCCGCCAAGACTTGCACTCTCGTGCTGCGTGGTGGAGCGGAGCAGTTCATTGCGGAAGTTGAGCGCAGTCTACACGATGCCATTATGATTGTCAAGCGTGCCCTCCGTCATACAACCATTGTTGCTGGTGGTGGTGCCACCGAGATGGAGCTGTCGAGCTTCATGCACGGCTTCGCAGACCGCAACGTGCCCCACAAGCAGCAGGCAGTGGTCAAGGCTTTTGCTAAGGCCTTGGAGGTTATTCCCCGCCAGCTATGTGACAATGCTGGCTTCGACGCGACGGATATCCTGAACCGCTTGCGGGTGGAGCACCGCAAGGGTAATGTCTGGGCGGGTGTGGACTTTGACAATGAAGGGGTTCGGGACAACATGGTCGCCTTCGTGTGGGAGCCCAGTCTGGTCAAGGTGAATGCCATCCAGGCGGCTGTCGAGGCGGCTTGCTTGATTCTGAGCGTGGACGAAACTATTAGTAAGAGACCCCGTTTCCCCGATTGGATATGGATTGAAACTGACGCAAGAACCTCTCTTTTTTTCTTAAACAGAGAACGAAGAGTCGGCCCAACCTCAGGCACCGGCGCGTGGATTGCCGCCGGGTGCTGCCCAGCGCGCTCTGGGTGGTCGCGGACGTGGCATGCCTCGCCGTGGACGGTAAATCACAGGCGAACGAATGAGTGGATAAACCGAATCGTGAGAGCTGGGTGGATTGGACCAGTCCGTGATGGAATGGGTTGAATATAAAAACAATCAATAGTCTGGATAAGCGCTTGAGCGCTGATCATTGGTTGAGGATAATATCATATTTTCTTTTGTCTTATTGTTGAAGTGTAGTTTGTAGAGTAGGTCATTATACACATTGGGAAGATCGAGATCGACAATCTGACTGATGACACGTAATAATGTCCTATTAGAAGCCCACGGCGTACTCTCAGAAAAGTGTTTTAGTATTGACTAGTATATAGCTGGAACCGATCCATTCAATCATGGCTGACAGCCACAGCGATGGGCAGCAATGCGAACGGGCCGGATCCGACCGGTGATAGGAGGGGCGCATTTGGAATGCTGACGCTGGCAGGATGGATGATTGATTATTTGCATCGGCGCAATTTAGCTGGGATCGGGGAGACCGATAAGTTATGCAGGAAGAGAAAACTTACCTCATGGTTCGTCTGCGCAACCCGCATCTGCTTGTGCCATTACTATACCCATCATTGAGTGGTACTATTACCTATTGTTTAGTCCAACTTGAACCTGAAGTCATTGAAGAAGTAAATCCAGCCGAGGAAGCACCAATCGACGCGTCGGGCTCCACTGCCGCCTTTTCTCCAGTGACTGACTGATTCACAGACTGACTGACTGCGCCTTTTCTCGCTCCGCTCACCATCTGACTGACTGACCTTCTTTTCTTCCTCCATCGCTTTCTCTTTCCTCCCCCTCTTCCCCCCCTCTCCCTACTTCCTCTTAGCTTTGTCCTCTGTCTTTCTTTACCCCCTTGATCGTCGCGTCTTGGCTTCTCTGCCTGCTTGCTTTCGTGACCCTTCCTCCTCTTTGTCTCCTTCTCTCTCGACTACAAAAGATGTCCTACTATCCTCCATATTCGGGCCCGCCCGGGTATCCCCCGCAGCAGCCACCGCAGCAGTATCCCTACCCCCCTCAGAGCTACGGCACCCCCCCACCACAGTACCAGCAGTGAGTCTTGGTCGCTCTTGCATCCTTGGATTCGGCGCTCCCTCTTGGGTATATAGTCCAAGGCGTGCCTTGTGCCTTGCGCTGATCAATCTCGCAGACAAATGAATCCTCACCACCACCATCATCACCAAGCGTCCTATGGCGGCGGCGGAGGTGGATATCCTGGTCAGGCCTACCGCCAACAACAACAACAACCACCTCCTAGCAATTCCTATCCCTACGGTCAGCCATCGCCCCAACAGTATCAGGGATCGCAACCCCCTCAGGGTGGTTATAATGTATGTCATGAGCGCCCACGTCTGCGTTGCTCGTGCGACGGAGGTTTAACGTTAGCGTCTAGGGTGGTTATGGCGCACCCCAATATGGTGGCCAGCAAGGTAAGCCGTTAACTACACCAAGGCGCAAATTGGACACAGCTGACATCTCTCAGCCTATTCGAACCCCTACAATCAAGGTAGTCAGGGCAACGGACCTCCTCCTCCCCCAAGTGAGCCGGTGTCTTTCGGTCATGGTGCGCCGCAAGGCTACAGCTTCCAGTACTCTCGCTGTACCGGTAAGAGGAAGGCCTTGTTGATCGGAATCAACTATTTCAATCAGAAGGGTCAGCTGCGGGGTTGTATCAACGATGTCAAGAATATGTCAACATACCTCAACCAGAACTTTGGCTATGCTCGCGAGGACATGGTTCTGTTGACGGATGATCAGCAAAATCCTATGAGCCAACCCACCAAGGCCAACATTCTCCGGGCTATGCATTGGTTGGTGAAGGATGCGCAGCCTAATGACTCGTTGTTCTTCCACTACTCTGGTAAGCGCTGATATTAAGACTCCATTGCTTTTGTGGGTTAGTCTAACAGCAGCAGGGCACGGCGGTCAGACGCCTGATCTAGACGGTGACGAGGATGACGGATACGATGAGGTGATCTACCCAGTCGACTTCCGCCAAGCAGGACATATTGTCGATGATGAGATGCATCGGATCATGGTCAAACCACTTCAACCAGGAGTTCGGCTGACAGCCATCTTCGATTCGTGTCACTCCGGATCTGCCCTGGACCTACCTTATATCTATTCGACCCAGGGTATTCTCAAAGAGCCCAACTTGGCCAAGGAGGCAGGCCAGGGTTTGTTGGGCGTCGTGTCGGCATACGCGCGGGGTGATATGAGCAGTATGATGTCAACGGCCGTTGGCTTTTTGAAGAAGGCAACCAAGGGAGACGAGGCATACGAGCGTACCAAGCAGACCAAGACGAGCCCGGCAGATGTGATCATGTGGTCTGGCAGCAAAGATGACCAGACCAGCCAGGACGCACAGATTGCCGGACAGGCTACGGGTGCCATGTCCTGGGCATTTATCAATGCGCTCCGCAAAAACCCGCAGCAGAGCTACGTGCAACTATTGAACAGCATCCGCGACGAACTAGCTACCAAGTACTCACAGAAGCCGCAGTTGAGCAGCAGTCATCCCCTGGGTAAGCAGTGTCCTGTTGTCCCGATATAATGTAGGAAGCGGTTCTGACGGATAATAGATGTGAATTTGCGGTATGTTATGTAAATAGGAGTTTGTTGAATCTGTGGGCCGAGCGATGGGATGAGAAATATTTGTGCCTTTCATACTTAATTCTATCATGGGCTGTCATGCAATTCTTTGTGCCATGCTATACTCGCTGCCCCCCCTGGCTTCGGCGGCCACTGTTTGTTTTTTTAATGGTCAGAATGATCACTTGTTCTAAGGCATACCCGTCCTGCAATGGTCCAGAATACGCCAAATAATGATACTTGTATAAAATTCATGATTGATTCATTATATTTCCATGGTATCTCGTTACTTTTGTCTGTGTGCAAGAGTGCCCCAGAAAGGACCGCCGCTACCATCTTTTAGGCGCATCGACCACTGTTCTCGAGAATGAGGCACTAACCGTCTCTCTCTGCTTCTTCTTCTGAGCCGCGATAATACCAGTCCGATCGGTGACGGGTGTAGCATTGATGATGTTATCAAAAGCATCCTCATCATCATCACTGCCGCCTTCGGCTGACCCCGACTCAGCATCTGAATCCTCCTTTAAATGGGAATTCGTCTCTTCCTCGGATCTCGCGACCCTCTCGACCTTCGTCTTCTCCTCAACCTCCGGATTCTGGAAGGCCTTGGAGTTCAAGATCTTCGCTCTGATTGCAGCCATATGCTCCTCCTCCTCTGAATCGTCCGAGATGGCGAACGGGTCCTTATCAACCTCCTCCTCCTCCTCTTCACCCTCTTTGTCCTCATCATCATCCTCGTCGGAATCACTCTCAGCTCTACGGTTCGTGTTTCCGACGGTCCACATGTCGTCCGCACCCGTAGCCCTGCTCTCTTCGTATTCCCTCTCAATCTTGGCAAGCCAGTCCTCTTCGGCGCGCTTCATCTCCTCCTCGTCGGCACAGGCGGCGTAGCGCTTGAAGAGCTTCGCGTTGATCTCTAGGAAGGCTTCGCCGTAGCGGAAGTGCTTAAGAACTTCACGAGCCCAGTCCTCGTGGCCGCAGATGCAGAAACAGGCCGCCAGGGCTTCGACGCAATTTAGACGCCACGGTTTGCCGTAATTGACGGTGTTGGCGGCGATAAGGTAGGGGACTATTGATCACAGCGATCGAAGAGCAGAGTTAGTGTTGGCCGGGAATAAGGGTGAATATGAGAGAGAGGAAGAGAGAAGGGGGACGTACGCAGACGTTCACACTTGCCACCGATTCTCGACCAGGGGACCTCCTTTACACGCACCCAAGAGCATTCTACCACCGCGGCGCCGAATTGTTCCAATAGGTCCTTATCGGCGGGGGAGACGACCTTCTTGGCATTGGGACTATGGTGTGGAGAGAGGCCCGTATGTTAGTGAAGAAGAAAAATCATATTGGTCTGGGGGTGGGAGGATGGTAGGCAGAAAGAAATTGGATAACATACGAGATTACGACACCGGGAAAGCGCTGGCCGATTGCCAACTCGCGCATGAGACCGAAATTCATCAAACGTTTGCCGGAGCAGCGCTTCGGATCGCAGTGACCCATGTCCCAGCAGGCGGCCTTGAAAGGAGGTCGCGAATAATTGCCGTTCTCGGTGTCGTCGTCGCCATCACCACCGGGGCCGCCGCCGCGGGGAGGGGGACGAGAGCGCGGGGCGGAGGAGAATTTCTTGCCGCCGCGGGAGAAGTTGTCCTTCTTGTGGCGGACCATGGCTATGTCTTGGGTTGTGAGAAAGAGCTCAAGAAGAGCCTAAGTAGTATGGTGAATGTATTGTATTGATATACAGCTTTTGGCAAGAATGTTGCGTTGCGCGTATAGTGTAAGAGATGATGGGGTGTAAGTGGGGGTTGTAGAAGTTAAGAAAATGCAGGCAATAAGAGAATGTCGGGCTGAGTTGGTGGTTGTGGCATATCGTTCAAGTCCCGACCGCCGGGACGGAAGTTCCCCTCATTCTTCCCTGTCCGCTTCCCCCATTCCATCATCATCATCACCTTTCTTCCTCCCACGGCTTTTTGCTACCTTAATCTTCTCCGACTCCGGACTCAACCCCCGCGCGCGGTATCTACTTAACCTACACTCCCCTCTACTGCTTATAATATCTTTCTTTTCTCCCCCTCTGGTCTCCTTCAATTCATCCACCGTGGAGGCCGCTTCAGCACGTATGGCAGCTAGGGACCGCTTTGGTGCCTACGCTGACCCGGGCTTAACACCGCTGCAAAGGGCTATCCGTATGTGTCTTCTGTTCCCTCCTCAGATTTCCACCACCACCATTACAGCTTTCTTTTCATGAAACCCCCATGGAAGATGACGAATTGCTCATTTTTCATGCTTTGTCGCTGCAGGAAATGCCTGTGATCTCTCCCACTATGAACCGAACCTCGCCCTGAACCTCGAAGTGGCCGATCTCATCAACTCTAAAAAAGGCAATGCGTGAGTCTCCGGCCTGGCGTCGCGCATCCTCTCCTGCAGGGAGCGCCACCGGATCTAACTTCCCGTCTGTCTTAGACCTCGAGAAGCGGCCATCGAGATCGTTCACCTGATCAACTCGCGGAATCAAAACGTGGCGCTACTGGCATTGGCAGTAGGTGCCCTCAAAACTGCCATCGGATCGCCTGGCGCTGATCATAAGACTGACGAGACATTTCGACTAGTTGCTCGACATATGCGTGAAGAACTGCGGATATCCCTTTCACCTCCAGATCAGCACCAAGGAATTCCTTAATGAGCTGGTCCGTCGCTTTCCTGAGCGCCCGGCCTTACGGCCATCCCGCGTGCAGCACCGTATCCTCGAATCCATTGAGGAATGGCGACAAACTATTTGTCAGACGTCGAGGTATAAGGAGGATCTTGGCCATATTCGGGACATGCACCGCTTGCTACTTTACAAGGGCTACGTTTTCCCGGAGATTCGCCATGAGGATGCTGCGGTCTTAAATCCTAGTGATGTAAATTTCTCCTCTTTCTTCGACGCTCCGCTCCGCTGACCCGTCATAGAACCTTCGCTCGGCCGAGGAAATGGAAGAGGAGGAGCGCGAAGCTCAATCCGCCAAGTTGCAGGAGCTGATTCGCAGAGGTACCCCTGCCGACTTGCAAGAAGCCAATCGGTTGATGAAGGTAATGGCTGGTTATGATAATCGGCACAAGACGGATTACCGGGCCAAGGCGGCGGAGGAGGTCGCCAAAGTGCAGCAAAAGGCAAAAATTCTGGAAGAAATGCTGCAGAGTCACCAGCCCGGTGATCGGGTCGCCGAGGGAGATGTGTTCGAGGTAAATCATCTCTCTCTCTCTCTCTCTCTCTCTCTCTCTCTTGAGCCCGGCACAGGTCCGCTGATCAAAAACACATAGGAACTGGCGAGTGCGCTTCAAAGCGCCCACCCTAAGATCCAGAAGATGTGTGAGGAAGAGTCGGATGATCCAGAGGCCGTGCAGAAATTGTTGGAGATCAATGACAGCATACACCGTACTATCGAGCGATATAAGTTGGTCAAGAAAGGTGACTGGGAGGCGGCCTCTCAGATTCCCAAGGGCACTCTGGGCACGACAACGGGTGTATCGAAGAACGCTAACAACGAGCTTTCCCTTATCGACTTCGATCCCGAACCCGCACCCAATTCTAATGGTAACGGAGCCGCAGCGTCTGCGGGAGGTAGCTCACTGGAGAATGACTTGTTGGGATTGTCAATAGATGAGCCTGCTCCGGCTCGGGGTGGAATCTCGTTGGGGCCTGGTAGGTCGCTTACTCCTCGTTTGACGTGGATGCGTACTAATACGTGGTTTCACAGCCCCTGCGGCGTCCGCGACGCCACCGATCACTCAGGTGTCTGCTGGCTTCAGGCCTAATTATGACATCTTTGCCTCAAGGAACACATCCCAGCCATCCTCGCAGTCATCGACGCCGGCGCCGGGTGTGCGGCCTCAAAGCATCGTCTCTTCGCCTGCTGCAGCAACTCCTCCCCCTGCTCTTGATCCGTTCGCTTCTTTGGTTTCTGCCGGCTCGCGTCAGCCCAGCCCACTGTCCTCCGGTAAGCACTCGGGCTCTCAACCGGGTGCAGGGTCATTATTGGATCTAATGGGGAGCGAACCCGCGCCACTAGCAATCAGCCAGACCAAGCCGACGGAGGAGGACGAATGGAATTTCGCATCGTCCCTGCCGGAAAGCAACACGCTGCCCAGCATGAACCGTGTGCAGGTGCTGAACTCGATGCTCCGGATTGAATTCATGGCGCGCCGGCATCCCCAACAGACACAGCAGATTCATGTGGTAGCCCTGTTTTCCAACAGTACTAACCAGCCTTTGAACGAACTACACTTTCAAGTGGCTGTGGAAAAGGTAATTATCCGCCGCCGCTTGAATTACAACGACGAAGTGCTGAATGGATCTGACAGGCATACACATTGCAATTGCGGCCGCAATCCGGACGAGACATCGCACCCTCCCAGGCGAACGGAGTGCAACAGGAGATGTTGGTGGATAAGGTTCCGATGGGCAAGGGAAACGCGATTAAGATGCGATTCCGTGTCTCGTACCGGGTGGGCAACCAGCGCAAAGAAGAACAGGGCATGGTTCCATCATTAGGAATTGCCTAAGGAGATGATAGGCCGGATTGCCGCTGACATGAGGATCAGGGGAGGGGATACAAGGAAGGGAAACCCTCTGAATATATGATTTGAACCCGTTCCAGGCATGGTGGAGTGCTTGATATTTGAATCTCTGGTGACTTTTTGCGGTTTTGCTATTGTTTGTGAGAGAATTTCCGACTAGCCTGCATAATTTTCCGTATCCATGTATACCTGAGCCAGTTTCGAAGCAGTGAGCGCAATATGGTCACTTTCTCTTGGGGAGCAGGAACTTCCCCTCCTTTCCTGCCAATGTTCTCTTGTTATCTGACATGGACAGCCCCCGCCCCCCTCTCCGGACCGGTTTTGGGAGTGACCCTGAACAGCCACTGAAGGTTATTCAGGGATGAGGCTAGAATAGGGACCCCTGAGACAGCCATTGTTCCCCAGAATGGATTGGGTCGTTGCCGAGAGCCCGTACCAGGGCGCTCGACTGAGTGGCTGCTGAGCCCACGAAGGGGAAGGGGGGGAAGGGGGGGAAGGGGGGAGGATGAGCTGGAACCAGGATTGGTCGTTGAAGTTAAGAGGATAACTTAGGGATCCCAAGGTGTGTAGGTATAAGCCGAGGTGAAGCGAAGGGAGAGAGGGGAGGAAAAGCGAGTATCGAATTGAAGGGACCCGTATGAAAGGAGAGTTCGGGTTGACGGACTGCTGGGTGGGTTGACAGCCGGTGGAGTGGGAAAGGTGGCGGTGGCACAGACCAGGACATCTTGTTTCGCATCCCAAGGTAATCCCCGGGCTCCCTCGGGGATTCTGACACGAGACGAAGTACCAGTTGTACTTGTACATGTGCCATCGAGTCGATAGCTGCGATCTGCCAGATCCTCGTTTTCTCCGATCTCAGAGAGGGGGCAACAAATACCGATCAGGGGGAGGGAGGGGGTCACAGGATCCCTCTACGTGTCACAAGGAAATGGGGGGGGGGGAGATGCGAAGTACGAAGGTATACATACCTACCTTAGTTATATCCATAGGTACTCTATACTAAGAGTATCCTTCGGGTTGACTTCCTCAGACCGTCTCAAGCGATGAAAGCGGCTATCAGGGCAATTCCCTGATCGAGTAATAACAGGGCGGTACTGGGCGATCAGTACATACATACTGTATTGTACCTACAGTAGTGCCATACCGGCTCATTACCACTATACCACTAAAGCATGCAAGATCCCCGCAAGCTGACAGTGGGGCAACACCGCTTTGATCTAGGTTACTAAGCTTATTCCCCGCCTAACTCCGAATGCTCTTGCCGTTCTGGGCAGGATTGGCGATCAAGGTGGACTGGCGATTGACAGTACCTTACAGAGTATGTATGAAACACGCAGCAAGTGGCAGCTTATCTTGTTCTTCTTGTTGCTTGTTCTGCCTCGTCTACAGAGTACTGTAGATGATTAATTTCCATAGACACAGGAAGAGAATTGACTTTGACAGCCTCAGGGATTTACGAGCACGTCTGTCGACTCAGCACTGTCCTTTGTCTGAATTCCCCTCCCGTCCTCCCATCCTACCTCCTCCTCCTCATCCTCCTACTCCTCCTCACTCCACTCTCTCATGCTCTACTATCTTCTACGATCAACCTCTCGCAACCGTGGCTGTAGAAGAATGATTCCAGCCTTCAGCTAGTGATTGTACTGCCCAGTTGGCTTGCCTTTCGATCATCGACTGGGAATGACTTCCAGTCTTCCCATGGATAGCGCCAGATGCTCAGACCCAGCTCCGCAAAGAACTCTAGCAGTGGGATGTTCCATGGTTCTAAAAGACTCTGAAGAGAACTCGCCCACCCTCCCCGGGACTGTCCCAGCCTTGGCTGAATTTGTCTGGATTCGGGCGTCCGTCTCGCCTGTCAGCTTCAGCTTGCATCTCCGGTAGCAAAATACTGTAGGTTCTCGGCCTGAACCACTCCGTTGTCCCATTTTACAGCGTAGGATGCCCCTCCTTGGCATCCATCTATTTAATTTCTCTGCTGGCTGCTATCTCTATTATCTTCTCTCTATTTTTTATTTCTGGTGCTGCTCTAGGCGAGGTCCATCATCCCGTCTATCGTTTCTTCTTTCTACTCTCTATCACAGCTTTTGTTTCTACAGCCTTTCTCTATTCGCAGTCTTCCCGACCATCTCAGCTTCACAGCACTCACGCAACCTTCTCTTTTCAAAACTTGGACACTCGAGGACTTCGTCACGATGGGGTCCCCTGGCATCGATCTCGATGTCGCTCCAAATCCTCGCACTAAAGAGGAAAACCAGGAACGGTGAGTGCCATCGACCGCTAGAGTTGTATGATGCTGATGGGTTTCAGGGCGTTCATTGCAGCTTCAAGACGCAAAGATCGAAGCCTCGACGCCCGAGTAGAGTCAGCCAACCGGGCCTCCAGTCTGCACAAGCAACGCACCGGCAAAGCCCTCCTCATCAGTCGAGATATCGTGGAGCGAGAGGCGATGTATGAAGAGGTGGACGACCGCTACCAGGAGAAGATCAACCGAATGCTGCATGCTCAGTCCATACAACTACATGCCGAATTTAACCGGAATTTGATGGCCGCCTGGCATGGTGCTCGTCCTGGCGGTGGTCTGCATCAGCGGCGAGCTGCCAGTGCGCATCTGAACCCACGGGCTTCGATCAACGGCATTCGCAAAATGAGCCTTGATTTGTCTGGGCTACGGTCCTCGATCGCGGAGGACTGCAGGGTGCAGCCTGGCCCAATGACCAGTCCGCTGTCGGCGAATCCTAGCAGCTACGTGCTTTCTCCCACCTTGGACGGGACTGTCCAGTCGCCGTCGTATCCCAACGTTGTTTCTGCATCGGCGGGCCAAGTACCATCCTACCTTGCCCAGGCGGGCGGACCCACCTGGTCGCCCGCCCCCCAGCAGCAACCCCTCGGCCCGCAGCAGCCGTTTCGGTCCCCCTGGACTGCAGGCTACATCTCTCCTCAACCGCCGCAACCTGCAATTTCTCTGGACGAGATGGCCGCTATGCCGGTGCGGCAATTTAGAGACCGTATGGCGTCAGCACCAGTCATCCCAGTTCACGCGATCGCCGCCTCTCCCCTGATGGGTACCCCTGCCGTGGGAGGAACCACCACGGCTGCTACAGTGACCCCTTCAACCCCGGCAATGAGCCGCCCCGTGAACGTGATCCAACACAACCGGGTCCGATCAGAGCCAGGCCAAACGGTATTGACAAATGGCCTGCCCGCCACTACTACATTGTCACAGATGAGCTCTCCACGCGGTAGTGGGCAGGACATGGGTTCTTCAGCCGAGCCCATTATCCCAACCCCAGACCTATGTCCTACGCCAAGCACGCCGCACTCCCCTCATTCCACAGGGCAAAACCCTAGTGGGGTGTGGGGACTGGATTTGGGTAAGGATGAGGGGGGTATGGAGGTGACCTACCAAGCCGACCATTTGGACCCTGAGTATGATGAATTCAGCCGCTTCGCGTTCGGCTTGGGCAGTGGAAGCCAGCTACCGGAGACAGACATGGGCTTTGACGAATTCTTCACATTGGAAGAATATCCCGTCAGTGCCTGACATGTGTCTCTTGTATCTCCCCTTTTTTGTTTCTCTCTACATACTAAATGTTTTTTCAGTCTTTGTCTGTATCATCTGAACTGGTTGAGGAGGAATTGGGCGGAAAGCGTAGGGTGAGGAGGGGGGGAAAGGAGGTACAGCAATACCCGAAGATGTCGTTGACTTACTACTACGTCAACTAACTATTATCACTATTACTACAATACCAAAATAATGAGAAATGATGCCTGACTATATTTCGCTTTTTGGGTGGGCTATTGGTTCACATCTCCATATTCTACAGTACGACAGAAACCAATAATGGTGGAGAGAACAAGCAAAGAGAGAATTCTTGGTGGAGAGGGCAGGCACCCGCAGCGTTACATCCAGCCTTGGCCGCAAACGGCGATCTGCGGCAGATCAGCACTGGGAGATACACCGGCCAGAGTGAATTCCTCCTTATGCGACATCGAAGGTATGTCATGGTGGGCATATTGCGGGATTAAAAGATTTTCATCCTCAATCCAGAGGGAGAGGTGGGGATATAGTAAATCCAACAATGATAGTACTACTGTGGGGGGGGGGGGGGGGTGTGCGTGTGTGTGTTTGTGAGATTGCATGCATACTGTTCCGGCCGTGCATAGATACTATACAAGTTACATGCAAGGAGAGAAATGCCCCCCAGCTAAGCTTTCCTTCCTTACCTGCAGTTATGCGAGATCTAACGGTGCGTCAGTGATAGAGTGCTTATTTGCTGCTGTCACGGCTGGGGGACTTGCATGGCGTATGCCGTTGTAGAATCTAGTGTCCCCCGTTGGCGGTGTCGCACTGTGGGGAAGCCCGTCAAAAAACTAGCTCCGCTGCGTACGGGCATGAGGGAGAACTTGTGTGGGGAGACAGCGCCAATCAATCATGCCATCAATCAAGTCTGTACGAGTACTCAACTTTATCAGAGTGAAATCCAGACCCCGAGCCCACAAGCCTGCAGCTTCTGAGAGCTAACTCCGTACTCACAGACCCTTTCCTACAGTGGAGCCTCAAGGATGGATCGGCAATCAATTTCAAGGTTCTGGTCTGTGCTGCACCGGTGGAGATGCGGTACAGTAATTCTAGTTCAAATCTAGTAATGCACGAATGCGAATGGGAGCAGGAGTTGCGAGGAATTCTGATAAGGTCGAAAGTATGGATCACTGCAGCGAGAAGTTTGGAAAACAAAGTCTGGGACAGGGATTTGGAATTTTGTCTGATTGTACTTGTACTAAGTCCGAACATTGGTTCATGTGTATTCGGATAAGAATTAATTAGTGATCGATTAGCAACAGTAGTTACCCAGTGGGTTCTACGGTTGGATCAGCACTGGATATATGTTCGGATGTACTCTGTGAAGTCCTAAGGCTGGGGAAGTATCTTCCGCTTCAGTCTAGACCACCTGCACACAGTCGCCTCATCTCCTGAGAGACGGAAATCCCCGAGCAACGCCATTAGTACGCACTGCTCGATTGCAACTAAGTTGATACACCGATCCTGATCATACCACCCACCTCGTATACTTGACTGAACTAGACCCTCCTCTCCATGAGTCCCTCAGCTCTCCCCGAGCATTCCCTCGAGTTCTCCTCCACCCCCCCACCCCCCGGCCTCTCCCTCAATGGACCTATCGCCACGAACCGGCAATTTACTGACTGTATAAACAAGACTGTATAAACAAAAGGAATACTAAGAAACCCCCAGTGTTTCACTTAGCACACAACCCCCTTCCAAGAGTTCCCCAAAGAAAAAGTACATCCCACAGAGAGGAGGCCAAAACCCTCAGTCCAAAACCTATCTAAGGATCTGGTCCCACGGATAGCCCAGAAACTCTATAACCATTTCCCAAAGTTCCAAAGATCGAGAAAATGAAAAAAAAAAAAAAAAAAAAAAAAAAAAAAAAAAAAAAAAAAAAAAAAAAAAAAAAAAAAAAAAAAAAAAAAAGAACAAAACCGCCTCCGTGGGCTCCCTCGCTTGCTTGCTTGCTTGCTAAAAACAGACTTCCTTGGCGATTGGCTGCCAGACAGACAGGACCAGCGTGGACTGAATTGTTTTGTCCAACCACGCCAAATGTCCCTTACTCGGTAATTATCTCTCCACCCGAGGATGAAGGCTTTAGGGGATGAGTGGTGGTGGTGGTGGTGGTGGTGGTGGAGAATTTTCGGGGAATGGAATTCTTTGGGAGGAGGTCGGGTTCGCTTGCCTCCCCCTCATCATCATCTTCTCTTGTCTGTTTCTTACTACTACTACTTCACACACACTCTCTCTCTGTGTCTCTCTGTCTCCCTTTGTCTTTCTCTGGTTTTTCCCTCCCTCCCCGGTTCCAGGCGGTGGTATTCGTCGGGGAGGGGGTTTACGGGGTTTCCGAAGCAGAGTCTGGATCCATCAGCTAGCCAGCTGGATGTTTGTGTTTACATGTATAGCGTGGTGGTGGTTCGGGAATCACATGGGACAACCTCGGAGGCATGGAATTTCACCGTAGTCTTATCGGCCACTTGCATTACTTGCGCTGTTCACTTACAGTAATCTCTGGACTATGAGAATCCGAATATGTAACTGGCCGTTCATGCATTAATCGGTACTAGGAGACGGTTGAGCTAAGTGGTCCTGTAGGAGCTGAGTGACTCGAATGCGCATGAGGAGTCCAGGCCCCGTGTGCATTGCACCTGTATCTTGCATCTTAAAATCCCTAGGTTACCCCCCGCCTATACAATCCTCCCACTGAACAACTCCCGGCCGATCTCCCCGCTCCGTCGCACGCTTACACTAGAACTGCTGCTTCGGCGACGTCGGCTCCGACTCTCCGCGGGGTCTGCGGGACTCAGTCCGCTCGCCCGCGCCTGCAGATTCAGGATGTCTGTCAGACTCACCACCCCCACTAGTCGGCCCGAGAGTCGCGCCCCAGGCAAAGCCGACGCAGGAATTGATGGCGCCATGGTTGCCGTGCCAAGGAAACTCTGGGGCGGGCTCGGCAAGTGCGCGGAGCTGAAATTTGGGGCCTGCAGGCTCGGATTCCCGCCGATAGCGGGGGTCTGCGGCGGAGATTGCGTAGTTGACGGAAGAGGAATGTGCACGGAGGAATGAGACGGGGTAGGGGGTCCGGACGAGGCGGGCGAGAGGGGATCCGTTACCCAGAGGCTGTAATCTCATCAGTCGGGCTGGGACACTGTGTGGTGTAGACGCTCGTCGGAACTTACCGGTGAGACTTGGTTGCGACCACCTTAGCCACGGTATGTGCTAGGGTCGAAGTCGGATTAACGTGAAACACGGGGAATGAATCCTTGCCCTCCTCCAGACCGCGAGTAGATAGGATCACGGAGATGAAATGCGTGCAGGTGTTGCGCAGTAACGGGAGTGAGGACGAACGGGTCAGAAGCTACGCATGTCAGCGACATTTGTTCTCTCTCCAGTCAAGGACACACGAATATATACCTTGACATCCGTTGTCGAGATGTTCCCCACGACATTGAAATGGTTGTCCACTACGGCAATCGAGGAAACCCCTTCATCATTCATGATCTGCAGGGCTTCGCAGAGCGGCCGGTCACCACTGCAAATGAACATCAGTGCGCATTCACCACATCTGGCCAGGGCACATACTTGATTGAGATGACCTCTCGCGAACCAATTCCCAGCTCGTGCAAGGACTGGGGGTAGAGCTGGTCAATCACTGGGAAGCTGCGTCCGTTCTCCCAGAGAAACTTGACCAGCCGGTACTGACTGAAAATACCCACTACTTCCTTGTCCTTTTGTTCATCAACAACCACAACGCGATGCACGCCTCCGCCAAAAGTCTGCACGGCCGTCATCACGCTGGCTGATGCAGGCAGCGTGGTCAGCGGCTCTTTCCTGCCCAAATCCTTGACATCCTTAAGCGGTATCTTTATTCCCTGTTTCGCCTTGCGCGCCAATTCCTCATACGACGCTATTAGCGCTTCATCGGGCTGCGTCAGCCCTGCCGCCAACAGGAGGTATGCGTTGAGGTCGGAATAGTCGAAAGTGCCGACGGCAGACTTCTGATCAGGGGTTTCTCGAATCAAGAGTACGGGAGCTGCGGTATTGATCAGGATCTACTCTTGTCAGTCTTTGGTCTTCAATTTTCGAGAAATTAGCCACCAGAGGAGTACATCTTGGCTAGCTTACATTCGTCGCTTCTTCGATTCCGGTATCCAGCTCCACGAATTTCAAGTCGGTTGGAGTGACGAGCTCCCCAATCCGAATCTCGCGCCAGTCGCGACCGGCAAATGCCGAATTGACGTTACATGGCGCGGGAGGGTTATCAATGAGACTCTGGATGGCGGACTGGGTGAGAGACGGTTGTCGCCGAGCCCTCGGCGATCCAGGAGTTCCACGAAGACTTTCGCTCATGCTTTGGCGGTGCTGGTGACCGGATGCGTGAGATGAAAGTCGAAGGGATCGGTTGCCCAGGGAGGTGATCCGCGAATCTGTACTAGAGCGGGGCGATGTGATATTCGAACTACTAGAATCATTCTCCGCACTCGCGTCAACAGGGTGGTCTGTCATGGTGGAAAGTGGACTAAGAGGGGGTAAACTGAATGGAGCTGAAGGCAGATGATGCCCAACTTGCGGATTAAGGCGGGTAGGGTAAGATAGCCCTGCTGGAGGCACCGAAAGATGTAACTCAAAGAGACTTGAATCTGGAAAACAACTTCTACGGGCGAAAGTTAGGCCAAGACGCGTGCACCCTTGACAACCGGAGAAGATGGAGTTCAATCATATTCGATCGAGTCACAATCACAACCGAAGGCGGGGGAACAACTGGCGTCACGTAGCGCGGGGAGGGGAGGTGGATGGGAGCCAATCAGCGTCCCTCGGCTGGTCATACCGGCGTCATCGAATGTTTTTGAGGCCTGAGGCATCATTTGATTCCACTTGTACAGCACCTCATCATCATATCAATTGTCATAAATGCGGTGATATGCATACTGTGATGCATCCTAGCCCTCAAACCAGGCGTAGTGTGAAGAACATTCGCGCAATCACCAGCCACCCGCACGCTGTAGCAGCCCTACCAGTACATGCATCTGCCTCTTGCGGGTGACATCATCCACCAATGTCTCCACTTCGACTATAGAAAGTCCTGCAGCATACCTCCAAGATCTTTCAATTTCCGCTCTTTCATCACGGCCCGTTTGGGCCCCGCAGATGATTGAGGTGGAGCGGCTTTGAGTCTCTTGACCGGCCGGTCGGTATATCCCTTAATACGACGAAGACAAATGGGATCATAGCCAACAGCCTGATGGATCTGTTTTGAGGTCGCGCGTAAGACTTTAAGTGTCTTTTGTCCCACTTGCAGAGAGAACATAGGAGCTTCAGCAGGGAGGGATGATTGTTCTGCACCATCAATCTCCAGGGTCTTCGTGTAGATGGCATGCAAAGACTTAGGCACCTCGCCTATGTCTACAACAGCCCAGCCCTCCAGCTCAAGACCAACCGTTGCGCCAACAGGAATTACACGACAGCCATTCAGCACAAGGAATTGCAGTGCCGGTAAGTCATGAAGATAACGCAGTGCAGCAGAGGAGATCTCGGATTGATGTTGCAACATCAAGACTCGCAAGTTCGCGAGCCCCTTAGAGGTCTGTGCCAGCTCAGCCCATGACCGCACAATTCGATCATTAAGATTGACCATCGGTGCCTCGCTTTCTTCCTGAACGCCTTCAAACTGCAATGGCGTGGCAATCTCGAGCGCAACGAGATTTGGGATATTGGCCAAGCCCACGAGATCCGGGACTCTAGCATGTGTGGCAGCAAGAGTCAACGTCGCTTTCCAACTCAGCGATTCGCTTCTGACCAGACCTAAATAATCTTGCATGGCCATGAGGGGATTCTCGACTTTCATCACACGGTGCGGAGCCAGTTGGCGGAACTCCTCTGGATATGCCGTTGCGAATACTTTCCAGGCATGGCTAGTTTGTTTTTTACTTTGAACGCGAAGAAGTTAGGCTGTCATAGTTGGTTTGAGAGCATTGGCACCGCTTACCACTTGCCAAGGCAATCCCACAGGGACTTTGCAATCCGCCATGGAATAGAGACAAATAGCTCGGGTCGAAGGTCCCTCTGATCCGACAGAGCTTGCCGCATTGCTGCATGTCTCAATGAAGGTGCCCCGCGCGCATTGGCCTCCTCCCACCCTTTCCATCCTTCAGGCAGAAATGGTGTCTCATGGACCCACGATGCACCCTTTGACAAGGCCCGGGAGGGCTTCTCGAAGGACTGTAAGTAGACTTGACCACTATTCCGATCAACCACCTCATGGGGTCTTTCTCGATCTAGGAGTGGTTCTGGGATACTCTCGAAGAATTTGTCCCATCGACTTCTCTTTTTAGTTCGGGGAGGATGTGAAGGCTCAATCGCGATTATCTTTCGGGTATAAATGCGTCCAGGACTCGGATCGTGTGATGGGCATGTCATAGTGACGACTGATAATTAGGAGCTCTGCTTCAAAGTCTGCTCTGGTCATATAACATTGTGGACCGAGATGTCTCTGATCTGGAGACGCGGCGATAGACGAGCACGTGACTGTGTACTACTTATCTGTTGATGTATTGCAGATTTATCACAACAGTAACGGGTTTGACCTTTCTGCTGCTAAGAGGAAGAGACAAAGATAGATAAGGAGGATAGGTATGGAATAGGCTGCGTATGCTACGTATAATTCATCAAAATGCAACGAAGTACTCACTCAATCAAGCCGTGGCCCAGAGAGGAATCTCACCCCCGCGTCCGCCAGTCACCAAATATGATTAACTACCCAACTAGGCAACCCCACTGACCCGAACCGCGCCGCGTCCTTCCTCCACCGCGAAATGTTGTCCTCCGTACTCCGTCCTAGTAACTTACTAACCACATCTACTGTTGCCTCTCCACGGACTACACTTCGATGATACTTGCTTTTCTCCCTCTCTACATACAATCAGACGAGACACTGTTTTTCAACAGGCAGGCTATATGCACTAGCACATGCACTAGCACATGCAATAGCACTGCCTCTTCATGTTTCAGCCGGAGACGGCATCTCGCTTATCCGTAATCCGTACTATGACTGCAGTAACAATTCACAAGGCAACGAGCAGTCATGGAAGGCGATGTTGACGCATATGCATCATGCAGGAATACACGGTGGGCAGTCTTGCCAACAACTCAGGCTGACAAAATGAAGCGCTTATGTTGCCTTACCAAATCTATTCTTGCCAGGAAGTGACCGAATTTCCAACCGGCTGCATCCCTTGCAGGCCCAGTGACCAGCCATCACCTCTTCTCCGGTTCCTGCACATTCCCTGCATCTGACGAGGCCAAATGGCAAATCTGTTGGTCTGTAAGGAAAGATCGCCAGCGGTCAGCCGCTAAGCCTCGAGCTCTGATAGGGTCACAAGCCCTTGCACGCTGACTTGGGCGCCAAGCGGCAATTAATCAACGCGATTGAAACGCCTTTGGTTAGGTGTGGTTCCTCGACCGCAAAACCCCACCAGATACATTCAGCCTTATGGTCTACTCTTCTGACTGACTGGCGAAGTATGACTCAGGTTAGCTCGCCCGAGTCGAACTATCTAACGACCCACTGCCTTGTGGCTTAGGATATGACCCATCTAGCCTACCAGACCAGGTGGCTCCTCTGGCCTTATAAAAAGGCATTATCCGTGATGCATATCTGCATGTTAAGCCAAAACGAAACATTGTTTGGCCTCTATTACTTCACAGCGAAGTTCAACTAATACAGTCATAATCTTCGTGATTTTGGACGAAACACTTATTTGACAGGCATAGCATCTTCCAAGAAAGCAACGGCGCAGCCAACATGAGCTCCAATAGACAACCCAAAACCCCTTCAGTACTTCAACGAGTCGCGAAGGTCGTTCATGCATTCAAACGGGACTCAAGCATGTTGCAATACCTCTCGTCTTTTCTAACAAAGCCTTCCCCTACCACACAGATGGCAAATGAACGCCAACATACTGTGTGGCTGTTCGATAATACAGCGTACCAGGCACGAATCTCCGGCTCAACCCAACCCAATTCGTGGCGGGCAGAAATTGTTGCTTGCGTGTTCCAGAAAGATAGTAGGAAAGATCTCAGCAAACTCGTTGCTATGGTTGCAGACCTCATCGGCCTGGATGGAGAGATTGGCACAGATAAAGAGACTCGCCATCGGATAGCAGAGCGACTTCAGCCATTCTTGCATCACACGGCATCCTCGCATCTCATGATGTTAGAAACACCCCTACCGAACAATGTCACCCAAATTCATCAAATTGGGCCTACAGATGACGGTGGCATAATCTGTCAAATAGTGGAAGCAGAAAGTGGCCATCTCACAAACGGGGCCAGTATACGCTCATACCTCCGCGGCTGGGCGAGCGAGGTGTCGATGAGCACGACGTTTGCAGGTCCGCAGGGTTGGCTTGTTATTTCCGACATTGACGATACCATTAAGTACACCAAGACCTCCGAGTCAACCGGCATCCTTCGCACAACTTTCGTGGAGGAGCCAAAACCGATCGCTGGAATGCCTCGGCTTTACGCCCATCTCCAACGTGACCTTGCGCCCACATGGTTTTACCTTTCAGCTTCTCCATACAACCTGTATCCGTTCTTGCATGGCTTTATACACACCTACTTCAGCCCTGGAACCTTGATACTACGCGATACATCGTGGTTGGATGTGAGTGAGTTGGTCAAATCCTTCAGCGTCAACACCATGGAGTACAAGGTGGATCGCGCCGAGAAGATCCATGGCTGGTTTCCACAGCGACAGGTGCTTTGCATTGGCGACTCAACACAGAAGGACCCGGAGGCGTATGCCGAACTTTACAAGAGACATCCAGATTGGATTCAGGCAATCTGGATCAGAAAGGTCACGGATGTACCTCACTTGCACGAGCAGAATATGCCGGAGAGGTTCCAGTCTGCATTCGACGGAGTGCCTGGCCATATTTGGAAGGTCTTTGAGGACCCTGCGGAGTTAGAGCACGATGTGGGCGGGCTGAATAAAAGCCATGTGTTGGCAAAGTCACTGAGAGAAGACTCAGCCGATCATGAAGGATCAGGCGATTCAGTGATGTCGAACTAGCAATTGGGTGTTGACTCGTCAAAAAGGTTGCTGATATAATCATGTTTAATTTCGGCGTTACGTCAATGGCAGGAGGATGTCATAGAAACGTCAAAAGCCCATCGTGGCTGCAGGGATCGGTCATTAAAATCAGCGATCGAAACTCACTCGGCTGTGACCCATCGTTTGGTGTTTCCACGGTTCAGGTTTGCACCTCAAAGTCTTATATTCTGTCTTCGGTCTCTTGACGACACTTTATCAACTGCGCCACATCTTATCAGTTCCAGATTGTAAACTAAGGACAATTCCGACGATTACACATCGTCCACGATGTTAGAGCAAACATCTGTACCATCCACTATGAGAGCTCTGTACTTTCGTCCAGCTTCAACGGCTATCACCGACCTCACCTCTCTCTCCGCCCCGAGGGTAGACTCCTGTGTTGAATTTGATTCTGAATTTCAGACGCCGATGCCGTCTGGAAATGAATACCTGATCAAGGTGAAAACAGCAGCATTCTCTCACGATGAATTGCGGCTAGCTACTATCTTGAATCCTTCTAAATCTATACCCCAGATTCCTCTGCACTGCTTCTGCGGGACGGTTGTTGATACACCCAAACACGACCAGCGTAATCCTGGGCCCCCTAAATTCAAGGTCGGCGACGTCGTCTTTGGTCTAGTCAACTACACGCGAGACGGTGCCGCAGCGGATTATGTCGTCACTTCGGAGGACGAGATTGCATTGAAACCCCAGAATATCAGTGCTGCCGAGGCAGCCACGATCCCTCTTCCTGCCCTTACAGCGTGGCAATCGCTCTTTACGTACGCTGGTCTTGTTCCTGAGGATGTCAAGGAGATGAAACAACAATTAAGGGTCCTTGTAACGAATTCTCGGAACAGCGAAGTTGGAGCCCAGGCATTGCAGCTACTTCGGTCACGTACCCTGTTCCCCTATCGATTACCATGGGTCTGCGCAACTTGCGATGCTGAGGATCAGGAGGACTACCTGCGACTGGAGCATGGGATCGAGGAAGTTCTCTACGCTCCACTTCCTTTGCCCCAAGATTATGACCTAGGAGCCATCTTCCGCCAGAATTGCTGGGCTCCTGTAGATCTTGTCATTGACTGTGCCGGCCGTCAAATGTTCCAACAAGCGCACTCTCCGCGCGTCATCAAAGACAACGGCGCTGTAGTTACTGCAGTTGATTCTACGCCCGCCCAGAATCGAGATTCTGAGGGTAACGGCGAACCGCCCAAGAACGGAGTCTTCAGCCGCTTCGTTGCGGTCCAGCCAGATGGAAACGCACTAGAACGCATCGCTCAGTTAGTGGAAAGCGATGTGGTTCGAGGTCGCGTCGAAAGTATTCATGATATCAACCGAGGAGCTGACATGCTGGCTATGGGAGCGGCAGGCGCCGGTGGTGGTCGAAGAGGCGGAATGATGGTGATACATGTTAACTGATTTCCTTCCGCCGCTCGAGTCCTTGTCCCACGCGCCGTTATGATTTATTCCGATGATACTGTACTTTACAAGTTTTGTTTCAGCCTGGACTTAAGGCTTTGGTTATCGTCTTATCACTTGATACACATGTGTCTTCCTTTATGTATTATAGTACTACACACCTGTATTAGAGCTTACATTTACACTATGCCGTAGACATTTTTCTATCCAGGTGCAGTGTTATGAGCGGAAGCCTCGGCCTTATTCCTAAGAACAGCGGGAAATTACAGCGGAGATAGTATTTTACGACGTCAGAGCGCGTAGCCGCCAGTGACCAGCTGACCGGAGAGAGAGTCAAACATTGCGGAGATATATGTGACAGAAATCCCTTCATATAGACCTTCTATGCATGTACCTTTCGTGACCCAGGTTCCTGGAAGGCAGAACTCCACCGCTGCAGAAGACCTAAGAAGAACGGAGTTCCTGTTTCTGCAGAGCTTGTTTTCCCCATATGCCCTATACCCCCGTATGGAGTTTAACGACCTCATCTACTTCTTGCAATGAACGCACCCAAGGCAATGTTTTCCTACATGGGCTACGACTTGCGAGTAGTAGAGGTGCTTTCCCTACCGAAAAGAATGAAAGAAAACCACCTGTTCCCGGCCCTCTTGCCAATTGCCCGTTTCCTGCCCTAAATACAGTAACATATCTAAACAGGCCCCGCGAATGCTCGCACCAAAGAGCAGACAGACATGACTCGAGATGGGCAAGGGAGGGGTCTGAAACAAGAAAGACGATAGGAAGAGAGAGAGTGAGAAACAAGGATAGCAGCCCTGAACTCGATTAATCCGGCCAAAAGTACGTGTAAGAAGCATTCTCAATGAAGAAATCGAATCGGTAATAAAGTATCTCGTACAACAAGTCAATGCAACGGACCGCGTTCTCAGCACAGCAGGTTCGCAGAAAAACATCATATCACTCTGCGACAGACCCAACCCGGTACGCCGGTAATAGTATACTGCCAGAACTGGCATGGGAAAAATTGGAGAAAGAACTCGAGTCCCTAAGAGAAGGCAGTGCTGTTTTGCTTTTCTCATTCTTCGAAAAAGATAGAGGATGCAGTTGATGGTAGAAAACAATGAATAGAAAATGGGGCTGGGGGCCTATAGCAGAGGACAGGGGAGGAGGAGGGGTAGGTTGGGTTGAGTTAGGGGGCCGGGGGGCAAGGCGCGAAAGAAATCTGTTACAGTAGTGAATCGAGTCTAGTGAAAACGCTCAAACATGCTGCCACAATCTGTGCGGAAGAGAATGTCAGCGACCAATAAATGTCTGGGCCTGGCAATACGTACCTCCAACTGAAGCTCTCGATCCTTAGCCTTGTTCACCTCATCATTGATAGCCTGCGCCAGATTGGCTCCAATAGCCTGCGAGCCGCCCGGCCTCCGGCCAAAAGGCCACTGCGAATATTCGGCCAACAACTCATCCACCTGCGCGAATGCCCGTTCTCGAGCCTCGTGGCTCATTGTGACCAGCGCATTCTCCAGCACATTGGCCGCATAAGCGGCGCATACCATGGTGATCGTCCGTAGGTATCGGAATTCAGCATCCTCAGGAAGCCAGGCGTTGCCGGGAAGGATGACAGTGCGACTGCTGCAGATGTTACGAACACGACGGTGGAGGTCATCCTTGGCGCCGCCGTCAGCGACGGGGTGCGTGGCCATATCGAAGAGGAGGAAGTTGCGTTTCTCGGTTCGCAGAATGCCCTTGTCGACCAGACCCTTGGCGAGACGTTCGCGCACTTGCTTCAGCTGGTAGCCAATCTTCATCAAGTTCCATGTTTCACCTAAGCCAAGAAAAATCAGCTTCTTAATGCTATATCGGGCAAAATAGGAGCTCCATTGTACGCACCGCTCAGTAGATCAATCCAGGAGTTGACACTCATCTTCTCACTCGACTTCATTATTTTCAACGCCTCGTCCAGCAAGACCTCGCCCGTCAGCGTATCATCGATCACCTCAATCACCCGATCGGCCAGGGGGAAACGTCGCCGAGAGGAGTCTTTCTGCATGCTAATGCGACCGCGGAGGGCCAATTCGATCACGATGCATCCACGCAGGGCATACGAGATATTCTCGTTCCAGAACGAGAGGTAGCCCTACAATAGTAACAAGACCGCGGTCAGCATTTGAGACACGGCCCCCGTAGCTCAGCGCCCCACAGAGAAAGCCAAGATAAGGAAAGCAAAGGAAAGTGCCGCACCTGTTTGTCCTTCAATCCCAGTAAAAGCACCTCCTCCATCAGGGTGAGCTTGGGCTGTTTGCTGCGCTCTTCCGTCTCGCTGATGTCTCGGGGATCGAACGCGATCTTATGACCATTTTCGGCGCTGGTGAATGACGTTTCTGGCACGCGATTGTCCAACGAAGAACCATTTCGTGAAATTGGCGAGGAGACTCTGCTGTCATCGTTGTCTTCTGCGCCAGCGACTCGACCGCCACCTCTCCGGCGAGTCAAGCCCCCGGCTGAGGCCATGAGGATATATCGAAGAGTTTGGGGGGGTGGGTTGTTTTCGATGTGGGTGGGAGGTGGAAATGGGTGGGTTTGGCGGGAGCGGGGAGGGGGAGGCGAGAGATCAGAGGATTGAATGAAGGGGAGTAGGGAAGGGCGGTATGGCTGGATTGGCTCGTGGTTTGAAAGGTGGTGGTGCACACGCCAGAAATGAGGTCTATGCCGGTATCGCCTGCGACATGAACTGATTAATGAAAAGAGTCGGAGAGAGTTGAAAATTGTAACAAAGCGGATTATTTCAAAAAGGGAAGAAGAAGCCGAGATGAGAGACGGGAATCAACTATGGATTTAGGCGGGAAATGTTCCAGGGGTGAGGGGGGGGGGGAGGAGTGGAGTGGAGTGGAGTGGAGGAGGAGGAAGAAGAAGAAGAAGAAGAAGAGAGTGAGTGAGTGAGTGAGAGAGTGAGAGACAGAAAGATAAATTAGAGAGAAAGGAGCAAATGGCCGAATAAAGGAGTCACTCAGCCAAATAAGAGAGATGAAGCACCACCACTCAACAATCAAGCTACCTACTTACTCAACAAGCAACAAGTCTAATTCAACAAGGAATGACTGTAATTCAAGAGTGAGAGAAAGACAGAAACAGAGACAGAGACAGGGAGACAGACAATCGCTCAGAATTACAGGCGATTTGGCGCTTTGTCGTCGGTCCTTTTTTAGTCTTGCTTCCTCCACTGACGGTTCGGCCCTCAACGGTTTGGACCAAGCTGTTTCTGCTTCCATGATACTTTGTATGCTATCATACTGCGCTCGATTGAAATTCAATTCACAGACCAGTCCCACAGCATCCTCAGAATGTGCCTTGCCATCTCAATCATCGCGCCCCATCACAATGGTTACTCCCACATTCTCCCTATCGGAGCACCCCTGTTCACTCCACATGATCTCCCCCGGATCGCATCATATCAGATCAAATTCACCTGTCCAGCATGACTTTTCGCTTGTCTACCGTCTGTGGTAGTCTTTGCTCAACATATACACCTTTGATTCCTGCTTCATTGACTGCTACACAACTCCGCTCAATAGCAACCCAGTGATCAGCTACACGCGCTACGCCATCACGACACAACGAGCTTCGAATCAGTCCGAACAGCATTCCCAAGGGTGATATACACGATATAGTAGAGTTAAAAAGAGCAGAGGCATGGATCAGCATGCAGGGTAGCATCCACAGCTACCCGGATCCTCCGCAGTGGCGAGTCCCACATAGATACACGCCATTATTCCCTTTCAACTTCTCTATTCTAATCCTCCAACAACTTCCCCATTCCTCATTACACGGGGGTTTAGTGGGCTGCAGTCAGGTCAGTCGCGAACTATGAACCCAGGAAGAACCAAATGAGAAGAGGGGTAACTCACCATCGGGCTGAGCAAGGATGTACTCAACAGCCTTGTCGACTATAGCGGAGTGCAATCAGTTTTTACCTCCATTCACTTAACGTCAAGCGATCTCTGTAGTAACTTACCGCTGTGGATGGAGTCGGCCTCCTTGTCGGGGATCTCAATGCTGAATTCCTGCAGGTAGATCAGTCAACGCACCATCGTGGCGGGCTAAGTGTGACAGCCGTACCTCCTCGATGGCCATGACGACCTCAACGGTATCCAAGCTGTCCAGACCGAGATCGTTTGTGAAGTGAGAAGCGCCGTTGATCTGATGAAATATCGTTTAGAACAAGAACCTGTTGCCGAGGGATTTTCGCCCGAAGTCGGAGCACAGCGGGTATCGATTCGAATCACTAACCTTGCTGGCGTCGGAGACCTGTAGCGCATGAGAATAGAAACGTCAGTTCACTGCAGTCATTGTTGTCGACAATTTAAGGCCACAGGCAAATCCAAGGCCCTGGAATATGACTCGACGCACCTTGTCGAAGTTCTTCAACAGGTTGACTATGCGGCCCTCAACCTCGTCCTTGTTCAGACCGGCAGGAGCGGAGTAGAGACGGACACCCTGGTAGGCGAAGCGAGGAGCGAATTGAGCTGGGCGGGCGACAGGAGAGCTACGGATCTGGAAGGGAGCCGAAGTCTTGACGGCACGAGGCACAGAGGCCCGGAGGGAGCGGACGACAGCGGAGCGGAACATAGTGAAGTGTGCAAAAGGAGGGATTAAAAAGACCCGTTTGATAAGAATTAGCAGGGAGATGTGGGGGAAGGGGTGGGAGATTGGGGGAAGTAGTAGAGACGGCCAGATGGAATGAAGCTGGGTTTGTGACTTTGGAAGTTGGATGCAGTCGGTTTCTGTTCTGTTGCGGCTCGGAGCAGCAAAATCCTGCCGCCGGCCAATCAACGGGAGGGAGAAAGCCATGACCTAAGCCCGATTCAATGAGTGCAAACTGAACCAAAACGAAACCTGGGACTTGCTAGACACTTGAACTCTGCCTCAACTGATTCCACCCCCTCCACTCCAATTGATCCTCTTCCACCCCCCCTCCCTCCTCCCTCCACTTACTCTATCCCCAGGCTCATTGCTTCACAATGGCTTCCACTAAGTCGGTCGCCAGACTTCTGGCCTACTCCCGCCCATCGCCCTTCGCTCTTCGTCCTACCCCCATCGGCTCCATCGCAAACTTCTCCTCCTCAGTCACCCGCGCTGCCACACCAGCTGGTCCTCCTCAACCGGGCTTCCGCTTGCCTCCTCCGCAAAGATGGGATCAAGCCGAAGAATCTGCCCTCAACAAGGCCACCAAGTACTTCCTCATGGCTGAGTTGATGCGCGGCATGTACGTCGTGCTGGAGCAGTTCTTCAGACCTCCGTAGGTGCCACCCTGCCTTCGCAAGCTTCCCGCCAGACCGAACCTCGACGATGGGCGACTCAAGCCTTCTCGTAACCTCTCATTTTATACATCCTTCACGCCCACCATGTCTTTGCGCTTCCTTTCTTGAAAGGACCACCTCCGTGTATCCGAATCATCAGCTAACGCGAAGAAACCTCGACAGTTACACCATCATGTACCCTTTCGAGAAGGGTCCTATTTCCCCTCGTTTCCGCGGCGAGCACGCTCTGCGTCGTTATCCCACCGGTGAAGAGCGCTGCATTGCCTGCAAGCTCTGTGAGGCCATTTGCCCGGCCCAGGCTATCACCATCGAAGCCGAGGAGCGTGAAGACGGAAGCCGTCGAACGACCCGCTATGATATCGACATGACCAAGTGCATCTACTGTGGCTACTGCCAGGAGAGTTGTCCCGTCGACGCTATTGTTGAGAGTGAGTCGCTTTTTAATTACCCTTGAGTGTACCTCTTAAGGGCGCGCGATTGACCGTACATCGATTGTAGCTTCCAACGCTGAGTACGCCACTGAGACCCGTGAGGAGCTGCTGTACAACAAGGAGAAGCTCCTTGCCAATGGCGACAAGTGGGAGCCCGAGATTGCTGCTGCCGCTAGAGCCGACGCTCCTTACCGCTAAGCCGCATTCTGCTCGAAGCCGATTCAAAACAGCATTTGATAACATGCGGAGTTGATTCTTGACACGAAAGTAAATGCTCCGCTTGTCGTACTGTTGGGAAGGACAAAGCAACAAAAAGGGGAAAATATTTACTTCGAAGAATGCGGGAGAGCTGGGCGATCTCTCATCATACTGACCGCGACTCGGCCGCCCTGCCCTTCCACTTCTCACACCTTGTACATAAACTAACGCTCGCAACCCTATCACAACCCGATGTTTTCTCTGTATTTGTCGGGCTCGCTTCCAGAGGAGTGTCCTCTGCAGGTGCCCGGATTCCGGCCCGCTCTGGTTTTGTCTGCTATCGTGTCTCCGGTATTGAAGGGGTGTATTATTTTTCTACATGTCTCGATTTTATATGTCTGGTCTGTCAATGTCGCGGTTTCTGGTTCTTTCCCTAAGAGTTTCAATTTGAGGAAGTGTCTATCTCCTTTGTTTTAGATGGCAGAAGAAACCACACGGAAGATACAGACTTCTGAGCGAGTTTAGTGTTTCGTTTATAAGGTAACAAATTTTATCAAATTTGTATCAACAGATGTTTGAAAAGTAGACGCTGCCTATGCACATATGCACATAATTTGGGGGAACACAAAGATGAACAAAAGAATCAGAGGAAGTAAAAAAAAGGACCCCCCCAGTAGGTTAAGTAAGAACTCCCCAAACACCATATCTCCAGATGATGACCCGCACTCAAACATCACACCCATTCCTTTAGTAAACTTTTAAGAGCACACACACAGATGCTTGTTCTTTTTTATTTCGGTTCTGGTGAATCGTCCTTGCTCCTCCGTCTCTTGGTTCAAGTCGAGTTTGTAGATTGGAGCGTAGGTATGGTAGGTAGTGGGAGTGGTAGTGGGTAATGTGCAGTTGATATTACACGTTTTGAGAAAGAGACAATGGGATCACCGAGGATCGTCACCGCTCAGTCACGGGAGGAATGGAGGAAGGAAGAAGGAAGGAAAAGAGACGGAGATGGCAAGAGAATGAGAAGGAGGGTTCGGCCTTTTCTGTTTCTTTCTGCTTATTTCTTCTTCCCACCGCCAGACTTAGCCTTGAAGCTACCTTCAAAACCCGGTCTGGCCTTCTTCTTGCCTCCTCCAGCGGCGGGCTTCTTCTTGCCCTTGTTGCCGCCCTTCTCCTCGCGACGCTTGCGGAGGTTCTCCTCACGCTTCTGCTGCCGCACTTCCTTGCCGTGCTTGACGGCGTCGATGCGCTCCTTCCACTCACGCTCGGACTTCTTCTTGGCCGTCTCCTTGCGCTTGAGCGCCTTCTTCAGGAGCGAGGTATCGTCGCGGACTCGCTCGCCGTGGGCACGCTTCTTCGCGTTCAGCCACATGTCCTTCTCCTCGATATCGGCGCGCCGCTCGTCGTCCATGGAGGCCAGCCGGGCCTTCTTGGCCTCAACGGCCTTGAGAGCCGCAGCTGGGTCGTTGGCAGCGTGTCGCTTGGGTCCATCGCGAACGCTCTGCAAGGTGGGGTCGGCGTGCTGGCCATCACCGAAGACGACACGACCGAAGGAGTAGTTGGCGTTGCTGGAGGAGACCGAATCTGCGGGAGAGCGAGGGGAGGCGAGAAGGGAACCGGATCCACCAGGAGAGAAGCGACGGGCCATGGCCTCGTCCTTCAGCCGCTGCTCCTCCTCGCGAGCCTTTTGACGCAACTCCTTCTTGTGCGCTTTGCGCTGCTCGGCTTTTTGTCGGCGCGCTTCGATAAGCTCTTGACGATTGCGGGCGGGCTTGCCGTTCAGTCCATCGGCGTGACGAGCAGCTCGGAGCTCGTCCAGGCGCTTCTGGAGCCGTTGCTTCAGCTGTTCGGAAGTAGGCTTGAGGGGCTTGAGGTCATTGGAGGTGGAGGTCTTGGAGGCATCGGTCGAGGGGGCGATAGAGGAGATGGAAGAGCTGCCGGACTGTGGGTTGGACGCATCAAAGCCAGACGAATTGGGAGTTGATGCAGAAGAGGACTCGGTTTCATCTTGTTCAGCATCAAACTCGAGCGAGAGTCCCTCCTCGGGAACTACTCCCTCAGCGCTGTCGCTTTCGTCGCTGTCCTTGGCCTCGATTTCGTTGTCAACATTTTCGCTGGCGGAAGCAGGCTTGGACCCTTGCGCAACTTCGGCAGCAGAAGTCTGGTCCTGTTTAGATTGTTGCTCAGCCTCCTTCGCTTTCCTGGAGGCTTCCTTGGCCTTCTTCTTCTCCTTCTGGCTGGCCTTCTTCTGCGCCTTCTTGTCTTCCTTCAGTTTTCTGCGTGCTTCGGCGGCTTCATTCGACTTCTGCGCACCCGCATCTGCTGGACCTTCAATCTGTTTTTGCTTCTTGGCCTTCGCGTCACCTCGTTTCAGACCTTCTCTGGGCTTCTCAGAACCAAGTTCTCCGTCCTCAGACGCGGCTTCTTCCCCAGCTTGCTCTTCGTTCCGCTTGCGCTTACGTGCATTCTCATCCATCACATCCTTGGCCGTCTTGACATTGTCAGGATCCAACTTGGCCCGCTTCGCTTCGCGAGCTTGCTCCTTGGTCTGCTTCTTCTTCTGCCATTGGTCCTAATGAAGCGATTGCGATCAGCCATGTCCTAAGCAGCGGCTGGATGGTACTGGAGACAAGGGTTTGAAGAGGAGACGAGACGAGACAAAGGACAAGAAGGGTTTTTTGCTTGGAGCAGGAAAGGAGAAACCTAGGTGAGCACGTACACTGCCATCTTCACCATAGTAATTTTTTGCCGGAATTAGCGACAACAGACCATCGAAGGCCTGGGCGTGGTCTCGCAGCCGTTCCTGATGAGAGAAAAAAAATGTCAATCTCGGGATCAGGCACACAGCAATGCACGGGGCAACACACCTCGATGTCATCCATTTCTGCGAGAGACAAAAACCAGCAGGCTGTCCAGAGGTCTCCAATTAAAGACTGTTTTTTAAAGAAAAAAAAAACAATAAAAAAAAAGCTCAAGGAGCAATACCAGCGCCGGATCTGGAGGTTGATGGGTCAAGGTAGCGAGAGCCGCGATACCATGAAAAAATTGGGGTGGGCAGGTTGAAATCTTGGCATTTCTGGTTCTCCGCTCGGCTGTTCACCGCCCGCGCACACAGATAATATTCGGCTTATCACCGCCAACTGGTTATGTAAAGTCGGTGATTACGAGGGTTGGACACGTGCCTCGTCCTGTCAATAATACGGAGTACTATGTTGATGGCAGATAACAGGGGGTCCGTCTCTCAGCTTGCGATACTTGCCGGTTTACGTTCACTTCATGTGTTTACAGGCTTTCTACCTAAGTCGCATATACCAGTTATATATCACACCTGCACCACCAGTTCTTTCACATTCAGAGACTCAGATCCGGATACCCTGTCATCTAACCCAAAACACCCCTCACTCTCAATCCTTGTTACATTGTCGAAAGGCCACGGAATCGTCCAGATCAGATCAAACCTAAACAAAATCTCGTGGTATCAGCCACCGACTTGTTCAATACGAGGCACGGATGGGTCCCTCTTTCTCTACGAGTTGACGAGTTACTAGACATAACACTCCAACACTCACCGCTCTTCAGGGTAGACGGGTGGATTCTCCGAGCCCAAGGCGCTGACGATCTCGGCCATCTTGCCATGTCGCCATGAGATCAAAATGTTCCCGAGTCCCCGGTAGCCACGGATCTTCCGCGCCACACACCTCACGTGGTTACGCTTGCATGATGTGTCGATGGGCAGAGAGAGGTCGGCAGCGAGAGGGAGGACGGTCTCGTAGGAACGACGGTGTTGGCCAACTGTAGTATTCTGGATCAACAACGCCTGTGCCAACCAATAGGTAGGGGAGCTGCGGTTTATCAGAAGCTTACGGAGATTGATGTGCGGTGCCATGATATGTCCGATATTATAGGGTGAATTCGCGCCGAAGACGGAACGAAGACATTCGGCGCGTTTGAAGCCATCGGCGTTGAGACCGCTGTCGCTGGGGTCCGGAGGCTTCTCCCCATGACGGATCAGGTAGACGGTTGGCTTTCCGGGGTGGGAGGGGATGGAGGCACCCAGGGTAGGAGTGATTGCGGTGAGGAGGTAGAGAATGTGGACCAGAGAGAGGGCGATCATCCTGGTGTGCAAACAGAGCTTTGAGTAGCTGTGATACAGCTACTGGTTCATTCTAGTGTATATTGTTCCTGTCTTTCGAGACTATGATGTCTGCTCACCGGTAGGTAGACTGTCGCTCCGCATCGCAACGTTACCAGAGCGTCGGTGGACCTCAAGACTTAAGGGTCTGTATATGTACATCGAGCGAGCGATCAAGGAGAAGAGTGTGGGAAACCCGTGGAGATTTAAAGATCTAAGTATGGAGCAAGTGATAGCTGAGGGTTCGTCGATCATCAAACCAAACACCAACGATCGACGCAATGCATGGGCAGGGCTGCAGGCGATCAGGCTGCTGTTGCTATGAGCGAATTTTGTTGTGCGACTGACATGAGATAGAGAACCCACTGAAGATAGGCGGGCGCTCTTGATCTCGTGCACGAAGCTAGCATTGGCGTTGATTGGGACAACAGCTCGGTCAGGCGGCCGGTCCACATAGAGTTCAGCTGAGGTTTTTGTTTGCCTCGGGGGTCTCATCCTTGTATGATCCTGAAAATCGGACCTTTAGATCCAGTCAGATGATGATGATGATGTGAGCCGGGCCTGTTTCCTTATTCCTGCCTATCTCGGGGTCCTGAATGAGGACCGTGGGGAAGCTTCAATGGTAGATGTCCGATCTTGATCTTCGGGGGGTATATGCTCCTTGAGAAAGCTAAATGAGCAAAAAGTATATAACATGGCTACTGCCAACCAAGGGTTGTTATCCTGGCGATTTGCCTTGCAGCGCTGACGCTGCTGAAGCATAGTACACGGTAGTTAATTTATCTGAGATGTACTCAGTACTGTACCCGGATGATGCAAGGTAGCCCTGAGGCTGACCCATGATACTAAGTTGTAGTTAATCCTGTGCCTAGCGGAAACCCCCACTCTCCATTAAGCGGACGCCCAGGCGAACTCGCTGGTGCTCTGTGCAAGTGATTGATTAAGCTTTCAGCTTGCGCCGAACATGGGAAAACTCTGTATACACAATACAGTCAAGCTCGAGTTGACGGCCGAGTCCTTGGGATGGATTCACTCCTTTGGGAGCGATAACCGCTCACGATGGGCTTGAGACTGGGTTTATCTATCCCTGTTCTTTGGCCAGGGAGACGAGAGCAGTTCGTCCGAGAGTCCAGGCCACTGCAGATAGATTGGCAACCAGCTGCCACAGCGACAGGTATCGTGGATGTGTGTACAGTGGTACTCTGTACATGCTGTAGTTGTATTAGGTAGTGAATGATGAAGTTGCCTCGGATTCTGAACCGACAGCACGGCCTTACCAATAGGAGTGAGTTACAATCTCCCCTACCATTGACTTATCAGCACGCTGATTTCTAGAAGCACCTTCCACAAGGCTTGGTCGGCTCTTTCCCTCTGCTCGGCTCTAAGCCCCAATCTCCACGGTCTACAGAGATTCAAGTAGACAGACCCGAGGGGAATCAGCCACACTAGCCTCTCTAACGAATTAACTGGTCTGTCCAACGCTGTTCTCCTCCACTTTTCCGCACGTATTCACTGCCCCCTTTGGCTTACGTATACTCAAGTATCTCAGCGGAAAAGGTCAGCTCGAACCAAAATTTCCGCTAGTGTATGAAGAAACATGTCTGCCTGCTTAGGGGGCGCGTATCGAAGAACGGAGGCTCCGGTGTACTTATGATTTTGTGAACCCTTAGAGTAAAAAATAGGACTTGGAGTTTTCCGCCTGGGTCGTTCCAAAGAGCTGCAACAGGCGCCAGATTGCAAGAAGCATCTAATTTCATCTAGCCGAAGATCCGGAGTTGCGATGGAACTAGCCAAGTGTACATAATTTAGCTTGTGCTCCTCTCAATAATTCGACCGGAATGAGAGCACGAAGTGGCTAGTAATTACTGTAGCCTTGGCATTACAGCCTCGGGGTAATCGGCATCACGCCATTAACTGGTACCGCTGCGGCCAAGCCCATCTTGAGGCTGTGCCAAGTAGTATTGCGCCACAGTGACTTCATATGAAGTCACGGTAACTTACTTATGCAGAAGTTGATGCCTGATTATGTTTCTGTATTTGGCTGTTCAGATTCGGATGATGGTTGAACAAGGTGACCAAGGATCATCATTGCCCCCATGACGCATTCAAGTAAAGTGCATGCTGAATAGGTGTATACCTACATTATGTACAGTACATATGTTTGTAGCTTGGGGGTTGTACCTTCACCTGCCGAGGAGAGAGGCTGAATCTGTAAAGTAAATGGTCAAGAGCACGCATTGGTTATCGGTCTCAGCCCTGTGCCCAAGAAAGCACATGGCTACAAACGCGCACAGCCACTTCGCACCGCATCGTGGCGGGGAGTCATCTGTTCGGATCACCACTTTGTGAGCAAACTTCTGGGCATCTCTCGCAGCCGACTGAAGTAATGCCCTGGAAGGTGCGCTTACCGGCTCGAGATCGAGTAGCCAGGAGCAATGGGGCCAGTACTGTCCCGCAGTGGTTTTTTTACATAGTGACAGCAGTGTGGCTCAGCTATACGCAGAAGTAAGATTGACATGTTTTGCCTAGTAAATCTCGCCGGACTTGGCGGGATTACATGGTGGGGCTCGTCCCCAGCAATTCCCAGACGAGGGGCTGGAGGGGCCAAAGAAACCCGACTGCACCTGCTCAGCCCTGTAGTGCCAGATCAGCTTATCAAGTGGCCAAAATCTCTCACTATAAAACGCTAAGGTGCCCCCTCCCCCCTCGTTCCATCATCCATCTTTCATCTTAGTACCTCCACAACATACTACTCTTACATCACACTTTATTACCTGAACCTCTCTTCGTCTCACCTCCATCGAGAAATTCCACATCACCATCATGTCCGGCTACGATCAGTACAACCAGGGCCAACAGGGCGGCTACTACGGCCACCAGCAGGGCGGTTACCAACAGGGTGGCTACCAGCAAGGCGGCTATCCTTCCCAGCAGGGCTATGGCCAGCAGGGCGGCTACGACCAGTACAACCAGCACAGCCAGCAGCACGGTAGCCAGGGTGGCTCTGCCAGCGACTACTATGGCTCTAGCGGCCAGCAGTCCCAATACGGTGGTGAGGGCCAGTACGGCCAGCAACAACAATATGGCCAGCACGGTCAGCAGCAGTACGGCCAGGACCAGCGTGGAGAGTATGTTCACCCTCATCGAATCACCTTGTTCTTAACAAGCAAGAATGATGACTGACTCGTTTCCTCCTCGTCTAGGTACAACCAGCAGGGTGCCCCCGGCGGCGCCCAGGAAGGTGAACGTGGCCTCGGTGGTGCCCTCGCCGGTGGTCTCGCGGGAGGCTTTGCCGGTCACAAGGCGGATCACGGGATCCTCGGAACCATCGGTGGAGCCATCATCGGAAGTATCGCTGAGGACGCCATCAAGAAGCACCGTCACAAGGAAGAGGAGCAGCAACAGTACGGCTACCCTCCCCACGGTGGCCCCGGTGGCCCCGGTGGCCCCCCTCCTCCCGGCTCTCACCACGGTGGCGGTGGCAGCATGATGGACCAGTTCGGCAGCTTCTTCAAGAAATAGACGGCTTTCCTCTCCGTGTCTGTTCTTGATGTCATGACCGTGCCTCAGTCCATGTGATTAAGCCTTTTCTTCCAATTATTTTGACTTTTTTTATCCAATTGTTACGGCTGGCCGGGGTATGGGAAATGAATAATAGTCTTTTTCTTCTCCAACTCTTTCTTGCGCTTAAGATTGCTCTGGCTTTCCTGAGACCGTCCTGAAGTTATTCCTACGGATGGAAATACATGATGATACCGACACTGGGTTTCCAGTATAACTAGCTTGGTAGTGGCTGCCCTACGAAGAATTATATTGTGTTTAAACTCATAACCTGGGGAATGCCTGCCTTGGTAGGAACGTAATTGATATATTAGTTTTATTTTTGTAATACCATGGTTCATATATAGAGGATGAGACATACAAACGGAGGATATGTTGCATAACACTTGAGGGATGACATGGCGGGGCAGTTTCCACAACCTACTACCGAGTCCCGACAACCCGACCCCGCCTTCACACTTCCATGCAGGTCGGGACGGTGAAGTAATGTAGTCGAATTATTGGTCAACTTGGCCTTGACTCGAGTCATGAGGTGATGGGCTGTGTCTCGACAAATTGGAGGATTTGCAACTGTATTAAACTTTCGAAAAAGCCAGGGGCAAATCTATGGCACAGTGCTTCGGCACATCCGGCGTCTCTCCGTTCTGCGCCATCCAGCGCATCGACTTCCCTGCGTCCGACCTTGACTCAAAAGCATAGCTTGCAGACTCAGCACAGACTCTACAGAGGGGAACCCGTAGAAGGCGATCGCCTTCAAACATTCAATCAGCTTATCGTCTTCGACCGCGTGAAAGGTCGTCTCGCCGTCGAGCTTGTGCTGGTAGATGCCTCGGACCTGATCATCGGTGCCATCAAAGGGCAGAACCTCCCGGTAGAACCGAGAGTACTCTCCGTTGATAATCTCGCCGGCGAGGATACCGGTCTCCGGATTGTCTCTTCGCGCCTGGCGCAAGATGCACTTGAGCACTTCTTCCAGGCGGGCCCAAGGAATGTCCACGAGATCGAGCTCGTTGGGACCCACGATGTAAAACACGGCGGTCGTTGCCGTATCACTCTTACCAACTAGGTACTCAATCTGCCTTGAATGATCAAGTATACAGCCCAGAGCTTGTCCGTCCATGGGTGCGAAGCCGCCGGGGCGTAGGGAGAGCTCACCTGGTCCAATCATCGTGGAGTTTGTTCAACCAAACTGAGTGAGTTGCCAATTGAGAGTAGGCTCAATCAAGGTATCTTATATAGTGTCACCATCGTGTGTTCACTTCGATGAGAGATCCCCAATTGGTAAGGCATGGCAGATCTATAGTATGTAGATTGTCTGTCAAGGTCTTGGAACAATCACCAAGACCTTTGTCTTCGGAGCTCTTTGACCGCATCAAGGTAGTAAGAGCTGTGCTTTGTTGCTGGATTCCGTCAAAGATACTTCCAACTTCCTCGAGCATAGTAACGAGAGTATAATTCCGTGATCAGGGATTGCCCTTGTTGACCGTCTTTGTCTCAGTCGAAGTTTCAACAATCTTGTACGAGCCTCGTGCAGAGTCAATACCTGCCTGTTAATCTGTACTTTCCGTGTGTTTGAAGATGAGCAAAGGCGTCTGCCAAGGTTGGCTTCCGACGCTGTGCTTTTATGGCAGTTGAGCAGAGTCAAGTAAGGAAAGCCTTCATGGTATACTCCGTACAGAGCAGTGGATTGATCATAGATCGGAAATGATTGCGACTGGCCTGGCCCGAAGTGGCCTAGCCTATAAATCCCTTATGCCTGAGGCCCCAAAGTGTGCGGCCAAGCCCGATCAAAAGTTCGAGCGGAAAGATTCCCTTCAACATTGCGAAGGGAACAACTACTCCGGACCCTACACCCCACACCATGATTGTCCGGCAATGTCTGCGGCAAAGTGAGTTATTATTGCCCTCAGCAGGCTCTTCATTTTGGCTTCGTTATAACTGACAGTTTGTTTCTTGCAGGCCGCCAGCTTCGTGCGCTCAACTGCCAATCGCGCGTCTGGGCCCGATTCTCCTCGACCGAGACGATTGTCGACACCCCGGCGCAGCAGCCCAACGTTGTGACTGCGACTCCAATCGAGGAACCCACACCATCTAGGAGGCAGGCAGGCGGAGAATTTGAAATCGAGAAGGTTACCTGGAACAAGGGCCTAGCACAAAGTCAGTGCACAATCAATCTTGAGTAGGCCCCCGTTACCGAGCCTGAATGGGAATCACTAACCACTTTCTTCTCTTTTGAGTAGAAGCTGACTTCCGCCGGCTGGGAACCACCTTGCATGCCTTCTACAATCCTGCAAAACTAATTCAAGACCCTTACCATTCTTCCGACATCACCCTCGAACTGCTCCTTGCCAACCAGACCCACCTCGGACACTCGACATCCCGCTGGAACCCGCAAAACTCCCGCTACATCTTCGGTATCCGCGATGGCATCCACATCATCTCCCTTGACGTGACCGCTGCGTATCTGCGCCGTGCGGCCAAGGTTGTCGAGGAGGTCGCCGCCCGCGGTGGCTTGATCCTGTTCGCCGGGACCAGAAAGGGTCAGAAGCAGATGGTGGTGCGGGCCGCCGAGCTGGCCGGGGGGTATCACCTCTTTGAGCGATGGATCGCTGGCGGTCTGACCAACGGCAAAGTGATCCTGGGTCGTGGCGAGACCAAGGTGGTCAATCTCCTCGACGAGGAGCTGCACGAGTTCAGAGATGTGGCTGCCAGTCGGCCCGCCCTCAAGCCGGACCTGGTTGTCTGCTTGAACCCCCTGGAGAACACGGTTCTTCTGCACGAGTGCGGCCTCAACAACGTTCCGACCATCGGTGTCATCGACACGGATGCGGACCCCACCCGCGTCACCTACCCTATTCCTGCGAACGATGACAGCCTGCGTGCCGTCAGCCTTATTGCGGGTATCCTGGGACGAGCCGGAGAGGATGGTCAACGGAGACGAGCAGAGCTCGCCAAGCAAGGCAAAACCCTCTATAAGCGTCTCCAAGCAAAAGATCTCGGGCTCCGCTCTCTCAGAACGGAGGCAAAGGACGAGGAGAATGTGTCCGCAGAGGAGCAGTAGCTGGAGGAGGAGGAGGAGTGACTACGAAGAATTGGCGCTATGTAATTCTCTTTTTGATATCGTTTGTCTACCCGTTACTGGGTTTGTACTGTATAGGGCATGTAGAGCTTTTTCTTGTTTTGCCTCTGGTGTTCAGAACATGTATCAATAAATATCATCAAATCATATGTTTTGAGGTCTTACAATGGGTGAATTCCGGTTCACCCGGATGGATTTTGTTCCTGATATTACATCGATTATGATTCTTGGCTTCACTAGGTCCTGAGGAATTGGACTCGAATTGCAGTCAGTCACCTGGATGATATGTTGCACTTGCAGTACTATAGAATTATTGTAATCTCAGGTGTACCTATTATCTCCTTGTGCTTCTCTAGATGTACTAGTTCTAGTATTAACCCACGACAGCGTACGGCGTGCAACCAACAGCCATGGATGGAATATCGGCTAGCGACATTGAGGTGTCCAATGATGATTTGATTTCCCACTCTGGTATCTCTCACCAGGTCAAAGTCAATAAACAATAGCTGTCAACCTCAAAACGAAGCCCTACCGTCCAAACTCTCCCTCGATCTCAGCGATTATGACCTCTCATATCAAACCGCCCGTATGCGGAATCTTTCACGAACCAGCGAAGAAACCCCCCATGCAGGGACTTAACCAGTAGAGTGCTTTTTCTAACTTTTGCATACCCAGCAACTACCGTCCCGTCTTCATGCACCCGATCAATAATCTCATGCCGCATGAGAGGATCTGATTGGCAGCGCACCTCCGAACGAGGTGTTTGTGGCGGTGATAGTGTGATGCATGGAGCCCTGTTCTTCTTCTTCTCTTTGCATGGGGGAGTGCACCCATCATTCCTGTCGACTCCCGTGTTCCAATTCCACCTGGATCCAACCCATTTCGGACCGGATATCGGTAGGTAGACTAGGGGGAGGGCAAGAGGAAAGGGAGAGTTGGGTTTCTGATATATCCAGACCATTGTCTTTCCTGTTTCAGAGGGGATGGGCTCTATAAAATCTAGCTGAAGTAACCTAACCTACACTATTCATCCACGCTTCTCAACCATCCCATTCTTCTCCCCTTCGTGCTGAACTTACGAGGTTACACCACCTAATTCCCCAGAAAGAACAGAGATAGAACCATCAAAATGCATCTCCAAGCCCTCCTCCCTCTTCTCCTCACCTCCGCCTCCCTCGTCGCCGCATTGCCAAATGCTGCTGCTGCTGCCGCCGCCCCGGCCGCCACGACAGGCGACTCCAGCTCCAGCTCGGGGGATACTGCGCAGTGCGCGAAGAGGTATGCATAACTGATTCTCGCTTGCGAAACCTTTCCACACCTTCCTCATCTGCACCTCGTTGAAAAAGCAGAAAAAGCTAATCAAGACTGCATAATACAGCATCCTCGACGCATGCCTGAAACAACTCCAACCGCAGATGAGCGCCTGCGGCCAGAATGACTGGAGCTGTCTGTGTACGCAGAGTCAGAATGTCTTGACGTATGTTTCTTTCTTTCTTTCTTTCTTTCTTTCTTTCTTTCTTTCTTTCTTTCTTTCTTTCTTTCTTTCTTTCTCCCTCCCAAGTTGTCTTGTTATTTGGGGTCGTATGAGTTGGGTGGGTGGTTGTATATCATCCCCACATCTACGCACTAACCTTGGTGATATATATACTTTTACTCCTTGACTCTGACCCCAACACCGAGACACACACACACAAACCACACCAGTAACCATAACTGACCCCAAAAAAGATGCTACAGCAACTGCCCCTCCGACCCAGGCCGCTACACCGTCTCGCAGCAGGAAGTCTCCTACTGCAACGCGGCACAAGCAAACTCCCTGCTCTACTCGACTTCTACCAAGGTGACCAAGACCGCGTCGGCAACCAAAACGATCGCCACCGCCACGACCACCGCGTACGCTAAGTCGACGGCGGCGTCGGCGACGGCCACGTCGGTCAAGTCCTCCGGGGCGGCGGCTGGGACTGCCGGGTTGGAGCTGGGGCTGGGAGTTGCGGCTGTCGTTCTGGGAGTTTGGGGGATCTAGATTGGGAAAGGTGGGGGAAAGAGTCGTGTATGGTGAGGAGGGACTAGATATAATCACGAGGCTTTGCATGGGTGATGGACGGTGGATGAATTGTATGTACTATGCATGATATGGTATTATGTTATGTTCGAATTTATCAGCTCTGAAATATATCAAACGAGGAATGGGGTATCGAATCAATGCAACTTCACAGAAACAAGAAGAAATCAACATGCAAGCTCATACTTCGTGACTCCCCAGTAAGATCGCAGCCTCTTGTAAGAGGATGTGAACACCTCTCTCAGCCATCTTCGTCCCGTCCACACGGCCGTCGACAGCGCCCCTGTGGCACAGATACCCACCAGCGTCCATTGGAAGACTCCCTCGGAGAAAATGGAGAGGGAGGATTTGATGGCCTCGGCTGTATCCTGTAGTTTCGGATCGTCAGCTTTGCAATGGAATGTAGAAGATGGAACAAGCGTACCCATGTCTCATACGCCTCAAACACCCTCGTCGCCCCCAGGTGATTGCCCTCAAAGTCCACTGCCACCAGTCGGAAGTAACCCTCTCCCACCAGCTCGACCGTCGTCTCGAACCCTTCCTTGGGGTCGTACTGAACGCTCTCAAACGCATCTTCCGGAACACTGCCATTGCTGGCCCGCTGCAACACCCAGCCCGCGACATCCGTCGCCCCGTTCCAACTCACATACGCCGCGCGCCCCGTGTCGTCGACCTCAACGTCCGGTGGATTCCGCGGTCGGCCGATCCAGTGGGACTTTTGCGCACGGTACGACTTCGTCCACCCAAACCAGAAGAATATCCGGGGTCCCCAGTGGAAATCGCAGAGAAGATCCCCGTCAACGCTGAACTCGCTGTATGCGGACGATTTTCCCCAGCCGATAAACACATTTGCGGTCCGCGGGAGCACTTGCAGGCTGCCCTGGGAGTGACTGCTCAAACGACCGGGGCTTTCATAGCGATGGAGGGTATCGGCGGTCCAGTTGGCGAAGTCCAGCTCAATCATGAGACCCCGGGAGTGGTCGCAGGTGTATCCGCGCTCCCAGGCTGCGTTGTCGAGCAAGGTAAGCTCATTGTCCGAGTGCCAGCGCGCGTCATGCTGCCAGGTGAAACCCGTGGCCGAGCCATCGGATGAGATGTCGGTGAAAGAGTTGCGCTTCCCGCCCAGCACCCATAGAATTTCCCCTGTCGAGCCGATGCAGGTGATCGTGTGCGTGTAGCGTGACGACACTAGATAGCTTCCGTCCCGGGGATGCTTGTCGACGCTGTCGATATGGAAGTAATCGTAGGCATCCTGTGGAGAGGGCGAGGAGCCCTTGTTGGCAAGTGGGAGGCGAGATTCGTCGATAGCATAGTGGTCGCTCGCGCGCCACTCGAAGAGTAGCTCGCCTGTCTCAATATCGATCTCCTGGAACAGACTGTCGTAAATCCAGCCGTCTTTGGGCCCGTCGAGCGCGCTCAGATCTGCCTGGCGGATGTCGTAGATGGTGAGGAGTGCCGTCCCTTGGTCGGTGACTCGGAACTCATGCACATCGCCTTGATGGCCGTTGGCGGCGGCGACGATGTGGACGACCTCGTAGGAGGAATTGAGCTGTTTCAAGTGGGAGATGCGAAATTTAGCTGATGGTCAGATATCAGGGCATCTGCTGGCATGGCTCACCATGTAATACTGTCCCATGCCTCGCGTGCCGTCGAACTCGCCGGCCCAGAAGGTGAGATAGTCTTGACCCTGGTACTGCTGCACCTTGAGATCCATGACCTCCCCGAATGCGCGCTCCATCCAGACCAACTGCCCCTTGTGGTCGTAGACCAAGGGCCCTGGTTCGGGATAGCCGTGACCTTGCGGGCTGAGAAAGACATAGCCTTCTTCACATTTCGGATTCCATTGTTTCACATGAACCTCGGGCGATTTCACGTCAAACGACTCGTAACTCAGGCTAGGATGCGGACCGAACAAGCCCAATTCATACCAGAGGCCGTGCCATGAGAAGGCCGTTGCCAGCAAGGGCAGAAAAGCCCAGCAAACCAGCAGTGCGGCCATCTATGGTCGGAGAGTCGAGGGAGTCTGGGATAGAGGGAGAAAAGAGAGAGAGAGAGGATGCATTTCTTGTGTAGAGAGCAGTGAGTGAGAAAATCATCTTGTCTATGGAGTTAAAGTGGAAGTGGAAGGTGGACACAGCATGACGCGGTCGATCATGGATTGCAAAGCGACTGACGAGTCAACGACGGTCTGACCCGACGGCCCCATCGTATGTGAGTTACTCTGTAGAGTCAGTCCCACTAGTTATTGGAAACCCACGTAAACAAGATCCCTCTGAATCCACTTGGGGCGAGGCTAGAGCAATCCATTCATTCAATTGATCGATTGATCAGGGAGAACCAGGCGGACTTTTTGCTCTCACTGTCAATTTATCAAAATTTTTCCGCTGTCGTTGATTCAATTAACAATCCATGGCTTGCTTGATGTTCAATGTATGCTCTCTCTCACTAATATTAATTTCCTCCTCTCCTTCTGCTGCTCCTCCTGACCCCCACTTCTTCATTTCCTTCTTCTTCTTCTTCTTCTTCTTCTTTTCCCTGTCGCTTTCTCTTACCCTGGACAACCTGATCTGCATTTCCTTTCCCTTCGTCTTTCAGCTTCCCAACAACCTCATCCTCACCACCAAATCTAATAACAAACGCCACTTTCTCAACCTCCTCACAAGCCACCCTCCCCAATCTCTCCCTCAACCTCCTCACCGCATCCCACAACTCCCGATACTCCATCGCATTGTACTTGACATCCAACTCCCCGCTCTTCCCGGGCTTAAACGCCTTTCTAGCTGGCTCCGGCCCATATCCAGGATACACCCCCAGACACAACCACAGAAACACATCGTCGCTATAAAACGGCACGTCCGCCAAGACTGACAGCACCAAACTCCCCGTCGCAGGCCCGACGCCCCTCAACGGGCCCGTCACGCGGTCCAACGCATCGCCCGGGAATTCTGTCATGTTGTGCTTCTGCAGCAATTCAGAGGCGGTGCTAGTAGCCTCGCAGATGGTGGTCTCAGGGTTCGAGCGGACCATGCCTAGTAGTGCGGGGCGGAATTTGCCGTGTTTCCTGTTCGATTGTTCCCTCCCCCCGGGGAAGCTTTAGTGTTGTTTTGGATGTAGGATCAAAGGTTGTAGGTTTGTGGGTCGAGTGGAAGTTTTACTTTGAAACACCCGCCCGAAGCAGCCAAGGGTGACAACAAGAGAAGTAGACTGTAGAAAGAAGAGGGTAACGTACATCTTCCACTCCACCAAGCGCACCAACTCCTCCTTCTCCAGATACCCCACCCCATCCTCCCCCGTTGCGCGTTGACGAACCGCATGCGGCAGGGTCGTGTAGCGGAACTCGTCGAGGGCGAGGTAGTCTTGCACGCGGACTTCGGCCTCCGCGTTGCAATCTGCAGGGTTCCCCTTTTTGGAAGAGGCGGAGGCAGCGGTAGTGGTGGTGGTGGTGGTGGTGGTGGTACCCTTGGCGCCGGATTTGCGTGAAGGTTTGCTGCTGCTGCTGCTGCTGCCGCTAGATGCGATGGCCTTGCGTCGGATGGTGGATGTCACAGTCGATGGGTATTTTGCTAGGAGGGATTGGAAGGTCTCCTTGGTGATATGATCGGGGTCATAGGGTTTGAGGTTGGACATGGCGTGGCCCTTGAATGTCGTTAGTGCAATGGCGACTCCGTGGTGGCTGGTGATGATGGCTGGATTGGAATATCCCCGGGCAGATCTAGAGCTTCATGGTGGTACTTGTACTATACGGCTAGCACCAATACAGACGTGGAGACCATGATTAGGTAACCCTGGTCACTTCGACTACCTTATCTAGTACCTACGGAGTAGTGAATATATACTAGGTTACTACCATGAAGCGAGAAACATTCCAATGACCTTTGCAGGAATTGTCCAATTGAGTATCGCAGATTGATCGCTGCGTTGTCTAGTAATCATGCGTTGTCCAGAGTCTTTCTCACAGCATCGCCCAACAAAATTGTCCAAATCCAATCCACATTCTTCTCATCCACACAATTTATCCATTGAAACTGAAGTCTCATACATGAAAAGGTAAGAGGAGAATACAACAGAAATTACAATGTCCAAAAGGGTCTAGCCCGAAATAAAGCGAAGTTCTATCGTGTATCGTCCGGACGCTCCGTCGGCTCACCCTTGGTAGGATTCGAGTCGGGGTTGGCAAAGCTAACCCGCTTCTCTTCCTTGCCGCGCGATGAGGCAACCACCGATGTCGCCATGAGCCGGTCTTTCTTCTTGATACTGCCACGTCGCAGCGACTTCGATAATGGTGGCGCCCGGGGTGTCCCCGTGCTTGCCATGCCGATATCTGACTTGGGCGGAGTGGCAGCCGCCGACCTGGCGCTATTCTCATCGCCGTCCTCAACATCAATATGACCTAGGTCCTCATCGTGATCACCTGCCTCAGAAGAACTAGGCCCGGCATCCGAATCCGAACCCTCCCCATAGTCATCGTCATCGCTGACGAGACTTGGGGCTTGGTTAGATTCGGCCGTATTCGGACTAAGATTTGCACCTTGTTCTGTGCCCTCGAGTGTACGCAGAGCTCCCCTCTGCGAGTCCTGCGGTAGGCATGACATGGAAGGATAGGGGGACCGATAAGGGGTGGCTCGGATAGGGGTCGAGGTTTGCAGGGGTGGAGGCCGGTGGTCCAAGGAATCTAGTCCCTTTCGGCTGCCAGGGCGCCCGCTTGTCGCCTGCGAGGCTGTCGTCCGCATCGGTTGCCTGCCCGCACGGGCTCCCAGCGATGTCTGATCCTGACTCATTTCTGTCGAAGGTTGCACGAATCCGCCATCTGACTCTCCTCCGTCATCATCCGTATAGTCATCCAGATCCACAGCAGCCTTGGCTTCCCCGACCAGTTGTTCTAGGTCAACCGCAACGCCTCGGAGCTTCATCAGATTCGATAAATGAGGCGTCACAGGGGAAGACATGAATGTAGTATTGCCTGCCGTAGCAACTGTGGTCTTTGGCTCGGCGCTTGATGCTCGAGGCGTCTCTGCTGCCGAGGGAGTCTGTCGAATTGGGCTGGATCTTTTACGGGGAGTCATGGTGGCGTCGGATACAGGTGTAGGAGTCTTGGGAAGCGGCTCAATGACATGCGCTGACCGAATCAACGGATGAATGAATCCCGCTGTGACAGGGTTGGAGACCTCGATCTTGCCGCCAATGATTGCACCAGCCTCATCCAGTTCCACGGGTTCGCCTGACTCAACTGCCGCCGCTTCATGGCTTGCGTAGTTTCGACTGTGCGCGATACGACAGTGGTTGATAAATCCTTGCGTGCTGGAGAAGTTGTTCCGCCGACAGTCCAGGCAGACCAGCTTGACGAGCAGACCATCCGATTTTCGTCGAATAGTAATTGGTCCACTCTTCTCCTTGGGTTGCTGGTTGCCGTTGGGTAAAGACTGCAGTCTGCCACCTGTGCCTCGTTGCGGTCGTGTCTTGCCAGCCATGTAACCAAGATCCCCACAGCTTCCACGCGTCGAGCGCCCTTCGGTCCACGGACTAGCAAGACCGCCCGCCATGGGGGTAGCAGGCTCAGGTTCACCGCCATCAAAACGAGGATCTGGAATTAACCATTTAGAGTAGTGGCGACTATACGGGCCATCAGTGACACCCCAGGGCGCCGGAGACAGAGGCGCAGGTCCATTTTCAGGAGCCCAAATCGCCATGCCCGTCCCGTCGCTGACAGCCTGCGAATAGCCCGCCACATTTGAGCCTGGATAAGGGATCTCTGCGCATCGGCGCAATTGCTCCAACGCGACCTGACATTTTGCGATTTCCTGGTCGATTAACCGAAGTTCGTTGTGCTTCAACAACACCTCCAGACTAAGCTGGGCTTCGAGCGTTTCGCGTAATGTATCTAGATCCACTTTCCGTGAGCCGACATTCTTGGTCACTGCAGGAGGTTCAGATGCGCTCGTGCTTGGAGGGAACGGAGACAGGTGCGACGTCTCGGGCGTCGAATTCGCCGGCAGACTATCGGGCGCATCGAGTGACAAGGTATCCGTATTATTGGCGGTTGACGGGGTATCCTGCTTGGTCACGACGGGGTAGCACGGCACATTTTCTGCGCGTAGCTTGGTCGCGACCGGCGCGTCCTGATCAGGCGTTGGATCACTGGAACCGGAGCGCTTGCGCTTCAACTGGGGCAGGGGGATGGCGCCGACGTCAGGCGCAGAGCATGACGAGGTCGCAAGCATTTTCAGCTCCTCCGCCATCACCTTGTTTCCCCCAATTGCAGAGGACCAGGGTAGCAGCCGAAACATGCCATGCGAGTTGTGGTCGCAACTTTTCGTGGTTTGCGACTTGCTTTGCGACAAATGCGCCAGGGTCTGGACAGGAAGGGGATGCGCGCGCACGATTCGAAGGTTAATTATACGCTTCGCAGAACGATCATACACCAGTGTATGCGAAATGCGACCAATCTAAATTGTAGAGAGAAGAGGAGAAAGTGGAGTGGAAGCGAAGCACTCAACGAGGGAATGGGTGCTGCTGCCGATCGGTTGAACAAGTGGTTTGCTGCGACCGGCTGAAACCCAGCAAGGGGGAAGGAAACACGGGGGACCGGGAGGGGGAGGGGGGAGGCAAGAGTCGGAGGGAGGGAAGAAGTTACCCCCAACGAAAACGAGACAGATGCCGGAGGCTCGGAAGGGTAGGTAGGTGTAGGTAGGTAGTAAGCATGCACCAAGCGGTGATGGAAGGGAGGCAAGTTGATCTGTTTGATTTATTGTACTGCGTGTTGGATTTCAGGCAGAATAATAGTAGTAGTAGAGCAGTAGGAGTGAAAGTGATCGATAAAATAGGTAAATAGGGTAGTAGTTAGTAGGATTGGGTGAGTGGATAGAAGAGTTGTCTTCGAGATGATGATGATGATGATGGTGGTGGTGGTGGTAGTGATAGGGAATGGGTGGGAATAAAGCCGAAGAACGATAACGCGGAATGATAATGACACGGATAATAATGATCATATAATAATAAGACGGAGCTGGGAAGCGTATCCGTACTTGGTTGTTTTTCCTCTTCTTCGAAAATGCCCAGTTCTGAGGTCACATGTAAGACGGGAATGGGAAACAGAACAGCTCTCGGGAGGCAAATTCCACGGACACTCGGGCGGTGGCGTAATCTATTAATAATGGAGATTGGTGCAAATACACGCAGGAGAACGGGTTGATGCGTCCAGCGGTTCCCCTCCTGGCTTGTTGCCTGGATGAGTAGAAGAAGGATGCAGGCAGCCTAAGAGGGAGAGGGAGGAAGAGGAGAGCTGAGGACGAGGGAGAAGGGCGAATGTTAGGAGGTATGAAAGAGTCAAGAAAGCGATAAGGTAAAGTAAAAGAGCCAACACGATTCAAGACCGAACAATAATGGCCCGTAACAGGAAGCTCAAACGGAATCCAATGAAGGTGGATCAGACCAAGATTGCCTTCCATCCAGGGACCAAACCGGTTTGAGCAGCGCCAAAGTTTTAGTATTTAGTAACTGATAAAGGAAAACTGGTCACAAATGGTTCCAGAGAGCATCGGAGCGAATAACAAAGAAGCTGGGAGAAAATGGCGGAAGTGGAGGGATACAGTGAGGTGTGAAGATGATCGAGGGAGGAAGAAAATATACAACAAGGAAAACAAAAACAAGAGAAGAAGAGGAAGAGGAGGAGGAGAGACGAGGGAGGGGGAAGACAAGCGTTGTGTTGGTCTGTGAGATGTTGTTAGTGATTTAGTGTTTGTTACTATTGATTTGGAGGGGACTTGAGTTTGAGATGACGGGGATAAAAACACAGAAGGGAAGAAGAAGAGGGGGGAAATAGAGAGAGAGAGAGAATGAATGAGTTCTTTCATCATCGTCACTATGGACTAATAATTGACACCCAGAGAGGGGGGGCGGCCACCGGCTGTTTTACCGCCTTAATTCACCACTCTGGGGTGGGGAGTTCACTTTTCTAACTCCGTCCACTACTGAATCCCTCCAGCTGATACATCCATACTCACTCTGTAGTACTGTCACTAGTACCTACGGAACGCGCAGCTCACTCAGCCTATGAGGTCCTTGACAGCCTACAGGCTAGCTGCAAGACCCCACGATTTTCGACTCATTGTTCCATGCTGGCTGCTACTTTGGTTGTGGCCGACATGTCGAATACTACTAGCCTACAAGGAACCATCACTGCCTGAATTTCACAACCAGGCGAGTGGAGCCTGAATCGAGGATTGAAATCCCGGGCCTGGACTGGTCCATAAGTGGCCGGGGTACCGCCTGCACTAACTGTTCACTATTCCTGAAACAGTTGAGGTGATGCTGATGCTTTTGTTCCTTTGCTTTGGCTCTCTGACTTTGGCTTTCGCTGTCGCTGTCGCTTGTACGGAGTCGTCTGCTACCTAGTGTGCAAGAACCTCCCACAAAGTACGAGTACGACCAGGACCAACCGTATTGTCATCGGAGATACCTTGTATCTCAAGCCTATCTTTTCACTATCTTTCTTTCGTATTCGTGCTTCAACGCTTAGACCTCCTGCAGGAAGAAACCTCACACGCTCTTTGTGGGTGTCTTGCGCGCGTTGGATGTCAAGTCATGTCAACAGTCCCTTTAACTTACCCCTCGTCAACAGGACCAACGTCGTGAGAGCCCAAATTTAAGTGTTCCATGGATCGGGATCTCATCTGTCCTGAATTAGCTTTGTCACACATGGTCAATGTCTTTTCTTCTTGCCCGTCAAGTTCTCCTCCCGCCTTTTTCACCCCCTCGTATGACAGATCGACCTGATCATCGCGTTTTGCCCACTGTGTCATTACATCATCCACTTTCGTCACCACTAACTTTACTAACTCAGACTAAATGACTAGTCTAACTCCCGCCGTCCTGCCGTGCTTTGCTCCGAAGCTCCACTTTTGGCCCAATATAGTTCACAATTGAGTTCATTATGATTTCTTGCGGCATGATCAAGTGCTTGGCTCGCCCATGTGTTGGAACCTGGAGAAAGCGCTATCACGGAAGTATGCTGCACTAGCTGGGCATCTAGTGTCTTTGGACATGGCTTCTAGAATAACGTTCAATTGTCAGGATCTAAGGTGTGACGGCTTGGAGCTTCCCTTGTAGCCTCAACGGTTTCTTCAAAGAGACCTACAGAGTTATTCGCAGACGGGTGCCTCAGAATAGCTCTCTGTTCGTCGTTGGAGGCATCGAGTGCATTTCGTTGACTGCAATATTTCTGAGGAGCGGAAATTGGCATTCTTGACAAACTATCTATTGCACCGGTACCTAGAAATCAACAGCCTTATCGAATCAATCGATCTACAGGCTCGTCGCGCGGAGAACAGCACCATCTTAAAAACACATCACCCATTTTTCATGCTATGTGTATATGTGTGACACATGCAGCCAGCACACAGGCTATTCACCCTTAGACAAATTATTCAAACAAACGCCTGAAAGGAAAGCTGACCTAGCCTTACCCCGGAATAGACATGCCTGTGTGGTTGCCATGCTCTGTGTGATGATCAGTCGCGCGGCCGATACTCTTTAGTTGATACCTGCTTCCCACTCTACATATGTCTTCCTAGCACCCCGCGCGATGTCTCTAACTAGGCCTCGCTTCAAGAAATGCTTTTAGCGAACCACGTCGCTCTGGGTATTTTCTCAACTATGGGGTGACATTTCTTGCAGCTTGTCGGTTTCCCAACGACAAAAATTAGTCGATGGTCTCCTTAAGCACACTAATATTAAGCAGTCTTCGACCCGACCGCGCACGATGGTTGAATCCCTGAGCAAGCATTGAAGAGTCCAGACGAACCAAGATAGAAGTACACAGCCAGTGTCCATGTAGGAAGCAAACCTTTTGAATTATCGCATCGTATGCGTCGAGGACCCCAGCTCTAACAAAGTAGGTATAGTCAAGGACTGTAACTGATCGTTTATACAGGTATGCTTCCTTACTACCTGATATCTGTTTTCTACAGGCTTCAACTCCTGGCCAACACCTCGGGCCAAGAAACCCCAAGAAAAGCATTAGCTGCTTGGCAAAGTATACCCCATGACTACGAGGACGTCATGCCAATTATTCTAATGCCAAGATCTTCATGGTTGCTGGTACCTGCGTAAGCTGTCTCGAAGAGCCTCGTATGCCAGGGTAAGCCAAACCGATCACAGCCCAGGCATTTCCAAGGTCCTACAGCATTGCCAGGCATACTATTAACAAATACGAACCTTGCCTACAACGATCTTGGGAGACATGGTCCGGTTCTCTACAATGCGCCTGGCTGTCAGCCAACTCTTGTGCTATGGTTTCCGATCCGCTCTGAGTCCGTACGCGGTGGATACCAGTGAGCTACTGTATGCATATATCGGATTGAGATGGATGTATGATGACTGAGGTTGATAGCCACGATCATTTACTCGAAGCTGGAAACCCGGGTAAGGGCGGGATCGATGACTAGGCCATGGAAGAGGAAACCTGTGGGCCTGGAATAAGGCGACTGAAAGGTGAAGCGGACATGTCAGCAATTTGAAGTATAAACACTGATATCCATCGACCTCAAATTGTTGGCCATTATGCCTGAGCCATGCAACTTGTAGGATCCCATCAATCCAAGTACTTGTGAACATAGGTAAACCACCGTCAACAGGGAGTTTTCAGACCAATGACAGTTCAAGCCACACCAAGATACCCAAACCACAGAAACACACTCCGAGCCGCATCGAGACAAAGCAAATTGTAGAAGCATATTTCATTTGGAAAGCAAGAGTGCCAACGCCATAGACAAATCAGTGGCCAGCACTGACATTGACAGGTGGAAATCAGGTCTACTTTCTACTTCAGATCATTCACATATTCTGTTTTCTTTTGTCATCTCAAAACTCCAACCAAGTTCGCCATTCGAAGATAAAAAAAAGTCGTCTCGCTCGTCAATACACCAGAGATATGATCGATGGGACAGACCGACCGCTCGTCAATCATTGTCTTATTCGGTCAGGCGCAGAATGAAGTTGACGACGACAGCGGCCAACAAAGCCAGGGCCAGGACAGTAGGACCGAACCGGTCGTCAATGCCACTCTGGCCGCGTTTGCGTATACTCTGCGCGCGCCAGTGGAAGGTCACTAAGGCATAGATCATGGCTGCCATGGCGATGACGGTGAATAGGCCGGCGGAGATGCGGCCAATGCGATCACCGAAGTTCAAGAGACCTACGGCCAGGCCGCCGAGGATGACGGTGAAGTTGAGCCAAGATAAAAAGGTACGTTCGTTGGCGAAGAAGACCTTGGGCTCGACACGGGTGGGCAGGGCAATGCGCTTGCCTGCGAGGGTTCAGCTTAGCATCCGGGCAAAGAAGTACCTAGTAGCAACGAATCGTTTGCAGAACCTAGAAGACGAGAAGACTTCACCTACCAGGCGCAGTTTGAAGCAGAGGTTGACTCGACATCTTTTTTGTAGAAGTAAGTGTTGGGGCGTAATAGGCTTAGGTAGGTGTTGTAGCTCGAGTCCGCAAGGGAGAATAGGTATTGGAGCTATGTTGAGGTTGAGCAAAGGGACAAAGCTGGGGAGGAGGAGAGGTGAGAGGAAGAAGAAAGAAGAAACAAAGCAGAGCTTCAATTGAGGTTTATGGTTTGCCGCATAAGAGGACCAAGCTAATGGGCTAGACCAAGATAGCGCTGGCTAGTTTTTTTTTTCCTGCTAAACGACACTGAAGCGAGAGAGACGATGGCGGGCATTTGATGTAATCTGAGACTGGTAGTTAACTTAATAAGAGTAACAGGCGGTGATTCGAACTCGGGACGAGCCCCCCGCGCCTTTGACGGCCACACTTTCCCCGTTACGGGCGTAGCGGTGGCGCGCTGCTGGGTTTCTGCCTCAGCCCACCGCTGGGTAGCGCGCACGTGCCGTAGCTGATTGCTCTCATTGATTGCCTCAGGACCTCATCGGCCTTCTTCAAACACGGCATAGCGCTCTGGCAGCCACCGACACAGCCAACCAGTAGCCGCCAAGCCACACTTGTGATGATGCCGCAAGTACTCCGTACTCGGGACTGTGAGTTACAACCATCCTCCGAATAACACCTCTGTGATAACAACAACTTTTTGCTCTACATTGTCACTTTCTAAGGCGCGCCGTGTGCTCCTGCATGCACTAGTTAACAAACTGCTTCCGGTTAGTTTTGAATCAGCCTTATTTCCCCTCTCGTTCGGAGCTGGCACATTTTTGCTGGCTTCCCTGTCCCTCCCGAGTCACTGCTTCCTTCCCCCCACAATCACCTCTCCAGCTTCCCGTGGTAGTGCCCACCGTCTTGACCCAAACAACACACCCCGGAGCTTCTAGCTTTCCCTCTCTTCCCGAAATCACGCTAAAACAACCTGCTCTCAAGACATCAAAGCTGCCTGCATATTTACAATGGCTGTCGAAACCGCTCCCACGTCTTCCGTACGTTCTCCCCTCATATTCTGCTGCATCAATTGAGCGGACCGTCATCACCGGCTCATACGACCGACACATGGATTCACTACTGACAATCAACTTCTAGCCCGTGGCCATTTCCGAATTAACTAAAATAGCCACCGAGGTACGCATGACAGATAGTGTGAGCGGGAATGCTAGGAACTTGTTTCGGTGAATGGTAGCATGTGATCAACATGATCATAATATCTCCGAACATCTGGGCTTCCTGTTCCTCTCTCTGCCTCCTATCAGCGCGACCCAATCAATAACAAACTAATTGTCGCCTCCCTTGAACAGGCCTGCGACTTCGTTCTGAAAGATGTCACAGAATACGAACACTCTCGGGTCGCAGACTGGAACTCGCACATAATCGTATGTCCGCCATAAACCCCTATTTACCTGGCAACCCATGAAGGGAGCCGCCAAAACGCAGAGAGGATCCCGGACTGAAGCATGCGCCCAATGCCTAGAACACAATTCTCAAAGCCCTAATCAGCGCCACGGCCCCATCTACTGCCGCCTCTTCTCCCCCTTACCGCTTCGTTGTGAACAGCACAATCGTGCAACAAGGCGTTATCGACAAGTCCGCCGCTGCGGACGGCACCACCGCCAACGCCGGCAAACGCGGGATGCACTCCGCCTCGGGAGCATTCTGGGACGTCAATCGCGATGGAATGTGGACATTCAAGTACCCCGGCGCCGAGGAGAGGGGCTTGGATGTTGTTGTCAGTGTGACGTGGTTTGCAGTTGTCTAAACTTCTCAGCACAACATCAGCGTTGGGAAGTACCTGCGCGCTGGTACTGTATCCTAATATACAAAGGATTCATTTCTGGCTCAGATCGGTAACTGGTCAGCCAGAGCCATCGCGTGGTGCTTAGTTACATCAGTTAGAACGTGGATAGATTATCTGTGTTTTGGCTTAATTTTCCTTCTTGAACATCACAAGTCCGATTTTTCTGGGGCCGTGATTCTGATCGTGCTACACGATGGAGAATGATACCATGGTTTCTGTTGTTGTATTATTTCAATATTGAGGCTATTTCCAAGGCGTTGCAGATCACCTCCCACCGCCGACTAAACTGTAATGTGGTATTTGTATCACAAACTCTTGCTCGACGTTCCGACAAAATGGACAAAGGAGAAAGATAATAATAAAGTGCGATCGGCTCCTGAAACTCCTATATGATGGCAGGCAGAAAGAATACGCCAGTCCCCAACACAGTCAAGTTAAAGCCGAGTCAACTCGGTCAAATTGATACCTAGCGCCATGCTAACCCATGAAGCCCCATGGAAAGATGCGAATAACAACAGGAAGCAGATGTATGGCGAAGAAACGGTCGTGATGACAATACTTACCGTCTCTGGTACTCAAAACCCTGAATCTAGCGGGGTTCGGAATAGTCGTTCAATGCCACACAAACCGCCCCGCGATGATGACCACTATATTGTCTAATAATCTGCCCCGACGCCAACTCCCACAGACGCGCGTAGTGATCGCTAGACACAGTGACGAGGTATGCGGAGTCGGCGGAGAAGGCACAATCCCAAACCCATCGTTGGTGGTTCGCGAGCGTTGTTTCTAAGAAGAGGGTGCCCGTGGTAGGGTCCATGGGAGGGCCGTCCGGCTGGACAGGGAACGTCTGCTGGGGTTCGGTATTGACAATCGGAGGTGTGCTATCGAACAGACTAAGAGGGTTGATTTCAATCTCGGGCTTGTTGCTGTTGGGCGACAAGGGGTCCTGGCTATCGGGTGTTGATGTTGGGGACAAAGACGATTCGGGTGCCGCAAGTGCTTGAGCTTTGGCTTTGGCGGCGGCCATTTTCGCGGGAGGGTAGTCGAGGTCGAGATTCCATACTTTGGCGGTATGGTCGGCCGAGCATGTCGCTAGGTGCTTGACGTCCGGGGAGAGGAGGACGCGAGTAAGGTAGTCTTTGTGTGCTTGGAAGGTGCAGATGGGGACAATGCGGGTGAGTTCGGCATCCTGGATCATGCGCCAGATGTAGACATTGCCCTGAAGTCATGAGGTCAGTATGTCGATCTGGCTCCTAGCGAGAAAGGGTGCTGGGCTCCGTACCTTCTTGTTTCCTGCGCAGAGGAGTGACCCGTCACTAGCAACGCTCACACTATGTACGGCGACGTCGTCTTCAGGGATCAGCTGATGGGTGCAAACACTCTCCCCCAAGTCCCAGACACGAACAATCCCGGCGCGATCACCACTGATGAGTTCGCCCTGATTAGGATGAATGACCACGTCGTTGACGGGTGCTTTGTGGGCATAGTTGCGCTGCAAACTTCCGGTACGCGTGTCCCACACTTTGACTGTCCCATCCTCTGAACTGGTCACCATCCACTTCCCCTCGCAATGAAAAGCTACACCCGTGATGTTGTTTGTATGGCCATCGAAGGTCATGACTGGGTTCGGATTGGTGGATTTGATGTCATATAGTTTAACATTGTTGTGGCCAGCAGCGGCCAGGTACCGTTTGTCCGGGGTAATGCACAGGCGGTTAACTTGCGAATCGGGATGCTGAATTGTGCGCGAGCAAATTCCAGACAGGGCCTCCCAGAACCTGAAGCGGCAGTGTCAGCACTTTGTCCAAATGTAGTGTTTCTTCATGCCCATACCGGATAGTGTGGTCATAACCCGCTGGTGGTCGCAAATTGTGGATCATAGATTAGTTACTTTTTCGAGAAATAGCATATCCAACTCAAAGCCTATAAGCCAGTTCGCTTACCAGTGCAGAGAATGACGCTCATTTCGAAGACGCGCGAAGGCCGACAAGACACAAGACGGTTGTGGGATGAGGATGGAGGGAGAAGGAGCTGGCGAACATTGAAGTCAGCCAAAGCCGCTCGGCTTCGTGCCGGCTTCCTGCCGGTCTTATGTCAAGGCTGCACCAAGGTTGACTCCTGTACGTGGGCGGTCTACTAGGCGGTGAAGAAGGCGGCAATCCAGGCAAGGGATCAAAAAAGCAGCGTTGATCTTTCTTCATCTCGTCTTGTCACACCTCTCAACAGCTGCAGAACACGCAGTCTGTTTGATTCGAATTGATATAGGCGTCTGTCGGACATCCGGCAGGCTAGGTGCCTTGTGTTGATTTCGATATCCGCCCCTTCAGCAATATCTGAACAGCTCTTATCGAGACTCCGAGTTTTCATCCGGACTACTATGCGTCTTACGCTCCCGTCAATGTTCGTACAGTGACTTGGCGCCTAAAGGAGGTACGGATTGCAGCTTGTTCTCTGTGACCAGACGATTCAAGGAGATCAATATCTTATTCTTATTCTCAATAGCTGGCGATCGATGGCGGACTTTTCTGGACTTTAAGTCCCGAGATCACCAGCACGTCCACGCCACCCTGCAACGACCTTGTCTCAAGGCTGGGTTTTCGGACGAGCAGAGCTCGGCTACCACAATTCCAGCTGCCTGGTATTCGTTTGCAACGACACTCTGAAGGAGATTTCTTTAGAGATGAGTGAAAGCATGGCTGAAGGTATTTCTACCTCGCTCCAGACCTGCCCTACGGATTTTCAGAGGCTTTCCGTCTCAGAGAATCTTCCATCTACCCCATGTCTTTCTCATCTGCATGTGAATGATCCGGGGCTTACACCTTCCCCTGGGTCCCAGCTGCAGCAGTCCACCGATGCCTCTCCGGACGGAGGACACGGCCTGTCCGTTGAAGAAGCAAAGCCTACCGCAGTCGACCAGCATATTACGCCCGACCGCGCGGACCGATCCGAAGGTACGATAGTCGATTCTACGTCTGAAAAGGTCGAAGCACCACCCTCTCTTGAGCAAAGAGAATTGCGCCAGTCCGAAGACTTATCGCCCATGACCACGCCCATCCCAGGGCTTCATGGTCCTCCTGCTGCGCCATCCAGAACTCCGGCCGAGGACTTGTACGACCCCCTCTTCGACTCTGAGGTTATGTTTCATGAACTCGATACGGTTTTTGGTTCACGCAAACGAGCCGGTACAGAAGCATTCGAGGAACCAGACCTTTGGCAGCAGATTTCCAAGCGGCAGGCCCTCGAATCATTCCAAGATGAAGTCAGCACATCTCCAGACGACACGCCGTCCTTATTGTCTCTCGACTCAGCCTTGCAGCCTGATCGAAATGGAACTGGACCACACACGCCTCTAGATCCTGACCAGCAACCCATACCGACCGCTCTGTTCGAGTCTTTGGGTCCATTGTTCGATGGGTCGCCTTTCGATGTGCCCATCGAGTTGGATTATCACGGGCTACCCGAGTTTGATTTTCACGAGCTTAGCCAGGAGCTTGCCGCGGTCACCAAAATACCAACCAGTATCTGCGCTGCTCCTCAAGACACGCCGTCCGTGAGCGAGATCACGAAAAAGCGGTTCTCCATTGATGATCAGGATCTCATGGAATGCACGAGTCGGGAGGTCTTACGCCGCGTGTATGACGAACCGCCATATATCTCACCATATCCGTCTTACTCCGGGCCTTTGGGTTATCTGCCGTCCGCCCCCAATGTTCATGTTCGACACATCGAGGTTGCAGAAGATAAGGCGAACTTCCGCTTGTCGACGTTGAAACATCGGGTGCAGCAGCTCTCAGTGGAGCGACAAAAGCTCAGGACGAAAGTGGAACATTTGACGAAAATGAGCACGGTCGATCGGCGAACGGGAAAATCGCACTATGAACTGCTACGCGAGCAGAATGCCATGCTCCGCCGGGTCTGCACGCAGCACCAGAACCGGGTGGAGCAATACAAGAAAGAGGCGCTCGATTGGCAGAGCAAGCTTCACCAGCTCGGCACGGTCTATAACAATCTCTTATATGAGATCCAGGTACAGAAGCAGACGCCGGTGGTGACTGGAGTTCCGAATGGGTACAAGCCCCTTCAGCAGATTCAGCCGTCGCCGAGACAGCAAGCGCCCGTGCGAATACCCGGTGGTACGTGTATTGCCCTGCCTCCAGCTGGTTCCGCAAAACTCGACCCCACGCCTATCCTCCATCGCCCTATCGCTCCCAGTCCGCCCAAACGCGACCCGGTGACGATCGACCTGACGGCCGACGACCCACCGAAGGCGGCAGGCCCAACCCCAGCTGAGAAGCAGCGTCAGGCGGAGATATTCCAATCTCTCCGCAGCAAAAGATACAGTTGGCTGAAGGACGCTGACGCGGTTGACCGCCACAGCATGAGCCCCCGCCCACCGCAAAGCTATCGTGCTGGTTGCAGTGGGCCCCGGGCCCTGGAATTGGGGGAGGACGAAAAAGCCGAGCGGATCCGCAACCTCTCCGCCTCCGGGCTTGCGTCAGCCGATCGCATGGAACCCTCCGATTCTAGCGATGACTTGGCTCGTATGATGGAGGAGGAGCTAGCACAGGGCTAATGCAGGCGTCTTTGACGTAATATCGTCTTCTGATCATCCTTATTATTTTCGCGAAAACTGATACCCATTACTTAAGTGACCGAATTCCACTTTTTCTTCTTTCCTTATAGTTCTCCTAGTGTGATGAATATGTATAATTACACTGAACGATTGCTTCTGTTTTCGCCTGGTGTCAACTAACTCAATAACTATACCTCGCTGCTTATCAAAGCAACCCTTGAACTCTACATTTCAACCCTTTTCTGCTTGCATGTCTGCCAATACATTATCGGCATATTGAAATGTTGGAATGGGTTGTTCCGAACAATAATTTTTTCAAATACGACTAACGAGTACGAGTACAGTACGGAGCAGCTTACCGGCGGTCTATCGTGCGGGAGGGGTCCAATTGCATCCTTCATACACCTCAGCACCTTTTTTCCCCTTCTCGTCCCACTTACGTCACCGAAGATGATACGTCACTGAAGATGAACTACTAGCTACCTAGTACTTACTGTGAGCCGTAGTGAGAGCACCACGGATAAGGTTTCCACAAGTATGGTTGATACGGGTATTATAGAAAAACGGAAAGAAAAAGGGTTGATTGGGAACCAAGAATCATTCAGTAAATGTCCTAAACGAATACATCATAAGTCATCAAAATCGTCAATTGGATTTTCCTTCCCACTTCCAGTCGCATTTTCAAGTAGTCAGGAGAATAAGAAAAGAAGTAGGTAGGGATAAAATCCGGTCTAAATCACATGTTTTTGGCCCAAGCTCCTTATCCCAATAGCCTGCATCTATGATGTGTTGGATCGTATAGGTATGTAGCAAAGACAGGATTGATAGAGGGATTATCTGCAGGTGAAGCGATATGGGCTGGAGATTCGTAGTCTGGAGAGTATGTGGTATTGGAAGGTCGAGGCCGAGGGACAGGTATGTATAAGGTGTTGTTGTGAGATGTCAGATTCAGGCGAGGTTTCTTCAAGACCGCAGCCCCTCCTCCTTCTTCTCCACATTGGACCCCTCTGAGGAAGTGGCCGAAGCGGGCGCAGGAGTGTGCTGATGCTGCTCCCTATCAGCCCGCTTCAACTGCTTCCGTGCCTTCCGGCCGCCGCAGCAGGAGGCGCAGCACGAACCCAGCTGCAGAATGAAGGCGATCAGGTTGAACCCCGAGGCGATCCACATGAAGGCCAGCATGCGGGTGCCGAGGGAGGCGCCGATGTTGAGGTCGTAGCTGGAGGAGGTGAAAACATTGCGAAAAATGATGAACATGACTGTCGCGACGACTGAGGCGACGATAGTGAAAAGAGCGGCCAAGAAGGTGAGGAGAAGGAAGGGGAAAGCGCGCAGGAAGACGAAGGTGCGACGGCGGTGCTGGGGGTGGGTTTGATTGACGGCTGGGTCGGCGGAGATGGTCTGCGGGGGCCGCGAGGAAACGGCCAGTGGGGAGAGGAAGATGAGGATGAAGCTGAGCACGGTGGCAGTCAGGAAGAGTCCGAACATCCAGTGGGAGGCGATGCGGGCAATCTTGAGGGCGGAAGTGATATCGGAGGGCAGAGCAACTGGTGGTATTACAAGTTAGAGATTGGGCTACCGAGGAAAGGGAGGAGATTTGACGTACTCGTTGCGCCGGAGAGAAGCTCATTGAGGATAATCTCGACGGGATTGAACCAGTACAGCGTCTTGGTCTTGGAGCAGTGCGTGATGCCCTCGTCCAAGTAGCCCTCACAGAAGTTCCAGAGGCCGACTTGGTAGAAGTCGTGCAGTCCGATGGTTCGGGCAATGGTGTTGATCAGGACGGCATTGGGGACGGAGAGGGGGATGATGTTGGCCAGGTCGATCTTGAGAAAGTAGGTCTCTCGGATGACGGGTTTGTCGGCGACATTGCCTATACACACCAGGAGCAAGAAGATCCAGGCAATCAGATAGCACAAGGAACGAGTAATGCGATGCCAGAGTACCTTAGACCGTGTCCTACCGGCTTGCGGACGTTGAGTGGCCTTGTTGAATGGGGGAAGCTTTGCCATGAAATCGGATCCGGGTGGATGATACGGAGGCAGATTCCAAGGAGCACGGAGAAGATCAAGTAGCCGAGAATTATGGAAAAGAAGGGGGCTGATAGAGTGGTGATGATGCTTTTAACGAGTGTAGCGATGCTGCAGACTCGGAATCAAATGCAGGGCTGGCGCCGAACTGCTGCAGAGTCGGTGTACGGAGTATATACCCAAGGTCTCAACCTCAATCGACCACGGTAGATGACGTTACACTTCTCAGGAACCACGTGCTGGGAGAAACAACCCAAAACTGACGGGTCTTAGGGTTCGTAAAGGGTAGAAGATGAATGCCTATAGGGGAAATACGTGAGTTAATGGAAAAGGGGAAAATAAAAAGGGTAAAAGGGAAAAGAGGAGGGGGAGAGATTGAGGTGGAAAGGGGAGGGGGATACGGAGTACAGCAGGAGAAATTATCGATGAGAAGACACAGAATGGAGCCTGTAATGTTTCGCACGTACTTAGGCCGGAGTAAATGACGGCTGCGGCGCCCAAGAAGGAAAGGATGGGATCTAGACCCTCAGGGACGGGAAAGTGGCTGGTGATCGGGCGATGATTCAGCGATGTTACCCAAGACGGGTTAGCACCGCCCCACTTGACGCGCGCCAAGGAAAGCCATGCGGACGCTTGGCGCTGCTCCCGATCGGCGCTTGCAGGATGTGGCGGCAAAAGCTGCACGACTGTGGCAGTTAATTTTAGCACCATATCTGTTGGACAGCGGGCTCACAAATACTGTTACTGCACCTTTTCATACTCAAACCTCCTAATCGAGTGTCCACCACGTCGGCAGTCTCGCCAAGCCGTTTGAATCTCGCTTGAGTTTGCAAATCCTGTTATGCAACCCACTCAGGGGTCCAGTTTCTTGGCATGATACTCCTGCTCTAGGAGTACGGACGATAGATTATAAACTACATGGTTAGTGTCATGCAGGGTTCAAGGAATTGAGTATATCAGATACTACCCAGCAACGACACAATGAATAATAAAAATAAATAAATAAGATAAATAAAAAATAAATGGAAAAAATAAATGCAAGATAATACCCCGTAAGGCCCAAAACAGATCCGCATGTGGCGCATCTTTTGGTTCAGCAGTCACATGTCGTCATTGGCTGATTCAAGGTTGCCGCCTAATCGATTGCAGGGGTAGGTAATTTACTTACTTTTACTGTACGTATCAAATTACTTTCCTTTCCCCCGGAACCCTTTTTCCCATCATCATCATCATCTTCTTCTTCTTCTTCTTCTTCTTCTTCTTCATCATCAGCATCAGCATCATCGGGGGATATCATTATCTCATAATCAGGCACATCCCCTCTCCCGCCTGACCACCCCCTCCTGCAACCTAATCTTTGTCGTTCCATTCATTCATTATACATATATAAAAACACCTCCATCGTCAATCGCAGTGGTTGCGATTCTCCTCAATTGCTGCGCCCCTCCCCTCCGGCTCCCGCTGTTCCGCCCATTCGGCATCATGCGGTTGATCGCTCATCTGCTGCCCCTGTTAATGACCAGTGTCCTACCTTCACACGCCAAAGATGAGACCACAACCCTCACCTCAGCAGGCGATGGAGCACTCGTTTTGACCGGGTCAGTCACCACCTCCATCAGCGAAGCGACTCTCCCGACAGGTGACTACCTCCATTACACCACGACCATCACGCTCTCCAATGAACACACCACCGGAACCACCACCAAGTCCGGGGTCAGCACCATCACCGGTGCCAGCTCCTCTGGCAATGCAACGTCCACCACGACGAGCTCACGCTCGAGCACTAGCTCGAATTCTGTTACACTGTTGGTGGGTGGTGGCCAGCATACCATGAATGGTACCGCCAATGCGACAGCGACCTCCACCACCTCCGCAACTTCGACTCCAGTCGTCAACACTCAGCCTTGCAATGGGTACTCGGACTTTTGCTCGCGCAAGTACTCCAATATCACGATGGTCGCCGCCCACAACAGCCCATTTGTCAAGGCGGGCAATGCTGCAGCCAACCAGGCTTACAAGGTCACCGATCAGCTGAACGATGGCATTCGCATGCGTAAGTCAACCGATCGACCTCAAAGCTGAACTCTACGTCTTCAATCATGCTAATGGGGATCACCTGCGCGACAGTGCAATTCCAGACCCACCTGATCAATGGTACCATGTATCTCTGCCACACGAGCTGCGAGTTGCTCAACGTGGGCACGCTGGAGGACTACCTGACCACCGTGACCACGTGGATCAAGACGCATCCCTACGACGTGGTCACAATCCTGATTGGCAACTACGACTACGTGGACCCCGGCAACTTCTCGGCCCCCGTGCAGAATTCGGGTCTGATGGACTATGTCTGGACGCCACCAAAGATTCCCATGGCGCTGGACGACTGGCCGACGCTGTCCAGCATGATTCTGTCCGGCAAGCGTGCGGTCGTCTTCATGGACTACCAGGCCAACCAGACGGCCTATCCTTGGCTCATGGACGAGTTCTCGCAGATGTGGGAGACCCCGTTCTCGCCGACGGATGCCGCGTTTCCCTGCACGGAGCAGCGCCCGCCTGATTTGTCGACCAAGGATGCGAAGAACCGGATGTATATGGCCAACCATAATCTGAACCTGGATTTGAGCATCGGCAGTATCAGTCTGCTGATTCCCAACACGGCCATGCTGAATGAGACCAACGCGGTGTCAGGGTACGCTAGTCTCGGGCGAATGGCGGAGAACTGCACTGGTAAGTCTTTTGAAGGTGATCCAACGCGTACAAGTACTGATGTGTTTATGATTAGAAACTTGGGGTCGCCCGCCGAATTTCTTGTTGGTCGATTACTATAACTACGGCAATTTCAACGGGTCTGTGTTTGCTGTGGCAGCAGAGATGAACAACGTCACATACCAAAATGGGACGTGTTGTGGATCAACATCAGCAGCACCGAGACTCGTACCGGGACCCAGCATGTTTGGGTTGTTGTTAATGGTGATGGGTGTTTCGCTGGGTGGATGGGTGTTTTAGCTTCCGTATATACCTTATATAAGCATTTGCGTTTTGTCATGAGAAATGAGCATTGTACGATGATGATGATGAGAATACATAGTTATATAGTGCAGACAATTATAGGTAGTTCAACGATGAATTAGTGACTGTAAAATCAAGTTGATGACTTAACTACACAGTATAGTATGTGGTCAGCCATCAGCCAGCTTGAGACAGAAGCGGCTAACCCAACCGGGCTAGCAACCCACCTGACCGTCTTTCCCTCCGACTTTCCCCTCCTCCGCCCTAACAATAATCAAGCAACACCACCTCCATGCCTTTACTTTACACTTTCAATTGAAACCCACCACCACAAAAACCGGGGCAACTCCCTACCCCCTCTCGTCTCTCAATCCCAATCCCTCTCCCCCTAAACAACCCTTCCAAAAGCGCAGTCAAAATGGTCGACATCCTCCCCCTCAGCTCCTACCCATCCTACATCGACCTCCTCCCCTCCATCCAGACCTGCAACATCACCAACCTCCCCGAGAACTACTTTCTCAAATACTACCTGTACCATGCACTGACCTGGCCGCAACTGTCATTCGTCGCCGTCGTGCGCCCTAAGAACGGGTACCGCCAGAATGGCGGCGCCGACGCCTACCCGAAAGTCGTCGGCTATGTGCTGGCCAAGATGGAGGAGGAGCCCACGGACGGGGTCGCACACGGCCATATCACCAGTCTGAGTGTGATGCGCACGCACCGTCGGTTGGGCATCGCCGAGCGGTTGATGCGGATGAGTCGTATGTTATTCTTTTCTTTCCTGCGCAGAAAAAAAAAACCGCTTGGAGGATGAGGGGTTGGAGGAAATGGATTTCACATGGACGTTTTTTCTTGGCTAATCTTGATGGTTTTTCTTTCCGGGCGAATAGAAAGAGCAATGGCCGAGTCGCACCGCGCGCAATACGTCTCGCTGCACGTGCGCGTCTCTAACACCGCCGCCCTGCGGCTGTACCGCGATACCCTCGGCTTCCAGGTCGATAGCGTCGAGAGCAAGTATTACGCCGACGGCGAGGATGCGTACGCCATGCGCATGGATCTGTCCGACATGTGGGTCGACTGGGCCAAGATCGAGCGCGAGGACCGCGAGCGCGCCGCCAAGGAGGAGAAGGACGGCGACGAGGGGGAGGCGGTCGGTGAGCTGGGCAAAGCGGATGATAAGAAGGACCAGGAGAAGATGGTGCGCGTCAAGGTTGGTCGCGGGCTGGGGGTGGGCGATCTGGTCGAGAAAAATGAGGCGGTACAGGCGGGTAACTAAAACTTCATGGAAAAGCGAATTCGGACATCAGAATCATACAAATAGTTGGCGAGCGATAGAGGTTTATGCTGAGGTTGAGGTGTTCCAAGGTGCTCCTGAAAATGACTAGTGCCAACATGCTGTATGTACATGCCACAACTCCGCAGAAGAAATGCCTCGGCTTCGAACCCAATACACAAGAGATAGACAGACAGACAGACAGACACCTTGCTATGCATATCCCAGCCCGCTTGCTAATCGACAACACTAACTAACTTCACTATGCTCGGTCATTTGCGCCCTGTCAGGTCTCGTTTGGCGTGCTCAGCGTTCGTCTCATGGGCCGCCTTGTCGACCCCTTTATCCACCGACACAACGCCGCCTTCCGCATTTCCTTTCTGCACTGCCTCCTTCTCTTCTTCCTTCTCTTCTTTGCCCGTTGATTTCGTGTTCGGAGTATTGACCGGGCTGATCTCATTCGCCTCCAGCTCGAACCGCACCGGAGGCGAAAGCGATGCAGACGACGGGGTCGTCTGCTGAGCCTCGCAGCTATTCTCCAAACTCAGGTTCTGTATATGCTGCTCCAGTGCCGGATCAGCTGCAGTCTCTGACGACTGTAGCGCTCGTTGCTCTTGGCGGCGACGGTTGCGCCTGACCCGTCGCTGCTCACGCTGCTCCTCACGGGCCCGCCGCACCACATCCCGGAACGCCTTCCGCGTCGCCCGCGTCTCCTCCTTCACGGCACGCTTCTCGGCTTGTTTCCGCTGCTGCTGCTGTGGCGATTCCCATCGCCCCCAACCGTGGCGCCAGTCTCTTCGGCCCGAGAGGCGGGTCTGCCGTCGTGATTCCTGCAAGAGATCCAGCTGACGGCGTAGGCCCACGGCCTGTTCATACAGAGCTCGGTCGTGGTAGTCGTTCAGTGAGAGCAGCTGTGCGCGGACAGTAGCCAAGTCGGATGCGCTGAGCTCTGATGTGGTTGAAAAGGTGTCGATCGATGAAAAAGAGGTGTCCGAGGCTTCCGAGCTTACAGATGCCCGTCGTGTGCGTTCGGAGGGTGTTGAGCCAGGCTGCTGATTTGTAGTAATGCCACTTGTGACTTCGGTTGGGGCAGCCACGGACTGCGTGTAGGGGGCGTTATAGTATCCAATCTTGGGGGGTTCAGCCGCACCCCACTCGTTTTGCGGGCGACCCACGAAACCAGTAAACGCCCCTTCCATTTTCCGCCCTGACAGACCAGCTTGCTCCTCCAACCAACGGCTATGGGCCAGGGCCTGCTCTTCGACCTGCCGACCGTAGTGCTGGGCTTGTGCACTAATGTGATCACCGTATTGTGCGGCTTGTTCCGTGATACGCTCGCCGTAACGCTGCGCTTGAGAAGCCAGAGATGCTATCCACCCCAAAGGACCGCCTTTCAATTGGCTTTGATTCTGGCAAGCATAACCGTATGGGGGAGCGTTCCACCCCCAAGTGTTCGGTAGTGGATATTGTCCTGGGGGTGGCGGAGGCGGAGACGCATAAGGATATACAGGAGGTTGAACAGGAGGAACAGGAGGAACAGCAGGTGCAGTATAGAACGCAGGAGGACCATATGGGGCTCCATACGGACCAGGAGGCGGAGGAGGGGGAAAGGGGGGATAACCGTAGGGTGCGGGGCTGGGTGTAGCATTCGGTGTAGCGGCAGCAACCGGTCCTGGGGCTGCCGGTGACGGGCTCGGTTCCTGCTGAAGAATTCGGGCCGCGTTCGAGGAAGCCTGTCCAGTGCGACTCGTTGCCGCGGGGTAGCATCTAGGGCACAGAGATGATCGCGGTGCCCGTTGAGGGTCGATCACGTAGTTATACATCACACGCGCTGACCGAGGTTCGAAGAAATATTGATTCCATTCCATAATTACCGCGGCGATGCGCCGTTTGCGATCTGCATCGCTTTCCTGTGGTCGATCTTTGCGATCGCGCTGAATCTCAGCTCTGAGTTGGCGGGGTAGTTCGGAAGACGACGACGCAAGCCCGAGATGTGGCGGGAAAAGACATCGCAGAAACATGTCCCAGTCCTGCTGGGTGATGTCTTCCGTGCGCGTATTCCAGCACCGCGGACGACGCGGGAAATCCTTGGACTGACTCCTTGGATAAATGGTGACGCAATGTTCCACGATCGATCGCTCGGGGTTCTGTGCTGGCGGGGCCCTCTCGGCGAAGTAAGCAGCCGCAGAGGCAAAATGAGCGGGCACGGCAGCGGAGGCCGATGTGCTCTCACTCCCCGCGACGCTCGTCGTGGGACTTGCAGGTGGGCTATAAGATGCTGCATCACCCCCGCGCAAGCGGAGCAAGGTTCGATTGACTTCCGCAGATGCAGCGGCATTTCTATTGTTGGCTTGGGGGATCATCGGGTCAACCGCGGAGTAAGGCGGAGGAGGAGGGACCTCCTCAGAATCCATGGCTGGGCGTCGAAGCGATTCAATCCGAGGAAAGAGCAGAGAGAATGGTTATCAGAGTGGTAGATCAACCTTCATGCTCATCAATCGTCATCCATCGCGTGCAGGGATGACACGGAGTACCCACGGGCACAAATGAAGGCAGGGGACAAGAGAGGCGCTGGAAGGCAGCAGGATTATTGACTAGTTAGTACATCATAGGCGAAATGCCATCAGTTATGGTCCGACTCACAGACGAGTCTGTGACGGGGATCGTGATGACTAGGGGAGTGACTCACATATGCTTGAAGAGAACACAACCAGGGACGTATTAAGATAAGCTAGAAAGATAGTGATTGAGGCAAAGTAAGAAGTAGTTGTTAGGTAGAGAATAAACGAGGAAGTTCGGGAGGAAGTTCGGGAGGCTGAGGCGGGATGGAAATCAATCGGGCGGCGGAGAAGAAGGGAAGATCACGGGGCAGGTTCCCCGCTGCCGCAGTCCGCCCTATCGAAGTCGATCCCTTGTTTCATACCTTACTATAACTAAGACAAATAACTATATCTAGAATCATATTCGGATCTATTCTACTCAAAATTGGTATTCATAGAACAACAGCCAAATAGTAGTAGCCACCGACATCGTTTTGCACCAAACGCCCGGCCCTATGCAATAGTAAATATTCCTTGATTTCTTAATCCCACGCATCACCCCATCCATCATCTTCATCCTCATCTTTAGGCTTGATATCGATCTTTTTGGCGGGTGCAGCGGTCCGCGACGGAACCACACTGCTTCGGCTCGAAGCACGAGAGACAGTTGCAGGGCTAGACTTGTTCAATCCCTTCGGTAACGGCTTCTTACCCTTGGACTGTGCCGCGAGCCAACCCGCAAAGTCCGGCTCTCCGCCATCATCGTATGGCACTGGGGCTGCTTTGGGCGCCGCAGCCGGTATGATAGGGCTGCTAATGGAGGCTGCCTCAAATGGATCATCTCCCTTGAATGCGCTGCTTTCATCCTCATCGTCTATTGCACCCCAAGCGTCATAGACATCCTCGGGTTCGTCCTCCTTGGCAGCCAGTGTGGGTGGCTGTGCAGACACCGATCGACTCAGGGAATGGCCCGCGGGGCGTGTTGTTTCCTTGGGTACGAGTGGTGACGACCGAGTTGGACGAGGCACTGACGCAGAGCGCACAGGTTCTGGCTCGACAGGCTCGGCAGTATTTGCGGTGGGCTCTATCTCGCCATTAGCAGCCGTCAGCTTGTTCGTGAAAGACGAGATCGCCCATCCCGCCCACGACTTGTCGCTGGTGGTTCCGATGCGCGTGGTGTCTTTGGCGGGTTCAGGACTGGTCGTTGATGGAAGCACCGTGTCTGCCATGGTGCTGCTGTACTTTCGGATTCGCTGAAGGTAAAGGTCTAGAGTCTTATTCGCCTGGTCTCGGACCATCCTGATCGCACTGTATTAGCCCTGGTATCATATGAATGGGGGGCGGGGATGGCACATACTTTTCTTTGTCAAGAAGAGAAGGGCAAATGGCGGGCAGCACTTTGCCCGCACAGTCTTCTTCCGAGAAGAACTCCATCGTCGCTCCCAGCGCGAGTAGACCAGCACTGCGAGCGTGCACAAACGGGTCGCGAAGGGACCTTGTGAAGGCCGCAATGAGAACTTTAGATCGCGACTGGCTACTGTTAGCATTTGAGGGCAATGCAAAACTGGGATTGCACATACACCTTGTCCGAGATACTTTGCTATTTTGCCCAAGCAGATAGTCGTGTTGGTGCGAATTCCCGGTTGCTCATCGTTCGCAGTGCGCGCGAGGTATTTTAACAGGTCACCGTTGATGGTGCGGTCGTTGAGTTTGTTGATAATTGGTAGGACTGCCTTGACTGTCTGCTCGCGGACCACTGGTGCCGCATCTGTGAAGCCAGAAGTCTAATTGTGGCTGCGTTAGCATGGTCGGACATGCGAGGGCTGCGATGACCTACAATTTGAGGAAATATCTTGTCATTGACGACTTTTTGGGGTAAGTTGTCAATCATCATCGGCAAATGGTCCAACAAGCAGACCCGCAAAGCTCTATCGGGGTTACCAAATAGCCGAACAATCACTGGGGTAAGCTTTGCATTGAATTCCTCCGACGACAGCTTAGAGCCGATTTTGAGAACAGCACTGAGCACTTTCGGGCCGCCTCCACCAAATTCGACGGATTTCAAAAGCTCTGGAAGCACCTTCATCTTGAAGAACTCTTCGGGGAAATCCTCCGACAAGGCATCGAGCTCACTGTACGAGTTAGCACCGGTGCAGACCGTACAGACAGAATACAAAACCCACTTGACGAATTCCTCCCGTTCAGCATCATTCTTCAAGCCCAAACTCTCTATATCATCGCATAAGCGAATGAGCGGCGTCTGGAAGAATCCACCGCTCTTCTTTCCCTGCTCGACGAAATGAGCCGGACTCAGTCGTAGTTTAGGATTAGCTGTACACAGGCGTTTGTAACTCTGGTGCATACTAGGTGGTATGTTCGTCGTTTTGCCCACCAGGTCATTACTACCGAAATTGCCATTGAACACCTCGTATATAAGAATACCGAGTCCATATGAGTCGATGGCTGTGAGCGGGTGGCGTTTTATAATATCCCAACCTCCCTTGATGACTTCCGGTGGTGTATGTCGAGCAGCGTCGGGTAGAAGACTGGCATATGTCTATCAATCGAGATCAGCAGATATCCAGCTCCAGCGGTTTGACTGGGCTCCTTTACATATATGACGGCGTCCTCTTCATTCATGGAACTGAGAATGTCAAACCCTCCGAGTTTCCACTCGCCACTCTCACTTGTGAACACCGATGACGCCCTGACGGCACCATGGACGGATGAAGCATCGGCGTTTATGAACTTCAACGTGGACTGGGCGGAGAGTCAGTTGAAATAGCATCTAGATACATAACAGACAGTACATACTGCGACTGCGTACAACCCCCATTTGGCCGTCTCCTCGCTCAGGCTTTTCCGCTTCACGTGCCAGGATAGAGGTACAACACGCTCGGTAACGATGTAGATATTTGTGTCCGTCTGAAAGCTTGTCAGAAATGATGTCCTCCGCTGTCGGATGCACATCTGCGCATTACCTCAATCGTGTCCAGAACCTTGATCACGCCGGGATGCCTCAATGTTCGAGACTTTCGCACCGCATTTTTGGCGAGCGGTAATCGAGACTTATTTGCGGCAATGTCGAAAGTGAAGACACTGCAAGATGCCCCGTCATCCTATACGTGGCGGCCCAGCGCATTAGCCCTCATTGTCCATGCGACTCCAACACAGCATACACCAGACTTCGTACCCTTTTCGTCGCGTTATGGAGAGCCCAAATGGATTCGGCAACGTCAACTTTGTCGCCAAGCGAATAAGGAAAGGAGCTGCCTTTGGCGATGGCTGATGCGACAGCGGATTTTAGGAAATCCATCGTTTGCTGGTGGAAATCGGGGTTGGTGACAGGGGAATAATGCCGCTAGCTGGTCTCACGCAGCTCCGGTCGCGGTGCGGCAGTCGGTCGAGTTCGGAAATAGTGGTAGGAGGGGAATATTAAAAACAAAGAAGAAAAGAAAAAAAAGAAAAAAGAAAAAAGATAGACGTTCAAAAAGTTGATAAGCGGCAGGCTGATCTGTTTTGCAAGCGCGAAAAGGGTTGCAGCCCCCAGAACGAGAATGAACGCTTAACTATTAGTGGAGGGGAGGAGGGGAAGAGATGCCACTCAGATGCCACTCAATCAATAACTACTAACAGTACGGAGTACATCCATCAGCTCCGCTCCCACTGTTTCGCCCCGAATCCGGTTTAGGGCCCGGCGGGCCAGTGCCTGAAATCTTTCCCTCTGGGCTTGCTTCGTCACTTTAATCTCAGCTTCATCTCCTCTCCTCATCGCATCTTCTTCGTCTTTGTTTACTCGGTTGGAGCGACGGCACTCGAACAGCTTCCATGATCCTGCGTTCGCTCGAATATTTCAAACCACTGCATGCTTAATGATCTTCCCACTTAACGATCCACAATCTATTTCCCTGTTCTAACTAACCACTCTACCTGCCATGGCTATGTACCTTTCTTCCATGACCTATGATCTGATAGCTTCATAGCACCATCGAATTCGCGCCAACAACACCCCTCATCCCTCTTCCTTTCCTCTCTCACCGCGCAAAATCAAAACAATGACGCACAGAATCTCCGATGATGCGAACCTGGTAAAAGGTCAGACCGCGCCCTCCACCTCGAACAAACCACTTATCCTACCGCTTTCAACCACCATCGCGCCTGTTGCTTTTCCGTCCACACTCCCCCACTGAATCTCCTCCATCCTTCCACCAACCTCTCCCATCTGCAGTCATCCAGAACGACCTACGAATCCCACCCGCTCAAACCTCCTCACAGCTTCTCCCCAACCCTCACAACTCTCTCTTTCCTCCCCCACGTCCCAATTCCTCTTTCACTATGTCCTTCCTTAACACCCCCAACTCATCTCTTGTCCTCTCCCCTCTCACCCTCTCACGACACAAGCAGGCACATGCTCCCCAGAAAACTCTGAGAACCAAGAGTCTTTCCAATCCCTGGTCTCCAACAACTGGGGAAAATGTGTACAAGAACAAACACATTGGCGCCGCAATTTGGGGTTTCTGGTTCCGCTTCACTTTCCATGAGGAACTTTTTTCAGAAACTATAAGGCTGTGGCGGACATGTAGGCCTCGTCTTCTTCTTCACAAAAGCTTCATCTTCTTTTTCTTCCATACACCATGGACTCATGGACGATTGGGGCGTGAGTACATAAGTGTTCCTGGGGAAAAGGAGGGGTATGCGTTGGAGGAATGAGGTGCGTGGGCATTGAAGCAATTTAACTGCGGAGTGAGACCGGGTGGAGGGTGTGAGTGACAACGAGCGTTGGTGGAGTGAAGGGGTGGACGTACTGAGAGACTGTGAGTACACTACTATGTACCTCGTGGTATATGGCATGTGCTACATATGGGGAACGGGAGTTTGGGGAGGGAAGTGAAGTGTTGAGGGATGGCTGTGAGATTCCAAAGGGTTTGGTGTGGCTCGCTGTGGAATCGGGGTGCGCGGGGACTGCGGTGTAAGGTTATTGAGGTGGATAGGGAAGCGGTGGACTATGGGAGCTGAGGGGGAAGCACTGCGGTGGTGGTGGTAGTTGATAGTGTTGGTTGGTCGAGGTGGATTGGATGACGACCAAATTATAAACTGAAAAGACCTGAGGAGATTTCGTGTGTACCCCTGCCCCTACGTCCGTTCTGTTCTCATTTCATCTCTCGAGAAGTCCTCGTACAAATCCAGTTTGATGATAGATTCAGGCATTTAGACTTAGCAGATTTCATTGTTTCTGAAGTCGCTGGCAAATTCACCCTCGAGTTAACCCTCTTCCCTTGTTCCCTAGTCATAGCATCCATTCATAGGTCCTTCCTCCCCAAAGCTTTACACCCCCTACATCATATGCGTGCAGAACTCAGAATATTGCAACAGCCTGCGCTAAGACATCATCCTTGATGCTCACTCAATCCCTCACCTGCATCGGTCCAATCCTCCATTCTCGCGCGAAAAGCAGGTAACTGAAACTGGACAAACAAACAAACAAACCGGAGAAAATAAATAGACTCCCTAGAATCCCATTGCGATAGTTCAAGGACATGAACAGTTCCTCGTAGATCGGCATGGTTGGAACCAAGATCACTTCCAACAACCTACGTATAGTTCGTGTAGGATGTCCACGGTCCGCATCACTTTCATGACTCTCCACATACCAAGTCGAGAGGGGAGAATTGTCAGCCTTTGCGCTGTAGCGAATTCTCTGGCACGTCTCTCGCACACCGAGGCCTGGAGTGGCCGAGGGACTGACTCAATATAAGAATGACGGCTCGTCTGCCACACGATTAGCATGCGCCGCATCGCATCGTCTAAAGGTCCATGTGAACGTACCAAGATTCAATCGCAATCCGCTCGCCTGAAAACTATATGCGTCTTCAACACGCGAAGAGCTAGGTGCAAAGGTAATATGGTATTGATATGTTTGAGAACATAGTGTGAGGTCTGAGACGGCACGGAGGTGGGGTCGCCAACAGTTACTTGTTCTCTGTTCACGGCTGACTGGATTCCAGCAATGCCCAATGAGGGTAAACACAGCCCTCCGGATAAATTGCCAAGCCTGCGATTTAAGGTCTCGCAATGTCTAAGAAAAAGTTTCATTTCGCTTCATCCGCAATTTCCTGTGTTTGAGCACCAGAGGTGGCAGCCTGTGGAGGCTGAGCAGGCACCTGAGGTGGCACTTGAGGCAGTTGATTATAGCCGGTACTAGGGGTTCGGTGTTGGTGAGGGGGGTAATGATGCACCTGGTGAGGGCTAGACTGGAAATGGGGTTGCTGCTGCTGAGGATAATTGCCTCGAACCGGGGGCACTACCAGACGATTGTTAGCATGCCTGCGACTGAACAAGGGTGGGTGAGCGGTTACATACTGTGACCTGGCTGCTGGGAAGGGTGCACTGGCTGCCCATGCTGTCCAGGAGACATGAACATGACTGGCTGGGGGGGCTGGCCCTGCTGAGAGTTCTGGTGTATCATCATTGGGGCACCACGGCTAGGGCTAGGATAGCCGCTGTGAGGTTGGGGGGGCGGTGCATGTTGAGGATAAGCATGGCCAGGGTTGGGCGAATACATTTGCATTTGAGTATAGGGAGCCACGCCCTGAGGAACCCCCATGTAGGGCCCACTAGACGGCTGCTGAACCATCATCGGTGCACCCATGCCAGATTGTGGATTGACAAATTGAGGAGTGCCAGGATAATGTCTCATATGCGCGGGCTGTGGACCGCCTTGGCTGACGTAAAATTGTGGCATAGGCTGTCCGAATGCCAACTGAGCATGGGGTGCCATGGGGGAAGGATAACCATGCTGAAGGCGAGGTGAAGGAAACATTTGAGATGTAGAAGCCGACATCTGCATACGATGGGGGTCATCGAAATGAGGCGGACCAGAACCATGATGCTGCTGAGGATGAAGATGAGGGCCATGCGGCGGGCCAGTAGTGGGGGGCATACCCTGAGAAGACTGTTGATACTGGAAGGGCATTTGGGACTGGTGAGGCATTGACGAATTCGATGCAGAACGGTTCTGAGGGGAGATAGCCGGCACGGAAATAGGTGGCTTGACCATTTGCAAGTACGTCTTGTCCTCATTGCCAGCAGATACATCCCAGGTCGGCGATGTTTTGTAGGCCGGGGGAATGCCACCATTGAAAGTGTAGTCCTTATCGCTTTTTTCTGAGCATTCTTTCTTCATGCGCTTGATAGGATTGAAGTGCTCGCTGAGGGATGGGCGTTCCGAAATTGGAGATGGCTTCTTCGCACCGAAAAACGCAGATGGGCTAGTAGCCCTCGAGACAGAGCGCCCACGAACGAACGGAGGAGAGACGGTGGAGGCGCCGGGTGTGAAAGTATTGGCCGCAGGGTTGGGTTTGAACTCCATAGCTTTCACATTGAACTTGGTTGAGACAGCCGAAGTCGGGGTCTGCGCCTTGCTCGGGCTGGTTACAGTAGGATGATCACCCGCCGGTCCGGTTGGCGGGCTGCGAACCTCATTGATGGGCAAGGGTGCAGGAACCGCTCCCATTGCAGCGCCTCTTCTCTGCTGCAAATTATCAGCCAGACGGTGGCCAAGCATTCCAGTGGCTTGACGACCCGCTTGCATGGCCTGCTGGGGAAGACGCCCAGTAGGACCACCATTGGGACCAGTGGGGGGGAACATCTGACGACCGCGTGAGGAATTGGAACGGTCGGTCTGGGCCGGTGGAGGAGCGGCAGTAGCCGCAGGCGCGCGAGTAACTGGCTTCTGCTCCACGGACCCTGGGGAAGACTTCACTGCCGTCTTCTCCTCGGCATGTTGCTGGGCTCGTTGAATGATCTCTTCCTGTTTGTGGGGGTCCTTCGCAAGAATTGGCACTAGGTCTTTGGGAACAGGGGTAGCTAACTTGAAGTTCTTCGAGAACCTCATCAGCTCGTTGAGTTTGATCGTTCGATCGTATGAGGCCTGGTTACGGCGGCGTTCCTGCATCTTCGCTTTCTCATCGCTGGCGAAGCGACGGAAAGAATCCAGCACCTCGACCTCAACGTTGGCAGTAGCATTACTGGGAGCGGGGACGGTAGGGACGGGTTGGGACTTCGATACCGGAGGTTTCTTCTCCGCATCAGCGGCGGGAGCGGGTGCTGGAGTGACCCTCGATGGCGTTTGCTGGGCCTGTGTCTGGGCAGGCTCCTTTGGCGTAGGAGTGACAGCGTCTTTCGGGACGCTTGGAGTTGAGCGGGCAGGGGCTGCAGAGGGGGTGGCAGCAGCAGGCTGAGTGGCGTTCTGCCTCCTGGCAGGTGGGGTGTACTTGTTTGGTTGTCCAGAAATAAGGGGCGGGAAGTTTCTTTCATCACGTCGGACGCCGCTGTACTTCTCTTCTTCGTCCCCATCATCTGCGGACACCAAACCGCGCTCCTCGCGGATATGGGCATTGTCCGTTGTAGTGCCTTCGATTTCACGGGCGATCCGAGCGGCCTCTGCTTCCTTCAGCTTGTAAGCAGGATCTGAGCGGTTGATCCTAGTTGTATAGATGTTCTCGTCATAGCTACTGGTAGCGCCGAACAGTCTTGCGTTCGCTTCGAATTGATCCCATCCAGATGAGGCGTTCGCGCCTTCCAGGGACAAATCCACATCCGTGTCCGCTGCTGGCTCCCAGCGCTTCAAGGTTCGCTCACGGATTGAGAGATTGCCAGAAATATCGGTATCAGTCTTGAAGCCTACCGAGGCGCCTAAGAATTGTCAGTCATTGACGGCGGCGCCATGGCTAGAAACATACCATTCGGGGCCTTCGCAAGGACATCAGTGGTGGAAACATCGGATACTGAGATATCGACGACGTCTTTGACGTCAAAGGACATACTATGATCCGGTGCGGTGCCCATGAACGGGCTCGAAGCCTCACTCATTCCGTTCGCTCTATGCTGTTCCTGCTTGATTGACCGCCGCACCATTTTTAAGAGGAATGCAGATTCGCTGGACTCCAGAGACGCAGATGAAAAGATTCCAGTGAACTTTTCTCCATTTCTGGTTGTGACCGTCGCAGTTAACCCCTGATGATCATATTAGCCTCCGCGATGATTTCTGAACAGAAATTGCAGCTAGGTGGAGCTCACAATGAAACTCGTGAGCAAAAACACAAGGCGATCATGTGCATGGTTATCAGGCGTGTTCGACTCTTTCGCGGAGGGTCTAGACGAGACTGGTTGCTTCTGGGGCATGTTGCCGTTCTGCTGCGCATATGACGATCGTTGAGTGATTGGGTTTCCCTGTGACCAAGCTTTCTGAGAGTTACTGCGTCTGATGAGCAAAGTATTAGTCAATTTGTATATCCATTTATCCATTGAAAAGAGCGAGCCAAGTGCCTGCACTTGTCATCACAATCTGCGTAACATATGACTTTCGAGTACCCAGGGAGGGAGATAACAGAGCAATGGCGAGAGAAGCCAAAGTCAATTGAAACGAGTAGCCACGGGACCATCTGCCAAGAAGGAACCATGAAGCTGGACCAAGATAGTCGGGGGAGAGGAGCAGCGGTGAAATCGGTGTGATGAGGTGAGGCGACCGGAGGAAAGGGCCGCGAACAACAGGGAACGATGAGCTGTACAACAAAACATACCTCTGTCCACCGTCGAGCGGACTACCAGATTGACGCCGGTTACCATCAGACGCCTTGGTACTAACGCTGGGTCTTAGCGTCGGCCGAGCGCTGGGGTTTGGTGAATTGACAGGATTGCCGGGGGCGTTGTTGGCGGCCGGCGCGGAGTTGACGGTTGAAGCCATCTGGCTGAATTGTCCAGTGACGATATAGCTCTACGTCGGCGCACGACGCAAAGCCGCAATCTGGATTGACGGAAGGCACGAAGCCGAGGAACACACCGCCTGCGCAAACTGAGCCAGACGGAAGGCGGGTTAGATGAAAGGTTGGAGTGGGAGGAAGAGTTAGAGAAATTAGGAGTGGGGGGAGGAGGAAAGGGAAGAAGGCGTAGTAGAGCAGACCAGGCGAGCCAGCGACAAGTCACGGGATCTCCAATTGCAATTCCACCGACAGTTGCTTGAGAGGGGTGTGGATTGAGATGAGGGGGGGAGATACCTGGAAGAGAAAGAGTTGAAGGAGGGGGGAAAAGGTGAAGAAACGAGATCCAAAGAGAAAGGGAAGAGGAAAGGTTAGGAGTCAAGGTAGTTGAACAACGTCTTCAAACTAGACAGACGTCGTCAATAGTGGGTTGCAATAATTAGAAGGTAACTTGGAGAGATCAATAATATTTTGGGGGGGCGGCGAGGAGGGGAGGATGAGGGAAGCCAGAAGAGAGAGGTTGATGGGAGCTGGAACGGGTACGGGTTTGGACTATTACGGTTAAGTCGGGGTCAGTTTAGCTTGTCAGTGATTCCGGGTAGTGGTAAGGTGGACATCACTGATTCAATAGACCCTTGGTTGGTGGTGGAAAAGCACAGGTGGGGAAAAGATCATGCTCATTTCCATTACTCTTGATATTGGATCGTCTGCTTGATTCTGCTACTCCTTGTAATGATTGTAATGACGTTGAACTTATCTACTGGATTGGAATGAAAGGTACGAGACAGTATGGAGTATTCCGTACTGTACAGTACATACATAGTGCCATCATGCTTCATCCTGGGTCTTTGCTTCCCTCCATCTATGACACCGCCTAATGACCTGAAGAGCATTGGATCCTACGAAAGAGCAACCGATTACTATACATTGCTCCTGTCATCGTTTTAAGTATTTATGGTTTATTCCTGAAGAATTAAGAAAGACTACTTCTTCCCCAAGTAAAAATTAAAAGATCCCTCCTTGTGTGCGTCCGCTTCAGGGAATCAGAATGCAGAGATGCGCATGCGTCTGTCTGTGTGTGTGCATCTGTTCCACCTCGCTACTGAGACGCACCATGTCGCCTCACTCCACTTGCCTGTGCCTTTCCCTCCGGTGGTTTGGCAATCTCAAATTCTCAACGCCAATGGGCTCGGCCCATGCGGCCTGTCATAATCCACCCGAGCACTTAAGATCCACCCCTCACTGGGTATTAGAGTACATACAACACTCATTACGGATATGTTGGCTGGACCAGTATCTACCACCAAGATCTGGAATGATCCCTTGCCGCATGGAAGTCCTTCAGTTGAGCCCACGACTTTTGGGACATGCTCCCATCTGATCTCTGTGTTGTCAGTACGCCTGAGCAGCAGCGGCGCAGGCGGTTCTCATCTGTGCAAACGAAGTTGTAGTCTAAAACATCTTCAAGTACTGGTGGTTTCTGGTTTCCCGCGTAAGGGGTTACCGTACGGCCAACACATCCGACGAAGACCATGACATGATTCCGAAGCTGGTCTCAAGTTTCAACACCTGTAATTGTGTCCATATAACTGAAGACTCGCGCTTGGGTCTAGTCAGTGGTGCCTTTGGGTGGACTGAAGGACCGTGCTTTATTTTGGTTCCAAGGACGATCGAGCAAGATCCGGCGATGATAAGGCTGGTAACTTGGAGCAGGTGGAACATCCACGGCATGGCAAACCTACTGAGTTACGTACACCGTTGCGCTTTTCATAACAGTTGCAGGAGCTACACTGAGAGATGCCCATATGATCAGATCATTTAGCAGCATTATGGTTGCTAGTCGTGACTTTTTCCGCGACAGGTCATTCAGCTGGGGTTTCGGCCTTGATATACTAGTGCGAGGTCCTCCCTCTGATTAGGTTAGGGGATAGGTTGGACTGTGTGAACTGTTCGCATGAGAAGATCGGCTATCGGAAAATATAGCAGGAGACTTTATCAGTCCTGTGGACAGCTGGAGGAGATACGGATTCTATTCTGGGATACACAGAATCGGAGCCAATAGTGAATCAGAGATGGCTCTAGTATCCGAGGAGGCTCACTACCTCGAAGGAATAACGTTTGCAGGCATGACAGCATGTAAACTGAGATATACTGGTCAGTCGTTCCGAAGGATTTCAAATCCAGACCCATTCCAGCACTTCGCTTCATTACTCGTACAGTCATACTCCGTAATACTTCCCCTATCAGCAATTGCTGCTGCAATACGCCCTGGGAATTCTCGAAGGCTGGTTGGTGGAGCAGGTGACCTGGAAGCCCATCGGGTAGGAGTGGATACTTTTTCATGCCTGAGGCAGAGAAACCCGGCGCTAACCAACACAAGTTGCAAGTTGCTGCCGCAGCGACTGGACCAGTGGACAGCCGGTGATCAGGTCCGACTTGGGATTTGGGGGCTGAAGATCCGATGCCCAAGAAAGAGAACTAACTAGAGAACAACAAAGTTAACTTAACCACAACCAGCACACTCCCCTCTACTACTCATTCAGTAGATTGACAGCTTGGCTAACACCTCATTACACAGTAGATATTGGATTCCTGGACTCACCCACTAACTTAGTCCACTAACTCCGTCTCTCTCCGACGACCTGCTGAGTACTTACTACGGAGTAGGTACTCCGTAGTTACCTTAGTCTGTTCTACCTAAATTCATCATCATCTTCATCACCACCACCACCACTTCAGCCATCACTAGTTACCACTACCACCGACCCCTCCCATCGGGTGGAAAAGAGGCTGGTTCCTTGGCTCTACTTATTGTGCGCTCATACTCCCTACTTTGTCTCCTATCTTCTCTCCCTTTTTCCTTTTTCCTTTTTCCTTTTTTCTTTTTTTTTTTCTTGTGGTTTGGCCACGGCTTCTTCCTTCGAGTCTCTTTTCTAATTCCTAATCTCGCCGCCGTCTTGCCGCTCTTTCCCCTTACACAAACCCTTTGAGACAGTCTTCGGGCCCGCTTCCCCGTTCCCTTGCGCCCTGCATCTGCTCGTCGCTCTTAAACCCTCGCATCTCCCCAGTCATACACACTCAACCCGTGAAAACGGGATCTCCTCGGAGTTTCCTTGTCTGCTGCCACTCATGCAGTCCAGCTCCAGCACCTCTCGCTCCCAGCAGCGAAGTCCCTCCGGCCAACATTTTCCCGCCGGTTCAGGAAGCAGTGTCGAATCTGCCATGGCTTCTGCGCCCCGCAGCTCATCCAGCTCAACACGTTCTCAACCTTCATCGAAGACTGTGGTGGTAAGTCAAATCCGTCTGCTGGTCACCACTCCTTATTGTTGCTCCACAAAATAAAATGTTCCGGCCTAACCTCGTGGTGCTGATGATCCCCGTCAGCCCGAAAGGCAGATCAACCAAATTGAGAAGAGTGTCACGCATCTCCTGGTAGCTACGAAACAACTGCTTGAAACCTTGACACAATGGTCCCGGCGACAGGCTTCGGAAAATGAGGTCTCAGATGTCTATGTGCGGTTGGGCTACGAATTCAACCTGGCCTGTCGCGCCTTCAACGCTATCGGAGTTGACACCTCAGATCTTGGCCCTGTTCCAGACCTCCTCCGCACCATCCTCGAAGATACCCTTAGTCAAGACGCATCCCCCCAGGCCCTCGATCGCTACCTTCCACGGATTCGTGATATAATCATCAATCTTCTCCATGGGCTCAAAAAGAAGCAGGCCCGGCTACGGTCCCGGCAGCAGAAGGAGGAAAGTAGACCTCTTCCCGGTCGACAGGCAAGTGCTGGAAGTGCTGCAGCTACGCAGGCGGCGATGAACCAGGCCTATGAGGAAACTGCATCCACAGTGACCTCCCCGAAACGGTCGACCCGTCGCTACGGAAGTAATGGCGCTGCCGAGGATGCCGTGGCACGAGCGTCGTCGACGACAGCAGCAGATGCGCGAGGCACGAGTTTTTCGGAACGGGAGGCTTCAAGGAGGGAGACGCAGAGTATCTTGTCTCAATCACCCCACTCAGAAAACGCGACACCTTCGAAGACTCCTGTGGCTCCAACCACCGCGGCTTCGTACCCCGCACCCCCGCCTCCTCCAAAACAGGATGATGCGCTAGGGGCTCTCCAGAGAAGCGGTGAATTGGAGCGTCGTGCGTCTCGACGCTTTTCTGCGTATCAGATACAGAAGCACTTAGGTGGTTCGTCGAATGGTGTTCCCGTGCTCCCAACTCAAAACTCCCCCATCCCAAACCGTGGCCGGGATGTGCGTGAATCTCTCAGCGCTGTGCGCTTGCGAGGATCTGTCCATGCACGACAACGATCCACAAACCGGCTAACCGATCTAAAAGGTGCCGCGGCGCAGACACCTTCGAAAGTTCCTAGCATTGAAGAAGAGCGCCCAAAAGCCAATGCTGAAACACGTGCGCAGTCACCTGTGGAGGCCGCTGTCACCACCAAAGATATGGCTTCGGGACGCCCGGAGGGCGACGTAGCAGACCCCTCGGTGACCGGACGACAGCCAGCTCTGCCTCAACCTCCGGATGAACCGGCCCTTGCCGAAGCATTCGAGCCGACCAAGGAAGCGACGGGAGCAGCTCCACCTGGAACTCCAAAATCCGAGCGACGCCCACCGTCGGCCGCTACCGCCACTCCGCCGCAATCGTCTCAGTACTCTCCGGAACAGCAGTCTCCGGGTAAGGAACTTACCCTGTTTTTGCAGTACAGGAGCAAAATCAAGAAGTTCGTCCTGCCTGAAGGTTACACGGGCCTGACCATCGGGCGCCTTCAATTGGCTTTCATTGAGAAGTTCGCCTGGAATACCCACAACAATGGAGTGGATTTGCCAGAAATCTATATCCAAGATCCCGTTTCTGGTGTCCGCCACGAATTGGAGGACCTGAGCGACGTCAAGGATAGATCTGTCCTGGTGCTCAATATCGACATTCTCGATGAAGTCAAGAAACATTTCGATGATGAATTTGGTGGAGTTCGTCGATTGATTGAAGGTGTCAAGGGGGCTCTTGAAGGTCAAGAGAGCATGATGCAGCGTGTTTCGGAGCGCCAGCTGGAGGCGGCGAAAGAAATGGCTCGCTTAGCTGCTGCACCTCCTGGTCCGGTCCTCGGCAACGCGAATCTCGGGGATAGCCATAAAGGGCCCATTGCAGGAAGCAACAATCAAGTTGCAGAACTTCAGAGCTTGAGACGTGACCTTGCCGTCCTGCGCCAAACGTATTCAAACTTTTCGTCAGACATTGCCAGCTCCATGAACGCGATCCGCACCAAGGCAGGCAGCCTCAAGACTGCCGCTGCAGATGTCTCCGTGCCATCTTACGAAGGCGATGCTGGTCGGGTGCGTGTAAATGCTGGTAAGAAAGAGCTTGCCGAAGAGTCCGAACGCCTTGTGGCCCGCGTCGACGATCTCCAGGACCTCGTTGAGGATCTCCGCAAGGATGTGGTGAGCCGTGGCGTTCGACCCCTTCCAAGGCAACTCGAGACTGTCAGCAAGGACATTAGTGCCGTTACTAAGGAAATCAAGAAGATGCAAGAGTTCCTCAAGCGGGAGAAGCCTGTGTGGACGAAAATTTGGGAGAAGGAACTTCAGCTGGTCTGTGAGGAACGGGATCAGCTTACTATGCAAGAAGATCTCGCGGCTGATCTTCAGGACGATTTGGAAAAAGCCGCTCAGACTTTTGCGCTTGTTGAACAGGCGACCAAGCAGCAAGCGCTGCAGAATACTACCGGCGGTCCCGCGCTGCGTCATACTTCACGCAATGTAGTAATTGATCCGGCAGTCGACCCGGTGAAAGCCAAGGATAGCGTTCTCGGAGAGGTGCGTGCTCTGCAGCCCAACCATGAATCTCGACTGGAAGCGATTGAGAGGGCGGAGAAAGCTCGCCAGAGAGAGCTTGAAACCCGTCTGGTTGGCAAATTTCAGAAAGAACTCGGTGCATTCGTTGAGGAAGGCAAGTTGAAGAAGAGTGGAGGTGTGGAGGAGGCCGAAAGACTTCGTCGAGCCAAGGATGAGCGTATCCGCAAGGAGGTTTGGGAGAGGCAACAGGCACGCGCGGCTGAAATTGAAAAAGCTGAAGCTGAAGCGGCAGCAGCAACAGCAGCGCAGGCGGAGTCAAGTGAAGAAGCCGAGGGAGATGCTGAAACCAAGCCCGACTCAGACGATCATCCAGCACCTGCGGAGGAGGTAGCAGCCACTGAGGGAACGTTTCTTCAAGAGAAGAATTCTGCTTCCGAAGACGACGAGGAGATGGACGAGGAGCAGAAATCACCGAGCGTGGAAGTCGATAAGAACGAGGAGAGCGATAATAATAAAGTCGAACCTATCGATGACGCTCATCGTTCCGATCTCGAGCCCTAGGAATTCGCGCTGGTTGGCCAGCCCGCGGCCAACATGATCAGCTGCATCCTCATTTTCCTCATCATTTACATCTTACATTTTGCATAACATGATTTGGATTGCGCTCTTTTGATTTCTCTTTTGTGTGTTCTTGCCGATACTTTGCCTCTCTTGATCACACCCTTCCCTTTGCGTGTTTTGATTGACTCGTCCCGCTTTGACCTCGTCCATTGTTTGCTGGATGTGCATGGGAGCTTGCGTGTCCGTGTATTGATACCCTGCCAGCTTGTGGCACGTTATGAACCTTGATGATAAGGGGGGGGGTTAGTGCCTCTGGTGCGATATTGCTTCGCTGGAGGCCCAGCGAAGCATGGATCTCTGCTGGAGTTGCTTCAACATTTTGTACATTGTAGTAGAGGACCGATAACATTTTCGAGTGTTCGAGTGTTGTTACTATTGCACAGTAATATTGCACAATTTACCACGAGAATTTTTTCACTTCAATGGAGAAATTCACACAAAACCCATCCCCATTTGTAGCTTCGACCGATCGGTTCGAATATGCGACCCAGAAGGCACGGGGAAAACCGTCAAGCTAGCGAGTGCAGGCTGCACTGCTTGTCCCGGGCCGAACCTTAACGCTTGCCGATTAACAAGTACTTAACAACTACTAACTACTACTACTACTACTACTACTACTACTACTACTACTACTACTACTACTACTACTACTACTACTACTACTACTACTACTAATCAGGGCCCTTGTGAGTGGAGGCATGGATGGTCATTTGGCTCAACACTTCGTATCCGCTCTTTCTCGTGTTCCTATTATTTTGAGTCGAGAGGATATCGAAAAATATGACCCCAGCGATACAGGTCTCTTCGACATGCTGTACAATAGTCTCTGGCAACATGTCCGGCTCAAGCCCCCGTTGAGTGACTCAGGGCCAGGCTGGCGAGTTGAATCTCGGCCCATGGAGGTTCAACTGAGCGATCACGACAATGCGGCAATGTGCCATCTTCATCTACCTCCTCTCACGTGCCATCATAGCCTTTCATCTGAGCTCCATCGACAGATTGAATACTTCTATGAAGCAAGCCCAGAAGCGCAACGCAGCGCTTGATCAGCGGATCTGGTTCCGTCGCACAGGCTGGGCTGGTCTGGTCTAGAACAACAAACGAACCATGCCTGTAATGAAGGCACACCCACCTGCTACATGGAACAGCAAACAAACAACACATGGAGAGGCTCCGAAAAAGTCGCTCAAGATCCTTCATCGCAGTATGACCTGCTGTCCAGAAGCAAAATCATCAATGGCGAGAGCCCGAATGACTCGAGTGGCTTTCCTGGATTGTCTGGGCGTACTTGCGGTACATTGAGCGTCGGAAGCCGTACCTGGATGTGATCAGTAGACGGCGCCAGTGGCGAGCTCCCAGCTCCAGCGTAGTGGGTGAGGTCTGTTGTCATGACACATTCAGAGTATCGAAGCGATAGTCGTGTGAGCGAGAAGATCCGGTGTGATTTGTTGCAAGATTATGTGTATGGAGCAGTAAGTAAGCAGACGCAATGCATGCGAGAATATCCCTAGTCTTGGTTCATAGATACGATGATAAGCTGCCTGATGGATTGGTACTTGTCACTCAGATGCGGGGGCATCGTTCGTTTCTCACTTCATAGACTTGACATGCCTTTGTGTCGGGGGTCTGAGCTCTACCATTTGTGTGATAGGTTTGTGAGCCAGAGCACGAGACGTACAGCATTGGCTTTGATACTATGTACAGTTTAACATGCACTAAGCAGTTTTTGGAAAGCAGTGTGCTTTTTCTGGACCCCTGGGAAACTGATGTTACTATAGGGACGGTGTTGTAAACGGCTTCGAACAGGAATGACGCAAGTCTTGTAGTTGGGTAGAAGTGAATAACACCGCTAACTACCAATCCCACCATCGGCCAACCGTGATTTTCTGAACTGCGAGTTGCCATCTTGTGTATCTTCAGTTTTCTTCTGTGTCTTTTTTGTTCTCCAGGCCTCGTTTTCACCTATATCTACATTCGGCTTTGTTAGCCCTAACCATCATTTTGACGCGTCGTGTGGCCCTGAAGCAAGAACGATATCACAGTCATGGTCATCGAAACGACCCCGGTAACTATCTGGCACGAGAGTAAGCCTCAGGATGAGTTCCTCGACGAGCGCTTCGGGAAGCTGTTCGACATGAGTAACGTGGCGCTGGTCGAGCTCGCCCTCAGCGTCCGCAGCAAACACAGCACCGACAACACGCAGGCCACCGCCAAAGTGATCGAGCACTGGATTGGCACCTACAACCTCATTCACATCGTCGAATTCAGCGACGGGCTCAAGTACGTGGTCCGGGTGCCCGCCAGCGCCCGCCACGGAACTATGACCGAGGCCGCACAGCGCGCGTTGATCACCCAGGCACACATGATGCGATTTGTCAAGAAACGGACCATGATCCCGATGCCGAACGTCTTCGACTTCGATGCCGGCTTTGACAACATCATCCAGGCGCCCTACATTGTCATGAGCTACATCCCTGGGCGGATGGTGGCGGAGGCGTGGTTCGATCGAACAGGGCCCGTTCCGCTCGAGGAGAAACGGCTGCGGATCTTGAATGATGTTGCTGAGGCGGTGGCGCAGCTGCGTGGGTTCCAATTCGACCAAATCGGCTTCATTGAAGGGGACGAGGCTGCCACCGCACCTGGCGGCGCAAGAGGCAGGGGAGGACACCAGCCAATACCGATGGGCCCCTGCTTCGGCTGGGAGGAGAACTACCTCCAGGATACCACCCATATCTTTCATATCGAGCAGTGCGGACCCTTCACTTCCTCGGCCGCGTACCTGCGCAACCGCCTGCAGCGTACCACACAGTGGGTGGAAGGGATCCCCGATCGTGGCTGCCGCGTGCTGCTGGACCTGATGATCGATTGCCTGCCACGTTCGACCCGGCGCCACAGCGAGCCGCGCGAGTCGTTCGTGCTCAGCATCCCCGACCTCAGCGCCAAAAACGTGCTCGTCGACGAGCAGGGCCGCGTGACGGGGTTCGTTGATTGGGACGACGTCCACACCATGCCGCGCTTCCTGGGATACGCTGGCTTCCCCGGCTGGATCATCACCTACCTTAACCCGCAGCACATTCTCTATGCTCCTGAGGAGCATGATCAGGAGGAGGATTCCCCCGAGCTGCTGAAGCAGTACCGTCGGCTGTACAATCGCAAGATGCAGACCCTATTGCGCGGATCTCGGGATGCCCGGTTCGTCCACAAGTCCCACTACTATCAGGCGGTGCACTCGGCGATCTGTACCCAGCGCGGGCGCCTGCATCTCGTCTCCAACCTCGTGGCGAAGGCGTTCCCGACGGATCTGGGCATGGCGATGGATTTGATTCTGTTGGCGGGCCAGGGGAAGCTGTCGACCGATGATAAGGATCAGTTGACGCACGGGTTCCAGATGCTGTTCGCGGTTTCTGGATGAATGGTAACGGTGGGTTGGATTTGTGCTGTGCTGCACGAATGTACTGTACATAAAATTGTTTCCCAATTTGGCGATGCATATCCCTGTCATGGGGATGGCATGTGACCCAGCCATTGATCGGTTCCTGGATTCAGTTTGCTTCGATGATGATATCACCTCCAAATGTCTGTACCACAGTTTAGAAACTTCTTCTTCTTCTTCTTCTTCTTCTTCTTCGTCATGCCAATCCCAAGATAAAATGTCTGTGCCAACGCTACTCCTCGCTCTTTTACCTCTCCTAGCAATATACCTGTGGCAACGGCTCCGATATCTGCGATTCAACCAGCATGCCTCCTGGCCGCAGCTCCCCCCTTCCCTCCTCTGGGGCCACATGAAAGCATTGAACGAGTTCGTCAAGCGCGGGGAACCGCGTAGGCATATCGGTATGCTGCTCCACTCATATACCCAGCCAGTAAAGTACTCAGGTGGAGAACTGCAGATCACGTATTCGGGGAGATACAGCAGTCTCTCGGCAACCCGCCGCTGTTTCTTGTCGACCTTCGCCCTGTCGTGGGCGTTATCGGCATAGTGTGCAACCATGAGGTCGCAGAGCAAGTCTCGAGGAGCACCAAGGCCTTTCCCTACAGCATGAGCAAGTCTCCAACAATGAAACCGCTGGAGCCGCTACTGGGGCCGCATTCGGTGATAACCGCCGAGGTTTGTGTTGAATTATCGATTGCGCGCTTTGCTCCCATGGAAAATCGACGGACTGATTTATGTCCTTCATGCTAGGGCGAACAATGGAAAGCTCTACGCAAGCGCTATAATCCGGGCTTTGCTCCGCAGCACCTTCTTACGCTGCTGCCTTGTATTATTGATAAGGCACGGATCTTCATTCAGTGTCTGGATAAGTACGTGCAGACTGGCGAGGAGTTCTCTCTTGAGGACCGCTGCACCAGTCTAACGCTGGACATCATTGGTAAGCCTCATGCACTACGTGAATCTGGTTCTAGTAAGTTTAGAAATCCTAACGTTATATACGATCTCAGGAGCCGTCACGATGGACACCGACCTGAACGCCCAACTTCCCACCAACCAACAAAGTCAACTCGCCCACCGCTACCGGCAATTACTTGCCAGCTACGGCCGCGACGGCAAGGCCAGCAGCTTCCATCCAACGGGGCTTCTGAAACCTTTCATCCTGCTCCGTCGCAAAATCCTCGTCCACCAGATCGACCTCCTGCTCAAAACCCACATCGAGACAAAATTCGCTGAGCTGCAGACCACCACAAATAAGTCATTCTCCCGAAGTATCCTCGGCCTCAGTCTCCAAGACATCGATTATCTCACTCCCCGCATTATCCACGAAACCGCCGACCAGCTCAAATCATTCTTGTTCGCCGGCCACGACACCACTAGCATACTACTGCAGTGGACGTTCTACGAACTCAGCCGCACCCCGCGTGTGCTGGACGCTGTCCGCCGCGAGCTGGATGCGATCTTCGGGAAGGAGACGTCCTCTTCGCCGGCCGCTGTCGCGGAGATCTTGCTCGCTGGGGGCGACGAGTATCTGTCGCAGATGACGTATATCGCGGCGGTGATCAAGGAGGTCCTTCGATTACATCCCCCCTCAGGAACGGCCCGTTACATGCCGCCTGGCACGGGGTTCACGGTGACTCTTCCTGACGGGCAGACGATGTGTCTTGATGGGGTGGTTATCTACGGTTGTGCGACGCTGGTGCAACGCGACGAGGCGGTCTTTGGCCCCACGAAGGATGAGTTCTGGCCCGAGCGGTGGTTGGAGGGTACTATTGCGGGTGGTGGTGCTGCTGTCAAGGGTAGCAGCCGTGCTTCCTCGGATGATAGTTGGGAGAATGTTGGTGGTGCTGGTACTGAGCAGATCCCCGTTAGTGCGTGGCGGCCCTTTGAGCGCGGTCCACGTAATTGCATTGGACAAGGGTTGGTCAATCTTGAGGTCAGAGTCATCCTGGCCTGTACTGTCCGGCGGTTCGACTTTGGGAAAGTTGGGCTTGGGGCTGTTGCTCGAGATGCTCAGGGGGTGCCGTTGCTTGGGCCGAAGGGGCAGTTGGAAGTTGTGGAGGAATTGTTTAATGTGAGTTTTTTTTTCTCTTTCTTTTCTCTTTCTTACCTTTGTTGCTTGTATGCAGGATTTTTGTGCCACTGACTTTTGCATTCCCTAGACGATGCAGGTGACAGCGAAACCCGTGGATGGGACCAAGATTAAGGTCAGGTATGCGTCTTGGGGATGAGTTCTACAGACATCATTAGGGAATAGCACAGTGACGAACTCAACACGAAAGTCGAAGCAAAGTGTATTCCAGCTAGTAACATGCCCAAAGCTGGAGAACTGTGATATAGCTGCTTCTGATGGCTATGGCTATCTCAGACTTGGAGCTCAGATAATCCCGTACCAGCCCTGCCGTGCGAGTAGGTAGGATTGAAACCCTTCCCAACACCACTCTTTCCTCCTATCCTGCACCATAAACCAACCACGACAAAAGGTCCGCTTCGGGGGCGCTGGCAGCGTCCTGAGCGGACCCCTCTATTGAAACGCGCTGCGCTATCGGGATATGCTGACCGGGTATAGGACTTGTTCTTATCTTTCACCCGTCGGAATCTATATCTTCTATCCTCCACATGTTCGCTCTTCTCGCTGTACGCTGATGTATACTGCTGAGTATAGTAGTGGGAAGGGGTATACTCAAAAGTCTATTCACATCAGCCATTGGCTGACCGCACAACTCCACGGTTGGTATAAAGAGCCGGGCTTTTCTAGGTACTCCTGCACTTGCTTCTAGATGAGATGTTTTATGGAATGCCCAGTCATAACATTCAGTCTGGGGCAGCGCTGTTGTCTTCAACATGGATGCGAATGTTTGGTCCCGGAATTGGGTACTAGGAAACGGGCAGAAGCTACGGTATCGAATATACAAATAGCTAAACGGCTTGTTAATCTTCACGAGGCAGTGGGACATGACAGGGCGGCCAATGAAATTATTCTCATGGCGCCTAAGCTTGTAGCCGCGTTGGCTCCTTGGCCAAGTCAGAGCGAGCTACAATATTGAACGGCAAAACGGGTCAGGTGGAGCACTAGAGTAAGTCAAGGTTAGTGGGCAATTCCCGGCTTGTGTGGAGAATGTAGCACACTAAGGTATAGTAGTTCGAAGTGCAAGGCCACACCAGCCAGATTTTAGTCAAATATTCGTCAAGAATTGATCACGAAGTATTACCAAAATTCGATCCATAGATCTTCGTGCTACTTTCCGGGAATGTGCTAGTAGGATGAGACAAGTTACAGAGCGCGCGTTAAGCTACGTGAAGATGGCTTCTTCGACCTATCATTGATCGCAGTCCCAAAGAGCTAGTCTTCCTAGGGCAAGGGCTTATAGCACTGACACAGGCCATATACGAGATGGCTCGTCAACAATCTCCTGCATATTGCTGTGATTGAACTTACATGACCAACGCATCATCATACTGGCCATCATGTGCTGCTCGTTAAGTGCTCGCAGGAGCATCCAGCCGGGAGAAAACGAAGTGTGCGCGGGAGGTTTGGGAGGAGAGGGTTGATGGTAGGGATTAATATTATCAAGGCTGATCATGACTTCTCAAAGACTTCAGAGAGGACTCGTCTCAATGGGTCAGGGTAGCCGACAACCTAGGTACGCGCAGGCCAAACTATGGTCTCCGTGGGCTCTGTCATATGGACGGGAGGGTGACGATATCACAAACAAGAGTTGAGATTTTAAAAAAAAAACATACAACAGAAGGGATTCGCTGGTGGTCACCCACCCAACTACTAACCTCCCGGCGTGTGGCTTGAGTACGGCTGAGCGGACGGGAAGCCCTATTTTCCACACCCTGTGGTCGTATGTACTTAATTAGATTCGGACTGCTATTATCTTCCAGGTTTCATGAGTAATCCTCGCATGGTTCTCGGCTTTGTTGTGTTGTTTAAAACCAAAGTAGAAGAATCAGCTTGCTAGTATGATGGACACGATCATCCGAGTCGCCTAGCTGGATCTCAGATTGGGTTCAAAGCCAAGTGAAGATGATGGCTTATTTGAGGTCGCCGCCGAAGATGCACCTATAGCAAGTACTATGCTAGCGGGGGGAAGTACTGAGAGATACTTGTTGGGGCGGGTCAATCAAGATATCTAAAGCTCAGTCTCATGGTTAGAGCCTGCACGAGAAACACCTGCTAGCATCTATAACAAGGGCCTATCAGGAATACTCATAGTACAGACCCAATCCACTAGGTGCCGATACGGTAAGAGAGACCCCTGCCATCAACGGAAACAATAGTCATCCCTTAAGCATTCTTCAAGTACTGAGTGTGAGTCTGTGAGGCTGTGAGAGCAACAACTTGGTGAGTGGTGGATGTCTGGAAGGATTAGACCAAATGCCAAGTGGGGTCTGCACAGTAAGTAATCTGACAGTTGCGCATCAAACAGTATACTAGTAGAGTCCCAGTTTGAAGGACCTCGTGGAGTCCTTGAAGGCTATACTCTATATGTATATTAGTGGGGTTGAGTCTTGAAGAAACTATACATCATCGCACAGCTGGCCTGCATGAGTTGGTTGCTGCTGCCTGTCTCCCAACCTTCCCCAGCCACCAGAATTTATACATCGCTGATAAGTAGGACTCAAAAGTTGTGGTCGCACGAAAGTATGCACGCCTGTCACTCCCACTCACTAATCCATTCTCCAAGACGGTGTGGCTGACCTCCCTAGTCAGCCTGGTTTGATTTTTCACCTCCTCCATGTTGCTCGCACCTCTCCTGGCCTGCCTGGTAGGGCCATCCTTTGCCGATTCGGTGGCCGCAAACAACCTCTCCACCCTCGACATCACAATTCAACGCAATGCTCTTATTGAGTCGTACCTTGCACATCGGCCCATTCGAGGGGTCAGAAAAATGAGCGAGGATGAGGGCGAGAAATTCTTTCTCGATTACTGGCAATTCGACGACAACTACGCGTTGGGCAATTCATCCGACACCCCAAATGGCTTGGCTTCGCCCGCAAGACGCTCCGAGAGCCTACAAACGTCCGAAGAAGTCGATTTCCAACCGCAATCATACCCTTTCAACCCCTCGTACTCGAGTGGTTTGGACATCGAGGGGCGCGGCTGGAGGGCGAATTTCTCACCGCTTCTTCGGCGGGACTTCCGGTGTCCCAGCGGCACCTCCAACTGCACCTCGATCGACCGGCCCGATAGCTGCTGCAGTACCGATGATACGTGCGTCCTAGTCAAAGATACGGGATCCGGGGATGTGGGCTGCTGTCCGAAGGGTAAAACCTGCTCGGGTACTATCGGCGCATGTGCCGAGGGGTATTCCAGCTGTCCCTCGTCGATGGGCGGGGGGTGCTGCATTCCAGGTTATGATTGCGTTAGTGGCGGATGTATGTAAGATAGCTGCTGAGTCCCGTCCTTCTGCACTGCTTGCCTTTCTGAGGCTAACGCTAATTTCATACATAGGTATGCGGGTCTTCACGGTCACTGTTACCGTGAGCTCGACCGTTCTGCTGTCAACCTCAACTCAAACAGTTGCCGCGACTACCAAGACGCTCTCCACGGGGGATTTGATTCCTCCTGCACGGCCTACGAGTGTGTCCACGGCCACGAGCTCCAGCACCAGCAAGACCACTAGAACAGCGACCGTGTCAGTCTGTCCAACAGGATTCTATGCCTGCTCCGCCGTTTATCAGGGCGGCTGCTGCCGCACAGGCCGCGATTGCGACACCACATCTTGTCCCGCTACGCCGTCAACGACCATCGCCAGTGACGGCGTCACTATCGTGGTCCCGGTGACGAGTGCAACGGGGACCGCCACTGAGGCCGCCAGTGGCAGCAGCAGCAGCAGCAGCACGGGCCGGTGCGCGAGTGGATGGTTCAGTTGCGCCGAAACAGTCGGGGGCGGTTGCTGTCCGACGGGATATCGGTGCGGCTCCAGCTGTACAGCAGTCTCAACAGCCACGGAGACCGTCTCAAAAGAGCAACCAACGAGTGGAGGAGGTCAGAAGTCAGTGGTATCAGGAGGGATGGCGGGCGTGAGCATCGTAGTTGTAGTGGCTATGGCGATCCTAAGCATGAACTAACGAATAACGAATTCGACCTGGAATAATATATACACGGAGTGACGGTTAAATGAAACAGTGCGGGAAAAAGGTAAAAGTCACTGGGGGGGGGGGAGGGAGCTCGGATAAGCGATAGTGAATTCTTGACAGGCAAAATGAGCCCCCCGTGGGGCGGGCAGGTGGGCACGTGGGGTCCGCCGGACCTCACAGCAGTAAGTAGTAGTAAGTAGTACTCCGTAGTAGCCATTCATCCATTCATTCCTTCCGGTGAAGGAACCCCGACCCTCTCCGATGCCGCCCTTCTTCTCCTCTTCCTAATCTTCACTTTCCTCTCCACCCTCCTTCTCCTCCTCCACCACCCCCCCCCTCCCCCCGGCATCCGGCATTTGCACAGTTTCTTTTTCCCTTCCTTCTTGCTTGCATTGTGTCTTGTTTTCTTTTTCGATCCCGTGGGTGTTCTTCAGTCAATCAACATCATGGCCACCCAAAACCAGCAGAAGCCCCTTCCCTTCCAGTACCAGTTCATTGCTGGTGCCGTGGCTGGTGTGTCCGAGGTAAACCCCATCGCGTGATTCTCCAATTGACTTTGAAAACTATGAAGCTGATTGTGATCCTAGATTCTTGTTATGTATGATGCCAGCCCGCGACCGATCCCTTCGATGCTCTCAATGACTAACAGACCGTGAACGACAGGTACCCACTTGATGTGGTCAAGACCCGAGTGTAAGCTCCCAGCCATCTTTGACAGGTCCTTTGACTAACACCTCCTGATCTCGTTCACAGTCAACTTCAGACCGGCCCTGCCACCGCAGGAGGTGATCACTACAATGGCATGTTCGACTGTCTCCGCAAGATCGTGAAGAACGAAGGGTACCGACCGCCTCCTTCCCCTCCCCAAAACCAACCAAACATTACAGCCAACACCAAGCTTCCCTCTGAATATCGCCCCATCCCCACCACAAACGACCTCAGCTAACACTCACACCACTTCACCAGCTTCTCCCGTCTCTACCGCGGTATCTCCGCCCCGATTCTCATGGAAGCGCCCAAGCGCGCCACTAAATTCGCCGCCAACGACAGCTGGGGCAGCTTCTACCGCAACCTCTTCGGCGCCGCCGAGCAGACGCAATCGCTCGCCATCCTGACGGGTGCCACCGCCGGTGCGACCGAGTCCTTCGTTGTCGTGCCCTTCGAGCTGGTCAAGATCCGTCTGCAAGACCGCGCCTCGGCCGGCAAGTACAACGGCATGCTGGACGTGGTGCGCAAGATTGTCGCCGCCGAGGGTCCTCTGGCTCTGTACAACGGCCTCGAGTCCACCCTGTGGCGCCACATTCTCTGGAACTCCGGCTACTTCGGCTGTATCTTCCAGGTGCGCGCGCAGCTGCCCGCCGCCGAGCCGGGCAACAAGGCCCAGCAGACCCGTAACGACCTGATCGCCGGTACTATCGGTGGTACAATGGGTACCATTCTCAACACCCCGATGGACGTCGTCAAGAGCCGGATTCAGAACACTGATAAGATCCCCGGTCAGGTTCCCAAGTACAACTGGGCCTGGCCCGCCGTGGGCACCGTGATGAAGGAGGAGGGCTTCGGCGCCCTGTACAAGGGCTTCATTCCCAAGGTGCTGCGGTTGGGTCCCGGTGGTGGTATCCTGTTGGTCGTGTTCACGGGCGTGATGGATTTCTTTAGGAAGATGCGCAACGAGTAAAAGCACGGTTCCGGTTCATTCTTGCGTCTTTCGATTTGTTTATGGTTGCTTATTATGATCATCATGATAGAGAGAGAGAGAGAGAGAGACTTTGTATGTGTCTGAGAAGAGCATAAATATGCTAAGAAGAGGGGGGATGAGGATAGAAAAGAGACAGGATGGGATAAACCCCAACAGGGAGGGTAAACGTGATTTGATCCTTATCTTGGTTCGCAATAGAGTCATCCTCTATTGTCTGTTACGCGGTCCGGTTGTTTTTGTTACGAACTCGTTCCCTCAAATCGCAGAATCAGATCTACTTCAATCTTCTGCGATATAGAGCCCACGGAAGATACTGTAGAACTACTTATGTTTGCACGCAGACAGCATCTTTTTACTGAGTCAGCGAGTGCAGTCCCCAGATATCACCTGATCCAGGCCAGGTACTTACCGCAACCCTTGGCGCCACCTCCCACTTGTTCAGCACGCCGCCGCCGGCGTTGGTCTACCCTACCCTAGAATTAGATACTAGGTAGGTAAGCTGATCCGAAGGGGAGGAACCGCACGTGGGAATTGCCCTCCTATCCATTCACAGCACCCAGGGACCTACAGTAGTTCGTCCGACTGGTTGGTGCTATCGGCCATGAGGTGGCGCCTTTTTCACCCCTCCTCCATGCATACACATGTGCTTCTGCCCTATGACTCGATTCCTGCAAACCTGTATCGCGGGTAGGAGTCGGGACCGATCGTCAATCACTGCAATGCCACCATAAATTACACGAAGTATCCACCACTAGTGTGAGAAAGGTTTCAAAGTATCGTTATATAAATGACGTATATTATGGGTGGTCGAGGAAAATCAGCCGGTAATGACACCCGAGAATGGGTCCCATGGGTAAACAAAACAGCAACGCACAAATTATCACGCATACAATTAAATGGGAAAAGGGTATCGATGTAAAGCGAGAAAGGAGAGAGGAAGAAAAAACATATATGCCAAAGTAAAATCAAATCCGACAGAAATCACCATCAAAGAAAAAAAGAAAAAGTCCAATAAATCAGCAAAATAGCTCGAGAAACCATATCAAAAACAAGACATCCAAAAGAAATCCAACCAAGATCCGAAATGCGAGAGCAAGGTAGAACAAACATTATTAAGCACACCCTTGAATCAACGACGAAGAGGTCATCTCAACCAAGAGCGTCGACGAAATCTGTCAAAACTTCCGCGTACGCCGGTCACCCAATGACGCCGTTGTGAACGACAAGGCCATGACACGTAATCGTTGAAGGGGAAGGTAAAGCTCATTCAAACATGGAATCAGCTCTAATTCATTTCCATTGCGTATTCATCCTCTTCCTTGAAGCTCATGCCAGCATGGCCCGAGCTGTTCCAGTACTGCGCTTGCCCACCCCCGCCATTGCTGCTGCTGCCACTGTTGAAAGGTGGACTCAGACTCTGGGGGCTCAACGTCCCGTTGCCGCTGACGGAATCTCCAGCGAGGTTGGTGTGCTTGGGCACCCGAAGGCCACTGCCTGGCGCTCTGCTGTAGGCGAAAGAGCCAGGGTCGTTCTTCTCGAGCGCATCGAGAATTTCCGTGCGCATGCGCTTTTCTTCTTCGGTCTGCTCAAACGGCCAGGTGCCGCCCAATCTGCTGATCAGTTCTGCCAGCTCAGATTCCTGCTGGAGCTTAACGTGCAGAGCCCACATCAGGTCTCGCATCCAACCGACCGCTCCGTTGAGAATATCTCCCTTGTTGGGTCCCTTCTCTTTCTCCTCGATAGGCAAACCCATGGTGATGTTACCAGCAGTGGCACGACGGCCGTTACCTCCAGCGAGCAGAGATGTCGCAGCGTTTGCAGTTGCTCCAGTCCCAGACATGGTAGTATTGTTGACGAGCTGCTTGCGAACCTTATCATCCTCCAGGCGGTGCTGGGGTACGAGGTGTGAGAGATCCTGAATGCGCTCATTGATATTGTCTCGCCGCCGGCGTTCCACTAAGTTATGGGAGGCTCTGCGGCGGCGCCGCTTCGCTTCCTGTGACTCGAGGTCCTGGGCGGACCCTGGCATATGCGTATCAACCTTGGCCGGCAAAGAGGCATGCTTGCCCGATTTGAGGATTTCAGAAATTCCAGCATGGTGAGACGGATGACCAGGGGATGAAATCGGCGACTCCACATATGAATGCGCACTTCCGGGAGTACCATCCCACTGGTTGGATAGAGTTTTCTGGTGTCGGTGCTGAAGGCCGGTCCGAATGGGTTGAGTAGGAAAGCTTCCGGATTCCGGAGTGCCCAGGGTCAAAGCGCCCAGCGCCGGAGTCTTAGGGGTCATCGGGCTGCGTCCATCGTACGAGGCGCGATCGAGCGCTTGTATGCTCGGCCGAGCCTTGGCATTTAAGTAGTTCTGGTCAAAGTGAGACCCATTTCCTTGGAGATGCGACCCCGCTTGTCCTGGTTGACCCATATTCCGGAAATGGTCATAGTTGAAACTGTGCATAAACGGACTATGCATGGGGGCTCCATCGGGCGTATTGGAGTACATCTGGGATATCTGGCCGGGGTGGCTCATCGAGATTCCTGCGCTGGATTGTTGGTCCTGAAGATAGTTCTGCTGGACTCCATTGTGGCCATTAATCTCCAAGTCCAGCAACTCATCAGTATCAATCCCAGAGTTACCGAAGTTGAAGCTCGACGAGAGGTTCTGCTGTGATGAAAAGGGATACGACATGAAGCCGCCGTTCTGCATGCTCAACTCCGAAGGGTCAACCCCTTCATTAGGGTTCCCAAATTGGTTTGACATCGAATAACCGGATTGCGACATCACAAACTGATGTGGATCACTGCGGTGTTCGTTAGGCTCAGTCTTGATGACAATGCTAGTTTCCGCCATCTTTCCCGCAAATGTATCCCAGCCTTCCAGTGCAGGCCAACAGTGTTATCAAAGGGTGATCTTACGGTCCAAATGCGAACCTGGTAGAGATGAAAACTTGATGAGTGCTGAGCCCAGATTTGTGATTCAAGGCACAATCTGGTTGTGAAAAGACAGTCTCAGCGGCGGGGCAGTGAGTTCCAAAGACGCTAGGTAGTCAAGAAGCGGTGACGTCGATTCATCAAAGGGATTCGAAATATCAAGGTTAAGCGCAGACGATCTAATGATCTAATAGGATTTCAAGGTTCCGTCAGCCTGAATCTTGAAAACAAGGAGAGATCCGTGTGGCAAAGAGCCACGCTGTGAGTTGGCGGGCGCCGACGGGGGTGGCTCAGACCCCAAGGACAAGTATGGGGAAACATTTACCAAGAAAATGAGAAATTCAGTCTAGCAGCGAATGCCGAGCCTGGCGGTGCCTCCTAGATGGATGGAGAATGCGATTGGTTTATGGCGTCAGAACGGAACGGGGATAATGCGAGGGGTTGTTGCGAAGAACTGTAATCGGGCGCGGTGGACAAAAGTGCCGAGGTGAAAGCAGGATTTCGAAGCGGAGGATGTGGAAAAATGCCACTATCGTGAACGGAGGCGAGAAAAGTGTCCGAGGTGGTTGAGCCGTCACTCGTCAGCACACCGAAATAAGAATGTCTAATAAGGTTGACCTGGGGTAAGCAGCTGGGGGAGGAATGTCAAGAGGAGCTGGAAAATGGACCAGAAAAAGAAAAAAGGAACAGAGGCGGGCAATCAAAGGGAAAGACTCCGCTGAGTGGCCATAAGCGAGGCAAGAGGGAAAAAATAAAGGAGACGGAGAGAAAGGCGGACAAGAGACAAGAATAGCTGGGGAGGGGGGCGGCGGAGGAGGCGACGGACTGAACCAATTTGGGTTGTGGAAGAGAGGGGGAGGGAAGGGGGAAAGAGAGAGAGAGAGAGAGAGAGGGAGAGATGTCAAGATCCGGACTTTGGAATAGGTGAATATTTCCGGGGTATAGTGAAGAGACAATCAATGAAGTTGGATTATTTGATTGATTGAGGGAGAACAGCAGGAGAGGGAGAGAGAATGTGAGAGAGAGAGAGAGAGAGAGGAGGGGAAGACTTGGGAATTTGAGGCGGTAAATTGTCTGGGGTAAAAGGAAGAGCGTAGTCCGAAAGTGGGCTCTCTCTCTCTCTCTCTCTCTCTCTGTGTCCGTCTGTCTGCCAGGCTGAAAAGGCGCAAACAGCGCAAGAGGCGGTGGAGGAGACAATTAAGGAGAGCGGTCAGTTTCGGCAGTATTGGTGATCTCCCCTTCTTGTCGTCTTTCCCCCCCCCCGCCTCCCCCGATCTCGGATAACTCCGTAATGAATTGACATCGGTTCAACCCGCCTCCCATAACTCAGAACAATTGTCATTATGCTGCTCATTGATGATGATATGAGCTAGCAGCAATGATTGTCCCTCAATGTGAAGTGATTCCCCCGTATAGCCCCTCCTGTGCTCTCCTCATTTTACCCCTCCTCCTCCCCCCTCAATAGCCGTTCCTCGACGGTTCACGCAAAACGGACAGATCTTTCCGTTTGGAGGTCCGTGGGACGAGGACGGCTCGGCGATCCTGAGAATGCCCCACGGACATTGTCGGACCACGTTGGATCGTCGCATAGGCGCCTGATGATTCTCCCAATGATCCGGGCTTGATGGATCTTGGGCCCCCGCTCAAGGAATCTGCAGGGGCCAAGAGACCACCACGCCTGCATATCCCTCTTCCTTCGGTCTGCCTCCGGACTGCAAGCCGGTGACGTAACGTATAGTAGATGCTCACCAGTGACCGGTCTCTCCTGCCCCTGTAGGCCTTGGCTTCATGGAACGCTAGCAGGCGTACTCCCAGACCATGCTTGATGGGTATGTGAAGATGCACGAATGCGCAAATGCACCAAAGCAAAGAAAACCATTGAGAGATACAACATGTGCCAACAGAAAAGGGAAACAGTGAATCTGAACATAATGAAAGATGCGTCATGCTTACCAGGTGTTGGTGAACAGGTTATAGATAGGTGAACTCTTTATAGATGTCCTATGCGGCAATCAGTACCGGTGTTCAAGACTCATCCGTGCATCAAGATACCAATACGGTGTAGGGAAGTTGAGAAGGGTTGGAAAGACAACAAGACACAGGGAAACAAAAAGCTCACACGTGGAGGACTGATTTTGAGCCTTATGGGTGCCACCAACAAGGCCAGGCAGAATGGGAAAAACCAAATCACTTAAAAGACAACACAGGACTCAACAGGGCAGCCTTATCACAGCGGCAGAAGCGGGATTATATGGGCGAGGGTAGGGGTGTGTTGGAGGGGCATGCTTAGAACAGGATACCTGAGGCTGTGAACACTTACATAGACCCTGTTTGCTGCAGAGAGTCGCAATAGAGAAGGGGTTCGTGCTCAACAACGGAGCGAACGATGAGACCAGTGGGAAGGGAAAGATGGCTATAAAACCAGCGTCGTATCAGCTCAGCAACAGCTGGGCAATGCAGTGAGTGACTCGGGAAGGGAAATCCTAGCGTTGTTGGCCAGGAACACAATGGCGAAAAAAAAATCAGAGAAAAAGTAAGTCGGGAGAAACGTATACTTTATAGGTACACGAGCTGGAACTATGACAGAGCTGAGGGAAAGAAAGACTATGAAGGTGATTCTTAGTGATGTTCACCTCTTCCTATTTGATATATCATGGTTCAGGTCATGCAGGGCGTCGATCCTCAACTCGACGAGGCTTAACACACCACCCATGGGAATTACTTGCGTAAACCGGTTCTTCAGCCAGATAGAATGTCACTAAAATTATTGAGGAAAAGGAAAATTAAAAGGCAGCGTTGGGAGAACCAAAAATAACAGAGATATTAGTTTTTGTGTAGGAACAATAATCAATAAAAATAAAATAACACTGCATAAACTAAAACATAAGCCAAGGATGTGGAAGGGGGGGGAGAGAAAGACATTAAGATCCAATCACAATGCAGTAGCAGGCTGGCAGGACGAAGAATATACTAGGTATACACTAACCAGTGCCCACGATGGAGGATAGTTAAGCGTGTGGATCAGGCCAATGCGAGACGCAAATAAAGGGGGAGGGGGGGAGGGTTTACAGGATAGACAGAAGAAGGGAGGGAGGGGAAGAGGGGTGCAGTATACCTACAATAGACAATATACACTATAGAACAACAAATTCGCTCGTCAAGGAGGGTAGCACCGTCCGCATAGAGGAGAATAACGTCCATCCCCGAATCCCATGAGCACCTCCCAAGTACTACTATATTTGTCACCTGTTCCATCGCTGCCAGGGAAGTTCATGACTCACCCGCGTCAGCCTCTATGATGATTACTTTCTAGTCTTGCATCCTCCTGCTACAGGCCTCATCCGTCTCCCTCTTCTTATTGGGAAAATTTCGGGCTATTTTCACTCACTCGTATCTGCCGCTATTCGCCTAAATACGGAAGAGAGGGAAAGTGCACGATTCAAAGTTGCTTATCAAGACTATCGGGAACTGTCCCGACGCTTAGGAAAGGGAAGGTATTCGATACGAGTGCTAAGTCCGCTAAGAATGTATCAGATGCCAGAACTCTCTTCCCACCCACCCCCCACCCCCCCACCTCCTCCTTCCAAGCATACCGGATTCATGTACACACACAGACAGAAGACTAAATGACCAAGGAGCGTGAGATCTCAAGGATGTCCGGTTTACTTCGAGATCAAGGAATATGACATCATGATTCATCTGAGCAGAGATTCAATCGACGCCTGTTCATCAAAATGTCCTAAAATCGATAAAATAACGAGTTCCAGGAATTGTCAGTAGCGTATCGCGCGGACTTGACGCACCAGCATTCATCGCGGATATCGAGGAATGGATGGATGATCTAGGGCGCCCATGTGGAAGAAGGGATGTTTCGTTCTTCTTTGCCTTGGTCCAACAGTCGGTTTACCTGCAAACGGCGAACATCCTGGTTGGAGATGCTGAAGGTTTTGTCATTTCGGAGGATCGCTGGACACTAGCGGGATCGACGAGCTGGAGAAATCATGCCGCCTTATCATGATCATTAGTCATCGCACCTTACCACCATCCATTGCAGGATATAGTAGACCCGAACAGGGAATACAGTTGCCTCGGTACCAGAGCCTCATCCGTCTACTGTGTAGCTATACCGTTCACTTCTAAGCAGTCATTAACTGCACTAAGCTCTTGTGGCCCTCCAGTCCGCAGCCATAGGCTGCAAAGGGTAGTTGGATTCGAGTAAGTTGCGATGGCTTGCTTACTTGGGTTATCGAAAATTCAATGACCACCTTCATCCATTGCCCGTCCGAGCACATTGAGAGAGAGGAGGGGGGGGCTGACACAGAGAGGCGGTCCGTGACACTGTGCAGCCAGCAGCCTGTAGCTTCCCGAGAAGGCGTGCATTTGTCTATGCCATCTGATAGGATGTCGTGGGATTCTTAATTTGCAACTCCCTGCCAACTTAGGCATGAGAAAATCTATTTCAGTCTAAAGCATGGATCTCTAAAAACTAATTTGGCGCGGTTCTTGAATCATTACTGCGGGCAATACATCCCTTCTTTCCTCTCAACCCCCTCCACCCTCCCTTCGCGTTCTTTATCATGCAACAACATCATTGAACAAAATAAATAATACCAGGCATTCATATGTACATGTGCCCCCCCTTTCAAACTCTCTTTCATGATCCGACTTCATCTCTGCAAAGGAATTCAGGACATAGATGGTTCAGGTCGACCGCGATCCCTGCTCTCTGGGACACTGTTACATACAAATTGAATACGGATGACTCGTCAGGAATGTGGAGGAGTTGTCGACTAGCTATTCTCCGTACTGTACGAAGTACTCCGTACACTGTGGCCACTTCACAACGAGTACTGTGCCGAAAAACAGATAACAGTCAACCCACGATTGGAATGCTGTCAATTCCATGGGTCGCCAATCTAGTTTCGAGATTGGTCGACCAACAGCGCTGCCTGTCCGCAAACAGCCGGTTCGATAACTCCGGGGCATCCAAGCTCTTCGTCTAAATAGATCCACCTTGCAGTGCTATCGCAGACCAGACCGGCTGGCATGTCACGATCCTGCCTGATTATTAGGTACTATAGCCGAGAGACCCCGGTTACATGAGCATCTGCCCCTCCACCCCCTCCTGTCGGAGTGGATCGCGGGATATATGATGTATGTACGTAAATATGTACACCTGTCCCTCCACGAACACTGAGACACTGCATTCATACAACGCGTTCAACGGTGATCTGAAGAGTGGTCGCTCCCAGTATCGAGCCACAATGATCGAGTCTGTTTCGAAAGTGCATTAGCGACAGAGAGGGTGGTAAGGATGTAATCAGTTGGGAAAGGCAGAAAATGAGTCGAGAGCATTGGCTCCCGCACCCGTCCCGGCCCGTCAAGGTTCGGAGTGCGTGGCCGATATCCACGGTTACTGCAAGGAGTTTGGCTACACAACATACACTCAATCTCAGAAGCAGCTTCAAAGCAGTAAGCCAACATAGCACCTACTATTACTGTCGGCGTCCTTCCTGCTCGTTACTTCAGACACTAGTACAGCCCGACCAGTAGCTAGCTGTTGGCTGAAACATGCAGGTGACAGCGCGCTATCCGTCCCTGGGTCGACTGGCTTTCCTCCGTCCGGCCGGGAAAGAAGATCGTCGCCTTTGCCTCCCAGATGGTGGCGAGAGAGCTGGAAACGACTAGCGGGCAACTTCTGCGCCTCAAACTCAGTCAAGGAGACTACAAGCAAGATTTGAGTCGGGGGTCAGAGAGATACACTATCCGAGTGGCCATACGGTTTGTCTGAGTCCAGCCACGCTTGGAAAGCTACCGGGAATACCGGTAGCTGGGTACGGCCGAAATATGATGTTCTCGCTGCTATCTTCTGCTTTTCGTCTTCACGGCTGCCTTGTATATCGTGCGCGCCTTGCCAGAGTTGCCCAATGCAACCTAATAGCTGATCTTCGGTATCAACAGTCGGTTGTTTTCCAGTCGGAAAACGATATGGCCAAGGGGCCTATAGTTCATCTTAAATGGTCATGGAGTCGTGGTAGGCTTCTGCAATCGGCGGAAGTTCCATCCGAAATCAACTGTACCACCTTGCGGATCGCCAGTGACCTTCAGTAGCATCAATTCGACAGTTTAGCGGAAGTGAGTGACGCGGTTAGAGCTTCGATCATATTTTGCCTTGGCTCAAGGTGGTTACTATGCGGTTGGAGGCTGATGCTAATGCGAGGTGCGAGTAGACAATAACGGCTCGGATTGGTGAATTATAGTATAGTATCTGGCTGGACTGATAGTCTTGAGTCAGGTATTCGTGTACAGTACACAACTAGGTTCCGGACTTGCTCCGTGAGGGAGTATACGATAGTAGATACAAGAGACGAGACTGCGGGAACAGCGCCAAACGGGTTTTACCCATTGCCCCTAGGCTGGTTTCAGTGTAGAGTAACTTGGAATCATGAAATAATAAACGTTAGTCCAGGTAGTGCCCGGCATGGAGTGGGCGGTGTGCCACACCACCTCCGACTGAGTCTCAGCTTGTTAGATCTACGGAGTAGTGATCGACCAATTGAATGTATTCGATTTACAAGCTATGATTGGCTGCAACGTTCAGCTTGCTGGGAACCACCAGCGCATTTTGGGTTTAGTGGAGTCACCGCCTGACAGAATTGCCCTGAATTCTGCCTCTTGATTGGGTCTTTGGGGTCCCTCCACAGCCCACCAGCAGGCAGGAAGACTGACTCTCCCTCTCAACCTGGGAACTGCTGCTTTCATTCCACATTTCGGTTCACTGCGATCGTGAAGGATAACTGCTTGACTCTTGCTTCCAACATCAGAGGTTTCGATCGTACTCAGTACTCTGCCCCCCCTCCCCAGTAACAAATTGACAACAGCACTAGGTAGGTCTTCCTTCTTGTGGCCATATTTCCCAAATAGCAACCATCCAGCTGTTCATCCACACCATCGCCATCATCATCATCAACACCACCACCACCACCACCACCACACACACCATTATCATTACCACTACACTACTACCTCCTCACCCTCACACACACTTTTACCCATTCCCCCCGTCTGCCCCCTCTTCCCCTTCCCGAACCACCCCTCACTCAACTCACGCTCTCTCTAACCCCCTCCACCCCCAGGCCACGCCCACCCCCTCCCCCCATCGGTCAACCTCCTCTTTCACCCTCCATCCGAGGTCATCTGACAACTGGCTAATCTTGCAGCCTGTATAGAGTCGATCTCTGTTGGTTTTGACAGTGTGAATTATTGTGGCCCCAGCGTTACCTTCACTCACCACATCTACTATTCCCTCCCCCACCGGCATCGTCATCGTCCTCATCATCTTGCAGCTCTATCCCCACCCTCCTCCCCGTTCCCTGTCATTCTCCGTCTGCGCAGCTCTTTGCATTGCTATACTAGCTTTCAGCCCGGGATTCACATTCCTTGCGCTGAAGTTGGACGTTAATCGCCATTCCGAATCGTTGGACAGGGCTTAGACCATAGAAGCGTTGCATCACCTTCCTCGGAGATATCGTACTATTTCGATCCAATCGACTCTCCGGGTGTAAAGTACTCCCCTGTGGTTTTTCAGCTACAGACGAGCCGGCTGCTTCAGACAGATACTAGCTTGTCCCCCCTTCTTGCCATCCATTCCTCCCTAACCCCGTCACAATACCTATACATACCAATCTGGAAGGAGTCACAGGCTTATCAGCTTCATTTTGCTCAACTTGCGACTAAGCCACTTTGACTCGATTAGCGGACACTAGGGTTGCCCCGTGCCCAAGCTCCTCGGGAGGCTAGTCTGGTTGCGCGACAGTCATCTGGCCCGCTCAGGTCTCGTCCTATCACTGCCGCACTATCTTCTCTTGCGTGCAGCTGCTGTGTTTTGCCCCCTTCCTCCAGTGAAATTCGCAGATCATCTGCACGCGCATATTGGTTTCCGTCCTGCATAGTCCCTGCAGAGGTCTCCTTGCCTTGACACCGTTGTATTGTGCTCCCGGTGGGCTGCCCCGTCATTTACACTCCCGCAGTGATAGCAGTGTCGGCTAACGAGCCCGCGTCTTCCTTTCCGTTGCCGCAGCCAATCTTCCATCTCAGCTGGGTCAACGCACGGCTTGGTGGCGAAGCATATCGTGACCATGGCCACAACTTCCTTTCGTGATTCTGTGAACTCATTGGGCTGGTCTCGGAGAGATCCAGATCTACCAGCGCGCACCAACTCGTCAAATGCTCCTTTCCTATCACGGTTGCAATCTTGGAATCCATTTGGGCAAGGGGAAGGCTACCTGCAACTGCCCACTCATGAAGCACCAGGAGCTCCTCTGCCGGCTCCAACTCGACGGGAGGAGGAAGACAGTTTTCTTGCTTGTGAGTCGACCTAACGCATGACCTGATTTCCCCGATGGACCGTCGTTTCCTTGATTTGCCGGGATAGCTAGTCCAGGTGACAGAGACTTAGTTCCTGCATCGCATCGAGGTCTCACTCAGGCCCTAGCAACGGGCGAGATGGATGTCTCTTCTCTGCATTTCCAGTTCTGCTCCAAATCCCCGTCATTTGAGTCTCGGCCAGTGCTAATCGTCCATCCCGGTCTAGTAAGCCGATGGGATCGGATGCTCATCTTCATTGCGTGTAATCTGGGTGCTGCCGTCTGCTTCCTGATTTGCTTTTTCCTTTTTCCGGTCTTGTCGCTCAAACCCCGCAAATTCGCCATCTTGTAAGTTGCTTATCCCCTTTCCCGAATGATCTTCTGGAACTTCGACACATTTGGGGAACTTGCGGCGGCGGTGTGCCCTTCCTGCCCTGGCTGGGAAGCATGCACGACCAAGCCACATTCCAGCTTCCGTGCTACACGCTACTGCGACTTATTCCCTGATGCGCCAAGCCTTTCATGAATGAGAATCTGTGGCTGACCCAACCGGTTGTTGCTTGGTGACTAGATGGTCCGTTGGCTCTTTGCTGTTCTTGCTATCATGGGCGGTCCTCATGGGACCTATGGTTTATGCTAGACATCTGGTCTCGGGACCACGACTGCCATTCACAGCCGCCTACTTCGGCTCGATCGCGATGACTCTGTACTTTGCTATTGGGGTAAGTTTCCATCGAAGCTCCTTTAAGTTTTGGCTGTGGTGCCAAGTTTCATCCCTGTCGCTCCTTTGTCGAGTATGCCTGCGCCTTGAGTGCCAGCTGCTCTGCGATCTCAGTAGCTACTACTACGAGATCTCGCGTGTCGCCTGGGTTCACCGTGCATACTGCTCGAGGCCTTTTGATCCAGTATTCATGACGTCAAATCAATTCCCCACTACAGCGTTGCCAGTTGTGTTGTATCTCGAAGAATGCACATAAACACGCGCATGCACATGCGAGTGCACAGACTTCAAACTGGAATGAGTATAATGGCTAACCTATTCTCCTGGTCCTACAGCTTCATTCCACCTTGTTGACCCTGATCTCGTCGATCTTCCAGCTAGCCGCTCTGCTCTGGTATCTTGTCAGCTACTTCCCTATGGGTAGTACTGGTCTGCAATTCATGGGGCGGTTTGGCGCCCAGCGTGTCACGGCATGGATGACCAGCTGATTCCTTCTAGGAGTGTTTCTGTATAGAGTAACGAGGCGACGTTTCTCTTTTGTGCCTTCTTGTAAACAGCTTAGTGTATAATCCTGATTATTTGTGCGAAGATGAGCGTGATTGGAGCTGGGTGTATCGATAATTGACGAAGCTTGCTCATTGGACCCCGGTCGACCTCATATCCAGAATCCCAAGACTACCTACAGTGTACAGTAACTACCTACTATATGTGCAATGAATCCAGACTACTAGACGATCCAACGGTGATCTCCAAAGCAGCCTCTCTCCTTGTTTCTCTTTCCCCTTCTATCGACTCCTTCCTATCTGTCTCAGTATTTCTTCTCTCCATCTCCGTCATCTCCGGTTCCCTTCTTCGCTTTCCTGCAGGAATCTCAAACTATAGTGCGACCCTCGTCCTCCCTTCTTCATCTCCCTTACGACATAACGAAACAAGGACTCTCTAATCCTCCGCTCCCCCGTCTCTTACCCCCGAATAGATCTGAAACCTACAGCAAACCTACCAATTAAGGACTCTAAATGTAGTAACAGTCCTAACCACGCCTGAGGTATCAACAAGGATACCTTGTGTCATGACCACCCGTCGTCTTGTATTCCCATTGCGATTTCCGCTCTCCTCCCCCGCTCGTCCAACCCCGGACTCCAAACCAAGAATTCCATTCGGCCATGCGTGTTATTCTCTTGTCTGCGTGTTCCCCAAGACCGTCCTCTTCCCTCATTCCCGTCTTCAACAGGGAAAAAAACGCTCGAACCGTTGGACTCCTAATTCTGAATCTGGGACAAGAAAACTACAGGACGCTCTGCCTGTCATGCTACGCGATTATAGAGGCAGGTTGATGGAAGGGAGGAGTATCGGATTCTAGGGGTGGGCTTGCGCGGATGGTTTCAGTTTCTTTTCTTTTGAGGATGGACTTGGGGAAATAGTGATTGCGTTTGGGATAGTAGGGATCATCTTTGGGAATCGATCCCCGGGGTTTGCGATGCATGGTGTTTGGTCGATAGCTGGGACGAGGGGAAGGCGGGGGGTTTGCCGATAAGCCAGCAGGAAGGAGCAGTACATATAGCTCAGGATCGATTTGCGAGTGGGTTGTTGGGTCTGTTTGTGGATGGGGATGAGGAGATGATTTGGGGGGTAGGAGGCTAGGAGGATGTATACATGTATACACATGGGTTCAGTACTTCTCGGTACTGTTGCAGGTTTGGTGGGGTTGGGGGGGGGGGAGGGGCGGGGAGGAGATTTATGCTTCGAAGCTTTACTCTGTGGAAGGAATAACTGGGAGGGAGATGGAGATATTGAGGGTGCATCTGTGTGGAAAGTGAAGTATACTTCCTCCCTATCCTACCTGGCTTGAGGCAATACATTCATGTTGTGGGGCATGGTTATTGTCACATCAATCGTTAAGTATGGCTTTATGATTATGTCTGAGTCTTGAGTCTCATCACTGCAATACATGTATCAACTACTGGTTGGTACCTTCGCGATTCGCCCTCCTCGAACTCGTGCATCTCACTTCCCCCGGCTCATCACCATCCCCACCGAGCCATTGACGATCTTGACGCCTGGGATCTCCGCTTCCCAGATCCCGGTGTCGCCGCCGGACCCAACTTCGTGCCACCGCCGGATGAGATCGTTGCTCTCCTTTGGTTTAACCTCCTGAGAAACGGTGCCCACCGTGACGTGAGGGGTCTCGTTGGCGCACGGCCACTCGCCCTGGCTCCCGTCTTCGGGGGGTAGGATGCGCGCCACAAAGGCCATGATACGATTGTCCCAGATGAGACGCTCGAGGCGCACGCGCGCAGGAGCCAGCATGGGTGTGATGGTGAGGTCGTATTCAGGCTTACTCTTCATCTTCTCAAGGTATTGACGGGTGTATACATCCCAGATTTCAGGGCTGTCTTTCTTCGATGCGCGGTGGATCAATGTAACGTGGAAGGCCGGCTGGATGCGACGCGACCCCGATAGCTGGTGGTAGATGCGGGCTCGCTCGGGGTCTGTAGATGGGGGAAACAGCGTCTGCAAGAGATTCGTGATCTCGCTCGTCGGAAGACTGATGCAGAAGTACTCGAGCTTCTTAGCCAAGTCTTCAGGGCTCGGGGCTACCGCGGTATCAGGCGTGCTGGTTTTGCTGCTCTTGTTCTTCTGTTTCTGAACCTGTTTGGCTGAGCTATACCCATAGCTGAGATCGAGCTCGACCTGATAGTCGTTCATTGCCCAGTGAATTGCATCGTCGAGCTGCTGTGCGCTGGGCATTTCCGGCACCAGTTTAGGGTAGGCGGAGTGTAGGGCTTTCACCACCGTCTCAAGATTCTCTCGTGATGAGGCTGCAACATCCAGATCAATGACCTCGTCGAAGTCCGAGTCTGGTACACGCTCAGTATTCACTCCCTCGAAGCGAGTGAGGAAGCCCTCCATGATTCCCAAGATCTCTTCTGTGTCCTTGCTGCCCGCGCGGATCGTCTGGTGGTTGTCGCCACGGTCAAGAACTCGCTTTCTGGTGACCTCTCGAATGCCCGGGAGCATCTCTTGCTTCGGGTCGTGGACGTAGTGAAGAGCGACGAACCGAGCTCTAGGAACACCGGCAGAGACATCCTGGATCAGCTGCTCTCTTTCGCGCTTTTGGTGGTTGTTACGGTCAGCGACCACCACGGGATGTATGGCAAGCAGCTTGTTGATATCCATGGCGAATTTCTTTGGCTTGTTCTTCTGCTTCGGGATGTTGTCGTTCTGCACTTGACCCCAGTTGAACAGTTTGACCAAAGCAAGACCTACGGTGGTCTTTCCGCATCCCAAGGAAGCTACAGGGACCAAGACAACGTCTCTTGTTACTTCTTCCTTTGAACCTTCGGTTTCCATCTGGATGATTTCAGAGCCGTTCAATCCGCGTTCCTTGAGAAACCCTTCCCGCATAGCAATAATCCCGTGGTTCTTGTTGTACTGCTCTCCCAGGCGCGGATTTTGTGCGAGCTGCCTGCGAGCATACTGCAAATACTGCTCCGTGATTTTCTTGTGTTTCTTGATGTTGGGATATTTTCCAGCGATGATTGCTTTGGTGCACTCGCGCCACTGCCTGTACATCAAGTAAGGTTCCTCAAACTTGTACTTGAAGAACCAATCGTGGTAGGGAGGACGGCCACCTTCACCCATCTGGCAGCGAATCACGAATCCTTCGGTCTCGCGACCATCCCATGTACCAGTCTCAGCGCATTCCTCAAGGAACTTTTTGACTTGATCGAGGTCGTCATAAACAACGAAATTGGCCTTCTTGAAGCCCCACGAGTCGGCGAATGCGTGGACCTCTGCGCTGGAACACGTCGCAAATTTTGGAACGTTGAAGTTGAGACCATGGAGATAGATACCTGATGCCGTCTCGTCGTAGGCAAGCACGTGCTCTTCAAAGGTATCGTCACAGAGCTCACCTACTGCCGTCACATTAAGTCTGCGCAGCTCTAGTGCTAGATCCTTGACTGTTTTACCAACAGACTTGACATGCTTTTCCACCCAACGTTCACCGGCTTGAGCATGGCTCACTTCCGTGTCATTTCGAACTCCCGTCGAGTGTTTACTGCAGACCAAGAGGGTTCCGTCTTCGAGCCCAGAAATGAAGATGATGCATCCATTCTCTTTCACGCTGAGCTCGTAAGGTCCCCGCGTGTTCATCTCGATATTTCGCCACTTAGTCGCATTAACTTCCTCGATATTAAAGAACTTGTCATATCCTCGAACCGCGATTTCATGCGTGCCATCTTTTCTCTGAGTGGTAAACAGTCCTCGAGCGTAAGTTGGGAGGTTAGGGAGTCGATAATCCCAGTCCATGAACTTCCAGGAGTTCACCTTGATGCCGTCGGTATTGGCCACATCGAATGTCGATTTCCTGCAGGTGAATGTCCTCTTGCTTTCGGCCTTTCCTCTCTTCCTGGCCTCCTCCAAACTCTCACAGAGTTGAGCTACTTCCTGCTTGTCCTGCTGGACCGGTTTGATGTTTTCGGAGGACATGGTTGCGAGAAAATGTTTCCTGATATTTTGAACTGCAGGTATAGGACGTTGTGAGAAGTGGATGCGCGCGTGGAGCTGAAGCCGACGGTTGCGAAGGTAGGTAAGGGCCGTTGATGTGCGTCGCCTGGGCCAGAAAGCAATTGGTCTTAAAATCAGTCGTGCTGGCTTCATCAAGGCAATAAAGTCTCAATCAGGTGTTCTCACCGAGTAGTTCCTCAGCAGACAGGAACGGAGGGTAGAGGGAAAAGAGCCACCGTCATCAGCCTCGCCGGAAATTGGAGTTGCTTATCGGCTTTGTTCGTATGCGGGGCAGCGAGAGCTACCCTTCTTAACTTAAGTAGGATACTTTTTCTCCCGCTTCTTCGCCGCCACCTCCGACCACTCCTCGTTCACTTTTTTAGCCTGACGCAGTATTCCAATTCCTGTTCACACAATCTCCTCTATTCCGGTATTATTTACTCATCTAGCATACTTGTGTGACTCAAAGGTTTGATAGTTCTTACCCGATCGAGCCCAAATAGTCTGACTGACTCAATCTATAATTGTGTAGCCATCACGATGAGTCAACCCAACCCCTACATTCTGGCCGCCGAAAACCCCTCCGCTCTTCTGACTCTTTTGGGCTCGAATCCCTCCATCGCTTCCGGTCAGGATGAGCACGGTTACTCATTACTCCATGCTGCCGCTTCTTATGGCCACATCGATCTTCTGCGCGCTCTTGTGAAAGAGTTTAAGGTGGATGTCAACCTTCTCGACGAAGATGGGGAGACCTGCCTGTTCGTGACGGAAAGTGTCGAAATTGCGAGATGTCTTGTCGAAGAACTCGGTGTTGATTACAGCAAGAGAAACGATGAGGGTCTGGCCGCGTATGAGACTATTGAAAATGACGACTCGTTCCCCGAAGTTGCAGCCTATCTGCGGCAAGTAGCCGGCGTCCCAGCCCCCGCCCCTGCAGACACTTCGGCGGAGGCGGCCTTGAACCAGCCTCCTCCTCTGCCTGCAAACCTCCAGCTTAATCTGGGCACGGTGTCGGAGCAAGAGGCCAATGCGGGGATTGACCAGGTGGACCCCGAGTTCAAGCGCCGGATCGATGAGCTGGCCGCACGAGAAGACTTTCACAGTGAAGCTACGCAGGCTCAATTGCGGGCGCTTGTCATGGATGCCATCCGAGGCTCTAGTATCGAGACCGATGATCGTGGTGTGCGCCGGAGAACAGATTAAGAAAGTTCGATCGTTGATTCTAAAACACCATCCGACATGCAAAAGCAACCATCTATCTCATCTGGGCCATCCTGGACGTGTTGGTTGAATTTGGTCAGCCTGTGAGGGATATGGTACTCGCTATCGGACCAACATCAGACCTGCAAAGTTCCTTGTTGCCTCTCACGGTAGCATCGCGTGGCTGTCACAGCAACGAAACCAGGACGAGACCTGCATCAAGTCCTTGCAAATATAACAGCCATGTGTCAACCGAGAAGTTTAGTCCAGGCTTCGATGAGTTGCGCTCGCGTACTAGGAGACTATCCTACTGAGAAGTGGCAACCACAAAAACTATATACTACGCACGAATTAGACAATGTTGCGTCTTCTGGACGAATGTACTGCTGCAATCTTCTTAGTGGATACCCAATAGAGTATCTTCATAACCGGTAGTTGGTGATGAAAGCTCTTGTGTAGAATAGCAACGATGTAGATCGGAGATATGTCATTGCACGTGATCTGGGCGTCTTTTCCCCGCATCGGCCGGGAGTGTTTGTGCTCCTTCAGTGACTCCAACCATCCAATTACCTGCTCTATCACACTCAGGTGCACTCCTCGTTCAACCCCGGTTGTCTGACCACAGTTCCGTCTTGCTAGCGCTTGCTTGCTATCAAAAACCTTTTGTCGCCATGAATCCAGCTCTTAGCGCCGACACTCCACCTCCCCCACCTCCGAAGCCCAGCAGCCACGAGGCCAGTCGAAGAGGCACACCCCAACTCAACTCACCTCTGCCTGGCACACCGCAACAGTTTCACAGAACCTATGACCAACAGGAAAGGCCGGACATGTACTCAGGAAACAGGTATTCGTCGCCAGGAGTTCCATCTAGCGCACAGAATGCACTGCCCCAACCCCCTCCTATTGAAGAAGGCTGGCTACCGAGTGGTGTGAAGGATAAAAGGTATAACCCATGTCTTGCCTGTTAATCGATCTTGCACCAACTAGAGCACGCATTTCTGACTGAGAACGGATTTCTTAGTACTGTGGACTTACAGGCTATTCTCAAAGACCCTAACCTCATCTCCGCCCTGTCGAGCCAACATGCATCCTACACGGCGCATCAGCAGCACCTTGAATCCCTCTTGAAATACAACAAAGATCTAGCGAACCGCCTCCTTGAACTCCAGTCGCAGATGTCCGAGCTACGGTCATCAACGGAGACTCTCCTCCTGACTCACCAATCTCTCGAAGTTTCGTGGCGGAAAAAGCAATCCGAGATGGATGCTGCCTTAGCCCCCTGGTCGCCTAAAGCGCTGTACCAGAGACTGGCTGCCTCGATTTCGGAGCAGGAGGCTGTATGTCGAGCAGTTGAAGAGAGTTTCCTCGAGGAGGAACACCATGGCCGAGCGTCTGAAAAGGAGGTCGCGGACTGGATTCGACGGGTCAGGGCGGAGTCGGCTAAGCTGGCTGCTAGAAGAGAGGCGAAAGCTAGGTGGGATGAGGGTCGGGTAGGCGGGTGGAGGTGATGGGATTTATCGAGTCAGATCGAGGATCGACTAATCTGGGTTTGTCATTGTGCCGCCGGTGACTCGATGATTATGACACGGTATTCTCAAAGCCATCGCTAATGTACCCAACGGAGATGGCACCCCAGGACAGCACCACATCCTGCGGCTCCCTGTTCAGCCCACTCCCTAGGAGCCACATTGTACATTTGCCCAATGCTCACATCCCGGCCAAGGTGCGGAGGTACTAATCCCTTGCCGCCTTGCGCCCACTCTCAAGGTCAACATCCTGGTCTCTGGTCTCCACTCCTGTTGATGTATATCTCGCGGTCGCCCAATTGTCCGCACAGACATGGCTCGGTAGTCCCACGCTTCGGAAGAAAGCATGGGTACCGTCCCTCGCTCCCCAGGACCAGCCTGCACCACGCATCACAGGGAGATGGTAGAGCCGAAAACCTATCCAAGCAAAGACGATTCCCATGACTGATCCAAAGATTATATCGAAACCATGATGGCGGTAGTCGAACCAACGTGAGGCAGCTATGAAAAACGCCACGGCTAGGGGAACAAAGACGATAACGAGCAGGTATACCGGCGGGGCTGCTCCCTGCTTTCGGATGGTGCTACGCTCCTGCTTCTGCAGATCCGGGCTAAGCGGCGAATGAGCGAGATAAGGAAACCCAATCGACAGCTTGGTGCAGAGCCACAATGTGAGATATGTCAATCCGGCGAACGCAACTATGCATCATGCATCAGCTCTATCTCCTTCCCACAGGCACATAATACTTACACGAAGAATGCCCACTGGGGAAACTCGAGAACCCATCCACGGCCAACTCCCGCGCTTGATTCCGGCAGATCTCCCACGTTACTAGGGTAGGGGCACCGTCAAGTCTCGACCCTAAGCCGCTAACAGCGAAGGCATTGATTTTGGAGAGATCCGGGTCGCATCGAGCCAGCATATCCGGTCGTGGTTTCCCAAATAGATCCTTCAGCCCTTCGGTAGCCATCCACGTCCCCGCCAACGCTATGGCCAAGCCCAGCCATCCAGCATTCCACTCCCAGAGCTTGTACCGCCACACTTGTGCGCGCGTTATCGACGCCGTCTGACCCTTCACCGCCGAGCCCGGGATGAGCACCAGCGCCCCCAACACGATAATCACAGCCGGGACAATCAAGGCGACCACCGCCACCACGCTGACCGATACGGTATCACGGTCTCTGTGCGGGAAGGAGATGCTGGGATCAGTGAGAGAGAATGGTCTATGATTGGGAGACACCCGGGAGAACCCATAGCCAATGAGTGCGATACCACTGCCGGGGGAGATGAGGTGTGAGCATACAACCAACGAAATCAATCAGGAAGAGACAGGGATTCGAGTTCAGTAGAGACGCACATGATAAGTACCCAGTCAAGGATATACGAGACGATCAGTCGCTTGGGCAAGTGCACGTGGACTCTCCAGCTTCCTTCTCCTGCCGCTGTTGTAGTAGCTCCTTGTTCGAGTCGGTTGGAGTCGGGCGCCATCGCCGTTAGGAATGATGTCATTCACTCCAGTTGACGGGCGTGAGATAGTCGCAGGTTTATGATTTTGTGAGTACACAAAAAAGCACAGCTTTTTGAGGGTCGATTCTACAAGTGAGAAAAAGATAAGAGTTCATTCTCCGAGCAGGAATGTGAAAAGAAGACTGAATCTTGACTACATGTACTGTATGCCCTCGTATGCGAGGGGTGTTGAGGTGGAACTGCAGCAACCTGTGAGCCTGGACCATTGGCCAGGTGACCAAATCAGTGATTCTAAGGCACTCAGGCAACAAAGAAAGCGAATCGTTATCACCGTCAGCCTGGAATTAGCCGGTGTGTTGCAATGTACTACTATTCGCTCAGCCCATGATCTGCACTTTAATTCTATCATGTAGATCTCAATGCAGAGGGGCATGATCGGCATCGGTGATCAGAACAAAGATAAATTATACGAGTGCTTTAGTATTGGTCTATTGTAACATCGCTTGAAGGGATCATTTTTGACATATCATTCATGACTCGTATCCATGACATTATATCACATAGCATGCCCGGGCTCCTTTTGATCGGGCGTGATCTTGTCACACGGCGCACACATTCAAGCGCTTGTGACTTTTCAGGGAATATTATTCTGGCGCCGAATATTTTATTTCTTTCCATCCAGGTCGCTGAAAAAATCCTTGCCGAAACTGTCGCTGCTGTCGTTGAAGCGGAGCTTGCGGTCGATACCTCTGATCTTCTGCATGTCTTCGTCGCTCAGTTTGAAGTCTCCCTCCAGGTTGGCCTTGATTCTGGACGGGGTCTTAGACTTGGGGAGGACGGAATGGCCCTGTGTGATACCCCAGGCTATTTAAAGAGGAATAAGGATTAGTGGAATTGATCGCTTTGGTTCTCCAGGAATGAAGCCTATTCCATTGGAAGGTGGAGAAGATCGTTCACTTACCCAGGGCGACTTGAGCACCGCTCTTGTTGTACTTCTTGCCAATGTCATTCAGAACGGGGTCCTCGATCAACTTGCCAATGGTTCCCTCCTTGGAGTACTGCTCGTTCTGGTTACCGAATGGCGAGTAGTGGGTGACGTGGATGCCCTTGGACTTGTGCCATTCGACAAAGTCAGGCTGCTGCAGCCAGGGGTGGCTTTCGAGCTGGTGGGCGGCGGGGACAACGTCGGTCTCCTTAAGCAAACGCTCCATCTCGGCCTTGGAGAAGTTGGAGACACCGATGGCCTTGACCTTGCCGGTGGATAGAAGCTTCTCCATGGCTTTGTAGGTCTGCAGATCCAAAGAAAACGGGTCAGTATCCAATTTGCTCGTCAGATAATGTGACAGTAGTGCTGAATGGTTCTTACGTCAACGTAGTCAATGTCCTCCACGACCGGCTTGTCATTCTCCTTGGGGAACAGCTCGTCACCACGCTTCCAAGCAACGGGCCAGTGAATCAGGAAGAGGTCAATGTAGTCGAGCTGCAGGTCATTGAGCGAGTCCTGAAGGGCCTGGGGGACATCGTCGGGGTGGTGCTTGTTGTTCCAGAGCTTGGTGGTGACGAACAGCTCTTCACGGGGCACGCCGCTCTTCTTGATGGCTTGGCCGACGGCCTTCTCGGTGCCGTAGCTATGACAAGGCAATCAGTATGGGTGTCGTTGAGACGGAGAAAGTATGGGATTATGAGCATACACTCTGGCAGTATCGATGTGGCGGTAACCGGCCTTGATGGCTTCGAGGACGGCATTCTCCTGAGCGTCCGCGTCCTGCCAGGTACCGAATCCGACGGCAGGGATCTCTGCGCCGGTGTTGAGCTTAAACGTGGTGGCCATGGTGTATGAGTTGTGTGATTATGCGAGGTGTCAATTAAGTATCTCGATGTGAATTAGTGGTCTGTTCCGCATTTGGCAGCCCTTCCACAACAGCGGAATTTATACCAGCGGAGATTGAAACCGACGTCAATTTGACGCAGTCTTCTTTTTTGAACAAACCGCTTGTCTTTCCTCATGGGTTGGATAATCATGACGTCGGGAGGCCACTGGAGCTTCACCGGGGTTCCACGGGTTGGACCCAGCGCCGGGCCCGCGGCATCGCCGAGGGCCAGACACGATGGAGTATCTTTAATGGTCTCGTATCGGAAATGGCTTGATAGCCCCTGCGCTTTCTGCTTGAGCTGGTCATTGCTATGATTAGCTTGACTTCCTGAACGTTCCATCCATGTGTCGAAGGTTGTTGACCCACACAAGACCCCAGTAAGGTGGTTCGCAGGAGGAAGTTTGTCGACTGATATGTTTGAATCCAGGACTCACCACACAAGCTGCAGCTTTCAATGAGCTCAGTTTGGCTTGAATATTATACCGAATATTTTAATCCCAGCTGCAATTGCATGTGGAAAAAGTAACGCATTCTAAGAGGCATAGTAGACAGAGAGCTGTTGAAGCTCTATGGAGCTTCACGGAATCGGCTAGATTACCGAAGCCGAAGCACGGGCTGTTTGTCCTGCAAACAAACAGCACAAGTGGCAACTCTACCTCTCCCTAGCGCGTACTTTTTATAAATTTTTTTTAGCACAGCCCACAACATTTTTCTTTCTCACCATCATGGACTCAGCACCCCGACCACTCGAGGATGTCTTGTCTAATGGCGACTTGACATTCTCAATGTCTGACGACTCCAATTCATAATTGTAAAAGGTATGCGAAGACTGTTTACAATGTATCTCTGTTTTCTCCCCTTTTTGGATGATGACCCTATGACACGCTTTAAGGCATTCCTCAAACTTAATCACCATGTGGAATTCGTGTTTTAACTCAAGTTTCAGCCTTGTCTGACCTACTTCACTACACCTTGCTGTTTTGTCAATTAGTTCGTCGTTTGTGACTTTCCACTAACTCGCTATATGACAGGTAAATACTACTAGCCCTTCAATTCGCCTATTTGGCTTCCGATGAAGATATCTTGAACGAACGGGCGGACATAACGTTTACATGGACCTGCACCCATCAAAAGCAAGGCGTACAAACTTTGCGGGTGTCGGGAAGTGTATAACTTGTTGAGATCTTCGTCACCTGAGCTTTCATCGATCATTTTCAGTTGTTGGATCTGTGCTTGGTAACAAGTCGTACTAACGAGAACCAACAGGTACTTTCCATCTATATCCTATCCCTGAGCACATGCATTGCACAAGTCAACTTTACATGATGAACACGTTATTCACACTGTTGGATCTATGTACACTGTACATGGAAATGAACATCAAACACAAAATTCTGATTTAATGAGGTTGGTACTCGATAAATGTCTGCAGGTTGTGTGGGCCTTCGCTAACTCTATGATAGCCTGACTTCAGTTGACATCATCATGTCTCGAATTCACTCATGGCTTGTCATGAATGTATTGCTGATTCTGTTGTCACAGATGATAGGGAATTTCTCCACTGTAATCACCCAGCTGAGAATTTGTGAGTATGAACTCGTATAGCTTTCCACCTTGAATGATGATTCTTAAAATTCGCTGTGTTCTTACTGAACTACAATGTCGAAAAAACAAAGATTCACCTTGGAGAACTGATTTTTGGGCCTCACACGAATGTGTATGAGATATTTTGCTGTTCCCATTGCTAATATCTCATCCAGGTGCCCTATGCCCGATTTCAGTACAACTTTAGAAAATAAAAAATGAAAGAAAACGACAATATTTTCCAATCTTACTATCTCTTAAACACATCTCCCGCCACTTCGTGTAACTGCAGTCTCTCATTCGTAGAACAAATTATGTTTCTTGTGCCACCCCTCTAAGCTGTCACCGGAATATTCCTCGTGCACCTGCTTCTTCCCCTCGGGCCACCGCGCCCAACTCGGCTTCGACCCGGCCATGATGCAGACCATTTCATCGGGCACCGGCAATTCGGTATCAATCGCCGAGGCGAATGGATGAATCAATTCCGGCCAGTGCTTATCCCACAACCACAGCATAGTGCTGCAGTTGGAGCAGAAGTTCCGCTCCGATGAGCAGACCTCCTCCTGCGGAGTGCCGCGGGCCTTGATCGCGGAATATTTCCTTTTTCACACCCTTAGTTTCAGCATTGCTCGTCTAGGCGTGCTAATATGATATGTCGAAGATCGGGAGATGGCAGACAGTAATGACTTACCTAATTAAATCCTTTCCCTTCTTGATCTCCAAAGTGTCGGCAATCCCGCCGAGGTTGACGCTGCCAATATATCCGCCTACCTTACGGCAGATGCTGCAGGCGCAGAGCTGGTAGGGGACTGGGGTTGAGGACTGGAGAGAGAACTCAATGCCGCCGCATTGGCAGCTACCTTCTAGAGTCCTGGTTATGATCTTAGTGCTTGCGCGATTGAGGTTGTTTGCGGATTCGTTGAAAAAGTGTGGTGGGGATATATCATCTTGCCGCGGGTGACGTCTATAGAAGGAGTGGGAGGGAAAAGCTCACATCGGCATTCTCGTAGGATGTCCCCTTATCAATGGGTGTTACGGCAGATACTAGGTGAGAAACTGCGATATGTTGATTTCTCTGGAAGTAGGCTGTCATCCGGCATTTATATCGTGGACTTGGTTGGATGACAACGTCATTGATATATCAGCGCCGCAGGTCTCCGTATCTATCATGCCGGGTCAAGAAGGGAGCTGAGGGGGACTCGCTCAAAACAAACTACATGAAGGAGCCTGCGCTTAGACAGTTTGCTATCTGAGTCACAATTCCCAGAGACTCAGTACCAATTGAGCCAATGATTATTCCGTGTGACGCCTATTATCTTCGCTTCCAGTGGGACTACATGGTCTGGTTCGGGGTTCGACCCCGCACGCATATGTCAGGTCGGACGATATGGCCAATGAAATGAATGACTACCTCTGTCTGTAACCTGTAAGCATTACGAGTCGCATTTGCTAGGTACACAGACCCGTTCTAGATGCCTTTGAGTCCTGCGGTGTGTCCATATAGATCGCCCTGGGCTGTGTTTGTTCTGTTTGCCTTGTTTGTCTGGTCGGCGCCGATCCGGCCTGTTTTCTCCCGAAGGGTTTGCCAGAAAGCATGGCCGTCAGCGCTCTCCGATAAACAGCCGATAAGACGTTGCTCGATCCAGAGAAGTCTCTGCTATATCTTACTCAATTGGAACACAATTCGATATCTGCAAGAATCATACCACTACCAGAACCATGGGTTTCGGAGCTCCCGGTGGTGCTGCGACGAATTATAAGCCTACGCCGTAAGTGGTCTGATCCCTATCTTCTTCCCCGGCTTTTGCAACCGCGCGCGCGTGTGCCTGTGCCGGCTTCATTGTGTGGTGAAAGTGTGTTGCCAAGGTCTGTACTAACCTCTGAATTGCTTTTACTAGTCCCGAGCGTGGTAGCTTTCCCCTTGACCACTATGGTGAGTTGCACCTCTTCACACCAGCTCATTCGATTTTGGTTGGGCCTGCGCCACTTCCCCCAAGCTACGAGCGCAGAGCGAGAGTCAGAGAAGGAGGAGACTGACATGCCGCGCTGCCGGAAAATATAGGCGACTGCAAACATCTGATCTCCGATTACTTGAAATGCTTGAAATCGAATCGCGGCGTGAACGATGACGCATGTCGGCAATTGGCGAAGGGATATCTGGCTTGTCGGATGGAACAGTATGTCTTCTCTCCCCTAGATCATGGGACTGTGATGGGTCTATCGATGCTAACGGACCGGATTGTACTTGGATAGTAACCTCATGGCACCGGATGATTTCAAGAACCTCGGATTGAACTTCGAGAAGAACAAGGCCGCTGCGGAGGGGTCCGCGGCTGGGTCGGCTGAGAATAAGCAATAGATCTGGGCAGTTGGTGGCCTGTACGATATTCTGAGCGTTGAGTTCATAGTTTGGAGGGGTGATTGCGCGATATGGCAGATAGCAGATTCTCACTCTTCATTCATTTGGCGTCTGGGGTAGGGGACTTTTTGTTGCGATACGATTTTGTGTATATACAGGACGCGCCTTGAGATATTGTCTGTATATACTTCCTGAAATACTCAATTCCTTTCTGACCCATGTGATCTCGAATCTTGACTGCACAATATAATACTACCATGGGTTACATGCAAAACCATGGAGTAGAGTGTAGTATTAAACGTCTTGCCATCTTTTATCAGAATGCGGAAAATCCCCCATACCCATTCATGCGGGGAAAGCTATCCGCACCGCCGCGGCGTACGGAATCTTTCTCAAGTACTTCCTTCTAACGACCATACCACCTGCGCATTGCTTTAGCATACCTTCAACCCCTTTTTGCCGACTTCTTTATTCCCACCATCAAGATCAATTCAATTCTTCACGCCCAATTCACAGACGAAATCCAGGGTCGACAAGCCCGCCCCTCTTTCCGGTGATCCCTATCAAACGCATCGCCACCAGAGTGGACGAACGAGAGCGACTGACAGCAACGACCAATGTCCTCCATCGCCCGACCCCCAGATCCCTGCCTGGTAGCCATCATTCTCATCGTGCGCTCGCGCGCTGGCCCCCGCTTCGTCTTCCACTACCCTCCCAACCCGCTCAGCGAGAACGGCTTCCGACCGGCGGCGACCACCACCAGCAAGGGAACGTCCTCGGCGACATCCTCGCGTCGCGCATCGCGCACCAAATCCTACAGAAAAGATAGGGACAATGATTCCAGTTCCAGTGACGAGAGCGGGTCGAGCTCCGACGAGGATGAAGAGGAGACGTTGATACCCCAGCAGTTACTCAATCAGTCGACCTCGTCATTGCCGTATGTGGTTGGCGGTGGCGGTGGTAGTAGTGGGGTGAATAGCCGTCGGCCGAGTAGTTTCGGGCTGGGCGATGATTCTACAGCTACAGCTGCTGCAGGAGGGACAGGGGGAGGACGGGCTGGGATTGCTGGGTCGCCGGGCGCCGAGTCGCAGCGGGCTGGATCGATTGGCTCCGGGAGAGGCTTGTTGCGCAGTGGGACGGGGAGTATCAAGCAACGAGGGGCGAATTCGGATGCGGAGGATGAGGTGTCGATTGGGGAGAAGGGGGAGGATGAGGGATTAGGTACGACTTTGGGAGGAAATGGTGGTGGTGGAGGAGGAGGAGGGCAGGGGGGAGGCAGCACTGGCACAGGGGGGGATGGAAGCAATAGTGTTGGTGGTAGTGGAGGAGGGAGTCGAGGTGGCAATGGGGCACGGCCTCCCTGGGAGACGCTGCTGGGACTCCCTGCTGATGTTTGGGAGAAATTGCTGAGTCCCTCACGGTCGTGGCACAAGCGGCGCTTCGAGGTCGGCATCAATGACCTTGCATTTGTCGGCTGGCCGGTGTTCGTTCGGGAAGATGGTATGTGGAGGAAAGAGAGGCGCAAGAAGAGGAAGCCTCGTGCCACTTGGGAGGGGGGGGAGCTCGGCCATAATGAAAAGCCCGATGATGACGATGATGACACTCGAGAGGAGGCGGCCGTAGATCTGATGGTGGCTTCTACGGAGACGTTGAGTCCGAAGCAGATGACCCCGTCTGAGTCTCAACGCGCGTCGATAACCAGCATCCACTCGTCGATAAGGGCGGCAAGTGAGTCGCTAGATGGCGACGATAAGGACTCAATGACTATGTTCAATGTGGTCTTTGTGCTGGATCCGCCTCTTTTGGAGTATTCCATGCGTCTCCGAGAGATTTACGATAATATCATCAAGAAGTTCTCCAAGGCGCTCAAGTGGGAGCAAGCGCGGACGGACTACGTATGGAGAGAAGCCCGACACATCTCGCACATCAAGGAGAAAGCTAAGGAAAAAGGTACGTGCTTATGTCCTCTCATCATCGGTTTGGCTAAATCGTTTTGTGCAGGAACGTCCGTCAACAACCTTTACTCGGAACTGGTCCACCAGTCGTCCCTGGCGAGGGCCATCTATACCGTGTACACCAGCATCTCCGCATCAAAGATTGCATCTGTGACCCTGAACGCGGATGTTTCCATCTCATTACAGATCCCCCCTTTGACATCGACGCCCTTCCTAGCAGGACCGACTGACAAGGCATACCCAGGCCTCTGGCTCACAACTGCAGACAGCGTCACGCCGGTCGATGATCCTACTGCAGAAGAAAACACCGCACCCCATCAAGTCTTAGCCAAGCACTTCGCTCTTTTGCTGCTGGACAACGAAGCGACCATCCTCAAAGATGTCGAGGCTTCGGGAGGAGCACTAGCCCCTGCGCTTGCTCATTATATCCGTTGTTCGAAGCCTACCAAGTCCTTCGCCCAGATAGCCGTGACCTCCGGCATACCACTGTCTACCATTCAGATGCTTGCGAGCCATTTGGTGTACTGGCGGAGAGCGCGTGCAATCCCTCCACTTCATCAGCGAGACACCTACGTGGTTTCACCAAACTGTGACTTGAGCAAGTTGGAAGTTGCGACAGCTGCCTACCAAGCAGCTTTTCCAACTCTTCCTAGTCTTCCTAAGATGCTATCGGCCATGAGCGGAACTCCCAGACCGTACGGAAGCTTCATTCCCAGTAAAGACCACAAAGTCACGTACTTTGCGATTTTAGCGTGGTTACTGCGAGGCGGTTGGGTTACCCAGCTGCGCGCCTTCGCAAGGGTCAAGGTGTCTCCTGAGGTTAAGTTGGCTGTTGAAGCGGCGGTTCGACGCGAAGAGGTGGACAAATATTTGAGCAAGAGTGTCTCCAATGCTGATACAGAGGACATAGACGACGCCAGTTCATCCTCGTCCTCATCTCTCGATAGCCAAGAAGACAGTGGGGAAGAGACTCCCATACCTGGCCGCCACAGAGCAGGCAAGAAGCTCGACCTATCTTTTTCGTTGCTGGATCAGGATACATCCCTGAGGACGTCGTCTCTGATTCTGTTCCCTCACCGAGCCTCGCCACTCGAATCCAGATGGTTAGACGAGATCATGTCGCGATTCCCTGAGCGCAACGGGCCTGGTACTTGTGGTCCAAACGGCACGAATTCTGACGGCCTAGATGCCGATTCGGATCTCGTGGAGTTGCGCACATCCTTGAAGAAGTACTGGCCCCGTTTCATCAAGTACTTCAACGGGTATGACGCGCTGGAGAAGATCCCGGTCCGCGAGAACCTGAAGCGCAAATTAGTCTGGCAACTACTTATGCGTCTCGGCCTGGTGACCGGACAGCAGTCGTCTATCGAGCTGGATCCGAGAGAACAGGTCTTGGTCAGCGTGCGTCATTGGTGAGCGGCGGAGCAAGCGCCGATTCTGTTGATGTATGATGAAACCACAAAACCGGGAAACATGGTAATGCGCTGCGAGGACAGAGATCAAACTATACCAGGGCGACAGTCCGCCACACGACATATAATCTATGTAATAAATGGCATAGACCGAGGAAACCTTCCTTGATATATGATGGCTATCCCTAGCAACCACGGAAGAAGGAAATAAAGCACGTGAACAGCACAAACCTTCATATACCCCACAATTTGGGTTCTATACAATGCGAAAAGGAAAGCAAGTCCGGAGTATATGATCCCTACCACAACAGCCCTTTAAGCTATCTTGCACAAGTTATTCCCATGATTCCATCTAAATAGCGTGGCAATAACCAGGTACTCAGCACCCCTACCATAGAATCCTCCCGAACCATGAGGTAACCAATGCGTCCTGAAACGGCCAGAAAAATCGAAGACGGGAGGGGCAACCGGACGGACGAGAGAGGAGCCTTGATTCCCGAGGTGTCCCGAACTCGCACCGAAACGGTCAGAAAGACCGGAAACTAGATCGATTTTTTTTTTCCCTCTTGAGAATCAAAGACGAAAAGAGAAAGAAATTAGGTTGTAACTCTGAAGCGTGGCGAGCAGCAAGCACCCAACCCTAATTTCCCGATCTCCTGTTCTTCTGAAGAGAAGTCTTCAGACTTGAAGTTTGGGCGATCAATCTTATTGTTTCTTCAGATACCTTGGGGGCGTTTAGACATGTTGCGACTGGCTCATGGAGTTGGATCTGTGATTGTGGTTTGGATCTCACAGTAAACTACTCTCCAATGTATTTGAGGCTGCGCTGAAGGGCTCAGGATCTTTGGTCGGCACTGAGTGGATATAGCGTAAGTAGTGGGGTTCCCGGGGATGGATGATGGTCTCTGGATGTTGGTGTATGAAGTAGGTATCACTTCTCCTGAATAGAGTCCAGCGGGAAGAGGGATCATGCTTCTTCGTATCGCATCGTCCAACGGGAAGCTCGTTACAGTGAGTATTTGGTTTATGGTATTGAAGGGACGTTGATTGGATTGATTGGGTTGGTTAGGCTTCTTCGGTGGTAGAAAGACCATGTCAATTGAAGGAAGAAGCTTGGGCTTGATCGTCAGAATGGTATGTACAAGAATAGACTAGGCTCCCCTTTTACAATGTTTATCTGATGAACCTGCATTTCGATAGTAAGGCGCGGTGCGCGGTGCGCGGTAGTTTTCCAAGCCTCTAGCTTGGGCTTCAAGAAATGGCTGTCACGTCTTCCGGGGCCGAGGCGTGACTGGGTCGCCTTGCAAAAAGTTGACTTGGCATCTGTCGCAGTAGTACTGAACTACTATGCTCCTGTCATGAACGGCTGCATATTGACTCTTGATGGATACCTGAAGATGCTATTACTGGGATCCTCGATTGATGTTAAATCGATAGTGGTGCCAGCCGTAATATGTTGCTCAGGCTGGAAACACTGACCAGACAGCGGGCAGGCTGTGAAGGATTGACTGGTAGTTGCACGTTCTTCTCTATATCTTTCGAAGTTACCTGAAGTCATGTTGCTGCGTAGGTCCGAGTCGCTTGAAATGTTTGCCTAATTGGGTAGAATGATATTCGCATGGCAAGCCCCCAACTTTTCAACCCCTCCATTTTGAACTGTTTACTCTTAAGTCAAGCGGGTGAGTCAGGCTAGCGCCGGAGCAGTTAGCCAGAAGAGATTTAAGTGCCAGGTTTATGTTTGTGCGACCCTGCTGTCAAAAAGCAAAGCCAGACAAGAAACCAGCAGTGAGGGGTTGTTATTCCTGGATGACCGCATCATTGGCGTCAAATTGTCAGCTTCTGCATTAGGACGAATGTATATATGACCTAAGTCATCTCATGATACTCGTTTGTCGGACACGGAAGAATCTGATCAAGATCCGAACAACGTAAACTACCTTTGTTGTGAAGTGAAATCGTAAGTATTTGAATTGTGACATATATTGGAAACCCGGGGCGAAGTGGAGAGGGGTAGGAGAGATGAGGGGCTGCTTTACCACTGCAGTTAGTCAACCGCGGTCAGAAGAGATGACTGACTGACTGGAAGTAGCATTGCGACCAATGAGTCAATGGTCGGCTCAAGAATTTCCTCGAGCGAGTAATTTACTTCGTATACCTTGCATCAATCGATCGTGAGCAACCCGAGTCGCGAGTATAAGAAAGGGCTACAGGACTTGTCACTGAAATAAATGAAGGAGATGAGGGGAGTCTCGACTCATGCACTGATATTGACTCCTGCCCAAGTCCCTTTGCATAGTAATATACGGAGTACACACAAGGTTACTTTACTTTAGAGATTTGGCCCGCAATAGAAAAAAAATTCCAGGTCTCTCAGGGTAAGACCATAAGTATCCTACTGTAGCGGACAATTCACGGCGCTGAGGAACGAGCAAGAATGGTTCATACCCACTCCAAGCCCTGACATCCACTAACCGCAGTTCTTCTTCAGAGAGAAGAAAAAAAAAAGAAAAAAAAGGTAGTAGTGCGGGCATACTATGGAAGGAAAAATGTTTTTGCCAATTTTTTTTCTTTGATTTTTTTTACCCTTCATCTCCGGATCTCTCCAAAACTTTAGGTAAATCGGATACACAATTTATTACAAAGATTCGGGGCACTTGTCCCGCTCTTCTTCCCCAGTTGCTACAGATTGTGAAATCAAGTAGATTGGAATAACATCTCTGTTATTCAGGAAACGAAGAGAGAAGAATCAATGGTCAATATAAAAATGAGATTAAACTACGGAGTAAGATAAAGGTCAGTTAGGCGACTTGCACCCAGGCTGGTTGGTTGGCAGACTGTGAATTGACTGCCTTTCTTCTTCGGCTTTCACCTCCCTCCGGCGGCTTGTAAATTATTATTATGATTTTCTCTTTCCTCTGACACGCACACATACTTCACAAATTACTAGGTAGTTATGAGTATTGTCTGTCGTTAACCAATTAACCAACCAACCAACCAACTAACCACTGTTACTACCACCTCTGCTGCTTTACTCCTTCATCCTAACCTACTTTTTGATTTCTTTTCCCTTTCCCTTTACCCACCCCTCCCACTTCACATCCTCCTCCCCTCTTCTTTCCCCCTCTCTCCTCTCCTCCCCTCCTCTAATTCCCTTACCTCCATCCCATAACTGTTTGGAACTTTCGCTTCTCCTTCATTTTCTCTCCACCGGCTCTCCGTGCCTGTGTGTTGCTGTAGTGAAGCGGTGCGCTTTTTCTCCAATACACTTTTTCCGTCTTCCGATCCACACATTTCTGTGTTTCGCGGAACTACGGCTTCTCTTATTTTTTTTTTCCCTTCCGGCATTGAACAAGGTAACTTGATCGCTTGATCACTTTGATCTTACCCAATTCTGTACCTTGCTCCGCACAGGTTCTGCATCAGACTCTTTTGTCGCAGTGCCTCATTCGCTTTTTTGTTCTTTTTTTATTATCGCTCTTCTGCTTCCTATCCCACCAGGCGAATTCTCCAAGACCTCGAAGTTCAAGAGCAGCGGTCACCACGTGCAAGTCGCGCTACTCGTCGACCTTTTCACTCAAGGGGCAAGATCCACGGGTTTTTTGCGAGCTTCCCAGCGTGCATCGTTTCGAAACCAGTATCCTTCCTATCCTACCTTTAACGAGCCAAAAGCCAGCAGCGCAGTTGGATTTCTCGACCGCCCGAGCCTCATAACTACCCCCTCGTGAGTCTGGCAAGGGTTCAGTAGCGAAGCATACGACCTAAACGAAACTACCCAGGTACTCGTCGATTTAGTACAGTTGTTCGAGCAGCAGAGTCTAGTCTTTGACGACCCTCCACACGTCAATCCCTAGATCTCCCCCCTCGCCCACCGTTCAAACGGTCATTTACCCGAACGAGCCTCGGTATAATCATCTGCATGCGACCTGCGTTCTAGATTTTTGTCACCGATCACCACATCTGCGGATCGAACACATCTATCGTCCTTGTTACATCAGTACGGAACGTTCGTCCTCAGATCACAACCACGGCCACCTGCTGCCGACTAGGAGTGATATCTAGCGACGGGAAGTTGCATAACGGCGGGGTTGCCTAAAGGGCGGAAGTTGTTTCTTCTGCTTGCCATCGTCGGTGGAATCATCTCACCGAACATCTGCGGTTAACACTCCACGTTCTCTGGCAGAACAAATCAGTTCACGCTATCTCCACTATTCTTTCTGAAACGATACTTCAGATACGTCTTTCACACATAAATAAGATGGCTGCTACATTCTCCTACGCACAAGCAGCAAAGGGAGTCGCGGCACCGAACTCGGCCGCCGAACCAGTCACCATGTCCAACGAGCAGAACGCCGAGGTCAGCGTGGATCAGTCGACAGATGATGTGCCTACCAAGGTGGAGGCCGGCTCCGAAGCCGAGCACGCGAATGGCATCAACGAGAAGGAAGCCGATTCATCTAGCGTTGGCAACTCTTCATCTACGACTAGCACGCTCAAGGACGAGGATGGATTGAACACGCCTAATGGCACTTCAGAGTCTACCTGGGACAAGCAGTCTCAAGCATCAGGAGCGGATAAGGCGACTGGCGAAGAAGAGGGTGCGGACAACAAGACAGAGGAGAAAGAGAAGAGCGCACCCGCTAAGGAGTTGAAAGCTGCTCCTCTTCCTGCAGTGAATGTCTGGCACCAGCGCAAAGAAGCTCAGGAGGCTAAGGTCAAGGCTCTGGCTGCTCTGAAGCCTGCCACAAAAACCGGAAACTCCAAGACCACGTCCGCTGCTTCCTCGACGTCAGGCGATCATCAGCAGGAGCCCGCGAAACCTGCTTCTAAGAAGAAGGACGGCCAGGAAAGTGTCAAGGACCGCAGAAAGACTGATGGAGGAAAGGGACGAGACGAGAGTGCAAGCATTCCTCCCGTGGGTGATGCGAACCTCTGGCCGACACCTGATGTCGCTCAAGGTGAAGAGAAGAAGAAGCCCCAGGAGAAGTCTGATAAGAGCCCCGTTATCCGCCCTCACGGCAAAGAGAAGTGGATGCCTGTTCCATACGTCCCAACCGCCGTTTTCAACACCCCTCTTCCTTCTGCTGCTCGCCGCGGTGGAAGATCTGCCCGTGGTGGACGTGAGGGCGCTCGCAATGGCACCCATGGCGCCGAGAAGAATGCATCCGGTCAGGGCGCACAGGGCTCCACCAAGCAGACGACTTCTGCGGATAGAGGCCGGAATGAACCCAACTCTGCTCGCGCTAACTCTTTACCTGCGCAATCAAGGCGCTCCAACAGCGTTGATGCTGGACTTCCTGACTCCCGCAAGCACCAAGCTGGTCGTGGACCCAAGGGCGCTGAAAACATCAACACTGCACAAGGTGGCAAGAATGTAAATGGCGCCGATACCATCCCCCGTCACCACCGCGATACTAAGCAATTTCCCAAGGGTCACGAAAAGAGCTCCGATCACCATTCCAGAAACCCCCACCTGTCTGTCGATACCCAGGCTGGACCGCGCTCCGGGTCCGCTCGCCCAGAAAACGGTCCGAAGTCCGGAGAATTCGCTGGCTTCCACGATCGTAAAGACAAGGACTTCTCTCGCGAGTCGCGCGCCGGCCGAGGCTCTCACCGTGGTGGCCGCGGTGGCCACACCGGCTTCAATGGTGCCCCGAACGCCCACTACCCCCCCAACCACATGTCGCATCACAACTATATGCATCCTAAGTCTTTCGGCTTCGGCGATCGCCAGAGATCGCAGCAGCATGGTCCCGCCAATGGCTCATCGGGTGGCCACAGAATGTCTCTGCGCTCCCCGTCTTTGCCAAACTCCACTGCCATGTACGCTGGTTTCCCTTACCCTGGCGACATGAACTCGATGTACGCCTACCAGCCTGTGCCGATGACTGCGATTCCGTACCAGCAGTACATGGAGCCTTTCTCCGTTATGAGCATGCTCACGATGCAATTGTAAGTGGTCATATCTTTCCTCAAGCTTTCAAAGCCCAAAAATAGTTAATATGTGCTACAGGGAGTACTATTTCTCGGTCGACAATCTCTGCAAGGACTTGTTCCTCCGCAAGCATATGGACTCTCAGGGCTTTGTCGCCCTGTCCTTCATTGCCAGCTTTAAGAGGGTCAAAACTCTGACTGAAGACTTCAACCTTCTGCGTCATGTCTCTCACCAGTTGAGAAATGTCGAGTACATCACAGGCGAAGATGGAGTTGACCGTTTGCGGCCCCGGGATACCTGGGAACAATGGGTTCTCCCTCTGGAGCAGCGCGATCAATCTGCCCAGAATGAGGGTCCCGCCACTGTCAATGTCCCCAAACAAGAGGATGCCACTATGTACCACAACAATGTGGACGGAGTGAATAATTCGCTTGCAAATGGCACTGCCGAGTCTCGGGCTTCGAAGACGCTCTTGTCATCCGATGCTCCGGAGTTTTCGCCATCTCAATCTGCCAATACCCAGACTGATGTCGCACACGTACGGATCCCTTCAATTGATATCTATTCCTGAGTCAGCCCTTGGTGGTCCAGGGCGGCATTGCACAGCTGCCCATGGCATTATCGCCTTCGCGCTCTACTCAAACATCCCGTAGCGATTGCTAATACTTACCGACGTGCAGGCGGAGTAAATATAGTCCACATCAATATCAGTACCCGGCTCTGGTGCTTACCTAAACTAGGTTGGTTTTTCCAGACCACTCATACCGGAAATCCCATAATGGTTGCTAATGCCACTTCAGCCGGAAATTCTGCTTATCTGGTTGACGGCTTGGCTGTCTAGCAGCTTTCGAGCTAGTTCGCCAAGATTATGGTGGAAAACGAGAGATATTCTCCAAGAAATTTCTTCGAATCGCTTTTACGCCCCCTCTTCCATACACCTACACGAGCACCGACCCCACACACCTTCGATCAGAACCTTCAGACTGTGACCGCGCTCAACTCTTACCTATTTACTCATCATTCTTCTCCGAAAACCTTCCAATGCACAAATGTACAATGAATTTCCCAATGCTTAGCGTTTGATGATCGATATTTCTGCACGAAATGTCAGCAACGGCTCTATCATTCAGTTATGCAATATCTCTGAAGAAGCAGCAGGGTCTGGATACGCGACGGGGTTTCCCTGGAGCCTTACGGACCTGTCGTGAAGAGATTTGCTCATGTCTAGGCTGCGCTTCACCCTGTGACATGGCCCATCTTTTCCACTCTATTTCTGCCAAAGGATTGCTGTGCATTGAATGCTAACCTGATTGCCGAGCTGAAAAAGTGATTTTGCTTTCATTGATTCTTGCTTCATGTCCTCACTACCATCTATGCTTTTATTGTGCTTCTGCCGTCATGACTTGCATTCATGTTTATTTCCAACCCGCCGTTGACCCTTCCCAGCGAAGTGAATTCAATTACCCACATTTGTGGTCCCGGTATTGCTCTATCCACGGCACTCGTGCGTTCTTCCTTTCGATGTTTGTTTTCCTCTGCTTCAGTCCTGGGGGGTTTCAAAATTTCTGGAGTCCGGGCATGTTTTCAGTATCCCTACACCTGATGCTTGCTTCTGTGGTGCGCCGGGCTGAATCTTTCCACGATCATAGACTGTTTTATCTGGGACTCTTATCTTTCCTAATACTGTGGTGCTGTTTCACCTTTGCTGTCTCGATTTTTAGTACGAATGGAACCAAAAAAAAAGAAAAAAAAAAAAAAAAAACCAACAAAAGGATAACTGCTTCATGGTCTCTCTTATCGCATCAAGCCGCTGGCACATGTTTCTTATATCAAGGCGGACTGGTATCCAGCTTACCATGAGTTCAACGCAGCGTTGGATTTGCTGTTAAGGTCCTTGATGTCGCCTATTTTTCGCAACCCGATGTACGATTGTTGTGTTGCCTAATCTTTCATCATGCATTTACCAGGTGTTGTCGGAATTTCAGGGCTAATGAACGCAGTGAGCAACGGGGGTTATTCGACCGAGTATCGGGTGTTCGAGTTATTTCGGTCCAACGAGCCAGCGTGACTTTCAGACACTAAGCACTCTTTGTTCTACATCAATGGTTTTATTGCATTTTCCTCCATTTGTTCTTTTCTCTATCGGGGAAAGAATTATCAGCTGTCTTTTCATCAACAGTGGCCTGTTTTCGTATATTATCCAGGTTTATAATTAGACGGCTATCCCGCAAACCATGCAAGGAAACGCTGCGCATGAGAGTCATGCTCATAACAGCTCCTCGATAATTAACGTGCTGCTGCCGAGTGAGTTATGTATAGTCTAGCTCGGGATAAATTAGTCGAATAGTTAACTAGTTAAATTATGGGGTGATGACTAATCCCCGCATGAGGCGGACGTTCGGCGAAGCAACGACATGATCCAGAGCCGTCTCAGCTTCATCTAGTGGTCTCTAGCATTCAACTCAGTCAATCCTCCTAGAAAATTCTCGCCATACTCATCTTTCCATCAAATCACCATGGATGTGGCTTCCCGGCAGTCTTTGAGACTGCTCCAGTCCTCCAACGGCCGACTTCTCGTTCCGAGCTCCCTCTCCGGTTCATCCATAGTCACAGCGAACACCTTGAACCGAGTCCGACGAAGAGATGTCTCGAGTTCAGCTCGCAGGCCTGCTCCGGAAACCTCCTTTTTAAATATGGGCCCGACCTCCCTGCAGTCTGGAGGACCAACCACATATTTTTCTAACCGTCAGACACTGCCTCTTAACACCGTGGTTCGATTCGTACCTCAGCAGACGGCATGGATAGTTGAGCGCATGGGCAAATTCCACCGGATTCTGGAACCTGGTCTTGCGATTATGATACCATTCCTCGACCGAATTGCCTACGTCAAGAGCTTAAAGGAGTCCGCGATCGAGATACCCAGTCAGAACGCCATTACCGCCGATAATGTGACGCTGGAGTTAGATGGTGTATTGTACACGCGCGTGGTTGATGCATATAAGGCTAGGTGAGTCTCTCTAGGCTCAGTATACTCCGAGATGGGTGGTGGCATTTGAATTCTTCCCCTAGCCTGTTTCGCATTGCACTGACGTAGCTAACCCCATACCTTTCTTGTTACTAGCTACGGTGTCGAGGACGCTGAGTACGCCATTTCCCAGCTCGCGCAGACGACGATGCGCTCCGAGATTGGCCAGCTTACCCTGGATCATGTCCTGAAGGAACGCGCTACGCTCAACACCAACATTACGCAAGCTATCAACGAGGCCGCTCAGAGCTGGGGTGTCGTTTGCCTGCGTTACGAGATTCGGGATATCCACGCTCCGGAAGGGGTAGTCGCAGCGATGCATCGCCAGGTTACAGCGGAGCGTTCGAAGCGGGCGGAGATCCTTGATTCTGAGGGTCAGCGCCAAAGTGCAATCAACATCGCCGAGGGTCAGAAACAGTCGGTCATCTTGGCTTCGGAAGCCATGCGTGCTGAACGGATCAATCAGGCTGCTGGTGAGGCTGAGGCTATTTTACTTAAGGCACAGGCTACCGCGAAAGGTATCGACCTTGTTGCCAAGGCCATTGAGGCTGGGCAAGAGAACGCCCACGGAGCTCTCAGCCTCAGTGTTGCAGAGAAGTACGTCGATGCATTCTCCAAGCTGGCCAAGGAAGGTACCGCTGTTGTTGTCCCTGGTAATGTTGGAGACATGGGCAACATGATTGCGCAAGCCATGGCCGTCTACGGCAAGGTCAGTCAAAGTCAGGCGCGAACTCTCGCATCGAAGGCTCTGAATGTGCAGGAGCTCGCTCAGACGGACTCGTCCAGCAGCCCCAAGGCCACTGAGCAAACGGGAGAGCGCCACGCTAGCAACGATATCTCAGAGACCTTTCAAGACGAAATCGACCAGACAAGCCAGTCGACGAAATAAAGTGAAGTGACACCAAGACGGTCCTTTACTGAAATTCGCTGCCACCTTTAGCCTTCTTGTATTCTTACCATTGGTTCTAATTTCCCCATCGGCTGCTTCACATTCTCAGCTTACGATTTCTCATATGACAACGATACTCTCCTACTATCGCCTGTAACTTTAGTCTTGCCCTTTGCCGCTGCTATGGCCGTCCATTGGATTCCTTGTGAGCCGTATCTGATTTCGCATGAGCATTGTTGTATGAGCTGCGTTTTTTAATTGTTTGACCACCAGAGAGAGAGAGAGATAGAGAGAGAGCCCTCTCTCCGGCGGTGATCTGTACATTAAATGAAAAGCGAAGTTATGCTTTACCACAAGCAATGTGTGTCTTGTTATATATGGATGTTTGCGCATTCTACGGCATCTGCTGCAATCCAGACCGTTTTAGATACGTAGTTATGTATGGCCAGGGAGCTCGGGCCACCGCCTCCCGCGCCGCCCATTCTGGAGAGATCGCGACTGAGAGTTAGAATCGAGCGCGCTCTCAACCGGACCTTTGTCCGCGTTCACTACTCCGCTAAATCCACTTCTTCCTCCTCCTTCTATTTCCACCAGGTGGACTTAATCACACTCTTCACTTTCTCTGTAACCATTCCTGCGAACTCACGAACCCATAATCCGATGAACGGAGCGCAAGATTGCTTTGCGATGCTCCATCTAAGCGGTCCATCCTATACGTCTACTTGCCTGTGATCAGACTCCGAACACGGACCTCGCCCACGACGAGCCTTAAGCGAACCTGACTTTCCTCTTGCCCCGCGACTCGAGTGACAAAGTTATTGCGATGCATATCATTAAGCCAGTCTGGCTGACACATGGGGGTATGTTTTGTGACTCTCTCTCGTCGAAGGGATTTGTTGGGCAGATTTGATTAATTATTCTCCCGGTACATCTGGCGCGGTCGGTGTCTATTGAATCGCCTTGTGCTAATCGTCTCCCTTCGGAATCATTTATCATAGGCGAGAGAAAGGACTTTGAAGTATATAGTTGCGATGTATCCCCCGATGGATCTCGCTTGGTCACAGCGGCTGGAGGTCAGTTATGGGCAATCTCTCCCCCCCCCCCTCCCGGACAAAGAGGCACTCGTGGCTCCGTGGGGTAAGCGCTGACCGATATCTTGCTTCTGCGACCTGTAGATGGATACGTTCGGATCTGGTCTACGGAGGCGATTTGCAACACGGAGGATTCACAATATGCCAGCAAACCTAAGCAGCTGGCTTCCATGAGCAACCACTCCGGTACGATTCACACAGTTCGGTTCTCACCCAACGGGAAATACTTGGCGTCGGGGGCAGATGACAAGATTGTTTGCATATATACGCTGGACGCCAACCCGCCTTCTCATGCGTCAACTTTCGGTGAGTACCTGAGCAACTTGCGATCACGATCAAGGGTTTTGGTTACTTGCAAGCTGGCTAACGGCTCGTGTTACGCTTGGTAGGATCGAACGAGGCGCCCCCCGTGGAGAATTGGCGCACTATTCGAAGGCTGATCGGCCATGACAACGACGTCCAGGATCTAGGCTGGTCATACGACTCTTCCATTCTGGTCTCCGTTGGCTTGGATTCTAAGGTCGTGGTTTGGTCCGGACACACATTTGAGAAGCTCAAGACCCTGTCAATCCACCAGAGCCATGTCAAGGGAATCACGTTCGACCCCGCAAACAAATATTTCGCTACAGCGAGCGACGATCGCACGGTTCGCATTTTCCGATTTACGTCGCCTGCTCCTAATTCCACCGCCCACGACCAAATGAACAACTTCATTCTCGAAACTACCATTACCGCGCCATTCTCAAACTCGCCCCTGACTGCATATTTCCGACGGTGCTCGTGGTCTCCAGATGGCATGCATATTGCGGCCGCGAATGCGGTTAACGGGCCTGTCAGCTCTGTCGCGATCATCAACCGGGGATCCTGGGATGGTGATATAAATCTCATCGGGCACGAAGCTCCTGTCGAGGTATGCGCCTTTTCCCCGCGACTCTACTCCACGCAGCCAATCGATAAGCAAGCCGTGGATGGCCAAGGTCATGCGTCCGTGACCGTGATTGCTTGCGCAGGTGGGGATAAGTCCCTCAGCATCTGGATCACTAGCAATCCCAGACCTATTGTGGTAGCGCAAGAGCTGGCCGCCAAGTCAATATCTGACTTGGCCTGGAGTCCGGACGGAAAGTGCCTCTATGCAACGGCGCTCGACGGCACCATTCTTGTTGTCCGCTTCGAAGACGGCGATCTCGGATATGCCATGGAAATGGAAGAGAATGAGAAGTCACTCACCAAGTTTGGCACGAATCGTCGAGGTGCGGGTATTGCAGAGACTACGGATGGTCTGCTGCTCGAGGAGAAGAGCAAGGCGGGGGAAATCAAGGGCGTCGAAGGCCGCATGGGCGCTCTAATGGGTGACGATCACACAGCAGCAGAGACTACGACCAACGGCAAATCGACCCAGCCACAGTCGAACGGCGTCACTACAACTTCGGCCCCATCACCCGCTGCGGATGCACAGAAGGCTCAGCCCAATGGGACAGCAGCGACACCGGCGGCACCAGAGCCTGAGAAACCCGACCCTTATCAGGCAAAACTCGAGAGGTTGAAGCAGCGTCCAACATACACGAAGGACGGGAGGAAGCGGATAGCTCCTCTGTTGGTGTCTGGAGCTGGAGCCGCGGAATCATCACTCCCACAGTCCCGATTGATGGCATCAGTTAGCAGTCAAGTCAAGGCTGATACTCCACAATCAATCATCGATCTCTCAAAGCCTTTCGATGGACTACCCAAGGGAGGACTTGCAGGGCTATTAATTGGGAACAAGCGGAAGCTCGCGCAACTTGAGGGCGACGAGGATGGACAAGTCGAAAAGCGGGTGGCCGTGGCGAGTCAAAATGGGGCAACCGCTATTCTGGCCCACACGCCTGATGGTCTGCTACCTGCGCAGTCACAGCCTAGCCCAGAAGGTCAACAACAGACACCGGAGTATATACGACCCGCAGTTACAAATCCTTGCATGGCCATCAGTCAGCTTCGGTTGGCTGTGCCCAAAGTTCGAAGTCAGATACTGCGGGCCATTGACCCCACGGGCAAACCGACGGAGCCTCCGGGCACCTCGAGCGAGTCGAGCAAATCGCGAGCCGATGTCATCTTCGAAGCTCGCAACCCTTCGCCAGCAAGCTTGACTGGACGTGTGGTTGACCGCGAACCAGTTCGACTTACTCTGTTCCGTGGCGAGCAGCCATTGTGGCAGGACTTCCTCCCGCGGCCTGTTTTGCTGGTGACCGGTAATCAGAGCATGTGGGCTGCAGCCTGTGAAGAAGGGTCTGTATACATCTGGACTCCAGCTGGGCGTCGCCTGGTTAGTGCTTTAGTCCTGGAAGCGCAGCCCGTGATCCTGGAGTGCAACGGTCCATGGATTCTCTGTATTACGGCTGTAGGCATGTGCTACGTCTGGAATGTGAAGCACCTCTCCTCACCTCATCCGCCTATCTCCCTCCAACCGGTGCTCGACGCGGCCATCCACACCCTGGGTCCCCATCCCACGACTGCTCCTGCAATCACCAATGCTCGTATCAACTCGGAAGGCCGGATCGTGGTTGCACTGACGAACGGCGAAGGATACTCCTACTCCCCGTCTATGTACACCTGGCAGCGGATCTCGGAGTCCTGGTGGGCGGTGGGCAGTCAGTACTGGAACACTACGGAGGCCCCCGTGGGCAACCTCCAATCGGCGGACGCGCAGCAGGACAAGGCCGCCAAGGCAGCAGTGTCCGCTGGTATTATACCGTTCTTGGAACGCAACACAACAAATGAGACGTTGCTGCGGGGTCGTGCGTATTTCCTGCAGCGGTTGATCAAGGTGTTACTGTCGCGCGAGGGTTACGAAAGCTTTGAGTCCAGCGTATCCATCGCCCACCTGGAGAACCGAGTGGCTGCCGCCCTGTCTCTGGGGGCGAAGGATGAATTCCGTCTCTACCTCTCCATGTACGCCAAGCGTCTAGGCGCGGAAGGGTTGAAGATGAAGGTCGAGGAGCTCTTGAAAGGGCTGATCGGCGGTCTCTTCGAGGAAGACGACACTGGTAGCGTTCGGCGTCTCCAGGACAATGAACAAGAGGATCGGAATTGGCGCGAGAGCTCGGAGACGCTCTGTGGCTGGCCACGCGAAGTGTTGCTCAAGGAAGTGATCTTAGCACTGGGTAAGTGTTGGTTCTTATCTGCTATGTGGGCTTGTTTGATTGCTAACTGGATGGGTTGTGCTAGGCAAACATCGGGATCTTCAGCGAGTGACGGTGCCATATGCCAAACTGCTGGGTATGGTGGACAACGAGTCGGAAGTGGGCGATGCCATGGAGACGTGAAGGGTCCTTGCTGCAGGGTTCCACCGACCATTTGCGTTTGGCGTTTAGCTGGCGTTGCGTAGTCAAATTTCCAACCATACCGCACGGGGACGGATGGATGTATGCATGTCGGGGTTTTTCTTTTTTTCTTTTTTTTTTTTTTTTTTTTTTTTTTTTTTTTTTTTTTTTTTGGGGGTTTTTTTTTTTTTTTTTTTTTTTTTTTTTTTTTTTTTTTTTTTTTGTTTTGGCTGGAAGGGTCTTCTATCCTTTTTTATTTCTTCAAGCATTATACGGAGCATGCTTGTGATACTTTGTACTATATTTCCAATCTTAACTTGGGCCATGGTCAAGAAGGGTTCGTTGTTGACAGTAAATTAACGTGCAGCAGTGCCTCTGTAGGATGACAGCCGTGAATTATGTAAGACAGGGCTGGCAAGTCATGTGGGCGGTGAGCGGGGAAGAGGGAGCGCGCAGGGCCAGTCAACGCCTCCACCGCACACAAAGAAAGCGTCATCATCATCTATTAAGTTAAGTTTACTTTCCTAGCTACTCGACTCTCGACTCTATCTTCTCATCTGCATGATCCTGAACCAATTGGGTCTGGAAAACTCTTTTCTTTTCAAACTACGGAGTACCTCACGACTACGGAGTAGTAGGTAGTATCTATTTCCCTCCTCCTCCCTCCTCAACTACTCATCATAAATCCGCCCACAGCAACACAGCTGGTGGGCATCGTCATCACGTCTCCTTCACAGCCGGGCGTCCTGCTGTTACTTTCACTCCGCTTCCATCGCTCCGCAGCTGGTCCTGCTTTGGCCTCGCGCCTGATCCAATCTCAGTCTCTGTTCCTTAACCCCTCCTCCTCTTCCGTCTCTTTTACTTCCACTTCCCCCTCCCCCTCCTCTTCTTTCTTCCCCTCCTTCTCTTCCCGCCGGTCCTACTCCAGCAAGAAGAAGAAATCCTCCAAAATGCCCCCCAAGAAGGCTGTTGTGCAAGAGAAGGTCCTGTTGGGCCGCCCAGGAAATAACCTGAAGAGTGGTATCGTATGTGAGCATTGACCCCACCGAACTATTAATTTTTCCTCTTTTTTTTTCTTTTTTTCCCTCCCCTTCCTCTGCCTGCGCTGCCCCTCCCTCTAATTCCAGCAAACCCAACAAAGCCAGCCTCCCGAATTTTTTTTATCCGTTCCCTTTCTCTTACCCTATTTAATCTCGCTTCCCCTGCACATACTCTTTTCTTTTTCCCCTCTTCCCTTTCTTCCTCCCACCACCATCATTCCCACACACCATTGTAGGAATTCAGGAACACAAGATGGTTTAACATCCTTCTAGGTTGGTCTGGCCAATGTCGGCAAGTCCACTCTTTTCCAGGCTATCACGAAGTCCACGCTGGGTAACCCCGCCAACTTCCCCTATGCCACCATCGACCCCGAAGAGGCTCGTGTCATTGTCCCCGATGACCGCTTCGACTGGCTGTGCGAGCACTACAAGCCCAAGTCGCAGGTGCCTGCCAACTTGACCGTGTATGATATTGCCGGTCTGACCCGCGGTGCCTCCACTGGTGCTGGTCTCGGTAACTCGTTCTTGTCCCACATCCGTGCTGTCGATGCCATCTTCCAGGTGGTGCGCTGCTTCGACGATGCGGAGATCATCCACGTCGAGGGTGACGTCGACCCCGTCCGTGACTTGAACATCATCAGCGAGGAGCTGCGCGTCAAGGATATTGAGTTCGTCGAGAAGGCTCTCGAGGCTCTCCAGAAGCAGACTAAGCGTGGTGGTCAGACTCTGGAGATGAAGAAGCTGCGCGAGGAGGAGGGCACTGTTGCCAAGGTCCTCGAGTGGCTGCGCGAGGGTAAGGACGTGAGAAAGGGCGAATGGGGCCCCAAGGAGGTACGTCCTATATCTTTTCTTCCCCTTTTCTTCATATTGTGTTTCTCTACCCCTTTTATGATGAATAAGAGCACTGCTCGAATATAACCCAGCTCGTCGAATGGCCTCAATTACATAACAACGCAGAGGCCATGTTGAGATAAAATCCCATCTGATATTCTTACCTTCTATCACTGTTTCGCTGTTGAAAACCAGTTTTGCTTGATGGAATGGAGCGCTAATCAAAACGCGCAATAGGTCGAGACCATCAACCCTCTCATGTTGCTGACGGCTAAGCCCGTCGTCTACTTGGTTAACCTGAGTGAGAAGGACTACATCCGCCAGAAGAACAAGTACCTGCCTAAGGTGTTCGAGTGGATCAAGACCAACTCTACGGGTGACCCCCTGATCCCCATCTCTGTCTCCTTCGAGGAGCGCCTGACCCGCTTTGAGGACGAGGCTGCCGCCCTCGAGGAGTGCAAGAGCCTGAACACCAAGTCCGCGCTGCCCAAGGTGATCACCACCATGCGTCAGTCATTGAACTTGGCCAGTTTCTTCACCACCGGTGTCGACGAGGTCCGCCAATGGACCATTCGCAAGGGCATCAAGGCCCCTGCCGCGGCTGGTGTCATCCACACCGACTTTGAGAAGACCTTCATCCAGGCCATCGTGTACAATTACTCGACCCTGCGTGAGTACGGCGACGAAGCCGCCGTTAAGGCCGCCGGCAAGATCATGACCAAGGGCAAGGATTACGTCGTCGAGGACGGTGATATTCTGCTGATCAAGGCCGGTGCTGCTCGCAGCTAGATGTAGGTTAAAATGACTAGCAATTAAAAATCAATTGTCGTGCTATTCTCTTTTGATACGTATGTCAGCTAGTAGATGCCATGGTCCCACTGTTTCCATTGGTTCCTTGTAGAAGTAACAGCTGCTCTAGAACGTCGCCGGCTCCCGAATAATGTGCTTTCATGTATAAGTCTTTTCTTTGCTCAACGGAACATCATTCATTTATGGCATTGAAGATGTCATGCACTTATTGTACATGATACCTTTCCAACTGAGCCGTGGCTTCAATGTTCTTTTGTATATTATATCACTCGCAACCATGACAGGAAAAGATTTCTCGACATAGCTGAAGGCCGCATTTGCTAATAAGACGCACATTTCCCTGCCAATTTACCTAGAAGCAACCTTGTAAACACTAGTTATAGCAGTCTAGTCGTCGACTGACGGAGAGTATGCGGACACGTGACCGGGCGGTTTCCCCGCAGGAGGGATTGCAGATTGCAGATTGCAGATAATGCCTCCTCCTCCATCTCCGAAACAACCAACAAATTCCTGGTGGTCAGTCCAGTATCAGGCACCATGTTCAAGAAAGAGTAAGTTTACCGTCTAGTTATTCTTACTGATGTATTCCCTTGCATCCATACCCACACCATTCCCAGCAAGGAAGAACATCCCGAACAGAGAAACATCTACCCCGCCTACCTCTTTGCTTCCTGACTCTTCAGAAGCTATCTACCAATTGTCCCTCTTGCCGCCCCTCTACCTGTCTAGCAGTATTACCGGCAACTTTTCTCCACCCAAGAGTACATCCTGCTGACAAAATCAACGGAATACAGAATCCCCCCGAGCAACCGCTCAAAAGTCAAATCCTCTGTGCAGCGCGCCCTCCGCCAACGCTTCCTAGAAACCTACCCTGGCTTCGAACCCTACATCGAGGAGGTCCTCCCCAAGAAAGCCCAGCTGGATGCTGTGAAGCTGTACGCACCCCAGTCCAATTCCAGTCCCAGTCTTAGTCCCAGTCCAAGACTCCAACCCATCACCCCCTCACCCTCCCTTCCTCATCCCCCAACCATGCTTTCTCTCTCTCTCTCTCTCTCTCTCTCTCCCATACTAATAATCAACCACAAACAAAAAAAACAGCCCCGAAAGAGCAACCCTCTACTCCATCGACAATACCCCTCTCTTCTTCCAACCCCTCGACGGCCCCCCGATTCCGCACCTGAAGCTTATCCACGCCTACCCGGACGCCCTGCCGACCGTGCAGATCGACCGCGGCGCGATTCGGTTCGTGCTGTCGGGTGCGGCGCTCATGGCGCCCGGGTTGACCTCCGCCGGGGGTCGGTTACCGCCCGCCGAGCAGGCGGTCGAGGCCGGCCAGGTGGTGGCCGTCAAGGCGGAGGGCAAGGAGACGGTTTGTCTGGTTGGAGTGTTGAAGGTCGGGACGGAGGAGATTAAGGCCAAGGGAAAGGGGGTGGTGTTGGATGAGGGGCATTATCTTGGGGATGGGCTTTGGAGGATGAGTTTGGATTAAAATCGATGATTGATTCTGTGGTGGGTGTTGGTGAAGTAGTATGTGCGTTCTTGTATAGCACAGGAAGGGGGGGGTTTGGTTTGGTTATGGTCACAGGTGTGGAGCTGGGATAGGGAAGTTGGTGGGTGAAGAAAGCCCTCCGGTGAACTAGTACTATCTTCTTGGTTTGGTTGGTTTTATCTGCTTAGTACTCGTCTTGATACCATTGCTTAGCAAGCTTAATGGATTGTATTGATTTTAACTGCCATGTTCATCCCCACTCTTGTATGTGCACGGATTTTTAAAAGGCTCAAGCAAGTACGCAAGCAAGCATTATATATTACTTCTCAAATCACTCTAACTCGGGAGGACGCGGTGACAGCGGCGACGTCGGCGACAACGAGGACCACGACGGCGTTCGCATCGCCAGCCCCAGCCCCTTCACGCTCGTGCTCGACCCATTCATCCCCATCCCCGGCAGCCCTCCGTCCCTCAGGCCGGCGCGGCTCACCGCCCGTTGCAACATCTCCCCCGTCTCATCCAACGCAATCAGGAACCGCGCCAGTTCCGCGCACAGATCCCAGTCGCTCTTCTTCGATGCCAGGTACATCAGCCGGACCACGTAGTCCTCGATCGGCGCGTCGTGGTCGTCCGCGTCGTCCTCAAACGCCTGCAGCACCAGGAGATAGCCCACGGCCGTCTTGAGCGACCCGAGCTTGAGAGCCTGCTCGAATAGGTCTTTCGGCGAGGGAAGATATGTGAACAAGGTGCGCCACGAGCGCAGCTCCGTCTTGCGGGTGCATTGCACGACAACATCCAGATACACCTTGGTCGGCAGCGATGCTTGTAGGAACGAAATCACGATCGGCAGCAGCGGTTCGTGTTTCGGTGCCGAGTCGTCAATCTTGCTATCCTTGCTTTGATTATCGACCTCATCGTCCAACACGTGGTGAAGAAGGATTTCGAGTGCATGCGGGAAGTAGGATAAATGGGAGAAATGCTGACACAATGACAGCGCGGCAGGCATGTCCCCTTGTGTCAGGCTATGTTGCAGGAAGTACGGCAGGAAGAGATGTGTCTGTAAAAGTCAGTGCTGCACCAATAAATTTTCCAGCAGAAGAGAGATACTTACACGAATGGCGAATTTGAGCACGGAAAATGTGACATCGCGCCGCTGGGTCATCTCCGCTTCTACACCAAGCACAATTCCCTTGTTTAGAAGGACGGACAGCGGGTAAAAGTCCAGAGGCACTTCAAGTGGTCTGGATACACCTTCCCGCTGTAGGACATCCTGTACATCGCCCCATGCAAGGAGCTCTTTCCCACAAAATGTCCACAGCGAATCCCTTAAGGAGAAGTCACTGCGATACATATTCAAGGCCATCTCGGCCGACGGACTGGCCGGAAGAGACTCGTCGACGGGAGCGAAGTTAAACGACAATTGATCTCGCATCAGGATATAGTACTCCACGTCATGGGATACCACTCGCATGTCGTATTTCAGTTCGCCACTCTCCGAGAACGATGGCTGCAGCAGGACTAAGTTGCCATCGACCAAGAGAAGCACAGATGCCACCTTGACATCCTGGGATGGGTCGCCATTCCCTGCCTTCTTGTCAGGTTCTGCACTCAGAAGGGTGTGGGCTCACTTACGCATCTGGTCCTCAGGCAAAATCCAACTGATTGCCCGGACCCGGGTCGGCGCGCGCACAATCCCATGAAATGCTATCTGCCCCACGGGCACCAACGTTATTCGGGAGTGAGCTGAATTAATGATATAGTGATAAAGGATATTATCGTAGGTATAAACGAGCAAAGAGTCCTCGCCCGATGCGCCGACAAAGACCACGGGCGAAGGTAGGTATTCTATGTGTAGGATGGATTGATTGTTGAGTGGCAGTTCTCGCGAGTACAGTCGCAGCTGTGCAATCGGTCAGTGAGGCCATGAGTGGATCTTAGTAGTAGTGCACTTACCTCGTAAGATCCATCATTGTCAATGGCGGCAATGAGGATGTGTCCGTACCAGCACATGCCGCCTCGTACCGCAAAAGAGTTCTCTATTTTAGGATCTTCAAACACTTTCCAACGGCCACTGTTGACACTGTAATGCGCAAGCCCTCGTCTGCCCGCGATGGCAACGTATTTCCCATCCTGCGAGACAACGCTCGAGCGTATTGGCCACTGCGAATGAAGGTAACTCGGGGGATATTGGGCATGATGCCATAGCGAGTCCTTCCCCGAGATAGTCATCAGGTCCGGTAGATCGTGGCCACGATAGAGGATGACTTCGGTCCCAGTCTGCAGCAAACCCCTAGCAAGATTCGCAGAGGAATAACAACCCGTGAGAGCGCTCCGTGCTGTTTCCAGAATCCACAAGCAACGATCATTACGGCCTGTAAGGATGATTTCAGAACCACCACCAATCCAACAACCATATGAGGTGCCCGTCACCCAGTTCTCGCCGTTCGAGTCGGCAAGAGACCGGTCTGCCGTAAAGCTGCTCTCTCCGGACTTTCCGAAAACGCTCCAGGTTGTCCAACCATGCTCATAACCGGCGAACAGGCAATACCCGTCCGGAGAATAGCTCATAAACGTAACGCTACCCGTAGTGGCTGGTGAGGCCGGGAGCTGCAGCTTGTGCGACAGAGGAACATTGCCCAGGTAGTCCTTGGCTGTGTAGACTAGGATCTCTCCGTTGGCGCAGCTCACCGTAAGGAGAGAAAATCGTGCATTGACGACAACCTTGACGGCTTTCTCGCCATCATCCTTGGGATCATGAAAGCAATGGCCATGAAACAGCTTTTTGGAGTCCTCCGAGTCCTCCGCAACTCGTTGTACAGCGTACGCTTGCCCTTCGCTGGTGACCCAGATTAACAGGTTGATAGCACGATCATACACCATATCTGTGATTGAAGTGCGCTTTGAGATCCCCAGGATCCGGCTAAGAAGCTCCGACTTGGTCTGCGAGCCGTCCGCATCCGGGTTCCAACGAATGCATTGAATCGCCGCAGGCTTGACAGTCGCGACAACGAGCTCATTGTCGAGTGCAAGAGCTTTCGCAATCCCTGATTCTATCTTGATTGCCATCCGGAATAAAACACTGACATCTCGAATTCCAGTGGCTTCCTCTTCTGCGGCCAAGCGTGCGAGCGTCTGGCGGCGGGTCGAAGTAGACTGTTCGAAATATTGCTGATATACACGGCTATTAGGGCTGACAGCGATTGTATAGGTAAGAAGATATCCATTGAATGTCTGCACAACAAGTATATTTGAGTCGGGATGCATCAATAGGGCCACATTAGGGCCATAGTTCTCCAGCGACGAGGCGGACCGAGCAACGGCAGCAACAACGGCGGTAGGCTGTATTGGCCGTCAACATGCGCGCTTCAACCCATGACATCATATATATTGCCTGACTCACTCTTGTCTGCCAGAGAGCGATCGATGATCGTGTCATCGTCGCAAACATGTAACCACTCCGGGAAACGCAAAGGCCGGTGAGAGGCTCATCCGCCCACGCCGTCTCCGTGACGGCCGCTTTGCTGCGGGCATTATCGATATTAAGGGCCTCCTCCTGTTCCAGGGAGCTGTCGTAGTTCAGAGATTCATCGTCGTCGGATGCGAGGACTGGAATTCCAGGGCCATTGATCGCATAGACCCGGGGGACTCCATAGGGCCAGTACATGGCTCGGTGCAGGCGCGAGGGTCACGGAGTAGAGCAGCTTCACATCGAGTCATCTTCGATGGACGCTGGACTGTTAGATCGGCGGACTCGAGACAGAGGAGATCCCGGAACTGCCGACCATGTCCATCCAAGTAAACGTCCCAACAGCGCTGGAAATTGATGAATTGGGGAAACCGGAAGTTAATACCTTATGGGTTGGATGTCAATCCGTCGCGAGCACGGGGGCTGTCACGTGCAGAGAAGCTCCGGGAGCAAACAAACCAAACTGAACAAAACGCCCCCCGCATCCATCCCAAAATATCCCCCCCCTCCCCGCGACGCTTTTGGCCAGCAAGTCAATAACTGATCCCTCTTCGCTTTGATACCCAATTTGTTCAGATCATGGTAGGTGGACTCATTTAGTGTTTAAAGCCGCATGTACCCTTACCTTCTTACAGGTCAACCTCTGACGTGTCTCATCAACTAGGCTCCCACTGAGTCCAAGAAGCGCTTGGCGCTTGCTATCATCGATTTCTTGGGTGCCAGCTTGAAGGATGGCACCCTCGGTGCCGATGACGCCGAGTCCATCGAGATCGCTCAGTCTTGTATCGCGGATACCTTCAAGGTCGACCCCACTGATGAGGCTGCTGTGAAGGATGCTCTCGGTGGACAGTCCCTGGCCAGCATCTACAGCGTTTATGAGAAGCTGCGGACCAAGCCCGCCGCCGGCGGTGCTGCTAAGGAGGAGAAGCCCCAGACCGGCGCTCCCACCCCGGAATCCGACAAGCTGAAGTCGGAAGGCAACGCTGCCATGGCCCGTAAGGACTACGCCGGCGCGATTGACTTGTACACCCAGGCTCTGGCCATCGCCCCCTCCAACCCCATCTACCTCTCCAACCGGGCTGCTGCCTATTCCGCCGCCGGACAGCACGAGAAGGCGGTTGAGGATGCCGAGCTTGCCACCGCTGTGGACCCTAAGTACTCCAAGGCCTGGAGCCGTCTGGGTCTGGCTCGTTTTGACCTGGCCGACTACTACGGCGCCCAGGAGGCCTACGAGAAGGGCATCGAGGCTGAGGGCAACGGTGGCAGCGAGGCTATGAAGCGGGGCCTGGAGACCACCAAGAGAAAGATCGAGGAGTCGAAGCGCGGTGGAGAGGCCCCTTCTGACGCCGTCGATGATGCTGCTGGCGCATCTCGTGGTGCTGGTGGTATGCCCGATCTCTCGTCCCTCGCTAGCATGCTTGGAGGTGGTGGCGGCGGCCGCGGCGGCGGCATGCCCGATCTCAGCTCCATCATGAGCAACCCCATGTTCGCCAGCATGGCCCAGAACTTGATGAGCAATCCCGATGCGCTTAACAACCTCATGAGCAACCCCCAGCTGAGACAGATGGCTGAAAATTTCGGCCGCGGAGGTGGCATGCCCGACATGTCTTCGTTGATGAGTGACCCAAGCATCGCCGAAATGTAAGTGCTCCCTGGACTTTGAAAGCAATCGGAAACAGTACTAATATCTTGATTTAGGGCCCGGAACATGATGGGTGGCGGTGCTGGACGGGGAAGCCAGTAATGACTTGATTCATCCATCGTCTGATGCCCGTGCAATCTTTTTTTTCCCACTTCTCAAATAATATTTTCGTTATCATAAGCAATTATCTCGGCTGCATTTAGCTTCCTTCCTGTCACCATCTTCAAGACATTCCTGTTCTCATGTAGAAAAGACACAACAAGCACTTATAAACTAAAATAAACTAACAAAGCCTGGTTTTGACTAGGACGTATAGTATATCTTTCACGTTATATTCACAAGCTCTTTGAATGAGCCTTGACTAGCGATTCAACGACACGAGGTCATCAAGCCCGAAAGGTTGGGAACCTTCACTCGGGAAAAGACCATCTCAGGTGGAACCTGGCCAAGAGAAATAGAAACTGAGCTAAATGAGGAGGCAGATGCAACAAATATCATCAGATGAGTGGAGGGTGAAATTGCCAAACAATACACAAAACACAGGACGCCGCGAAACGCCGAAGCAAACAAGCAGACCGCACCTCTTGTGCCCATTCAAGGGCTCTCTGACACGATTAGTCTCGAATCAAGGAGATAACAAGCTTGCCAGCATCTTGTTTGTTATGAAACGGCCAACAGTAGAGGAGCTTTGCGAAATAGAACAAGTTACTATCAGGGGCAGTTCATGAAGCGCCAGTTCCGCCTGGTCTCTATTTAGAAGGTCAATATTGTACAGTCGGATATGATATCAAAACATAGGTGAGAAGAATAGAAAAGAGATTCATGGCCCGATAATCAGGATGCTGGAAATATCGTTGAGAAAGGAGAAGAGTTTGCGCCAGGGGGGTAGTCAGTTGAAGACTTAAATGTAGTCACGAGCAGCCTTCTGCAGCTCGATCAATCTCCAGCCACGAGTCTCCGGGTTGTTGACATCCTCGGGTATCCGGGTGAGACCGATGGCGTAAGTGACCAATTGAACCTTGTCTTCCATACCGGCGGCGAGTTCGCCAGACTTCACGTTCTTGTAGACGTGGACTTCCTGCGTACGGCAGGTCACAACGAACACGGGAATGTCACCCGGGTCCAACATGCGGGCGTGAGAGACGTCAACTCCACGAATGTCCAAGATACGACCGTCGGACTTGAGTCCGAGAGTGGTGTACTGCTGGGCTAGTGCAGCGTAAACATTGAATTGGGCTTCCGAAAGCCAGAGTTTGAGGGTTTCGACATCGCCCTTGACGTAGGCGTCAAGCACCTCAGGCAAAATATATTCGCGCATCTCCCTCAGGAATGACTCCATCTGAAAGTTGGGGTCCATCTCGCGGAACTTCTTGATGACCTGGGCCGTCTCATTCTCGGCGAAGAAACCGGCGACACGATCCGAAATGCTGCGTGCGGTAGTGATGAGGGGGTTTTCCGACTCGTCGTAGGTGTTTTTCAAGCTAAAGAGCTTCTGCATCATGGGGTTTGAGTCCTTGAAATCACGCCATGACTCCTTCCAAGCAGCGTCCTTGTGAAGTGTGACATTGGTACCGGCGCTAAAAAAGCACACCTGTTAGATGAGGACGTATTGGGACTAGCTGTTTGACTCACTTGGGATCCTCCACCATCGGCTCGAGGCGTCGACCAGCCTTCGCCTCCATCTCTTCGCGCAGCTTTCTCTGCTTCCGACGCTCCTCCTTCTCAATCCAACCGCCGTAACGAGAGCTGCTACCGTCATCGATGGCGTTCTTCACGCCTCCAACAGCGGTCTTGTATGCCTCAGTCTCGCGAACAGGTCTCGTTACCTTCTCGATACCGGAACCAGTAGCGGTGACACCCTTTCGCAGACCCTTGACTACAGGCGTGTTCCAGGTCCACTGAGCGCTCTTGCCAATAGCCTTGCCGGTGTGCTTCAAAGCGGTAGAAGTCTTGGACGTCGCGGCCCCGGAGGCAGCTTCGTAAGCGGCACGAGCCCGCTTGACGTTCTCGTTCTCGGTGAATTGGTGTGCGGAGGACGCGAGGGCCTTCGTCGACTCATTCCATTCTTTCGAGGCTTTGAATTCGGTTTGGAGGGTCTCCCTGAAAACTTGCCAGGGAGTCTTGTCGCCATGGGGAGGGGGGGGAGGGGCATCTTTCTTCTCGTCGTCCTTTTGTTCTTCACTCTTTTCTTCCTTTGATTCCTCTGACTGCTTCTCCTTCTCTTGCTGTTGCTGTTGCTGTTGCTGCTGCTGCTGTCTGAGAGGGGTGGCAACATGGAAGGATCTCGTCAGTGGGAGCGCGGCGTAGGGCGAGAGGAGGTGAGAAACAGGGAGTGTAGTGCGCTGCTGATTCAGAGAAAGTGTGTTTCGTGCTGCGGTCGAGGTCGAATACGAATAAGTCTGCACCAACGAGTGCTGGCTGTAAGCAGTCTTCAGGCTCGGGACATAAGTCCGTAGAGTGGCCGCCCGCGCGGTGGCCGACATTTTGGTAGCGGAGATCATGCTATACAAGAGATAGACCCCCCAAGCTATATTAAACCCTGAGTCCCAAAGGATATAAGATTATGTAGAAGAATGGGGGCCTGAATGAGTCAGGAAGAGGAAGGGTAGGAGGGTTGGAGTGAGCTGGAGAAGAGGGAGAAGCGATGTCGGCAGTTGCTCTGAAAGGAAAGGAAAAAGTCGAGATGCGAAAACGCCAAGCATCGATAAAATTCGGCCCTCTTCCGCCGCCCTTTCGTTCCGGCCCAGTGTTGCGCCGCTCGGCAGTCAGTGTGTACAGCACCTAAGCCACCCTTGACTTCATCTCTCGTTCCGCTTCACTTCTTCATTGCAGCTCTCCGCTGACCCTGGAGAAGTCAACTCCGTCGCATTGACCGAGAGCCGGTTCTCGAATTGTTCTCCGATCGACGTCTTTCCGCAGCAACCACATTTTCTGCAAGATATACCAAGATGAACTCGTCGTTTCTCACTACCTTGACGAGGGCGTTGCCTTCGGTGGGCAGACCTTCACAGCTTCGAATTTCTCCTATCAAATCGTTAAGGTTGTTCTCTTCGACTCCGGCAGCCCACGACATTGAAGCGGCTCGCGATCTGGAAAGGCAGATTCTGGGTACGCTTAAACCCAAGGCGGCTACCGATGCATCCAAGTCTGCCCTCGATGATCTGTTCGGCTCCACAGGTGCCGGCAGGTCCCCCCAGGGTACTTCTATGCAATATCAGAGAATGGCTGATAGCTTCAGCATGGAATCCGATATGTTGACGCAACCCTACGCCGACCGTTCTCCTCCTTACCATCTCCACGTCTACGCTCACAAGCACAACACGATTTTGACCCTGACGCGCCCCAACGGCAACCCGATGCTCTCTCTTAGTTGTGGTTACCTCGGGTTCCGCAAAGGTGGGCGTGCCGGTTTCGACCCGGCGTTCCAGTTGGCCTCGCACTTCTTCGCCCAGATGCAGGAAAGGGGCTATATGGCGGAAATCAAGCGCATGGAACTCATCTTCCGCGACTTTGGACTCGGCCGGGAAGCTTTCACGAAGGTCTTGCTGGGTAATGAGGGAAAGAACATTCGAGGCACGATCTGTCGGGTGACGGATTCTACCCGTATCAAATTCGGTGGAACGAGAAGCAGGCACGAGCGGAGACTGGGCTAAGATATTTGCCATTTCTTGGGAGTTATATTATAGGGAGATATGTCTTTCCTCGATGAAAAGTAGCAGAATTCGAGCTGGCCGGGGGGAAAGAGAGCAAGGGTATTATTCAATGAATCCCGGAGTCTTGATGCTGGCCTGTTTCTCCATACTAAGAGGAGCATTCCCCCTGGGAGTTCACATAGAGAACATCACGGCGCAGAAAGCATCACCACTCCGCTGGCTCTATTGTGAGACAGTGAGGTCTTGCGCTACCTACGGTCCTCCTTTTTCGTCTATTTCGCTTATGTATGTATACTATTGTCAGCCTATTACTGGGGTTATGGGACATTGTTCGACTTCAATCAGATCAAATTTATTTGCGCAAATACAGAGGAATGCACATAGAGCTACTTTACAGACACCGTACAATGTAACAGTACTTCATATATCACGGAGTACTCTCTCTCTCGGGAGAAGATCGGAGAGAGAAGGGAACCCCCAAAGGGGTCTAGCGTGGGAGAGCTCCCCGGTCTGCCACTCCTCCGTGAAAGCTGATGTTGCCTCAATCTCTCCCACATTCCTGCATTGCAATCGTCATTAAATTGTGTTCCCGATATCTTTCCAGCACTCCTAATTTCTTTGAAGAGCGTTCATATCTGGGCCTTTTTGTCGTTGCCAAAGACTCTGTTTTGACCTGCGGGCGCATGCGCCGGGGCTGCTCATCTGCGACAATCCAGCAGCGGAGAACCCCCTCCACCCCCCCCATTACGAGACCGGTCTAGAAGGCTTGATGAGTGCCAGAGATCCTGAGTTGGGCCGTCGTCCAAGACCGTTTGGATGCACCCTTTAAACCCTTTTCTTCGTGCCTTCTTCCGAAGCACTGTTCCGGGGCAGTGTATACCCATCGAGAATCATGTATGTTTCCGTTCCGGACAGCTTGGCCCGCATCGCATGTTCTCAGCCGTCATACTCACACTTACCTTGTAGGTCCTCCTCGTGCCTGTGACGGAATCCTTGGTTGGATCGCGCGACCGCGAGTCCTCCCTATTCTACTCGGACCTAGTTGTTTCGGAAGAATTTCTCGGAAGCCATACCTTACGTATACCAGTCGCTTCTGGGACTGGCGGGGGCAAAGATGACTCGAATATACGGGACAGCAGAGGCAAGGCCAAGCAGGTGACAACGGTGAATGGACGAACCGTCATCATCAAGGAGAACTCAGTGTACAGCAATAAAGGTAAAGGGGAGACCCCAACGGTCCCAAAAATGCGCTCGCGCTAAATAACGTCTATTTCTCTAGGTTTCAAATCGCTAAGCCAAGCCCAGCTGGTGTCTGACGCGTTATATTACACCAACAGTAATGACTCCCAGCCTTGGCTTATTTACTACATCTCTCGTCCATTGATCGGCTCGTTTGACCCCGGAAGGATCATTACTGCCGTAGTGCCAGGGGCACACCCAAAACTCACCACAGTGAGTAATGGGATCAAAACCGGCGAGTCGGTCTCCTCGCCCCCGAAGAAAGAGATCAAGACCTTTGGAGAATTGCTGGCAAATTTTCCAATGATTGCAAGGCAGATGCAACCTGGTTTGGAACGGCTATTCAAGGAGTTCGGGAAAGAGCTAGGCAAACCTCTCCCTCCCCCTCCATCGCGATCTCCTGTGATGTTTGAAGAATATGAACGGAAGCAGAGCCGTGAGGAACCATCTTTCGATGAAGCTGCTTCCATCCGCTCCACACGCAGCAGGGAAGGGCTTCCGTTCAATTCTGAAGAGTATTTTGAGGATGACGAAGATTTAATGCGTCGCAGCCTCGAGACAGCTGTCACGGCTGCCATCGACTTGTTCCGGTTGGTGGACAAACAGCAATTGTCTTTCCTTGGTGCCACCACTGATCTCACCGGACCATTGGTCGAACGGCTTATTGAGCGTTATGTGGCGGAGCAGGTGCATGAAAAGCTACTCTTTCCCCGACTCTGCAAGTTTCGGCTCCCGGAAGATGCTGAGTTGGATTCTCGCATTCGATACATGGAAAACATTGATATCTCCCAAGTAGGTATTGTGGTGGAAGGAGGCCGAGAGGGCAAGCGAGAATTATTGCAACGGCTCGGTAGAGCAGTTGAGGAGTTCCGCAAGATGCTTGATGCCAAATGCCCTCACGACATGCTAAATACCTTGCTCGAGACAGTCAAAATTCTGTCTTACCCGGGCAGCTATAGTAAAACGGATTCGCATTCCTCAGAAAAGCAATTTGCGCCAGTGACCATCAACGCAGACATTCTAGTCTCATTGTTACTCGTCGTTGTGATAAGATCTCAGATCAAGAACTTGCAGGCCCGCTTGATGTATATGCAACACTTCATCTATATTGACGATGTCGACAGTGGTGAAATGGGCTATGCACTGAGCACTCTTGAGGCTGTTCTTACTTATTTGGTGACGGATTCCGCCGGCCTTCGAAGGGCGAGTATCAGAAATAAACGTTTGTGGAATGCCACCAAGCACGGGCGTGTTGTTGATATGAAAGCGATTCTGGAGCCTAATTGTGATCAAGAATCGATAGATGACCTCCCGTGTGAGCCTGAAGAAAGGGTTGTTTTGTTTAAGACAAGAGATGACGAGGATTCGAGCCCGATTTCACAGTCATCTGCGCTAATACGTGATGATCCGCCTAGTGCATTTGGCGAAGATGGAATGGCATCTACTAATGGTGATTCCGAAGCCCCCCCTCTTTCGCACGTCTTTCCCTTCCAGACATGGGCGAACATTTCGCCTCCGATAGAAGTGCGACGTCCAATCAAGAAAGTCTCAATGGACGTGCGTAGCCTGTCCGGATCATCTGCCATATCATTCGCCTCCCGAACAACTACAATGGAGTCGATCACAAGCGCAATAGAAGGTGACAGCTCGATTGAGACTCTGACCAAGACGCAGGATCCTGCTGGTGATTCGATTCCAATGATGGCCGTGGAAAGTCGCCAACCGGAAGCTCTGAGATACCTACTTAGCCTGCAAGAATATTACCCTCTGGAGGATATTCTCGAGGATTCGAACACTGATGGCACAACACTATTGAGTGCTGCAGTTCAGCTTGCTCACACTGACATTGTGGAGATCCTGCTGGATTATCTTTTCAATGCAACTGATAAGCACACCATTGCCTCGTACATGCAGAAGTCCGATATGCATGGACGTACTGTTGCCCATTACCTATTCAGCACACCGTCTGTGATGCATAGACTCGAGGGGCTCCTTCCATGGTGCCAACGCGATAAGCATGGGCAAACTCCGCTTTTTGCATTGTGCCGTTCTTATGACCACCCTGACTATAAGTCAATGGTTAATGAAGCCTTGGACGCTGCTCAGAAAGCCCAAGGAGATGGCAATGCTCTGCGCCTTGACGAACACATTGACTCGAAGGGGAACACCTTACTTCATATTGTTAGTGACCCTGAGATTACAGTTCGTATCTTACAAGGGTGTGACTGTGATCCCAATGCGACGAATGACAAGAGATTCACGCCACTCATGATGGCGAGTAAATATGGACGCATCGACCAGGTCCGAATTCTCTTTGCGGACCCTCGAGTGGATGTCCACCTCAAGGAAAGTCGCGGGTTGACCGCTGTTGAGTTGGCCAAGGACGACGAAGTTCGCAATCGCATCGATGATTTAATACTTCTGTCCACGCCTCCTCCTGTGCTTGATGAGCAGTCAGGTCGAGTGACAACTGTTGTCCGCTCATATTTCGTTGAAGATGCGACGGTTCGATTTGTTCTGAAATCTGGTGCCCCTAGTCCGGCCGCAGACAATCCGGATTCTCGGCCTGCATCGGGCACGACATACACCGTCACAACATGTCGCCGCACCTTTTCAGATTTTGAGAACCTCGCTCGATGTCTTTCGACCGAGCACCCCGCTTCATACATACCATCATTGTCAGACTTTCGTAACCCGTTCCAGATTCATTCCAAACCATCTCGCTCTGTGCTTCATGACATGCAAGAGAAACTTGACAAATTCTTGAAGGTTCTATTGTCTCATCCGACCTTCGCGACCCACGAAATGCTCTGGGAGTTCTTCCTTGTTCCGGAGCTTCAGCCGGACATGATGGCAGATCGGTCGCATCGAAAAGCCCAAGTACTTGCGGAGTCAATCAACGACGACTATGCCCCCGTCACTCCAGAAGGTATGAGGGAAACCGAGCAATTTGTCTCGCATGCTCAGGACATGGTTCGAGCCGTCCATGTGAACACGCGCAGTTTGATTCGTCGTGGCCACGCTCTTCAGAACTCTGCGTCTGACATGGCGGACGCATTGGCTCTCTGCTCCGCGTCGATTTCCACTCTTAAGGATCCGTCGCAGGCACTTCCCCAGTCCCATGTCGATGCATTTATCCGCTACGCCCTGTGTCTCTCGACATCATCCTCTAACTCGTCGCCTCTATTGCAATTTGTCGCAGCGTTCACTTCCATTGATAACACCACTACGGCTGTACTCACGTCCCTCTCGCGGCCTATATCGCTCATTTCCAATTTGTCTTCGACGAACCGAAACCTCTCACGGTCTCGCTCGTCCCTCCTCTCGTCGTCCCTCCCACGGAAATTCAACCTCAACTTCCCTGGGCTGGAAGAGTCGCGACAAAAGTCGGTCCGTGAATTGGAAAGCAAGATTCAGGAACATGAAGCGCAAGTGGCGCGCCTCTCTCGTGAGATCTCGTGGAATAAAGATGTAGTGGTTGGGGAGCTCGCGGGCTGGACCTCATGGCGGGAGAAGATTGGTCGAGACGCAATCCGGTCATTTGTCAAGGCCACATTGGTTCGTGAGAAGGAACGAGGGAAGAGGCTCGAGCGGTGCTTGAGGAGTGTACATGAGATGCAGTAATGAGTACTAGGTAGGAGTTCAATCCCGCTAAAGGGGGCTAAGCGCAAAGTAATAAACAAAATCTACACGTTCAAAACGGATTAGAACTTTTATCTCCTGTCAGCAGTGGTCAGGAGAGGTTGTAACTATCAGTCAATCTGTCTCCTACATGGACCAGAACTCATGGGAAAAAATACTTAACGACTTGAGTGGGGTGGGTTTGTATATTCTGAACCAAGTGTCATATAATGTAAAAGCTTGCGTATGCTCATGAGAATAGGCAGAGCTGACCCTCTTCTTCAAAACCTGAGATTCTCCTCTGACCAAGATTCTCTTTGCCGAAATTGACCTGCCTAATTATACCCCGTCTGGTTCCCAAACCAGACGAGGTGTAGAAAAGAAATCCGAGATTTTCAATCACTTCCTGTTCTATTAGATCCTACAGAATCAAGCACTACCCTAGGATACTACTATCTGAGCAAGATGTGTTGTCCTGTAGGATCGCACATTGCCTGAACCAGGTACAGTTCGTAATCCACTTGGAAAAAAAAGTTAGGAACCTGAATATGCAGGGCCTGTCGTTCCCTTTGATGTCTGCCTGTAATACTACTAAGTATGTATGCAAGTGGAGGACGTAGTGGGAGTGGGTAATGGAGCCCCGCGGCTTGTACTGTGGTATCATATTTTATACTCCGTATATAATTCATTCATCACAAGATACTAGGTAGGAACAATAGTTATAGCAACAAGCAACGCACCTCTTGTCTGCCAGTACGACACATATTTCATACCAACTTAGTAGACAGAAGTTGAACAAGCCACGTGAACTTCACACCATCTATTCCCCTTACATCCCGACCCCAGATTGCAAGGTGACGCCAACGCCACGCCGCCAATAATCCGAATGATGTCATCGAAGATAAGCACCTCCCAGAACTAGATATTTAAAACTTGATCAATTACGCTCCTGTTCATCCAACCCACATTCATCTCTCGCAGTGAGAAACATATACCAGAAGCCCGCTCGTACATCGACTATATCTACATATCTCGGATAGACAGATATCCCCCATTACAACCCACCGCAAACATCAGACCATCATGCCCCTTGTCGTCCCCGGCATCAACAACACCAGCGGCGGTTCGAGCCAGGATGAGTGGGCGAATAAGTTGATGGGCAAGACGGTTACGGAGGGGTCGAGTGATGTGAATGTAGGCTTTTCCTGTCTTCTTTTCGCGATTGTTTCATGTGAGCTTGGATGATATATCTTTCGATGCATCTCTATTACTTATGGCTTCAACATACCTTTCCAAACATGGTCCTTTACCAATGAATTAATCGCTAACCTCATCCCCGTCAACAATACAGTCCTTCGCGAAGCAAGATCTGCCCAAGACCCACCGGATCGTCAAGCCCGGAGATGCCATGACGATGGACCACAATCCTGATCGGTATGTGCATTGATATCATGCCCCCCCTTTTGTCGAGGATGTACCGTGTATACAGTAAGGGTGTGCTGATGATTGGGGATTGGCTGCCGTAGGTTGAACGTCCATGTTGACGAGAACGGGACTGTCCACAATGTGAACTACGGTTAAGTGGTGGGGTTGGATTTTACATGGATTGATGATTATGACTCCTTTCTAATGATTCATGTTGTATTGTGAGAGACGATGGTGAAAGATTCTTGCATTCCCTGAATGGTAAATATGACTTCTAGTTTTTGTTGCATGAGGGATATGATAATGTCATGATGTGGCCGTTTCTTTATCTGATTGCGTACGTAGTGGACTTCCCCGAACTGTTTCGTAGGGGAGAGGATTTACTCAACCTTCCAGCGCAGAAGGGTCAGGGAGTGCTTGGGAAAGACGTAGGAGCCCGAGGCATTCCAGGTGCTCTCGGCAATGCCGACCTCCTGCTTGCCGTTCATGTTGCTGACGGCGAGGTTGTCGCCGGTGACGGTGAAGACGGCGACCTGACCAGTGGGGCCGTCGATCTGGGTCTCGAGGTCCTTGTCCTCACTGATGTTGACGACGGCGACGTTGGCGTAGCCGTCCTCGCCGAGGGTGGCGCTGACGTCCAGCCAGGGGGTGTCCTTGACGCTGCGCACCCACTTGGGGGAGGTTTCGCCCTCGTAGGTGGCGCTGGCCAGGTGGGTGCCGATGGTCCAGCCGCGCATGTACTTTGAGAAGAGGTAGAGCGGCCACCAGGTGGTCTGCTTGGTGATGCCGTCCGTGGTGGTCATCAGCGGTGAGATGACGTTGACGCTCTGCGCGATGCACGCCATGCCGACGTCCTTGCTCTTGCGCACGAAGACGTTCAGCCACACGGCCACGGCCAGCGCGTCCGACAGCGTGTACGACTCCTCGGCGCCCTTGCTGCCCTCGGCGCGGATCGGGTCCCAGACGTTCCACTCGTCGAAGCAGATGGTCGGCCGCGGCTGCGAAGGCGGCACGTTATTTTCGATCATCGCCAGGTCGATCAGCGAGGATGTGATCTCGATGGCGCGCTCGCCCGCCAGCGGCGCCGTCACGTTGGGAAGGTGCGAGTCTGAGGTCGTGTACAGGTGAATACTGTGCATGTCGATCAAGGGCACGGCACTGGTCGAGAGCTCGGAGTGAGCGGGCAGAAGACAGTGCTTCAGGGTGTAGTGGTCCCACGAGGCAAAGCCGGTCTGGCCGCAGAGGATCAGGACCAGGCTAGGGTCGAGGAGCTTGAGAGCTATAGGGCTTTGTTAGTCTTTTGATATATGAAGTAGATGGAAGCTAACCTTTGGCCCATTGATACGCTTTGTGGGCGTATGCTTCCTGGGTCATCTGTTCAACCTGCCACGGTCCCCAGACCTCATTGCCAAGGGCCCAGTATTTCACCTGAGTCCCGGTTAGAATTGGAATATGAAGGGGCTCGCGACTGTCCTCACGTTGTATGGCTCCTCACGACCATGCTTGCGGCGCAGATTGGCATAGTAAGTGTCCCTGGTGCCGTTGCAGTATTCCACCCAAGCAAGGGCTATACTGATAGGTTAGCTAGACCCCAAGTCAAAAAGTTTAGAGGCCATGATCATTCAATTTACCTTCATCAAGAGTACCTGGCGAAGTGTTAGTCAAGCTCTCCATCGCGAAAGGATAATTCACTACGTACCAGTTCCAAAATTCAGACAAAGATAAGGCTCAGTTCCGAGAACTTCACACCACTTCATGAACTCATCCGTTCCGAATTGGTTGGTCTCTGTGCCCAGCCAGGCCAGTTCGGGTCTGAGCACACCAAGAATGTAATCAGTACATGGAGACAATGACAATGATGATCGAAAGAGATGAAAGCATAACAGATGTATGGTCAAGTAAAGGCAGATATGTTCAAGACACGGGCATGATAGGAAGGTAAGAAATGAAGCACCGCATACCTGGACGGACGGTTCTCTCTCGGGCCAACACCATCGATCCAGTGGTATGTGGCCATGAAGTTGCCACCGGGATAGCGGACGACAGGGATATTTAACTCTTTCAGGGCCTCGATCACATCCGTTCTGAAACCATTCTCATCTGACAGCTTATTTCCCGGGTCGTAGATGCCCCCGTAGATGCATCGACCCATATGCCTTTCGGAAGCGTTAGTCGTAGTGCTAAGATCAGGATCCGAACTAGTGCTTTGAACGTACTCTGTGAAGCCCGCATAGATGTTGGGGTTGATCTTGGAAATGCGCCTTGTTGGATGGATGGAAATACTAGGCGCATCCTGGTCATTAAGCTTCGTGAAGGTGGTCATGGCGGGAAAAGGGAAACAAAAGGCAGGAAAGGGAAAATCGATTCCGATTGGTATGAGAGCAAGAAATGGACAAAAGGGATCTATTGATTGTCGACATGACAGAGAGAGATTCTGGCAGCTAATATTAATGTGCTGAAGCAAAGGGTGGCCGTTAGGATGAATCGGGCAAATCCCCTGCGGGGCTGATCCGGAGTTGGACCGATCTCAGACGAGGACAAGCCAGCGATGGGCCGTCAAGTCGCCTCTGGAGGGGTGCAAGCGAGCGCATTCGACGCCATTGTCTTGGAGGATGAAGCCGAGGTTACGCCACGGCTAATTTCCGTCAATCAGCAATGCGGAGTAGATGTACGGTATCCCGCTATCACCAAGCGTTGCTTGGCTGCAGCGGACCACACATGGCAATAGGTCATGCATGGTATGTTCATTCGATTGACTCCGCAGGTGTCATGAACTTATGAGTCTCGTATCTAGGGCAGGCTGAAGCTGGTCCAGCAGGGACCACTGTCTTGGTATGGGTCAATGCCGGAGCCACGCACCACAATGAATCCTCCACCGGCCTTTGCGTGAACTGGGAAAGTCACGATGTCATGATCATGACCCGACGGAGGAGGCGAGTTCGGAAATGCCCCAGATTCTGGGCCTACACGTGGGTTGTGTGGCTGTCAATCCCCAGATGTCCTTAAAAGCCCGTGGACCCTGAATCTGGGGTGAATTCTCCGCATTTTCTTTATCTGTGATCTTTCCCTAGCGAATGATCGAGTCCACTGGGTTTACTGAGATCATTGCAGATTCCAACCTCTCAACATGCGTCTCTCTCCGGCATGGTACCAGGTAAGTCTATAGAAGACCCTGGACAGGCTGGTGCTGGGGATGTTAACGGCCTGCGTGCTTGACAGTTCCTGGTCGGCGTCTTTGCCTCTCTTGGCTCCTTCCTCTATGGATGTATGTATAGTTGGCATCAGTTTTACCCTCATTCTCTGTGTCGAAGCTAATGTGCATGATACAGACGATCTGGGTGTGATTGCCGAGGTCATTGCCAGTGGCTCTTTCATCTCCAAGTTTGAAGCAGACAGCACTCAACAGTCAGTTCTACCATGGCCAAAGTGAGTTGCATGTCACTAATCATCTTTCAGAGGCCTTGTTGTTTCCATGTTCACTGCAGGTGCCTTCTGCGGTGCAGCATTCGCAGGTCCCACTGGTGATAGACTGGGTCGACGATGGACTATCACGATCGGGTGTATCATCTTCTGCCTTGGCGGTGGTCTCCAGACAGGTGCTCAGACTATCGCGTACTTATACAGCGGAAGATTCTTTGCTGGTCTCGGGTATGTTTCAAGATGCAAGCACAGAAGAGCATTCACTAACAGGCTGTCGTCTGTAGAGTCGGTTTCCTTACCATGATCATTCCCCTGTACCAGGCCGAGATTTGCCATCCCAACATCCGTGGTCGGGTGACAGCTCTTCAACAATTCATGCTCGGCGTCGGCTCTCTGTGCGCTGCTTGGATTTCCTATGGCACATACATTGGCTTCTCTGATACCAACGACGCCCAATGGCAATTGCCCCTGGGTCTGCAGATTGCACCAGCGGTTTGTCTGGGCCTTCTCATCATGTTCTTCCCTGAGGTAAGACCGTTAAGCTTGTCCTAGGCAGTTTGCGACTGTTCAGCTCGCTTACCATTCGTTAGTCTCCTCGTTGGCTCATTGACCACGGAAAACACGAGCTTGGTTTGAAGACCCTGGCACAGCTCCACGCTCACGGTAACGAAGATGACGCATGGGTGCGGGCAGAATACCAGCAAATTCAAGAGAGCATCAAGTACGAGCACGAGAATGAAGCTAAATCCTATACGGAACTCTTCACATCACGTTCCTCCTTCCGCCGTCTCTTTCTTTGCTGTGCCATTCAGGCGTCCGTTCAGATGACAGGTGTATCTGCAATCCAGTAAGTTCAGCCCAGTACACTACAACTTGGGAACAGGATTGAGTAAGCTAACCACTTTGCATCTATACAGGTACTACTCAGTGACCATCTATGAGCAAATCGGTATCTCTGGCGACGAGACCCTGCGCTACCAGGCCATCAACTCCATCATCGCCCTGATCGCCCAGTTCCTCTGCATCCTGTACATCGATCGTTTCGGTCGGCGTTGGACCTTGATCGGCGGCAATCTGGGCAACTGCGTCACCTTCATTATCGCCTGTGCTCTGCTGGCCAGGTTTCCTCCAGAGGTCAACAACACGGGCGCTCACTGGGGCTTCATCATCATGACCTGGCTGTACAACTTCTCCTTCTCCTGCACATGCGGTCCTCTGTCATGGATCATCCCCGCGGAAGTCTTCGACACCCGCACACGTTCCAAGGGTGTGTCGCTGGCGTGTATGGTGTCGTATGCCTTCAACACCATGATCGGTCAAGTCACTCCTATCGCGATGGAGAGCGTCCGTTATAAGTACTACTACCTCTTCATCATCTGCAACTTCACCAACGCTGTCTTCTTCTGGTTGCTCCTCCCGGAGACCAAGAAGCTGCCTCTCGAGGAGATGAACTACCTTTTCTCCAACTCGCCTTGGATTGTCGTTGGCACGCGCAAGGAGGACTATGTCACCCACGATCTGGAGCGTCGTGTTGAGGAGCAGGAGGAGAAGAGAGGTGCTTTTGCCACGCACGCCGAGATTCAGGAGTAGGATCTTGAACAATGGTTCCGCATGGGGTGGCCCCTCAATGTAGGTTGATGAAAGGACTACAAGTCCTAGTGAGGTAGGGAGCGTGTAAACTGCCTGAATAATAGTCAGCATGATGCAGTATGTAGTGATTTCCAGTAATACCCCGTGATATAGTCACCGACCTCATGAATCAAAGGTGTTTTGTATCTACCGAGAAGAAGGAAAAGATGTTAGTAAGAAAGAGTAGACGCTGGTTGTAGTACAGTCACATGGTCCAGTGTTCGCAAGATCTCATGCTTATATCAGCCAGACCTGATAACTATGACCACCACGGTTGAAACATTAGTTGTAGCGTAAGTGTGAACAACTTATGCGCACAGGGAAGTTTTCAGATGGTTATTGACATGGTCAATTGTTTACTGAGCTATCTAGATCCCTGTACTTTTCGAGACGGTCACTTGGCTGTACTGCAATGGCAAGGCATTGTCGAAGTGCCGACTGCTCTTAACATTAAATCTATCCTTCCAGTTGGAGGCCATGCTTTCAGAGTCCACCATTGCCCTTTCCACATAGTGGCTTGGGTAGGTAGTCACTGTTTGAATAAGTCCGGCTCAAAACACACCACACGCAGAGTGGACCGCCTTCAATCGCGCCAAACATGTCTTATTCCGGACGCTGTATCCTGAGATATCATTAAATCATTCCGAATCCTGCTGATTTGAACTCCTATGGATGCTGTTGTACAGAACATTATCTGCATTCCTGTGGGTATAAGTTGCAACGCAAAAGGCAAGCAAGCTGTGACTGGCATCACAAAATGATTCGGGTAGTTCCTGTCGTTCAGGCTACCGAAACGGCTTCATTGGACCTCCCAGCAACTTTCAGGGTTTATTCCGAGTCAGAACTATAGCCAGCCAGACCAAGGGACAATGGTTTTGCGGCTGGCTTCTGAGTCTCTTGATCCGTGTTCGTGCTCTTTTGCGCGGGTTGTGCACATTTGGCACTGCTCTCGGGGACGCCCGATACCTTTTCCCTTTCGGTGCTTCGATGAACAGCTGGAACAGTTGGAAGGGCTTTCTCTGCGGGAGGGGACTCTTTCTCTTTAGTAGGAGTTTGAGGTCCCTGTTCGCCTGTCGGGCTTACGGCAGAGTCGCCACTCAATGACTTGCGTTTCTTTCCAGGGACAAGAAGGTCCTTGCTCTTCTCGCGTCGTCTCTTCCGCGCAGGTATTTTCCAGTCCTCTCCCTCCGCCGCCGGCACGACGTCTGCAGATGTATCTTCAAGCAGGGTCTTTTCCGCTTCCTCCCGCTGGCGACGGAACAGCTCCAGTCCTTCGGCAGTTTCCCTCTTCACAGCGGCCTCCTTCGCTCGCGTCGATTCCAGTATCGAATCCAGGAATTCGACCTCGTCTTCGTCCAGCGACCGGAACTGATTCTTCAGCTTTATTTTCTCTTCGAAAGCTTCTTGCTTGGCCACTGTACCGACAAAGATAGATCATCCTAACATGTCAACCCAGAGAGTCCACACAGACCTGAGGTCCCGCGAAGGGAATGGCGGATGTTATTCTATAACTCACTTTTGTTTTGCTGCAGCACTTCAAACAAGCTCTTTCCGCCATCTTGCTTGCCTAGCTCCGCTTTGCGCCGGCGTTCCTCCTCGAGCTCTTGCTGCACGCGGTGCCAATCGTCATCGCGCTCGACTGGTTCTTGGTCGGTCCCCGCGGACACAAATCCAGACGACATCTTGAGACAAGTATCAAGCAATTAATATCCCCTTTCGGGCTATGAATGGAGAAAGAACTTGATGATCAAGCGAGAACGAGCGGCTAGAGCGCAAACTATTGTCCCCGATGCCAACTGTACTATCTGGCCGATTTCGCCAATTCTGATTTCCTTTCACGCGCTGGAAATTTGCTGGCGTCAACGAGCCACCCTTGGGTTGTGATCTTCCGCGCCGGCTTCAACCGACGTTCCACTGGGGAGAGGGAGCCACAGTGGGCTGGCAGAATCGAGCGGTGAGTGAGGGCGCGCGATGGCGATTGGATGCCTCCAGCTGAAGCGGAGCCTCACCAAAAGCGAAGAAGCGCGTTTAGGCAAAACTCCGATGAAGCCGAGCTGCAGCTGGAATTGAATTGCATGCCGACCCGAATGTGGTGATTGATCATTCAATGAGCCGGAGAGGATCAAAATTCACTGCTCCTTTTGATTTGATCCATACTTCAACTCCATTATTCAATGGTTAATTGTTGTGTACTACTAGTACCACAGAAAGCATGAGCCGTACGTAGTCCGGAAACCCAGAAAGTAGGTAATCTATGTATACAACCAAGCTTGTTTTGTCTGAAGTTTGCGACCAGGTAAATTAAACAGCAAGTCTTCAATGTGCCCTGTCGATGCCCCTTTCAGCACTACTTCTGTGACACCCCCAACCGCGGGGTAAGCATCTTGCTGAGCGGTTAATAAACTGCGATAACAGACTGACAAGTTGGCAACGAGATAGCCATGCCGTGATTCGGGTCCAGATTGCGACTGGAGATAATTGGGGCAGGTTGCCCAGGCGAAGAGAAGGCCCTGGGATCCATCGATAGTGAATTGACCCCACCAGTACTGTTTACTACCCCTCGATCCCGACTGACTATCGTCATCGGTCCGCGCATAGCGTGCTGGATGGACCTGCCTCATCATAATTGTCTATCGGCTCTTTGAGCTCCTCAGCCCCATCCCTCCTCGTCGCCTATAAATCCAACCTACCTCCGTTTTGTGTGCACCTTCTCTTACTCTCCTCTCCTCCAATTCTTCTTTTCTCTAAACATTCGCACCCCTCCCATTCCTCTTTTCCCCAGACATTATCCACACAAGTCGCAATGTCGACACTTGAGCACACCAAGTAAGCCAGCTAGCCCCACCAGAGTTCCCCATTACGCTTGACTGACCCTCTGGTTGTGCAGAAAGACTTACACCCTCAACACGGGTGATAAGATTCCCGCCGTCGGTTTGGGTACGTGGCAGAGCGGTCCCAACCAAGTTAGGGAGGCTGTCAAGAACGCCCTGTTGAAGGGTTACCGCCATATCGACACGTAAGTGACTGCTTCAAGAATTGCGCCCCTCTTTCCTACTGACGGTAGTCTGCAAATAGTGCCCTCGCTTATGGTAACGAGGCTGAGGTCGGTCAGGGTATCAAGGATTCTGGTGTCCCTCGCGAAGAGATTTGGATCACGACCAAGCTCAACAATACCTGGCACCACCGCGTCGCCGAGGGCATTGATTCCTCTCTCAAGAGCCTCGGCGTGGACTATGTCGATCTTTACCTTGTCCACTGGCCTTGCGCGACCGACCCCAACGACACTTCCAAGCACCTTCCCGACTGGGACTTCATTAAGACCTGGTATGTGATACACGCTCTGATTGAATCGACTGGGTTAAGTGAATACTGACAAGTTTGGAAATGTAGGCAAGAAATGCAGAAGCTGCCAGCCACCGGCAAGGTCCGTAACATCGGTGTCTCCAACTTCGGCATCAAGAACCTGGAGAAGCTCTTGAACGATCCTAGCACCAAGATCGTCCCCGCTGTCAACCAGATCGAGTTGCACCCAAACAACCCCTCGCCCAAGCTTGTTGCATATAACACTTCGAAGGGCATCCACTCCACCGGTTACTCTTGCCTCGGCTCGACCAACTCTCCTCTTTACAAGGACAAGACCCTGTTGGACATCGCCGAAAAGAAGGGCAAGACTCCTCAGCAGGTCCTGCTTGTGTGGGGTCTGAACAAGGGCTGGAGTGTTATCCCCAAGTCGGTTAGCAAGGAGCGCATCGACGCCAACTTCGAGCTCGACGGCTGGGACCTGACCGACGAGGAGGTCAACCAGCTGGACAACCTGAAGGATCGCTTCAAGGTCTGCGGCGATGACTGGCTCCCTATCAAGGTGTTCTTTGGCGATGATGAATGACTAACCGACATGCCACGAGACAAAAGAACTTCTAAAATGTAAATTCAATATAGATAAGTTTGGTTAATTTGAAGTCATGATACCATGATTTTGCTCTGGCAGTAGGATGCCATTGCCTTTTACATCTCCCTATTTCAATTTAGTTTCTTTTGCGCCAAGTCCGAAGGAATATTTGATATTGAGACAGAACTCCAAGTGCGAGGACCATGAAATGTCGAAAGACTTTTGCGGGGTAATGGCGGGGCCGATGCGATCCGGATGCGCTTTCCTACGGTCCAGTGACGATGACCGCAATCCATTGTGTTCCTGAGGTGGTGGAAGATGGAAGCAGAGTTACAACAGTTCAATAAATGTTAACACAATGCGTTTCCACAAGGGGCAAGATGATGTTGACAGAATTGCCACATCGAATCATCCCCTTAAAGGCACGTGGTTTCAGGTCACATGCAGCACCGCCACTCGGCATCCGGCCTTCCCTCGTCATCAGCTCATCTTCTCCCCCGTTCTGTTTCCTGATCTCCTTTCTTCCTTCACTCATCAGGAGATGGTCTCCCCATCGTCACTCTGTTCATAAGTCTCTTTCCTCATTGCAGTTAGGATGCCGCCTTCTAACGGGCACCTGCTGCTCCCCAAGGTTTGGAGAGCAGCCAGGTGAGTCATTTGCCACATAGCTATACAATAAGTGTTATCTGCTAATTTCCAAACTAGGTCTGCCTATGACAAGGCCTGCAAAACATTAAGATCGAAATTTCCCGATCAAGTTGCCCAGGGCCCGCTGCGCCTTCAGCCGGAATACATACGGGTCGCTCACAGACAACCGATCAACCGAGCGGCTGCTATTCGTCAGGCCCGTAGTCGTCAATTCTCCACTCGTGCGGCGCGTTCCTTCGTCTCCTATATCCGCAGTGGTCTCCAGACAGACCGCACTGCGGCAACGAAGGTATCGTCCATTGCCTCGAATGTGAGCCGATTGACTACCCGGGCGCCATTCGCGTCAGCACTGCGCCCGAACTTGACCGGTGGCACTTTGGGCCGCACGGCTGGAGGTTATACAATTGGTGCCGGCCGCATTGGTGGTGCCCGGTACTTCTCGCATGGGCCTGCTGCACCAGCTCAGGTTATCAACAATGTGTCAATGGGCGTCCGTGCGTTCTTTCTCTCCGGGCAGAAGGCTCGATTTGATGGGGTCGATCCCCTCACGGGAAACAAGCAGTACAAGGCCGTGAGCAAGCTTCAGGACGAGGCTGAGCGCAAAATGGCCGGCATTCCCCACACTGCTCCCGGATCTTTCATCGATTTCCAGATCTCCCCAACCATCACTGCCTTCGGCTTGCAGAAGAATTCGGTTGCCACTAGCGCCTGCAATGATCAGACAATCAACTCGGATGGCCTCCTGGACTTGTTGTCTGGTGACTTCGCCCGGGCTCTCAAGGACTTCGCTGTCGTCCTCAATGACCTCAAGCGCTTGAAAACTTTGGGTGATATGCCCGTCGAACTTCACGACCGGTCCACGATCAGGGTACGGTTTCCGGGATGCGATGCTGAAACTGTTGAACGGCTCTGTGATGAAGCAGGCATTCAACGAGGAAAGGTCATGCAAGATGAGGACTTCGACTTGCGTACGGGTGCTGATCTTGCTCTACTGTTTCCCTTTGCTCCCAGCATCCCAGCGTCGCCGCAGGTGGACGAGTACTTCTACAAGCCTCAGTCTGTGAAATCTTATGCTCCTGAAGAAGTTGATTGGCATGCCATGATGTCCCCATCGGGGAGTAGCAATGTGGCGCCTAGTGTACACAGACAGCCTTCTAACCAGATCAGCTTCGAAGACGTGACCATGTTTGCTGAGAATCCTTGGGCGTCGCCCCTTTCGGGATATTCCAGCATCAATGTGAGCGAGCTTGGAGACCATGCCTACTTCCCCGAGACGTTGAGCAGTGGAATCCCCGCTACTGCTTCGGAGTACGACGGTTCCGACGGAATCCGCAAGTTCATTGCTGAATGCGACAAGGTTGCGCGACGTTGAAGCACACATTCGTTTTTGTACATGCTGGCACCATTTTTCGGTTTCTTATGTATTGCTTTTTGATCAGGCACTCGGTGAACCGCGAGTTTGCCCAGGCAGGCCGGATTCCCTAGCCATCTATCCTATGAGCAAGGCTCATCTAAACATATCAACATATATACCACTATTGTTACCTGAATGTAATAAATTGAATTTACCGGTCTATATCTCATTTACTCAAGATTCTGCGTTCCCTTGCAATCGTCAGTGCAAAAGATGTAAGATGTGCTTAAGTCCATCACCAATGGAGTTCAGGCCGCAAGACTGACATGCGTCATGAAGTTCCCATCAAGAAACCGAGACGCCAGTAATGACCTGGGGCATCCAATGCATCGAGCTCCCTAAATCCTGCCTCCACCGCAGCCATTAGTGGCAAACCATTCAGCGAGCATCAGCTCTATAAAGCTGGTCCTTGGTTCCAAGTAGTTTCTCCCTTGATGTCGTTGCCTCACTCTCGTTGCTTGGCAAATAAGGTCGGCGTAGGCGTATTTCGTGTAGCTGCTACCTTATTGACCAAGGCTAGTATTGAGTTCCAATTCAAAAATTGCCGTCATTTATCCTGCAGGTAGTACTGAAACTGTAGACCTGAGCTTTCTTATCAGCCAATGGGACCTCGATGACCACTATTCAATTATGCTGGAGAATCTCAAGCACCAAGGCCTTTGTTCAAAGATAATCCAAGGACATGTGCGATAGAAAGCACCTTCCAAGTTATCGAATGCACTGGTATAGAAATGAGAAAGAGTAGCCAAGGCGGTGAGATAGGACCAGACCAAAGACCACCGCCAACCCCGCGCTAAGCTTGAAGGAGGGCGATCCGATCCACTGATAACAGTCCAGCGGCATGGAGACTCGGAAGTCACACACTGCAACTATCGTGACCTGGAAGCTCATTCATTGCCTCTGCATTCTCACCCCTCCCCCGCCTTCCCCTCTTCGGACTTGCCAGGCTCTTGCATGATTTGAAGCGAAGTGAGATTCAGCCGGTACAGTTCTGGGGGCTCTCCTGTGCTGGAGTCGTCCAACCGGGTCTCAACGCAACCGCTACGAAGAAAACATAATACCTCATCCTACCCCTATCGATTCGCCGTCACCCAGACAATATGGAGGACTTCAACAGTGAGACTGATAGTGACTACACCAGCTACTGGAGAGATTGGGTAAGGAGCCCCCAAATGCTGTCCCTCACTCTGCTCTTGACTGTGGGCTTTTGAATGGCGGCTGGTTGGCTGGTCAATGTGAATAAATTCATGGTGTACTTGGAGAAGGCAATACCTGTTAAGTTGTATAGCCGGTATCGTCAGTTGTTGAAATGCTATGCCTTTTAGTCAATGCTGTCTTCGCCCTTGCGGGCGTGTCAGTCGCAGCGGACTTTTTGCCTACGGCATGGGATCCAGTGCTTGCAACTTTCTGCATCAAAGCTCTTTATCATGACCTCTAGCTCTGCTTTGCGCAACGCCATCCTCGTTTATAACAACAAACCGTTGTGAACCCGCACTAATTCGCATTGCATAGTTCATCTCTTCTCGTGGCAATGAATACTTTTGCGAGATCGACGAGGACTACCTTACCGACCGCTTCAACTTGACCGGCCTGAACACCGAAGTCGCTTACTATCAGTACGCCCTGGACCTAGTGACGGATGTCTTTGATCTCGACGCAGACGACGATCTCCGTGAGCAGATCGAAAAGTCAGCACGCCATCTCTACGGCCTGGTGCATGCGAGATACATCGTCACCACTCGCGGACTCGCCAAGATGGTAAGGCACTGAAGATGAGAATCCGCTACCGTCTCTAACCACTTCGAAATAGGTTGACAAGCTCAAGCGCGGCGATTTTGGCAAATGTCCCCGAGTCATGTGCGAGGGACACCCTCTCTTGCCGATGGGTCAGCATGACACTCCCAGCATGAGCACCGTCCGGCTCTACTGCGCCAGATGCGAAGACATCTACCACCCCAAGTCGTCCCGCCACGCCTCCATTGACGGAGCCTACTTCGGCACCTCCTTCCACAGCATGCTTTTCCAGGTGTATCCAGCGCTGATGCCGGAGAAAAGCATCCGTCGCTATGAGCCCCGCGTGTTCGGGTTCAAGGTGCACGCCAGCGCCGCCCTGGCTCGCTGGCAGGATCAGTATCGTGAAGACATGAAGACGAGTCTTCGCGATGTCGGAGTAGAGGTCAAATACATAGAAGATGAGAGTGAAGACGACTTGGAAGACGATGATGAGCCGCTCTCGGATGCTAGAGAAGAGAAGGTCATCGGTGACGCTGCTTCGGCCCGCATGGACCTAGGCAACTAAAACCATGCAATTCCCTTTCTCTTCATCTCTTCTCATTATATCTGGATGCACCTCTTTTCGCCCCTGAAAATGGCGTTGTTCTTTCAATTACCATATATTCCAATTGCATTACATCCTTTCTCTAACCCACCCACATGCATCTCGAGGGGTTGGTCCCGTTTTGCTTTTTGCTTACCCCGCCCTTTCACTCACATCCTCCCTTATGTTACTGGTTTCTGAGAATGGCAGGAATGTGACCAAGGGGATGCTTTTTCTTCTCGCTTATATCTTTCTGCTTTGCATTGATGATTACGAACACTGGTGGCGTTGGAAGTCTTCCGGAGATGGCGGGTCTATTTTTATTTTCTTGTGATGTGAACTAGTTTCTCTTTTCCGGCCAACGGGCTTTCAGGATATACATTTGATGTGGCTTGGTTGAGCCTCATGGCATCTGCGTTTCCTGGTCTACTGGATATATGACGGACTGCGTTGCTCCAGAACGAGGTCGTACCATCCATTCCTGATGTTTTGGGTGCGAATGTGGTTTGAAGTGACGCTAAAGTCAGGCCGTGAATGCATTCCAACATGAGTCTATAAAGTCGTATATGTAGCTAGCTCCTTGGTATGTATATCCCTACCTCCGCCCTCATCCCTGCAGCTCCAGCAGCTTCTCGAGCGTGAAGGCAATGGCCCGCGCCAGCTCCTTTCCCTTGTCCCAAGGATCGTCATGCGCACCATTGATGGGCAGCAATTCCACCCTCCTCGGGCCTGTGCCAGACGCCGCCGACGCCTCAACCCAGGACTTCAGAGCCTCGCCCATGACCTCTTGCTGACGCGGATTCACCAGCTCATCCTCCGCCGAATGCGCCAACACCGCCAACCGGCCCGCCGTCCACCCGCCTACCAGCCCATCCTGTGGATCCCGTACCATTGTGGCCGGGGAAACTTCATCCCACAGCGCCTCATCGCTCCCAAACGCCCCCTCGATAAACTGCTGATACGCCGTGATAGTCTCATGATCGTCCCGCAAGAGTCTCAGATCATATATTCCCGCCATCCCCAGGATCGCCTGGGGACCCATCGCAACCGATCCCCCCTCGCCGACGCTGCTGCTCCCGCTCCCGCGAAACCGCCCCATCACCGACTGGAACGCCAACGTCGCGCCGGCGCTATGTCCGACAAGGATGTAGCGGTCCCCGAAGCCGTACTTGCGCTGCAGGAATGCCAGCGCAGCCTGCACATCTGACAGGTGGTCCGGGTGCACGGCGTCGCGGTATTCCTTGGGGCTGGTGATGTTCCGGTCCTGCGGGTGGTCAGGGTGCGCGCTGAGGCGGTAGTCGATGGAGGCGAAGCCGGCGAGGTGAGTGCATGTCGTCGAGGAGTAGGGTTCAGAGGCTGTGAGAATTGAGGCGGCCGGGGTGAGGTAGGTGAGGGCTGTTTGGATGGGGTCGCGCCAGGCTCCGCCGTGGATGCAGCTGTGGTATTTGATGAGGTTGTTAGTGGGTGTTTTATCGATGTGGAGGAGGTTTGTTTGAGTCAGGATGGGCGTAGCAAGAAAACGGGGTGTGTGTGGTGTAAGTGTTTATAGATATCAAGATGTGGGTGGAACATACATTACCCAATAGCCTTGGTCGGGGAGAGCCGAATAGGTGGTTACCGTGACGGTTTGGAGGACATGGTTGGTTCCGTAGGAAAAGGTTTCAGGGATCATGGGGAATTGATCGTTTGTGAGGAGGTTAGACTCGATAGACATTAGCGAAGATTGAGAAGGAAGATGATTGGGAGAGGAAACTGGAGAAGAAAGAGAAATTGCCGGGCCAGTATCAGTATCAGTAAACGGAGTCATGATGATGGAAGTGCTGCTGCTGAGTTCTGGTTAGCGTGGCGTGGGTTTGTGGAGCAAAGTGGCATTGGGCTTATCGCAACCCAAGCACTGGAGATATGGTTCAGGTCCTGGTTTTCATCATGATGCTGGACTTGATGGATGGGATGTTAGGCCTGACATGAGACCACCAAGTTCCGAAATCGCTGAGAGTTGCATCGAGTGGGCAGCAAGCATCCTTTGAGTACGTGGTTGTTCTTCAGTCAGAGGCGCAGATCGCGCATTGCCCAAACGGGCAGCAACGCTGACTGTCCGTATGGGGCTTGGCACGCTAGCCTCATTGGGAGTTAGGCGGTGGCAGCAAATGCTGAATTCCGTGCATCCACACAAATCACATCGCCGCCGTTCAACCCATCGTCGCTGTCTATCTACGTATACTCTGGGCTGCTGCATTCACAAAATGGCGGAGTAAGTGCACTCGGAGATGTCAATGCCGACTATGAAATCATGGCTAATCTTTGTCCTCGAACAGGAAAGAAGTTCCTCTCACGGCCGTCAAGGTCGAGGCTTTGGTATGCACTACCCTGAAAATCTTCCTCACCACCTAGCGACCCCCCGCCTTTGGAAGCCCGGTCCCTTTTAGCCCATGATACTTATGGTCTTCACCTTTAGGTGGTGATGAAAATCATCAAGCATGGCTCGCAATCCTTCCCCACGACTGCGACCGGTTCGATCGTTGGTATGGATGTCAACGGTATCCTGGAGATCACAAACTCTTTCCCCTTCCCCGTCGTCGAGATGCCCGCCGAGTCGCACTTCGACAATGCCGCTCCCAACCCCGCCGCGGCTGCTCCTCGTGCGAAGGCCAACGCTGTCTACCAGGCCGAGATGGTCCGTATGCTTCGCGAAGTCAACGTTGACGCCCAGAACGTCGGATGGTACACTAGCGCCAACATGGGCAACTTCGTCAACATGAACGTGATCGAGAACCAGTTCTTCTACCAGAAGGAGATGAACGAGCGCACAGTCGCCCTTGTGCACGATGTCAGCCGCAGCGCCCAGGGTAGTCTCAGCCTGCGTGCTTTCCGCCTGTCGCCCAAGTTCATGACCGCTTTCAAGGAGAACAAGTTCACCTCCGAGGAGTGAGTTTCCAGCTTTGTTCACTGCGAGAGGGGCCTCATGGCTAATCTTTTACTAGGCTTCAAAAGTCCAACCTTAGATACCAGGACATCTTCGTTGAACTTCCCGTTGAAATCCACAACTCGCACTTGATCACCTCTTTCATCCACCAGCTCCAGTCCCCCATCGAGTCGGCCCCCACAGATCTCCCCGCCTCTCTGTCGGCTCTCGAGTCCGGACCCCTCGCCAAGTCGTCCGTCCTGGCACCCAACTTCGACAACCTCTCCCTCAGCATCGATCCTTTCTTGGAGAAGAACTGCGACCTCCTGCTCGACAGCATCGAGGTCCACCACACCGAGACCAACAACTTTCAGTACTATCAGCGCTCGCTTGCCCGTGAGCAGGCCAAGATCACCGCCTGGCAAAACAAGCGCAAGACCGAGAACGCCAACCGTGCGACTCTTAAGCAGCCCCTCCTTCCCGAGGACGAGTGGCAGCGGCTGTTCAAGCTCCCTCAGGAGCCCAGCCGTCTGGACAGCATGCTGAACAGCCGGCAGGTCGAGCAGTACGCCCGCCAGGTGGACAGCTTCGTCGCTTCCACGACGGGCAAGATGTTCGCTGTCAAGGGTAACCTGCTGCCGGGAGAGACCGCCAAATAGAGCGGAGGAATGCTTAGAGAACGCGAGAATGAAGAGGCCAAACTTTCCTTTCATGATTTGTCTCACAACTGTGGGGATTCCGAATATCGCATGCATGACCTTACGGCGTAGGACGGGAAAATTCTGTATCTGACTGTTAATATGTCTCCTGGTTGTTTCTTAATCCAGTGACGAATAGAGTTACGGGATATGACTTTGGGGAGATTCTGCTTTCAATCTATATAGGTTTTATTTGTTTTGTTTATGGGTGTTTCCCTCTCGCCCGCTTCCCCCCCGTCCTGCTTTTGGTGCTTGTCTCTGCGTTTCCCCAGGTCGGGTTTTGGGGTTGGCCGCTTTCGGCATGGCGCTGCCCTAAAAAGTTGTTAGGGCTAGCCGAGTGCACGTGGCTTTGATGACCTCATCGTTTGATACCTTTGCTGCCGATAACGATTAGATAAGGATCGATAAGTTACAATGACGATTGCTTGATTTATTCTGGATGCGTACTCTTGTTTTACATCTTCGACCTGATGTCTTGATGCCCGGGATAGATCAGACTGATGCATAGAGAATGCCTAACACGAATTCTGATATATGGCTCGTATGTCCATGAAACCCCATTCTAGCCGAACCCAGCACTTTCTCCTCTGGGAACTCCTCATCCCATAGTTATCACCTTCATTCTCATCTCCATCATACCACCAAAATTTCTCCACCATACTAACCACCGAGCCAACAGTCCGGCGCCTTCGCCGTCTTCATCACCGACTTCCTCGTCTACCCCTTCGACACCCTCAAGACCCGCATCCAATCCCCCAACTACGCCACCGTCTACAAGGACGCAACCACCGGCCATGTCAAGCGCGGCCTCCTCTTCAAGGGCCTCTACCAGGGCGTGGGGAGCGTAGTGCTCGCCACAATCCCAGCCTGTATGCAAGCCCCCTTCCCCCCCATTTTCCGGCGGACTCTGCAGTCCGGCAAAAAGCTAACATCCAGCTGGACAAAATAAAAAAGCAGGAGCATTCTTCACCACCTACGAATCCACCAAACGCACCCTCACCCACCTCCTCGCCCGCAGCCCCAACCCCAAAGCCACTCCGGGGGAGACGGGGACAGAGACAACAACAACAACAACCCTCCTCCCCACACCCGTCGTCCACTCCCTCGCTTCCTGTACCGCCGAAGCGGTCTCGTGCTTCATCCTCACGCCCGCGGAGGTCTTGAAGCAGAATGCGCAGATGTATAGCAATACCTCCGCAGACCACACCGGAGGGTCCTCTGCATCCTCATCCACATCATCCCACTCCCATCCTAAGAAGGCGGGCAGCAGCAGCAGCAGCAAACCAGGGAATATAACCATCCACATCCTCCGGAAATTCCGGCACAGGCCGTGGAAGCTCTGGAGTGGGTATTCGGCGCTCGTGGGCCGGAATCTGCCGTTCACTGGGATTCAGTTTCCAATTTTCGAGTTTGTGAAGAGGAGGATCGCGGAGAGGCGCGCTGAGGGGAAGGATTCGAGAAAAGGAATGAACGGGGAGGGGGAGGGTGGTGCAGATACTGATTCGGTACTCGAGCGCGTCTACGTCACCGGGATTGCAGGGAGTGTGGCGGGTACGATCTCCTCGGTTGTGACGACGCCAATCGACGTGGTTAAGACGCGGATGATGCTGGCTGCTGGGGAGGCAGAGACGCAGAAGAAGAGGCCCGGGGCGTGGGCAGTGGGGAAGGAGGTGTTTCGGCGCGAAGGGGTACCGGGGTTGTTTAGAGGCGGTGCATTGCGGGCGTTTTGGACGGCCATTTCGTTTGGCATTTATCTGAGTATGTATGAGGGGGGGAAGGTGTATTTGGGAAATCGGCGGATGGAGAAAGACCAAAAAGCCGGAGACGGGGCGCCACTATAGAAGTATGGACTGGCTCTGGCTTTGCAGGACTCAGATTAGGCTGTCATGCACTTAGTACTATCTTTCATTCGTATCTGGATGGAGGGGGCCTGTCAAGCTATATGACGAGCCAACATTGTCCCGAGTCCTCCTCATGGTAATCGTACATCATCAATAGTCAATCCAAGCTACCACATCATCTAACGGTCTTCCAGCTTGGTTACAAGCCACATCCAGCACATAAGCACTCATCAAAAATCGGGATATCTTCCGGGTCCAACCTCATGGGACTATCGTTTCGTCATTGCATTCATAAAAAGCCCTGCATCAGGGCAACGTCTTGAAATTTCATAACCATCTTGTCTCATTAGCCCAGATTGGTCAACTTGCGGAACCAATTGGGCATCCTTCCATTGCTAATTGGAGCCGGTGCATACCGATCATCATAACGGCTTTCATACGGCGACCTCGTCCCACGGCCACGTTCGTAGTCACCACTTCCGGAACTCCGCTCGGAGCGTCGAACCTCACGTTTCCTGGCACGCAACTCATCAATCTCCTGATCCGTCAGCCCGGGGTATCTGGCTCGACGGCGAGCCCGCCGGCGCAGTTCACGGCGAGCGTCTTCGTCCGACGAGATCGAGCCTCCGTTCGCGGCGTCTCCCGGACCAGCGGGCATGTCCAGCACTGTGGCCATGACCGGTGGGGGTTCGGGCGGGTCGTCCGCCTGCGAATCGATCCAGGACGAGGTCTTATCCTTGCGGCCGCCGGACATTATCGGCCGGAACCTCTCCGCGTCCATAGGCGGCGCCCTGGACTTCCGACGTCTCGACCGTTCGCCGTCGGCTGAGCGCTCCGGGTGAAAGTGATGATGATGATGAGGAGGAGGCGGTGGAGGTGCGGGGGCTCTGTCGTCGCCATTGTCCATCAGGCCGCCGAAATAGAAGTCGCGGGCAGCTCGGTCATCGACGTGCATGCTCCGGCGCTTGGACCTGCCGGACTCATGGGTGGGGTCATGCATTTCCGCCTCCCGCTGCCGGCGCCGCTCTCGCCGCTGCGCAGCCCTAGCTTCAGCCGCCTCGCGAGCCTCCTCCTCCTCTCGCGCGCGCCGTTCTCGCTCCTCACGGGCGGCCCGACGAGCTCGTCGTTCTTCACGTCGCCGCTCGAACTCCCTTTCTTCCTCCTCTCGCTGCTGTCTCTCCTGCATCTCGCGCTCACGCGCCATATCTCTCTCTCGGCGCCGAGCGCGCCGCTCTTCAGCCTCTCGCCATTCACTCTCGCGGACCTGATCAGACGCAGCTTGACGAGCGGCTCGTCGAGCCCGGCGCGCGGCCCGCTTGGCTTCCGCCTCTTCTGCGTCCGTCTCGGGGAAGGCCTCTGCCGGTGGAGCATCGGTCAGAAAACCCTCTCCAACCATATCCGGCATTTCATGTCGCCGTCTCCTACTTTCGTGGCGCAGGCGACGAGCTTCACCACGCTCAGGCTCGGTCATATACCTAGCATCATCATCATCATCACGGTAAGAGCGAGATCTGTGACGTTCAGGCATCTCGGGACGGTTGGCCCTCCGCAGAGATCCTATGAATCCTTTGAGGCCGCCGGAGCCGGGCTCTGGCTTTCTCGGAGCCGTGTTTGATCGTCTGAGGCGTCTTTCCCGCGGAGCGTCCACAAAAGCGATATCGTCAGGTCCAGAGAGTATCTCTGGACTCGGTTGATGCTGCTCGTCGACCATGGCACCGTCATCGAATTCGTCATGTCGAGATCTCGACTGCGGTCCATAAGATCAGCTGTTTGAAGCGCGGTGCCCACTGAATGAAGGATGCTTACCTTGTGTCGAGACCGTCTGTCGGAATGCCGCGATCCTCTGGAGCCACCCTCCCTGGTTGCAGAGGCATCGAGGTCATCTCGATCCACCATGACGATGTCATCCTCGTCGATAGCGTACGGATCAGGTATTGCTACACGATGAAAATCAGAATCATATGCAGCATGGAGATATGCAAGGCGAACGTACTCGATCTTCTGCGAGATGCATGGGGTCTCTCTCTTCTCGAGGAGCCGTTGGTCTCCATCATCCTGGCAGCCTTATCTGGTATGTCTCGGTGGTTGTCTGGTGGTGGCGTGGGGAGTTTAGTATCGTGCACATCATCGTTTACTTCTACTGACGGGCGCCTTGAGATTGGCCTTGGAGCTTGAGCTCCAGACTTCTTCGTAGACTTCTTCCGGCTCGGCGGGGGCACCCCCAGGATAAAGTGGGACAATGTCATACCTCGGCTATGTCGAGCTTCTCTGCGTCGATCTCTGTCGGAAGTAGACGACTTTTCGACCTCGTTCTCGGGTTCCCTTGACTTGTGGTGTCTGGTCGACCTCGACCGCACCATCAGTGGTGGTGACGGCTCTCCCCGATGTTTGGAGGATTCCTTCTGTGACGGTCTTTTGGTCGGCGTGGCGGCCCAGAATCCCCAGGATGCAACACCTGGAGTGCGCTCCACACGGGCGCGCTCTTTCCTGGCCATTCTCTCAGGCTGAGATTCGGTAGGCTCGGGAGGAGGCGTCGGAGGGCCACCGTTACCTACATCAGCGGGCAGAGGATCGACGGGAAGTGGAGCCTGTTCTGGACTGGATCGTTTCTTGCTCTTCTTTGGTTTCTCTACTTCTTGAACTGGCACCTCATCAAGCTCCGGCTGCAGCTCGGGTTCCTGTTGGATCTCTGTCTCTAGTATGGGCTCAGGAGCAGGGGCAGAGACGTCTTCAACCACGGGGGGAAGAATAGGTTCCGGCTCGGGCTCGACGGCCTTCTTCTTCTTTTTCTTCTTATCAGTCTTGGGAACGGACACCGGGATAGGCTCCGGTTCGGGTTCAGGCTCTTTCACAGGATCCGGCTCGGGAGACGGGGCTGGGGCGGGTTCAGGTTCTGGTTCGGGTTCCGCCACTGGCTCCGGAATGGGATCAGGCACGGGCACAGGCTCTGGCTCGAGCTCTATCACCTTTGCCTTCTTCTTTTCCTTCTTTTTAGCCTTCTTTGATAATGTCACTGGTTCCGGCAGTGGTTCCGGCTCCGGCTGCACAGGCTCAGAAACAGGCTCAGGACTGGGCTCGGGCTCGGGCTCCTGAGTAGGGGGTTCCGGAACAGGGGGTGGGGGAATATCGTCGTACTCGTCGTCATACGCGTCCGGGAAACTTCCAGGGACCAAATCACGTGAAGATTTCCTAGGTCGATACGGCTCAGACTCAATCTCGACAGAAGGCTCTTCCTGAGAGATCTCCACAATGTCCTCCGCGGGAGGAAGGACGACTTCCTTCGCCTTGAGCTTGCCTGCTTGGTCCTTTAATTTATCCCTCTTCGCCTGCTCAAGAACCTTGATGCGCTCAGATAAGGACAGCTTGGCTGATGACTTGGTCTTGGAGGTGACAACAGGAGTCTTTGTTGGCGGGGCGGCTGGTTCCTCGACAACTGGAGGCATTGGCGCTTCTGGCGCTTCTGGCGCTTCTGGCATCTGGGGTGCATCATCAACATCGATTAGTAAGTCATCGTCAACTGGCCTCAGCGCCTCGGGCTCAGGCTCAGGCTCGATGGGTTTGGCTTTCTCTGCAGACTTCTTCTTCGTAGCCTTAGGTTTACCCATCGTTGCTGCTCCAAGGGTAGCCCAGAATCCCATTGAAGCCTTTGGAGTTTCCTCTACCCCGAACCCCTTGCTGGTGCTTTTTGGAGGTTTGGCATCATACTCGTCCCAGAGGGGCTCCTCTGGCACCTGCTCTGTAGGCACATATCCTTCTGGCTCGTGTGTGAACCCTAGAGAAGGCGGGGTCGGAGCGGGTGGAGGTGGATCCAGTGCAATCTTGCTCGCCTTCTTTTTTTTCTTGTCCTTCCCAGTAGTCAAGATACCCCAGCTTTCTTCCTCGTAGACCTGCTCGGCTTGAATGGGGGCAGGAGTTGGCTCAACAATGGTCTCAGGAACCGGCTTAGGTACCGGCTCGGGTTCGGGTTCCACAACAGGCTCTGGTTCGGGTAAAGGTTCCGGCTCGGGTTCTTGGACGGTTTCTGGGGCGGGCTCAGGAACCGTTTCTGGCTCCGGGGCGGGCTCCTCAGGCTTAGCAGCTGGAGGTGGTGGCCATTCAAAATCTTTGCCAGGAATTGGAAGTCCTTTCTTGACCAACTGCTTCTCTCTTTTCTTCCGTTCTTTGGAGTTCAAGTTCTCCCAGTTGTCGTACAAAGGATTGTCCGGAACAGCTGGAGGCTCCGGTTCTGGCTCTGGTTCTGGTTCTGGTATGGGCTCGGGCTCAAGCTCGACCACGGGTTCAGGATCTGGCTCGACGGGCTCTGGTACTGGCTCTGGCTCTGGTTCTTGCACTGGTTCGGGCTCTGGTACTGGCTCCGGTTCGGGCTCTGGTACTGGCTCCGTTTCGGGCTCGGCTGGCTGAGGAGGTGGCCAGTCGAAGTCTTTTCCAGGAATAGGAAGCCCTTTCTTGACCAGCTGTTTTTCTCTCTTCTTCCGTTCCTTGGAGTTCAAGTTTTCCCAGTTGTCGTAAAGAGGATTATCAGGTACAGCTGAAGGCGCAGGCTCGGGTTCTGGCTCGGGCTCGACCACAGGTTCTGGTTCTGGTTCTGGTTCTGGTTCTGGTTCTGGTTCAGGCTCAGGCTTGACCACGGGCTCAGGCTCAGGTTCAGGTTCGGCTGCCTTGCCCTTCTTCTTTTTCTTGTCCTTCCTTGACCCGCCCCAGACGCCCCAATCGTCATCATCGTCATCATCTTTTTTACCCTCAACAGGCGTCGGTTCGGGCTCAGCCGGTGGCTCCGGGGCTGGCTCTTCGACCACAGGCTTCTCTACAACGGGCTCATCGAGAGAGAAGGCATTCTTCTTGGCTTTCTTGTCCTTCTTCTTACCGGCGGTACCCCACGCACCCCAGTCGTCCTCTGGAGCAGCAGTCTCAGTTGTTGCCGGGGCCTCAGGTGCAGGAGGCTCTGCAGGAGCTGTTTCTTCAAGCAGCGCTTCTTTTTTCTTCTTCTTCTTGTCTTTTTTAGAGAGCTGTGCTCCCCAGCCCCAGTCGTCGTCGTCGGCTATCTCAGGAAGCTTTTCTTTCTCCGGCTGTGGCTGTGGCTGTGGTTCTGCTTCTTGCTCTTGATTATCTTCGGCATCTTTGTTCTTTTTCTTCTTGTCCTTACTGCTAAAGCCACCCCAGATGTTGTCCTCAGCCTTGGTCTCTTCTTCGCCTGCCTTGGTCTTGTCAGTGCTGACAGGTTCGTCCATACCTCCAAAGCCGAATCCAACATTGACATTTTTCGCAGCAAATGACCAAGGGTTGTTGTCTTCCTTCCCCTTGTCAGGCTTCGCGCCGTTCAGAGTGTCAAGGCCCCATTTGTTGCCGGTACTTGTACCCCAACCTTTGTCCCAGCCACCGAAGCTGAATCCGACATCTCCGGTTGGGGGAGGCAGACCGAGATCGAGCTGCGGCACGTTGTCGCCCAGGTTTACCTCCTGAAAGCCATTCGTTGGAGGAGGCGGAGGTACCAGCTCGGCAGCCGCCTCAGCGCCCTGCGGAATTTCTATCAGCTCTGTAATCATCAAATTGCGCCTTGGAGATAGATGTGGTTGCGTACCTTGCCTTTCTTTTTCTTCTTTGCAGCAGTGGTGAAACCAACCCAGTCATCATCATTCGCCCCATCAGCATCGTCCGCCCAGCTGAGGTTGTTGTCGGCTGCTGCGGCTGCGGCTTCTTCTGCGGCCTTCTTCTCCTCTTCTTCTTTCGCCAATCGTTCCTCTTCTTCCTTGGCGGCTTTCTCCTCCTCTTCTCTCCGAAGTCGCTCTTCTTCCTCCTGCTTCTTCTTTTTCTTGGCCTTTTTCGAGGTGGGGGCCGCCCACGTGTCCCATTCATCGTCCTCGTTGTTCTCGCCATCTCCGCCATCTCCGTCGCCGCCGCCGCCGCCGCCGCCGCCGTCACCGCCACCTCCGCCGCTGTCGTCCCCTCCACTGCCTCCATCTCCAGCACCGCCGTCGTTGCCGGAATTGTCGCCATTCTGGTCGTCACCACCACCTCCTCCATCATCCTGTTTGTCTCCCCCTTCATCCGGCGGTGGTGTCTTTTCACGCTGTGGCTGTGCCGCAGGCTTTTTCTTCTTCTTTCCTCCCTTGTGCTCTCGAATCCCACGAATGTCGTCGTAATCGATCGTTCGAGAGGATGCTTTATCCTTTTCTTTAGGACTTGAAGGGCTTTGCGCCGGGGCCGATTCGTCTGTCAGATCCTTCCGATGAGCCAGCGGGGCTAGACTCGTGTATTCCGGAGGTAGATCGGTCATAGCATCGTCGTAGGGCGGCGGAGGGTCTTCATAATCTCCGAACGCGGGCACCTGCAGGTCAACTTCAAGCGCTGCGCTATTCCATGCATAGACGTGCTTCCAGGAGGATTTTGGTTGGTTCTTGTAGTATGGCCATATCCGTTAGCATCATTCTTCAAGGTTGCGACGCGTTGAATTGTAAAGGAACTCAGATAGTCCCAGCCTATGGATCTCTCGTTCTACTCATACCTCGATTTCAACCGCGGCTGAAGCTCCACCGCTGCAGCTAATCGTCGCAGCAGTATCTTGCTTCTCTATCTTCATCTGACGATATACCGGCCAAGCCTCGATCTGAGACGGGGAATCACCCCCTTTCGAGTCGGTGAATAGGCCATGCTCGAGTTTGCGCACGGCTTCCATGCTGACAGAGACAAACCGATGCTAGCGCATGAGTCTCGAGGCGATCCAGCCTCCTCTTCTTTCAAACCACCTCCCGCTGGGGCAATTGATTCCCGTCAGCTGTGGTATCGAAAATGTGAATATAATCAATTGCAGCCTTTCTTCCCGGAGCAAATCTGGAAGAAGATATCGGTTTAGTCAAAGGAAGTGCGCGCGAAATCAAAAGAACAGGTATAAGGGCGCTCAGAGAAATGAGAAAGCCTCCCCTCAGATAAAAAGAATTTTCAGCAAGCAACCAAACGCAATGGCAGCTACACCACACGCGCTGCAAAAGTCAAGACCGCAGAAAATAACGTCACGCTGACGGAGGATTGAAGCAGTACATAGAACAAGAAAAAGGGGTGGTGGGCCTGGGTTTGAGGCCTTGCAAGGATCAACGAACACCGAAAAGGGTATATGTTGGTGAGTGGTATATGCGAGGGGAGGGAGAGAGAGGTAGGGAGAATCGAGAATGATGGCCAAAGAAAAAAGGGCTTAGTATGGAGAAGTAGGGATGCGGAGGCAGGCCATCGAGTCTATGGGGAACCACAGAGGCGGTGGATGCGAAAGACAGACACGCGCAGTGCTAGCTGCTCAATGATGGTCTGGGCGTTGCTTTTGCCTCAGTGAGCGGCTGGAGATAGGATTGGCGGCCGTGAGGGAATGCTATGCGAGAACCGCCTCTGGAATGTAAGCTATCAGCCACCGATCGTGGGCGAGGGAAGGGGAGGAATGGAGGTGGTGAAGAGTGGAAAGTATAGTAAGAGTCGGAGGACTGGGAGGTTCTTACTTTTTCTTCTTCCCGACTATGCGATGGTTGACTAAATTGATCCGAACAGATCAAAGCCAAATTGAAAACAAAAAAAATAAATATAAAAAGAAAAATAAGAGCAAGAAACAAAAAAGAAAGGCCGCGGTGAATTCCCCGAAGCCCAGGCGAAGATGGGCGGCGTATAGTGAGGTTGATAGGATGAGCGGTGGCTGGGGGACGGCACCGACCACCAGGCTAAGAGATCGCTCAGACTGGGGGGGGGGGAAACAAAGTGTAAGGAAAAGGGAACAATCAGAGGGCGTCACCGCTGATCAGACCTGGTCTAGTAGTGCATCAGCAATCGACAATTACGAGGATTGGAGGGAACGAGAAGCAAATAAGGACGATGAGTCTAGGGAGAGATTGAGCCCGAGTCACGCAGGCACAAGCCAGTCAGTCACACTCCCGAGGGGGGGGGGGGGGGGGGGCGGTGGGCAGAATTGCGCCTATCGATAACGAGATCACCCCTCCTTGTGCCTGCGATTGAAAGAGGGGGAAAGACTGACTGGTGTAGTATAGACAGGTAGTAGTGGTTATTGGTGTTCTTCTGAATGAAAGGGTACTATAGAAGTTTTTGACGCCCTATGCTTCCAACACTGACATATAACAGTGAAGTTCTCTCGTCTTGACAGAATTGACTCATGCAGTTCGGAAGACCAGAGATGCCTTACATTACCGATAGCGGAGCGAGAGGGGCAAAGAAGTATGGAATGTATTTGTTGTCAAGTTCCAGGGGGGGAACTAGAGTGGAAAATAGTAATACTCACGAGTTAGTACGAACTACGGAGCACTGTCAACATTCAACCTAAAAGAACCACCCGTTCCTTGGGTTCAACCCGCGAGCCTTCAATGTGCTTTAAAATCAGTGCACAGATCAGTATAACTGCAGATGCAATGGCTGTACAGTTCAGGCAAAGAGGCAGAAACTATACTCTCCACCTCCTAAGGCCGGCCGTCCCCCACGTGCCTCAATCATGCCTATCAAAACACCACACTGAACAGCAGCAGCAGCAGCAACAACAATAACTCAACATGAAACCACAAGCGTAAAAGCTGCTGCAGAAATTTTCCATCATCCGATTATTCTGCAATGCAACCATCAGGCAGCCAAACAAGAACGCCCATTATTCGGCGAGGAAAACTCGGGAATGGAAAAGCAGCTCTTCACCGCATCGAAGGCAAAAGAGCGGGCTGGAGCCTATCAAAAGCGTGGGCCACTCTGAGAACCCAACCTTTTGACCCCATCTGACGCCTGCCTCCGCTTGAGCTTTTCTTGTTTGGTTTTAGTTGATGGTCAGAAATCCCTTCGACTCAGTGACTACTGTAGGAGCATCCCAAAGAGTGTTTAGCATTGACAACTGTTCTCTTTTGCTCTTGTTAGCAGTACCCGCAACAAGACCCTGATTAGGAAGCAGATGACCTTTCAAAGTGGTTGAATTACTAGTAGTTGAGTTACTACCTAGTAATAGCCAATGATTAACTACCGGCTTTCCCGATATTCCCGCTCAGCATCAAATTCAGTCATATGCTAGTCCGGTTTGTGCTTCCGTCCCACCGCTGCTGTTTTGCAACACCGCTGGGTGTCTGTGTCCCTCTTTCTTCCTGTCCAGCAGCGTGTCTTCAGCTTGTTTCACCATCCTTTTTCCGACGATGATACGACCATTGTGCGACTGGCGCGGATCAGTCAATTGGTCTGGAGAGAGGAAAGGGAAACAAAGAAAGAAGTCATGAGGGACTTTGGCAGAAAGCTATTTAACGGAATTCGGCCGGGTCAACCGCCGCAACCACCGCAAAAGATGGACTTGTTATAGCATGTTATAGCTTATTGCTTGAACATCCAAGCTCTCGAAAGCTTCCCTGCGCGAAGAGTTCTTCATGGCCTTGATCTGGTGCTAAGCTACAGCTGCTCAGCTAAAGGTATACTGGTGAGCAATAACAAGGTCTTCTCTAGAGGAGAGTCAACGGGCGAGCTGTAGAAACATTAACGTCGAGACTGAGTACTTCGTACACAGAGCAGCACTGGCTATCATCAAATTACTCTCCTATAAGCCCTTTCACTTCTAGACCCGTGCTTCGTGTATAGACCTATGATAGTAGACAAACCAAACTCGCAATTGACCCAACACCCACCAAGCATATACAATCAATGGAAACAGAAACCAGTCTACAAAAACCAACAGCCTCATAGGAAGTAATTTCACGACTACCTCTGGACCTCCCCCCACTCAATACAGTGCTCAGTAGATCCAACGCCTGGCCACTAAGGTAGCAACAACCGCCAACCTCCGATTCACCGCACTCATGCATGCAGTGAGATGAATTTCCCGCAACGCCATTTCTGCCGATCGACAAGCATAGCAAGTTGACCAGACAGGCTGAAAACAAACCAGGCACGCCACAGTGCAGCACCAAGCTGCCGGTCTCATGTAGTCAACGACGGAAGTACAGTAGAACGTGGCTCACGGTGTGGTCTGGGCCTGCTGTAGCTGTCAGGACGCTATAGTAGATACTAGGAACCAAGATCTCGGACGGAAGGTATGCATGGCCGGAGCTGTATACTCCCATGGTTGGTTGCATGCTCATACTGCAACTTTACCCCCTCTCTTCATGCCCAATATCTGAGCATCTAGGTTTGCCAACGCAGTTCTCCACGTCCCTGCGGCATTCGGATTAAGGGGTCATGTACGGTTGGATTAATAATGGAGCCTGCGATACATGATACACCACTGCTGCTGCTGCTGCTGTGAGTCACGGCTGAGATAGCTGGGCAGTAAGTCTGATCTCCTGGAGTCTTGTCTTGGCGGTTCGACAAGAAGATGGTACTTTTTCTTTTGTGATCGAGGGCATGATGAAAAGAGAATGTGTTGCATGACTTCGATTTTGAGGCTTGACGAATATGAAGCGGTGAGACCGAACAGGACGGATTGTCATTCAAGGTCGGTTCATTACTGAAATTGAAAGCGCGGACCGAGACTACCTCACCCGAAGTCATTCATCCTTTTCAATTTCGTAAGATACAAACACTACCCTCCACGATTGTATCGAAGACAGCCGATAGAAAGGCTGCGCAACTAACAACACAAGACAACGTGCAAGGAACAAAAGACAAGCGGTGTTATACAGACGGGTCCCAAGATCCTCTTGGCCTCATAGCCCATGAGATACACTAGTACCCAAAGAGTTACGGGAGATTTGCTCCATAGCTGATCCAACGCATGTTCCCGATGCTGCGGAGTGAGCATTACCATATGCATTACCATATCGTGATTTCCTGGTCCTAAGCCTTGCTCGCGGGCTTCTCTCCATAGACCTCCTTGTATTCGCGTTGATAACGCTCTTTGTCCTCCTCAAAAGTCTGGTAGTATGCCTATCACTCGCTGTCAGTGCCCCTCAACGCGTTAGCTGCTGGCATTGGTGTTGAACATTACTTTTTTCTCCTCGCTCGCCAATTCCTTCCACTGTGCGGCGATGGCCCGGGATCGTTCAACAAACGGCAAATTCTTGAGCTCGGGGTCTTCCTCCGTTCGGATCCGGCTGAAGATAACATAAGGGGGGGCAGGGCGGGAGACAAGGCGAGGATCGTTGATCAAGCGCAATCGCGAGCGTTTCTTCTCAAGCTTGTGAAGCTTGTGGCGGGCAGCGTTGGCATCGCGAATTTGAGCCGGAGTGTAGCTCTGGATCCACTTGTTCATGACTTCTTCATTCTTGTCTTTGTTTTCCAGGGCAGTTTTTTTGTAGCGCTGGTTCAGAGTTAAGTCATTAGCTTTGGCCCGTCAACGTGGATTGGGAGCTCCGCAGTACCTCTATCTCCTCTTCGGGCAGCACCCTGACCCGCTCCATTAACTCGTTCAGCAAGCTGGGGCCACCACGCCTCAATTCTGGCTTCTCCTTCATGGCGATTTCCGCTAGTGCTTTACGGGCGACGGAGCCCCAATTCACAGGATTCAGATCGGGCAAAGTGAGAGCTTTCTCCTTGAGTTGGAGGATTTCCTGCCTCTTGTCACGAGCGTTTTGCGCTTCCTGCTGCTTGGGTGTCAGCTCTTTCGGCTTCCCGTCGACCAATTCCTTCTTCGGCCTTCCCCTCTTCGGCTTGGTTGTCTCTTGCTCTGACTCTGGCTCTTGCTTCTCCTTCGCCACGCGGCTCTTCACCTTCCGGACCTTGCTCTCTGACTCCTTGGCTTTAGCGGCAGTCGCATATGTGTTGGTCAAGCTCCGGGAGAGGATCGAGATGCGTGCCGATAGAAGACCGGCGGAACGACCGCTGGAGAGCATGGAGATACGTTGAATGTGAGCGTGAGAGATCATCTGACGGACAGGGCGCGAGAAGACATCGCTGGTATTGATGTGCTGGAGGAGCGCGCCCCCCTGGCGGGCAAGTTTCACAGGCATGGTTCCACTCAGTGCTTGGGAGGTCGATGTAAACACAGGGCAGGCGGGAGCGGTCAATTGAGAAAAGGAAGAGTTTCTGATACGTAGAAAGGGATTGGACTTGAGGCCGTTGCGGCGTTAGCTCTGTTTTTGTACGAAAGGAGGTCTGCTTCACAGGAGGGGGGGGGGAAGAGCTCACTAACGGATGCGGAAGTGAGGTTGGAGGGAGCAGGGAGATGGAAGCTGCCACCAGGAACTGCAAGGCACACGCAGCTGCTCTATTTACTAAGTTCTTAGGTCATAATCTCTTTGGCGGAGGCCGTATCGGGAAGGGTCCTGTGCACGTGATTCGGCTTGGTATCGGCTTTGATCATGTGACCATCGACGCTGCTGCTTCGCGGCCCGTCCGTCCCAATAACGCCGGGCCAAGAATACAGCTGGGCGGAGATACAACCTGACTGGAACCAACATCGATATTCTCCTCGACTCAAATTTGCCACCAGCGCAACATCGGCCCCATATACTAATCACCCCGTTATACTTGGAATCACTGAATGATAGGGTAAACATCCACTTCAAATATCCTATCCAAGTACTCGAGCTTTTCTTGAGTCTCAGTAATACTCACTCATCGTTGGCCTGCAACAATGGCTCGCCACGGGGATACTCGCTCACCATCACCTGTAGGCAGCACATATTCCTCATCCAGACGGAGTCGCAGAGACGATGATCGCTATGAGAGGAGCAGGCGCGACGATGGCAGGAGTTACCGCAGATCGCGTAGTCCGGAGGTGAGTTCTTGAAATCGAGTTCCAGCGAAGTTGGGCTTTTCTCTAATGGCTTTGACCTCATCATTCTAGCGGCGATACCGTGAACGTGAACGCGACCGTGACCGAGATTCCTACCGGAGACGCGAGCGCTCGTTAGACAGACGTGACGACTACCGCGAAGAAGACAGCTATCGTCCCAGCCGTCGGGATCGCTCTCGCGATCGCCGTCGCTCGAGAGATCGAGATGATCAGCGGGACTACCGTCGAAGAAGCCGCGATAGGGACTATCGAAGCAGGCGAGAAGATTCCCGTGATCGGGCACGGAGACGGACGGATGATTCTGCTGACTTGAAGCACAAGTCTAGACGGGACGACAGCCGGGATCGGGCTAGACGCTCACGGTCCAGGTCTCGTGAGGTAAGTCATTCTGGTCTGAGTCCCGCTTGGACGATGCTGATTTCAACACCCTTAGGCATCGAAACCGTCGACTTCAGCAACACCCGCAACCCAGACGGAAGACGAAAAGAGAGCAGAGCGACGCGCGAAACTGGAGGCATGGAAACAGAAACAAGCTGCTGAAAAAGAGCGTAAGCAGCGGGAGGCTGCGGCGGCTGGTGGAGCTAGGAGCATCCTGGAGGAGATCGACAGGAAGTCTGGCCTATCGCCGGCCGTTGGCTCGCCTCAGTCTCCGGCACCGCAAGCTGTCGAAACGGCACCTGCGACGTACGCAGGGAAGTTCGATCCTAAGGCTATCGCGAAGAAGGGAGCCTCGGCAACTTCTCCCGCGCCAGCTGTTTTGGGTAATGATGTTGCTGTGCCTTTACCATCAAAAACCACCACCCCGGCATCTGGCGGTCCTGCAGCGGCTACAAGTGGCTCTTCATGTACGCTCCTATCTTTCGCTCATGCTTGTGACACTTATGACTAACGATCGAAATCTAGCCACTTTGAAAGCTAAGGGCAACGTGGGGAGGTTCGGGCTGGGGAGTAAGCAGGCCGGAGAGGCCGAGAAGTCCAGTGCTACAAAGACTCTCGGTTTCGGGGAAGAAGAGTCCACCCGACGGAAGCTCGAAAGGCTGCCCACTCCACCTTTGGATGATTCGAAAGACACCAACGGAACTGCAGCTGTAGGGGCTGATGATGACGACGAGGACGACGTCGATATGCATGATGGCACGGAAGAAGAGAACGCGGCAGCCGCGCGGGCAGCTGCTGAAAGACGAGAGGAGCGCTTGCAATTAGCTCAATCCACAGACCTCGCGCAAGAAGCAAACGGTGATACTGTCATGGAAGATGCGACACCCAGCCAGCCTCCCGACAGCATGGAATTGGACAACCAAGAAGAAGAGGAAGAAGTCGATCCATTGGATGCTTTCATGTCTGAGCTCGCAGATTCCGCGCCTCCCAAGAGAACCGCGGGCGCGAAGTTTTCGCGCGCCAAAGAGCAGCAGCCCGAGGCCATTTTTGGTGATGAGCATGACATCGATGTTACTGCTGTTGGTGAAGGAGATGCGGATGACTTCCTCGCAATTGCTAATAAGGCGAAGAAGAAGAAAGACATCCCCGCCGTTAACCACGAGAAGGTGGAGTACGAGCCATTTCGGAGAAAGTTCTACACTGAGCCTTCGGATCTGGCGCAAATGTCCGAGGAAGAAGCTGCAAGCTTGCGGCTAGAACTTGACGGCATCAAAGTCCGTGGTGTGGATGTCCCGAAGCCAGTGCAGAAATGGTCTCAATGCGGATTGGGCGTGCAGACTCTGGATGTGATTGAGAAGCTGGGCTACGAGAAGACCACGTCCATTCAAGCGCAAGCCATTCCTGCGATTATGTCTGGTCGCGATGTCATCGGAGTGGCCAAAACAGGTTCGGGTAAGACAATTGCGTTCCTGATCCCCATGTTCCGGCATATCAGAGACCAGCGGCCGTTGGAGAATATGGAAGGTCCTATCGGTTTGATTATGACGCCGACCCGCGAGCTGGCAACGCAGATTCACAAGGACTGCAAGCCCTTCCTCAAAGCGCTAAACCTTCGGGCCGTTTGTGCCTACGGTGGAGCGCCCATCAAGGACCAGATCGCTGACCTGAAGCGCGGTGCTGAAATCATCGTCTGCACTCCTGGACGTATGATCGATCTTCTCGCAGCTAACGCTGGGCGTGTCACGAATTTGCGTAGGGTCACATACGTCGTTCTTGACGAGGCAGATCGTATGTTTGACATGGGCTTCGAACCCCAGGTGATGAAAATCATGGGCAACATCCGACCTGATCGACAAACTGTTCTGTTTTCCGCCACCTTCCCACGCAACATGGAAGCTTTGGCTCGCAAGACTCTGACAAAACCAATCGAGATTGTGGTCGGTGGCAAGAGTGTCGTTGCGCCAGAGATTACGCAGATTGTCGAGGTTCGCAATGATGACCAGAAGTTTGTACGACTTCTGGAATTGCTTGGTAATCTCTATTCGAGCGAAGAGAACGAGGATGCGCGGGCTCTCATCTTTGTTGATCGCCAAGAGGCCGCCGACACCTTGCTTCGCGAGCTCATGCGCAAGGGCTACCCATGCATGTCGATTCATGGCGGCAAGGATCAGATTGACCGCGACTCCACCATTGAAGACTTCAAAGCCGGTATCTTCCCGGTTCTGATCGCTACCTCGGTCGCAGCACGTGGGTTAGATGTCAAGCAGCTTAAGCTTGTCGTCAATTACGATGCGCCCAACCATCTTGAGGACTACGTCCACCGTGCTGGACGTACTGGTCGTGCTGGAAACACCGGAACGGCGGTTACTTTCTTGACGGAGGACCAGGAACGGTACTCGGTTGACATCGCGAAGGCGCTGAAGCAGAGTGGACAGAATGTTCCCGAACCGGTGCAAAAGCTGGTTGACTCATTCTTGGAGAAGGTCAAGGCCGGTAAAGAAAAGGCCAGCGCATCGGGCTTCGGCGGCAAGGGCTTGGAACGACTGGACCAGGAGCGAGATGCTGCGCGTCTGCGTGAGCGGCGCACATACAAGACTGGCGAAGAAGGGGAGGAGGAAGACGAGAAGGATGATAAGAAAAACGAGCAGGCCGAGGAGCGGTTCGCTAAAGCCATCTCGTCCGTTCAGGCAGCGGGATCCGCACCGACAAGTATGCCTGGGGTGCCCAAGGGTATCGATCTGGATGGCAAGATTACTGTTCACAAGACCGAGAAGGATCCCAACAGCACATCGAAGAACCCGCTGGATAAGGTGGGCTCGGCTGTTGCGGATATCCATGCCCGTTTGAGCCGTGCCGGTGTGATGAGATCAGGAGTGCCTATCGACAATCGCGGACCGGATGCAGGAGCTTTCCATGCCACCTTGGAGATCAACGACTTCCCTCGTAAGTTTCATCGCTGTGTTTTCTTCTGTTTCAGTTCAGATACTAATGCATGCTACAGAGAAAGCTCGTTGGGCTGTTACCAACCGCACGAACGTGGCCAAGATCCTCGAAGCCACCGGCACGTCGATCACGACCAAGGGCAGCTTCTACCCGACCGGCAAAGAGCCTGGTCCCGGAGAGAACCCCAAGCTGTACATTCTTGTTGAAGGTGAGACTGAGCTGGCCGTGACGAACGCGATGCGCGAGTTGATGCGGCTGCTCAAGGAGGGTACGATTGCGGCGGCGGACAGCGACGCCCGCGCCCCGGTGGGAGGACGGTACAATGTGGTCTAGTCGCTGCAGTTGCTGTATAATAGAGATGGTGTCTATGCCTTGTATCTGCATCTTTTGCATTGTAATCAAAGTAGCCTGCTAGGGTATTCACGATTGCGCCAATATAAGAAACATAAAAACAATATACCAAGCCCACAAATCACAGACATGAACTCCGTGCAGCGAGCATGATCGACCGTAAAGCCAGGCTCAGTCCCACCATCCATCAACTATATATAGTAGATACCTCCCTTCGCGCCACGCCCCCTCTTTCATTGCCATCTCCGCGCCTCAGCTGCCCCATCCGCATCTCTGGCAGCGACCTCGGCGCGACTCGCCTCATTCAAGGTTTGTGTCTGGGTCTGCGCTTTCTGCGCCGCCAACTTCGACCCCAGTTTCCCTTTATTGGAGTTATTAGTCGCAGACTCGGCGCGTTTCTAAGCGAAGCACAAGCATTAGCCAAACCTCGATTCTTCCTTCTTGAACCCCACCCTTCCCTAAGCCCCCGGGGGCCCGGTGACGTCCAAGGTAATGTGAATATCAACTCACCTGCGCCGCCAACGCCGCATTCGTCCTTGCATCCGTATGCCCTGGCGCCGACACAGCACTCGCTCCCTCTCCGCCGACTGTCCGTCCCGCCGAACCAGACCCCCAGTTTGTGTTTGTGTTCGATTGGGATTGGGCTTTGGATTTGGGGAGTGAAGCGCGCGGACCGGAGGCGGCGGCGGCATTGGGTGTGGATTGGTCATTGTTGGTGCCGAGAACACGGCCGGGTTGGGCGAAGGCGTCGGGTCCGTTGGAGGATTTGGAGCAGATGTTGCCCATCTTTTCTGGGGAGGTGGTGTAGGGTTCGAGGTTGGGGGAACCGTGCGGGGGCGAGATGGGAAAGGTTGCGGCGGGTTGGAGTGTTAAGTTACAATCTAGCTTGGGAGAGAGGATGAGAGGACTTTCAGGAAATCGAGGAGGCTGAAATTTCAGGAATGAACAGTGGTATTATTGTTGTTTCGAGAGTGTATATAGATGTGGTTAGTTGAAATGGAGTTGGAATTTGGGGACGGTGATGCACTGCAGGGCCCGTAGGCAGCCGTCGGCACGTGCGGGAGCCGCTACCCGCCATCTCCTGGCTCTGTCGTTGGTGGGATTTCTTTTGGTGAGCTGGATCATACTTAGTACCCATTGTATGGGCCTTGGGAGGTCTGTCGGTTATGGTGGGTGTAGAAATCATCGATGCTCGCGATATCTCGTTCGTGGTAAGTCATTGGACGTTTAATTCGGCCTGAATTGACCTTTGGCATTGATTCATCTTCGTGGATCCAAGCAGCTCACCCCTCCAAGGCGGAAGCGATTTGACGGGCAGAATCCGGTCGAAGAGATTTCCCGCCCACGTGTGAAGAATGGGTTCCCCTCACCCAGTCTTCCAACACATTTTTGTTTGATCTCAACTAAGATCCTTTCTCTGCTGCCCCTCCTTTGAATGCTTTTTATTTTGCATTGTAGCTGAATCCCAGCACACTCTCTCGACGCACGACAGCAAGAAGAGAAACAATTCTGACAATCGGAGGGCCATCATTGGCTGGAAGAGACTAGCATGACGCCATTCCCCAAGGTCCTCCCCCTCGTCCCCAAGGTCCTCAAATTTATTCTTCCCCTCCGATCAGCGTATGGCGCCGGTATTGGTACCGAAAATACCTGCCCTATTGGCCCTACCCGCCCTATCTGGCCCTGACTCTTCTCCCCCTAAAGTGGTTTCCCAGTGCCCTCACTGCCCTGAAAGTAGTGGTACTCAGTAATCTGGTAGTACCTCTTCTCCTGGTAACTCTTAACGTGCAACTTACTCTGCGATGGATACCTGAATTTCCATCCCACTTTCGGTCTCCTTCAGACGCCCTCATGCTGGCTCCCAAGGTCCCCAGGCCCTTTTGCCCGCTCTCTCTAGGCGGTTCGTCTTTTCTCTCCACGCTTCCTGGTGATTTTTGCCTGTAGCCTTTGTCGCACCACAGCTGTTAGCTACCGCTGGACCGATCCCTTGCAAAATCTGCTGTTCTAATTGGTATGTGATATGTCGTGCCCGCTCGCGTGGTGGAGGAGGACAGCCGCGCTGACTTGCCCGCACTTGATAGACCTGAGAACAGACCCCCAGTCTATTTCCCACGCAAGTCCCCGCTCATCGGTCGTCAGGGCGGCGAATTTTGTGGGACCGTGAATCTGTCGACTCCTCCACGACATAGATTGTCCCTTTCTCTTGACCTTTGGGAGACACTGCTCATGTCTTTCCCCTCACACGACACCATGGCTTCGCACACGAAGAAAGACGATTTTTGCTTGGAGTGCCACTGGGAGGCATTCCATTTGGATGCTAAAGACCCGGAAGAGCCTCTTGACACCGAGGCTCAAGTGGCCCAGTGGAAATGTTCGCAAGAGGAGCATCATGCCGCGCTGCCCCATTGTGAGGTCGGGGAGAATTGCCCTGCCGATGAGGACTGCTGTGACATGGATACTTGCTCCGTCACCTGCCCATCGGTCTGCGATGGGTTCGTTGATTGCGATGAGCTTGCCGGGTGCTCTGTATCACACTGCGACGAGACACACTGCAACGAGACACATTGCGACAGCACGGATCCGGTCTGCTTCGACGAGCACTGCTTCGGCAGTGGCACCCACGCCGACGGCGAGCATAGTCTGGAGGCATTATTAGCTTTGGGATCGCCGCTGAACCTCGAGTCAAGCGACCTCCTGGCCCCGGCCACGCTCCCCCAGGCACCGGGGGAGCAGCTTAAGACAGGAGGGCTCCCTGCGGCCACCGGCTTAGTGGGTTCCACAGATGCCTTTTTTGCTCCCTTTGCGCCTCTCCCGGTGTCACATTGTCACTCGCACAGCCATCAGCATTTCCAGTGCCACGATTTGCCGAAAGATGCCCACCACGCCTGGTATCCGATGCCGACCTCAGTCAACCCGGCGGATGTCTTCCACATGATGGGCGTGTGTCCAGACCTGAGTACTTGCCATCACCAGTACCACGTGCAGCAGGTGCCGGACTGCAGTGAGCATCAAAAGCCCACGGACGACGCCTCGAATTATACCTGCTTCCACATCAACCCGAACCCGAACCACAACCATAGTCACAGTCACAGTCACAGTCACGCTCCTCATTTCCACACCCATAATGCGACCGACACGGCCGACATGGCCGATCAGACCGCCACACAGGAACCAACCACCTCCGCACACCGCAAACCGTGCCGTACGCATGTTCATCGCTGCCGGACACACAGCCACGCGCACCATCATTACTCCCCGTATTCCCCCTATTCCCGTCACTCCCGGTCCAGCGTGAGCTCCCAGATCAGTCCCGGGGACACGCCGCCTCCGCTGGACGGAGGCTCTTCTGTCCTAACCAGCCCCGAGTACATCCCGGAAATCGAGTCACATATCTGCCGTTGGACCACCACGGTCGGTGGGGTTAAGAAAGCCTGTGGGCTTACATTCTCGGATTCGTGCGGGCTCCAAGAACATTTGATTGCCAGCCATATGGCGACGGTGGAGGGCGCCAAGGGAACTGGATATTATTGCTGCTGGGAGGGATGCCATCGGCCGGACGAGCCGTTCTCGCAGAAGTCAAAGCTGCAGGGCCATTTTCTGACGCACAGCAACTGTAAGTTCCACGGTGTCCGAGTAGATTGATATTCGCTGACTATCCAGACAAAAATTTCAAATGTTCGGTGTGTGGCAAGTTCTTTGCCCGGCAAGCCACGCTGGAACGACATGAGCGCAGCCACCGCGGGGAGAAGCCGTATAAGTGTGCCGAGTGCGGGAAGTCGTTCACCGATAGCAGCGAACTGAGTATGTCTGTCTTTGGTTGCTGCATGTGCAGGTTGCTGATCTGGAGTAGAAACGCATTCACGCACGCATACGGGTGAGAAGCCATTCAAATGCACCTATCCGGGATGCAACTTTCAGACAGGCGATGTAAGTTCTCTGATGGGGTTAGTGGGGTTTGATACTTACTAGGTTTAGTCGTCCAACATGTCCAGTCATCGATTAAGTATGTTGATATATTAACTGGTAAATGGCAAGAGATGTACTGACAGGATAGCACACGGCGAACGACGGCACAAGTGCCACTACCCGGGGTGCACGAAGAGTTTCACTCGACACGGTGAGTACTTTGGAGCGGTTGTCGAAGGTTGTCGGAAGATGTACTGATGATGGTAGACCAACTTAAACGCCACCTCAAGAGCACACATAAAGACCACAGCAGCAGCATAACGATGCCGTCCCCTCTAACGGATCAATTCGGATCGGTGCTCGCCGAGGTGGCGTGAATAATTTTTGTTAATACCTTATTTATACCTACCGATACCGATACTGATACCCCACGACCAAATACTGCAGTGAGTATATATGATTGATTTAGGATTGATGCGAGGATGTATTCTAGATGAGTTGGATTCAAAAAAAAGGTGATGGAAGGTGATGAATGATGATCGCTACTACACTATACTATACTGGTACAGCCGTACAGTAGTAGACATTCCTACTACTCGAACAGAGCATAAACACCACCCTACCCTAATATTATACTATCAAGATCCATTATCCTACACCAGCTACACCCAAGGGAAAAAAAAGGTGAATTATTCTTCATTTCCCCGCTCCTCCAAAGCCTCAATCGCCCCCTTCAACTCCCTCACCCGCTGCCCCACCCGTCTCTTCACCTCCGCCCGCGCCTCCTCCTCAATCCCCTGCGGATTCAACCCGGTGTCAATCGTGATCTCCTCCCCGGCCTCCGCCCCCAGCAGCTTTTCTACGCCCGATCGTCCCGCCGCGTCCAGCAGCGACACGTCCCGCGTGTACAGCGTGTACACCGCCAGCAGCTCGTTCAGCGCGTCGCGCGCGGACGCCCGATCTGAGGCAGCGTAGATCGTGGCGTTGTCGGTGCTTTCGGTCGCGATTTCAAATTCGTCTTTTGCGGTTTCGTAGCTGTTGTGCCCATGTCAGTTTGGATTGAGATTGAGGTGGGGGTTTGAGGTGGGGGGGGGGGGGGGGGAGGGACTGGTGGAGTACTTGATGCAGGCGGGGGGGCTGGACCGGGGCTAGGGGGGTTGGGCTGGCTGGCTGGCTGGACTGGACTGGGCTGCATACAGATCCTGAAGCTCTTCGACGATAACATCGCTGGTTGATTTGCCGGATGGACTGATGCTGCTGGTGCTGGTTGTGTAGGTCGCGATTCTCGTGGTGGGGTTGGGGGGAAGGGTTGCTGCACGGCCAGACTGGAATGGGGTCCTGCTGCTGCTACTGCTGCTGCTGCTGCTGCTGGATGGGTGGAAATTGCGGGTGGAGCTAATGCTGGTGGATGATATGGGACGGTAGGATATGGGGTGGTGGAGGGACCGGGAGAGGTTGAGATTGAGCTTGCGGTTGAGCACTGAGGGGAGTCTGTGAGGCATGACTGTGGGGGGATTTATTCAGTGGTGGTCCAATTTGGGTGGAAGGATGGAAAGCGATTGGAATCAATGATTCGATCAGTGGGAAATCTTCGCAATTGAGTTCGACGATCAATGAATTGAAGCGGAAGAGGAAGAGGAAGAGAAACGGATGATGACATGTGACATGACAGGACATGACGTCGGGCGAACCCTCTCACGTGCTTCTACTTGGTGTATATATACTAGTGTATGGTCCCAAGGATTTAACAACAAAACACATATTTCCATCATAGTTCTATTTATTCATCTACTCATATCAATTGTAAACTATGGTATCCATATAAGCTTAAGCTGAAGCTGAAGCTAACTAAAGCTACACTGTAAATTTCAATCCCCCATTCGCACACACCACACTCCCCGTACACCACCCCGCATCCTCCGTACACAACATCCCCACCACACCAGCCACTTCGCCCGTGAACCCGGGTCTGCGGCCCCCCATCTTCTCGCGGATCAACCGCTTCTGCTCCTCCGTCAACGCCTCGAGCTGCCGATCCTCGCCCTCCATCATCTTGCTGAGCGGCGTGTTATCCTGAAACCCCTGCATCTGCTGCCAGAACTCCTCCCCGGTGGCAAAGTACATATCCCCGATGACCGGGCCGGGGTTGACCGCGTTGACGGTCGCGTAGTCGGCCAGCTCGCGCGCCCAGGTGCGCGTCATCGCCTCCAACGCCGCTTTCGTGCCGCCGTACACCGACTGGCCCGTGAACCCCAGCGACGAGGAGATGCTGGAGATGTTGACGATGCGGCCCGCGCGCGGCGGCGAGCGTGGTAGGTAGGGCGCCACCGCCTGCGTCAGCAGTAGCGGCGCCAGCACGTTGATCGTGTAGTGCCAGTGGAAGTAGGCCGCGTCGATGGGGCCCTTGGCGGGGTCGGCGTCGTTGAGGAAGCGATCCTTGGACACGCCCGCGTTGTTGATCAGGATGTCGACGGTGAGGTTCTGTTGCTGGCTGGTGGAAGAAAACTCCGCCTTGGCGACGCTGAGAATGCGCTCAACCGCGGGGGCGGGGTCCGACAGGTCGGCTTGCACGGGCACGCACCGGATCGAGTGCTCGCGCGAGAGTTGCTGGCAGAGGGATTCGGTGCGCGCGCGAGAGGAGTCCGAGGTGTAGTTGAGGAGGAGGGAGCAGCCTTTGCGCGCGAGGTTGTGGGCGATGGCTTCGCCGATGCCTGGACAGGTTTGGGTTGCCGTTTAGTCAAGTGCGAGGGGAAGCTACATGGATCGGGGAACTTGGAAGGCTTTTACCTCGTGAGCCGCCGGTGATGATGGCGAGTTTGCCTGCGAGAATTCCAGACATTGTGGTGGTATGAGGTGGGGGTGTTGTTTGGAGGGGAGGGCAGATGGTAGGGAAAGAGGGAGTTTGTCTGGTGTTGAAATAGTTACGCGCACCGTAACTACTGCTCTTCCAACTGCTCCGGTTAAATTTATTTTGCAAAGCTAGTACCTCTCTCTCGGATAATAAAGAGCACGATTGATCACCTGCACTTTGACTTAACTCTCCATTCTCCACTGCGATATCCCTCATCCTCTCGCCGGGAATTTACCCGATCGGGCATACTCCGGCGGCACAGCATACACAATCTACCTACAACAATCTTGTCCAGTTCGCAATCAATCCACACTACATACACAACCCCACTCAGCATCATCCAAGCTTCACCCCCTTGAACGCCTTCGCATTCTCCTCAATTGCCCTCTCCACCGGCAATCGCTCCATACTACTCGCGCCGAAGAACCCATGCACCCCCTTCACCCGCGACAGCACATACTGCGCATCCTCCGGCGCCGCGACCGGCCCACCATGACACAGTACAATCACCTCGGGATTGATGCGGACCACCGCATCGCGCACCTCCTGGATGATGCGGACTGAATCATCCAGCGAGACCGCCGTCTGCGCGCCGATCGTGCCGGAGGTCGTCAGCCCCAGATGCACGACGATGATGTCGGCGCCCGCGCGCGCCATGCGCTCCCCCTCATCGATATTGAACACGTACGGCGTCGTGACCAGCTCCATCTCGTGCGCCAGCCGGATCAGCTCGACCTCGCGCTCGTACCCCATGCCCGTCTCCTCGAGGTTCGCGCGGAAGTTGCCGTCGATGAGCCCGACCGTCGGGAAGTTCTGGACACCGACGAACCCCAGGTCGCGCAGCTGCGTGAGGAAGTGGCGCATGTTGCGGAAGGGGTCGGTGCCGCAGACGCCTGCGAGGACGGGGGTGTTTTCTACAATCGGGAGAACTTCGGAGGCCTTTTTGGGGAGGGGGGGGTCATTAGTGGGACAATTGCACGGGATGGAGGAGGTTTGGAAGTAAAACCTTACCATCTCGACCACGACTGCGTTGGCATCTGAGTATGGCATCATCCCCGCGAGAGAGCCACGGCCGGCCATGCGAAATCGGCCGGAGTTGTAGACCAGGATGAGGTCGGCGCCGCCTTTTTCGATGAATTTGGCGGAAAGTCCGATTCCTGTTGATTGTGAGTTGGTGGCTGGTTTGGTTTGGAGTCTAGGAAGGAGGAAGTTACCTGCTCCGGCCCCGACAATGATGGAGCCATCGGCGATGGTCGCGCGCAGACGGGCGAGCACTTCTCGTCGGTTTGATGGACGCATTTTGTGGGGTGTTTGTTTTGTCACAATTGAGGGGAGTTGTTTTTGAGGTAGAGGTAGAGGACAAGCGAGAAGAGCAGATCGAGAGGGGGAGGATGCAGTAAAAAGAGAGGAGAAAGAGGGGCAAACAACATCATTGTGCAGCTGGTGTCTTAGTGTTACATGATCCTTCTCATACATACATCATCCACCCCCACCTGTGGATAAATCCAATACTACAACACACTATTGAAGTCAACACAACATATCTTCTCCATGCCCTGGTAATCTTCACGACTCTATCCATTCGACTCACACAAACAATATCTGGTCATCAACTACACAATGTCATCTCCCTCTACCACCCCCACCGTCCTCCTCATCGGCACCTGCGACACCAAATTGACCGAACTGCAGTATACACGCGCTCAGCTCCTCTCCACCAACACTACCACCAGCACCAGAGTCCTCCTCCTCGACATCGGCCGCGAGCCCACCTCGCACCCGGAAATCGACATCCCCGAAACGCCCACCGAGGCGTACGCCGCCCACGAACGCCAGGACTACATGCAAAAAGTCACCGAATTCACCACCCACCACGTCCAGCGCCTTTACGAATCCCACCAGATCCACGCCATCCTAGCCCTGGGCGGCAGCTGCGGCACCACCGTCGCCGCCGCCGCCATGCGCGACGCCCTCCCCATCGGCTTCCCCAAGCTGATGCTCTCCACCATGGCCAGCGGCAACATCGCCCCCTATGTCCAGGAAACCGACATCACCATGATGTACAGCGTCGTTGACATCGCGGGCACGAACTCCATTTTGACGCGTATCCTGGATAATGCGGCCGCCGCGGCGGGGGCGATGGCGGAGGCGTATTTCCACCGCCAGCAGCAGCAGCCTGACAATCGCGGTCAGCAGTCAACCAGACGCAGAAGGATAGGGATTACTATGTTCGGCGTGACGACACCCTGCGTCGATGCGATGCAGAAACTGCTAACGCAGAATCCGAAGACTGCGAGCGAGGTGTACATTTTCCACGCCACCGGGTCTGGGGGCAAGGCGATGGAGCGGCTCATCCGCGAGGGCCAGCTCGATGCTGTCATCGACTTGACCACTTCGGAGGTGGTCGATGAGAAGGTCGGCGGGGTGTTGAGTGCAGGCCCGCAACGGCTCGATGCTGCGGCGGCCAGGGGAATTCCGCAGGTGGTTAGTGTCGGGGCGTGCGATATGGTGAATCACGGGACCAGAGAGACCGTCCCTGAAAAGTTCAAGGGCAGGCGCATATTCGAGCATAATAAAACGGTGACGCTGGTGAGGACGTCCCCAGAGGAGAATCAGAAGGTCGGGGAGTTTATCGCAGAGAAGTTGAGGGCTGCGACGAGACCGGACAGAGTTGTTGTGGTGTTGCCGATGGGGGGCGTGAGCCAGTTGGATAAAGACGGGGGCCCGTATTGGGATCCCGAGGCAGATGAGGTGTTGTTTGATACCGTCGAGAAGGGTTTGAAGGGGTCTGGGGTGGAGGTCATCAGGAGGGAGGAGCATGTCAATGATGAGGCTTTTGCGAGGGTGTTGGTGGAGACATTGGGGAGACTTATGGGATGTAACCTGATCGAGTAGATGTTGTCTTGGAGTCTCTTTCGTCTGTTGCAATGACTGGAATCTAAGGTTAGCTCGATTCACCTGAGAGGTGAGGATAATGGGTTCTTCGAGTGAACACTAGACTCGACCAGCTCATTAGGTCTAAGTGAATGCCAATAAAGCTAGTAAGTATTCCATCTCCACATGAAGGCCGATTCACCATTACCAAAGCGTGAATTCAACATGGCTATTCATCTATGCCATGATTGGACTCCCTGTGCCTCATTATTTGAACCCCCATTTCTCCAACTCTTTTCCTTCTTCACATCCCACCCACTCCATATTTACCCAAATCCCATAATGGATCCAAATGACCCACCCATGGCTTCTAACCCAGAGAAAACATTCAACTAACCATTCTTTCGTTGCCTCTATCATCCATGACCTTGTCTTTCCTTCTCATCCTGCTTCTATCCTGACGACAGGAATCAGCTGCATGTAGCGGCTTAGAAGGATCAGGTCCAGACACCGCCAAATCAGCCTGTCAACGAACAAACAGACGAACATTTCCTCTCTATATGGAGAGCCTTCCGCACAAAAAGATTGGCGAGAAGTGCGCGTTCTGTGTCGCCAAAGGACGCAGCACAGAGGCGTGTTGCAGTACTTCCTCAACCCGGACGCTCATCTGCTGGGTTGGAAGCCGTCGATGAATCGGTCGTGCTACAAATCGCCTCTTCCGGTTTATATCATTATCACAGGCACGAACTCGCCGACATATGGGTGTCGTCCGACGCCGACCATATCCCCGTCTTGTACATGGACTCAGGACTCACCACATTTTGCTAGCAGCATACAGCCAACTACAAGGCGTTCCTGGCTCACCGCCGCAAGATTATCGGAGTAGACGTCGAAAAACTTTGCCTCATGCCCGGTAATCCCGGCTTTATTCTTTGGGCTTCGGCCAAATAGTCATTTCAGACCGGTGTTTCGGCTGCGGTTGGTCTTCAATTCGAAGGTAAGTAGTTGAACGACATTCTTAGCTGAATACTTGGAGATTTCCCAGTGGCTTTGGATGAATTGTAGAGATGGTTCGGATCCTATTTGCGACTGAACCGATATTGAATCATAGCAAGATGGGATCGTTAATATGCATCGGCGTGACCTGTCGCCTTGTAACAGTGTTAGAAATGTATTTATTAGCATATTAGCGAAATATCATGGCACAACTGATAGATCCAGTCGTAACCACTCCTCTTCTTTTCAGATCCCGGGTATGATCTTCTGGTTTCCTGAACAACACAGGGAATTGCTAATATTATATTTGCAGCACCGTATTCGATACAATAACAGATCCACCCAAGACACATCAAGAGGGCTATGCTTACTGGGGTACGCGAACCTCGGCACCCTATCCGATACAGTGAGAGTCCATTCCTTGTCGCAATGGCTCCTCCGCCACGTCCGCCGTGATATCCTGTTCTATGTTGGTTCCGTATCCCTTCAGAACACCCCTCACGCAGCTCTCCTCCAGCTAGGTCATAAGGAAAACCCACATCGCATCTGGAGGTTTCCTTGCTCGATTCGAGATGAAACAAGCCGCTTTCACTGTGTCTCAGGTGAGTAGGAGAGGTATTCCGGTTCCCGTCCGATAAGCTAACTTTTTTTCTTTTAGCTTAGGGCTGATCGACCATCACATGTGAGCGCCTTCTTGATCGCTTCCCGGGATTGCCTCATGGAGTTCGCGTGTGCACTAGAGAACGCTGAAGCTGCGGCCCGCTGGTAGGAGATCCATCCTAGGTTCAACCAGCTGGTCTACGTACGACTGCTACGGATCTACTTGTTATCACTAATCATTATCAAACCGGCTACCTTTCGCTCTTCTGGTATACGCGAACCTCAACACCTACTGGTGTAACCACTCAGTGATTCCTCTTCTGCTTAATTACGACGAGAAAGGATACCTGGACTGAACCACAAGCTCAACGAACCACCGATATATGCCTTCAGAAGAAGCAGTCAGAGACAGATAAATTGATACAACCATCTTGAATAACCTACGTACCAAGGCCAGGCATCTTTCTGGATATGTGGCTGAGGGGCCCTTCTGTGGGGTTCTTGGTACGACATATCTACAGCGTTGGGCTGCAATGGCAAGCTCCATTCATACGGGCAAGTAAATCTTGCAGACCGAGCTTTTGTCTTGAGGTGGTTTGTGCGGGACATCCATATCACATCCGGGTATCTATCGTCCATTTACTAAAATGAAAGAGCTGCTCGGCCCGTGGCACGCGGAAGAATCCGTCCTAGAACGGTATACGAACATCGTCCAGAAGCTGTTATATTCTGGCGCAAAGCTCTCATGATACACCTTGGATACTGGCTTTCACAAAGCCAATCCGTCCAGCCGGTAATCCTACGTCGGGAACATAGCAATTGGAGCCATCGAATTATGACGACAAACGGCGGCATAGCTCCACCGGCCAACATACTTGAGTGTTCAATAATGTACACCAACTTAACTTTCAGGGTATAACTACTCCCCAGGGTATCATCCCCACGGTTATCCATCACAAATGTTATACAAAGACCACCCCGAAATCATCATCTACGTCTTTTGTCGTCTACTTCTATGCTTCCCCCGCTTATCCACATCATCCCTCACCACATCCCAGACAGACGCGACCTCCCTGGCATCCTCATCCTGCATTTCCAACTCCCCCGCCTCCCACCTCCTCTGCTGGTCCCAGTACTCCCACACATCGCCTTTGACCGTATACGACCTCCAGTCCTCCCCGTCCCCCTGCCACACCTCCCACCCGAGCAACACGTTCCGGCCTCTGCGCTCCCCCACCAACAACACCCCCAGCGAAGCCGTGACGGGCGGGGCGAAGGGGCTTCTCTTTTTCCGTCCGACCGGGGAACGCCGTACTGTCTCCTCAATACCTTCCAACTCCGCGGGCAACCGATTATTGTCTAGGTCTGGGGGTCGTGGATCCTTGAGAGACAATTCGCCGACGCTAATTTAATCAAACATTAAACCCACTCATCAACCATAGCAGGTCTCAAGGAGTACGTAGATCGAAAGCTGCTCCAGAAAATAGACCCCCCCCGTAAAAAAAAGACCAACTCACCCAAGCAACACCAAATTAACCTCCCCACCAAACTGCCCCGCCCGCGCCTTCCCCCTCGCGATATCCGTAAACTGTTTCAGCAGCAAGGGCGCCATGAACACCCGCTGCCACTCGTCCCATTGCACCACATACCCGAGCGCGATATGCTGCCGCCAGGTGCGCGCGAAGGGATCGGCCCGGTGGTCACGCGCGTAGAGGCTGTGTCGTCCCCGCGCGTACCGGCCGACTTTGCGCGCGAGTGTGGCATCGTCTTGCGCTTGGGGAGGGGGATGGGGATGGAGATGGGGACTGCGACCCTCGCGTGCAGAGGGGGTGTTGTTGTTGTTGTCTTGCGTGTGGGGGCTGCTATCCCCCTCCTCCCCCTCTTCCCCATCCGTCCACGGAAGCGTAAAATACGTGCTGGTTAGGACATGTGCCGGAATGCGCGAGATCTGGAGCGACGAGGCGTGCCAGGTGGAGGGGATGTAGCCGATTTTGTTCCGGTGCCAGTCGGGGATGTGGTCGCGTTGGTCCAGGGGGAGTTGGGTTTCTGGTCGTCGAGAAAAGGAGTTGGGGTCGTGGTGGTGTCGGTGCTGGTCTGGTTCGTCTTGTTGGTGGTATGGTTGTTGTTGTTGTTGTTGTTGCTTCCTAAGACGGGCTCCGTCCGGGGAGAAGAGTTGCTGCATGCGCAGCGACCGGTCTTCGATGTTGTGCTGCTCTTGTTGGGCGTAGTGGTGGTCGGCTTCTTTGAGGGTGTCGAGGACGGAGCGGAGAGCGCGGAAATCGGGGGCGGCTCGGAGGAGGCGCAGACTGGGTTGGGGCATTGCAGGGTGGTTATTCCTGGCTCCTAATGAGAAGAAAGAGAATGATGGCAGAAAAGAAAATGAATCGACCGGTCAAGCGGACTGCCGTCTGGCAATTCGTTGTTTGTATCTGGGGTATACATCAAAGAATGGGCCCAGAGTGCGGAGTAACACGACTAAAAAGCGGGGCGGCGGCTAAATCGACTTAGTCTGTCATTCTTTCATTGTGACACTGACAGAGTCTACTTCCTCCTCCGCACAGCCTTACACACTACATTCATACAGTATCATGCAAGAATCAATCATCATCTCAGATGACGCAAATATTATTTTATCTGTCATATGGTATAAAACTTCATGCACCTAACCCAAAAACCCCCACTATGCCACTTTTTGCTTGCCGTTGAAGACAATATGCTTTTGAGCCCCATAGTAAAAGAACCCGTTGTATCTGTTTCATAACATCGTGACCATGTTGAAAAACTCTAGCCGTTCAGGGTATACCAAAATCAATGTCGAACACGTGGTTTATGTTGAAAGAAAAAGCTTAGTAGCGGTAGTGATCGGCCTTGAAGGGACCGGTGACCTCCAGTCCAAGGTACTCGGCCTGGACGGGGGTGAGCTTGGACAGCTTGCCGTTGACGTGCTCCAAGTGGAGGAGAGCGACCTGCTCGTCGAGGACCTTGGGCAGGACGTAGACGCCGACGGGCTTGCGGCCGCTGGTGCCGAACTCGACGTACTTCTGGCCAAAGGCAACGTCCTCGGCCTTGAACAGGGCAATCTGAGCAAGGACCTGGTTGGAGAAAGAGCAGGACATGACGAAGGAGGAGTGGCCGGTGGCACAGCCCAGGTTGACGAGACGGCCCTCGGCGAGGAGGATGATGTGGTTGCCGCTGGGCATCTCGTAGCGGTCGACCTGGGGCTTGATGTTCTGGACGGACTTGGCGTTGGCCTTCAACCAGGCGACGTCGATCTCAATGTCGAAGTGACCGATGTCTACAGAATTTTTTAGTGATGCTCTCAATCTCTAAGCAGGATGCAACTTACTGCAGACAATGGCGTCGTTGCGCATAACCTCGAAGTGCTTGCCAACGAGGATGTCACGGCAGCCAGTGGTCGTGACGAAGATCTGACCCTGGGGAGCGGCCTCCTCCATGGTGGTGACCTGGTAGCCCTGGACGGCAGCCTGGAGGGCGTTGATGGGGTCGATCTCAGTGACGATGACGCGGGCACCCATGCTGCGGAGAGCATCGGCACAGCCCTTGCCGACATCACCGAAACCAGCGACGACGGCGACCTTACCGGCGATCATGACATCGGTGGCACGCTTGATACCGTCGACGAGGGACTCACGGCAGCCGTACAGGTTGTCGAACTTGGACTTGGTGACGGAGTCGTTGACGTTAATGGCGGGCACGAGGAGCTTGCCCTCCTTGAGCATGCGGTACAGGTGGTGGACACCGGTGGTGGTCTCCTCGGACAGACCGTAGCAGTCCTTGAGCTGCTCGGGGTACTTCTCGTGGACGAGGGAGGTCAAGTCACCACCGTCGTCGAGGATGAGGTTGAGCTTCTTGCCATCCTTGAAGGAGACGAGCTGCTGCTCCAAGCACCAGTTGTACTCCTCCTCGGTCTCACCCTTCCAGGCGAAGCTAGTTGTAGTGTTAGCGCCGGAACGCACAGGCAGAAAAAAAATTCAGCTTACACAGGGACACCGGCGGCGGCGATGGCGGCGGCGGCGTGGTCCTGGGTGGAGAAGATGTTGCAGCTAGACCAAGTGACCTCAGCACCGAGGGCAACGAGGGTCTCGATGAGAACGGCAGTCTGGATGGCTGAGGAGGGAAGGTGATTAGCAGTCAGCAACGACAGTCACAGTGTCGGGACATACTCATGTGCAAGCAACCGGCGATGCGGGCACCCTTGAGGGGCTGGTCCTCAGCGTATCTGCGGCGGATGGCCATGAGACCGGGCATCTCGATCTCGGCGAGCTCGATCTCGCGGCGACCGAAGGCAGCCAACGACTGGAGATTGATTAGGATGAGGATGGACAATTTCTGGTGATGGGGCAGCACATACGATGTCGGCGACCTTGAACTTCTGGGCGGGAGCGGCCATTGTGAATGTGTGAGAAGACTAGGATAAAGAGTTAGCAACAAATGGGAGGATGGAGGATGAAGGTAATGAGGACAACCTACTAGAAGGATAAGGAGAAAAAAAGGGGGTGAGATAAGGAAAAGAGAGATTGGGGAGAGGAGGAGGAAGAGGGAGGGAGGAGGAGGGGAGGGGAATCGGGAAGAGAAATAAGTTTGGTGGTGCTGGGGCGGGGCTGAGCCCAAGTTAGGACCGGAAGAAGAGTTTTACCGGTGGGACCAGCAGTTTTTACTACAGTGTAACTTAAAAGTAACGAAGTTAAGTAATGTTACTACGTACTGTTAGTTACAGCGGCACTTCCCCTCTTCCCCTCCTCCCTCATCTCTGCGTTGTCCAAGTACTCTGGTCCGAGTGAGGTAAGTTAGACATGTAGCGCTTACTAAGCTACTAGTCTAGAGTAGTCCAAGGTACTCACTGCGGTCCAATTGACAGCAATTTGAAAAGTCTCCGGTTCTTACTCCGTACACAGGGATTAACTTATCAGAATCGGATCTTGGGCCCCGTGGGAGCTGGTTTCGGGGGTGGAACCTTAGCTTGAAATATCCGCCGTCAATTCGCCGAATGTAGGGATGTTTCGGATCTTCGGTTCGGTAGGCTTGAAAGATATAACTAGGTATGAGTAAGTAGGCTGGATGGAAATCATCTCGAGTGCTTGCAAATCAGTTAGTTGTATGAGCATACTGTATGTAACTATCCCGAGTCCCCGCCCGAACAATTCAGTAAGGGCCATCACATCACATGGACATAACCAACCCATGCATCTCATCACTACCGCCACCCTCCGTTCCCAGCCTTGCCTGATGGTAGACGTCCTCCAGAATGATTCTCTCCTTTTCACTATGCTCTCGACATCTACTGACACCACTGTTAATTACCAATCATGAGATTAATTGCCCTGACAACCCTCGGCTCCCTTCTACTTGCCTCAGCCCGCCCTCTTACTAGCAATCTTACCATTCTCGCCGCAGCACAAAAGTCATGTCAAACGCCTGGGGGAGATCAAATCAAGAATCTGGCCTGTCGAAATACCGTATGCTCTCTTCTGAATCCCACCAGGGGCACTCAATGCACGGATCTGGACGCTGATTGATCAAGTGTATTGACCAAGGCGGAGGCTGGACCGGGGGCTTTTGCGATGATCAGGAGTAATGTCTCCATCTCCAATCAATGAATCCGGGATCACATCGAGCTAATCAGAATCCACGATAGGATCTGCCATTGTACTTTTCGGGAGGACGATGGTGATGCCGGGGATGATGAAGGCACGCCAAATAACGACACTTCTGCCAAATGATCCCGACGGAAGCGTTACACAAAAGGTGTGGCTTTTATTGTTCATGTTCACAGCAAGATACAATTTCATCTCATCATAGTCATCACCTTTTCCAGCTGCTAAACACCATCATTGAACCGATAGAAGTTCATCCACCGCTGCGATACATTAGCCATAGCCAAACCTGACCGCCGCACAAATAACAAGGATAACCTACCTTATCATACGGCTTGGACGAATCGCAGAATCGAATATCCGTAGCCAGACGGATGACATTGTCCGGATCATTGTTGACCGTCGAGGCGTGGATCTAGATTCATCGGTCAGCGGTTGACTATGACACCAACACCAATGAACACATACCATATGAGGTTTGTGGAGAACGACATCGCCCGCTTCGTAGGCCGAGACCAGCCAGCGATGGCCATGCTCCTTGGCAAAATCGGCCGGCGCATCCGACAGCATCGCGTTGGCCGTCATATTCGAGTTGAACGCCGACCGCGCCTCCTCCTCCGACATACCCGCCTGCTTGGCCTTGGCCGTAAAGTCGGCCTCGAGCTTCTGGCCGACAGCATCACCTATCCCACCTACAGAGTTAGCCACAATTTTGATCATCTCTTGCCAGGGAGAAGACAAAACGACTCACTATCTTCTAAGTAAATCAACCCCCCGCCATTCATCTTGACATCGCCGATAGGCACCCAAGCAGTGATACTCGTCGGCTCGCCATGCCGAATGAAGATCTGATCGTAATGCACACCGATCGGCCGGGTACCCGGAGTATTGTTGCGCAGCAATGTGCGCTTGAAGGTGAGGGTGTTCTGGCCCCAGCCGGTGAAGCGGGCGACAAGGGCGTACAGGGCCGGATGGTTGCAGAGCTTGTCGACATACCAGTCCTTGTAGTGAGCTTCGATGGCGCGGTCGACGAATTCGGCCGCGCTGGCGCCCCCTGGACGCCCGTTGCCATCTGCCGCCCCGGCCCCGATGCCTGGATAGTCGTCGACCGACTTGATTGGGTTAAAGATCCCCTGCACCGGGTCAGAGCCCTCCTTCAGCACCCCCGTCGGCGCGAGGTAGTCGAAGTACCGGCGGCGGGCGTCTAGGACATCCTCCCGCGGAATGGCCTGCTTGAGGAAGAGGTAGCCGTCCTGTTCGTAGCGCTGGCGGAGCTCCTCGAGGGGGAGGTTGGGGTCTGAGGGCCGGAGGAGGGCGGCGTTGTCGCTGGTGAGGGGGCCGTCGTTGACGGTAATGTTTTCATGGAGTACACCGACCATAATGAGTTGTGAATACTAAGCTAAAAGATTGCCAGGATGAGAAAAGTTGAGGTTTGGGGGGAGGTCCGAACAACAGGCAGCAGGCTGCCTTATATAGAGCGACTTTCCCGGTGCTGCATCTCCATCGTGACGTGCTGAATCGTCCACGAGTGGTCACTTGCCCCCGCAATTCGATGGACGATAAGGGGAGCATTTCAGGGTCTGACCGCCATCTAGAAAGCCCGGACATTGACTGTAAAAGGTGGGAAGATGCATCGAGCTCCAGCTTCATATCGGCCCATCCGAACCGAGGGCAATTTTCCCCACATCCCGCGTGGAAAATCCCTCTTTTCGACCATTGTGCCTGGAGTATTTGGCCAATGGGATGCCACCGATCTGCCCGAGGTGCGGGAAATAATCCTTCTTTTGAGCGAGTGGACACTGCTGTGCATGATTTAGGAGGTAGTTATTACTACAGAGGTACAGGTGTAGTTATTTAGATCGTCTCGCTACGGACATGCAATCATTGAGATCCACTCCATACCTCCATCCAATGTACCCTGTACCCTACCCGGATAAGCTCAAAACAGATCACAAAGGGGTATATTAAGAATCTATCTATCACTCTAAACCCAGTCAAGTCACAAGCACCAAAGACACCAAGATAACACCAACCACAACCACAACCATTTCCAATCCTCTCACTCCTCCCCATCCACCCACTCGGTTACCCCCCAAGACGCAACCCCCTCACCAATCCTCAGCCGCAACGTCGAGAACTCAATCGACTCATACATCTCACGCGCCGCGCCGCGTGCCTTCTTGTGCCACGGTCCCAACCCACCCAACCGCGCATCCTCGCGACTCCGCCAGATGCCTGTCACCGCATTAGCAACCTATCCATCCATTTCTCCTCCCTCGATGTTCTCCAGAACACAAAGTTCGAGTGCATCACACCATCCATGACCCACGAGGCCCAAAAAACGAGAAAGCCAAAGGACAAAAAAACTCACAAGTCGCCAGATTCCTCCTCTCCGCATCCTTACTCCCAAACCAATACTTCAGCAGACCCCCGCTAGCCATGGCCTCCTGATGCGAATGCGCATCCAGCAGATACAACCGCTCCCCGTCGGCGTCGGCGCGCAGCCTCGAGCGGAAGGTTACCACGTAGAAACTCTGCGCCGGCCAGACGGTGCCGTGTCGGGCGTGGACGAGCTCCCGCAGCAGCCCCAGAACGGCCGTCCAGTTGAAGGACTCGGTGTACGGCGCGGTGGCGTAATCCGGCCGCGTGGGCTGGAGGATGGTGAGGGCTTGCGCGAGGAGTTGGTTGGAGGGGTCCAGGGTGCGGAGGTCGAGGAGGTGGAGGGGGCTGTTGTAGGGGGAGACGATTAGGTGGGTGCTGGTTGGGGTTGCTCCGGCTCCTGGTTTCAAGGGTAGGGGTTTCGGATGTCCTGGTTGCTGGTGCACGCGCAGTTGCAAGGAAGCAGCAGCGTGGAATTTGAGGGCATCAAAGTCGGTGGTGATGAGACTGTGGTGGTGCAGAAGGGGGGCTTCTTGCTCCGTCGACGGGTGTCCAGGTCCAGGTATAGATATAGACGCCAACTCGGCCTCGTCCGAGGTTGTGGTTGTCTCCGTGTCTGAGGTCGGGTAGAGTGGTTTGCCTATTTGGGGGGCCATTGTCGCTGCGTGCAGGTGGATGGACGGTTCTCGTCGCCCCCTTCCTACGGGTATGTATGTCGCCGCGCTTCAACGGACAAAGGAAGTCGTACAAGGAACGCAACGCGGGCAAATTGAATCGAGTGAGGATGATACAAAGGAAAGGAGAAAAAAAAAAAAGAGAAACCCGAAGATCTGAAATAATCTGGCTCTTTTTCTACGGTCCCCACTCCCTGCCTTTCCCATGGGGGAAGATTCCTCCAAAAGCACGCAATATGCCGACAACCCCAGCCGGCAATCACGAAAAAAAAGGGAAAAAGAAGTCCCACACAATTCCCCGGAGAGACTTAGGAAATGAGTCCATCTCCCTAATATGATCGTCGGCTAGTTTCATGCTTGTTGATTTCGCCCTCTCGAACAGTCTAACCCAGGAGGAACACGACTTAGTGCAACGGTCTCTGTAGTACAGATACTAACTGAGTAGTTAGGGCTAACACCCACCCGACCCTCTCTTCCCCCCGGACCCCCCGAGTGTGGCACGTTTTGCCGCCTGCAATTGCGACAATCACTGCCCTTGAGAAAAAAAAAACTTCTTCTCTGACAACTTAAACGGTGTGATCCACCGCAACTGTCACGAAACAGATTTTGCAGTCTTGCGCCACCACTAGATGTGGGCCCCTTGCTTGCGTTCGGCCGCTATTGTTCTGCGCCGATTTCACCATCGTCGGCCAGAACCATGGCTAAGGAGAGTCTGGGTTGGCACGGGACCAGACCCGACTGCCAATCGGCCCTGCCAAACCCTTTCTATACATTCTTTATGTGTTTCTCGGTTTCTCGCTCGAAGTTAGACTCAAGGGTGAAACGGCCAAGTCTTTCGTGGTTTATTTGATTGGACTAATCATCCTATCATACATAATTTCTTTCTTGGAATGGTATCATGCAGGGCTGCGCAATCTTTTAGAACGCCGGTAAAAATGCTCGTGATCAGAAATCAACATGGAAAAATCAAGATTGTAGACTGCGACTACCGCTTCAGGGGCGCGGGAGGCGGTGCCATCTTGCCGTCGCCGGTGTCGACCTTCTTTCGCGGCGGCATGGCTGGGACCTTGAAGCCTCCATTCTCCCCCTGCGATGCGGTATTGCTGCCGTTCGACTGCCCGCCAACCTGCGTGAAGGTCCCGGACTTGAACCAGCGATCTTCTTCGGCCTTGCGCTTGCGGTTCAACTCGGCCTGCACCTTGGGATCGACCAGCTCCAGCCCCTGCACAGGAGTGAAAGCAATAGTACTGGCCGTGCCGGCGGAGCCCCCCAACGAGGTACCGATACCAGACGCCCGCAGACCCTTGGCCTGGAGGACGCTGGCAGTTCCGCTGATTCCGGGCCCGCCTCCGAACGCGCGGAGAGAGGTCGAGGTCCCGCTGACGGGCGTCGCGGTGCCCCATCCCTTGTTGTTCTTGCTGAGCTTGGCCCGGGTTCTTTGATCGATCTGCGTGGCGCGGATGCGGCCGTCGTTCTGTTGACCAAGCATGCCCAACCCCACCGTTCCTTCTCCCGTGCCATATCCCACCTCCGCTTCTTCCTTGCCAAAGGCCACCCGGTTCTGGGCCTTGCGGAGCTCCGTCATCGCCACGGCCTCCTTGGCCTTTCTGGCCCGTCGACCACCGCGCTTGCGGGAGGGCTTGTCATCCGGGGCGGGAAGCGCCTTGGTGCCCGAGTTCGGCGCAGGCTCCGTCAGCTTCTCGAGCCGCTGGTAGCACTGCTGCTTGAGCTCCTCGCCCAGAGAGCCATCGGGGCTGTAGTTGGAGACGTCGGCGCGAGTAGCGAGTACCATCTTAGCCGACACGATGCGGATAGCCTGCCGCTTCAGGTCGTTCGGAATCTCCTGGATGATAGGCGAATTGTAGAGAAAGCCCTGTGCCCGAATGCCGTGATTCGTAGCAAAACCCAGACCTTCCTTCCGCTTGGAGCCTTGCGCGCCAAGGTTGCAGGCGGGGATCTTAGCCAACTCGCGAAGACCACCCGTTTGATTGAGGAACTGCGCTGCCGTCTCCGGTCCAACCAGCGCTGCAAGATTGGGCGCAATCTGGTTCATGCGCGACTGGATGCTCTCCGTCAGCGCGGTGCGCTCGCGATCGAGCTTCAAGATCCGCTCGCACGTGTCTAGCACCGCCTTGAGCTCCGACTCGGTCATCTCGCGGCCGCGCGTCGTCGTACCCTCCACCGCCACGACCATCAACGACGGACCGTCCAGGACCGACCGGAGGGGCACGCCGACCATGTTGTCCGCGGAGGTCGACAAGGCCTTGATGTCGTTGAGCGGACCGTTCTGGAGAATCGCCACCGTCTTGGCATAGTCGAGCGGCGTCGTTACGAGCGTCTCGAGCTCGGGGAATCGGATCGAGTAGTGGTCGCGTAGGACCTTGTGTAGGCGGGTCAGTTCGTCTTGGGTCGACAGCGCGACGTCGAACTCGTTGGTGATCTCGGGGGCCGCTGGCTGCGCCAGCTGCTCCTCGTCCACCATGTGATCATCTTCATTGCCGTTGTCGTCCTCCAGACCATCTTCAATCTGGAGATCCTCGTCGTCGTCCTCAAAATCTCGAAGAAGGTCCTCGACGTTCGACATGATGGAAGTGTGCTGTGAGGGGGGGGAAAGTATTGGAGGAACGAAACCCGAGCTTCAACATGGCCTGCATTTTGCCCAGAGGCGCCGCTCACCGCCCGTGACTAAGCCATCCTCGCCGGGGGCACAAACTAATATCCCGGGAGGCGTTGCAGACCCAAAGCGCAGCCCTTCCGAATTTGGATCGGGAGAACAAGCCTCGAATTCCCCGACATCATCAACACACGGAGGTCTTGCTTGCTCAGGCTCAACCGGAAGAACGTCGGAGAGCTACCCAGTGCTGGGATTGATCGGGCCGAAGGGTGATCACGATTCATCCAGAACAACACGTCTCATCCAATCCCCACATCAACCACCTAGTCAGCAGCTGAGCATCGGCTTCGCGCACCGGCCGCAGTCAATCCACCGATAACCACCAACCACCGACACCTACCTCAATCACCTCGCACCCTCAACCGCCCCATCAACCCTCAGCAGACAAGACACAATGGAAGCTTCACGCGGCCCACCCAGGGTCAAGAACAAGGCCGCTGCGCCCGTCCAGATCTCCGCGGAGCAACTGCTCCGCGAGGCTGTTGACCGGCAGGAGCCCGCACTGCAAGCGCCCACGCAGCGGTTCGCCGACCTCGAGGAGCTACACGAGTACCAGGGCCGCAAGCGCAAGGAGTTCGAGGACTATGTGCGGCGCAACCGGATCAACATGAACAACTGGATGCGGTACGCGGCGTGGGAGTTGGAGCAGAAGGAGTTCCGTCGGGCCCGCTCGATCTTCGAGCGGGCGCTCGACGTGCAGCCGACCTCGGTGGTGCTGTGGATTCGCTACATCGAGTCGGAGATGCGCAACCGCAACATCAACCACGCGCGCAACCTGCTGGACCGGGCCGTCACTATCCTTCCGCGCGTGGACAAGCTGTGGTATAAGTATGTCTACATGGAGGAGACGCTGGGGAATATCCCTGGCACCCGCCAGGTGTTCGAGCGGTGGATGTCGTGGGAGCCCGAGGAGGGCGCCTGGAGTGCGTATATCAAGTTGGAGAAGCGGTACAATGAGTTCGAGCGCGCGCGGGCCATCTTCCAGCGCTTCACGATCGTGCACCCCGAACCGAGGAATTGGATCAAATGGGCCCGGTTCGAGGAGGAGTGTGGGACGAGTGATTTGGTCCGCGAGGTATATGGGATTGCGATTGAGACGCTCGGGGAGGATTTCATGGATGAGAAGCTGTTTATTGCGTATGCCAAGTTTGAGGCGAAACTGAAGGAGTATGAGCGCGCCCGGGCGATCTACAAGTATGCTCTGGATCGGTTGCCGAGATCCAAGTCGATGGCCCTGCACAAGGCGTATACGACGTTCGAGAAGCAGTTTGGTGACCGCGAGGGCGTGGAAGACGTCATTCTGTCCAAGCGCAGGGTGCAGTACGAGGAGCAGCTGAAAGAGAACGCGCGGAATTATGATGTGTGGTTCGATTTTGCCCGGCTGGAGGAGACCTCCGGCGACCCGGATCGGGTACGCGACATCTACGAACGCGCCATTGCCCAGATCCCGCCCTCTCAGGAGAAACGACATTGGCGGCGGTATATCTACCTGTGGATCTTCTACGCGATCTGGGAGGAGATGGAGGCCAAGGATGCGGACCGGGCGCGGCAGATCTACAACGAGTGTCTGAAGCTCATCCCCCACAAGAAGTTCACCTTCGCCAAGATTTGGCTCATGAAGGCGCAGTTTGAGATCCGGCAGATGGACCTTCAAGCCGCCCGCAAGGCGCTGGGCCAAGCTCTGGGCATGTGCCCCAAGGACAAGCTGTTCCGAGGCTATATTGACCTGGAGCGTCAACTGTTCGAGTTCGTGCGGTGCCGGACGCTGTTCGAAAAGCAGATTGAATGGAACCCGTCCAACAGCCAGTCGTGGATCAAGTATGCGGAGCTGGAGCGGGGTCTGGACGACACGGAACGCGCGCGGGCGATCTACGAGCTGGGCATCGACCAACCGACCCTCGACATGCCCGAGCTGGTGTGGAAGTCCTACATCGACTTCGAGGAGTACGAGGGCGAATACGACCGCGTCCGCCAGCTCTACGAACGGCTCCTGGAGAAGACCGACCACGTCAAGGTCTGGATCAACTACGCCCGGTTCGAGATCAACGTGCCGGACGAGGAGGAGAAAGAAGAAGAGGAGGAGGCGGAGGAGCGGCCGGTCAGCGACGAGGCCAAGCGGCGTGCCCGGGCGATTTTCACTCGCGCTCACAAAGTGTTCAAGGACAAGGAACTCAAGGAAGAGGTATGGTGTTTGTTTCCCCCTCTCGGTGGTCATCCTGCAGAAGCTAACATCACATATTCCAGCGCGTGGAACTCCTCAACGCCTGGCGCTCGTTCGAGCACACGCACGGCTCGCCCGAGGAAATCGACAAGATCGAGAAACAGATGCCGCGCCGGGTCAAGAAACGCCGCAAGTTGGACGACGACCGCTACGAGGAATACATGGACTACGTCTTCCCCGCGGACGACCAGTCGGCGGCCAACCTGTCGAAGCTGTTACAGAGAGCGCACCAATGGAAGCAGCAACAGGCGGAGGGAGCATAGGATTGAGGCCTGGTGGTATATGTACGTGTATAGAAATAATATGGATGCTTGCATGTCATCAGTTTTTTGTTGTACATTTTCATGGTAGTCTAGAGTCTGGGTATGGTGATATGGATTATACAATCTTCTGTAGAAGGCTTTTGTTGTGTGGTACATATAACACTAATTTGACCAGTTTTTCAACAATTGGGACGATGGCGCATCTGGGAGCGCGTCAGACTGAAGTACAAACTTCGGCCGCAGGACTCAGTCCTAGTAATCTGAAGGTGGCCGGTTCAAGCCCGGCTCGTCCCATTTCCTTTTTTATTTTTCGCCTTCCGATTTCGTTGTGGAGGATCGGGAGCTCCCTCCCGTGATGGAAATTTGCCACATCACGACGGGTTCTACTCACTATTTGCCACCCGTTCAGATCCTTCTGTTAAGCGTGCGTCATCCTCAAGTTCCTGGCTCATCCTTCGCATCATCATGAGGCGGGGGTTTCTCAAGCCTTTCTTCCAGTGTTGTTGATCTGCCGGTTTACCCGACTGTTTCAATGTCTCTGTATGCAATTGAAGATATATCTCCGTACTATTATATATGCAAATATTGAACACGATAGCAGGTGGATGCCTGAGGCGATGTCCACCCACCCAAGAAATCATGCAAATTAGTATGGAAACTAAGCTTAGTACTGAAAAAAAGGATACTATCTGCCGTCAGATAAACAGAAATCAAACTTAATCTATCATCATCTATCCTCTATGCAAAGTGCAACGCAACGAGTTTTCTCGTTCGTAACTCAATCCCGCATGACGCATCACATATCCGAGAGCCAAATTGCCAGTCCATGACAAACGCGAAAAAAAAGTGTAACTATATATATTTCCACACACAAAAAAGAAACCAACGCTTGCAGAATCTCCGAAAAAAAAAATCATACCCCCGACCGATTATAGTATGTCCCAAATGGGAGTTGTGCCCATATCGTTAAGCTTTTAATTTAGTGGTTGAGCGTGGAGCGTACTTAGTCCACGTACTTTTCGAGCGTCTTGAGGATACCGTCGCGAGCGATATCCTCCATCGCCCGAGTGATTTCGGCGAGGAAGCGCTCGTCGGTGCGTAGGTCATCACCGAACAGGGACTTGATGCTGAGGAGTTGGTGGGGCTTGGTGCCGCCGGCGCGGGCCTTGGTCTGGAGCTCCTCGCGCATGGGGTCGTCGACGGTGAACTCCTGGCCGGCATCGTCGACCCCGTTGACGTAGCGGAACCAGGCAGCGGCGACGAAGCACAGCTTCTTGAAGGGGGCCTTGACCCAGATGGCCTCGGCGATGGAGGGCATGATGAACTGGGGGATCTTGCCGGAGGCGTTGAGGCAGATGCGCGGCAGCTGGTCCATGATGGTGGGGTTCTCGAAGCGGCCCATGAGGGTGCGGCAGTACTCGTCGATGTCCACCCCGGGGATCTCGGGGAGCAGGGGTTTCACCTCCTCCTGCATCATCTGCCACACGAACTTGTTGAAGGTTGGGTTCTCCATGACCTCGTGCACGTACTTGAACCCGGCGAGCTGGCCCGGGTACCCCAGGGCGGAGTGCGAGCCGTTCAGCAATCGCAGCTTGTGCTTCTCGAACTGCTCGACGTCGTGCACGTTCTTGACGACCTGCACGCCCACCTTCTCGAAGGCGGGGCGGCCGTCGGCGAACTGATCCTCGATGACCCACTGCATGAACGGCTCGGTCACGACGGGCCAGCTGTCCTCGATGCCGAAGGTGTCGGCCAGCGCGGTCTTGTCGGCGGCGGAGGTCTGCGGGGTGATGCGATCGACCATGGCGTTGGGGAAGGCCCCCTGGGTGGCGATCCAGTCGGCGACGGCGGCGTCGCCCTTGAGGCGGGCGAAGGACTCGAGCATGTGGCGGGTGATGGACCCGTTCTTCTGCATGTTGTCGCACGACATGACGGTGAACGGGCGCAGGCCGTGCTGGTGCCGGCGACGCAGCGCGGCGTACAGGAAGCCAAAGGTGGTGCGCGGGGCGGTCTCGTGGGCGGGGTCGAGGTCGTACTGGATGTCCGGGTGCTCGCTCTGCAGCTCGTGGGTGTTTTCGTTGTAGTAGTAACCACTCTCGGTGATGGTCAGCGAGACGATGTGCGTGTCGGCGTGCGCCATCTTGGCGATGACGGCCTCGCGGTTGTCCGGTGCGAACAGGTACGAGTTGATCGCCCCCACAACGTGCGCGAAGCTACCCTTCGCCGACCGCTCGATCACTGTGTACAGGTGGTCCTGCGCCCCCAGCGCGTCCCGCATCGCCGCGTCGAACGGCTGCAGCCCCACGCCGCAGATGGCGTAGTTCTTCTCGCCGTGCTTCTGCATCAGCTGGTCAACGTACACGGCCAGGTGGGCGCGGTGGAAGCCGCCCACCCCGACGTGCACAATCCCTTCTTTCACCGCATCTCCGCGCGTATAGCTGGGGACTTGTACCTTGTGCTCACCCGCGGTGGAGGCGATCTGGGAGAGATTCTTGGAGCTGAGCTTGAGGGGAGCCATTGTGGTGGTGTTGAGGAGGAGAGGGGAGGGGGTATAGAGGTATGAGATGGAGGAGGAAAATTGTTGCTGTAGGAGAGAGATTCAATTGAAAAAAGGAGGAGAGGAGAGGAGAGGAGAGGAGAGTGAGAAGAGAAGAGAAGAGAGGGAAACAAAAAGATTGAATGACAAAGAGAAGGAAAAGAGTTTGTTGGTCAGGTGAAAGACAGACAGCTTCACCGCCGCTTTTTCAAACTGAGTTGGACAGCATTACATCATGCACAGTGGCCATGGATGGCATGGAGGCTGCGTCTGTTTCGCTGGTGGGGAATGGGCTTGCAGGCAAATAGAAGCTGTGGTGGTGGAGAATTTATTGTGGAGGAAGTGTACTTATCAACTACTAGTACCGAGTAGTTAAGTTAAATCACTGATAATTAACTTATCATCTGTGCTTTGCAATCAATACGTGAACCCCTTGCGTCAGAGCTCCGAACCTCCGAAACAGTCCAGAACCCTTCTTCCGGGCTTCGGTGAAAATTCTACTAATACATAAGTACAGTTTTCGTTGATTATCTTCCATCATACTCCGTCCTATAGTCACCCTTTTTTAATCAAGGGTGTTTGGCCACCCACGCAGTCAGGCTTATATAATCATACGGATTGAACCCTAGGATAGACCACGTGACATTCCACACTACACGAGAAGAACAACTCAATCATCGTCAAACACATTGAGACAAATCAAATGACAACAGCTCATAGATGATCGATTACAGCAAGTTACCTGAGTAGTACTCACTGGAGCGCCTATTATCGATGGTGGAGCTCAGTCCTCCAGTTCACTATCGGCGGCAATGTACGCATACAACGCCGTAGCCTCCTCATCACGCTTCTTCTTGTCCAGCTCGGAGTCGGCCGCAATGTAAGCGTAAAGCGCCGTAGCCTCCTCATCACGCTTGTCCAGCTCGGAATCGGCCGCAATGTAAGCGTAAAGCGCCGTGGCTTCCTCATCACGCTTGTCCAGCTCGGAATCGGCCGCAATGTAAGCGTAAAGCGCAGTGGCTTCCTCATCACGCTTCTTCTTCTCATCCACCTCGGAGTCGGCCACAATGTACGCGTAAAGCGCCGTGGCTTCCTCACTTCTTCGCAAGCGAAGGGCCTGGAGGTCTTCTGCCCGAACTCGCAGGGTCACGGCTGCTGAAGCGACTTAGTGCCATCTCTATTGCAGAATGCATATATATGCTAGGTTTCATGGAGGGGTGCATACCCTTTGCTGTTGGGGCGGAGGCCGCCAGAGGGCTCAGAAGGAGCGTGAAAGCGGCGGATAGGAACAACGAGTACTTCATGGTCAAGAAGATGTGCTTGTAAAGGCTGCTGAGTCTTGTTAGTTTAGGAAAAGGATGGCTTGACTGAAGAAAAAAGTCTAGGAAGGGATACTTATATCTTGGCCTCCAGCATTGATAGTCCTGGTTAATGATCTGAGCGCAGATAAGTGTGATCGGGTGAATGGATATCACTCAGCCGTGTGCCCAAATGCCAGTTTAGCGAGTCTTGATTCCTGTGCATCACCGTCATTGCAGCTGCAGTAGACATCTGCACCTCTTTCAATGGGGAAGGAGGCGATACTACATCAACGCACCTTCATAAGTGAAATGGGTTCGCAATCCAGGCCTATCTTTCGGCCATATGGGAATAATCAACATGTGACTGGCAGGCATCTGTCTCTAGTCCCGGCCGAAAAATCGATATGATTCCATCCACAGAGATAACCCGGCGGTATACGCGGTCTATGGGTCAATGGCAATGGTGCAATCTAAGAGTGACCACCGTCCTATGCAAGCCAGGGATAGCGTGCAACTAGCTGACGGACGTAGAATTGCACCGTGGACCTTGGGTATTTGACCCTCCTTCGCTCTGGACTTGGTTGCTCCTCATCTGCTGTCTCTTTCACTCACAGAACCCCCGGCAGAGCTCTAATCATGAATAAGTTGCCGGTGTCTCCAGCATATGCGCGACTCGGCGCTCCAGACCCCGAGGTCTGCAGCGTGCGGGGAGATACAGAAAGTGAGAATGAGGGATTGCTCGAAAAGGAGGTCCCTCAGCGTCCTCAAGCTCCCAACAGACGATATCAACTGGTCCTCTGGCTCAATGGTACCATCTTTGTACTGTCGCTGTTTCTGTTCGCCATGACTGCAAGCATCATTCGGGGCATCAGTGATCCAAACCAGTTGCTGCGCCAGACCTCTGAATACTGTGAGGACAACTGTGATCCTGACTGCACCTTCACGTTGCTAATGCCTCGCAGCTCCGATCTTCGATCAGCTGGAAATACCCCTCATACGCAAGAAAATGAATGCAACGCTGTTGGAGCCGGAGCCCCTGCCCATCTACCGCCAACCTCCGAGCCCCGAGGTGGACGAGGCCTGGAACCGACTCGCAAATATCAAGCCCATTGCCATCAGTCGCGATGACGTGGTCAAGCTGGGCAGGGATCCTGAGCAGGCAGCGAAATGGCCGGCAAGCTTTGGCTTCGGGTCCGACGCATATATTGGGCGACTCGACGTCTTCCATCAAATCCATTGCCTGGACTGGCTGCGTCGCGAAGCGTACTTTGACCACTACTATGGGAAGAAGTGGCCGCCGGGAACCCGGCCCTCTGACATGCATCGGACGCATATTTCCCACTGCATCTACCTGCTGCTCCAGAACCTCATGTGCAACGCTAACGTGGATATTTACACCCATTATTGGGCGGACGCGCAGCTAAACGCTTTCCCCGACTTCAGCGTCAACCACCAATGTCGGGATTTCGACGCCATCTTGCGCTGGCAAGAGGAGAACTCGGTCGATGTGGACGAATTCGCGGCCATCCGCAAGCCCCCCGATGCAGAGGCCAGGGTCATGTCACATCGTTTCAAGGAGTTGTTTGGCTGGTACAATGCCAATCCTGACGATGGCTCAGATAGTGGGATCATCGGATGAGCACTACTAGCTGTGGGTGGTTAGTTTGGTTTTGGGAGGGGAAACTCAGGGTCTGTGATCACCTTAAACTAGTTTACTTCACGGGAGAGAATTGAAAGCGGGGTTCGGTGAAGATTGGGGGTCTTTGTGTATGTATTCTTATCGTGCATTGAGTCACGGCTTGGTGTGCTTAATCTCGATCCCTGCAAGCGCTATTAGAAGACTGATAAGCGATATTAGAAGACTGATAAGCGAACATGGGTACAGATTGTGCCCTCAAGTTAGGAATTGAGAATCATGCAATGTTATCACTTCATCAATGCATGAGATCACATTAGTAGAAGAAAAACCCGAACTGAACAAGATAATCCATGACCAAGAGGAATGAGCATCTCTATGATCTCTACTCCTCCAGTTAGCTGAACATACAGCCCGAACGCGAAAATGTCCTATTCAGCACGCTTTCTCTACAGCATTTTAGCAGCACTCATCTTCATCTTGCTGTTTTTCTTACTGGGGGCCATAGTAAATCCAGTCACCGGTTGGAGCAGCCTCTTGTATCCGCTCCAAATCCAAGGTTGTCCCAGCGTGACCCCTCCCCCACCTCCAGTCACTCGCAAATTTCATCCTTTGACTTCAGATACCTCCTGGGAGTCTCTTATCCCGGAGAATGGAGGCATATTGAAGGTTCGCACCAGTAACACGACGGTTACCGACTACGGAATCTCCATGTTTCATCAGCTTCACTGCCTCACCGTTCTTCGCGGGGTGGTTTTTCCTGACAAAGCCCAGCATCATGGTACTTCACCATCACATTCAGGGAATGCTCACGAAGATACTGTGCACTGGGCCCATTGTTTTGACTACATAGCACAGGTAAGTCCATCGTAAATGCGGTCACGTATCCCCCCGTCTTCTGACAACAGGAAGGCGATTACCTGCGCGGCAGACGATACTATCGAACCACCCCATTCGGTGGTGGACAGCAAGGGAAATCGAGTCTTGATTATCGACGGAATGGACCATACGCATCAGTGTAAGGACTCAGAGCTGCTATGGAAGGCTGTTCGAGAGAGTGAGGCCCAGTCTGTTGATTTGGCTCTGGTGAAGGATACAATTAGCCATAGTGATTTCGTGCACTTCATGGACAAGGATCACTAAGTATAGATGAAGATATGGTTGTGTAATGAGCTGTACTGAGTTGAATGCAGCGTTCAGTTTCAGGGCCAATCTAGAGGATTGGGAGTATAGTAGGTTTAGTGTCTCAGATGGTGTTCAGATGGTGTTCAGGCGGTGTTCAGGCAGCCGCGGGCTTACGTGCCTGGACCGGGGGACCCTGGTCGGTCACATGTCTCTCTCTCTTCTCCTTAAGTTATCTCTCCATCTCCATCTCATCTTGAATTCTCTCTCATCTTCAACCAGCCTCCACTGACGAGAACTTCATTCCTTTAGCTCTGTCACTTCTTTACAATCTTGATGATTGGATCAAGATCAATTCCATCATGGTACGCAGCTGCTCACTCGTGGCGGACGACTCGTTCGGGCCAGTCCTCGCGTGTCCAGCATCCTTTGACTTCACGCTACTGTTCGAGCAAAGCATTCTGTCCATCGGTCCATCGGCGGTTTTCCTTCTCCTGATCCCTTGGCGGATCTGGTCGCTCTATCCTGCAAACAGCAAAACTGTCACAAACAAGGCCTATTGGCAAAAGTTGGTCCGTCGTGCCTTCACCTGTGGCCTTAGGGACATCAGGTAACAGCTAAGCTGATTATTGATAGGCCGTTGCGCTGTGCCTCGTCGGCCTTCAGACTGCGTCAGTGGTGGAATGGGCACGTCACAAATATTTGGTCAAGACTGCCCTTCCGGCCATAGCTCTGTCGCTAGTCGATTCGATATCAATAACTGCTTTATCAGCAATTGAGCACGATCGCTCAGTACGCCCGTCATCGCTCTTGAGCGTCTACCTTATTCTGTCAACGCTTTTCGATGCTGTGCAAGTACGCTCACTATTCATCCGACACTACCCATCCCCATTGCCAGCACTAGCTGCGGCAACCGTCGCACTGAAGCTTCTTCTCCTAGCACTGGAAAGCCAAAGTAAACGCGCGTATCTAAAGTCAGCATTCCGTACCACACCGCCCGAGTCGACCAGTGGGATATTAGCTCGCACTGTCTTCTGGTGGCTCAATCGTCTTTTCATGAAAGGATTCCGCAAGCTCCTGACGATCGAGGATCTTTTCCCGACGGATAGAGACTTGAGCTCGACTCGTCTAAGGGGCAAGATTGGAAGCGCATGGAGAAAATGTATGAGCCTGCCGCGGTGTTCCGATCATGGCATCCTACTGACTGTTTTGCCTGCAGACCAATCCAGCCACACACGGAGCCTGATTTTCGCGACCACGACCAGTCTGCGTTGGGCAGTCCTTCGGACAGTATTCCCGAGACTCTGCCTGATAGGATTCACCTATGCACAAACATTTTTCATCCAGCAAGCAATCGAGCATTTACACATGCCCAACACCCAGAAGACGAAGAACGAGAACTATGGGCTGATTGGGGCTGCAGCACTCATCTATGGAGGAATCGCGGTATGTAACAGCAGTAGTAGGTCGGCTGAGAGGCTAACTGAGCATAGATCTCAACGGTGCACTACAAACATCAACTGTTTCGTATGATTACAATGTTCAGGGGCGCAGCCGTTGCATTGATTTACGACCACACTATGGTTCTGGCGGACGGATCCCGCGATGACTCGGCTGCTGTTACGCTTATGAGTACAGATATTGACATGATCGCACGGTCTTTGGAGCAGGTCAGCGAATTGTGGGCTCGGCTGGTGGAGATTGCGATTGGAATCTGGCTGTTGGAGCGGCAGCTGGGTGCTGTTTGCGTGGCGCCAATTCTCGTGATTCTTCGTAGGTGTCCTCCCTCTTCCGAATTATCCTTGGACGTGTCTGAGACAATTCGTTGCCAGTATGTACATCAGCTCAAACGTATATGGCAACATTTATGCCTGCAAGGCAGAAGGTTTGGGTTGGCGCTATTCAGCGCCGGGTGGGCATCATTTCCACAGCACTGAAGTCGATGAAGAGCGTCAAGATGCTTGGTTTATCGGAGATTCTCGCCGCAACACTTCAAGCACAGAGACAGCGGGAGTTGGATCTGTCTAAAGACTTTCGATGGTTGATTGTGTGGCTGAACGTCGTTGGTAAATATCTGACTGTATCCTTGCGTGCAGCCGCGTCCACTGACTGCAAACAGCGAGCTTGCCTCAGATGTGTGCTGCCCTCGTCACATTTGCAGCTTTCGTGATTCGCGCCAAGATCGATCATTCGGAGTCGCTGTCGACCGTACAGGCTTTTACATCGCTTGCTATCATCAGTCTCATCACAACCCCGGCGCTGCAGCTTCTGGCATCAATTCCAGCTGTGACAGCCGCTTTGGGTGCCTTTGACCGCATCCACAAATTTCTCACTTCTCCTACCCTAGATTCCTCACCGGCAAGCAGAGGCTCTGGCCCTGAGAAAGATAGCAATGACATTCATGGGTCAGTGGTAGAATTGCAAATGCTGGCACCCAAAGCACATTCCGACCAGGTCGTTCTGCGGATGACAGATGCCTATATTCGTCCGGTCCCTGAATCCGACTTCTCCCTTGCGGAAATCAACACGGCAATCAGAGCCGGCACGGTCACAATGATCATGGGCCCTGTTGGGAGTGGAAAGTCTACGCTGTTGAAAGCAGCGATCGGTGAATTGCGCTGTGAGCGAGGAACGATCACAAAAGCATGGCGAGACGCTGCCTACTGTAGCCAGAACCCCTGGCTTCAGAATACAACCATTCGGAATAATATCTGTGGCTATTCAGAGCCAGAAAAGGAGTGGTATGAGCGGGTACTACGGGCGTGCGCTTTGGAGCAAGACATTTCTCGCATGCCGGAGGGTGATCAGTCCGTGGTCGGTAGTGGTGCCCTCAAGCTGAGCGGAGGACAGAAGCAGCGTCTTGTATGTCAACAGCCACTTATTGCCACGCCCCACTGACCAAATTCGCAGGCAATAGCTCGAGCTGTTTACTCGAGGAAAGAGTTTCTGGTGCTTGACGATGCCTTGAGTGCTGTTGACATGAAGACGGCACATCGTGTCGCCGAGGCCTTGTTTGGTCAAAATGGAGTCTGTCGACAGATAGGTACCACTGTTATGATGGCAACTCATTCAGGTCAGTACTCGCCTCCAGATGATGTAGTAACCAGGTCTAAATCATCTTTCAGATCACCACTTGCGGTTTGGAGATTCAATCCTCATTCTAGATTTGAGTGGACGTATTCAGGAACAAGGTTCTGTGGAGAGCTTAGACCTTGCCTCGCAAGTGCACCCATTCGCAACGGAACCCAGTCCAGGAACTTCAGAATCGCGACCCGATGACGAAAACAAACCTGTCTCCACAAAGAAAGTGGAAACCCTGACTGTTGATGATATTGCCGATATATCTCGCCGCACGGGCGATGCTGCAGTATACACGTATTACTTGAAGGCCATCGGATGGCGCAGCACATTGGTCGCTTGTGTGATCATCATTGTGCACACATTCTCCTCCATCTTCCCTCGTAAGCAACCCATCCAACACATTTGACTCTGCTGACTGGGCTTCAGAGATATGGTTGGAGCTGTTCACAAACAACAACGGAAAGAATGCTGCCCAGTTTATTGGTGTTTACGTTGTCCTTGCCGTGGCTGCCTCAGGCTCACAAGGGCTTATGATATGGTAGGCGCGTCATTGCCATCCTGTATGCCAAGCTGATTATTCCAGGCAAATCATGATCAGGGTCGTGATCAAATCAGGACTAGAGCTACACAGGGTGCTTGTTAAAACCGTAGTTGATGCGCCGATGCAATTCTTCGCTAGTGTGGATTCTGGCGTCATCCTAAACAGGTTCAGCCAGGACATGACTCTGGTAGATGCTGTGCTACCGACAATGGCCTTTGGCACAGTACTGAGTAGGTTCAACTATGATTTGGAACCACCATGAAGCTGATTTCTTTCAGGTGTTGCACAATGCTTCGCCCAGATTGCCCTAATCTCACTGGGTTCCAGCTATATGGCCGTCACGATCATCCCGTGCTTGCTGGTGCTATATTGCGCGCAGAAAGTCTATCTGCGTACTTCCAGACAACTGCGGTTCCTCGACCTGGAAGCTAAAAGCCCTCTTTATACGATATTTATGGAAACTCTCGAGGGCCTTCCCACAATCCGGGGGCTTGGATGGCAACGATCGTTTGTGGTCGAATGTCTACGCCGATTGGACGAGTCGCAGAAGCCATACTACCTCCTCTACTGTATCCAGCGATGGCTCAATGTTGTCCTCGATCTTTTAGTTGCTGCACTGGCCGTGATCCTGATTGCCCTAGCCACATCGTTGCGAGACTCAACTGATCCGGGCAAACTGGGGGTGTCCTTGACCGCGATTATGGCTTTCAGTCAGAATTTGCAAGAGGTAGTGACCAGCTGGACTTCTTTGGAAACATCACTGGGTGCAATCGCACGGACCAGGTCCTTTGAGATGAAGACGCCAATCGAGCATAAGCCCCGGGAGACCGTGAAACCGCCACCTTCATGGCCGGCTGAGGGGAGGATTGAGATTACCTCTCTTTCTGCCTCATACGAGTAGGTAACCCACAATCTTCTGTGAGCCTTGGTAATCTAAGTGCAATACGACAGCGGAATCACGCGAGCATTGGACAACGTATCCCTCAACATAGAAGCCGGAGAAAAATTGGTCGTCTGCGGACGGACAGGAAGGTACGTACCTGGTAATCTAGAGCGTATATGATTGGGAGGCTAACTCACATCAAGTGGAAAGAGCACGCTCATCTCGGCCATCATGCGCCTGATTGACCCTCAAAGCGGCACGATATCAATTGATGGACTCGACATTTCCACCATTTCGCGAAATGTGCTTCGCTCGCGCATCATCGCGGTTCCTCAGGATCCTTTCTTCCTCCCAGGCTCCATCCGCTTCAACCTAGACCCAGCCGGTCGTTTAGCTGATGCAACTTTGATTTCTGCCTTGGAGAGGTGTAATCTTCTAGCCGTGGCCACGTCTCGCGGTGGGTTGGATGCAGAATTGACAGCCTCCTCATTATCCCAGGGCGAGCAACGACTCTTCGGGTTGGCGGCAGCTCTGCTGCGTAAATGGGATCGAGACCATGATGAAGGCATTGGAAGTGGCAAGGGCGGTCTCCTGATTTTAGATGAAGCTACCAGCGGGACGGATGCTGCGACTCATGGGTTGATGCAGCAGGTGGTCGATAGTGAGTTTGGTGGGTATACGGTCCTTCACATCTCGCACCGGACGGAAACGATGGGCGTTGTTAATCGGGTGGTTGAGATGGCGGATGGTCGGATTGTGAGGGCAGAGATCCAGAGTCATTAGGTTTGTTGTTGTGGGTATGTGCTGTGACTGCAAGATTCATAGCATCTTGCGATTAGATCGTCTAGTAGACTTGGGTAAGTCATAACCGGATAGGCTATATGGTAGAATGAGTTGGAGTGGAGGTGACTTGAGAATCTAGCGCCTTGTTATGACATGTGACATGTCATGTAGACAGGTTCCGTCCATTAGACCAGCCACTCAATCTCATATCCGATTGACCAAACCTGTGAAGAGACTAAGGTAATTGTAACTGGCTTAGCCCTAATACCTTACCTCAGACTCGTGCAAGAGTATCCGCCCGGAGAGGCCAAAGCCAGCGGCGATGGCTCCGCCTACGATGCTGTATTCGGGGGGTTGATCTGTGGTAGACCAGGCCGGGAGATATACGGAGTCATGTTCGGGCTGGGTAAGTCCTAGAACCCTCAGAGAGCTAACTTGGGATGGTAGATTGGATACTCTCGCGGGCTCAAGCGACAACTCGATCTCATATCTGGTCACTGACTAGGTAGCCAGTTTTCTTCTCGAAGTGATACATTCCGAGACTGACCATCAGTGCCTCGGGATGGAGATTCCCGTGTTCTGTTCGTTACCGTTACGATACACGATAACAGAAAAGTGGGGACGGGCCGGAAGACGGGGAGGAGTGGAGCCGAGCCGTACCTTATCGGATCCTCTTTGTTTCAATGCTTGTTCTGGAGAACCACGTGATCTGAAATAGATTCCGAGGCCACGCAGGCACTACCTGCCCATTGGAATCGGAATTCGAGAGTTGGGATAGTAAATGGTACAGCAAATGGAATCACCAAGGTATAGAGCTTGACACACGATGGTAACACGGTCTGTTATGAAAAGCCCGTGAGACGAAGGGCTTCCAAAACAGCCGACACTGTAAGTGATAATCAAAAGTCATAGATGTCCACTTAGTGGATCTAGATAATTAGTGATACTTGTAGAGTCATATATCTGATAAGCTCAAGATGTACTGACGTGATAGAAAGTAGAACAGTGGAATCCCTCGGGCTTACTCCGAAGCCACGCAGCCGCCAAGCTGCTCTAAATCAATAGTGCATGAGTTCACCTGCAGCCGTGATGGCGTTATTCCCCCCTCCCCCACCTTCCCCCAACCCACAAGCATCGAAGGTATTTATTTCTAGGACCCAGGTGGCAGGCGAAGCAGGAAGAGCAATCCGCAACGACACCAAAATACACGAGCTATGACGGTCACTTTCCAACCCTTCGACGTTCCTGGCGCCCAAACGGTGCATGGGAATGCCTTCCCCTACGGACTGCAGCTCCACTGCCCGGATACAGCCAGCGCTGGGGTGCCCACGGTCGATGAAGCCGTGATCGCCCTGACCTCCTTGGCCGAGTCCGGCCGGCTCTCCGAGCTCTTACAGCGTCACGGGGCCGTGCTCATTCACGGCATCGGGCATCCCGCCGCGGAGACATTCGCTCGCCTCATCAACGCCGTCGAAAACGCCCGTGGCGCCCATCCGTTCGTGCAGATCGGCCTCGCAGGGAAAAGAACCCTGGTGGCGGAGAATGTGTGGACGGCCAATGAAGGACCGTCGGATCGTCGATTCTACCAGCATAATGAGGTAAGGGCTCGCTTCATTGAGAAAGGGGATGTTGGGGGAGTGGTGGTTGACGAGTCGGACTAGTACTCGCGCTACACACGCTTCCCTTCCAACATCCACTTCTACTGCGAGAAGAAAGCCCTGCAGGGGGGCGAGACCCCGATTGCGCATAGTGCATTGGTGTACGAGAAGTTGCAGGCGACGGTGCCTGCGCTTGTCCGTGAGGTCCACCAACGGGGTCTGGCGATGAAGATGGTGTTCCGGGCTCCAGGCCATGAAGGCAAGGGGAACGAGTTCAACTGGGCCGGGAAGCATAGCTTTGGACAAGAGTTCAAGCCGGGCGATGATCGCGACACGCAGAAGCGGAAGGCTGAAGCGCAGGTGCGCAAGCTCACGCCCACTTTTCGGTGGCTGCAGGATGATACGCTGGAGTTGGTCCAGCACATCCCCGGTGTGTGTTGTTGGTCCCTTGACACCTTCCGGCACGAGGCTATACCTAGCCATGCTAACCATGCTGAAGGTATTCGACGGGCCCCGGCCAGCGGACGACCGGTCTGGTTTAACGGCTTAGTCGGTCGGTATGGAATGACACGCGATCTGGGAGCGTTAGACCCGCCTTATCTGGGACGAGATGGAATGACATGTAGGTTGTCCATCACACATGAGGCCATGAAATCCATCGCTGACCGGGGGCAGATCTGCCGTGCGATTACGGCGACGGAACAGCCATTCCTGCAGAGTATTTGCAGAAGTTGGAGGAGGTCGTGAATAGTCTGGAGATTGATCTCTGTCTGGAGGAAGGCGATCTGTTGCTGGTCGATAATCTCCAGGTCTCGCACGGGCGCAAACCGTGGACAGGCGAACGGAAAATCCTGGTGAGCATGTGGGAAACAGATCAGTCTCCAATGGAAGCTTTCTGAAGGATTGAGCAGAGAGGCTGGCGATCGTTGACGATAGTCACACAGAAGTAGCAGAAATAGCGTGCCTACATGCACGGTGGCTCAATGGCGTGCGGCATCCCAGTGATCAACACATCTTAGCGTAGCTGTGAAGCGCGTAATCCCCGTCTGATAAACAACAGATAAGAACCCCCGCACGCACCTCCGGAGAAAAGCCATCATCCAACACCCATTCACATTCACCATGGCTGTGGTTGCACCTCTCACCCAGCCCGATATCCAATATCATCCCGACTGGGACAAATACCAGGCGCGAACCGCCCGACGCAAGACCACCGAAGATCTCCCCAGCGCAGTCCCTGCTGGCTTTCCCATACAATTGGTCTCTGACCTGGTCTGGGAGGGACGAGAGGTGGAAACTCGCGATGACTGGTTGGTGCGCTTGAGTGAGACCGAGCTGGACGAGATCGATGGCGCTTTGCAGAGGTTCAGAGGTGCTACAGTGTAGCGACCATTCTGAAGCCCTAATCTCACCTCACCCATTCCTTGTTCATCCATGCCCAACTAATCACAATATCCTCCACACTGCAGCGCACAATCTCCCATGGGGCGCAATCGACCAATCCACCTTGCCCCTACCGACCCTGCATGATCGCCTCCGACAGCAATCAAAAGAATTGCACCAAGGCCGAGGGTTCTTCGTGCTCCGGGGCTTCCGCATCGACCACTATTCGCGTGCCGATAAAATCATCATCTACGCCGGCGTCTCCGCCCACATCGGCAACGTGCGCGGACGACAAGAAGACCAGCGGTTCTCCAACGGAACCGCTCTCGTTCTATCGCATATCAAGGATCTCACTGGAACGACATAGCGCCGCGCTGGATTTCCAGAAGGGAGATGTGCAGTATATCAACAATCTGAGCATTTTTCATGCGCGAAATGGGTTTCGGGATGAGCCCGGCAAGGAGTATGTTGCGTTGCCAGGAGGAAGAAGTGGGATATCGTCTATAAGGATGTGCAGGTTGACGAGCAGGTTTTTCCTCTGGAGCCGCGGTCGCGGAAGACGGTTGGTGCGTGAGGATATGTTGTAGATATTATCTCCGGTGCAGCTATCAGTAGCACCCCATACGGCCATTCACATTTGTCCGTATTCCAGGGCTTGATCTCGTGGAGTAGAACCTGCCAACACTGCTTGACCAGGGTCAGGGTGAGGCAGTAGGAGACCCTTGCTGAGCGACAGGCCGGTTGTCAATCAGTGGATATCTCGACACGACTAGCTCCCCATCAGACTGAACCAGGGTCTCGTATTTCACTATGAAATATTGCGATGAGTCACTCCGGGCTTGATGCCCCAGATACTCAAGTAGTGGACACGGCGATCATCACGGTGTCGGAAATGGAGTCAACGAGGCTTCAAGCCACCCCACAAAACTATTTGCTGCCCCCTCCATGGGGGTTTCTTCTCGCAGCAACTGGCAGATCAACGTGGCTCCTCTCAGATGTAATGATATCATTGTCCAAACCTGCATCGCGTCGCATTGGTGTTCCAGTGCTTATGGTGGGTGCTAATGGCCACAGAGGCTAGGGTTCATGCAAGCCACCGACCAGGGGGGGATATATGTTTGCTCAAATCAACGAGAAGCCTCGCTCAGCCATATGACCAGACAAGGCTGACATGCAGAATGAACTGCCCTCCAACCGTTTTAGACAGTGGGGGGATGGAGCGATAACTGGGGGGGGGGAGCGAGGCAGTTGAGCACGCGTCGAGCACGCGTTATGGCAGAGCGAGCCCTATTTACTGCTTGTTTCCCCCGTATCGTCTCTCACGATTCTCTGCTGAAATTCGCCCTGAAATCCTACTAACATATATTCGAAGCACTCACCTCCAATCATCATCCTATCGAGCCTTTCCTCCCTCCAGAAGAAAACATGTCTGAACGAAGTTTCCAGTCCGTGAAATCCACACCCTCCCAATCAAGTTCTACCACACTCTCTGGAGCATCCTCTCGCAACTATGCTTCGACCCAAACCTCACACCCAGCTCAGAGCCCCACCGCAAGCACCTTGAGTCGGCCCTCAAAGAGCCCCCGAGTCACCAACAGAAACAAAAGCGCAGCTTGCCCACCACCACCGGCAGGTGTGCCTCCGCACGTCAACACGATAGGTCCCGAAAGACGCCCGAGCGGCTCCCAGGGGTCGTCCGACTTTGATGGAGTGATCACAACTCTGAGGGTCATGAAGGAGAAATCGGATGCTTCCGAGCGTGCACAAGTCGCGCATATCACGACCTTATCGGCGGAGCTGCGAGAGGAGAAGAAGAAGAACCAGGAGCTGCTCTTGCGGCTGGGCGGGCGGGACCAGACAATAGCGGAGCTGCGTGGGAAAGTCAAGACTGCGCATGAGAAAGTCGAGACTGCGCATAAGAGTGCTCAGAAACTCAGGGACGAGCTCGGGGAATGTGAGGCCAAAAATCGGGTGTTCCAGGGCCAAATCAGTGAGCAGCGCGATCGGATTGCGGATCTGAAGGTCTCGTGCGAACATGGTTTGGATACAGTCAGTCGACTGCAAAAAGAGATGAAGGAACACAAGGTGACGGAAGAGAAGAAGGGGAAAGAACTGGAGAAGAAACTGCAGGCGTCCGAGCAGAAGACAGTAGAGTTGGAACAGGCGCTGACGCAGCAGAAGACCCTCGCAGCCGAGGAATGCAAGGCTCTCCGAAAACAACTAGCAGACACTGAAGCCCGGGAAGACCTTCTGAAGAAGTACGAGATAACAAGAAGGAATGCACGCGAGGCAGAGAGGAGAGATCTGGCAAGGCTCAGACGCCAGCACGATGAGCTTCAACAGAGACTACACACGGCACAAGGCGTCATTGATACCTTGTCCCTAGAGAAGGAGATACTTACACGCGAGAAGAATGAGTCGTTGTCCCAGAGGCTCGAAGAACAGGTGCACAACCTGCAGGCAGTCACGAATCACAGCCGAGAGAGTCTTCAGCAGCACAGGGAGAACCACAATGACCTTCTCGCGGGATTTCTCGCCTCGCTGGAGCATATACTGGGGGATACCCTCGGGCAGCAAGACCACAAGGCGGGGATCGCGGAGGAAACACTGGCAGCGCTAGCAGACATTCAACACAACTCGCTTTTGACTCAGAGCAAGGTTCAGGACATCTCGACTGGCTTAGACGAACGCTTCCTCGAACTGAACAAGAATGTTTGTCAGACCATGGAGAATATCCTGGAAAGCCGGTTGCATCCTTTAGAGTCCACGATGGAAGAGATCCACGGGCACCTTCTCAGCAAGGACGATCGCAATGAAAAAGCTGCACTGGACGGCCTCGAATGTCCCTCAATCCATGGCCTGATGGGTTTGGTAGAGGAATATGAAGCCATGGATGACCACGCCGGCAAAGAACCCGCAGAGCCGACGGCTAACCCTAAGAAGTCCTATCTCTGTGTGAGAATCCCTCTGGCTTCCACCTCCTCTACCCAAGATGTCTTCACCGATTATCAACCGGATTGTACCGATGAGCTGGTCTCCGCCACGGCCAAGGCGACGAGCACGACTCAAACTGGCGTGGACGGCAAGCCCATAAAAAGTCCGGATGAAGTCTACAGGAGTGGTTCGAATGTCGACTGGGTCCGAAGAGCCGGACAACAAGACAGAGCAATGTCAGTGCCCAGCCCCCTGATGTCCAGAAACCCCTGATCATTGACGAAGCACTGATTGATGAATGTAGTCGCATCTCCCAAGGAAATCGTCACAAAATTATTCCCTTACGATCTTTTCTCTCTAACATCCTCTATTGATCGGAATCACAGCGCGCTGTGTAGTCATTTACTACGAACCCCTCCCTGGCCATCGATTTACACTTGGCCGAAATGTATGGTCAGAGATTTAGAGCAATGATGACAAGTCCATGGTTAATGTTATGAATAGAGACTGTATTTGATATGATGTCTGTCTTACCGACTCCTGTACCTCACCATGTACTATGCTATCGCAGAATCGTCCACATAACCGGAAGAAAATCCCCACACATCTGCTCAAAATCAAACCGAACAACTAGTCTGACCACGGATCATACCCCGTATCAGGATGAGGCCACCCGCAATCCACCGCAATATCCTCCCACCGCAACACCTCCGACTCATCGTCGTCATCGGACTCCTCGTCCACCTGGATCGACGATCGGAAGGCCAAGCCACTGGCCTGAGCTACCACCCTCTGAGCTTTCTTTTGCTGCATCCTCTTCCTCGTCTCTGCGGCTGCCTGCTTCCTTTGCAGCCGCTGGTTCCACGTCCGTAGCGCCCACTCCTCCAGAGCCTGCGGATACCGCAAACACCACACCACCACATCCCGCGTGGCGTAGGTATCTTCTAAGGCATCATGACCCTTGCGTCCCACCTGAATGTCATAACCCGCCAACTCCTTTGTCAACGTCTTGAGGGCCACGAGAGGAAGGCTTGAGGCCGTAGCCGCAGCCCCCGCCGCGGCAATGGCTTCGCCCGTGAGGATCTGCGAGTCCACCACCCGCGGGTGTATGATCCCCAGGGCATTCAGATCGTTCTGCAGGGCGTGGCCGATCAGGACGGTCTCCGCGTCGATATACTCCCACAGCGCTCGCCGTGCGGCGACCCACCCGCGCAGGGCCGTCCCGCTCTGGATGGCTGCGTCCATGACCGCGGCGGTGATGCCGCTGTAGCGCGTTCGGTAGTTGGTGATGCGCCCGCTCTCCGGGTAGACGTATCGGTTGATCAGAACCTTCCCGGTGAGAAAGTCGACGGCGGCCAGCGAGGCGAGATGCTGCTGGCCGCGGGTGACGCTGACCATTTCGCAGTCAATCACGACGGCTTTGTGCTTGGTGGCGTGAGATAGAGGTGATGCGGGCGCGGGGGTGGGTCGAAAGTGATAGCGAGGGATGGAGTGCCTCCATGGCTTGTCTTTGTGGTTGTTTGCGGTGGTGGACATGATGAAGCCTTGCGCTACAAGACGGGTGGTGGAGTGGCAGTGGGACTGAAGCTGAGGGTAGCGTACTGCTTGCTCGGACGGTCCGAGAAGGGCGAGTCGGCTGTTGTTGTAGGGGTGGTTGGTGAGAACGTTGGCGATGGCTAGTTCTGTTGCTTTCTTAGCATTGGTTACGTGGCTAGTTTTCTACGACTCAAAGAAAGGCGGTTCGTACCTGGGTGTATACTGTTGGACAGTCCCTGGAGCACTGGACGTGTATCTGGCACGGCAGCTGCCAGGGGCTCGGGTGCATTTGCAGTCGGCCCTGAGACTGCAGCGCCCGTCGTGTCTACAGCTGCCGACTCGACGTTTGCCTTGGGTTTCTCATGAATGACGCTATGCTGTGACAGCGCAGCCGAGTCCTTGAAGCCCTTGGTGCAGGTGGTGCATGTTACCTGCGAAGCCGTCCGTCGATGACTGGCCTGGTGATTTATCAACGCGTTCTGACTCGCAAACTGCCGGTTGCACGTTGAGCAGCCCCATGGTTTCTGTTGCTTGATGTGTGCAGCTTGATGCTCTGTCAATGCTTGCGTACTGGCGAACATCTCGTCGCACGTTGCGCAAGGTAAACGTTGGCGAGGCGCTTGATGAACATCCGCATAATGCTGCTGCATGCTCTCCTTGCTACCGAAACTCCTCTGGCAGCCCTTGCATAGAATTCCATGCCCCACGTCCTGTTGATGTTGTCGCAGATCTTGTATTCTCTTGAAGGTATTCTTTTGACACACGGGGCACGAGTACTTCGCCGCGGGTTTCGACTGCGCAGGGGGCGCCACAACGACAGTGGTAACCATTTGATAGAACTGTGTATGAAGACAATAGTTGATCCGGTTTTCCACGAAAGATTGCTGCTTAAAAAAATAGACACAGAGTTTGGTGTGCTGTTCTTTCGGCTTTTATGTCCGCTCCAGTCTTCCGGCTGTCTGCGCCACAACAGCTTGCGCCATACATACAGTAGTTACGCGCCAGCCGGAGAAACGGCGCAGCACCACTGCATGCATCACGCACCTCTCCGCAAATCAGTTGATGTTGAGTTCCAACACTGCTAGGAAGTTGTAGGTCCGTGTGGTTTGCCGGTCAGCTTTCGATCATCCCAGCGTATGGATTGCACTGCCTCCTCGTTGGGTCAGCAGGGTAGCCTTCGTTCAGCCTTGTAGGGGGTAAGGTCATGTCGCTGTGGACATTGTCGAGTGTCCTGTTTAGAACAAGAGGCGCCAGAGACGATCAAGGAACTGTGATGATAAGGAATTATCTCGATTTGCGACCGCGGAGTGGTGACGATGGCATGCAGTCTCATACTGTAGTTTAGCCCTAACAGCGGGTACTGGGAAATGGGCGACTAACCTCATCTTCCTTCCAACCATCCCAATTTCATGGAGTATGTCATCTCATACTTTTGAAGAAGAGTCCGCAGAAGGCACCCGTCGACATCTTTTTTTCCTAGCACAGGAGTGCTCGAGCACCTCAGTGGTAGTTGCAGTATAGGAACACGGTGTCTACTCTAGAGACAAGACGGTAGGGCAGCTTCAAAATCCTCTAGTATAGACTGCCCCGCGGGTCAGTCGGAGAAACGCTTTTATTCTCTCCGAGTAGCGGTAACTGACTATCTTATACACCACGAGAAAGAAACACCTTGTAAGGATAGCCGGCTTCTTACGAGGAGGAATTACCATGCAAAGACTGCATTGACTCTGGCTATGTATTTCCTTTCGGTCAAGCCGTTATGCGCTTCAATACATCCCATCCCCCGCGTAAATTACCGGTGATTCGTGACATGGTAATATACTGTAGTACACGGCGACGTCCAGGCAAACTGACAGATGGTTCCTAACCATACACAGCCTAGCGGCGGAAGACGGATTCCGCGGCGATAAGCTCTGCTTCCCGGGACTCTCTCCGGAGTATAAAAGCATCACAATGAATCATGCTGACTCCCACACCCTCGCTCCCTTTCATCTCAATTTGCACCATACACTTATCATGCAGGTTCCTCTCCCCGCCACAACAGTTCGAGTCGCCGTGACCCAGGCGGAGCCCGTGTGGCTCGACCTGGACGCCACCGTCGCGAAGACCTGCGCTCTGATCGCCGAGGCCGCCCAGAACGGGGCGCAACTGATCAGCTTCCCCGAATGTTGGATCCCAGGCTATCCCGCCTGGATCTGGTACGCTCATCCCCCACTTTCTTACTCTCTCCACCAGTCATACTAACAACCACCCCTAGGACCCGCCCAGTAGACATGACCCTCACCACTCAGTACATCCAAAACAGCCTCACCGTCCCCTCCCCGCAAATGCGCACCATCCAAGACTGCGCCGCACAAAACCAAATCGCCGTCGTGCTCGGCTTCTCCGAACACATCCACCACTCGCTGTACATCGCGCAGGCGATCATCGACAGCGACGGCACGATCCTCGCGCACCGCAAGAAGCTCAAGCCGACGCACATGGAGCGCACGATCTTCGGGGATTCCTGGGGGGATTGTCTGGACAGTGTGGCCGACACGACCGCGGCGGGACGCGTGGGGGCGCTCTCGTGTTGGGAGCATCTCCAGCCCCTCCTCAAATACCATGCGTATGCGCAGCGCGAGCAGATCCATGTGGCGGCGTGGCCGCCCTTGTTTGAGGCGGACGAGGGTGGGGATGCGTTGTTTTCGATGTCCAAGGAGGGTATGCTATGCTAGGCTAGGCTAACCTTAACACCTCCCTCTTCCTTTTCCAACGGATGTATATACTAACATGTTTCCCAAACCCTTGGGCTGGGCTGCGACAGGAACCATCGCGCTCGCTCGCACCTACGCCATCGAATCCCAGTCCTACGTTCTGCACACCACCGCGGTCATCGGCCCGACGGCGATCGAGAAGATGCAGACCAGCACCGGGGCGATCATGAACACCCCCGGCGGCGGCAGCTCGGCGATCTTCGGGCCGGATGGGCGGATGCTCTCCACCCCGATTCCCAGTACGGAAGAGGGGATGCTGTACGCGGATTTGGATCTGCAGGGCCCGATTCAGAAAGCGAGGGCGTTTGTGGATGTGTGTGGTCATTATAGTCGGCCGGATCTGTTGTGGTTGGGGGTGGAGAGGCGGGAGGGGAGGCAGCATGTTCGGGAGAGGGCAAAGCAGAGGGGGGAGTAGCGTCTGTATCTTGTGGGCAGGGGATGTACAAGTAACGAGCAACCTGCACGCATATACAATTCAAGTAATAAACGGCAAACATTCACAACCCTCTCTCTTCATATTCCTCTCCTACTCTTGAATAATTCACGACCGCCTCAACAAATCCCACCCATCCGCCCACCTTCTCACCCTCTTCCCCCACACAAACAACGGCACGCTCGTCAACATCACCCCAACACTCAACGCCCCAAACGTCGAGAAAAAAACCAGCGGCCCATGCTTCCCCAAATAGTCATTCCACACGAACGTCAACCCAAACGCCAACGCACTTTTCATCAGCTAGAATAACACCCCCCCCGACCACGTCAGCACCCAAACAACAGGGCAGGGGAACAGTTTTGTTTCGAAGATGAGCTCAAAGTCTTCTTACTTACCATAGCCAACCCAAAAGCATCCCCCGCGCGCTCCGCACAGACATCATTCGTGTACGCTACAATCCCCGTGCAGCCCATCCCCACGGCGAAGTTGAGGATCGCCATGAACACCCCGCACACGACCGCGGAATCCCCCCGCTCGGTGGCCGCGCCGAGCCCGAAGGCGCCGACCGCCATGGTGATTGTTGCGGGGAGGAGGACGGGAAGACGGGATTCGGGATCGACAGTTCCTGGGCTGTTGGCGGGGGGGTGGGATGGAGGCGCAGGTGCAGGCGCACGGGAGAGGAGGCGACGGGTCCAGTCACATAGCCATCCCCCGAGGACCGTCCCCAGCGCGGACCCGATCCCCGGGGCGAGCCCGGTCAGGTTGCCCACGGCGATGGTGCTCATGTTGTAGGGGGGTGCGGTGAAGATCTGCGATGCTACCGCGCCCAACAGTATGGTCCAGGTGAACGTGACCGACCACATGATGCAGCCCCAGAGGACCACGGGGTGCAGGAGGATGGCCAGCGGGGAGACCAGGGCCAGGCTGAGGGCTTGCAGCTTTTGTGTGGTGGTTGTTATGGGGACGGTGGAGGCGATTGCGACGGAGGCGGTGTCGTCCAAGGGCACTACGGACTGTTGCTGCTGCTTTTCCGCGATGTCGACCTCGGAGGCAGACTTCGTATCGATCGTGTCTGGTGGGGTGGTAGGGATCCTGTCATCTACAGCGGCAACACCACCATCCATACGAACGGTGGTGGTGGTCGTCGTCTCGGGGAAGAAAAGGATGGTTGCCACCAGCACCCCCCCAAAGAGAATCGCCTCGAGCCAGAACGCCCAGCGCCAGGAGAGACTGGAGATGACATAGCCGCTGATGACCGGCGTCAGGTTGACGCAGACGATGAAGGCAAAATTCCACAGGCCGACTCGCACCCCCCGCTCGTCTTCGAGGAAGACCTCGTTGATGGAGGATGTTCCCGCGAGGGAGAGGAACGCCCCCATGCCGAGTCCTGTAGCCCGGACAGAAGCTTAGTACTGTATGTAGGGCGTCAGAGGGGGAAGAGTTATCCATCCTACCTTGAAACACCCGCGATGCAAGCAAGGACGTATAGGATCTGGAGGCAGCCGCCCAGCAGCATGAAGCCAGCACCAACAGCGTAGTGCACAGATACACCGGTCGCTTGCCAAAGCAAGTGGCCAACGGAGAGCAGACGTAGGAACTCACCCCCAGGGCCATCACCAGACTCCCATTTAACAAGGTCACGCTGGTCAGGCTGACCTGGAGGTCTGCAGCCACGACCACAAAGCCCGGCACCAGCACGGGTCCTAGGGTTCCATCGGCACAGGAGCCCAGGACTATGGTAGCGAACAAAAGCTCCTTTCGCACTCGAGCCCATTCACTCGAGGCCACCGAAGGAGGTTGTAACCCCAACATTTTATCAGTGCACAGTGGTAGTCTGGCGGGATTGATGATTGATATCAAAAGTATGAAAAGACAGGGTAAACTCCTCAGCCCAGACCAGTTCAGCTGCAGGATCCTGCACGGCCGATATATACTTCGTGTACAGGACATGCGGGGAAATGCCGCTAATACAACGATCGAGACTGCCTTCTACTGGTTTTATCAGGGCGGATGTTCACCTTCCGCCGTCTGAATGGGCTTATCGAAGGATCAACGAGGGCTTATCATCGGCACAACCCCGTGTGGCACTGGATGGATGGATTCCGCTCGCAGCCAAGACCAATACGGCCCGGTATTATGGCCGTTATGATTCGTCCAGGAGCATTTGGGGAGACCTCTCGAACAGCTCTCATTGGTATCAGACAGGGCTGCTTATCCGGCCAGCTCATTGGTGTCTACGGTACGGGACTATGTTCAGACAGGAGTGATTATCAGCAGCAATCGGTGATTCCATGAATGGGACAGAAACTAGTATGATGCTGGATTTGCTATTAGTCATGCTGATTGCTTGCTTGCTTGATTGGCATTCTGGCACGGGATGCATTGACTGAGAATCTTCGAGATGGAACATTGTACGCGGGCCCGGGTAGAATAATTAAAGATCGATGTCAGTCGTATGGAAAGCTCTTGAGCATTGTTCTCTTCGTAATGATTAGTAAATGGCCGATGAGGTGTGAACTTTAGGAAAATGTGTCCTCATATAGATTGTAAATTACCAACCTCGTCAGCTCCTGTGTAGTAATCCTGGCGAGCTATGTTTCTACTGCTCTGTATGCCAAACTCTTCTAGTGATACTGCTGAGTTTCAATCCGCCTGGTAGCTTTTTATCCATTGACCTAACGGCATGCACACCACAAAAAATTACCAATGTGTCTGTTAACCAGGATTGCGTTCCTGTGCAATACCGCATGCGCAGCTCGTGTCACAAGATATAGCTTCAGTCAAGTCTCTGTATGCTATGAGAGGCCCACGATCTGGCTTTGTGGGTCAAGGGCTAAATTGTTTCATCAAAAGCATTCTGCTGATACACCGTCAAATTCAAAAGGTCAAACCCGGTTTCATGGAAGATGTCCGGAAATATGCTAGGGTATGTTTGCTCGTCGTGGTCCACTCGAGTGTCTTCACCATTATCCTCAGGATAGTCCGCCGATGGCCAGATAAACTCCAGCTTCTCTTCCTCTAGCACCTCTGGCGGGTCGGAAACAGGGAACCCGTGCTGCAGCGGCAAGGCCACCATGACCTGCCATCGGCGCGCCAGCTCCCGCAGCAGACGAATCGCCCGCTTTGCCTTCATCCACCGCGCCTGCATCTCCCACAAAGCATGGAAACAGACCCGGAACTGAGCAATGGATGCGCTGCGCAGAGCCTGATGCGTTGCGGTCGCATTGCAAAGGTGCGTCACGGCGGCGGTCAGCACACTGTGAACCACAAAAGGAGGGATCAGATCGAGCGGAGCAATCTTGCGATACTCGCGCAGCAGCCGCACGATCGACGCTGCGGCTGTGGACATGGCACGGACGCAAAGCTGGTACATCTTACCATTCTGAGAGGCTTCTCGGAGATAGGGTCGATGGATGAGGATATGCGACATGTGGTATGAGATGTGCAGGTAGATGATGGAGGGTACAAGGGCAGAGGTCCGACTCATTCGGACCTGGGGGCTGAGCTGTCGCCGAAAGGCATGCAGCTGATCCCGTGCATCGAGCAGGAGGCGCGATTTCTCGGAGCTGTCCAATCCGGTGAACTCAAATGAATAGCTGGATGCAAAGCAAGCAATTCGTGAGCTAGAAACTGTGGGTAAGACTCTTCTGCTTGGAGAGAACTTACATTCGGTCCATATATTGGTCATGGATGAACCATAAGCGGCATTGATGATCGAAGGCGAGTTCGTCTAGAGACGGGGTAGGACCGACCGTGCTAATGAAGGACTGAGCGTCAATCCGCCGCCACGGGAGCATGCAGTTTCTACCAAGAAGAGAGGTTGCGATTCTGTTTGAAGGACTTAGCTGCGGGCAAAGACTCGGGGTGGAGGTGGAATTGTCACGTACCGGTCCATGAACACTGAAGACCAAAGCGCTCTTAATCGTAGGTGATGCATTTCTGACTTTCGACCTGCATTGACATCGCCCCGGTTGGACTCCTTTCCATCTTCAGCAATGTGCACTGGGAGACCCAGATGTAGGGCCATGCTCGCGCACATTGCTGTATAGGGTGACAGTCAGTCACTCACGCATAGAATCACAGGAGTGCGGGCATGCTGAATACCCACAGTTGTACATCCATGCCATGTTGTGTTGCTCTAATCCCAACTCCCGCCAAGACATGATAGACAAGGCCTGCACAGTGGAGACGCTAGGCGACTGTCGACAGAGCTGCAGAGCCATAGCATCAACTATAGCTGCAGCCTCCTCCCCGACCGTCCTGCTTGGAAGATCGTCCGAGTAAACAGCGCCGGCGGCCATTGCGGCAGTCTTGATGAGTCTCAACTCAGAACTCAAGCTATCTCCGTGTAGTCGACTCAAAAGCTCACCGTCGAGAAATTGATGAATCGGATTGACGTAACGGACGAAATGATCGAGCAGATAACGGCTCCTAGCCATGACATCTACTCGATCCAGCCACGACAAACCCAACCCTCGAGCGACAGACGTTATGTCAGATACCGCTGTTGGCTTCTCTCCGCGCGCCTCCTTGCTATCCCAACTGTCTACCGGGAAGCAGAAGTTTCCCGATGGTCCCACGAAAGCCTGCTCTCCGTTGCTTTCGAGACTCATCCGCCAAATGAGAGCACTGACGTCTTCGATCGCAGTCGTCATGTTGTCAGGGATAGTGGAGGTATCAGCTTTTGCCTGAGGAGGATCCAGGCCCTGATCGAGCGGAACATCCTCAGTGACAGCAGCGGAGTCACCGGCTCGAGATCGATCCAGCTCCTCCCTAAGCATCGCAATTTGATCTTCCAACCCTCGCACATAGTCTGCGTCAAACCTACGCCTACAAAGAAAGTCAGACCAAACACACAAATCCTGTTCGAGGTATCAATACTAGTTATTGGGGTGCAGACTTATTGCGTTTCTCGGTGTTATAATGGCAAGCAACGCGCTTGACGGTACAGAGGGAGCACGCTGGTCGCAAGCCATCGCACTGAACACTTTTCACATTAGGCTACCTGAGATCATGACCCTACAGAAGTTGTCCAACACAATTTGAGGACGAGGACGAGTCAGGTGAATACCTTGCGTTTTCGTTTGCGGCACGACTCACAGGCCACCACGACGCGGGAGTTTGACGTAGGTGAATCCATCGATGCTCTATCACTCCCTATGCAGGCCTTTATCTGTTCTTGGAGTTTAGCTTGGTATATGCTTCATGAGCAGCCAGATGCAAGCTGGGATGCAATGATGGTTGTTTGATAGCGATGAAGTGAGACGAGTGTGGTTGTGATAACGTCGCCCCAGAGGCGGGGAGATCATAATGTTGCCTGAGGCGCACATCTCTGCCCGGAGTATCAGGCAACAAGACTAGGCTGAATACGGATTCCTGCCATCGGCTGCAAAGACCGGGTGAGTTGACCACCAACTGAGTTCATCTCCCACCTGGACAACTCCTTCCTCAATCTGTTTCTCCCATTTCGTGCTGCAGATGGGAACTTCTTTCTGAGGCAAGCAGGTGGATCAACTCGACTCTCAACAATGAAATGCATCGAGTCAATGCAACGGTGGAAAGTCCCGCTACCTCAAAGACTTCTTTCTAGTCATGCACAGAATATGATGCTTTGGGGACGACTTACTGGTGTATACCTCCTTGCCCATTTAAGACCTCGAGTGCCTCCATGCTTGGGGCTATCCACAATACGCAAATACACGAATATACAACATCACTGACAGCCACAGGCTCCTATTTGCACACCAATGGATGTTGAAAGCGCCTCCAAGCCACAAGTGCTGAACGGCTGGTTCACGATTATGCATTCGGTTGTGGATGCACAGTTGGAACCAGAGAATGGAGCCTATCATCTCAACGCTCTCATAAGTGTCCTTTGTCCAGAGTTCCAGTCATTCTCACAGCAGTTCTGGATTGTTTGCGATGCATGCCTTGGGAATCCCGTGCGCTGGGCCTATGGGGGCATCGAGAGCGGATTACAGCCAGATAACGCTACGGACGCTTTGGTGCGCGTCTTCTGGGGCTACGTGATCAAAATCGCTAGGGACATTTCTTACCATGACAACGAAAGACAGGCTCGGTTGGTTGACCTCATTCATGCACTGGCTCACCTCGTATCGGCGGGTGATCACCTCGGAAATTGTGGCAGTGATGGCATGGAGAACATCGACCCGTTGAAGGGATCCGTCCCCATGGGTCCCTTTCTGAGTCTTGAATTTGATAGGGAGGAGTGGATCAATAGGACCTCATTCATGGCCAGAATGATGGGGCGACAACTCAGATCGTGGAAAATGTTTGCCATCTGGGAACTGCGATCGGCCCTCGAATACCCTCAGTCCATCCCGGACGGCGTGGACTTCCACGTTGGCGTAGTGCGTGAATGGATTCTTCATGCGGGGGCGGAGCTGTATCGCCAGAGAAAGGAAGGCGTTCTTACAGAGTGTGAACAGCGCTCTACCAGCCCTGGTCCTCTTTACTATGGCAAGGCGGATCTCTGTCTGGAGCGCTGGGCCTTCTGGAAAGAGCGTCTCCTCGACCTGGCCAAGGATGCTTCACCGGAGTTGCAAAAGACTGCAGTGTCTGTGGTAGAGCACATGAACGATATTGAGGACAAGGCTCAGGGTAACCTGAAGAAGCGTTCAGCTTCCGCAGCTTTCGAGTGAATCAGGTGTTCACTGTGCTCAAGTATAGGATGTAATTGATATCCCTATCTTTGCAGAAGTCATCTTTATTATTGTAATGCATGTCTTTCTTTTCCTTCTATACTTAGACTTATGCCCTGTAATGGTGAGAAACAAGAAGCTGTATATTTTTCAAGCAGGGATCTTACCCAATCGGGGATGCGTTGCATAGAAACTGCAAGGCTGAGCGCGGGGCTTTCTTCAGCTCTCAGTCTCTTCTATGCTCCCCTCAACTCTCCACTTCCTTCATCCAGGGTTAAGTTGCATTTGAACATTGACATTGGAAACTCGTGGGATGGGATCACAAGAGATGAACTCGATACAAGAAGATGGAGCAAGTATCACCACCAGCAACCCTGCTGGACATGAAAATCTTTTATTGCACATCGCAGCGATACACTGATCCGAGTATATGGTCAGAACAATTCATTTCTCTGGCGTTGACATCAATCGAAAAATTCCAGGATATGGACGCCTCTGGACTGTGCTCGCAAGAGGGAGGTCGATTCCTGCAATAGTGCAGGCCTCACTTGAGCAGGTGCTTGTATTTCCGTCACGGGCAAAGAGTAACATATCAGTCGTGTTATTGACTACTACTGCTATGCTTTGATTCGCCCTGTGTCTCACCGTCCCTTCCATCATTTGTGAGACATACGCCGCTTGATCTCGCGATAACCCTAAATTGCTCTCCCGGCTTTGTCCGAGGTTTGCTTGAAGCAAAACCTGACTTGAACTTGCGATTCGCAAACCATGTACGGCTGTTGTTGAAAGCGTGCTTGCGAGATAATGCTGACATAGTGCAGATGCTTCTTGCGAAAGAAGCTAATGCGCATGCACAATTTCCCTCATCTGAGCCGGATCCTAATGATCGTCAGTGGTATTGGCCCATCTAAGTCCGCTGCACGCAGCCTGCTATTACGGCCATTCTGACATCGTCCTCATTCTTCTTGACCATGGTGTATGGCCAGATAGTGCGGTTCATGGCTTTGCAATGCCAGCGACGGTTGCATTGGGCCGGGCCCACACGGGTGTGGTGGACATGTTACTCCAGAATGTGCCAGGAAAAAGGTATCATGCAAGTCAGGACATACGCAATGACTCTTGTGGAAAGAAGTTTGGGGAAGTATCTCTTTCGTTTGCATGGCCATCAATAGCAAGCTGCACATAGGAACAACAGTAGTGATGTGCCCTCTGTCATGAAAACTTACGACAAGCAATTCAGGCCCATTTGTATTCTCCTTCTGAATCAATACCAGTAACAATTCAGGGCCAGGCAATTGCTAATCCCTCTGGATGAAGCATAGCCTGGACCCTGCAACGTCGAAATCCGCGCAGGAGCTCGCGCTTGTTCTATTCCAGGGCTAAACGGGAACGATCTGTCGGACATTTTCTTCCTGTCGGGGCACGATTCAGCCCCACTTGCCATCCATACAGCCTGGATTTGGCATCCCCCGGTTTCACTTTCTGAATCCTGTATGCGCCGATCTCATTCCTTGACAATTTCTCACCGGTTGAGGCTGAATCAATCTTTATTGACAGACTTGGGGTCGGAGTTGGATTGCCACTTGTGGGTCCTGACTCCTCGGTACTTACGAGGGAATTAAGGCTGAATTCTAACCTATAAATTCAGCCCCGGCACCCCTATTTCAGCAACATCCACCCTCACTCAATCCCCATTAAGCCACTGTGAACATTCCAAAATGAAAGCCTCTCTCTTGCTTGCGCCCTTCGTCGGCGCCGTCTTGGCCTAGTCAGCCCAGTTCTGTGATCAGTACGGCACGTACACCAGCGGGGCATACACCGTCAACAACAACCTCTGGGGCAAGGATGCGGGCTCCGGCTCCCAGTGCACCACCGTGAAGTCCGCCTCGAACTCTGGGATCTCCTGGTCGACCAAGTGGGACTGGTCCGGCGGCGAGAACTCGGTCAAGAGCTACGCCAACTCGGGCGTCCGTTTCACGAAGAAGCTCGTCAGCCAGATCAGCCAGATCCCCAGCACTGCCAAATGGAGCTACGACAACGCGGGCATCCGGGCTGACGTGGCTTATGACCTGTTCACTGCGGCGGATATCAACCATGTTACTTACAGTGGTGATTACGAACTCATGGTGTGGTATGTACTCATTCATTCCATTCACACTCCTTGTCCGGCCCCGCATACCGCCATCATCATATACTGACGCGCAGCCGCTGGGGGCTTTTTTCCAGGCTCGCCCGTTATGGTAATGTTCAGCCCATCGGATCCAAGATCGCTACCGCCACCGTTGACGGGAAGAGCTGGGAACTGTGGTACGGGGCGACTGGCGCGCAGAAGACCTACAGCTTCGTGGCGTCGACTCCGGTCACGAGCTTCAGCGGGGACATCAACAACTTTTTCAAGTACTTGACGCAGCATCACGGCTTTCCGGCGAGTAGCCAGTACCTGATTAGTGAGATCCCCTTTGCTCGATCTTTGATTTTGTTTTGAGTTGAGTGCAACAGCGATATACTAACGGACGAACTGGTAGATGTGCAATTCGGCACTGAGCCTTTTACCGGAGGGCCTGCGACGCTTACCGTGTCTGATTGGTCTGCAAGTGTGCACTAGTGGAGTGTCTTCAAGCGGCCGTGGATGATGCTAGCGCTTGCACGCCTATTGCTTTTGAGAGGAGAGAAAAGTTGGGGGGGATTTGGAGAAGTTCAGCCGTTGAGAGGGAGTCGATAAGTTCTGTTTCGGTGTGTTCGGTGGTAGGCCGTTGTGGACCCGATATATCTGCTTGTATGCGGGTCTAGCTAGATCTTACCCCCACCAATATTCAATTACTGCACATTCTTGCTCGGAGTCAAAGTACAGAGAACGGAATTTAGACTGATGTCTCATACTTCATGTCTTGCTATAGTAATAGCAATATGCGTTGAAACACATACCAGTCGGTAGGTCTCTTTTCCGTCACCCTTCCAGACACATTTGGTGGATACTTTTTTCTCCTAGTAGCATGTTGTATCACACGCCTGGACTGACTGAGAATCCAGAGGCAGGAGGGTAAACCACCAATACCACTCCATATGTCCGTGCTTAGGACAGACATTGATCAACGTCCGCGCGAGACAGACAGCCGGTATACCAACGGAAGCTCCGATAGGCACAACATCCGATGCCCTTCCATTTTGTTCTGGACAGTACTCCCATGAGGGTCCACTCCGTAGCGGGTGAAACCCTGACCCTGACCCTGAATTTTCAAGGCTAAAGTGGATAAATTGGATGTATACTACTACTCCTATAGCAATTTAGGCCACGGAACCCTATTCAACTTGCGGGCGGAGGTCTCAGGTAAGGCTATACTCCGTACAGACAAGCTGCTGCCTGGAGAAGCCCACCGTAGCCGGGAGAATTGCCTGATAATTCATGCTCTTCCGTTGCGGGGAGCCTCGGTTTTTCGATTGGACTGGACTGGACTGGCTGGACTGGACTGGACTGGCTGGACTGGACTGGAGTATGGTTGGGTGGCGGGCTTGTTGTCTCACTGTGAGACTTTTCTCTCCGGCGCTTTCCCCAGAATAAAGTCACGCAATATATTTCACTTCGTCTGGTCTGGTGCGGTATATCGGTGACAGTCCCGTGGCGAAGCGTCAGGAGATTCAGCGAGTGGAAGACAGAGAGTGGTGTACAATGTAGGTATATTGTTGGAAATTCGCTGGCTAACTTAGATGAGTACTAAGAGTTCATTCTAAACGGGGCGGCAGTTGGTTCGGTCATCACAACTACCGGTGTCGAGTGCCATTCCATTGGCTGCTAGCAGCGAGTAGCTAAGCGAGGGTCATTCTGCAGGACCGGGGGCCAGGGGCCAGGGTCCAGGGTCCAGGGTCCAGGGTCCAACTATTGCCGAGACGCGATTAATTGTAATTACTGTATTAAACCGAGATGCGGGAAATGTGGGGGCCGGATCCAGACCCTGAATAGGGTTGGATCAACTGCCCGGCACTTGGCACCCGGCAACTGGCAACTGGCAACTGGCAAGATGCTCATCTGAGACACATCCATTTTTCTGTCGGCTGTTTCTACTGTGGCACTTGAAAATATGAACCTCCGGAGAATGTCCTCCACTCTTTCTCCTTTCGTTCGAGTGTGATAGCAGGGCATCTCAGAGTCAACCCGGGCAGCGACTCGTCGACCCTACACTGTCAATGAGTAAGGCTGCCTCCACTGGCGACATCCAGCCCTAACCCATCATCCGAGCTACACATCGAGTCACGGCGTATAACGAGTTACGGGGTCTAGCCCCGGATGCGTGGGGCGAGACCCATGGCCGGTCTATGGAACAATTTCGGCGAAACAATACGTATAATATCAGTTGGAAAGCCGGTCCCCACCCTTAGGGCAGTTGATCCTAAATCATGCATGTGTCATCTTCCAACTCGACTACGGAGTATATTGGCTAATCTGTAGAAGTTATGTTCCACTATTGCCCGGAGGGTCTTGTGCTCATCCCTCAGAGCGCATTTGCGATCGCAGTGTACGCAGCCTTGGGGTTGTAGTTGCTGTCGAAAAGCAGAGGGCGGGAGCTGGCACGCCACGAATCCTACAGAAACACACCATCAGTATACGAGGATTGCTCAAGGCAAGGGCAAGGCGAGGCGAAGAGAGCTCTTACGGGATCCGCGACTCCCCAAACGGTGATACCCACACACTTTGGCTGGTGGAGACAAGCGTTGACGACCTGGGGTTTGGGGGCGAGTCAGCCAGAACATACAGCCCTCCACGATGGTTATCGTCCCATCTGATCCCTCACTCACATTCACATAGTCGGTGGTGCTGGCGCCCGCAATATCCAGCTCAGTAATGGCTACCTCACTCGTGCCCGCACCAGCGAGCGCATTGAGAGCGGTAAGAGGCTGTCAGCTCACTATACTACCTAGGCACGTCTGCTGGGAGAAAAGGGGTCACTTATCCAGGAACGGCCGCACCGGCACCGGCGCTCAGATGAGTTTGAGAGCCTGTCGGATCGCTTTTAGGAATTACATCCGGTGCGACACCCAGCACCGTCCGTTCACTTACCAATTCCATCAATAGGGATACCAGCGGCCAGCCACTTCTTGACATGGCTGACCATGCCATTCACCTTCGAGTACGAGGCGGAATCCAGGCTTGTCATCGTCAGTACAGACCTCCTCCCGCAAAAAAAGAGGCAGACGCTAGAACATACTTGTAGTCATTGATATAGAGCTTCGCATTGGGATCGGCAGCCCGAGCGGTTTCAAAGGCGATGCGCACAAAGTCCTCGCCGATAACATTGTAGAAGACGCTGTTGCGGAGGGAGCCGTCTTCATTGAAAATCTCGTTGACCACGTCCTGGATTTGAGATTAGATTACATGGGTTTGCGCAGAAATGGAGGGGGCCAGCTCACCCAGGCGTAGACTTTGCCCTTGTAGCGCTGCATCACGGTGGTAATGTGGTCCTTCATGACCGAAATGAGGGTGTTCTTATCGGTGATGGACGAGACCCACGCAGGAAGCTGGGAGTGCCACACTGAACGAGGTCAGCCATGTTACTGTCGTGTGTCCGCTGGTCACGGTGGCATATTGAGCAAGACCTACCCAGCGTATGTCCGCGGATCAGCTTGCCATTGGACTGAGCGAAGTTGACCTAGGGGGGGCCAGTGTCAGCGTGGGATGCGGTATGAGTTGGCTACGGTTTCTGACCAGGTAATCCGACCGGGAGAAGGAGAACTGTCCACGGCTGGCTAATTGTGGTCGTCAGGGTTGTGTTTTCCCCCATTTGTCTTTGAAGGAGTGTGACTCACGCTCAGTAGCATCCCACTTCATGCTGTTCTCTGGAGTCAGCTGGCCAAAGTCGGCCTTGACAATGGCAGGGGTCTTGGTGTTCTTGCTGAAGGTGTACTGGTCGCCAATGGTGCCGAAGTACTTCTTGCCGTGAGCCTTGAATTTCGTATCAAGACTCACCGCGGCCTGACGAGACACAATAGGCTCGGAGAGGACATTCGGGGCAAAGAGGAGAGCCAGGGCAGCCGCCTTGATTTGCACCATATTGACCAGGATGATGGTGGTGGTTGGACTGAGTGATGAACAGGAGGGGATGAGAAGATTTGCAAGCCGAGCATTCAGCCATGGGAGCAGACAGCCTTTATACTGGACAGGCCGCCGGGTCACTCCGAGAAGCTGCGGTTAGGCTGACATCCAGCAGTTGAGCGGCAGCATCTCCCAATTCAGAACGGCTGTTGCATCGACCGCCCTAGTGTAGAGGTGATTCGATTGTCCTGACCTGATACGGAAAATGATTCTCGATCCCCGATTAGCCTGAATGGTTGAATGAAGCGCCGGGGGTGGCGATGCTGCACGGTTTGGTGGCATTCAGGGTCTGATCTTCAGGGTCTGCCTCGGCTGAAGCCCTGAAAAGATCGTTTCGGCTAATACCGATACTACAATTCCCGACAAACCTCACTGTCCAGTCAGTTGTTGTCTCTGTGTCCAGATATTGCTGAACGCAAGATCTGCCTCCTGGCTTCTGGTTGCCCGCATCCACTTGTATAATCTCTCTGACTCGTTCCCCCTGGGGACAGATGTCATGTTTGGCGGAAACCGTCTGAAGTCTATAGTGTTTTAGCATGAAACACTGCCCCGTGGCTTGTCTCAGCGTAGAAATGATTCCTCTTGGCGAATCAGCCAGATTCCATCATGTCCTCGGGGACACTTGCTGCTGGCTGATTCCTTTCGACGCCACTTGGGATCGACCTGTCGTGACTCAATCCCTACCAGCAATCAAGTTTTGCCTCCTTGGATCCGAAACGTAGCCGGGCACCTCGCTGACATAAATTCAAACACCTGCCCTAGACGCATCCCGCGCCCGTCGCCGTCAATGGAGACCTCTCACTTCCTCTCAGTCACCATGTATCAGTCATGGGATTTTGGTGAGGGTCAATCTGGATCAGATGATGACGGTGGATCCCTGCAATCTGCAGTTGTTGTATCAGGGGAAGGATCCAAATGCCAGTGGGGAGTATAATAGTCTGCCGTGGCGGCCGGGGGTGCTTACATTGCAGCAGTAGTTTGGTAGTAGCGGGGTTTTTAGATTGCACTGGGTCGTGGCCAGCGAAAATGCAGCGATTTCATAGGCACAGATGTTATCCCGATGAAGAGCCCAGAATTTGGGCGTCAGGTGTCGCACGTCTGCTGGTTCGAACTCTATGATCAGTAGTATTGACGTCAGTATGGTGAAAGAATGGCGAAAGTATGTGAGCATACTGTAGCATCTGGTGACTTCTCGAGCGCGCATACAGCTTATTCGCATCTTGACCGAGCTGGGAAGATCATCGTAAGAACGATTGAAGAGATCTTGGTCGAGAAGATGGGTGATGGGAGACATTGGTCCTGTGCGATGGCTCAGCGGCTGATTCCTGGGAGAGAAACCCTCGGTCATCTTATACAGTAGCAACATACAAGCACACAACAGTCCCTTGTCTACGAGACCCATGTTACCTCATCTATGACTGCATAAACACGTTTTGCAGTTTTGCCTTCTCTGGTGCCCAGAAGCAGGTTTATTGGACGGGAAATTGGCTGCCGATATTTCGAGCTCACCATCGCCAAGATGTGCAGGACATAAGGATGGCGATCGAGATTACCAAACGCTTACCGAAATTGAGGGCGAGATTTGAGAGTGAAGTCTCGGCATCGAAGGATTTTTGTTAGAGTGGAGGCATATTTCTACTCCCCCTTGCCACTCCCCAGGTCGGTGCATTCACCAAGAACGAAACCAAAGACTCATCGCTGACTCTGAGACCTCAGAAGCCACAATTTCCAGCTGAAGCTCGATTCCGATATCACTCTTCCTCGTCATGATGTATGTGAAGATCATGATTGTGACAATGGTGCTGAGCTTGGTGTTTCTTCTACTCCGATCCAACAAGAAAATCAAGTATCCTCCTGGACCGCGGCCACTGCCGATACTAGGGAATCTGCACCAATTGCCACGGCGAGATACTTGGCGAACCCTCAAAAGCTGGCACGATCGATTCGGCCCGATCATCACCGTCTGGATGGGCTCGAGACCCATGGTCATCCTCGGGTCTTTCGAGTGCGCCAAAGATCTTCTCGAGAAGAGACCGTTCATCTATAGCTCTCGCCCGTCGTACTTGACCGATGGCATCGGCAGCGATGCTCTGGTCGTTGGGCTCCCATACGGCAACCGGTGGCGCAAACACCGCTTTCTCCTAAACACGCTGCTAAGCCGGACCCGGTGCGAGGATTACATCAAATCCCAGGACCTTGAATGCAAGCAGCTCTTGTGGGAACTTCTGTGGACCAACGACTTTGCGTACCAATTCCACCGCTTTGCTGCGAGTCTAAGCTTTTCGCTCGCATACGGGCAACGCATGGAGAGGGGCGATGAAAGCGAGGTGCAGGAAGTTGATCGCCTGATGCGCCAAATGTCAGACAAGGTCTTTCTGCCTGGAGTGGCGTTCCCACTTCTGAATTATCTCCCGCAGTGGCTGGCGCCCTGGAAAAAAACCGCTGCTTGGCTGCAGGAGACCCAGGCGAGATTCTTCACGCACCAGATGCAGAAGGCGCTGAGCCAGTCAGTGAAGACTTGGAGCCATATAGTACACGAGGTAGCCAGGAACAGAAGGGAAGTCTCGTTCAATGAACTAGAGATGGCTCATGTTGTGGGAGTCACCTATGAGGCAGGCAGCGACACCACGGCCTTTGTGCTCGAGACCTTTGTTCTGGTGGCCGTTCTGCAGAGGCCGGCGGTGGTTCGCGCGCAGATCGAACTTGACAAGGTAGTGGGCTGTCATCGCATGCCTGCACTCTGCGACCTTCCCCAACTACCGTACCTTCAGGCATTTGTGCGCGAAGTGCTGCGCTGGAGGCCAGTGGTACCGGGTGGCTTACACCATTGCACCAGCCAGGACGATGAGTATCTGGAATATCAGATTCCAGCAGGGACGACGGTTATCCCCAATCACTGGTCGCTTGAGTATGATGAGAGTGTGTTCCCCAATCCGCACAGTTTTCAGCCCGAACGGTGGATCGATAACCCTAAACTGCCAACGTGCGCGTTTGGAATGGGGAGACGAGCTTGCCCAGGCCGTCATCTCGCTCAGAACTCCTTGTATCTAGTGATTTCACGTATGTTGTGGGCTTATGACATTCGGTGCGTTGGAAGACCTCCGGATTCTTTCGCCATGACGCAGGGCATCAGTTCACGACCAAGGCCTTTCGCAGTCAGGTTTCATCCTCGGAGCCATCGGCATCAAAGCATCATAGAGACTGAGTATAGAAGACACAGCAGTAGTAGGACATGAGAGAGCTATGATGGATGGATGGATGGATGATAGACATACAGTAGCCTCAGTGGTTAGTCAGGAAGAGTCGCTTTGCATGGTTTGCATCGGTTGCTTTCCCCGCATCTTCACATCGCAGTCTCGCATTTGCGTACTTCTATCCTGTTCAAACCCCATCTCTTAAGATGACTGATATTGAAATCTCATCAAGACCTGAACGAACTGCTTCCCCTCGAGACTTGGAAGACGTCGGGCTCCCACCCATCCAGACGATCGGTACCACCTCCACGCCAGCCATCCCGCCAATTCATGCAGTGGACGTTGCACCAAGATGGAACGAGTCCAGAACAACCGTCTGGAGACTGAGTGCAACATGCTGGTGTGCCTTACTCATGGGCGCCAATGATGCTGCTTATGGGGCTATCATCGCCTACGTTGGTGTCAAGCTCGTCACTACAATATCAATTCAACTGACGATTCTAGCTTGAGCTATACTATCGCAAAAGCTACACGGTTATCTCGCTTGTATTCCTCTCCCCATTTGCCGGCTACACTATCTCTGCGCTTCTCAGCAACTGGGTTCATCACCGTTGTGGGCGAAGAGGTGTTGCTATCCTGGGCGCCGGATGCCACTTGCTTGCGTTTACTGTTATCTCCTTTCACCCACCCTTTCCAGTCCTGGTGATCATGTATATACTTGTTGGTGTAGGAAGCGGAATATACAACGCGGCCTGGAACGTGTGGATTGGCAACATGGCCAATGCGCACGAAGTCCTGGGAATCTTTCATGGGTTCTACGGGTTAGGGGCTACAACCAGTCCATTAATTGCCACGAGCTTGATCACGAAGGCGGGGTGGAACTGGTACTCAGTCTACTACCTTCTGGTACTATCTCCAAAGAATGATAGCATACCATGTCTAATCAGCAACAGGCCGGAGCAGCCGCGATCGAACTCATCTACACCACTACAGCCTTCTGGCGCGAGACCGGCACCGACTACCGGCGCGACAACTCCAGTACCACCACCACAACCGGATCCCTTAGCCAGACCCGTCTCTCGTTGAGCTACCGGGTTACCTGGATATGTGCCATCTTTCTCTTCCTGTACGGCGGCATCGAGGTGACCATCGGGGGCTGGATCGTTGTCTTTATGACCACCGTCCGCCACGGCAGCGCTTTTGCATCCGGCATGACCGAGACCGGCTTCTGGCTAGGCATCACCACGGGTCGGTTCGTCTTAGGGTTTGTCTCGCCCAGGGTGGGCGAGAAGCTGTCGATCGCAGGCTACCTGATCGTGGCCATCGCGCTCGAGCTGATCTTCTGGCTCGTGCCGCAGTTCATCGTGTCCGCGCTGGCGGTCTCTTTGGTAGGGTTTTTCCTGGGCACAATCTTCCCGGGCGTGGTGGTACTGTCGACGCGTCTTCTGCCGCGGAGTGTTCATGTTGCGGCCATCGGGTTCGCAGCGGCGTTCTCGATGGGTGGCGGTGCGGTATTTCCGTTCGTGATTGGGGCGGTTGCGCAGGCCAAGGGGGTCACGGTGCTGCAGCCGATCTTGCTGGCGATGTTGGCCGTGGCGTTGGGGGTTTGGGGGACGCTTTTCGGGGTGCAGGCAGAGACGCCGCATCAGGGGTAGTCTGGATTGGCGAGGGATAGGTTGTTCATGGGTGCTGATTGTTCGCGGTTCTTAGACTGTAGTTTGTTATAAGAAGTGCCGACTGATAATGTTTGTGACTTGGTGATCTATCAACAAGTTTGATATAGACATAATGTGATGAGCGTTATCTTCTTGTGTTCTAGGTTTGAATGCTTTGATACTTACTCCCTGCTTGTGCTCTTGGTTATTCTCTATCACAAACCACAGTTTGACCAGGCTCAATGGCCGACTCTCCCTGCAGTATCACTGTGAATGACCTTCAACATCAGAAATTACTTCTTATCAAGTGTAATTAGACCCTACAGACATTCGCACCTGTGATATCATCGATCACGGTTCATCAGCTGTAATTTCGCTTAGGGCTCCAAATCCGGCGATTTTGAGCTTCATCTCATTTCCATATTCACCGTATTTCTGGTGTTCTGGTAGAGGATTATCGATTATTTCCTTCGAACGAAGTTATAAATATGGCTTTCATCACCCTCAATCCTCCTTCTGCTCTTCGACCCGCATTCTCTCTTTCATCTCCATCCTTCCTTCTCATCGAGTCTCTCCTTTGTATTCCCATCGAGTCTCTCCTTTAGCCCTCTCTAGCAGAGAAAACCCACACTTTCCTTCATCATGCTTTCCTTTAAGTTCATCCTCATACTGGTCTTCGGTGTGCTGATTCAGTCTGCTGTGACCATCACCCCGACCACCGGTGTGACTGATCGTGACGAACAGCACGCATCGGAGGCCACTGGCGATGGGTTCACCCCTTTCGTTTCTGACCACTCCGGTGGAATTGACTCTGTTTCTGATGATCTGACTACTCGTACCGCTGCGGTGGATCCCCTCACGGACTTGAACAATAAAGCTGTACGTCCCCACCCCGCTCCCTCCCCCCTACATCGATACCACGCTGACAGTTCACCAAGCCTTGCCGCGGCGTATGCTCGGTTACCAGACAGTGTCGCTGCAGGAACAAGCACTTGGACCTCGTCAAGATCTGTCCGTGTGACCACATCGGAGAGCATTGCGGTTGTCCCGGCCGGCTGGATTCTCGGGATGGCAATGAGGCTGATGGCTCCGCTGTTGAAGAGGCTCCTGCCGCTCCAGCTGTTGGAGAGAGCCCTACCACCCCGGATGCCGACAAGGCTGAGACTCCTGATGAAGGTTCTGCGTCCAGTGGTGGTGTCTCCCCTGCCATTCCTTCGATTGTGCGGCCGCAAGTATGCCCCCTTCATCATCTACTACATCCCACCGATCGATTCCATCAAGCTAACATGCATCACAGGTCTGCAAGGGAAAATGCTCGGACGAGCACATGTGTGCCTGCAAGAAGAAGGGAATGACCAATCCTGTCTATTGCTACTGTGACAATCCCGGGAAGAGGTGCACTTGCGGAGCGAAGCGCGCTGCTAGGGATGCCGCTGAGGCTGTTGACTCTGCGGTTGGGGATGAGGTCGCTGCCACTCCTGATGCTGCCGATGTTGACGCTGAGGGAGTTGCTTCGTCTGACGATGTCTCCCCGGCCAATCCTCTGGTGGATCACAGACGTGTACGTCGACCTTCGCCCCTCATCATCTTCATGCTAACCAAACACCAGGTCTGCTACAGCACATGCACCGCTTCGTATATGTGTCATTGCAGGCACAAGCAGGTCCGTGTGCACTGTGGTTGTGACGATCCGGGCAAGAAATGCACCTGCGAGGTTCTCCATGCTACCAGGGATGAGGACGCTAAGGACGAGGACGCTATGGCTGATGAGAGCGCTGCCACTCCTGAAGCTGCCCATGTCACCCCTTCTGATGAAGTCGACCTGTCTGATGACGTCTCTCCTGTCGATGCTCTGTCCTCCAGACGGCCTGGAGTAAGTCCTGACTCTAAACCCAGCAGAACTCTTACTAACATCTCCGTCAACAGAAATGCTATGGAAGATGTAGCCTGTGCACTGGAAACTGCAAATCCAAGTACGAATGCCAGTGCAAGGGCACCAACGTGGTCTCTCGCTGCGGTTGTGAGAGGCTTGGTCAGAAATGCCAGTGCAAGGGTCCGTGGCGTGTGAGGGATGTTGATGCCACGCAGGATAAGCCTGCTGTCAACGAGCCTTCTGCCACTTCTGATGTTGACGAGCCTGCTCCGAACCCTGATGACACTGTTGACTCGGATGCGCTGGACCTGTCTGACGACGTCTCTCCTGTCGATGCTCTTTCGTGCAGACGGCCTGGAGTAAGTCCTGACCCTAAACCCAGCAGAACTCTTACTAACATCTCGGTCAACAGAAATGCTATGGAAGATGTAGCCTGTGCACCGAAAACTGCAAATCCAAGTACGAATGCCAATGCAAGGGCACCAACGTGGTCTCCCGCTGTGGTTGTGAGAGACTTGGTCAGAAATGTGAGTGCAAGGGTCCGTGGCGTGTGGCGAGGGAGGTTGAAGCCCCTGCGGTCGAAGAGACTGCTATAACGCCTGCGTCTGCCAACACCACTGACGTCTCCTCCGTCGATTTCGTACCACGAGTGAGTCTCCCCCTTATCCAGAGCCAGATTCACACTAACCAGAACCAGGAATGCTTCACCCTGCGATGCACCCAAGACCACAAGTGTCTGTGCAGAGACGCCAAGGGTGACCACATTATTCTTTGTGACTGCAAGACGCCCGGGCGTCCGTGCAGCTGTCCCCATCGTCGCGATGTGGATCCCATTGAGAAGACTCCAGTTACTGAGGAGAACGTCCCAGCTCCAGACACTACGGGCCTTGCTGTCACGGACGTCACTGCCCTCGATTCCACGACCATGGTGAGTCTCCTCGCTTTCCACAAGTCAGTACACTCATACTAACCATGACCAGCAATGCGTCAGCCAGAGATGCATGCGCGACCACAAGTGTCTGTGCAGGGACGGCAAGGGTGGTTGGAAGGTTCTTTGTGACTGCAAGAAGCCCGGGCGTGCGTGCAGCTGCCCCAGTCGTCGCGCCGTGGATACCTCTGCACCTGTTGTGGAGGACACCACCGAGGACCACATCCCAGCAGCTCCTGACACCACCTCCATCGCTGAAGCCGAAGAGGCAGAAGACTCGAGCCCCCCAAGAGTAAGCCACCCAGCCAGCCACACCCAACCCTCACCCCCATCCGCCATGCAACTATACTAACAACACGAACAGAGCTGCTACGGCACCTGCAACCAAAAGCGCCAGTGTCGCTGCCGCGGCAGGACCTGCAGCTGCAAGAGCCCCGGCGAACAATGCAAATGCTACGTCCCTTTCTTGCCGCCAAGGGAGCTTGACGAGGCCACCGTCGACTCTGCATCGACCTCCCCTTCCGTTGATGAGGAGTCGACACCCCTGGAGAACGAGAACGAGAACGAGAACGTTGATGGGCCTGCACCTAGCGAACCTACCACCGAGGACACAGACCCGGAGTCAGAAAGCGCTACTGACTTCACAAATGTCGAGAAATCCCCTCTGGTCGCCCGTGGCGAGGTACGTCCATCTCCCAAGTCAAGTCCCATCTGTTACCCCAACCAAACCCCCAACACACACACACACATACAAACTAACATGATGCAACAGCCATGCTGGGGCATCTGCGACAAGCAAAAAGACTGCTACTGCGACCACATCCGCTCAAACTGCAAATGCGTGAAGCGCGGCCGCCGGTGTTTCTGCGACAAGGGGGTTCCCGATCTGCCTCCAGGAATGGGTGGGGGGGTTACCTATTAGGCCAGACCAGGTATGCTTACCTTACCTTACTTTATTCCCTCGTCCTGCCATTTGGCCACCTTTGGTTTCTGGTCTAGGAATTGGGTAACAATTGTGGGATGAGGGGACTGGGTATAGGATTGGGTGATGGGCTGTCGTTTTAGTTTTTGTTATCTGGTGATAGCATGTGTATCATGTTTGCTTTGTGTTTTGATCCATTCTCTGAATCTACCGGGCCACGGAATCGAGTTCAGCTTTGGCTTGCAAATCTGAAGTAAAGTGTGATGGTGATGACAAGGAGTAGTAGTCTTGGTGTAATTCACAGTGATGCTGAAGCTCTTAAGTGCAGCATGGCTTCTGTTTATGCTCATGTTGTGGCGTAGTCTCAGCAGTATTTGCATGAAAGGTGAGGACAATCCTCACGTACTGGAAGTCCGAATGCAAATCTTTATTCCCCGACGACCTCAACTCTCAGGCTAAGAAGCACACAGACACCAGTCATTAAGTAGCCCCCAAGGCAAGCAACAATTAAGAATAAATGAACGCCCAACTCCCCTCCCATAAAGTACACAGTAACGAAAACCAGGAATATTTTTGAACCCGCATAAACGAAACACCCAAATCGCGCCTCCCACTATACCACGCACGCAATTGCACACGGCGTGGGTCAAGCCCAAAGCAGAAGGCATCACAGATTTACGGCGACATCATCACGAAACAACCTCCTCCTGCGGATCCGCCTTGACCTCCGCCTCCCCCGACTCCGTCGCCTCGACCTGCGGCTCCCGCGGCGGCTGTGTCTCGACCTCCACCCCCAACAACGCCCCCTCCTGTCCCGCTATCGTGCGAAACAGCCCCAACTCCGCCTCGACCAGATCATCGAAGATGGTCTCCTTCTCCAACCACGCCTCCTTCCGCTTCACCTGGATCTTCTCCCAGGCCGCCTTCAACTGATCACCCTCCTTGCGCGCCCAGTGCATCTGCCGCAACAGCAACCGGTACAGCTGCGGGCCCTCGAGCAGCAGCTCGTGCACATCGAACCCCTTCTCTGAGCCGACAGGCGGCACGGAGAGATCCTCCTCCATCTCCTCATTCGCGCTCTCGCTGTGCTCCCCCAAATCCTCCCCCTTGGGCTGCGAGAGCTTCAGCTTGATGCGCTGCACCTTGCCAGCCGGGGTCCCCGTCGGGGTCGGTGCGGCCGAGGACGAAGCCGCCGCTGCGGTCGCCGCCGCCGCCGCGAGCGTGGTGTGGTGTTTCGGGACGGGATCCGAGGGCCGCAGCGCTTCGGTTTCATGCACGGTGCGCATATGTTTCGCTAGGGCGTCGGAACGGGTGAAACTCCTGTCACATTCTACATGCGTGCGTGCGTTGGTTGTTAGGTTAGCCATCTGAACCAAATCGAGCCGATAAACCTTGAGCCGATAAAATTGGCGCTCCCGTATCGCATAGAAACAACCTCAAAGGGGGGGGGGCAAACAAACCAGGCAAAGCGCAGTAGAACGGCTTCTCGCGCGTATGACTCCGCATGTGGGCGCGCAACGCATAGCCACTCGCATGCGTTTGCCCCTTCCGACTGCAGTCGGCCCATTCGCACGAGTACTTCTTCTGGCGGCTGCCAACGTGCTCCTCGTGGATGTGCTTGACGAGCCCGTCCATGTTCCCCAGATCCCCCGCGTCGCAGCCGTCCCACCGGCACACGGTCACCTGGTCGTTGGCCTGGCCGCTGTAGTCGTCGTCGATGCTGCCGCCGATGAGGGCGTAGGTGCCGGGCGAGTTGGGGATCTCGCCGGAGGTGTCGGAGGAGATGGAGGTGGAGGGCGAGGGCGGCGGGATATCCTCGGGGAAGGTGGTGGAGACCGGGGTGTTGCGGTCCCAGGAAGCGACACCGCCGCCGGTGGTGCGCCGGCGTTTCGAAGGGGGCATGTTGTTGGCGGAGTTGGTGACGGAGCCGGAGGGCGAGAAGGGTGGCTTGAGGTCGTCGCGGTCCGACATGTCCTCGTCGGAGGCGATGGAGGAGAGGGGGGAGCCGGGGGATTCTGTCATGGCGACAGTGTAGTGGTGTTGTTGTTGTTGTGACTGAGATAATAGTGAGCAGATACTGTGGAGGATGTAGACAACGGTGAATGCGATATTAATGGATGGGTTGTTTGGAGGCCGAGAGGGTCGGGCGGAGGGCGGAGGGCGGAGATTATGCGATCGCAACCAAAATGCCACGTGACGCGCCCGTTCCTCCAAAACAAAACCCGGCTTCCTCTCCGCGTCTGTTCTCTTTTCCTCTTCTTCCTCAACATGGGAATCGATGCATTCCGCTCTCTTTACAGCTCCACCCCTACCTTCGAGACTAACAGATTCAGGGTAAGTCGACTGTGCGTTCCCACTACTCCCCGAGATGATGAACAAAAAAAGAAGAATTCTGCAATTCCGACAGTCTCCTAAATACTGTGAGATTGGATGTTGACTCTTCTACACTTGATCTGATCGTTTTTACATCACTGCACTAAGCCTCATGCTATTGATCGGAAGCTGACAAGTGCTTAAGCAGGTCTTCTGCGACTACCAGATATAACTATCAACCGATAATCATCAGCTAGCATAACTTACTGTGATCCATCCAATTCATCCACTCCCTCTGTATCCCCGTAATCATTACCGCTCCTCCACCTCAGTATCCCCCAACGCTCCATAGCCGATGTGGCCAGTGCGCGTCCGAGGAGAGTAGGCATGATGATGATATGTGGTTGTTGAAGACTGTAAGTCAGACTTACAGGAAAGAAAGAGGGAAAGTTATGATCTGGAGGGGTGCGTATCCCCTGCTTCATCGAACCCTGCTCTACCTCGTATGGAGTGAACACGACCACACAGAAGCACTAAGCTAGATAGTATAGTATTCTAAGTTGATCTTGATCTCAGAAGTTATCTTGATATAGAGATAGGAGAGGTAACACTTACAGAAGAGTTCAGCCTGTTGGTACTGCTCTTCAATAATAAGCGGTGTTGAGCTGCATCAGAACAACCAGTGATGCCTATTCGTTTCAAGCCTGAGAAAAAGAAGCAGCAGATACTTACACAGTCTGCGCTCTATTACTCCGTAGTAAATGCAGTCTGTCTCCTTCCATACCAGATCCAAGTAGTGTATCGACTAAAGTACAGACCCTCCTCCCATCAACTACGGAGTACACAACAGCCCAATGCAAGACCTACCAAGGTAATCAGTCTCCTCGACCTGCAATCAAATGCCACTGCAGTATAAGAAACCCCCACTATCCACTGCACCCAAGTATAAACCCACGAACCCTAATCCAACTCCCACGCCCCACAGTGGATCCCCCTTTTTCTTTTTTAGCTGTATATAACACAAACTTTCACTTGTCAGCACAAATAGTCAGTGTGGCCGAGTGGTTAAGGCGATAGACTAGAAATCTATTGGGTTCGCCCGCACAGGTTCAAATCCTGTCGCTGACGTTTTTTGTTTTCTGCATCTTTTCCTGTATCTCGAATTCCACCATGCTATAATAAAACAAACAAGCTTATTTGTACTTTTCGTTCTTTCTTGATGAAGTTCGTATCTTTTAGTAAAGTCTTCCTTCGTAGCGTTGCCTTTTTTTTGGTTTCAATTTTTTTTCCCCTGGCTTCGCTGCTACACTGCATACAGTCTCCGAATACTGTAGTATCGATGGTCATAGGTATCCCAAGGGCACATTGTGTACTCTTTACCGAGATCTATCGAAGCTCGAGCCCCAGCCAGTTGTGCTGTCCCGAAAGACCATCTTTCACAATGGATCAATGTCTAGAACTGTTGAGTCAGTCCCCATGTTACTTTCTCTAATTGTGTTGTTATCAAGGTCTTCAATCTACACAATCCAATCGTGCTGTATGTATCGTAATGCAGAGGTCAAGTTGAATCGCTGGTTGCCTCAATCATCCTTCGAGGAACAAGGTAGTACTGGACACACATGAGGGACACTACAGGCGGCAATCGCTTCTCTTACATGGAGACGAGTCAACAGAGGATATCTCTCAATAAACAGCAGTACTAGAGTTGATCGGACCATGGATTCTGGTAAACTCAGTTGAGATACTCTAAGGCTCCGTTGATCGCATAGTGGATGAAACTCCAGACCGGCTAAAGATCGGATACTTCATTAATCAAGTTGGATGCAGGCGTCGGGTATGGTCGGACTGGAAGGAACGGTCTTGGAATGGAAAAAAAAAAGAGAGTAGTAACACTTCAACGAATAACTTCTCGAATCACAACAGTAGAGCAGATTGCCCCCTAGTATCATAATCATCATTCCATCGCACGCAGAACCACAAAGCCCGCAGCCGAGCCCACCCACAGCCGTCATGAAATACATCAAAAACTGCACTTCATGTCAACGACCGACAACATCGAAACAAAGAAAAGTCATTACATCATTAAGCTCATCATCATATCATAACATACACCACCACCACCACCCACAGTCATCAAGCGTACTGCGCCATCGGCACGCGCGAGGACCTCCCCGCCGACCGCGAGCGCAGACTCGAGCTAGACCCATACTCGGAGGGATGGTGTTCCTCAATCTCATCGGGGTACATGGTGCGGGGATCGTGGTGATTGCGGTACCCACCACCGCCCTGGCTCTGGGCGCGCTGCTGGCGGCGCTGGCGTTTCTGCTCGCACTCCTCGCGTAACTTGTGGCGCTCCTTGCGGAGTTCGGCGGCGTGCTTCCACTCCTCGGCGGCGCCTTTGATCCCCCAGGCGGCGATGCCGACGCTGGCGACGTCGCTGAGGTTGGCCTTGAGGCGCCGGCGGCGGGCTTCTTCGGGAGTGATCTCGCCCTCGCGCAGCTGCTCGGCGCGTTTCTTGTGCTTCTCCATATTTTCATACACCTCGTGGGCGGCGTGGATGGTGGCCACGGTCGCCAGCCCGGTCTTGACCAGCGTCTTGCGCGTGAGTTTCTTCTGGCGCTTTTCCTCATCGGTACTGCTTCCCAAGTCAGAGTCACAATCCTCGGGTTTGGTGCTGGGGGAGCGATGATCATCATTCGGGGCAGCACGGGTACGGCCGGCTGCGTCGTCGGCTGGATTCATCGGTCGACTCACATCTCTTGATTGCCGGGCGCGCCGCGGGCTGGACCGATACTGGCGGTACTCGTAGTCGCTGTAGTCCTCGGGGTAATCGTAGTCATCGCGCCGCGACGAGCGGCGGCCATCCCGGTCCCGGCGGTCCCGGCTGTGGGGGTGGTCCTTCTCACTCAGCCCCAGCGCGGCCATGCCCTTGTTGATGTAGTCCGAGACGCTCTTGCTGCGTCTTCTCGGGCGACGGTCATCGTAGCTGTCCTGCGAGGAGGATCGGCCGCGGCTGCGGCTGCGGCTGCGCGGGCGAGACTTGGACCGGAACCGATCGTAGGCCTCCTTGCCAATCGCCGCCAGGGCCCCGGTGGCGGCGAGATTCTTCACGCCGCTGTTGCTCTGGGAGCGGTGGTGATGGCGGCCGCGCGAGCGCGAGCGCGACCGGGACCCGTTGAGGAAATGGTTTGCCGCGAGCCCCGCCAGGGTGGATTCGACGACATGGCGCTTGGAATGCCTCTTGGGGTCGCGATCCACCAGTCCGTCCGTGCCCCCGGCCGCGATGGCCGCCGTTAGAATGCGTTTGCCCTTCTCGCCCGTCCACTCGCCAGGATCCTTGCGGACCCGGAAGGCCTCGATCGCTCCGGCGGTCAGCGCGGCCCGCATGGCCTGCGCGATGCGTTGCTGGCTTCTCTCGCGCCGCTGGCGGCTCCGGGAACGGGTCGGAGAAGGCGAGTAGGAGTAGGATTTGCGGTCGCCGCGACCCTGCGAGCGCCCACGCTCCCGAGGTCTCGAGCCCGACGAGGCGAGAGCGCCCAGCCCGAGCGCCCCGAGGGCTTGTTCGGAGATCGACTTCCGTCGACGAGGGGGGGAGCGGCTGTCGGATGGGGAGCGGGAATATTTCCCTCGGTCACCTGGGGGGTGTTAGCACGGTTTTGTGATCCGATGTTGCTGAAGATGGTGTTTGTGGTGACTGGAACGAATGCCAAGGGATCTGGTGGGAGGGGGGGGTACGTACGACGGTCATCGTGGCGTCGAGACCGGCGATGCGAATGACGGTAGTAGTCAGAGCCATCGTCGTAGGGGTCGCGGTGGTTCACGGAGTGGGAACGGCGCACGCTTTCGTGGACGGTGGCGGCGCGGGTGGGTTTACCCTGCGGGGGAATGCCGTAGCCGTACTCGTAGCCGTAATCAGCGGGGGGATAGTCGCGGTGCACGGCCTCGAAGGACTCGACACTGCCATCGCGGTGATGACGCACGACATCAGTCTGATGGCGAGTTGGCGGGGGATAGTAGTCAGGATCGTAGCCGGCCGACGGGCGAGAGTATTGACGACCGTCGTAGTAGGCCATGGTGTAGGATTGAGTAGTAGTGGGGGTGGATGACGGGGGGGAAGGGTGGTTTCGACGATAGATGGAACGGCTATGCCATGCAGAATTCGATGAGATAATCGGATGAATGGAGAGGGAGAAGAGAAGATAGAAGAAGGAAGAGATGAGTAAGTTAAAAAAGAAAGAAAGAAAAGATGAAGGAGGATGGAGTGGATATCGTGGTGTTTTTTGGTTTCAGGCTCAATTCAGGCCTCGTTCAGGCAGGCTCTTTATTGGTGGCGAGTGACGTCGTGGGGAAGTCTCAGGGCTGTTACCCCTCAGTGACTTGTTCCGTCGCTGTGAGAATCACTGCGGTGTCAGGTACCAGCCAGGTCCCTTTTCATTGTTCCCGATGATGACAGGCGTGTCACCTTCCATCCCTGCGAATTGAAGGACTATGAATCGTGTAATCCCAGCTGAACTGACATCATTTCTCAACCTGAGTCAAGTCATGACTGCCTAAGCTATCCCCTGCATCCTGGTCCATGAGGTAGGTGGACTACTTCATCTTGTACGAGTAGAATGATAAAAGTATACTTGAGCAGTATACTGTATTATAGAAGTATATGTAGAAGTCTAGAAGGTACAAACAATATGATATTGTATTGTATTGAGTGGTCCCGTTCCCGTTCCTGTTCCAGATCCATTGTTGCTCCCCGGCTGTTCCGTCCCCGCCCGTCCCCGTGGTTCTTTCTACTGTACTTTACTACTACTAGTACATTTTTCACAGACAATGCACATCATTAGCAAGCAATGGATATCATCGCATTCAATAAAGTCCATCTGACAACTCGGTCATGCAGTAGTGACCTGTCAGTTTTACTATTGTACACGTTCACTTCTTTTTAGAATCCCTTCCCCATGACAGAAAAAAAAAACAAAAAAAGAAAAAAAAATAACTCCAGAGGAAAACAAAGAGGTATTCATGGCAGACAGGAACACATAATCAAACACGCTTGAGAACACCATGCAAACCAGAATGACAAGGTAGGTCGCATATGCAAGTGGGTAATTACACAGGAAACAACAACATCAGGATAACTGGGCGATTTTTTTTTTTTTTTTTTTTTTTTTTTTTTTTTTTTTTTTTTTTTTTTTTTAAAAAAAGAAAAAAAAAAAAAAAAAAAAAAAAAAAAAAGGTAAAAGGAGCATGGCGGCTCTCCGTACCGTCTATATACCGTAGAACAGATGGACGCAGGGAATCAAAATCCAATCGTCCGAAAAGAAAGGAAAAGTCTATCTTCCAATGATGCTGTCCATCTTGGACGATGCACATGAACGTAAGCCCCCTCAATTGGGGACTTCTCCGCTTGAGGGACCGCACAGCGGCCACCCACAGCAGCGGTTGAGGATATCTTCCACCCGTAGATAGAGTTAACTCATTCTCTGGGCCATAATAGCCCACCCAGCCCAGCATAGAGAATGAGGGTGGAAGAGAGGGGAAATTGAATAAAGTGACACAAAAAGAAGTCGCCATGAATCTCTCTCATCATACTCATCAGGCATGACATCGTCAGGTCTTCTACCGCTGGGCCTGGCTGGTCGACCGCTGGTGGGCGTAGGTAGACGAGGTGTTGCTCCGCCGCGTCGACCAGCTGCTGCTCCCGTCGCTGTCGCGGTCGGTGGCCAGGGCCGGGGGCATCTCCTCCGAGTGCGTACGGTGCGTGCGGATGTGCTGCTTCATGTTGTCCTTGCGGGTGAAGGCCTTGTTGCAGATGGGGCAATGGACGCTCTTCTCGCCCGTGTGCTTCTTGCCGTGGCGGGCGGCATGCCCTGAAGTGGTGAAGGTCGCCGTGCAGCTATGGCTGGCGGCAAAGGGGCAAGGGTACTTGTTCTTGCGAACCCCGGACTTGGCCGCCATGCTCTCCTTGGAGGTGCTTCCGATCGAGGGCTGCGGCGACGGGGGCTCGACCACCGAGCTCCCGCTGATGCGCTTCTCCGACATGGGCCGGTAGCCATGGGCCTCTTGCCGGCTCAGGTGGTAGTGCGATCGGACGCTGGCCCCGCTGCTCATGTAGTCGTAGGAGCAGTCGGAGGATCCGGGCGACGTGGGTTGCGTGGGCTCAGACACCGGGTCGAAGGGATGACGGGCCATGGCGGGTGATACGGAGGGAGAGTTCGTGTAGGCATGATGGTGGTAACGGAAATCAGGAGTCAACGTCCTTGTCGTCGTCGTCGTCGTCGCTGTCGTCGTCTGCTGAGGTTCGTAGTGGTACGAGGAGTAGGAAGAAGCGGAATTCTGTCGAGAGATGCCCGGTGCAGACCGCACCGTAAAGGCCGGGTTGTCGTCATTGTTCAAGATTGACACAAAGCTTGCTTGACAGCTAGCCATTTTGTCCACCGTTATCAATCGACCTGCGCGAGTCCTGATTAGTTCCGAGTCTCTTTATCTCAATCTCCCTTCAGTCCTGGGGTTGTTGTCGTCCCCTTATCTATCCTATCTCCGGCTGCCGTCGGCCATGAATCTCGCCGGATTCAAGCAACCCAACAACCCAAACCTCTGCACAGAGCACAAGAACATTGAAGAAACAAGAGTCATACGACCAGGGCACGAGAAGAAGTAAAAAGAAGAAGAAAAAAAAAGAACAAGGAACAGTACGTACCAATTAGTAAGAAAAAATGTTTGTCTTGTCGGACTCAGTTGGTGTAACGAGCCCCCCTCCTCGATATTTAACAAGAATTGCTGGGATAGAAGATGCACTGAACAAGCGATGAAGGCTCCACGGTTGTGACTGAGACAACGAGACAATCACCCGATGTCGATCCCTCGAGGGTGTCGATGCGCGCGGGGTCCACCGGCTGCTGGTTGAGTAGGGCAAATAATCCTGTAGCTCGCAATCTGGCCCAGTCGAATTTGGCAGGGTTGTCGGAGATAATCCCAACAAGCACACACACACACACACACACACACACACACACACGAGCACACTGAGTTTCTTCCTTTGGCGGCGGTTTGGCTGGATAAGACCGGTGGTCGTAGAAGGTACGGATAGAAGAAGATCGGCCGGAAGTGGGAAAATTGGCAAGGAGGGAAGTAAATGATAGACGAGGCAGAGGTCGGGAGGATAGAAGGTGGGATTAGGGAGGGAAAGTCAGCAGGAAGGGGTGTAGTCTGTATGAGAGGTCGAGATATATCAAACTTGGGAACTAGAGATGGGCAGACCCAGAATCTTAAAAGGCGAGCGAGTAGCGAGAAGGAGTGAGAAGTGGAGGGTGGTGGGCAACAGAGGTGACGAACGGTCTTCTCGTCTCAGTAAAAGAAGCATCTTGAAACCCGTCCAGGGTCTCTCCAGAAGCTCTGGCCATATCCACCAGTCCGTCAGTTGAGTTCACTCACTAGTGGAAAATAGAATAATGGAATACTGGATAATGGATAATGGATGATGTCCACGACGCTAGTTCATCGGGTGGAGTACAAAATAGGCATCATCATTTATGGTAACAGTGACGGAAATACATTAGTGGTTATGATTTTATTTTATTTTTCTATTATTTTTTTTTTTTTTTTTTTTGGTTTCCGAGAAGGAAAGAAAAGAGAGAAAAAGGAAAAGAAAAGAATTCTTGGGGGGGTCTTGTCTTGGGGTCTTGGGGGGGAAAAGCCAAACGGGCATTTGGAAAAGCAGACCCTAAACTGGAGAACAGCCACAGGGTCTATGCCAATAGAGAGCTTCCGCTTGTTGAGCCGACCAGAGATTAGATGGAGATTTAATTTCCCGGATGTCTCTCTTTCTGATTACTATTTCTTTCTTATATATATAAATATAAATATTTATATCTATGTATCAATTTTTTAATTTTAGTTATACTTTATTTTTCTTTTCTCTCTTGGTGACTACTGCATGAGAACTCTTGTCAAAGAATAGTCAGGTCTCAGCCCGGATATGCAGGTTTCCATCTCCCATTCATTCCCTCATCGACAACCATCTCGGCAGTCGGCACTAATTCAATCCGCACCACCGCTCTTAGTCAGCCTCAGTCGGGCGGTATCTTCAATCCTCCCCGAGAATTAACCAGTAAAAAGGGAAACAGCCACGCGGTTGAACCAGTCAAGCCAAAAGGTGGGTGTGGCTCGGCTCCTGTCATTATTCGTTCTGAATGGGGATTCTTGGAACGAGTCTAGTCGACGGGACTAAACTACTCGCAAGCTTAGCTCCGAGGTGACCTCGTCATCCAGAGGGGGGGGTCGGGGGTCCGTCAGCTAGAAAGGGCCGATGGCCTCTTTCAGGGCCCAATAGCCCCTCTTCTTCCCACCGGGCTTGCATCTAAAATACCTAGATCCCTGACTGGTACGTGTCCCTGTCGTCAGCTGGAGGGCGGAGGGAAAAGGAGAGGGAAAAGAGAGGAGTTTGGACGTGTTCTTCCTTGCACCGAATTACTTGTGTAGTGTGTAGTGTGTAGTGTGTAGTGTGTAGTGTGTAGTGTGTATTGTGTATTGTACTGTGTATAGCAGTACTTGTTTGATTTGATTGATGTGATGAAATCTGTACTGGTAGATCGACAGTAGTCAGTAGGGATGAGTGTGGTGGACCTCGATTCGACGCAAAGAATTGAATTGGCAGGTTGGTTATCGGCAGTGGTGGGCACTAACTTTCCAGGGCTCCCCGAGTCCCAAACTGCGAGAGGGTACGGATTTGGTGAGGTATCGATCGTCTTTCCGAGTGGCAACTGGTGTCAAGATCAATTCTGATGATTAAGCAGCCGTCCTCTTCCCGGTTGCCCTGATGACCCTGTCGCTTAACGGGGTTCTCGTTTCTTCAAGAGATACGAAGAGATACGAAGTAACATGCAGGGATTCTCAGTAGAAATCCCAATATAACACACGTTGAACATTGCCCAGCTCATTCTGCCCGCTCATTCTGCCCGCTCATTCTGCCCGCTCATTCTCGGAATACAGCTCAAAGCCGTAGAAATGCCCTCACGGTAGCCAAACCACCGACCACCGACCAGGGGGTCACCTCCCCAGAAGGAGGCTTACGGACAAGCTTTTAGCCACGCTGTACTGAAATCTAATGGGAGGAAAGGTAGTGGGTTGGCAGCGCTAGTCATCACACTTAGCATCACTTTCGAGCCTCATGATTGGTGCCACTGGGGCAGATCAATCTGGATCAAACCCTCAAAACTGTTCTTGCCCCTCTCAAGTCACTACACTGTCAAGGGCGGCTTACGAAACATCATTTTTGTTTTTTGAAACTAAATTTTTCTGGGTCTGTTTTCTTACTCAGATTATCTCCGACCTGCACATAAAGACACACGTACACTGGTGTCAAAGTTTCTCAGCGATCTGAGCTGAGGAGATCGTCTCATATCTCCTGTTCTGGTACTCTCCTCCGACCCGGGGGTCGGAGGTCGGAGGTTACCAAAAAAAAAGAAAACCTTCATTGCTGCGGGATGAAACTCTCGGGCGAATGATTGTAGTAATTTGTGAGGGGGAAAACAGACGAGGGATTGTTTGATTCGGTAAAGTGTCCGCATGATTGTGGAGAAAAGATTTCACTTCTGTTTGATTTTCTTTCTTTCTGCCCCGATTACCGATTAAACCCGGTACTAACTACTACGCATTATGAGAGATAACGCAGAGTTAAGTCGCCCCGTTAACGATTTTCGCTTGACGGAGCAGACTAGTAGATTAACTTTGTCCTCTTTCCTTGCTGGTGCTGGTGCTGCTGCTGCTGTTGCTGGATTCTTGTCCTTACGGGTTAGTATGTTCCAAGCTCAAAAATGATTATCCCGACGTTCTGGAAAGCGCCCCACTGGGGACCCGGAAATAGCCTCGATTCCAATAGCGGCGAGACACACACAGTGTGGTCAACTTGACTCGAGAGGTCTGCCAATAATAGCCCAGGGGGACCAAACGCACTGCCGTTGTGTTTGGAACAGAAAACAAACCGTCAATGACCATCAATGCTTGTCTTGTCTCTACAGTCCACCTGGTGGTCAGGCGACATGACAACAACAGCACAGAATGTACCCCCCCTCGCCCTCTTATTTGACCGACCCCCTTTGTATAGACATGAGTAAAGTCACTGATGAGTGACTTCATCATGACAACCGCTGCATTAAGCACCTCTCTCCGGATTGCCTGATCGACCCTGTCAGCGACACCAAAAACCAAGCACTGGGGGGGCCTGCTGCACATTACCAATCACAAACCCACCCGCCATAGCCGTCGAACTCAGCCGCGCTAACAATGCCAAACCAAGCTTGGCTTTATTGCTAAAACCTAGGGGTCGGTCAATAATCATGGTTGAGGATCCCATGCATACGTATACTACTAACCCCGTCGACGGAGCCCCAGTTTGTTTGCCGGGGGTCCGACGCGCAGCCAACCCCGTTTTTCGGGGCCAGTGGTTTGTGAGGATGAGATTGGTTGTTTTGTATTGCAATGGAGCACGGTGAATTAGGTACAGACAGATCGCCTGTGTACATTCCAAGGGGTGTCGATATCTACTGCGAGTCGAGTTACGACAGCTGACAGGTAGTGCGCCAAGCTGAATCCCTTACTCATACCTATACCTACTTTAGCCATGTTCCCCCCTCCTGTCTCCCTCCGACCCTGTCCCCCCCCCCCTCGCTTGGACCCTGACCACCATCTATTTGTACCAGCTGTTACTGATCTGGTTTGCTCAATTCAATTCAAACGACTGCACGACCACTGCAACTGCACTGGTTTACAGGCCCATCCCATCCTCGAACCAACCACACCACCAGTGGATTACCAATCTCGATCCAGCGAGTACGCGTCACTGTCAGAGGAGGGAGGGGGGTTCGGATATAATGTCGAAAAAGAGTAACTTGCCCCTTGTTCTCTTTTTGCGTGGGAAGCGCGTGGCCGAAGAGCCCCTCTCCGAGACCCCCGAGTGCCCCATCCCATCTCCCGCCAGCCTCGTGGCTAGTGTGGCCCTGAGGATCACCCATTGGCCCCAAGATCGTTAAGAATGTTGATGCCTAGGGACTCCATCGCATAGAGGATATCAACTGTCGGCGCAATCGGAAGGGAGGATGGCTGATAACGCAGTAGGGCCACATTTGCGGTATAAGATACTTCCGCTTGTATCCTACTGTGTCATGTGTATAGTACCAAGTGTCTGGTACGTGAGCAAGGTATATTGGAGGCTGCTCGAGTCTTGCCGGGAGGGAGATTGATACTTCGTTGTCTCTGGGTTGACTGGTAGGCATCCAGATACTCGATGCTATGGATCGTGAGGAGGTGATGAGAGGCGGACCACAATATCAATCTGCTCCGTAGGGAGTAGACTACAACTTGATAGCATATCGGGAATCTGCAAGGCACGCATTCTGACAGCGCGGCTAGAAGTATAAGGGCCACCTCCAAGATCGACTGTGATGCCAGCACTCCCCCCCCCCCCGGGAAAAAAGGTTCAATTAGAAACACGATGGTTTCGGGGTGGTTGACGCAGGGCAGTGAGCTGTCGGACCGGGAGTATACCGATGACTAACGAACCCCGTCACTCGTTGACCCTTTGCCGAGACAAACGGGAAGGAAACATGGGGGGACGACTAAATTACACAGTACG